TAATATAAGGGGTTTTCGGCCAAAGGAGATGTGCCCTCCTTCGTTGTACTGTCAAAGGCTTGTTGCGCTTTCGCAGGTCCACGCATCTCTCTCGACGTCACCCAAAAGGTGAATCGGGTCAAATCAACACAAATCAGTGAAATTGATTCCAAACTAATCATGTACAGCAGGCTATGATGGAGGGAAAGTACTTGTCAAGCAAATGATCAATGCGATTCAATTTGCACATAGGCTGCACGCATTTTGCATTTGTTGAATACTCGGTCTTGCGTGCCTGAGATTCTCTATAACCGCCTCTCTTAATGGATGAATCATAACTTCAAACGAACCTTACGGTGAAACATGTGCAGTTGAAGCATGCCAATCGCCTTCCCGTCTAAAACCATCGACAACATGTGAAAATCACGATGGTAGACTAGAGTTTCTACTATTCACGTAACTTTCCGTCAGAGAAGTTTAGTTTATTTGGTTGAGAACCTCTAAAGCCATTCCAAGAGGCTAGCTTTAGTGATATTCCCAACAGGTTAAGCCAATATGTGCTGTAGGTGAATTTTCGGCGCATCACTCGGTCTCAATCATACGGACTCGTACCGCGAAGAAAATGGTTCATCATGGTGTGCGAGGCGGCGGGAGTAGAGGGTAAAAGGTTAGCCGATGTTCTCTCTCCACTGTTCTTCATCGAGATAAAGCCCTTGAAAAACGAATAAAAAGTGGATCGGCGTCCATAAGAAACAGATTTCGCAACCTTGCAAAACCTAGGCGAAGTCTAAGTCCGTCGGCCCCGAGGCGAAATAGTAGCGCGGCGAGGCTGGCGGCTGACGCAGGTCCTTCCGCTGAGCCACCCGGAGGAGCAGGGCGAGCAATCACAAGGCAGGAAAGAGCGTGAAGAAACGAAAAACAAATCGTCGGTTTCCGAAGTCTCAGACATGCCCCCACCCTCCTCCAAATCGCGACATCGACTGCTCGAACCTAGCTTCCCCCGAGTCATTCCCTAATTCTTCGCATTCCTTAGCAAGACCGAACTCTATCTGGCTCTGTTTAGAGTTTTATATGTCTTAAAAACGACGATGGACCAAGAGCGACACAATCAGCCCCCAGCCTCCGATTCAACCCCACGACAACATCCAATCGCCGTTCCTCGGACCTAGTTCCGCAATTTTTTCCCTTTTCTAGCCACCTTGCGTTTTTGTTTTTTCTTCCCTGCTCCCCAAGAACACGTCCCACCCTCGCTTACAAATGAAATGGCTAACAACACCCGCGGCAAAGAAAGTCTTTCCGGGTGGCACACTCTCGCTTCTCCACCACCGGCACGGCGCTTGGATGAGGTGAGCTGGAAAATGGGCGGGACAGCGCCGCCCACTTCCCACCCCACTCCTTCCTGCCGCTTTGTCTTTTTTTTGTCCCCTTCCTCCCACCTTCCCCCCCCGTCCCTTGCTCGACCCCGGCGTGTGTGGGAGTCGGTCCCGCTTCCCCGCATGGGTCAGGCTGGCCTTCTTCCTCCCTAACGCCGGGGAATGGAGCGCGGGAACTGCTGGGCGGAAGGACGGGTGGACCGGGTGTGGAGACATGCAGGCGAAAAGGTAAGATGTAACAGGGATGCTCTGATGGGCGCGATGCATGCGGGTGTGTGGAGTCCGCACGCTTGGGTTATGTGTGTTTGTGTGTGACTATGAGAACGGGGAATGGCGGATGCATATCATGTGTATGTGTGTGCACACCTGGGCTGAGATCCGGAGAAAAGAGAAAACGAGAGAGAAGGAGAGCAAGGAAGATACTCCATTTCCATTTTCCTCATCGCTTGTGACAGCTGGATGTTGCGTGGAATCATGCAAGATGCAAAAGCAAGCCTTGCATTGTAATCCCCCAACGACTTCGCCGGACAGTGCGTGAAACAGAAGTCAGCGGTGTGAATGTTGGATTGCGGATAAATTGGCTATGCTGATCTACAACATGGCTTCAAACATGAGGGGAGCTGTACCAGTGAATGGGAAACAACCCCCCGGCTTGGTGGCTTGGGAGTGAATGATGCCCAAGATGATCGTCTCGAACTAACTGTAGCTACCCGTCGCAAAGATGCTTGTCACATCCGCATTTTGGCTCCTATATGGCTGGCTGACAATTTCGAGCGGGAGGGGATCGTCGAGGAAGAGAGGCGGAGAACGGTAGAGAGAAAGGCCCCACATGGCAGGGGGCTGTGGATTGAAGCGGGCATCAAGGGAAAGGGAACTAGCATTTCTCTGGTCCAGCTAGCGGAAAGTGACAGGGGGGAGCCCTAGTTTGGCGACAGATATGTACACCAAATAAAGCCCAAGATGACGGGCGTTAGCGGCGGCTGAACGGCCCCGGCCGCAATTCCCCCTCTCAACGGCCGGTAAACTTTCAAAGATCCTCTCGCCCCGGTGTTGGTGCCGCCTCAAAGTCAATGTTCAGATGGAAGGCAGATCGTTGCTCAGTCTGTAGTTGCGAATGTTAGTTCCGCTAACGCAGTGGCTGGTGATCCATCATCGCCGATGGATGGCAATAAGGATGCAGATGGGCACCAGGGAACCATCATCCGATGGGGCCTGCTGTATAGTCAAATGTGGAGATAACCTTCGGTTGCTGGGGCTTGATGAGGTGAGGTGAGTTGCGCGGCCTTCCCAGCATGCCAGTGCGAGATCTGCAGTGGCACAACAGTATGGATCCTGCGCCTTTAGACTGGTCTCGACCGCAGCCCAGCCACACGGGGCGCCTCTCCGTCAAGATAGAGCGTGCGTCCGCAGCGCGGGAACATCGATGTGTGTAGCAGGACAGGGCAGGGCTCCGGCCAGCCCTTGCCTGCGGCGGAAACGTTTCTACGATAACATCGGGTCTCACAGGATTGGCTGTAGCGCGGTGCATAGGCGCCCCTATCCAACTCGTAACTGCGTGCCTCATGCGAGGAGCGGGTTTCTGAGCTCGCTGCAGGCGATGCGGGAACGTGGAGGAGCAAGCTGCAGGATGATGTCAGTGCAGCCCCGGCAGTCCCGTGCCAAGGCGTTGCTCAAAGTCGCCGTCGCCTACCTCCTGGTCGAGTAAAACCCCATCTCCTCCGTGCCACCACCAAACGTTGATTTCGATCTCATCATTATGGCCTGACGTCAAGGCCGAAAGTAGCGTAGAGACGGTGTAATCGAAGGAGGCGTGACAGCACGCATTACACATTGCTAGCGCCCAGCGTAGCTCTGCCATGATGATGCATGGTGCTGGTGCTGATGCGCTGTCGGTCCCGGCATTGTGTGCTTGCCCCTGTGGCCCCGCTCGCATGCTCGTTTCATTCCAAGCGGCAGTCCGCTGCAGCCATCTAGTTCTTTGGAACGGCCAGCGGAGAGGGAGGTGGGAATTTGCATTGCTGACCCCGCTCCGTCCAATCTGATTGGAGAGGCATTGCCTGTGTGATCAGGGAGGTCGATCCTGCCAGCGGCAAAGAGATGGCCATCGAAATCCGACCTGCCGTCTGTGAACCATTTGTCGGGGGGAGCTCCGGCGGCGAAAGCTGCCTGTGACACAGCCATGCCCACCAATCTAACTTCGGGATTTCGCAAGCTGTTTGACGATGTGTTAGAAGTCCGCAATACGACTAAGTTCGCCAGCTATGTCGGTGCTCAGGTTCAATCAGGGCGCACACCTACCTGTTGAGGCATCAGCTTGTCAACTCACACCCTGAGAGCCTATTCACGAGCGTTTCCTTCGATTCCGGAATGTAGAGCTGCTGAAAGCAGTGTGCTGTGTTGAATATAATCGTTCTTGCAACACTGCGTCGGGAACGGGATCATGAAAGCCTTCAGTACTGCCGAGGGTCTGGTTAAGATGACCTGTAGAGTGAGAAGCAAGCCAATATATGCACTTACGGAACGCCATTTCAGCTCGGTAGAAAAAAAGAAACTCTGTAGTGTGGGGGCATCGCATATCTCAGCTCCCACCACAGGTGGGCGTCTCAGACCACTGTGGAGCAAGGGTCACTTCTCACAGACGCGCCCAGCACGGTAGTTGGTCTAAATACCTAGTGTTTGATGGGTGATCCGAAGGTCGGGGCCACTTCCCATGTAGCGTTGGGCTGATATGCAAAAGGACATGTCGCATCTCTGCTCGGAGCTCCCGTCCCTGGAGTTGCCTCAGTTCTAGGCCCGGAGACATGGAGGCCTCCGATTCGAACAGCACCAGGCTAGCGAGCCTCGTTGGGCAGCACTAGACTGTCTTGTACTGATATGAGACGTGTACTCCGTGGTTGTGGGGAGAGTGGGCCTTGGTGTGCAGGCTTTGCTTTCAGCCGAATGTGGCATACGGTCGACTCAACCAGTTATGTTTGATTCGGAGAATTCTCTCCGCCCGGAGACTCAGTGTTCGATCAGGGATTGACCCAGGCGCTTGCTGACGGAGCAAGTTCCGATGAAGGGAAGGCGTGTCTCACTGCCAACCCGGTTCATGGTTAGTAGAAGACCCTGATCATGTCAGCTGTGCGGATGTGCCTGCCTAGACGAACTATCCTTCAAGCAAGCCAACAGCGCTAAAAGTCTTCACGCCTGTGAGCTAAATTTAAGATGTGTTGCGCAGCAGCAGATCAAAACGTGGCAGGAGGTACAGCATCTGAGAATAACTCCTATTCAAACCCATATAGATATCCAAAGCTATGCATTGCTCCCGTAAGATATGCTCGTCAAGAACAAGGAAACAGGAACAAGAGGAATAATCAACCTTCCTTTTTTGTTTAATGAGACAGATGCCCTCAAAGCAAGGGAAACAGAAGCTTTTGTAGGCATTAAAATCGGCATTCCGGGTTACCAGCCCCGGATGACGGTTGTACAACCCACACCATACGCCATCATGTTGGATAACAAGAGAGGTGAGAAGAAGGGGAATGTTGCAGAAGGAAGCAAGCTGGCCGTTGACTAACGTCATCATCAAAAGCGGTCAGCCGTCTCTGTAGCAGGCCAGAACAAACGCCAAGGAGAGTAGGAGAAGAATTGTCCGAGGCAGAAAGCCTAGCGGCACTGTTGGACATAGGTCTGAAGGTCCGGGAAGTCATGCATGTTGAGAATGGTCTTCTTGACGACAGCCTTGACCTCCGGCTTCTGCTCGTCAGAAACACCGCGGACCTTGGGAATTCCCCATTGCTCTCGGATGCGATAGTAGGCGCAGGTGAGTCCGCCAGCTGTTCGCTCCTGGTCGGGGTACGTTGGCCAGAGGCCCGCTTCTTGGTGACGTCGCTTTTGGCCGGCAGGGAATCGGTCGCGAAACTCTTTCTCGATCTCCTTCCAGGTCATACCGCGCAAGATGGCACAGACCATGATGAATGCACGCTCTTCCTCGCCATAGGTGTGGCGGGGCTCGCGACGAGGAGTATCGGCACGGCTGTTCCTAGATGAGCCACCTGGAGAGCCCTGGTGGTAGGTTGAGGGTGAGTCAGGGTCCGAGGTATCGATGAACTCGCTCTCGGAGTAATTTGTGCTTCCTGCGGTGCTCGGCCGCCTGTAGTTTGCTGCTGAGTTGACCGAGGTCCATGGAGAGTGCTGGGAAGAAGCGGCAGCGTATGCGCCAGAGTACTGGGTCTGGACGTGGTGGCCACGAACAGGAAGCGGCTGCTGGTTGTACTCTGCACTATAGCCATAGTGGGCATAGCCGGCAGAGTGGTACGAGCTCTGGCTGGCTCTGTTTGGGGCTGAGCGGCTGCCTGGCGCAACAAAGTCGAGAGACATTCTCTCCAGACCGCGAGAGTCTGGGCTCTGCGCGCCAGCCCTGGAGTGGCCATCAATGGGAGAAGAACTCGTGGAACTGTTGCGGCTGCCATTGGATGGAGGGGTGGATGAATCCTCGTTGAGGATGTTCCGGAGGTTGCTCATAACGGATGAGGCGACGGGAGGGTAAACAAAGTTTAGGCAGGCAGAGTCAAGCAGGGCGGGTGAGGAAACGATTGACGTGATCCTTGAAGCGGGTGCTATGGGCTGAACCTTAATTGAGTAGAGAGGTGGAAGGAGGAATCGAGGGCTGATGGTGTGTTCAGGGTCCAACCGAGCAGCTCTTAAAATACCTACCGAGCAGCACGTCTCGCAAGAGTTATCAAAGCATTGATCTGGTCGACCCAGGGCTGTCGACCCTGTGTAACCGATGCAAACTTGTAAACCTCGAGAGAAAAAGCAGATGTGTGATCCACGGACGCATGCTTCTGCAGCCATCCGCTGGCCTATACCCCTACCACCAACAACCCCAGTCAGGGACGCTGTCCCTCCAGAGATGCTTTTTGTGTGAAGAAAATCGGCGCGCTCGCCTTTCCAGGCAAAAGGCCCTGGCCCCGGGCCAATCTAATCGGATCTGGCGAAAACGCAGATTACGTCGATCCGCCCGTCCAGCTGCTCGTATCTTCACGTTCAGCCTCGCCGCTTCAGCAGGCGAGTCTCCGCAGAAACCCACGCCAGGAGGGGTGGGCGGCTGGAGGGGCCTGTGAGCTGGCATATGCCGGTGGCGAGATCGGCAAGAGGCCAGAAAAGGCGGGAAGCAGCCACATTGGTGGACGGAGGATGCGTCCCCAGACGAGTTTTGCGAGCAGAGCATGCGATCTTGGCCTCATGAGCGGCAAGCCGCATTCCAGGGCTGGCAGCACCCCCGTCAGTACCGAAGTTCAGCGGGCCTGGGGGCAGCTGCAAGAGGGCGCTGCAAGGCCACGCCGAGGCACCCGTTTCGGAGAGTATGGGAGGCGGTCATTAACGTCCAGGCGTGTAACGCTCTGGAAGGCGGCAGGGGCCGGGGAGCTGAGAGGAAATAGCGCCGAGAGAGCGGTGATTGGGCGCGGGGCGTCGAGACATGGTCCCCGAAATCATGCCCAAAATGCAGGCGCTGCATTCCGGTGACACAGGCAAAGGTGAGGTACAGGTGTAGTGGAGGGCCAACGGGCTGCTGACTCGCGACGGCCGTTTCGAGCGGGTCATGATGTCAAGGCGGGCCAGACCACGTGCGACTGCTGGGGACATTGCAGCGTGTAGACAGATTCCTGGGAGAAGTCCTTCTTCATCACTGCCGTGCCCGTGAGCCCGGGTGGGCGCGGCCAACGGCTGGCGGGCGGCGACGGATCAGCGTTCCTGGCGCGACGCAGATGCTGGTGTCGCACATCAGGAGCTAACGGCGCAGTCGAGGCGCATACGGGGCCGGGGCCGGGGCAGGGAGCTGTGCTGGAGCCGCGCAGGCCCTGTAAACGGTTTGTTGCAGAGCCAGCCGGGCGGCGCAGGCATCGTATCGTAAGCCGGTCATCCGTCAAATTTCGCGGGATGCATGGTGCGATAGCTCGCAGTCATGAAGAGTAAATTGCGGCGCTGGGGCGAGCCGGGGAAGCTGATGCTGGCATCCCGATGATCGTTGCGAGGGAGCGCGCGTCTGGGGGACGGGCAGCGTCCTTTGCTGCGACAGGGAGAGGCGTGTGCGGTGCGCTCTTGCACAGCATGCGCGCTGCGTTGCTTTTGCAGCGCTGCATCCATCAGCCCGCATGCACCGCAGCACTTGGATGCCCGCGCCAGGCCAATGCACCCTCTGCAGGGCGCCTGCGCGGCTCTGTTCCGCCGCTGGGGATAGCAACGGCGTCTCGGAATCGGCTCACGTGATTTTGACCTGAACCTGTGCATGCTCACCGACGGCCAATCCCGGCCTGCAGCTGTACTCCTCAGCACTCTCGTCGATTGTGCTCGGAAAGTATGGGCGACGGTTCCTCGGCTTGCTTGCTGCCTGTGTTCAGTGAGTCGTCGCATCATCCTCCAGTTGAACCGTTCTTTTGTTTTTGATTTTCCTTCAACGGCAGCAGGGTGATGTCGCTCATGCGTCAATCTTGCCGTTTCCTCCATCCAACGCTTCCTCTATGATCCCAGCGCCGTTAGGCCTGGTGAGAAATGGCTCATCATTTCTTTTGCGTGTGCGATATCTCGCAAGTAAAGTGGTGCCCTGTTTGCAAACCCAGCAACCCTTGTCCACTCTCGTACGGGGGCCGCACAGGAGAGGTTGTGAACATGGCTTCGCACAAGCGTCGGTAAGGAAGCGCACTTTCTTGACCTCATACACCCGTCTTCGCCTAAAGCCCCGCTGGTGCAGTCTCGGCTGACGCTTCAGACGTCAACATCGCCCATCACCATTTCCTCTCGCCAAGACTGGGCTCGTCATCCTCCTCATGCATCACCTTTTCCTCTTGGTCCCTTCGGCCGCGACGAGGGCGCCCGAACCGTAGCCGTGCGCTTCGCCGGCGGTGCACAAGGCGAGATGGAGGCCTGCTAGGCCAAGTACAATTGGCTTTGACAGAGCAGGAGGGCAGGGCGACGGAGCGCGCGTCTAAGCGAGCCGATGGTCATCACAGTTTGCGGCTCCTGCCGTTGACGTTCTCGCCGAAAAAAGTAAAATGCAGGCGTTGACAAGCACGGCATAACGGTGAGTTGCGCCACGTCGGCGGCCACGTTCTGCTGGGAGACGGTAAGGACCGAACTGTGTTCACCGTGGGGAAACGCATGATCCGGTGTTTGGGCGAGACCCGACGGTCCTCGGCGTCTTCAGAGGCCCTGCACTCGCCGCTTGACACGACGCTCACAGAAGCCGAGAACATCGTCCAGGCTTCACTTGCAGGTCCGCAGAAATACAATGTCAGTGGTTTGACGACGGAGGGCGAAGGAATCTGGACGCGACACGGACCAGCCGAAGGATGTCTTCAATGTGCTGGTCGGCGGGTACGATCAGCCCGGGCTTCGGCCGGGTTTGCTTCGAGCTGCAGGCGGCGAAGACATCGGGCACCGTTGATGACACGGATACGCTCTAGGCGGCGATGACTTGGTTGAGCTCGAGCAATGGGCTGGTAGGCAGACAGGTAGCAGACAATGCCACGGAGCGTTTCTGTCTCAAGCGGGTGGCTGGCTGGTCTTTTGTGAGGCGACTGCGTGCAGCTGCGCCCCTCGGGCGGAGCGGGACATGGCCAATGACGCGAAGAAGTCGAGGCGGCTGCGTGGCGTGCTGCTTCTTTGGTGGTGGTGATGGTCGCGCCTGCGGTTCCTGGCCGGGCCATTTCGGGGCGGCTCACGCCAAGACCGGCTGCATACAGCAGCTACCTACACCTTGCAGCTCGCTCGCATCCCGGGGCCAAGCACCATGCGTCCCTCCACCGCCCTCACCCCACGACACCTCGCCCGATGAGCCGTTCCAGATGAGTTGGAACCTGTTGGAGCGCTTTATCGAGTCGGATCATTTCAACGAGGATCCCTCGCTCAGCGTCGCCTATCTGTCGTGTGTGATCCCGTCCCCGATTCCCCAGCACGCTGCGCCCTCTCGCCGCCGTCCCCCGCCTTAAGCTTTCTGTCCTTTCGCCGCTCGAGCCGCACCTGCTAATCCCACCCCGCCCTGCCAGTCGATATGCCGACCACGTCGGAATCCACTACGTGCTCTGCTCGAAGCTGCGCCAATTCTCCTACGACGAGATCGAGTTCTTCCTGCCGCAATTATGCCATCTGCTCATCTCCGTCGACAATGAGTCGATGGCCCTGGAGGAATTCATCATAGATCTGTGCGAGGAATCGGTCAATGCTGCCCTACTTGTGAGCCACACCCATCTTTGCCTCTCACTCAGCCCGCTGCTTACCGCGCGCCCCTTACAGACCTTCTGGCTGTTCCAGACCTACCTCCACGACCTCGCCGGCAATCCGCAATCGAACGCTTTCAAGACATGCCGCCGTCTGTACAACAAGGTCCAGCGCATCGTTTTCGGCGCCTCCGAGCCCGCCAACCGCGAGCGCATAAGGGGCAATGTGCTTCCCGTCACCGTTCTCTCGAGTCTCATCCTTGCCAGCTTCGCGACCCCATTCCTTCCCCGCCATGCTGGTCCATTGGCCGTCGCCCAGGCTCGGAAACCTCGAGTGTCGACCGAAACCATATCAGACGCTTCACAAACCCAGCCCCAGAAGATGGCGCGTAGCAACACCGTGGCAGGCGCTTCGCCCCGCCCACGGAAGCCAAGACCGCAGTCAGGCGCCCAGGACCCCAATGAGCCCGAGTCCCCTGTATCGCCAAAGCGGCATTCAATGCTGCCCTCGCTAGAGATCCAGACGGGTCCTTCCAAGCAAAGTCCGAAGACAACGAGGGCTGCATCAGCTGTTCAGCGTCCATCCCTTCTCACCGTCGCGTCGAAAGAAGCGCGGCTGAGTTCTTCGTCTCTGCCTGATTTTCGAAGTTCCAATGCCTCCCCGATCCCGACTCCTCCAGCAACGGCTGGGCTCACGCCGCGTTCGACTGAGCTTGCGCCGCGCCGCGAACCGCGTCCGCCTCGTCCGCTCAGTCCGAGCGCCCTTTCTCGATCGCAGAAGATCCGGATTCTACGCTCAAACTATTTCCGGAGTCAGACGCAGTTCTTGAGCGCACTGGAGGATATTTCGAACAGACTGGTCATTGTCCCCAAGCCTGCACGCCTCAGTGCGCTGCGCGCCGAGTTGGCGCTAATAGCTCAAGACCTTCCAGCCGAGGTTGATATCCCCGTGATTTGCCCACCGACTCTGAAAGATGGAGCTGCAGCCCACAGTCAGCACCATAGGATCGTCCGTCTCAACCCCGCTGAAGCCACCAGTCTGAATAGCGCAGAGCGTGTTCCATATCTCCTAATGGTCGAAGTGCTTCGGGAAGACTTCGACTTTGACCCCGACACGGAAACCAATCAAACATTGCTCACCCGGTTGCTTGCTGAGAAGGGAATTAACAAGCGCCGCTTGTTTGATCTATCGGATTCTTCACGACAGGCGATTATCCCCGACAAACCACCGGACCCCGGCGTTGACAGCGTGTTCGAACCTACTGATGGCGATCTTGGAAGCAAGGATCTCCTGATCAAGGACCCCGCCGAGGAGGAGCTCGCCAACGGGATGGCAAAGACGGCGCTGGCGGGCAACGGATACAGCAGTGTCAGAATTAACCCTGCGCGATCGTCAAGCGGTGCTCACACCATGTCCTCGGTTGGCACAGCGTCAACGCCCCGATCCTCCGACATGGAAACAAGCAGGACTAGCAGCCCCGTGCCGCGCAAAATGACCTTGCCAATGGCCAATCGGGCGCAGGGGCCGGACCAGCCAGATTTCTCTGCCCTAGCTACCCACATGCGCACTGCGGCGCAGATGCTTGCGCAGCTGGAGGCTAGTGGGTCGAAACGGCCGAAAACGGAAGTCGCCTCGATCAAGTCGAAAATCATTGCGAGCATGCAAAGCCTAGAGGAACAAAGCTTCTACGTGGATGAGACACCCACGTTTGACAGCATCATGGCTGAGCCCAAGCAGCAACCATTGACAGCCGAACCGGAGGACCTCGAGGACGCAGCTGTGGACCCGAATGCGAGCAACAGTGCTGGCGCGGCGCGGATGGAGAATGACTCCAAGACGGGAGGCATCCAGCGCAAGGGCGATCGCGACGACCCGAGTGCAGCTACGTTTGGCGAGGAATGGACGGCCAAGAAGGAGCGCATTAGGCGGTCTTCGCCCTACGGATGGATGAAGAACTGGGATCTCATCAGCGTGATCGTCAAAACCGGCGCTGACCTTCGCCAAGAAGCGTTTGCCTGCCAGCTTATTCAGGTGTGCAGCAAGATTTGGCAAGATGCTGAAGTGCCCGTGTGGGTGAAACGCATGCGCATCTTGGTGACGGGCGAGTCGTCTGGACTTATTGAGACAATTACCAATGGCGTCTCACTGCATTCTCTCAAACGCAGCCTGACCCTTGCTAGCATCGCTGCAGGCACCAACCCCCGCAAGCGCATTGCCACGCTACGGGACCATTTCTTACGGACTTTTGGCGAACCAGACAGCGAGACTCAGGTTGCAGCGGTTGATGCTTTTGCTCGCTCACTTGCAGCGTACAGCATCATATGCTATGTGCTGCAGCTCAAGGACAGGCATAATGGCAATCTGCTGATTGACAATCAAGGCCACATCATCCACATAGATTTCGGCTTTATGCTGTCGAACAGTCCCGGTAGCATGGGTTTTGAGGCTGCGCCGTTCAAGCTGACTCAGGAGTACGTGGACGTGCTTGGTGGCGTGGGAAGCCCCGGCTTTAACCTCTTCAAGAGCCTGTGCAAGCAAGCGTTCCAGGCGCTTCGGAAGGATGCCGAGAGGATTGTGATGCTGGTGGAGATGATGGGCAAGGCGAGCCAAATGCCCTGCTTTGCCGCCGGCGTGCAGCAAGCTGTTGCAGCCCTGCGGTCAAGGTTCATGCTACAGCTGAGCAAAGAGGAAGCGGAGTTGTTTGTGGATGATCTTATTGGGAAGAGCATTGGAAGCTACTACACGAGGCTGTGAGTACTCGAGGCTACGTCACATTGAGGCAAGCTAACCAGGCGCAGATATGACACTTTCCAGTACCGTACGCAAGGCATTTACTGATACGGAGAATACCCAATTGCCGAACCGGTTCGTTTCCGAGCATGTCGCACCTTGATTGCGGGCAGAAAGAGCATTGCGACGGCGTTCTGTGCTTGTATCACCACATTTTACGTGAAATTTAGGAATTAATTTCGTCTGATGTGCTACATTCTCCTTAAAGGCGCCTCGGTTCTAGTTTCAGTTGCTGTGGATATGCCGGTCTTACATTTTTGCTCCTGCTGCCAGATACATGGAAAATTGCCGACTGTAGGCTCAGCATCTCGCCGAGATGACACAACAGGATGTTATCCGTTGAAGAGAAGCAGATTGAATCTGTATGCTTAATCAAGCCGCACGATTGAAGCACTCGACCAGGATTCTCTCCATCATTCGCCCCTCACCAACAAAAGCAAGCTCATATTGCGTTGTTTCGAATCAATCGGGCCTAAATCTGTATCAGAAAAATGAGGTGCGCCGCATCCCGACTTAACGGCCCCCAGCATGCTTCTGATACCTGCATTCTATATGAGAAGCGCTGTCTCTTGAATGCTGGGAGCGAGCAATGAACTCATGTCACACCGATGCAGACCTGCTTCTATGTGGACCCCACTGGTTGTGACCATCGGCCCTTTACTCATGATTTGCATTCTGTGTCGTCGCTCAAGCGTATCCAACCCTCGCAGGATGCAAGCATGTACATGCCTTGCTTACATTGTTTTCCCAGGATAACACTCTGGCATGCTAATCACACCATGAGCACTGGCATTGTCTAATAATTAGAATGCCACTCAAGTCAGCATTTCGTTCTCAGGGAATCGGCACCAGGAGCTCAGTTCTCAGTTCAATAGTGGGATCGAAGGCCTTTTTCTTTTTTTGGGCTGACGTTCCGCATGAGGTTGCAAGCATAAAGACCGTTTGAGATCTGAGTATCATGATTGCACTCTGGAGACTGCTGGCGTTCCGCTACTCGGACCGCTTTTGCTGGAGAAAGTTTCCTAACGGTGATGCATGTCCTGCGGTGTAGATCTCCTCGGTGTGCTCTTCTTGGACCGTCAGTTCCAACATTTTTCAGGTTCCACGCGCGCAGACGCGCGGTTCTCCCACTATACTATCGGGGCTTGCAGGATACGCGCCAGGCATTCACGATCCATGTGTGCGGCCCTCCATAAAAGAAGACTTATCGATCGTGTCTCACAGCCGAAAGTGTCTGCGCCGTTTTTCATCTCGCATTCTGTCCTACACATCTCCCCTTGGTATCGCCAGATCGACAGCAGAATCATCTAGATCGTAACGGCACGCCTTACTATGTCAGATCAGGAAATCCGCCGAATGCGCAGGGGTCGGAACTTACCCCGCGGCTTGCGACAGGAAGGAGACACAAACACAAACTGCTGCAAACTGCACTCCCATATGCACATGCAATGCGCCATGTAAGGAAAAACAGAAAGAAAAAAAAAGAGTTGCAATGTACACAACACAACACGCGAACGCAGCCAGACTTTCGTCGATGCATGATGCCGTACGCCATCTATCCCTAAGTACTGCATTTAGTTCTCCAGTGATGCGAATGAGCGCATGTGTAGGGCTGATTTTTAACATTCCATCTCCGAAATGAGCATCGTATTATGGAGATATACTCTGTGCTCCTCCGGCGACGTGCATACAGCTGCGGACCTTGAGTAGTGGCAGTGTAGCTGTGCAACTAGAGCAAAAGACTTCGTAAAAGCCAGGTCCTTTCGGGCTAACGACAGAGCCGATGCGGTGGTACCCTCTGTATGTGTAGGTATCTGTGCGAGAAGGCCGGGCAGAAGGGCAGAGGTAGCAAAAGGGCCTTATCTTTCTTTTTTGTTGCCCCGTCCTCAACGGGATTCCTTTACGCTTCTTTGTTACTACTGTTGCACTGCGGACCTTGCTATTCTCTTTTTGTACATGTGCATGTGTATTTGTGTGGACGCACACAACGGGTTCAGCTGACAAGTCCACAAGCGTCTGCATCATACGAACAGCAGAGAATTTTCTATCTTCTGTACTATACCCACTGGGTATTCGTGGAGCTATACGATCATCGATCGGCTGCCGAATACGTTTTTCTATGCGTGATTCTTTGTCTCACGGTTTCTCCTTGTTTTCTTTTTTCCCTCTCTTTAGCATCATTTGATTCATTTTGCTACCCGCGTAAACCAAGAAACACCTTATCCTGCAACCTCACTTTCTCTTCCTCGCTTTATTTATTTCATTCACAGCAGATATGCGTGCACTTGTAAATGCCAAGTCTTGTGTAAGCTTGTGCCCGGCTCGTGCTCTGTTATGCTTTGCTCTTCTTTCAAGTTAATTCGGTCATTTCTTGGACTTTTCGACCTTGGCATTCGAATGTTTTGTTTGTAGCTTCTGATATAACTTTTAAGGGAGTACAATGGAAAACTTGCTCTGTAGTACTGTCAAGCTAGCACTAGGGCGGTGACATGGATGAGCCGTCGACCTGGAAATTTGTTCATCGTGTTGTCAGCGGCGTAGGACTATCAGAGCACATGGAGAGAGAAACGTGACCCATTAAGCCTCGCCTATTTCTCGGCAAGCAGGCTTCATTTGCTTCTGATTACCGGATTTGTCTTAGAAAGGCGAAGGTCGCCCTTAAATAATCTGAGAATAGAGGCCGTCCAGGCTACAGACCATTGCTAACTGTTGGCTTCATGCTGAATAACCACCTTGCCTTCACTTTGAATTCATTCATTTGCTGAAAAGCCATCCGAATTTTATTCAAGATCATTCATTTGTGCGTCAGTCATTCAACCTGAAGTCTGACAACGTCAACGATTTGTGTCGCCAACCTCCCATGCATGGAAACGTTTGCCGTCGAAGAACACACGCTTGACGATCTTCAAGCAAAGGAACTGGTACCTTTCTTTCTTTTTTCTTCTTCCATCATGCATCCTGCAGGGCGTGCTTGGTAGCGCCGGCATACACGACGACAACCGCATGGCTTTCACATGTTCACGAAAGTGGCTGGCTGTATGCCTGACGCCCACGCGAGAAGCAGCAGCCACGAAGATGTCTCCCGAAAGCTCCGATGTATGTTCATATCAAGGTGCAGCGGGGAAGAAAACCAGACAGCCGCGACAGTTTTCTTCGCGCATGCGTCCTGCGGCTGGCATACATGTAGAACGCGGCCTCACGTTACTGCTGTCTTACTGAGAAGATAGCCCCCATCTTTATTAATCAAGATCCCTCACACGCTTTCCAACGGTCAATCTATGCTCGGGGAAGCTTGCCGTTTAATTTCTTTCATTTGTGTTGTATACAAAACCCAGCTGTTAATGCTTCAGGATGTCGTTTACTCTCCAATAGGAGCCATGCTCGGCAACACTGTCCTGGTAGCTCGAGAGGAAAAAGCAAAGATGATCCCCACTATTCCTTCTCCACAACTCGGTAACCGGTTACCGGAAGGATGCAAACCCCGTCCTGCCAACAAGCACCGTTGTGTTAGGCTAACGAGGGTGCGGAACTTGTCACCACGTCACGTCCGGCACCAAGTGGGGGGGACAAGTGTGATGATGTCCTTTTCTTTTTCCTTGGTTTATTGTCCCGTAAAATTCAGGACTGGGCTAACGCAGCTTTGACGTGCATACACGAAGAGGCAAACCAACATAAGACAAGCTGCGGGTCGGGACGTTGTTGGCGGGCGTTCATCTTGTTTTGTTCATGCAGCCAAACCGTGCAAGGGTCTGTTGCTGTAGTTCTTCGCAGGAAGAGAGACTAAACATAGGCACATGTTCCAGCGAGGAGGGTGATGTGTACACATACTCAACGTGCATGCGGTAATTGTACACGTCAACGCCCCTGCATGTCTTGGGCGTGAGCGAGGATGGCGGAGTTGTTAGCGTTATTGGGAAGGCAAGGGCCAATAGACAATAGCATCGACCGGAGGCCGTTCCGGGGAAGAAACTAGATTCAGATTGAACTCTATGCCGCTGCGAGGGGGGAAGGTGATGAGTTGGTGATTGTGGTTGTTCTTCGTGTACGCATGTAGGTATGATCTGACGGGCGGCTTCTGCCGGCCGACTTCTTCTCAACCTGCTGTGCTTTCAATATCGTGATGACTATCCTCTGCTTCTATCGCTGCTGCCTTGTTTTAGCCCGGCATTAGCCTATGCAAGTTGCAGGGAGGGCGCAAAAAGTCAGTGCCCGCATATCGACTGCAGTGTTCTAGAACTTGAGAGGAGGATGCGTCGGTGGTAGCACTCGCTTGCGGAAACGCCGGACGGCGGACTTCTTGGTCTGGTGGGTCTGTGTGAGAGGTGGTGTGGCTGAGATCAGATCCGTATCGAGTGTGGTTGGCTGACAAGAGGCGGGGCAGCACGGCATCGGCATCGGCTGGGCGATTCCCTTTTCTTCAGGTCTCGGTAGACAAAGGATATGAGGACGGAGGAAAGAAAAAGAAAAGAAGAGACGGCACATGGACTTCAAGCAAAAGAAATCAAAGCGAACTTTTTCAATTCCAGACCGCGGAAAGACGGGAACACTGCAATGCAAGAGCTAGACTCTGGCCTTGGAGGCCAGACAACCGCAAGGCGACCTCTCAAATTCTTTTTTTCGTTAATACGACTGAAACGCAATTGCTCCGCCCAAAACGCCGCCAAATGCTTTTGTCCCTCTTCAGAACTCCAATGCTTTGAGCCAGGGTTGGAGATAAGTCTCCAATTGTCCTTCTTGTCCGGTGTGAGGTACCATGTAATGTGACGCATCTCTTCCCTCCAAGTATTGTGCCAAAGCTCGGGTATCATAGATGTATGGTCGAACATTAGACGGACGCACAAGCTCAGGTGGTGGTGAAGAGAGTGTCTTCCTCTCTCAGGTACTCTCCAATATCGGCCTGCCTGAAGGTGGCAATTCCGGTAGGATCGAGACGCCGGGCCTCAGCAGTGGACCGAGCAGTGACACCGAAACCCTGAATCATCAATCAGCGCTGCGCCGTCTCTCTCATCCAGGAAGCACTTACCAGAGGGGTATCGTCCATGGAGTAGACGACGACACCTTGGTGCTCGGGGCAGTCCTCACTCCAGCGGCCGACATGAGCCTTCAGGACATTGCCGCCGTACAGGAAGGGCATTTCGCCGTTGGGCTTGATCCAGACCTTGTAGCGGGCGTGCGGCGCGATGGCATCGAGGGCGGTAATGTGCAGGCGGAACTTGCCGGTCTTGGTGAACTTGCCAATGCAGGTACCGAGCGAGAGCAGATTGGGGCGGGCGACGCTGGTGGCGAGGTTTGCGATGCTCTCGCGCACATAGTAGACGCGGCTGTGTTGGATGCGGAAGACATGGCGGTCGTTTTCCGGGCCGGTGGGCGGGGCGATCAGGTGGTTCAACGAGCGGCCGGTGTAGTTGGCCAGCTTCGTGAAGAGCGTCTGAGTCTCGGTGTCGGTGAGCGGCCGCATGATGGGCGAGTAACAGGCAGTGGTGTGGTGTTGACTGCGGGTTTGATGCGGAGGAGAGCGTCCATGAACTTTTTGTCGGGGCTTGGCGCCAGCAATTCGCCGACCCGCGTCCAAAAAATTCCTGGGCCCGCGCTCCAAGCATCCCGCAGCACCGCGAACATCTTTTCTCCCCGCTCCCCCGTCCGCAATGGCCCGCCTGCCTGCTGCTAAGAGACGGCGCTTGTCGCCTCCCGACGATGACGACTCCGCCAGCGACTCGCCCAACCGCTCTCTCGCCAAATCCAGCTTTGCCAACTCGAAGTGGGACCTCGAGCAGGATTACGAAAACCGCCCGCGCTCGTTGAACAAGAAGAAGGAGGCCAATCGCCTGCCTATAAAGACTCAGGATGGTCGCATAGAGCAGGTCCACGTCGCAGAGCCTGAGAAAGTCGAGGGAGACGACGACGACAGCTTTCTCGGAACCAGCAGCGACGAGGACAGCGAGGAAGATGAGGGCGAAGAGGACGAGGTTGTCGTTGAGGCTCCAAAGAAATCAGCTCGTCAGCAGATTATGGAAGCTAAAGAGGAGCTTGCGCGACTGGCCGAGCTGATCAACGAGGACCCTGAGGAGCATGTTGGCGTGCTGAAGCAGCTGGCCGAGCTCGCCAGCTCCGACAATGTCACCGTCAAGAAGCTAGCCCTCGCCACCCAGGCTGCCGTCTACAAGGATATCATCCCCGGATACAGGATACGCCCTCTGACTGATGATGCGCTGAAGGAGAAGCTCTCCAAAGAAGTCCGCCGTCTGCGCAACTTCGAGCAGGCTATCGTCCATGGATACCAGGACTACGTCCGTGATCTGGCTCAATGCGCCAAAGGCAGCAAGCCCGGTTCCTCGGACAGTATCGCCGGCCTGGCGACTGTTGCCATCAGCTGTGCTTGCAACCTTTTGACCTCTGTGCCTCATTTCAACTTCCGCGGAGACATCATAAAGATCCTCGTCGACAAGCTGAGCACCAGGTCCATCGACGGCGACTTCGTTAGGTGTAGGGAAACATTGGAGAAGGTCTTCGAGGATGATGAAGATGGCAATGTCTCCCTGGATGCCGTCACCATGATCACGAAAATGCTCAAGGGCCGCAACTACAACGTTCACGAGAGTGTTCTTAACACCTTCTTGCATCTGCGTCTCCTTTCCGAGTTCTCCTCCAAGGGTTCGTATGATAGGATTGACAAGCCGGAAGAAGACCAGCCAAAGGGCAAGAAACCCAAGGAGAAGCGCGAGTTCCGCACCAAGAAGCAACGCAAGATCATGAAGGAGCAAAAGGCCATCGAGAAGGAGATGAAGGAGGCCGATGCTGCAGTAAGCCACGAGGAGCGCGACAGAATGCAGGCCGAGACGCTCAAACTCGTCTTTGTCGCCTACTTCCGCATCCTCAAATCCCGGAGTCCGTCTCTGATGGGTGCCGTGCTTGAGGGTCTCGCCCGCTACGCACACCTCATTAACCAAGACTTCTTCGGCGACATCCTTGAAGCACTGAAGGACCTGATCAATGATGCTGAGAGCCTTCAAGATCAAGATGAGGAGGATGATGAGGATGATGAAAACTCCATCGGCGCCCGCAACGCCACGCGCGAATCGCTTCTCTGCGTCATAACAGCCTTCGCCCTCCTACAGGGCCAGGATGCCAGCAAAGCAGCCTCCACCCTACACCTGGACCTCAACTTCTTCATCACCCACCTTTACCGTACCTTGTACCCCGTCAGCCTCAACCCGGACATCGAGCTCGGCGCAAACTCACTCCACCTTCCCGACCCGAACAACCCACACGCCCATCAATCCGCCTCTTCTTCCGCTCCCACCAACAAAGTCAATGTCCAGACCACCACCGTCCTCCTCCTCCGCTCCCTCTCCTCCGTCCTCCTCCCAGCCACCGCCATCCGCGCCGTCCCGCCCATGCGCGTCGCCGCCTTCTCCAAGCAGCTCATGACCGCGTCTCTCCACCTCCCCGAGAAGTCCTGCCTCGCCATGGTGTCTCTGTTGTCCAAGGTCGCCAAGGTGCACGGCAGGAAGATCGCCCCGCTGTGGCACACGGAAGAGCGCAAGGGCGACGGCGTCTTCAACCCACTGGGCATGGAGATCGAGAGTAGTAACCCCTTCGCGACGACGGTGTGGGAGGGCGAGATTCTGAGGTGGCATTTCTGCCCGGATGTGAGAGAGGGGCTGGCGGCGATTGAGAAGGGGGTTGTGGAGGGGACGAAGTAGACGGAAGTTTGGAGTTTGGGTTCGGTGTGGATATGTGTGGATGTTGTGTATGCTAGATACCAAGAATTATTTTCTCGCCTGACATATATATATATGTGGCGTCTAAAAAAATCGATGCTACGTTTTGCGACGTTCTACTGGTTCTCGTGCTGGCGCTCTACAGTGACGATTAAATCTTGTTTGTCTGTTTACATACTCGTTTGGTTTAATGGGTTGCGTGGACGATCCGGGGGTATTGATGAAAGTTCATAGCAAATCAGCCTTTGTTCCTTAATCTAATACTGAAGACTTGAGGCTATTTTACCAAAGACAATCCCAACTACGCTGGCATGGTTCGTGTCGTCTACTTTTTTCATTTCGGTTTTATTTTAATGCTTTTGAAGGAAACCCGGATTTTTGTTTTCTCATCACGAGTTTCTATCTTTCGAATATGCATCGACATCAAAAATTCACGAGTCAAAATTCTTCCGATTCCAGTCTACTTCTTTCCCCATAGAATTCTGGGGCACATTTTGCTCAGTTGCTCTCTAATCTTTCGGGGAGTATACACTACAATAGGTAGTTAAGAAGGTAATTTTTTTTTTTTTAAAAAAAAGGCAACACGTCAGAGGAAGAGAACTTTACTTTGGTGATTTGAAGAACTATAAGATCTTTCCACACTATTTTTTCTATTCATCTATCTTTCATATCAATGCTACGTTGCAATTGACGTAAAGCGAGAAAAGGATTACATGGGCAAAGAGACATCCCACTTCGTTCGGACCAGCATGAAGTAGATCGAACAGTAGTTAAGCTTGCGACTTAACAGCGCCTTCACAATGCCTTCTAGCCTAGTCTTCCCCTTTGCACTCAGCCCTAACGACAAATCATGTAGTACCAACCTCGAGGCCCTGCACGCTCCCAAACGTCCCGCAGGTATGCTTTCTGCCTGAACCCACATCAATGGACGACTGAAAATGAAACAGGACTCGGAGTGCAAATTGCTTATCATCAATATCTCTATAAAGAACGTTAGAGGGTAAAAAAGAAGCAAAAATCAAGCGAAAATGCCAAATGGTGTGCAAAACAAGCGTTGCACCGACTAGGGGTCTCGGTTGTATCTGACGCTGTCGTAGCAAGTCTTCACGCAGCGCGCCCAAACCCGATCGGTCGCGAACCGCAGCAAGGCGACCAAAAAGCAGACAAATACTTGAATCAAAACTGCCGAATCCAGCAACCAGCAGCACCAATTCAGCATGGCGCCATCGGCCTTGCATACTACGTACCATGTACATCATTCACCTCGTCCGGGAGACTACAGAGAGGATAAAAAGAAGAAAAAGAAGTGATCCCTCTGCGCTTTCTCGCGAGTGTATTACCCTCACATGTCGTGCTGCTTGTTGCTTTCGCAAAAAAAGTGAGGCTGACGAGGCCGGGTCCCGGCGGACGCGTTTTCGATTCCCCCCCACCCTCTTCCAGCCAGTCTTCTGCTTCGCCCCCAAATCCCCCAATCTATTCTTTCCCTTCCTCTCTGCCTTGCGGCAGGGAGGCCCCCCCGGGCCGCGCTAGAGAATAACGGCCACGGAAACGAAGCCCCCGCGTAGCTGCAGAAATGGAAATAAGCTACATACGCCTCATCGTTCCTGCAGACCGAAAATAAAAATCCAAATATTCGAAAAGAGACTCGGGATCACACGGACTGTTGCGCTCGGGGAAGCGGGTGCCAAAAAAGCAGGACGAAAAAGACAAAGCAGGGTTTGAAGAGGCAGCAGCAGCAGGCACGGCCGTGCTCTGCTTTGCACTCTCGTCGAGGTGACACGCCAGCAGTGCTTCTCACACAGCCCCAAGCAGGCATCAGATCCGATCGCTGCAGGAATCTACTACGATACCGGGGGGACGATCGAACTTGTCAGTCTCTGATTGATTAATAGGGATCGGCTTCGGTCGATGTGTTGCCATTGATGAGAGTAGGGGTCAGATATTGACCTCAAGGGTGATTAAACACCAATGCCCCTCAAGGGCAAAACACTTCGCTGACTAGATAGATTCCCCTGCCCTAGACGCAAGTCGCAATCACACACGACGCTGTGTTCACTTTTGAAAACGGGCCTGCCCTCGATCGCCCCTTTGACGCCCCTCGAAGAAGTCAAGATGCCCGTAAGCCAAACCACCCCCAGCGGTGCCCATCTGGAAAGGCTGACCTGCAGGAGTTACGAACCAATTCTGCACGCTTCAACGCGCTGCATGCCCACCGTTTCGAGCACGGAGGAATCAAAAAAAGAAAATTCATAGGGCCAACCACACCGCTGTTGGCGCCCGCGGGAGGCGTCCACAACGGTCTCGGGGAGATCGGCTTCCTTCCGCCTCCTTCCGTGTCAATTCAAGCCTCAGGATGTGTGGCACGACAGTAGTATGCGGATCTCACAGTCATCGTGCCAGAAGGGAGGCGGGGGGCGGGATGCGGGAAGGAAGAAACATCTCGTTTCGAAGATGCTTGTCGAAGAAAAAGCAAAGAAAAGCTCGGGGCGCCTGAAGGAATGGATGGGGCTGCCTATCCGCGGTGAGCCCCTACAACTGTTGTACTGCTGCGCGCAACACACGCTGCTCTATTGTGAAACATGCAGTTACATGGTAGAGGTCGTCATGTGTTATGTAGCTGAGCCGTTGAGGCGAGGCGGTGATCTAATTGTCGTTGCTTTTTAATTTCTCCGAGACGAGGTAGCTGAACGTTGAGGTTTCCGCCCCCGCCGCGGTTCGCATGTGGTTGGCCGCAGCAAGGAGTTTAGGCGGCAACCCGTCATGAGCCACCCACGACCGTTGGCAGCAGCAACGCCATCACTCGCGAAAGAGGCTGGCAGACGGACGTCTCCTCATTCGACGCGAGATTGTGACGATAATGGGTCGGCTTGCTGCATCTGTGCGGACGAGAAGAAATGCTGAGCCCAGAACGCGCGGCACGGCTTCCCGCAGTGCTGACGTCGCTCTGAGCTGATCTCGTGACGCGACCAAGCAGCCTCTGTGAGACGGATGGTTGGAAGCGCCACCCCTTTGAAGGCTGATGCACCTGTGAGTCATTTCTTATCTCAGGCATTCTGAACCATGGTCGAGGATGAAAGAGAAGCTGCAGGAATCGCATTCTGTAGCAATGATGCTCATGTCTTGGGATGGCACAGACCTAATGCGAGCATCAGCTGAGGGCTGGCGGTTGCCATGCAGATCTGACGGTATTTATTTTCGTGCAGGCACGGGTAGATGCTTTTTTATTGGAATCCAGATGGGTCTGTCCGCTTCGCTGTCAAGGAAAACGCCACGATAATGGCCATCCACGGTTCAACCTTGCCGAGTCCATGTGCGGTGGCTTGCGGATCTGCCCTGCATTTGTTCCGACTGGTTGGCCTGCCAAAGAAGGTAATTTTGTCACACGCCGCCCTGACAGGAGAATCCACATGACGTCGTGGCACTGCCAAGCGGCCACAATATTCACAATGCGGGTACCCGTGTGAAGCATTGATCAGGGCACACCCTGAACCAGCATGCTGTACTCTAGCTTGCGTGTGAGCTTAGCGAAGAACTGCATGACGCATCTTCGAAGGGGCATTCTAGGTTTTCCGGATCCCGGGGTAGGACAGCTGGCTGTGAAATGTGCTACCCTCCAAATGCGTGCAGTATTCGTACAGTGTCGCGTGGCCGGACTGTTGTGCATGACGATTGATCGGCTTCGGGACTCTTGTCAATGCCGATGGCGAGCAGCGGCTGGCTGATGTCGGGCCCTGCACAGTAGAGATGATAGGACTGGCTATAGATATCTGTTGCTTCCTCTTAACGTGCAGATGAGCAACTGGCCTCTTTGCTGATGAATCTTGACCAAATTTTGAATAGAATAAGGCCGAGTGCGTGTCCTGGCATGGAGTCGAAAGAGAGTTGGCCCGGCTGTGACAAGTCTCCTCTGACAAAGCACGGTACTGCATACGGATATCAGGCCTCATGTTGTGTAACCTCATAGGTCGCACGCTGACGCTTGGCGTGCATGACGAATCTCTCGGCACTCCTGGATGTCAACCATGGTTCAGGACACCCAGAGCCCCGGATGAGACCGTTCTACATGCCAGGTCCTCGACGGGCATCGTACACCACAGGGGCCGGGCTCAAAATGGAAAAAAAGCTGCAGGAACAGGTGGAAAATCGTGGTTGAAGGAAATGGGTGGTCAAAGGCGGGTCACACAGAACAAGGGTGTTAAAGTGGTACTAGGGCTGGTGAGGGCTGCAAGGCCATGCGGTTCAGTAATCAGAAGTTGCTGAGGTTACACAAGGCGCGGTCCGGACACCTGCCTCTTCCAATTGAAAAGGGCAGTAGCCCTGTCTCTTGCGTCGTGAAGAAACGCACAGCGGGCACGTACCTGCATCCTTCAGCTTCTGTGGGTGTTGGTCAACAAGGGCGCGGCATCCCGGAAGGGCCATTCGAACGAAGTCGGCAGCATATCGGAAGCTGAAACAGATGACGGCTCCAACCAACGACCTAGCAGCGGAAGTCTTCCGGATCATGCGACAAGGGGTTGTTGACAAGTCTTTTGTGGAACGAGTCGTCATGAGATTTTAGGGTTGATGCAACCATCAACATCGGATCCGTCGGTTTGCAGATGGGAAGCCCGGCCTGTTAGACTGTCAGAAGGGTCGCCAAGGGTATGGAACAATGAGAAGAGAGGGTAGGACCCTGCTGCTGGAGGCATCGGAGCGGCTTTGGTATCAAGGAAGCTGGTATGGAGTGGAACAAGAGCGCTAGGGAACATCGGATGTAACGAAGAATGGGGCCCGCCGGTGAGGAAAACAGCAGGGCTGCAGAAAACGAATCGCAGGGAGTACACCGTCTGCTGACCTCGCAGTCGTATGCGGAATCAACAGTGTGCGGCACACAAATGAAAGATAGGGGTGCTGCAGAACCTTGGCGACTGGGGGATGAGCGAATCAGGAGGAGAGGCCAGGGTAGGGTTGATGACCAATACCGGCGAGCTGCAGCAAGCATGGTACACACGATCAAGGTGGAAGAGCTGAGGTACGAAGAAAGCATGGAATTGCAGCTGCAGAAGGTCAGCGGACAAGAGGTCGGTGAGCGTTTTCCGACACGATGACGGCCAAGTACCTGGAGTAGTAGTGGTACATGGGCAGCGCGGTGAGCTGGCTGCTGCAGATCTCGAAGGGTCGTCAGGGAGGTGAGCGGAAAGCGGCTAGGTGCGCCCCGTGCACATGCAGTTGGCTGTTCAGACAACGGCGTATTGGATCCATGCCTCTTGCATACGATGAAACAGGAGGAATCAATCCAAAGCACGCAGTCCATCCAGAAGGGCTTTGTGGGACCCCTCGAGCGATTGCTTGGAAGGCGAAGCGGGTGGGTGCTGGAGCTGGGCTGCGGCCTTTTCCTCTTTCTCGCGGCGAAGCGTTTCCTGGGCAGACTCGAAGCTGCCAATGTCGCGGACGTTTTCGAAGCCTAGCGACCTCAGAGTGTCGAGGGCAATGGCCGAGCGGCGCCCAGAGCGGCAGTACAAGGTTATGTCGTCCTGCTTGGAGACGCCAGGTCGGCGGGCAAGCTGGTCAATGTCTTGGTACTCGATGTTGATAGCGTCGTCCAGAAAGCCTGTGGCGAATTCGGCAGGCGTCCGGACATCGACAAGCAGTGAAGCAGGCATGTTGGCGGCTGGATTCAGCTGTGGCATGAGAGAGACGATGGGGTGTCGTTGAAGTTGAGTCTGGCTTCACGTCACGTTTCGGCGTAATGCCGGGCGGAGGCAACTCCGAAAGTCGCTCCTGCTCCGCGCTTTCCTCCATGACCTCATCCGCCTGAGCTTAGCTCCATCCCGCATACTATGGCTGGAAAGAACCTGGTTTCGAGACGGCTGTGGTGGATATCCGCCCCCGACTCAACACCATTCGGAAAAACTTCGGTGTAGCATCTCAAGAAGAGATGCAAGATGTTTTTCCGTTGTTTTCCGTTGTTTTACGCTCGGCTAATCTTTTACTCGATTTTATGCATTGCCAATGCCGCATCAACATCTCGGATAAAGACACGCAGCAGCTGAACTACCGCATCCGCTCCCGACTTCAATTCCACGATGCTTGGCCGGGTAATGTCTAGAGTTGTCACCCGGTTCTACCCGCGCTGGAGGCACGAACCACCTTGCTAGCCTCAAAACGCTCACCACATTACGCAATTGAAGAAGTCGGGCTTCAACAGAAAACAAGAAGCAACAAGCTAACACGTTGATATCAAGCACGAAGCCACTTTCGACACCCAGGATTATTGATAATAATTCATTTCGTATCCAGAAACAGCAATTGCTCCACACGAGCTGGGGATATCCGAGTAACAGGACTCCGTGTCCCCTCAAAAAACGCCGTCCCATGCCTCATGCCAGAAATTTCACACCGAAGATCAACGCCGATTGTATGCCTGCGAGGGCTTGTCCCCATCCCGCCCTTTTCCCCACCAGAAGAAAACTCCTCCACGAAATGCCATCAAATTGCTGTGCCCCTAACCGGGAAGGGGTATAAAGTTGCAAGAAGAGAACGGATTTTTTGTCGATGATGGTGATAGAACTCATTTCCTCGCGGCCTGTAAGAAGAAAAAGAAAGAACACTGATCGTAAGTCAAACGGTCGCAAAGAATATTAGAAATGAGCCAATCATCGACAAAAAGGAAGAGAGAGAGGGAGGTGTGCCATCCGGTTGCAATCCGTGGAGTTCGCGAGGTAGAATAGCGTATCCAGGTTTCGGAGGAGGAGGGAATTAGGTGTAAAAGGGGAGGAGGTATGGTATCACTGCACCTCATAGAGTTCCATGGCTCGCTGCACGTCCTCGAGCGATTCGCGGTCGCCGTAGGCAGACATCAAGGCGGCGTTCTGCTCGCGCTGGCGCAGGGCGCGCGCCTCGGTGGCGGACAGGCCGGTGGTGTGGGTTGGCGAGTAGCGCTTGTCGAGGTAGTTGGTTGCTGCTGCGCCTGCGATCACCGGGCCTTCACATCAGTAAGACGAATTGAAATGTTGAGACGTGGTCGGGGTGGAGGACGTACCGATGAATAGAAGTCCGGTCACGGGCAGGAAAAAGCGTCCCAGGCGGCTCGCAGGCGCAGGAGCAGTCATCTTGGGGAGAGGGGCGTGGTGCGGTTGATGGAAGGAGAGAGCGGGGTGGACGCGGGCGGAGGTGGTGAAGGGACGCGGAGCGTTGGGAGCCATAACAGCTAAGCTTCTCTTGGAGGAATCGAGCGGGTTTAATGCGTGGATATCCGGGAATGTGGCTGTGTGCCTTCTTTAAGGAGACGGAGTGTAGCTTGGACGACCTCGGTATCCTCGGCACAATGATTGGTTGGTGAGTATAGGTATCCGCTGACAGATGTCGCTTGGTTGTGTGTCGTGCTTGGATTAATTTGCAGGGCTGTAACAAAGTGCGGAGAAGGTCCAACTGATATACCGCCCTTGACTGGGCGATTTTCAGTGGAGTGAAATCATGGTCGGGCTACGGTCGTCTGATGCGCTGCGTGCCCTGCAGGCTGGCGCCACCTCCGCACGCGACACGCAGCCCCCCTCAGAACTCGGGCCCCTCACGGTTTCCTCGTCTTCCCGTGCAGACAACCTGACAGCGCGCATTGTGCTCCACCTGCACGAAGATAGCTCGGAATCTAGCAGCGACGAATGACGGCAGCGTCATTCTTGCACCCTGGATTGCTTGAAGTGGAGCGATGGCTGCCCCACCCCACTTGATCCAGCTTGGCCCCGTATCACCAGATCAGCACTCGATCGTGGGGTGACCGCCGGCGGCTTCCGCCAGCGGCAAATAATGCCTCCGCCCACCCTTGTCCAAGAGCGAACGATCTGATGCCTGAGGCCTCCTGATTTGCTGACCTTCCCTCGGACTGTCTTCATCCACGGTTCGAGAATGCCCATTCCCGCTCCTCTGGCCCGGCCGTGGGACTACGCACTTTAAGTCGCACTGTTGCACATGCGAGCTTGCGACGCAAAATCGTTTCATGAAGGCCCCATCGCACTCGGACATTTCTCGCTGCGGCTGCAAACAGAGACACGAGACTCCACGCGGTCTTCCGCGAAGGGGGGAGAGGATCCAGAGAAAGGGCCCGCATTTCTCTCGATGGTGGATCTGCCCGTCGCCGACCCGACGAGATTCTGAGAATCATCGAGAGATCCCACACCAGGATTGTTCTCCTTCGACCGCCTCTCCTTCTGTCATGTTTCAGCGCGCTCTTCTGCTCTTGGCCGGCGGAGGACCCTGCCTTGCGCATAGACTTCGTCCGGGCCGACCCGACGACCTTGTGCGCCTCCTGCCGTCAACGTTATTCCACCACTTGCACGCTTTGGGGTAGCAAGCCACCCGCACCAGCCTTGCTAGAAAAATAATAATGCACGTGTTCTTACCTGCGTGACTAAGACCGCCGTGTATCCCACGTTTACTCTATGCAACAGGAAAAAACCTCTATCAACCAATCCGTTGCCTTGAAGCCCATATTCCTACAAGAAAAAAAAAAACACCCAACCATACAAGCCGGCCCCCCCTTAACCAAGGCCGTGTGCTCTATCGCCATTCTCCTCGTCCTCGTCCTCATCAGCGCCCAGCAGCCCCCTCTCCTCCGCCGCAAACCCCTCCGCCCTCAGCGAGGCCCGCCCGACGATGTTTCCCGACTCCCTGATCTCGCCCTCGCCGTTCAGCACGAACCACACGTCCTTCTTCGTCAGGAGACCGCGAAGGCAGCCCTTCTCGACGAAGATGACGTAGCGCAGCCCCAGCTTGGAGAACATGCTCACCGTCAGCTGGAGGCTGGTTTGCGCATTGAGCGTGATCGGTGTCTGGTCCATCCACGGCCGAAGATCGAGGCTGGTTGTCGGATCAGAGAGGGGCTGGTGGGCGAAGAACGCCTCCGTGTCCACCGAGAGGTTGCGAGGCGACGATATCGCCACCGAAAGTGCATACGCGAGCTCTGTACGTGAAATATACCCGAGGAGTAATGCGTCGCGTGGGTTATCAATAATGGGGAAGCCGCGGAACGAGTGCTGTGACAGCAAGCTACGCAGGCTCTCGATCGTGTGTCCGGTCGCCGTAATCACGACAAGGTCCTCGATACGGGTCATAACCTGTGACGCCGGCACGTCGGGAACTGACGAGCCGTCGTCATCGCGGTTGTCCAAGAATGGGTATCCGTTGAAGTGAATCCAGGCTTCGTAGATGCCACGCGGTGAAATCGCGTCGCCGACCCATTTGCTGATCATGACAGCGATCATGATGGGCAGCACGTACGTGAGCGCTCCCGTCAGCTCAAACATGATGACCACGATCGAGACCGTCATGCGCGTCGCTCCGCCGATGGCAGAAGCGGCGCCAATAATCGCGTAAGTGCCTGGAGTAATGCACGGTACGTCAGGTTCACACGCAGTGAACGGAAATTTGTTCTTGTGCGACATGTGCATGACTCGGACAATGAGTCCCACGGCGCGTCCGTAGAGGGCCCCGATGGCCATTGAAGGAAGAAGAATACCAGCAGGGATCATAAGTCCGAAACTGACCGCTGCAAGGATAACTCCGAGAATAGCGGAGACAATCAGGAGAGAGATAACTTCGGTATTGGCTTTTCCTGCCTTGCAGAGGCCGAGCTGGTCATCCATGATGTCTCGGCACTCGGCAAAGAGCACGTAAAGCAGTTCTGTGGCCTGCGCGCGCATGAACTTGATGGGGAAGTTGATCAAGGCCGTGACGAGGCTGACGGCAACCACTTCACGAATTGGTCCGTTAAAGAAGGGGCTGTCGCGTCGTCTCTCGGCTATCTTAAGGTTCAACTTGATCAAGAAGCCGCCGTAAAGACCGCCAAGGATACCGATGATGGCGTAGGGGACCATCTCGAACCCATGCCATCCCGAATGGTAGGTGACTTGGTACATGACAAGCTTGTTCGTTCGGAACGGATCGAACCAGTGGAGAGCGACTGCGCCGGTCATGGCGCAGACGAAGCTCTGCCACATAGTTTTGTCTGGGAAGTAATAGGACAGAGTCTGAAACAGTGAGCGGGAAGGCTACGTGGAGGTTGAAGTTTGGGGTTGAACGTACCTCAAGACTGAAAAGCACACCTCCAACGGGAGCTCCGAAAGCCACTGAAATACCAGCAGCGGCAGCCGCAGAAAGTACCTCCCGTTTACGTGCTGTAAGATTGTTAGTAGATGGAGTTAATTGAAGGAGCATGGAGCTAACCTTCGTTGCCATTGAGATTTTTGAAGAATTTCATGAAAAGATTCGCGAAGCAGCAGGCGACATGGACCAAGGGACCTTCTTTGCCAACCCACAGCCCGGAAGCTACAGAGAGACACTGATTTATTATTAGCCAAATGCAATCGCATTGCAATGCAGGGACGTACTAGGCCGAGGGACTTGATGATCAAGGTCCAGCCGCCCATGAAGTAGCGTATGACAAAACCACCCAAAACGGTCTTAATCTCAGGGATGCCGCTATGTTTGGCGTAAATGGCGTGGTGTTTGACCAAGATAGTGGCACATGCTGCAAATAGGACCTGTCAATCGTCAGCAACATAGCGGCGCATCGCTGGCTTATGACGTACAGAGAAAATAATGAAGAAGAGGTATTCGACGATGTAGCTGCCGGACTTGGAGGTGGCGCCAAGAGCACTACTCCAGGGATGCCAGTCGGCGCACTGCGCCAGTTCTGCGAGGTGTCAGCGACGCAGACAGCAAGAGATGGATCTGCATACCTGCGTATCCCCAGCAGCAGAAGTTCCTATGCAAGTAGAACTTGCCGTCTCCACCCTCGTTCTTGCAATATCCCGTCTTCAGGTCGCCTAGCCAGTCACTCACAACATCGATGCAGGCGGAGACCAATCCGCTTGCCAGACCTGTCAGGATCAGCACGATCCAGATCTGACTCGCGTCCCCAATCTGCTTGAGCTGGCCCAGGACGCCTGATGCGCCGGCGTGCAGCAAGCGCAGGCGCTGGCGCTCCTTGGCGTATTCAAAGATCCAATCGATAGCTGTGAGGTCGTCGTAACCTACGCGGCGGCCGGGACCCTCGATGTACCAATCAACACCCGACGAATCCTTCGCATCGTGTGAGTCGTCGACCAGGTTACCGTCGGGGTTGTCGAGGACAGAATTGCTGCGTATGCGACGGTGCTCGGCGCGCGACGAGGAGGGGCGCTGGATGGGTGTGGACTGGCGCGAGGTGAACAGCTTGGGGAGTGCGGAGAGCGTGATGCCATTGGAGCTCAGGCTCTTGTTACGGCGCTTGAAGGACACCCTGCGGGGGTCAGCGGGTGACGCGCGAGGAGCCTGGGAGAGGGATCGCACTGCTCCTGCAAGCCGGGGCCCAGAGGGTCGTCGTCGAGCAGGTTCGTTTCGTCATCGCTAGCCTGGCGTTCGTGGGGCGTTGAGTGGCCGGAGGGCGTGCGGCTGCGACTCTGCGAAGCTTCGGCGTAGGGATGGCTATTGTCGCGGGAGCTGGCGGAGGCGGACATGGGGGAGGAGGGCTGCTGCTGGCGCAAAGGCAGCAGCGGGCATGCTCAAGAGCGGTTGTCGGAGAGTTGAGTGCGATGTCGCATTGGCCGCGGCGGATTGCGCCTGGGGCCTTGCGGGAGCTGGTGCTCAGCAGTGAGCTCAGCCCTGCGACGCCAAGCCCGCCCAGGCCCCAAAGCTCTTGTTCTTCTTCACAGCTGTCCACTCCAGGCCCAGCCAACCACGCGTCGTTTGCGCAGACAAGGGCTTGTGCTCTGTCCTTTCTCCCATCCAAATGCGTCGGCCGTCGCCGCCTTGCTGCGGATCGCGGCCCCTTTCATCTGGCGCAGGGACCCATCATCACCGCCGGTCTTGATGCAGCGTCACCGTTGACGCGTCGCAAACACCACCGCTTCATGGGAGAGCACGCATCACGGAGCAGATGCAGAAGTTCATCCTGCACAACGGCCCGGGAGCTTTGATATAAACGATTGCCGGCTACCCCAGACCGATCCCCAGCACGTCATCCACGCCTGGCCAGTGCGTCCACGAACAGACGCCTTGGCGACGACCAACCGGACCGCCGGCACACTGGCAGATCGTCACTAATTACTGTTGGCCGTCCTTCTTGCCGCCCTCGATCATTTCCACATGTTCCACGCTGGCCTCAGTCTCCTTGACTGCATCTACCACCTTATTGACTTTGCCCACCGTTGCGTCCTTGCCATCGAACAACATGGCCACCGCCTCCAGACTCGGGCCTTTCGTCTCGATGAAGAACACGTATACGACTGCAAACTCGACTGCAATCCACGCCACGTAGAACCAGTAGAACTTCCAGTCGAACGCTTCTAGTCCCAGCGGATTCACGTACGTGTTGAACGCTCCGGCTGCCCCCGTGAGCAACCAGAAGAGCGCGATACCTTTTGCTCGGAGTGTGTATGGTAGCACCTCGACCACATAAACCATCATGGCTCCCGTCCATCCGAGGTTATGTACGCCGCTGTACAGATAGATGAACGCGACGGATGCGTACGATGCTGATTTCGACCCTGACCAGCTCGGCCCTTTCTCGACGAAGACTGTTCTGTCAGGACCGCCATCGCTTGCAAAGCAGGACATTCTACTTACGTCCGGTGCAAATGGTTATCAGCGTGAAGACGAGCCACATGAGCGCCATGCTTAGCAGCAAAAGCGGCCGCCGTCCGACTCGTTCGGGTAGGAACGCGAACGCAACGCTGCACGCCAAGCTGAACATCTGACTCGTCGCCGTGATCAGTGTCTGCTGCAGCTCTGTTTTGATTCCTGCTGAGTTAAGCATCGAATGCAAGTAGTAGCTGACGAGCCCATTGCCAGACCACTGCTTGCAGATGCCGCACCAGATCATGATGAAGCTGCGCCATCGGTTGCCTGGCGTTCGCCAAAGCTCGCTCCACCGTGTCTGCTTCGCTGCAATCTCCATCTCGATCGTTGAGCAGATTTCATTGTATTCATACTGCACTACTGGATCCTCACGGTCACCATTCGCATGGTAATGCGCAAGGATATCCAGCGCTTTTTCGTGACGGCCTTTGCTGACGAGCCATCTCGGCGACTCGGGGAGAAAGAGAATTCCTACAGCCTGAAAGATAGACGGGAGTGCTTGGAAAACAGACGGAATGCGCCATGACCTTCGAACCGTTAATGGCGCTTTGAAAAGCTTGGATCTACTTACCATGTGCTGCTCATCCGGAAGCTGCCAAAAGTGATCCACGCGGCCACGATAGCACCGGTGCTATACTGCGTGTTTGACATGGCCGTCGCTGTAGCACGATGGCTCGGGTAGGCTAGCTCGGCCATAAGGACAGGTCCGATAGCCCCGACAATCACTCCTCCGATTCCAAGGAGGAGCCGACCAGCTATGAACATGCCCGCTGTCTCTTGTCAGAGTTGACTCAGTCTCGAACTAGAGAAGCTCACCGTTGATAGATCCGGTGGTGAGAGCGGTGCCAACAATGCAAATCGAGGACCCTAAAAACATTGCTGTTCGTCGACCAAATCCGTCGGAGAAGACGGTGATGAGGAAAACCCCAAGGATGTTACCAATCCAGTATGAAGCGCTCAGAATCCCGAGCAGACTGCCTTGAGGGTGGTGGAATTCTGACTGGTGGGTGAGAATAATTTTCAACTTTCGAACCTTCGGAACTGACCAGTTTGCCAGGTCTTCAGTTGCTGGACGTTGTTGATCAAACTTGCGTCATATCCCTGGACGTACTCAGACATCAACGGGACGAAGAGAAGAAGGTTGAGTTTCAGCAGTCCACGATCCTTCCACCAGTGGCCTGTCTTGTTATCCAGCGGCGTTGTGGCGGCCAGCGCCTGTCTGTCCGTCTGTGTAGTCTTGTGGGCGTGCATCTTCGATCAGGAAGAAATCATCACAATGCACTGAGAAGAAGTGTGGATGTTGGATGTCTGACTCGAATGTTCCAGCGCCAGGAAGCTTTATTTACACCAAGCCTTCAAGTGGCTGGCATGGCAAAAAGCCCTCCAATCCTACACTTTGTCGCTTCCTTCAGCTTCGCAGCTAAGACCAACTCAAGCATAAAACTACTGCGCCGCAGGCGCCACGTCCTGCACTAGGGATTACCCCGCAATCCGCGTACCATAACAAGCCGTGCTATGGGGTACCTACGTTGCAGCACATCGTGATTTCTCCGGCGTCGCTTAGCGTGGAGGCGGGGCATTATAGGATCAGCATGATGCGTCAGCGCATGCCTTGTTGGACCCTATATCCGCCATTAGTCTCGCTGCATTTTCAGCCGACCGCTCTTATTGATTTATCCGTATGCGTCCTCGCTTAGAAAACGCCCCAACTGTCAAGCAAACCGGGAATTCGCAAGTGCGGGGTGAAATGTGATCTCACCCAGACCTCAACCAAGCTTCGACGATTGCTTGTCTACTGTGGCGCTGCACTGTGTTACACATTTGCTCGGATTTCCAGTTAACCGCAACCATGACTTCAAATGGTCATACCCTGAGTTCGACATCGACTATCAGCGTGCTCGGAGATGATCCACCGCGCACACATCGTATCAACGCCAATTCATTCCAGCAGAGTGCGCTGCTTACAGTGAATGGCTGGCAGTACGCGGCTTTCTACCAGAGCAAAGATGGTGACAATGGAAGCTCCATCTGCCACCCGACACTTGCACGACGAGCCCTTTGCGATCCGCCAGGAGGAGAGGATGGAACGTGGGAGTACCTGGTCTTTGATGACTACGAGCAGACAAGCGATGATGGGCACAACACCATTTCAATTGGCATCTGCGCCGGAGATGGCACCATCCATGTTTCCTACGATCATCACTGCGAACCGTACGTCTTTATTGAATAATGTGCATGGCGCAGCTTCGACTAAGAACAACAACAGACTGAGATACCGTTTCTCGACTAAAGGCCTCGCCACTAGTCCACAGGACTACGTGTGGGAAAAGAGCCTCTTCACCAAGACGGCCGACACACTGCCGGGTCTGCCTCATTCCAATATCATGGACGAAGTGTCGTACCCGCGCTTCGTCACCGTCAACGGCGACATGCTCCTTACATATCGGATCGGCCAGTTCGTTCTCCCTTCCCCGAATCCGTGTCCCGCGCCCCTAAATATATTGTCCCGCTAACATGCCATCTTTCCCCAACAACCGCAGGGCCGGCTCCGGCTCTGACGTGCTGTACGTCTACTCCTCGGCCACGCACGCCTACACCGCGCTCGGCACGCTCCTCACCGGCGCCGGCAACTCGCCGTACATCAACGGGCTCGACCACGACGCCCGACGCAACCTGCTGCACGTGTCGTGGACGTACCGGCGCTTCGTCGCGTACGAGGGGGTCGACGACCCGGCGTCGACGGCGCACAAGGCGCAGGCGGGGCCGAACGGGCCGGAGAACAACTACGACCTGTGCTACGCGTGGAGTGCGGACGGCGGCAGGGTGTGGAGGGGAGAAGGGGGCGGGAAGGCCGGCGAGAGGGCGATCGCGCTGGCGGATTTGGGCGCCGGGGAGACGGTGAGGCCGGGGTGTGAGGGGATTAGGGCGTTTGAGATTCCGATGGGGAGTGGGATTCTGAATCAGGAGGGGCAGTGTGTGGCGCTGGATGGGGGGTTTTATGTGTTGAATCGGGAGAGGTGGGAGGGGGTGGAGAGGTGGATGGTGTATTGGAGGGAGGCGGAGGGTGAGTTGGTTCTCTGTTTTTCCTCCCTTGTCTTCGTTGCCTCCCTTATCTTTTTGGTTTTCTTTCGGTGTGGAGAGGAGGGCCTTGCAAGAAAATGAGTTACTGATCTCGAGAATGTTCAGGCAGCTGGAAGCGCAACGCAATCGACGGATTCCTCCCCACCGAGACGGGATCGAGAGGCAGCATCTGTGCGGACAGGTATAGCAACGTTTATGCTATCTTGCCTGGCAATAACGACTCGTCTCTCTCCATTGTGAGAGCGTCCAAGGCGGAGGAAGATTTACGGTTTGAGACGGTATGGAGACAGGATGGGTTCGATGGCGAGCCGCTAGTGGATCAAGCGAAAATGGATGAGCGTGGCATCATTTCCATTTTCACAAGAACGGATAAAGGTGCCGATGGAAAACGTAAGGTAGTGGTCATCGACGTTGATTTGGGGGATAGGTAGGACATGGTGTAGTAGTGACGTAAGGATGCGCTACGGCCGGCGATTGCGACCGCAGGCGTTGAACCTCCGTTGATAACTCCGCAGGGAGCATCGGCAATTGTCTTCTCAATTCCTTCTTTCCTACTTGCGCAAGAATGCAGGCCTCAAACTTGACAAAGCTGTCTGTTCCTAAATTGACTGTTTCGTCTCATGCGGTTGGCCAACGTGGGATCTTGTTACCTGTAGCTCGGCTGCTGTCGACGCGGTCGAGACCAAGCTGCAGCCAGCCCCGCGGATGGAGCAGCGTCACTGCACAGCGCAGCTGCTCCAATGCCTTGTGCTTGCTGGATTTGCGGCGTATGCAACTCGGTCGCACCTTCTCCACGACCCCAACCTCTGTAAGTGACATCATCATTACCCGCGGAAACTGTATATTGTGCCCCTCCCCTTCCATTTTTGTTAAAAGCTCGGCTCTTACCCTTCACTTAAGCTTTCAATCGCAATCAAAACGAGTCTTGCAGTTCTGTCCTTCAACCAAGCGCAGACATCACTGACGATATCCACCCAAGATGGCTCCCACCAACAACAACCAGGACTTCCAGCTGAGTGAAGTGTTCAATGTCAAGAATGAGGTTGCCCTCGTCACAGGCGGTGGCTCGGGAATCGGCTTGATGGTATGCATCCGTCATCCCCAATCAGTGGTGTGAGGCTTCGCTAAGCACATATGCAGGCCACCCAGGCTCTCGCCGTGAACGGGGCCAAGGTCTACATCGTCGGCCGCACCAAGGAGAAGCTCGACAAGGTCGTCGAGGTGTATGGCCAAGACATTCCCGGCGAGATAATCCCGCTCGTAGGCGACGTGACGGACAAGGAAGGCGTGGAGAAGCTCGTTAAGGAGATCGAGTCGCGCGAGAAGTGCCTCTGCATCCTGATCAACAATGCCGGTATCGCTTCCCCAAAGACGACAGTAGACGGGGAGAATGCGGAAGAGCTGAAGAAGAACCTGTTCGAGCCTACTACGTAAGTTTTTTTTTTTTTTGCTTTTCTTCAAAGAAAAAAAGGCAGTGCTGACATGAGAATTTAGCGTCAAAGAATGGACGGACATCTACGCCACCAACGTCGTCGGTCCCTACCTCATGGCGACGGCCTTCTTGCCGCTGCTGCAACGGGCGACGGAGCACCAGCACGGCTTCTCGGGCACCATCATCAACATCACATCCATCAGCGGCATGGTCAAGATCTCGCAGGGCCACTTCTCGTACAACGCCAGCAAGGGAGCCTTCATCCACCTCAACAAGATGCTCGCCTCGGAAATCGCCAAGGCCGGCTTGAAGATCCGCATCAACAGCATCGCGCCCGGCGTCTTCCCGAGCGAGATGACGACGCAGGAGAGCGGCGATGACCAGAAGAGCTGGATGCCCAAGGATGCGAAGGGCGGCTTGCCCGCGCAGCGGCCCGGCAACGATAGGGATATGGCCAGCGCCATCCTGTTCGCTGCGACCAACCAGTACCTCAACGGCCAGAACTTTGCGGTCGATGGTGGCTACGTCACGCAGGTCGGACAGTAGGCGGTGACTGGGAGCGCTTGTCAGCTCAGCCGTACGAAGAAGATATATGATTAATGACCAACAAGGAATAAGCATAAGCGGAGTGTTTCAATTAAACAGTTTAATGGTTCGTGAACAGAGACAGGTCGTTCAATGTTGACCGGGCTGATTCCATGCTGCCATCTGCTGCTGACTAACCCGGAGACAGATAGACTCTGGATCTATCGTCTTGGGATGATCATGCAGATCAGGCATAGATGCTCTTTTCCCAAAATAAGACTACTAAACAGCAAGTGACTCAGATGTGGTCTATCGCTCGCGTGGCGTCTCACACGACCAGATACGCAGGACGATAAGGTTGAGGGCACAGATTCCAGCGCCACGGATCCGGCTTACATCCGGCACACTGGTCGAGGTGCCGTTCAGCGAGGTCGTCTTCAGAGAGGCAGTTGCCGGAGGGTGTTGTCCATGTGCAATGGACCGGCGAAGCCGGCGATGGTTAACCGGCGTTTGCCGGGGCAGGGAGAACAGAGAACAGCGGGACCCTGATACGCTCCCCGGCCCACGCCTTCTCCGCAAATGCACAGTGTCCAGCTTATCAGAAGCTCCGCTTTTCGTTGATCGCCCCCGCAAGGGCCGCTCGAGGAAACGAGCAGGCGAGGAGGGGGCGGCGAGCGATAGCAATTTGGCATACTTTTTTTCTCTGCGGCGCGGGCCAGGCGGAGCCCTACCAGACGGGACGACGCCTCCGACAGGCCGCCGTTTTGCTTCGCCAAAAGCCCCCGGACCGGCAAACCTAGGTCCCTCTCGCAAGTCATAACGATTACGGCTCGCTCCCGCGTTAGACCGCGCCGCAGCTGCCCGACCTCGTTTCTTTCTTCTTCAACCCCAGCTGCTGTTTTCTGCTCAGCAGCTCGGAAGGCTCGCACACTCATCTTCCCCTCTCTCATTGTCGTCGCACATCCCACGGATCTCCTCCTCCCCCGACTTGTGTCGTACGACAAAAAGTCCCGCCACCGGCTCGTGACTATTCGCCATGGCCGAGTTATCCAAGGAAACGGCCGAGTCCAAGGCTCCGGCTGCGGCCAAGACGGTGTCGGTGGATGCACATGATGCCGACCGATTGCGTCTGGAGCAGATGTGAGTTGGTTGGGAAGGAAGGTGTTTTTAAGATGCGGCTGTTTTGCTGACATGTGCGGCGGCAGGGGCCACGAGCAGGAGCTGAAGCGGCACTTTACTGTTTGGAGCTTGATCGGCTTGGCTTCAACCACGACCATTTCTTGGACTGGCTTGGGTCTTGGGTGAGTATCCCCCCTCGGGGAAATGCGATGGATTGCTGATGCATGCTTGAAGTCTGATCGCAGAGATCAATGCAGGCGGCCCCGGTGCCGTCATCTACGGCTTCATCCTGGTGTGGATGCTGCAATGCTTCCTCGGCGCCTCATTGGCCGAGTTCGTCTCGGCGTATCCCACCGAGGGTGGAATGGTGGGTTTAAATGCTGATGTGCATTGGATGAGTGCTGATGCAGAAAACAGTACCACTGGGTTGCGGCCATCGCGCCGCGCAAGCACAGTGGCTTTCTCTCCTTCATCACGGGCTGGTGGAGCTGCTGCGGCTGGATCTTTACCACTGCCTCGACCAACCTGGTCTACGCCCAGAACTTCATGGCACTCATCGCACTGTACCGTAGCGACCTTGTCATCGAGACGTGGATGACGTTTGTCGTCTACCAGGTCACCAACCTGGCCACGGCCAGCATCGTGCTTTTCGGAAACAAGATCATTCCCGCACTGAACAAGTTCTCGCGTAAGCACCTCGTTGTTCGGTCCTGTTCAAAACACTGACGGCAAGCCAGTCTTCTACCTGCAGGTGGCCTGGTTCGTCCTGATGGTCACGGTCGCCGCCTGCGCACCGCGTCACAACGACGCCACCTTTGTCTTCCGTACGTGGGTTAACAACACGGGCTGGCAGAACAACGTCATCTGCTTCATCACCGGCCTCGTCAACCCGCTGTACTCGCTCGGCGGCCTCGACGGCATCACGCACATCACCGAGGAAATGCCCAACCCGTCTCGCAACGCCCCGCTCGCGCTGCTCATCACGCTGACCATCGCCTTCGTCACCGGCCTGACGTACCTCATCACCCTCATGTTCTCGGTGCAAGACTACGCCGCCCTCGCCGACACGTCGACGGGGCTGCCGCTCGCCGAGCTCTTCCGGCAGGCGACCAACTCGACGGGCGGCGCCTTCGCCCTCATCTTCCTGCTCTGGATCGCGCTGGGGCCGTGCATGGTCGGCTCGCAGCTCAGCACCAGCCGCGTGGTGTGGGCATTCGCGCGCGACCGCGGCCTGCCGCTGTCGTCGCAGCTGGCCAAGGTGTCGGGGCGGTTCCGCGTGCCGTTCAACGCGCAGCTGTTCGTCACGGCCGTCTGCGCGGCGCTGGGCTGCCTGTACCTCGGCTCGTCGACGGCCTTCAACGCCATGCTCGGCTCCGCCGTCACCATCAACAACATCGCCTACCTCATCCCCATCCTGACCAACCTGCTGCAGCGCCGCTCCGTCCTCGTCCGCGGCAAGTTCCACATGGGCACCTGGAAGGGCATGGTGGTCAACGCTGTGACCGTCTGCTGGCTCGTCTTTGCGATTGTCTTCTTCTCGTTCCCGTACTACCAGCCCGTGACGGCTGAGAACATGAATTACACGTGCGTTTGTGTGGGCGGCATCGGCATCATTGCGCTGACGTGGTGGTTTGTGGCGGGTAAGCGGTTCACGGAGAAGATGGCGAAGGCGAAGGAGGATGAGGTTTCGAGGGAGGCGGCTGAGGCGGTGTTGAGGGGTGGGGTTGTCCCTGTGAAGGGGGCTGAGTAGGGGAGTTATTAGAAGAGTTGGTTGATGATTGAAGCTATGAGCACTGGGTTGCTTTCGTATTTTTTCCACGCCTGGGACGATGGATGATGATGTTGGGAATGTTGGATGAGATACCCTTTCCAGTAATGTGTTGTAATGTTGATGAGTCTTGAATGATTGCTGTGCACTTGTTGATTCGGCGCCGAATCTGGTAGTACGCCTTAAAGCAACATAAAGTAAGATTCATGGATCTGCGAAACTTCTGCATGTCAAAGTTCGGCACTGGGTATGCATCCCCGGACGTCGCTCTCCCGCTACCCGGCGTGCGCGAGTCAATTGTCCAGCCGAAGCACAGCCGATATCGCTCGCTCGCCTTCCATTTGCCGACGGCGGCGGCGCCGTTTTAGTCCCATCTCAGCCTCCTTGCCGTCACTGACTCTTATCAACCGGCCAGCTCAGAACGCCACACGCACGGGTCTCTCGGTCATTCGTACTTTCTTCTACCGCGTCGTCAGTGGCGGTGAACAGCAGCAACACGCTCGGCTCACCCCATGTCGGATGAAGACCGACATCACCGAGATGGCCGAGGGTTCTGATAGGCTCCCCCGCATTCTGCCAATGCCGGAGCTGCCCTGCTTGCGTCCTTGGCAGGCACCGCGCGGCTCTATCGCCTCGCTTATTTTGTTATGCCAGGGTGTTGGGTGATTGAGAGGTGACGAGGGGGGCACAGCTTGGCCCCGGAGATTTTCTCACGATTCATTATATAAAAGCTGGGTGACGGCTTCGATTGTCCGTCAGGGTTTTGGCAGCTTTGTCTCTCTTTTCTCCCCCCTCCTTCCGCACCCTCTCCCACAGAAAAGATGGTGGCTTCGTCGGTTTCTGGTCGGAGCTTGCTCCCGCTCGTGCTGCTCGCCGCGCAGCCGTGCGTCGCGTCGTTCGTCTCGACGCTTCCCGCCGGTGCCCAGGACATGTTCAACCAGTCCATGTCCTACCTGGACACTCTGTACGATCCCGAGGCGCATTATCTGTACGATGTGTCCCAGGGCACGCAGACGTCGCTGAACCACGAGGTGAGAGCCTCGGCGTGGTACGCGATCGGCCTGCTTGCGCGGAACAACGGCAGCGATGTCGACGAGGCCATGCAGATCATTCGGAATGTAATTGGCGGTCAGTTCAAGGATCCCAAAGACCAATGGTGAGATTTTCTTTTTCCACTGCTCCTGGATTTTCAGGAGTGGTTTCAGTGTATTCTGACGATGCATTAGGTACGGCACGTATCAAAAGGAGCCCGAAGAGCCCACGGTGGGCAGCGCCGCCTACCCGGCCGACATGTACGACAGCTGGGACCCCAATTGGCGCGGATTCATCGGCACGGCCTTCATCCAGGGCCTGGAGGACTTTGGGGACCTGATCGAGCCCGAGGTGGAGCAGCTGATGCTCGAGTCGCTGCACAACAACACGGTCGGCGACAGCTACCGCGTGGGCGGCGTCGACGGCGACAACCTGTACCCGGCCTACAGCAACCCGTCCATCATGCGCGCCTTCGTCAGCGGCTGGACCGGCCGCCGCCTCGGCGAGGCCAACATGACCCAGGCCGGCGAGGACTACGCGCAGGAGATCATCGACCTGTTCAACCGCGCCAACACGCTGTCCGAGTTCAACAGCGGCACCTACGCTGGCGTGTCCATGTACGCGCTGTCGCTGTGGGCGCGCTACATGCCGGCCAATGAGTCGGTCATGGGCCGCGAGGGCCCGCGCATGCTCAAAGACACGTGGAACTCGGTCACGAACCTCTACCACGCGGGGCTGAAGAACAGCGCCGGGCCCTGGGACCGCACCTACGGCTACGACATGACGCGCTACCTGTCCATCCTCGCCCTGCACATCTGGAACCTGGTCGGCCGCGAGGCCAGCCCGCTGATGGACAAGCCCTACGCCATGGGCCACAGCGGCGACTACGCCTACGCCCCGCTCATCGCCATCATGGCACCTTTCCACAACGAGGTCGTGCCCGAGGAGGCTGTTTCCCGCCTGACCGTCTTCCCCGGCGAGCACACCGTCGAGACGAGCGCCTTCTCGCCCCCCTACGACGAGTACCCGCGCAACATTTCGGCCTGGCTCTCCGACAAGCTCACCATCGGCGGCTCCACCTTCAACGAGACGGAGCTCGGCGGCCCCGCGCTCAACCCCAACACCTGGAGCCCGGCCGTCGTGCAGTGGGATGCGAGCGCCGATAATTCGTCCAAGCTCGAGGTCGGCTGGCTGAAGTGGTACTCGACAGAGGTCAGCCTGATCGCCGACGTCGCCCCCGGCGTGCTGAACCTGACGTACCCGTACGGCGACGCCGGCTCCATCTTCAGCTTCATGGTCTCGCCGTCCAAGGGCGTGCCCGACGTCGCGGGCTGGGAGGACGTCAAGGGCGTGAGCGTCAACGTCACGGGCAATGCGAACTTGACGTATGAGATCGCGTTCCACGGCGCGTATGGAGGTAGTGGGGAGACGGTGAAGTGAGTGATTCCTATCCCGTTGGTCATTCTTTTGAAGTGATTTGCTGACTTAATTTCCCCACAGTGATTTCGAGTTCTGGAACTTTACGTACTACATGCCCGACGGCTTTGAGGGCACGCCGAATCTCGTGTTGGAATTCGATGTGTAGTAAGCGGATAGTATGGTGCGGGGAAAGCGGATCTACCCCGTATTTCGTGTAAATTTTATGACGATGTGGCACGTAATGATGAATGTAATTATGCCAAAATAGGAAATTAATTGTTTATAGGAGACTTGGAGCGTGACGAAACGTGAACGAGAAGTATTCAAGGCAGTTTCGGGTACGTACTTCTGCTCGAAGAGATAGCCGAAGGCCTTGCTACCACCAGATAGCTCGCAGGAGTTTGGCACAGGGAGAAGTAAATGAAACTCACAGAACTTCGAAGACGATGTGTGTCACCATTGATTGTGTTGCCGCCTTTTTTCGTCCGATGGATTCAAACACCGCACTCAGCACGCAATTGCACGTTATGCTGAGCCTCGCAAACAAGACTGGTCTTGTTTCATTTCACATAATCATTCAAGAGAAGTTTCCAGCTGTCTGTCGGAGAGCTCTAAGCTATACTTTGAATATAGAGTTTTACGGCCGTTCTCTAAGCCGAGGGACAACAAGCTTAAAAAACCGGCCAGCTGACGAATGGCAGCCGAGATACGCCCGCGGATATCTTTCCTCGATTTGCAACATATCCGGCACTTGCTTAGCAATTCGGCTAGTCGGCCCCGGCTCTTGCGCCATCGTGGCGCCCCCCTTTTGGTAAAAGCATACGTTTAAGGCACACAAATCGCCGTACCTCGGCACTTTCCCCAGGGTCTTCTTGGCCCGCTTTTTTTTTTGCCAGCGTTTCTCTTGCCGTGATTACGAATAGTTAGCCTGATCTCGGACGAAACGCCGCATCAGTTTTACGTGCGAGAATACAACGCCAGCGGAGCTAACGCGGGGGGAAGACTTCAAAAAGGCGCCGCGTAGCACTTTTGTAGCACTTTTCTGCAGCCTTCATTCCACTCATACCCTCACCAGCACGATACCCGGTGTTTGCTTCTATCGTCTCGTTCTTGTATTCTTTTCCGCGCAGTCCAACATCAAGAAATAAAAAAAGAGAAGGAAAAAAGACCATATCCAACCCCCCGGAAACACCACCCACCATGATCGCCGCCGAAAACACCAAGCTCTTCACCCCCGTCCGCATCGGGCCCTCGCAGCTCGAGCACCGCGTCGCCATGGCGCCGCTCACCCGCTTCCGCGCCACCGCCGACCACGTCCCCACCGAGCTGGCCGTCACCTACTACGCGCAGCGCGCGGCCGTCCCCGGCACGCTGCTGCTCAGCGAGGCGACGTACCCCTCCTACCGCGCCGCGGGCTACGCCAACGTCCCCGGCCTGTGGAACGACGAGCAGCTGAAGGCGTGGAAGAAGGTCACTGATGCCGTGCACGCCAAGGGCAGCAAGATCTGGTGCCAGATGTGGGCGCTGGGCCGCGTCGCCAAGCCTATTGGTTCTACTAAGGCGGCGAACTTCGACGAGGCGTACCCGTACGAGAAGTACCTGGTGGCCCCCAGCGCGGTGCCGGCAGGCGAGGGGTACGATACGCCGAGGGAGTTGAGCGAGGAGGAGATTTGGGGGTTCGTCGGGGATTTCGCGACGGCGGCGAGGAATGCGGTCGAGGTTGCCGGGTTCGATGGCGTTGAGATTCACGGAGCGCATGGGTAAGACTTCCCCTCCCCTCTTTGGATTTGTTTCGGTGGTTGTTGTTGTGTCTTCTTCAAGGGGGGCCATGGGATATGCGCGCACAATGCTGACCCGACGAACCCACCACCACAGCTACCTCGTCGACCAATTCACCCAAGACACCTGCAACAAGCGCACCGACGCCTGGGGCGGCAGCATCGAGAAGCGGTCGCGCTTCGCGCTCGAGGTGTGCAAGGCCGTCAGCGCCGCCATCGGCCCGGAGCGCCTGGGCATCCGCCTCTCCCCGTGGAACACGGTGCAGGGCATGCGCATGGCCGACCCCGTCCCGCAGTTCACGCACCTCATCCAGGGCCTGACGGCGCTCAAGCTCGCCTACCTGCACCTCGTCGAGCCGCGCGTGCACGGCGTCCTCGACATGAAGCCCGCCGACGGCGAGACGCTCGAGTTCGCCCTCCGCGCCTGGGGCAAGGAGCGTCCCGTGCTGATCGCCGGCGGTTACACGCCCGAGCTGGCGGTCGAGGCCGTCGAGAAGACGTACAAGGACTACGATGCGGTTATCGTGTTTGGCCGCAGGTTCATCAGCACGCCGGACCTCGTGTACCGCGTCAAGAAGGGCATCGAGTGGGCGCCGTACGACCGCAAGAGCTTCTACATCGACCACCGCAAGGTGAAGGATATCGCGACGGGCTACATTGACTACCCTTACTCCAAGGAGTTCATCGCCGAGTATGGAAGCCAAGATGATACCACTGCCCCGACGGCGAGGCTGTAGGTGTTGTGATGATGTCTGCTGGCGATAGAGAGAGACGATAGATGCATTTTGTAACGGAGTTTTCGGGGTTTGCAACTTTAGAAATTTTTTCCAGAGATGAGATCTTCCTAGAGTTAAATGTTAAGATTTACGAATACGCTCTCACACTTCTCATCACCCACTGCGTCGGCATGGGGCTGAGCTTCTTGGACAAGTTTTCGGTGTGAACGATGTGCAAAACTAAAACCCGGGCGAGTCTCCACCAAAAAGATGGGCAAAAAGAAAGCAATCTTCGGGATTATGCGACATGGACAAGATTCGAACTTGCGCGGCCGAAGCCATGAGATATCTGGTCTCTCTTCGTAGAAGAGGATTCGAGTCTCACCTATTAACCACTCTAGCACCATGCCAGATATGCTATTGATGACTAAGCTCGAGCGGCTGTTGATCTTATATCCTGAAAATGTGAACTGAATCGCGCCTGAAGCAACGTTCCTACAGCTCATCAAAATGTTATGGAGTTTGGGGCTCTGACTGTGAGTCGAACCAGCCAATCGGCCCGTTAGTCTGATTAGCTGTTCTCAAATAACTCGTGAGGACCGGGTATCATAAGCTTGTACCAAAGAGCTGGAAACTAGAAGCGGTAAATACTGAGCGCACATCTTGCGAGTTCCCAGGGGTGAACTTCCTGATACGATATGTCGACGCTGAACGGATGAGAGAGGCTATGAAGGTCTGAGATTATTTATTCAGAGCACTTCGCTACGTACATAGAGAACAAAAAAATGTTCATAGAAAGCGCTGAGCCGCAATCTCGTCTTTGAATAGTCTGGTTGGTCTTGAAGTTGATATATTCGTCGGGCAAGAACGAGGTGCCGGAGTTCGGTGGTTCTCTCATCACCGATAACATAGCTAACAGTATAGCTACAGCAGTAAGATTGATTATTCGACTGTTAAATCTCACAGGAATTTCAGTGCAGTATCCTTTGCTATAAAGTCTGATTTAAAGCGCACCCGCCTCAGTCTGTAAAAGTTGCCAAGATACTTAGCGCAACTAAAGGCGCTTGCGCTTGCACTTGCACTTTCTTATTTCGTGATCGGCGTTAGTTCTCCACTATCTGCTCTGTACCAAACCATAACTGCTTACAAATCAAATGTTGGCATAAGTGGACAGACGAGAGCGGGGAAGCCCTAAAGAACAATTGAAAATGCAATCGAGCAAGTGCAAGCGCCATTTCATAGCTGTTATAGCTGTCATGGTGACGCATGTGGCCCCAGGACAATGGTATAAGGGCAGCCAAGGTCTCGAAGTAGCATACCTTACACGACAAAATTCACAGTACAGGATCATACCTCAACTATGTCTTCAACCCAGATTGTTCGCGAGACTGCGAACGGTCCCCAACTGGCCTTGGAGAAGCTACCTCTTCCGGAGCCTCAGGCAGGACAAGCCCTCGTGAAAATTGAGTTCACAGCGCAGAATCCGACGGACGGTAAGATAGGTACTTTTCATATTTGATTGATATCGTCCGGTTGACTCCTATTGCAGTACAGTCGTTTGACTCCAACGCTTTCGGAGACGGGGCAGTCCTCGGCTGTGATTTCGTTGGTACGGTTGAGCGGACTGGAAGCAACGTTTCCAGGCTTCAGAAAAACGACACCGTCGCTGGCCTGATTTGGGGAGGTAATCAGTCCTTTTTGTCCATGCAGACTCAAAATATTCACGTCCATACCAGGGGAGGTAAAAGGCCTTGGAGCATATTCTCAGCATACCATCGCCGACGAGAAGATCGCTTTTAAAGTACCACCCTCAGTGCCCAAGGACCAAGCTGCCACTGTCCCATTGGCAGCAGCTACCGCTTGGTTGGCCCTGTTTTCGAAGAATTGCCTGTGCATACCGCGAAATGGGGAGCCTCGGCACAAGGTTCTCGTCTGGGGAGGAAGCTGTAAGCGCCCGGACTGCTGTATCTTGCCACAATCATTGCTGATTCTCTTTTCTCGGATGCAAAGCAAGCGTTGGACAATATGCAATCCAGCTTGCCAAATTGTCTGGTATTGAGGTGATCACGGTGTGCAGTCCCAAGCACTTTGACTTCGTCAAGCGGCTTGGGGCCACCCACGTCATGGATTACCGAGCGGAAGATGTTGTGGAACAAATCAAACGTGCCGTGCCAGACCTGATCTACATCTTTGATACGATTGGGTCCAAAGACTCTTCGCGCATGGCTTCTCATGCTGTCGGTGGTGCTGGAGGCACGCTCTGCACAGTGAGACCTGGGAAGGCGAATACAGAAGAAGTTGCAGATGGAGTTACGGTGACAGATGTGCTGGTTTGGACGGCATTCCTTAAAGAACATAGCTACGGCAAGTTCTACTGGCCGGTAAGTAGGATCTCCATCTTGGGTGGGGAACAAGGATATACTTATCAAGTTTTAGCCGTCCGAGCCGGATCACGCTCTCGCCGCCGAGCTGTTTGAGAAATTACCTACATGGTTGGAATCGAAGAGCTTCGTCCCTAACAACGCACATGTGTTGGAAGGTCTGGAATCTGTGCCACAAGGCTTTGAGATGCACCGCAAGGGTGAGATATCTGGGTTCAAGATCGTTTACAAAATTTGATGGAGACGCGGATTGGCATATCTCGCAGCGGGCAGTACTGCTATAACCGCATGCCCGAGTCATGGTGTACAACCACGTAAATTCGAGCGAATCACGACGAATACAAGTAAAACAATGATTGCGAGATTACTCCACTGCTCATCATATCCGTTTTCTCGGATCCTGATGCTGCATTACCCAAAGCCCCACAGCTCACGTAGCTGAGCGGCCCTTTCCGATGTCTTCCAGCCGGTTTCTTGTTCAATGCGAGACAATTGTTTCAGAAGAACAATTTTCTCCCGCGCATACTTTTCTGTAACCATATTGTTGGAATATACGCTTCCAGTGTTAGCACTCGGCGCAGAGAGGTGGATCCAAAATGATTGCTGAGCTGGAATCTCATGCACATTGGTAAAGGCATGCCCTGCAATATAGAGAGGCTGAAGCTGATTAACCCAATTCTCACTAAATTAGAATTTCAGCATTATTGCACGCTGGGAATTGCTACTGTTGTTAACCTACTGGGAAATATTCGAAGTCGAAATACCACCAAGTTCTCTTGCATGCCAGATTTGATTATACTGTGTAATCATGGTAAGTGATCGATTCAGAAACATCCAAAAATCTCTGTGAAAACAAGAAACCCGTACCTTTTCTAAAGCGGGATCGGGACGTCGCAATAAGCCAGATTGCAGTAAAAGTATAGATCCAGCATGGTAGAATGTGGTACCGCAAACTGCAACTCCCACATCAGTATTACCCAATTGGATTCACGAATTGACCTTACTTGGAGATGACTGGCTGTATACAAGACGCGGGAATGGGTTACTCCCTTCGCGGTCTGATCTTACCAGGGGGTGGGCCTTTTCTGGCCTCCAAAGATACCACTCTTGCAGCCTCTCCCACAATCCTTGTAATGAAGCTGCAAACTCAGAGCCTACATTCCCTGAAAGGTGATGCATCGAAGCCATGAGATTCACAATTCGTGCAAAGAAGAGGATTGCTAAGTTGCAATAGTCATCCAGATCTCCCGTAGAAGCAACGGCTTGGACAGAATCAGTCTCGACCCACGACTCGGTAGGTATCAGTGTTTGCTGTTGCGTGATGAATGCAGCCCAGACATCTGCAACCGATCAGCAACTTCTGCGCGCGTTTTGTTGAGTTTAACAGACCGATTCGTGCGAATGCCCAGAAACATGACTTAACAATACCCTCGCTGGATCCATTCCACTTCTTCGCTCGCAGTAGCTCCGCGCACCCCTGCACACATGTCAGACCACTCAAAATCACTTGATTGCACAGATGGAGGGACCCACTCGCAAATGCCGCCTCCACTCAGAGACATCCGAAGCCATCATTTCGTACACACACAGCAGTGTGCACGTCGCCAGAATCGACGGGTCAATATCCTCTGCGTGACGACGAATCAATAGCTGCAATGTGTATTGGTACAACTCTAGCGTAGTCTGGTGCGGTTGATTGCCTATGATATCCAGCTGGCGGGAGGCAAGCGCTGTTGCAGCGGCCACAAAGGGCTTGGACTTCATCAAGGAGTGGATACAGCCGACAGTGAACTGCATGTGCGAATCGGTCGTCTCGCACCATCTTCCCGTCTCGTTCAAGAAACATGATATCAGATGTAACTTCTCCTCTTCGCTGACGGGGAACAGCGGCTCCGGTTGAGGAGATGCGGTCTGCACAACAGCCTGACCAAGAGAAAATGGAAGCTGAAAGCCCGAATGAGGGAGATGGTTTTCTTCATCAAGGACATTCTCAGGTGCAGCGGTATTCCTGATTGGGTAGTCCAGACACCCATGTCCAAGAGGGCTGCCTTCTGGAACGGCTGGTGCGTCAAGATCGGGTGTCGTATGGTTCGGCAGGTTGATCTCATTTCCTCCAGGTAGATGGGCAGTGGTGGGCGAGGAGACCGGTGATGCACCAGTGGGTGCTCTGAGATTTGTGGGAGATACATCGGCAGATTGGATGACTCGTGAGGACGTCTCAGCCTGAACCTCAAGAACAATGCTTTCTGTCTCATCGATGATGGAAAATGTCTCTTGAACAGGTTCGTGGAACCTAAGTATGGCCGCCTCGGATGGGGTCAAGGACAGGTTCCGAGATTGGTGAAAAGAGACCTTTAGGCCCCAGCTGCAAGTCTCACCCCGCAGCTCGCAGTTTCTGCAGCGAGGCTTTTCCCCATCACCTACACAGTGTTAGACACCGGCGAATCAGCACGGAAAAGAAGAATGGATCTACATTTGCGGCGACGTCTTCGGCAATTCAGACTGGCAGGGATTAGTCCGCGGTGCCCGTTTCCGTTATCACTCAGCCAAGCTTACCATCCTGACCGTGTTCGAGTCTTCGGTGGTGTGCTTGCAGATGCCGCCCCAAATTGCGGTGACATTGCGTCTGATGCACGCGATGTGTGGATGCGGTTGCGTTGCGATCGGCCTCTTATGATGGGAGTTGTGGTGGCAAGCGGAACCACAGACGCGTTTTCAGAATGGCAAGTGGAAGCGCCGGGGATGCCCGAAGCCCGTTAGCGTCAATTGGGTGGAGCACCCGGAATTGCTCGCATTGAGTATTGGACCCGAACTGAGGAGAGCATAAAGGCAAGGGACATGCCTACTTACGTATTCGTTTTCTTTTCTTTTCCCGACCCGATAAAATAGGATGCGCCTGCCATTTTTCCTACTACAGCTATGATACCAGCCATCTCGTCGCCTTTTACTTCTAGTACATCAAAATTGTAGCACATAGAAGAATACTGTTTTTATCACCACAAAATCTTTTAGCTCGGGCCCTCTGGTATGTAGAGACAGAAGAATATGGGTACATACCCACGGCTCTCAATGCAGAGGAACATGTGGTAATGGCGCTGTGCACTTCTTAGGACTATGGCTGGTTAGTATGGTTCATTCTCCGTAGCATTAAAAGTAGAACTCAAAGGCTGATGCGAACCTGTCACGGCAGCGAATATTAGCTAGGAACGAAGAAATTAGCTTGCTCTTCGAGCCTCCACTCTAAACTTTCGTCGGGCAACGTATTTGCGCAATTGGATACTGACACCAATTTAGCGCATGGACCCATCTTCAACTGCCAGACGTCTGAAAAGACCTGATTCGCATGTAGAATCGTGTCTCTTGTTGGAGACTTACGAAGCTATCGAACAACTACTCAATGGACGATTCTAAAGTTACTGTTTCTCCGAAGCCCTTCTGGGATGCACAATCCATTGGAAGGATTCGCAATTCAAAAAGGTCTGCTTTATTCTCCGTGGCCCCCCGGAGCGCGAGTCAGTCGGTGAGAGATACTCTGTACCCTTCATTGTTGTGCCAAGGATCATTCGATGAATAAATTAAAAAAGCGGGTGAAAGCTCTCTCGTATCCGCCCCAATTCCCCGGGTCAATCGCCCCGTTTCAGTTTACACCGCTGCAAGCCACACGCCCAGAGACGGGCTTCAGGCGCTTTCCGGAAGCTGCAACGGCACAACGGTTAATAAAATATGGATTGATTAGTTCATAATGCAAGCGAAGGAGAAGAGATAGGGGATGGCAGGTAACCTTAAAACCTTAACCTTGCTGTCTCATTGCGATGGATAGGTCTATCGTCCAGCTCTCCCGGCATCATGGTTCACCTTCTCGTTTTTTCTCTTCTTTGCATGGTCGCGCAGGGAAGGGTGGCACAGAATGCGCAGATCATTGGCCGAGATGCCGATCTGGCAGAAGAATACGATTTCGTCATTGTTGGAGGTGGAACAAGTGGACTCACCGTCGCCGATCGCTTGACTGAGGATGCTAATGGTAAGAATCAACGAGTTCGCTATAGTCATCCTACTAATTATTCAAGTGACGGTACTTGTCGTTGAATTTGGCCCTCTTGATAGCGGCAACGAAGCCGTCACTGTGCCTGGACTGGCTGGTGAAGCTTATGCACCATACAGTTTCAACCTGACAAGCACTCCGCAAAGGGGACTTGCAAACAGATCTTTTCCTGTACTGTCAGCAGCGGTTGTAGGCGGTGGAAGTGTCGTCAATGGCATGTTCTTCGATCGCGGCGGTGCGCCCGACTATGATGCATGGGAAGAGCTGGGAAATCCAGGATGGGGATGGGATGGATTGTTACCGTACTTCATCAAGGTAATTCTCGTTTCGCCGTCAGCGCACGCTTTGACCTAATGTTGCACAGAGCGAGACATTCACACCGAATAGCGAGGCCTTCGCACAGGAGTGGAATATGTCGTGGGACCTGAGTGTCCACGGATCGGACGGACCCGTGCAGTCGACCTACCCGGAGTTCATGTGGGAAAATATCAGTATCAACCCCGATATGAGGCCGGATGAAAGATGTGTTACTAATAAATAAATGCAGAGAACTTCTTCCAGGCATGGACCAGCCTTGGAGTTCCAATTCCAAAGGACCCGGCAGCGGGAAGCAAAGCCGGCGTATTTTGGTCGCCCAGCTCCATCGATCCCAAAACCAGAACCCGATCATCTGCACGCATAGCGCATCACGACAAAATCGCATCGAGACCCAACTACCATCTGCTGACCTCGACCGCTGTTACTAAACTAACATTCAACGAAACAGTCACCACCGGCGTTGAGTACGTTTCGCGTTCGGGAAGTGAGAGTGGAACGGTAAAGGCCCGTAAGGAAGTTATCCTCGCTGCCGGTGCCGCACACACGCCTCAGATCCTGCAGCTCTCCGGAATCGGGCCCGAGGACTTGCTAAAGAGCCTTGGGATCGAAGTCCTTGTGGATCTACCAGTGGGCTACAACCTCCAGGACCACCCCACTCTGTACTCGGTCTGGGACTGTAAGCAATTCATTGAACCAGTCATCCCAAGACCAAGCAAACTAAGAACAAGAACAGTCGCAAACGACGTCATCCCCAATGGCGACTACTTCTCCTCCAACCAAACCTACAACGCCGAATCCCTCGACCTCTACCGCACCTCCCGCGAGGGGCCCTACACCCTCGGCCGCGGCAGCACCGTCTGCTTCCTGCCGCTCACCAACGTCACCTCCAACAGCGCCGCCGGCGCCGGCACCGACAACTTCTCCGCCATCACCGCGCTCGCCTCATCCACCTCGGTCCACACCGCCTACCACCGCGCCGCCATCCCCCCCGCCATCGAACGGGGCTACGCGGCGCAGAAGCGCGTCCTCGTCGACACAGTATACCCCTCCCTCGACACCTCAACGACCGAGTCCTCCTTCGGCGGCGGCAGCTTCATGGCCATCGTCATGCTCAAGCCGCTCTCGCGCGGCACAGTGCTCATCAACAGCACCTCCATCTTCGCGCCGCCCGTCATCGACTACGGCACCATGCTCGCGCCGTCCGACATGGCCATCACGATCGCGTCGCTGCGCAAGGTGCGCGACTTCATGGCCGCATCCGCCATGCAGGACGCGCTGGGGCCGATCGTCGAGACGGCGCCGGGGGCGAACGTGACGAGCGACGCGGCGCTGGAGGCGGTGCTGCGGGCGACGCTGAATCCGTCTTTCGCGCACATTTCGGGGACGGCGGCGATGATGAGGAGGGAGGAAGGGGGAGTGGTGGATGCGGGGTTGAGGGTGTATGGGGTGCGGGGGTTGAGGGTGGTGGATGCGAGTGTGATGCCGTTGGTGCCCGGGACGCATACGAGTTCGACGGTTTATGCGGTTGCGGAGAAGGTGAGTTGCAGTCGTGTGTTTGGTGGGATGGTTTGCTGACGCATCACTACAGGCAGCGGATTTGATTAAGCAGACGTATCAGTGATTGCGGGTCATTGTTGATGATGGTCGAAGTGAATGAAGATTCCACCTTTGACCTTGATCAGGAGAATCGTTTTCTCTTGAATGTTCTGGAAGGTCATTGTCAAATTAGCGGTGGGATGTGAAAAGGAAGCAGTGAGGAGAATATGGTCTTGAAAAAGTCATGAACGATTTTCAGTCATCTATGAATGTGCTTCTCATAATTAGCTGCTAAGACCATGCCACTGAGTTCATTCACTCAACCCTACAAAGCACAGCCCCGTCCGAAACAGCATCGCCCTTCCTCCACGTTGTCTTGAATTTCCCGTCCACAGAAACGACGATACTCATCTCCATCTTCATACTCTCGACGACCATGACGTTCTCCCCGCTTTTGACATCATCCCCATCCTTCTTCAGCACGTCAAGCACACGGCAGGGCATGGGGGCCTTGACGACCCTCGCCGCCGCCCCTTTACCGCCTCCTTCCTTCTCCTCTACTGCCATCCGCTGGCTCTCGGCAAAGGACAACAGGCTATACACCTCGTACTCGACCCACGTGCCCAGCGCGGGAACGTGCGCATAGACTGTCTGCGGCCGGCCGACTTGCGACGCCGAAGAGTCGTCGTGTTGAGCGTGCGCGGTCATGTGGGCGAGCAGCTTCCGTCCGTTGACTGATATCGCGACAGTTGAGGACAGCCACCCGTTATTGGTATCTGCTGCTGTTGTTTGTGCAGGCGGCCGTATTGGCGTTAAGCTTTGAATAGTGGCGGTGGAGGCGGCTGTTGCGGTGTCGGCAAACGGACGGAGTTGTCGGACTGCAGTGCTGAGGGCGTTGTATTGGGCCGTTGCCAGTCTGGCTATTGATTTCTCTGGGCCGTCCGGACTTTCTAGCGAGGGAACGGCGGCGATGTGGAAGCGATATGTATTGCTGCCCGTAGGGTCTGCCTGTTGGATGATGCAGATGGATGGCGGCTGCAGGTCAGGAGAGACCTCGTCTCCTTTCGTCGCGGCGGCAGCTTTGCATTTCACTACGTTGACGTGCTGGTTGATCGGATCACAGCGCTGGTTCCGGAATCCCCGACGGACGTGAGGGAATGGCTGTCCGAATCGTTGTTCCGCGCGCAGGTGGCGGAGGACGAGGCAAGGTGCGATGTGATGAGCATCCTGAAGAGCTTTCGAGGCTTCGGCGTACGGGCTCTGCAGCAGACTGTCCAGGTTGGAGGGGATAAATGAGGTGGTGTAGGACGGATCGCGGAAAGCTGGATGCATCAGGCAAGCTTGCAGGAACAGCTGATTCGTACGCACGCCGACGCACGCCGTCTGGGCCAGAACTCTGATCATCTTCTCGAGAGCGAGCAGCCGGGTTGGCGCCCAGACGACGATCTTTCCAATCATCGGATCGAAGTGTATCGAGACGTCGGAGCCGGTCTGGATGGCCGTCTCGAAGCGCACGTCCGAAGTGACCGCTGGCCGCCACAGCCTGACGGTCCCACGTTCGGGGAGGAAGTCTCGATAGGGGTCTTCGGCGCAAAGACGGCACTCGATGGCATGGCCGTTCCTCTGCACCGGATCGAGAGCAGGAAGGCTGTCCAGTCTCCCGCCCGCAGCCACGAAGAACTGCAGCGCCACGAGATCGACTCCAGCCACCTCCTCAGTAATCGGATGCTCGACCTGCAGCCTCGCATTAACCTCGAGGAAATAATACTCCCGCGTCTCAACATCAACCACAAACTCCACCGTCCCGGCGCCCTCATACCCAATCAACTCCGCCACCCTCACCGCCGTCGCCGCCATCCTCGCCCGCATATCCTCATCGCCAGCCAACCACGGACACGGCGTCTCCTCAACAATCTTCTGATGCCGCCGCTGCACCGAGCAGTCGCGTTCCCCCAGCGCCACGACCGTCCCGTGCCGGTCGCCCACGATCTGCACCTCGACGTGCTTCGCCGCGGCCACGTACTTCTCGACGATGCAGTCGGCGCTGCCGAAGCTGCGCGCGGCTTCCGACCGCGCGCGCGCCAGCGCCGCTCGCAGTTCTCCTGGTGCGCGCACCACGCGCATCCCCTTGCCGCCGCCGCCCGCCGCGGCTTTCAGCATCACCGGGAAGCCGATGTCGCGGGTTACTGCGGCCTCGAGCTTCTCTTCATCATCGTCATCACCGGAGGCGGATCCGGTTAGGCCTGGGATCAGCGGCACGTCCGGGGCATGCGTCCGCAGGTGCGCTTTCGCGGCGCGCTTGTTGCCGAGCGTGCGCATGGCTTGCGCTGTGGGACCGATGAAAACCAGACCGGCGGCGCGGACGGCCTCGGCGAAGGAGGGGTCCTCGCTCAGGTAGCCGTAGCCCGGGTGCACGGCGTCGGCGCGGGCGGCGAGGGCGGCGCGGACGAGGAGCGGGGCGGAGAGGAAGGGGTTGGTGGGGTGGTTCTTTTTGTCGTCGTCGTCATGTTGTTGGGGGTTCAGGAGGCTGCCGAGGCGGATGGATTCGTCGGCTTGGTGGATGTGGAGGGATGTGATGTCTCTGTAATTTTCGTGTGAGTGGGATCAATCATGGGGATAGTGGAGGCTTACTCGTCGACGTAGACGGCGATGGAGGTGAGGTTGAGCTTGCGGCATGTGGATATGATGCGGCAGGCTATCTCGCCGCGATTGGCGATGAGGATGCGTCGTAGGACTGGCCGTCCGTCTGGGCCGGCTGGTGGTTCTGCCACGAACAGAGGCCGCCGTTGGTTGTTGCTGCTTGCGTCATCCATGGTGTTCTACCACATCGAAGTAGTTTGTGCCAATTCGCTTGATAGTATAGTAATATGGATCTCCCGCACTTGCTGCTTTCCCCACGGGTATGTACCACGAGGCGTGTGGGGGAGCCGGGCCGTGACTCGGGAACGGCCCGAAGACCCGGCCCGGCCGACCCAGCATCAAGATGCCGAGGATCGAAACCACGATCATAACTGACGAAAGGGCGCTTTACTTCCTTAGGTGACTGTGAGCATTGCCGATTTCAGACCAAATCCCCGCCATGTCCTCCGCAGTCCCCTTCGCCGATCCACTCTGGCTCTCCCGCCCCAGCGCGAGCTCCCCCTACTACACCGCCTCGCACCGCCGCCTGCAGCGCGAGGTGCGGCAATACGTCGACAGTTCCATCGCCCCCTTTGCCGGCGAATGGGAGGCGCAAGGCTTCGTGCCCTCAGACGTCCTCGCGCGCCACGCGCAGCTCGGCTACGCTGCCGCCTCTATCTACCCGCTCGCCGACGCCTCTTTCGTCGCTGCCGCAGGCCTGCGTCTGCTGCCCGGAGGCATTCCGCCGGGCGAGTGGGACGGCTTCCACGATTTGATTGTCATTGATGAGATTGCGCGCTGCGGCTACCTGGGCGTCATATGGGCGCTCAGCTGCGGCAATTCGATCGGCGTCCCGCCGCTGCTGAATTTCGGCACCGAGGAGCAGAAGCGGAGGTTTTTGCCGGATGTACTTGCTGGAAGAACGCGGTTTTGTTTGGGGGTGACGGAGCCTGATGGTAAGGCTGATGGGCGGGAGGGGAAACGTCTTTTCCTGAGAAGATGCGATGTTTGCTGACGAGATTTGCACGCACAGCGGGCTCTGATGTCGCAGGAATCACGACTGTGGCCGAGCGAGACGGTGATGAATACGTAGTCAATGGTTCGAAGAAGTGGATCACCAACGGCATCTTCGCCGACTATTGTACGGCGGCCGTCAGGACGGGTGGGCCGGGGAGTAAGGGTGTTTCGGCGTTGATTATCCCGCTGAAGGCGAAGGGAGTGACTTGCCGGAAAATTGACAATTCTGGGGTCCTTGCGAGCGGTGCGGCTTTCCTCTGAAGCTTCTCTTGCTTTTCTTTTTCTTTCAGAAGACTGATTTATTGGTGAAACCAGGATCCACGTACATCGAGTTCGATGACGTGAGAGTTCCAGCGGCCAACTTGCTCGGGCAGGAGAACAGAGGCTTTGAGATCATCATGTCCAGTATGTCTCCATCTCTGTTGAATTTCTTTCACAAGGAAAAGAATGAAAAGAAAGAAGAGGAAAGGAAAAAAAGGTAAAAGACTACAGATTACTGACAAGGATATCATCGTTTCGCTCAGACTTCAACCACGAGCGCCTCTGGCTCGCCTGCACCAGCCTCCGCCTCGCCCGCGTCTGCGCCGAAGACGCCTACACCCACGCTACCACCCGCGAGACATTCGGCAAGCCCCTCATCGCGAACCAGCTCATCCGCAGCAAGATCTCGTCCTTTGGCCGCAGCATCGACGCCACCCACGCATGGATGGAGCAGCTGGTCCACATGCAATCATCATCAGGTAGTGGTGGTGACCACCACCACCACCTCGGAGGCCTGATAGCCAACCTGAAGGTGCTGGCGGCGCGCACCCTGGAGCACGTCAACCGCGAGGCGCAGCAGATCATGGGCGGCCTCGGCTACTCGAAGAACGGCCGCGGCGCGCGCGTCGAGCAGATCAGTCGGGATGTCCGGGTCTTGGTCGTCGGTGGCGGCAGCGAGGAGATCTTGGCGGATTTGGCGGTCAAGCAGGAGATGAAGGCCATGGCCGCGGTGAGGGCGAGGGAGAGCAAGTTGTAGTAGTAACGGAATGTTTGGTTTGGGATTTGACACTATGTGTGTGCCATGGCGGATAGCTCGGGGATCGAGTTAAATCTTCCGTGGATTGCTTCGAATAGCAGCTGTTCCACGTTGCCTTCGTCGATGGCGAAGTCGGGCCCGAATCGGTTCATGAAGTCGTGTGCGGTATTTGGTGATTCCTCCATTATTCTGTCGTCGTTATTGCTTTTGTCCCTCGACGTTAGAGGTTCAGATGTGGTGGTGGTGGTGGTGGTGGTGGTGGTGGTGGTGGTCGTTGGGCGAGCAGAGTCCGAAAGCCACCCATAATCGACCAAGTTCCAGAGGGTCTCCGATTGGTCAACAGAGATATTCACCGGCGAAGAGGACGATGAGAACAGCTCTGCGGCTAGCGAGGTGCTGGGTTGAAAGTTGCGGAGTGCTACGGCCTTCAAGCCCATTTGTTAGCCTTGATGTAGGAATGAGAACATATTTACTTACCATCCGTTTGTAATGACCCCAAGGACCGGAATTGCTATCCAAGAAGCGAATACAGGTCTCGTAAAGATCTTGAGAGGTGGATTGGCCCCAATTCTCCTCATTAGCTGCGTGTAATCGGTGAACAACACCAGCAACCATGGCGCAATAGCCATAGAAACTAGCGTAGGCCAGACATCCACGGTCCTGGAGTGCTTGAAGTACGCTCGTCAGGTGCCTTGCGTGTGCTCTGCTTCTATGCACGGCTTCGCGGACAAAGCTTGGTGGAACTCGGCGAGGTTTCTGTAGCTGGAGTCGCTGATGGAGGAGGAAGGGGTGGTGAAGAAGGCAATGGCAGAGGTGGTACAAAGCGTGGGAGAAGCAGAAATGCCCTGCCATAGAAAAGTCAATGATGCCGTTATACCCAAAGTCACGATCCAAGACAGTGGCAAACGAGCCGTCTGTTGCGTCCGAGTATGTCTCGAAGCTGAGCAGGATTCCGTAGATGTGAGAGTATTCGCTTCTCGAGTCCCATGGAACATGAGCGCTGCTCATCTTATGTTGAAAATGGAAGCTCACGACACGTCCCAAGACAGACGCCATGAAAATGGTTAGAGCGAAATGATCACCTTGGTGAAGAGGTGGGGACTCTGGAATATCGTTCAGTGCTGCCAATGTCGGTCCTCCCCCGACTGGGCCGTCTTGACTGCGATCATGGGCAGATGGCAAGCGCAGGATACAAATGTCGTCTAATAAAGCAGGCGGCCGATGACGTCCTGGTGACACTAATTTGTCGAGTAGGTAGACGGACCAAAACGTAGACCGGCGTTCTTCCCGCTCGGTCAGAGACAGTGAGTCTTCTGGTTCGGAGTTCAAGCGGAGACTCTGTGCAAAACGCACTGACAGGCCGATTTTTGTCCATGCTAGCCGATGCATGCCACCTGCAAACATTCTAGGTTCTGTAAGCCGCGAAAGAAAGGGGAAGGGCACTTACGGACGAAGTCAATGACAGCGAGCATATTAGCTGCTTGTACTGTGAATATGTTGACATCGTGATCATCTGAAAAGGACTTCTCAAAAATCTGGGTCCAGGCGAGGCGGGTGTAGTGCTCAATCGCTTCCTCTTGCTTGTTCTCCAAGAAAGGATGGTCCAAGAATCTTATCGCGAGAGCTAGAAAAGAGTAAACAAGATAGGATGGCAAAGCACCATCCTCTAAGCGCTGTCTGAATGTTGACTCGTCAAAGTAAGAGTATGGCTGGTTGTGGCAGTGCAGAAAGTATGCATCTGCGGCAGCCCGTAGGACTCCAATCTCGGGAATGGAATCAAATTTGCTGCCTCAAAATCAGCCGATGAGGAGTGCACGACGGATATTTGGGCGCAAACCTGAGCACGGTTGATTCATCTGAAGGAAGAGTATCGGCACTGCCTGAGATGCTGAAAACCGAAGACTGGTCTGCTCCAGGCTGTGGTAAACCCCCGAAAATCGTGCTGGGACGGCAATGAATTAACATTTTTTTCTCTCAATCAGTGGAGGAGCATACTTCAAGCTGTTGGTATCCAGTAAGCTCAATCTTGACTCTAGCAGAGCAACTCTGGCGGCAAGGTTTGCTTCGTGGCTACTGTCTGCAGGCGGTGCACTTGGGCCGAAGAAGGAGAAGGAAGTCGAGGTGCGCCTTTCTGATAGTGGTCCATCTTCATAGATGCATTCTTGGCCGAGGCGCGTGCACAACATGCAAATTGGTTTCTCACCGGAGCAACGAGTCTTCTTCCTCCTTGAGGTCTGGTAAGCGTCGACGCGGCTACTACCGGGAAAGGAAGAAACGGTACCTGCAGTTGCGGCACGCTTGCCGTGCTCTTTTTGGCTCACGTTGCTCCATTGCGGTGTGGGGACTGCTATGCGCCTGATCTCCTTAGACTTCCAATTGCAGATGCATGTGGATTACATCAGTCGGAGAAGAGAGAGAAAGCCCGGCTGTCTTAACAGAACCCCGCATCGACGGAACCGAGCACGGACCCATGACGCCGGCACTCGGTAAAGAGACATGCTCTATTCAATTGAAAATTAAATACATCTTTACATCCGCGCGAGCACGCGGTGGCCTTCTGCCCCCCGTACGCCGCTCTTTGTCACGACATCAAGACACATGCTCAGCACATCGCGCGTATCCCGCGGATCGATGATGCCGTCGTCCAGCCCAACCGCGCTCGTCCGGTAGCACTCGCTATCCCTCTGCACGCCCTCGCGGAATTTGGCCACCCTGGCATCAAGCTCCTCCTCCACTACGGCCTTCCCTTTGCTCTGCGCACTGGCCCGTTCTATTGTTTCCATAACGCCGGAAAGCTGGTCCGGGCCCATTACGCTGCACCTCCCCGTTGGCCAGGTGAATAGGAATCGTGGCTTGTACGCTCGCCCGCACATGGCATAATTGCCAGCTCCGTACGACGCTCCGCAGATGATTGAGATGTGCGGTACCTGAGAGCAGCTCACGGCTGATACCAGCTGGGCTCCGCGTTTGATGATGGCCGCGTGCTCCGCTTTCGACCCGACCATGAATCCCGTCACGTTGTGCATGAAGATCAATGGTGTATTTCTGGCTCAAGTCAGCGTTACGTTTTCGAGGACCGCTCGGAAGACTCACTGCTGGTTGCAGAGACGGACGAATTGCGCTCCCTTGGATGCCTCATCCGAGTTGATGACAGGCGTCTGGTTTGCAATTATCCCAACCGTGTGGCCTAGCTGTTTGTCAGCGCTGGTAAACGTCCTACAGTTGTCGACGCTCACCGGTTATCTTTGCCCACGTAGTGATCAAGTTCCGCCCGTAGCTCGGCTTGAAAACGGAGAGCCTTGAATCATCCACGATTCTCAGAAGAACCTCACCCATGTCAAATGGCTTCCGTATGTCCGGATTGATCAGAGACAGGATATCGTCAGCAGAGTATCGCGGCGGAAGGGGCGCCGCAATGGCCGGTGGAATATCCGGTGATGCCAAAGATGAAACCCAATCTCGGGCCTTTCGGATCGCGTCAAACCTGCACTCCCATGTCAGTCCACGAAGTGAAACCCGATGTGTGGGCCGTACTCATCCGTAGCCATTTGATCCGCGAGGCCTGTTACAGAAGCATGGATCTCAGCCCCTCCCAGCTCCTCGGCTCCAATAACTTCGCCCGTCGCCATTTTCACCAAAGGCGGGCCGCCCAAGAACACCTGTGCCTGCTTTTGTACGAAAATCGTGTAGTCGGACAGAGCCGGGTGGTATGCGCCGCCGGCGGTAGAGGATCCGAATACAACAGCGCAGGAAAGCTGGCCGAGCTGGCTACGAACAGCCAGATCGCGAAAGATTTGGCCTCCTTTGTGAAATACCCGGAACTGCTGTGGAAGGAAGACACCGGCTGATTGGACAAGTGCGACTATTGGCAGGCCGTTCTCCGTGGCGATCTCAGTGACGCGGTTTTGCTTGATCACTTAGAAGAGCGAGTTAGTATGGGAGATGACCACATGCAGTGAGATTAGTACCTGTCTGCTCATTCCATGCTCCTCCGCTCTGAGTCGGTATGTGCGAGAGTATGAGACATATGCGTCCACTGGCAGAGGGTTAGTGTTATTGTAAGCTATAACGACGCTATCAACATACCTGACGGAACCAATGCCCGCGATAAGATTGGCACATGCGTTTGAATCTTCCAGCCCGTACCCAGCAAATGATCCGAGTTCGAGAAAAGGCGAGTCCTGGTCCAAGAGTAGGGAGATTCTATCTCGTGCTTCGAGCGGGTTAGGTTCGTTCTGCTTTGGGATCTCCTCCTACATACCCAGCAGTTGTCCTCTGCTCAAGTGGCGGGCGACTGATTTTGAGTCTCCTTCGCCGCTCGACTCAGCTAACGCCTGGTTTAACTTTTCGAGGATCGGTCCCCATTCCTCGCGGTTCTTTGGATATTGCGGCTGGCGCAGATCGACCTGCGACTCAGCGATTGGAAAGGATGCTGCGGATGCCATGATGCGATTGCCTTCGAACAATTGTTCCAGCTTTCTCAAAACTACAGCAAGTGAATACCTTCCGCATGACCATGAAAGCCACGGCTGCACCCGAGGACACTGCGGTGACCCCGGCCCGTGTGGTTGCCCCGGCCCGTGTTGTCGGCCCGTGTGCGGACCGTCCCCGCATCTCTTCCCAAACGGGAAATCGCCACTGGGTCTCCACCGCCTGACTGACGGGACGAGTGTATGGAAGTCATTCATCACCGGCAGGCGTAATAGAGGGTTTTCGAGTGAAGTTATTGAGTGCTTCATCTCAGAAAACTACCAGCTACAATGGCATCCAACCAAGTCCCCGCGTGCCCGTCTCCTGCGGTCCGCATCATCGAAGTCGGTCCACGCGATGGGCTCCAGAACATCGTTCAATCGGTCCCAACGTCCGCAAAAGTCGAACTAATAACTCGACTACATGCGGCCGGACTGCAGAATATCGAACTCACATCCGCCGTCTCACCCAAGGCCATCCCTCAACTGGCCGACAACAAAAAGCTGCTTTCCGACCCATCTATCAAGGCCTTAATCGCGCAAAGTGGCCTCCGCCTACCAGTGCTCGTCCCGAACACCAAAGGCCTGGACATCGCAGTCCAGCACGGCGTGAAGGAAGTCGCCGTCTTCGTCAGCGCCAGCGAAGGCTTCAGCCGGGCCAACACCAACTGCACCGTCGCGGAGGGCCTCCAACGCGCACGCAGCGTCGCAGACGCCGCAAAGAAGCTCGGTCTGCAAGTCCGAGGGTACGTCCGCGCCCCAAACCCCCCAACCACAACATCCAACTCACAACACAACACAGCTACGTCTCCACCATCTTCGCCTGCCCCTACTCCGGCCCCACGCCCCCCTCCGCCGTCCTCTCCTGCATCCGCCAACTCCTCGCCATGGGCTGCTACGAAGTCAGCCTAGGCGACACGACCGGCGTCGGCGGGCCGCACGACGTGCGACAACTCCTCTCTTACCTCTTCGCACACCCCGACATCCGCCCGGACGTCCTCGCGGGGCATTTCCACGACACGCACGGGCAGGCCGTGGCGAACGTGTGGCAGGCGTACCTGTGCGGCCTGCGCGCCTTCGACAGCAGCGTCGCCGGCCTCGGCGGCTGCCCCTTCGCCGGCCCTGGCGCCAAGGGCAACGTCGCGACCGAGGATGTGGTGTATTTGTTTCGGCGGGCGGGCGTGAGCACGGGTGGGGTGGATTTGGGGAGGGTGGCGGAGACGGGGGCGTGGGTGGCGAGGGAGGTGCTGGGGAGGGGGTATGAGTGTCGGGCGGGGGGCGCGGTGTTGCTCGCGGCGGCATCGGCGTCGCTGCGCGGAAAGGAGGAGGATGGTGGCGGCAAGAAGCTGCTCGATGGCCGGAGGAAGAGGGAAGATGGATGCACTGGCCCCCCTGCGGAGCCGATGTTGTGGAAAGAGCATTCCGGAGGCACCGATGGCCTGAAGCTGTACCGGAGCGGCGCGAGTCTTAAGATCGTCCTGGACAGGCCGAAGAACGGCAACGCTCTCACGACGCCTATGATTTCCGAGCTCACAAGGACGTTCCAGACCGTGGCTTCGGATCCTTCTGTTTCGCGTGTTGCCATCACGGGCAACGGGAAGTTCTTTTGCACGGGCATGGATCTTGGAAAAGGGACGACGCCGGTGTCGCAGAGCGAGGACCAAAGCAAGGCACAGTTCAAGCGGCTGACGGAGCTGTTCGAAACTATCGACACTTGCCCAAAAGTGACTGTTGCATGTTTGAACGGGCCGGCATTCGGGGGTGGCGTTGGGCTGGCGTTCGCTTGCGATGTCAGAATCGCCGCGAGGGATGCCAGAGTTACGCTGAGCGAGGTGAAGCTGGGACTATGCCCCGCGACAATCTCGAAATACGTTGCACGAGAATGGGGTCCGGCGTTCACGAGAGAGGCCATGCTGACTGGCAGGCCGATATCACCTTCAGAGCTGAAAGCCGTGGGTGCCATCGCCGGCGTGGTGGAAGAGCGAGAGCAGTTGGACGAGGCTTTGGACCGGTACCTTCTTCGCTTGAAAACTTCCGCCCCTCGAGCGTCGACACTGTGCAAGCAGCTTGTCAGGCTTAGTGCTGAAGACAGCGGAGGTGAAGCTCAAAGTCGTGGTATTGCAACTGCCTTCGAGGAGATGATGGGGCAAGAGAGCGAGGCCGCTTTTGGTGTCCGTGAATTCCAGGCGGGACAACGTAACGTGGACTGGGACAAATATGTGAACTCGAAGACTAGATCTAGATTGTAGTAGCCTTACATCAATTCTATGTGCGATGAAACTGCAGATTTAACGAATCCACCAACCAGAACCTCCGCACGCCGCTCCTACCCGGCGAGTACACTAAGAAGTGAAAGTTGTCTTGTTTGGGAAAGGGAGTCGATATGTTTCGCAGAAAGACAGTACTGTTCACATATAAAGATGCTACATCTCTTGTTGATAGACTGTATAGCTTCAAATACTCCCTTATAGCCTAGCTTTGAAAGAATTGGCACCAACAAGCTTGTTGGCCAGCGCCCGCAAAATGTGCTTTTGGTGCTTACCACTTCCAGTCTTTGGGTAGTCGGGACCCACCCCAGAATCTCCAATCCAAAAGACCCATTGAGGTGACTTGTGCCGCCCTAATGCTTCTTTGACCCAAGACTGAAGGTTCGCGTCATCCGGCCTCTTTCCTCCGCCAACGGCCCTCAAAAAGCAGCCAACCACCTCGCCATACTTCTCATCCTTCACACCGACGACGCAAGCTTCAGCAACCAATGGGTGAGCCGCCAGCCGTTCTTCGATCTCTGCCGGAAAGATGTTCTCGCCACCTGCAGATCGTTGGTTAGCCGCGTGATCCAACCACACTTCCACACAGCAATGCAACCAACCTCTGATGATAATATCCTTGATCCTCCCGGTAATGGAGCAAGCGCCACTCTCATCAATGACACACTCATCCCCCGTCCGCATCCACACCCTTCCGCTCTCATCCCTCTCCATCACCTCCCTCGTCGCCTTCTCATTCCCCAAGTACCCTTTCATCAACAAGTACCCGCTCGTACACAGCTCCCCGCGCACACCCCTCAGTACGACCCTCCCCTTCCCATCCACCACCTTCGCCAACGTATGCGGCATGACCATCCCCAAGCCCCCTCCTCCCCGCTTCCCCTCCTCCTCCGCCTCCACCGACCCCCGATCTCCACGGCGCGCCGTCATAAACGACACCGGACTCGTCTCCGTCATGCCGTACGCGACCAGCACGTCGCTCACGCCCATCTCCCGCCTTAGCCTCTCCATCAGCGGCGCCGCCACGAGCGAGCCAGCCGCCAGCACCGTGCGGACCGTTGTCGTCGCGGCGTCTTCCTTCCCCACACCCTCCTTCGCCCGTCGCAGCGCCGTCTCCTCCAGCACAGCCAGCAACATCGTCGGCACGCCAAGCAAGACGTCGCACCGCTCGCGCGCGACAGCAGCGACCGTCGCCCCCGCGTCGAAGGCGTCGGCCGGGAAGACGATGGCGGCGCCGTGGGCGAGGGCCGCCAGGAAGCCCATGACGAGGCCGAAGCAGTGGAAGAGTGGGGGTGGGCAGCAGATGGTGGACGACGGAGTCAGGCCCATCCGGGCGCCGACGAGGTGGGCGTTGTTGAGGATGTTGCTGTGGTTTCTCGTGGGTTAGAGGGGATGGTGGTGGGAGAAAAAGGGGGGGAGGAGGAGGAACGTACCGGTGGGTGAGCATGGCGGCTTTGGGGGTGCCGGTTGTGCCTGGGTGCGATGCGGTTAGTGGGGTGGTCGTGTGGGGGGGAGGGGGCTGAGAAGGCGACTTACCGGAGGTGAATTGGAGGTTTAGGACGTCGGTGGGTTTGATCTGGGTGCTTGCTTTGTGGATATTCTCTAGGTCTAGAAGACTTGGATTGGCGGAGGCGAAGACGTCGTAGGATTGAGTCTGGGGGTTTCTGATATCCGGTGGTGTAGGTCCAAAAGTTACCATCTTCACGTGGCTGGCATTTTGAGTTACAGAGCGCATGTGCTCTAACAAGCTCCTGCCTTTGATGTGATTGGCAATGAAGAGTAACTTGCAGGCTGGGCGAAAGGGTGCATTAGTCCATAGGCTTTGTAGAAGTTTGAATGGGCAGAAACTCACAAGTTTGCATGAGTGAGCGTGCCAGTTCCTGTGGTGTGTAGGTATTATTCAAGACCACCACTGGACACCCAATACTGGTAGCTCCGAGAAAAGCTTCGATATACTCGTAGCGGTTTCCGGCAAAGATGCCAACGTAATCGCCAGACATCAGGCCATGCGCGAGAAGTCCGCGCGCAACGGCCAAAGACCGTTTTGCCAGGTCGCTATAGGTCAACTCGACATTCTGCCATGGAACTCTCACCGCCGTCTTCCCGCCAAACGTTTCAGCTTGTTCGTTGACCAGGTCGGCCAAAGTCTTCTCCCAGAGTGGTACATCCGTGTTGCCGTGAACAAGAGACAACTCGTTTGCAGCAGGGTGAACAGTCATCTTGGCCATCTCTGTACCTTTTCCAGATGCCTAACGGGTTTGTGATAGAGCTCACTTCTGTTCTATCTTTCATTTTTGCGTTGTAGGCCGTCAGCCATAACCACGGTTACCTGTTCGGGCAAAGTGTGGGGACGGTCCGCAGGCGGGCCGAGAAGGCGGGCCGCGGTCGTCGCTCAAGCCGCGGGCTTCTTCGATGCCGCCGTCGGTTCCGTGGCCTTATGATGAAAAACTTCGGCTATACTGAACTTCCGAACGGTTCCATTGCTGTCATGGACCTCTTCGTCACAGTTCCAGTTTCCTCAACTTCGGAAACACCTCCGATTGGATACGGGTATAGTCGATACTAAAGCTAAACTATATAATACTAAGCCTATAGTATGCACAGTAGTATCCAGAGATAGTTAGCATGGTGGATTTAGAAGACAAATAATTGGCTATTTTCTAAGTTGTCTAAATAGCTCGATATCCACGGCGTGAGACATATTGGCACTGTTTAATCCTAGACTCCTGTCTTATTTCCTTACCTTCTTGGTTTCCTTTTAGATTTTATTTATGTGCAAACACTGTTGCTATCTGCTTCTTAGCTAATGAGAGCGAGCCGAGCTTCAATACTGCTGCGCTAGTATTTCGAGTACCATACAGCGCAATGGTCATCGCCAAGGCATCTAGCCTCTCGCAACATCAAAATTACATCAGTGTAAAGATTTACAGTTCTCGCCTGCCTGCTACGTACCTACAATCCTGGACAGCAGCGGAGGGACAGTGATCGAGCTGTATTGTCACGTGAATATTTGAAATCTATTGATGAGACTTTCTCCTGCGCTGCAGGAGTTCGAACCTCTGTGTCACCCACTTGACGTTCCTCGGGATTACGTCGTATCTTTTTCGCCTTTCTTTCAATAAGTTATGGCCGTGAAAAGCGCTTTCGGCATAACGGTGGCAGAATGGGAACACGGGCCGCGGCCGGTGTCGGCACACGGGATGCGGTGGGACGGTGGCGTTTAACAACGGCGCGGGCCGTCCATTTAGTCTCGCCGCCCGAGAGGCCCCTTTTAAAACCAACGGCTCCGGATCGCTGAACATCCGGAATCCTCCCTTGTGGATCATTCATCCTGGATGTAATCTACGGCCTTTTCGTTGAATTCTGTATTGTCGCGGGAGACCTCCTCCATGACCAAGGCCAGCTGAACCACAATTGACACTGCTATCGCTAGGTAGGAGCTGTGCGAAGGAATGGATGTTCGTCGTGGCGAACGCCTCTGAAAGATACCGAGGAATAAGACATACGCGAAGGAATAGCGCATAGGTGCATCTTTTCTAGATCAGACGTTGGTACGATGACCGCAAGGTTACGCGCTCATCCGCCTCTGCAGATTGGCTGCCTGACCGGCTGAATTACTATTCCGGCTGAGCCCCGATCCGTCTGACTCGTGATTAAGTGGGGTTAGGCCACGCAGACAATCATTGAAGAAGCGCTGATGCTGCTGCTTGCTTGCATACTCGTTTTAACTTGTAGCCGGAGATTAATTATCTGCTGCAGCTGCAAGGGAAAGCTTAACCTTCGCGAACACGCTTCTGCATCATGGCGCTCGCGGCCGATAACGCCGTCCTCGAAGTCGACGTAAGCCGGTTTTTCGCGACCGCATGAACACTCGTCTTACGACTTTTTAGGATCACTTCAGCGACACCGACTCCGCTTTCTGCAACCAGTCGAGCGCATCGACGTCCGTTACGTCCAGCGTATTGAATTACAAGTATGAGAATGGGAGACGCTACCACGCCTTCCGCGAAGGCACCTACTTCGCACCCAACGACGACAAAGAGCAGGACCGCATGGACCTCTTCCATCACATTTCCACCTTGATCCTCGGCGGTGCGTAGTACGCCCATCCGCAGCCCCTCACGTGATGAATTCACAAAAGTAACCGGGTGAGAAATGTAGGAAAGCTCTTCCGTGCGCCTCTCAAGGACCCCAAAAACGTTCTGGACTTTGGCACCGGCACGGGCATCTGGGCCATGGACCTGGCCGATGAGTTTCCGGACTGCCAGGTCCTGGGCTCCGACCTCAGCCCCATCCAGCCTTCTTGGGTGCCGCCGAATTGCCGCTTTGTGGTGGATGATGTCGAGGCCGACTGGGCGGACGGCCAGAAGTATGACTTGGTCCATGGCCGCACCATGGGAGGCTCGCTCAAGGATTGGCCGCGCTTCTTTGGCCAGGCGTTCGCGAACATGAACCCTGGCGGCTGGGTGGAGATGCAGGAGTTTGAGATCCAGTACGGCTGCGATGATGGCTCCTACCCTGCAAAGGCGCCGACTGTTGCGCTTTACATCGAGAAGCTTAATGAGGTGAGAAGTAGTGAACGCCGAGGCCAAATCAAGTAAGCTTACAAGTTTTCAAAGGCTGCCGAGTCTTTCGGAAAACCTATGGACGTGGCGCGCGACATGAAGCAGTGGATGATCGACGCCGGATTCACAAACGTCCAGGATGACGTCTACAAGGTATGAGTATCCCTTCGAATGAAAATAGCGCGTTTCTCTGATGACAGTACCCGAAGGTTCCCATGGCTCCGTGGGCGAAGGACAAGAAGCTCAAAGAGATCGGAAAGTATGCTCTGATCCACGTGCTCGAGGCCATCGAGGCGTACAGTCTGGCACTTTTCACCAGGGTTCTAAAATACACGCCCGAGGAAGTCCAGGTCATGATGGCCAAGATAAGGAAGGAGTTCAAAGATCCGGAAGTACATGTCTACTGGATCTATCACATCACTTATGGTCAAAAACCAGAGTCTTCATGATAGACGAGAGTCATGATCATTTCGTTCCAAACTACCAATTTTTTCGTGTCGCGTACTTTTCGTTTTGTACTAGCTGCGCTGCATACATGGGCAATGATTCCGAAATATTTTCCTTCTTGCAATAGTACCGAAATATCATATTCCTTTCACACATTCTCAGCACCAACAGCAGTAGTCCGAGCCTCGGGCTGTTTGACCGAAGTCTCCTGGCAATCCTCCTCGCTTTTCCAGCCTTCCTCGTCATTTTGGGGCACTCTCACGAAAATCAAGTCGAGGACCAGCGCGGCAACAGCCAAGGCAGCGCCAAAGTACAGAGCCGCACGGAACCCCTGGACCTCGCTCGCGCCGTGACGGATCAGCTCGACCTCGATCGTGCCGGCGAAACCCAACCCCAGGCTGTTGCCGTACAAATTCAACGTCCCGACCAGGCTGCCCGCGATGCCCTGGTCGCGCTTGCCGACGCTGTTGCTCGCGATGATCTGGGCGGCGACGTAGACGAAGTCCGGGCACATGCTGCCGAAGAAGATTGCGGGAAAGGTCTGGGCCCAGTATAGCTGCTGCACGGGCTGCGTCGCGATCAGCAGCGTCGACGCCAGGCAGGTGAGCACCCCCATGGCGAGGATGTACTGCGCCGGCAGACGTGGGATGAGCCATGCTGCCAGCCCGACGGCCATCGACGCGCCGAAGCAGAACGGCAGCCACCCCACCGCCAGGTGCAGCGCCGACCAGCCCCGGATCAGCTCCTGCCAGGCTACCATGTACCAGAGCGATATGCCGAAGGCCATGTAGGTGAGGAGTACGACTAGGATGAGGGCCGTGAAGGTCGGCGCGGCGAAGATGGCGAGAGGCATGATGGGTGCGGTCGCAACCTTTCCTTCCCAGAAGAGGAAGCCGACAAATGAGACGACGGATAGGATGAGGATTACTATGATGTATGGTGTTTTCCATCCGACTGAGGGTGCTTGGCTACACGTGGTCTGTAAGTGGTGATCGAACGCAGGGCTGGCGAGGCAGAACTTACTTCCAGGCAAAGTTGAACAGCGCGAGGCCACTCAATCCGAGTGCGCTTCCTACCCAATCGATTTTCCCGTCTTTATCCACGGCTTCTTCTGGTGGAAGAACGAAGAAAAGGGAAACGAATTCAATGGCCCCGAGCACTGCGCTGTGAGAAGTCAGTCTCTGTTTGCATAGTTGCCATTCTTTCTCAGGACGACTTACAATAGGATGAAGATATATTTCCATTCACTGTTCTCGAGGAACCCTCCAGTGATGAATGCTCCGAACATAGCGCCGATCGGTGGAGAGGCTGCAAAAGTTGCGAGTGTGATGTTGCGAGCTCGCCCCGGCGGCACCATGATGGTGAGCATTGCAACCGCGTTGGGCATTAAGATACCACCACCAATGCCTGTCAGAGCGCGAACGGCAACAAATGACTCGTAAGTGGTACAGAAGGCGTTGACGAGGGAGAAGACCACAATGATTGCACCTCCAAGCAACAGTAGCCTTTTATGACCGAATACGGCACCGAGACGCCCGCTCACGAGAACGAAAGCACTTTGAGTGAGCCTAAAAATTACTGGTAAGCACTATTGGATTTTTGTAGATGATATGTTCGACGTACGAGTAAGCTGCGGCCATCCAGTTTGCCTGCCCTGGCCCAGCAGAGTGCCCTAGCTTTTCACTGAATTTGAACCCCGCCGCTACCGTTGAAAACATGGACATGAACTAAAGACTCAGTTAATTCAGTTCAAGTGGCAACTGAACCGTGGCTGGTGTTTTCTTACCTGAGTGAGATTCGCCATTATGATTAATGCAGTAATGAGTATTTGTGAGCTCTTTTTTAATTGCACTGGCGGGTCAGCCTCGAAGGTTTCCTTGGACCGAGGTTCAGGCTGATTGCTCGTTGCCGTAATTGCATCTTCGAAGTTCTGTAGAGGCATGTCGATCGAGGCGTCGGGGCGAAGTTTCACTTCGCTGCTGTGCCGCTTCGGTCAAAGCACTGTACCTGTGGGCTGATACGTGGTCACAATTAAGAATGATTCGAGCGAGAAACGTCAGTAGAGGACCAGAAGACACTTTTCCAGAGCGGCAAGTAGAGATAAATAAGGGGCGTCTCTCTGATCCCATAATAATGACGCCGGAATAGAATTTGTGCCTTCAGGTGAACAGCCGAACAGCCGATCAACCGACATTAACAACCGTTTTCGAGGGCGTTTTGGCGAAAACGATGACTGGAGCGAGTTCCCACCGCATGAGGCGTAGGCCGCTTACAAATTTATCATTGGGACGGTAGAGAATGATTGGTACACGTATTCAGGAAGTGAAGGGTGCGGCATTTCATAGGTGTCCCCTATCAGGCAAAGTTTGCCGCAAGCCCTACCAAGAAACGTTGAATTTCTACCCCACATCCCTCAGAGGGAAGCTCGTTACGCCCTGAATAAAGAAGCTAACAAAAGGCTGCGAGCTCTTACAAAAGCTCTCTTGATAAGGTTGCAACTCGGTCCGATTTTCCAATTTGCAGTTTGCGTTTAACAACATCAGATTTGGTGCTCACCAGACATATCTGGACCCTTCGTACCCGCAGGGTCGCTCTCACCAGGTGCAAAATTTTTTGTGGTAAGAGCTGTTGCGTAATTGATTCATGAGTCGTGCTTAATCCGCCCGCACGCTCGGATATATGCAGGAGTGAGTATCTTTGTGGAGACACTCCTTTTTATCCCCGCATCGGAGATAGAGCACTTGAGAAGATCCACCTCTTTATCGTGAGCTTATACGGTCTACCCCTGCAAGTTTTGGTACATGCTTTGGACAATCAAAGATCAATTCCGCTCTGTGGCGTCCCTGACTAAAAGCGGGGTCTCCTGCATTATAAATCTTGCAGCAGATTATCCCCACTTTACTTGTTCTTCGTATGCAAGCGACACCTTCTCGGCCTTTTGCATTTTGCCGGGGCAATGCCAGCTCTCGACCGCAAACCAGTGTGTGCGCTTAGCGTCTACTGCTTACTGTTGAAGCAGCGGTGTGGTACGACCTCCAAATTTTGCAGTCAAGAGCGCCGACTAATAGTGGAGCAGGCTACAGACTACTGCGCTCTTATCAGTGTTAATTTAATTGCCCCAAGAGGAAGGAATTCCAACGTAAACTTTGAGCGTGTTAGCGGAGTAAATTTCCATATGTGGCAGTACTCTCAACTCGGATAGAATGCATTCCTCAACGCCCATCCAACAACCCGCTACCCAGGATTCTCAGTGAAAAAGTCGTTTTAGGCCTAGTACATAGCTACTTTTGGTAAGCTATAGTGGTACTTCTAGTCTATCCGACCGCGTGGGACCCTTGCATCGATCATCGCTAGCGTGACGTCAGCCTGACTACAAAGCTTAAGCTACAAGGCTGAAGCTTTCACTCCCCGCATTCACCCTCAAACACCAGAAGTTCGACAAAATGGTGACCACTCGCTCGAAATCCAAAGGCGAATCGCACGAGGACATTGTTGCCGACGCCCCATCTCAGCTACAGCAAAAGCCCAAGAAAGCCAACACTTCACGCAAGCGCAAGTCCGTCCCAACCAAAGAAACCAGCACAACAACTCCAGCCGCAGACCGAGCCAAAAAGCGCAAAGACTCCGCCGCATCCGACACGCACCAACAACACAGCACCTCCACCACTACCACTACCACCAAAGAAACCCACCACCCACCAACATCATCACTCTCTGAAAAAGTCAACAACCTTATCGACACCTACGGCGCCGGCTCCCTCCCTCTCCACGACGCCGGCCTCCTCCCCGCGCCCACGGAGCCGTCGTCCGCAACCGTCCTGGCGCATGTCTTCAACGCGCTGCTCTCCTCCTCGCGCATCTCGCACGACATCGCCGCCCGCTCCGTCCGGCTGCTCGTCCAGGCCGGCTACCACGACCTGCCGACGCTCAGTGCCTCGACGTGGCAGCAGCGCGCCGACGTCCTGACCAAGGGCGGCTACGCGCACTACCGCGAGAAGACGGCGACGGAGCTGGGCGAGCTGGCCGCGCTGATCGAGGACAAGTACAAAGGCGACGCGAGCGGGCTGCTGCCGGGTGACGATGTCTCGGCCGGTCGTGCGGGGAAGGTGGCGGTGCTGAAGAGGCGGTTGAAGGAGATTAAGGGCTTGGGGGATGTCGGGGCGGATATCTTTGTCGCGGAGATACAGGAGGTGTGGCCCGGGCTGGCGCCGGTTTTGGACCGCCGTAGTTTGAAGACGGCGGAGGAGGTGGGGCTGGGGAAGGATGTGGAGGGGTTGTTTGAGTGTGTTGGGAGAGATGCGACGAGGATGGCGAGGCTGAATAAGGCGTTGACGACAATAAGGTTGGAGAAGCGAGTAGGGGAGTTCAAGGAGTAGAGGGCTGCAGTTGCTCTTTAAGTGGTAAAACTGAAGTACGTGCTGAGTGTTCTATTCTTTGACCGCATTCATACCTATAGTTTTTTTTTCTCACTGATTTAGCAAAGCAATATATCAGAATTAATTTCGCCCAGGACATCCATCCAGTTAATGTCCCCTGGAGATTCATGACCTTCGCGACGCCGCCATACCTCAAGCACAACATTTGCTGCAACATCTATAATCCCAAATCCATGTCTCTTTTTCTTCTGAAGCCATATTGCAAGCCTTTCTCTTAGCAATGGATCCTCAGCTTCGCATGCCACAACCAAACACGGCCATGTTATAGTCACGCCCAGAGCGTGCTGCGGCATCTCTTCCACTGCCTCCAAGTGCTCAACACATTTGGATACCAGATCCTGCAACTCTGCCGGTGGGACACGTCTAACCCTCCTCTTGAAATGGATGAGCATCGCATAGTAAAAGAGATGTGCCGTATGCAGATGCACCATCCTGCTAACCTCCCCACCAAACCTATGCACCGGGAACGCATCCAACGACGGCACCGACAAGTAAAGCCGCATCTCAAACGCCTCCTTCTCCTCCTCCGTCATCCCCCCCGGCGCCGCACACACCTTCCTCAATCTCACCAGCACCTCAAACATGTCCTTCGGAACCCCATACAGCAAGTCCAAATGGTACGCCGCCTCTCCACCCACCACCCCATCGCCTCCGCCATCCGGACTGTAATCATCCGCGCCCTCGCTATCCTGCAAGCTCGCCACCACCGCCCCGCCGCGGAACTGCTGGTACAACACCGAGCTCGCCAGCGTGCTGCTGCCACCGCCGCCATCAACGTCGTTCTTCCTCCCCTCCTCCCACCCCGCCGCGCCGCCCAGCGCCTCTATCCACGACTTCCCGCCGCGCATGTGCGCGCGCCAGGCGCCGGCCGTCGTCCCGCGGATGATGTCGACGAGGGTGAGCAGAATGATGGCGGCGAGCACGGCCTCCTTCTGCGTCGTCGTCGTCGTCGTCGCGGCAGCGGGGTCCAGGCTGTGCTGCAGCAGGCGCACCGCGGCCGTCTCGTGGCGCGTAGCCGTAGTAGTTTCGTCGTCGGTCGCCCATGACGATGATGCGGATGACGATGATGATGAGGCGGACAGAGGGCAGACGCGCGCGCGGCTGTACGCGGCCGCGGCGCAGAGGGCGTGGTAGACGGCGGCTTGCGGGGCGGATGATGACGACCCGGTGCGGCTGCTGCTGGGGTGCTGCACGGCGAGCGGCGTGTAGATGGTGCGGAAGAAGTTGGTCGCGCTGTCGACGAGGACGCTGTTGGCGCAGACGAAGGTGACCCAGTGGTGGACGAGGACGGTGTCGCGGGGTGGGAGGGGGTTGGGGTTGAGGAATGGTGGTGGCCGCGGGTGGAGGAGGGGCCTGGGTGTGGTGGCGTGTTGGAGTGTGTTGTTGCTCTCGGGAGGAGGGGGTTGGATGCGTTTTGTGGAGGCTGCGGAAGCTTCATTCCAATGGGGAGCAGAAGTCGTGCGGAAGGAGGAGATGTCGCCCCTATGATCGGGCGATGAAAGAAGAATGTCCTGCGGATCTGAATAGCTACCCGGAGGATCGTTTACAGGAGTCGATACTATCGTTGGCTGGCTACTGCATCGTTTTGATTGCTCGTTAATACTGAAAACAGAAAATGGACCATTCCGATAAGAATCATGGGGGTCAAAGACCGCTTCGTCTAACCCTCCTATTGCGGCTGCAAGCTGACGTGCGCCGAGAATAGTTGTCGGTTCGTGCCGGAGTTCATTCAACGATGGTCTGCTGATACCCTTTTCATCGGGGTTCCACACGAGGCGCACTCCGTAACCCTCGCAAGGAACTTTTCTCTTTTGGCAAGGCCCGCATTCGGGTCTTTGCTCATCACACTTAACATGCCGGGATCGACAAGTCCAACAGCCGGTGAAGGTTTTGGTATGTGGGATTGACGCCCGGTTCATGATTGGTTCGTGTTCGACGGGAGTTCCGTTGACCAGATAACTGAAACCCGTCCGCATCTATGAATATGGAGAGAGACGTTCAAATCAATGTGCGGATAGGGAAAAATCATCGGCCCGATGCTTGCTGGGCTAGCAATGGCTTCATTTAATGCTCGTTATTCCAGTTTGCGAAGATGATAAATCCATCAAATCCCCAACGACCAAAAGACTGTTGAACCACGGAATTTCCTTTTACCAATGCAGCTATCGTTTTTCCCAATTGCGTACAGAAATTATTCAGCTCTATTAACGAGTGACATCCGGGTTCGACTTATGAGCCGCCAAAGCACCATGCAGAGCAAACTGACCTCCAACGCCATCGATACGGTGTGTCGAGTTGATGTTCTTGACAAGAGTGATCTGGAAGCAGGTGGCACCCCCTTGACGCGACGTAATCGTCGAAGATGCCAAGAAGAACTCCCAGATGCGATACCACCGCTTCCCATACTTTGCTTCGACTTTCTCGCGGTTCGATATCCAGTTTCTGTACCACCGCCACAAGGTGCCCGAGTAGTGAACACCAATGGTATCCACGTGTTTGACCTCGAACCCGACGCCTTCGAGCCGATCGACGACAAATCCAAGCGGAGTTGACGCATCGGCTCCAGGGAAGACGTATTTGTTCATGAAGAGTCCCCAGATCAGATCTTCGTACTGCCAATACTTCCGTAGTCCGGAATACTGTAGTATCAGCACTCCATCATCATCGAGCAGGTCGTGCAAAAGACGAAGGAAGCTGCTGAAGTTTCGGATGCCGACGTGCTCGCACATCTCGAGGCAGACAATCTTCTTGTAGCGGCCGCCGTCGGCAGGGCGGGGTACGTCGCGGTAGTCCATGCAGAGGATGCGGGACTGTGTTTCAGCAATGCCCGCTTCTCGCAAAAGGTTGTTTCCCCAAGCTGTCTGGTTGCGGCCGAGCGTGATGCCGGTCACACACGCGCCGTACTTGGCCGAGGCGAAGGTGGCGAAGGTTCCCCATCCGCAACCCATGTCGAGGACTTGTTCCCCTCTCTGGAGCTGGATCTTCTCACAGACGATCGCCAGCTTGTTGTCTTGTAGTTCCTCGAGTGTCTCTTCTCTGTTGGGATCTGAAATGATGCCGGATGTATAAATCATACGGGGTCCAAGAAACCAGGCGTAAAAGTCATTACCGCGGTCGTAGTGGCCTCGGACCTGCTCCTCGTCTGCAACCTGTCAGCACCTCAGCATCCAATATGGCATTCGGATCAAACCTTGAGATCGTGTATGCAGTATCACTTCGGGCATCATTCCCGTCAAGAAGAACTTGAAGAGGCTCAACGTGAAACGGAAACTGGCCCAGTCATGTCGGTATTCCAGAATATCCAGCATGTCTCCCTTCAGATCGACATCGCCTGCAAAATACATCTCGTGAAACGTCTCCAGAGGAATCTTCGCTTGACCTTGATACTTCGCGCGATCACTGGCTTTATGGAAGTGAAGGTAGTGCTCTACACCTCTGCCAGGGAAGGTAGCCTTAACATTCTTCCTCGGCGAGTATTTTGAGACAGTATACCAATATGTAGCCAGGATGGGAATCGCCGTCATGAGTCCGTACGTAAGGGTCCCGAGAAGAGATCCGCGGGCGATGAAGAGCGGGACGACAATCAGAAGAGAAATCAAGAGCGTATTCGAAAAGCTATCGCTGCCAGCGCCGTCGGCAGGGAGAGGCCCATTCTTGATGGAAGGGTACTACGGATATCGGCAGAAATTAGTAATGCGTGTTCTCTGACATGCGAAGGGATTGGTTTCTGTAGTTGTTTACCGTTGTCGTTCTCACGCCGCATTCTTCCGTAGATTTGGAGGGAAGCGTGGCCGCTGGAGTCTTTGCAAACTCAATGCCCTGTATGGTTTGGATGTTTTGGTTCCCCATCTCATTAGAAGCACTCACAGTGGTCTGGGAAGGACGTCTGAAATGGTAGGGAGATGTGCAGGTCCGAGTGAACAAGTACTGGGCGTGCCCTTTTAGACATCTGGTTTTGAAACCTTGTTTCCGGGTTCCGCGGGTCCCAATTTGCATGAGAAAGATTCTCGCTCCTCCAACGATGCAGAAGCCCACCGCGAGAAATGCTAGGTATCGTTACCTCAGTGTTTCGCCAAGAACGCTACCAAAGTGGAGGATGTGGGGCATACCTGGACGCTTGGACGCATGGCATTTCAACAGGAAGTTGACCGCGAACCACGTGATACCATCAAGGACCGTAAACGTCACGGATTAAGTAACAGGGAATTCAAACTCGTACACTAGATAGATAGGCTTCTCGTGCGATAACATTTCACAGCACCAATAATCAGAGTTCATACTGGCTTCCAGTCTTTAAATATCGGCAATGAAAAACGAATTGATTATCGCATAAACGCCTCTATTTTCCTGGGATTCCCAACGCCTGTAAAGGAAAAAAAGAGAGAGAGAAAGAAAGAGAAAAGCAACCAACTGATCTATGTGAGCACCGTAGCCTTATTTTTAGCTATACCGATAACGACCAGATATCCGAAAGTTCAACGTCAAAGAGATCCATAATGTCGATGCCCAGCTCGGAGTCCGTCGGCGCAGAGACGTCATCGTCCCCGAGTGAGAACACAAGCGGATCAGTATACTCCAAGCCCGGATAAGACGGTGCGCTTCCATCACCCGGATTCTGGTTCTGAAAAAAAAAAAAAACGTCAGAGCTTTCGCCATGGAATGGTCGTCGCATAATGGCACTTACGGTCTGAGGCATCACCGTTTCGTTTGACTGCGGGTGTTCAGAAGCCCGCATGACACCGGTAAGCCTCCACAAGTCCTCGCCTACTGACCGTGGTGGGGTAGGCATCGCTGTTGTTGCCGGGGTTGGATGCGACGCGCCAATCGATGGGTCAGCCGCGGGCGGCATCGCCAAACCTTTCATCCTCTGATACTGCTGCATCCGGAAGTCTTGCACATACTGGCGAGCGATGTGTGCGAACTCAGCGGCCAGCGAAGCGGGCAGAGTGCCCTGACTGACGTATTCCAGATGGCTGAAATGGCCACCCGCAATATCCAACAGCGCTAGGTTATTGTTCGTCTCGGGGTGCACGGGATTATGCACGACGAAATCAAACAGGATGAACAGCGCAGACAGAGGCATGAACACCAGAACCCTGAGTTTTCGCCACTGTCAGCAGCCGAAACGGAATCAACAGGAAAGAAAAAAGGATCACAGCTAACTCACCACACATGACTAAACGGCTCCACTTCAATATGCCTGCTAAGCTCCAAAATCCTCCTCGCCGTCTGCATCAGCTCCTTCTTCGCCTCCTGGTGCCTCGTGCCCTGCTCCTCATTCGTCTTGGCGACGTGTAGCGTGCCGCGCGACAGCGCCAGCAGCACGCTGAAGTACAGGTACTGCACGAAGATGGCCAGCGTCGTCGCCGGCGGCCCGCTGTAATCGCGCACCCTGAACGCGCCGCCGGGACGAAACCGCTCCGGTATCGCGTCCCGCCAGCCTTCCAGCTCGCCGCGCAGCTCGTCGATGATGGAGTAGTACGCCGCCGCCGGCTTGCCCGCCGCGTTGATGGCGAAGAGGTTCGCGTAGATGCGCGACACCAGCCGCCCGTAGCGCGAGAAGGTCACGAGCCAGTCGAAGCCGCCGAAGGCGGGTTCGGGGAGGCTGGGGGGCTGGGAGGAGAGAAGGGAGTTCAGCGGAGGGTGTTAGGGGGGGAATGTGGCGGTGGGGTTGGGGGGAGGAACTTACGGCGAAGCCGATGTCGTGGTCGCTGAGGAGCTGTGATTTGGATGGGCTGGTGAGTACTGAGGCGCGCGCGGGAGAGTCGTGGAGGAAAGGTCTCACTGATGTCTTGCCGGTGTAGAAGCAGGTTGTCTTCTCCATGCAGTAGAGGACCCAGAAGGTGCGTTGGATGGACTTGTCGCTGGATGCGGTAGCGCGGTTGTAGCCGAGGGATTGTGCCATGCGGGCAGCTTGAGAAACGGTAATGGACTCTAACTGAATACAGGATATGTTACGTGCAAAGACAGCCTATAGAGTTCCTTAGATGTAATCATTTTGGAATTTGGCAGTATCAACTTACCATTGCAGTCAAGGCTTGCACCGTTGTGAGAGAGGCTTTAAAGATAAGCAAGTCCGGACAGAGCGAGAAAGTGATCTCGAAGTACTTCCATGCTTGGCTCTTGCCCGGCTCGAAGCCACCTCGGTTGTGGTACTGCGAGCCAATTGCTAGCACTGCATGATAAAGCGCAGACCAGCTCTTATCGGTGGCAAGTTGATGCGCCAGCTGTGGGCTGAAAGCGCGGTCTTCAAACATCTTCCGGTCAAGAAAAGGGTATAGTGGATGGACTTGCTCGAAATATGCTAGAAAGTATTAGCAAGACTTTGGAGACTTTGCAGCAAGATACTGACATTGAATGTACCGCATCGCGTCCGCACCCACATCGGGAGAACTTGCGCTGTACATTTCCCTGATCGTAGACTGGGGCGGCACTTTATCTACCGTCTTCATCTTTGTATTGATTAATGACTCAATCGTTTCAACCAGCATTTGCAATCTTTGGTGACCAAGGCGGGCTGATAGCGCGTTTAAGCGTCTCTTCGAGAGAAACGCCAAACTAAGATTCGTTCCCCCACACAAGTCAGGTAAAGTCAAAGCGGTTGGTTCCGTGTAGCATGCTGACAAGGCCTGACTCAGGCAATTCGAATTAGCATGAGAGCATGTATATTCCATAGTAAACGGTTTACCTGAGGTTGAGGTTGTGATTGATCACGGTGGCGCCGGTCAGATGCCATGGGATCTTCGAGTAAACCATCAATGTACAGTTTCGGGATTTGTGTCTGTTTTACAGATGTCGCATTCCCCTTACCCGGCGTTTGCGGCTTTTGAGGATTGAGCTGCTCCGAGACGTGGTCGTCCCCGGAATAAGCGGGAGGGGTTTCATTATCTCTTTCTTCCAAGGAGGGCACAGAATGTGGAACCACATTTGATGTTGGAGTGAGTGTTGACATTGCACCATCGGAAGGTGACTCATGCTGTACGATTTGCAGAGGGCTCAAGGCTGCATGTGTAGGATCCAAGGCTGCAGAAGCTAGCGACAGTCATTATCAGTTACTCAGAGGCAGTGGACCAACTCATACCGGCAATTTTGCCGCGCCGAGCTTCTTCTTCTTTCTCAAGTCGGGTTTTTCTTCGTGGTTTCTTCCTCTGACTCCAGCTGCAGTCCAGGACACCCAACCTCTTTTAGACGCAGTCAGCAAGGCAGCTTAAAAAGGCGTACTGTGAACATGCCCTGCACTGATTGCATCTCTCAAACCCCGTATCCACTGTTAAAAAGCCGAAAAATTAGCGCTCTTTGGGAGCTAAGCGCGAGCGGAAAGGATACGAACCAGAACAGCGGACTTTGCGAGCTCGGCATCTATCACAAGCCTTTGTGAGGCTTCTTCGGATCGGCAGAGGCACATCAGCCATCGAAAGTTAGTTTGACAGTTCACACTGTGCGGAGGGTTCGGAGCTGAGATCTGTTCTGACCCTGAACGAGAACCCCGCGGCTTGCTTTTCACCTTCTCTAGAATCCCGAAGACCGAGGCACTAAGCCTTTTTGGTCAGCTTCGGTGCCGACAACGCCCTTCGGGAATCTTACCACACCCATCATCTCATGTGATTACAGATTCCAAGTTTCTTCTACACCTTCTTTTGAGCCATTTTCGATGGGCAAATTCCGTCTCTGGAATGTTCCTCGGCGATCGTCGGGGCTCCGTCCCACTTCCAATGGGCATTTTACGCCCGTTTCTGTGCACTGACGTCAAAGCGGCCTCTCCCAAGCCTGAAATATATGCTGGCAGGGCTAGAGAATGCAAGTCATCTTGATAGCAGATGCAGCCTCCTCGGATGTCTAATCCACCCGTGTCGGAGTGGTGGAAAGGAGGCGTTTCCGCTTGTATTTATACCTTCAATGACCAGACCGTACCCGATTGTCACACTCCAGTCTTCCATTCGTGGTCTTTGCAAGCTTCTCAGTGGCGATCCCTGACTCACCGGGATGTCCAATTCTCACCTCGAGCCCATGCAAGAGGAAGCAAAAGAACGGGACGAGATTTCCATGTCGGGAGAGACTAGAGTCGGTGAGGACTCGAACGGGAGTCAGGAGCATGACCTCCTTGACTACTCGCCACAGGAGCTCTCCAATACTGTGAGAACTCTTTCACACCGGATCAGTATCCAGGACCCATTCAACACCAAGGACCCGAACTGGACCCTCGAACGCGCCCTCGCAAAAACTATCCAGACCGCTCGGAACGAGGGACTTCCGCCGATCACGCTACAGAACTCGGTACGCTGGAGAGATGTCCAAGTGTTTGGGGAAGGCGTCGATGTTGCGTTCCAACCCGATGTTACCTCGATCTTCACGGACCCGATCAAGGCCTTGACGAAAGTGTGCCGGCGCCCCCCGGAAAGACAGATTCTCCACGGCATCACCGGTTTAGTGAAGGAGGGCGACATGCTCCTTCTGCTTGGACGCCCTGGCGCCGGATGCACGACCTTGCTCAAGACACTGTCGGGTCACACTGAGGGATTCACGCGTTGGCATGGCGACATCACGTATCACGGTGTACCCATCGAGATCATGAAAGATCGCTTCCGCGGTAACGTGGTCTACAATGCCGATGTGGACTGCCACTTTCCCCATCTCACCGTTGCGCAGACGCTTGACTTTGCATTGAGCACGAGGACACCGCACCGGAGAATGGCCGGCCTCTCGCGGGACGAGTACATTGTCAAAATGCGAAACATTCTGGCTGCTACGATGGGTCTGACGCATACATTGAACACGAAAGTTGGAAATGACTACATCCGAGGTGTGTCTGGAGGCGAGAGGAAGCGAGTTTCGATTGCCGAGATGGTGAGCATTCATTCTTTCAGTCACACTTTACAATCATTGACAAGTGCAGATGGCAACCAGAGCTTCCGTTATGTACTGGGACAATCCGACTCGCGGTCTGGATTCTTCAACATCTCTGGAATTTGCCCGTAGTCTCCGAGTTGCCACAAATCTTACCCGGAATGTCGCCATGTCGGCACTCTACCAGCCCGGTGACGGACTCGTCGATGTCTTTGACAAAGGCTTGGTCATGTACAATGGCCATCAGATTTGGTTCGGAGATCTGCAAGTGGGAAAAGCATTCTTCGAAGACATGGGCTTCTACTGCGCGCCTCGTGCTACCACGGCAGAGTTTCTGACATCCATCACGGACTCGGTTGCACGTCAGGTCCGTCCTGGTTACGAAGATATGGTTCCTCACACGCCCGAAGAATTTGCGTTGAGATGGAAAGAAAGCGTTCACTACCGCCGTTTGATGGACGAGATCGAGGAACATGAGCGCGAATTCCCGCGAGACCATCATGAGACTCTTGACACTCTGCACGAGCATCAAATGTCCGAGAAGGCTCCTCTTACTCGCAAGCAGTCTCCGTACACTCTGAACCTGTGGATGCAGTTCGCAGTCACAGCCAAACGAGCTCTGCAGAGGATGCAGCAAGACCGAGTCTACACCATCGCTATGATCTTCACGATGATTGTCACTGCTGTGGTGGTCGGCTCCATGTTCTACGACATACCCGAGGACACGTCAGGCTTTTTCTCCAAAGGCGGCGTCATCTTCTTCTCCGTCCTCTTCAACATCATCATCAATTTTGCCGAAGTCAGCGCGCAGTTCTCGCAGCGGCCAATCGTCGAGAAGCACAAGTCTTTCGCCATGTACCACCCATCCGTCGACGCCCTAGCCACCATGATGACGCAGTGGCCGATGAAACTGATCAACGTTGCGATATTCAGCGTCATCATCTACTTCTTGGCCAACTTCAAGCGGGAGGCGGGTGCTTTCTTCCTCTTCCTCGTCTTCAACTTCCTCATCTCCGTAACCATGAGCGGATTTTTCCGGACGGTCGCCACGTTGGTGAACACAGTCGAGGCCGCGCTAGGTGTTTCCGGTGTGCTGATGCTTCCTCTTGCCGTCTATGCTGGCTACGTCATCCCGCGACCCTCTATGCATCCATGGTTCAAATGGATCAGCTACATGAATCCGATCTACTACGCTGTCGAATCGCAGATGATTGTCGAGTTCCACGGAAGACATTCGCCCTGTACCGTCAGCATGGTCCCGTCTGGTCCTGGCTTCGAGAACGCCGGGCTCGACCATCAGATATGCGCAGTGACTGGCGCGAAGCAAGGGCAGTCGTACGTTTTGGGAGATGATTACATTGAAACGTCTTTCGATTATTCCTATTCGCACCTCTGGCGTAACCTCGGCATCTGCATCGGCTTCTTCATTTTCTTCATCTTCACCTACGCCATTGCCGCCGAGTACAAGCAGATCCCCACGTCAAAGGGCGAGTTCCTCATCTTCCACCGAGCCAATTTGGGTTTTGGACGGGCCCGCAGCAAGAGCAGTGCCGACAGAGACGTCAAGAGCACCCTGCAGAAATACCTCGGAGAGGGACAGAGCGTGGACCCGGCCGCCGTAGAGAAGAGCGAGGACGTCTTCACTTGGAACCACGTCAACTACGACGTGGACATTAAGGGCGAGACACGCCGACTCCTCAATGATGTACAGGGCTACGTCAAACCCGGAACCCTCACAGCGCTAATGGGAGAATCAGGAGCTGGCAAGACGACTCTCCTCAACGTGCTGGCACAGCGTATAACCACAGGTGTCGTCAGCGGCGACGTCCTCGTCAACGGTTCTCCGCTCGACCGGTCTTTCCAACGAAGGACCGGCTACGTGCAGCAGCAAGATATCCATCTAGCCGAATCCACCGTCCGCGAGGCTCTCCGCTTCTCTGCGTTGCTTAGGCAGCCAGACGATGTTCCAGTCCCGGAAAAATACGACTATGTGGAGAAAATCATTACTGCGCTGGGGATGCAGAAGTATGCGGATGCCGTCATTGGTGTTCCCGGAGAAGGTCTCAACGTCGAGCAGCGGAAGAGGACGACCATCGGCCTTGAATTGGTTGCCAAACCCAGCCTTCTGTTGTTCTTGGATGAGCCGACCTCCGGTCTCGACTCGCAATCGGCTTGGGCCATCATCAAGTTTCTGCGTGAACTGGCAGATGCCGGACAGGCGATTCTGTGCACCATTCACCAGCCGTCGGCTTTGTTGTTCGAACAGTTCGACCGCATGCTGCTGTTGGCGAAGGGCGGCAAGACAGTGTACTTTGGCGATCTCGGACCGGACTCCAGGATCCTGCGGAAATACTTTGAACGAAACGGCGCCAGACATTGCGAGGAGCACGAGAACCCGGCCGAATACATTCTGGACGTCATCGGCGGCGCCGCCGCCTCGGCGCAAGGAACGCAGAAGTGGGCTGACACATGGCTGAAATCCCCAGAGTACAAGACCACCGTGACCGAGATCCAACAGCTCGAGGCTCCGAGCAGAAGCAGGGCCAACGCCAATTTTCCTGCCGAAGAGATAAGCAGTTTCGCACTGCCCATCCACAAGCAGTACATGGCCGTGCAGAAGCGCCTCTTCCAGCAGTACTGGCGGTCGGCGTACTACATCCAAGCCAAGATCGTCACCTACATCATCGGCGGCCTCTTCATCGGCTTCACGTTCTGGAAGGAGAAGACGTCTGTGCAAGGGTTGCAGAACAAGGTCTTCGCCATCTACATGATGCTTCTGGTCTGCCTCGTCGTCGTCGTCCAACTCCAACCGCGCCTGATCGCCTACCGCGAGATCTACGACGTGCGCGAGCGGCACTCGCACATGTACCACTGGTCCATCTTCGTCGTCGCGTCCTTCATCGTCGAACTCCCCTTCAACATCGTCATCGCGTCCCTCTGCTTCGTCGCATGGTACTTCCCGATCGACTGGCAAACAACCATCTCCGCGGGGAGGGGCGCGACCATGTGGCTCATCTTCCTCGTGTACCAGCTGTACCACTCGTCCTTCTCGCAGATGATCACCATGGCCGCGCCCAACGCCGAGACGGCGGCCATGCTGACCATCCTCTTCTACACCTTCATCCTCGCCTTCTCCGGCGTCGTCCAGCCGCTCGTCCAGCTGGTCAAGTTCTGGCATTTTGCGTATTACGTCTCGCCCTTCACCTGGCTCGTCTCGGCGCTGATGGCGACGGGTACGCACGGCGTCGCCGTCGAGTGCTCGGCTGTCGAGGTCAACGTCTTCCAGCCGCCGCAGGGCATGACGTGCGGGGCGTACGCGGCGCAGTTCGCGGCCGCGGCGGGCGGCGCGATTTACAACCCGGAGGCGACGAGCGATTGCCAGTATTGCAGGTACGCGATGGCGGATGTGTTTTTGCAAGGGTTCAACATGATTTGGGCGGATCGGTGGAGGAACGTTGGCTATCTTTGCGCGTATACGGCGTTCAATGTTTGTGCGTTTTTCGTGGCGTACTACCTGCATTCCGAGGTAGGCTTTGGGAACATGGCTGGGGCTGTGAGTAGATTGGTACGGTTTCGCAAGACGGGGGAAAAATAATCTACGGGGTTAGCGGTTGGTTTATGGAGAAATAAAATTGTTGGGATCTGGAGTTGAAAAGCAAATAGAAAGCATTCTTGCGACCAAATCAGTTCCCAAATGCAATGACGTTGGTAGGATCCATCCATGGTATTTCCGAAAATATTAACGTTGAAAATTAAGTATGTAACCTGGGGTATAATTGGTCGTTCAGCAAGCATATACAATTCAATACCAGCTCTTTTCCACAAGGGTCATGAGTGCTGTTGACCCGGCAACTCGTGGGCCCCTTGAGATTTCGGCGGGGCTCCTCCCTGCTGCTGCTGCTGCTGGAAATACATGGGATTTCCGTCCGCCTCGTGGAGCTGGTTGTCCGTGTGAAGTTCATGCGACAGCGGCTCGCTGCCGCTCTGCTTCGGTTCCGCGGCAGACTGGTCATTGGCCCACCGCGGCGTGGCGCCGATTCCGCTCCGCCTCCGCCGCCGCCAGATCAAAAGTCCTGCAAGGCCGGCGAGTGCTACACCGCCAAGAGCACAGCCGACTGCGATGCCTGTAACGGCACCGGTGGAAAGAGACGAGCCGCCCGCCGCCGCTGTTGCTTGACTCGATGCGCTCGTCGATGCGCTTGTTGATGTGGTTGTTGATGTCGCGCTCGAGGCCTCTGCGGCGTTCGTTGCGGGCGGTGATGCGCTCGTGGATGCGGCGGCCGACGTCGTCGTGGAACCCAGCGTCGAGTAGTGTTCCTGGTTGTACACCAGCGCTTCGCTGGAAGACATGTTGTAGACCGGATTCTTGAACAGCCCCCAGCAGATGTTGATCTGGCCGGGGGTTCGCGTGCATTCGTCGTTCTGGGTGCAGCACCACTCAGCCTCGTTGGAGCTGCAGTATATTTGCGAGTCGTCCGGTGTTGTCGAGTCGCCGCCTTTGCATGTTTGAGACCACGTCCAGCACACTCTGTTCGGATACATGTCAGCGGTTGTCTAGCGGACACGGATAGTCCCCTACCTATCAGGTGCCGAGCACGCCCAAACCCGATTCACACCCTCGACATACGCACAAAGGTTGCCATTCGCTGTCAGATCGTTGGCATCTATCGAGGCGCCATTGTAGACGCATTTGTCCACATTGCTGCTCAGGAAGAAGCTCGCATTTACCGACATGGTGTGTCGCACCTGCCGGTGACAGGTCTCACAAACAGGCGTTAGGCAGGAGAGAGGCTCGAGGGAAAGTCAGGGAAAAGGCATCGAGGATGTACGGCTCTAAATGCGGACAAGTCCGGGGTTATCTCGACCGTGCGCTTTGGGGGCTGAAATCCTTCCTGCCACAGCCGCGTTCCGACTCCACCTTGGCCCCATGACTCGTATCCTGCATCGCCATATTGCCAAAGTGGAGTAGGTACGAACTGGCGTCGTTGGTGCATGTTGTGCGTCCTGATGAGCGGATCATGGTTGGAAAATGGGAACGCCCCGAGAGCTCGGCCCGTAGGATTTTTACTTTAACCTATCGGTACATCAAGCGTCAAGGCGTGCGCCACCAACAAGGTTGAAAAGAAACTCAATCTCTATTGGTCCGCATGTCACAGCCGCCCCGGAAGAGCCGCTTGCTCCTCCAGCGCGTAAACAAGCTTCAAGAAATCTAATTGATAAAAAGACACATGAAAAGCATATGCCTGTTATCACTCACATATCCCTTTCGTGGATATGGCTGTCCTAACTTCAACAACCTCCATAGCGATTATATATTCTCTAAGTTTCCCATAAACCACGAAATATATCACGCTTTTTGTAGCTCAACCAGTCGGAAGCATTTTCCCTCAGCATCGACACTGGATTACTGCACATTTCAGTTACTTTTTTTTTTCGTCATTACTAAAAGAATATGATGGATTCAGATTGGGTTTTCAAGGGAGGTACGCCGACTGACAGAAACCCAGCCTTCTTCTCGAAGATAGTTAATATCTTTTTTAAGATGCACAAACCATTATCAACTAAGTTGTTATATAATGACCAGCTCTGCTTCTAATGAGCGAAGTTGAAAGTGCTCCTAATGGGTCTATAGCGAAAATCTGACTCTATCGGATGATGACTGCAGCACTGCGGGTGGCTCGGCTGGCACACGCGAACATCCAGTAATGTGTGCACATCCCCCCATTGGCTGGATGATGGCATATGTATTGCTCCACCACTTTCTGCCTGCTCCCCCGCGTTACGCGAATCGCCGAGCCTGCTCCACCTCCGCACAGCCTTGCGCACAACCTCTCTTCACCGTCCTACCACAACTACGCAGACCGCGTTCGAGACACGGACCATGGATTCTTCATCCGCAGTCGCACCCGTGGACTCTCCATACGACGGCCAAGATCTCAGTCGCGGGGAGATACGCCTTCTCACCATCATTTCAACCAAGCCGCGCATAGAGCTTTCAACCGAGCGACACAGCCTCGCTGAAGATCTGGAGTTTGAGGCAGTGTCGTATGTATGGGGCACAGCACCCGCCACCGTCGAAGCCACATGCAACGGAAAACCACTTCCTGTCACTCCGACCGTGCGAGATATGCTCGTGCACCTACACCTCTACAGGCAGGCGCCGCAACGTCCGCTGTGGATCGACGCCATCTGCATCAACCAAGGCGACATGGACGAGAAAGCTATCCAAATACCTTCCATGCATAATGTCTTTTCGCAAGCGGCGCAAGTCATCATTTGGATGGGTATTGCAACAACGGATACAGACGCCTTCATGGCTGACTTCCCCAGGGTGTCAGAGATCGCTAGAAACTGGGTATCCACTGGAACAGACCCGTCCGCGCCGGGAGTCATACAGGCGTGTTCCTGGCCACCGGATGATGATCCGTTCTGGATGGGGTGCTTCGACTTACTCTATGGAGAGTGGGTCCAACGCTTGTGGACGTTTCAGGAAGCCGTCCTTTGCCAAAAAGCAATCATTCTTTGTGGAGCTTCCAGCATTGATTTGGATAATCTCCTCGACTTCTTCGACGAAGGTCACTATGGTACAATTGTATACCTCCCTGAAGTTTCAATTGATTCTCGTCTCTATCCTTTTGCATCGGAAGAGTTTCAAGCAATTCGGATGTTCCGAAAATACATCAAAGTTTCTGGGGTTGTGGAAACGTATAAGATTCCAGACCTTCTACACAGACTACGTAACAGACGTGCGAAGGAGCAAGTGGATCGAGTATGGGCTGTAACCGGCTTATTCAATAATGACGTGCAGCAAGACTTGGCACCAAAGGTTGACTACAGCATTGGAGGCCTTGAGGATTACTCTAGGACATTTGTCGATTTTGCAAAGGTTGTTCTTGCAAGATCAAAGTCACTGAATCTTCTGTCCGTGCCTCCTCTGCTTGAGCCAAAGGAAAACTCCCTCCCATCATGGTGCCCGGACTTTTCAGGTCAAGGAGCTTGCTTCCAGTTCATTACTGGTGATTGGACCCTTCCTGTCAGCAGCCGTAATCAACTTGCTTCACTGCTGCTTTACGAAGACATTCATGATCAAGAGAAATGCCACGAGAACAGTAGGGCTATCTGGAATCATCGCCGTCGATGCTTTTGGACGTCTGAAACGGACAATATCTTGCGCGTTCGTGGCTTTTGCGTGGACACGGTGTCTGAGACCATAGAAACCCCATGGATTATTGGTCCGACGAATTGGGCGACTAACGTGGATTGGGCGCTCTTCAACATCCAGAATCCCTCTTTTGCGGCTGCCATGAGCTGGGAGTCACAAAGTCTGGCATTAGCGCGCCGCATTTTCCATGGAGAGAATGATGCAGAGTCGAGTATTCCTCGAGAATACCTCATGACATTACTTCAGGATTGTCGCATATCTGACGAAACAGAGACTGCATATACCGATGCAATGTCCGTTTTGCGGAGCGATGATCCGGAGAAAGAGTTCAATCAGCTCGACTTTCCCTGGGTGACGCGTGTTGGTCAATGGATGAGTCATTTAAGAGGTTTGTGTGGGTACACTTTTTTCAGTACCACGAGTGGTCGCATCGGGATAGCAACGCCGGGATGCAAGCCTGGAGACAAGATATGTATTCTCTATGGCGGGTATCCGCTGTACATCTTGCGTTGGCCAGGTTGCGGTAACAGCCCTGACTCCAGTTCTGGGGGTACCATCGTCGAATTGAAGGGGACTGCGTTCGTTCCTCATCTCATGGAACAACATCGGTCAGATGATGCTCGCCTCGGGGACGATGAGATATTCTCAATTGGTTGATTGGCTGGATTTAATTGCGCGGAGAAAAACAATACTAGACGTCGCTATTACTTTTGGTCCTTGTATTCATATTTGTGTTATTTGTGAGATTTGAATGGCTGTTGACAACACTACTTTACGTCTTCATTTCAAGTCAACATGCGCCTCAGTCACACTTCATCTACATGTTCAGAAAATGCGAATAAGATACAATACAAAGTCTCGCTTCCCTTCAGTTCGGCAACGTATCCATCAGGCCATACGAGAGAATGTCATGATCCCCCAGCTGATCCGCAATCGACAGAAATTCACAAGAAGAAATTCCGAGATTATCAAAAAGCTCAGCATGACCGGCCGTCTGTGCGCAATCCGAGGGGGAAGAATCCGTAGCGTGTTCAGATATAGACATGGCGAACTGAGCGGGCTCCGAGGCCGACACCGCAGGCTGCTCCACTTCATGGGAAGGATTGCTGCTGTAGCCCATCTCCGGCCCCGACAGACTTGCCAGCGTCAGCGCCTGGAGACCGCGCCGTTCCGACTGGACGGCCAGCTCTTGGCACAGCTCTTGAAGACGGACCAGCTCCGCTTTTCGCATCGCGGCAACTCTGTTACCTCTGCCGATCATCTCGTCGAGGATATCGAGGGCCTGTTGTTCGTAGCTTTCGTTTCCGGCCGTGCCAGGGAATATAGCGTTGGCCATGATCAGATGCAAGGCCGCGCCATAGGTGAATTCGAGGTCAAAGGGGAGGAAGGTTTCTACAGCGAAGTCAGCTTTATTCTGTGTTTGTATCAGCGTGGCATCGGGGACTGACCGAGGATACTGTCGTTGTCGGACAGTATCTGCAGTGTTTTCACCGCGGAGTTGATGCCGGTGGAGATCAGGTTTGTCGTGAGAGCCAGAAAGCTCTGCCAGTCTTCTTCTGCGAGGTCCATGTTCTCCAGGCGCTCCTTGAGAACAGACAGGAGGAGGGGTCTCGTGGCTACAATCACGCACTGAGGAGAAGAATTGCATGAGTATGATGACAGACCATGTGAGAGCATAAGTTTTCTAATTTACTAACCTGATGGTAAAGCAATGTGATGTGGCGTGTAACCCTGGGCATTGTCTTGACGGAGTTTCGAAACTTTGTGCTGACGATGTCCTCAATCTCCTGGGCATGCCCGGCCATGGTACGCAGGGTAGACCTTATTGTCTCAAGAAATACGCCCAGTTGAGTTTTACCGGCCTTGTATATTGCTGAAGCAGGTAAGCGTTGAGAAAAATCTGAGACAGAAAAGTTTTCTTTTGACTTACTCGTTACAATTACCGAGAGCAAATGTGACAGCTTGACCTGAAGGCCGAGCGTGCTGTCCTCTTGCGAGTCTGTGCTGAACGAGCTGACTGGGACAGTTATTTCACAGTCAGCAGTCGTCGTCGGGAGTCCGAGAGAAGTCGAGAAATGTCGGTCCATGATGTACAACGTCCACCAAAGATTGCGGCAACGTGTAACCGTCTCGATCCCAAGCTCTTCCTCTGGAAGCATGGTATGTATTCCTTCAAACTGTGCTATGCGCAGTGCTTGACCGAGCTATGTACCTAGGAGCATCAGCCACCGAATATTCTTTGAAGAGCGGTTGTTGATCAGACTAACGTAGACATGCGCTACTTCTCTTTGGTCAATTGAATAGAGATAGAGACCGGCCAAAGCTAATGCCTCGACGGCGGGGCAGCTTTCCTTCCACATCGATGTATGGTCCGGCATCAGAGACATGGCACGCACGAAATACTTTGCACCTGGCGGTTCCTGAGGATCGCTTGACTTTGAGAGAAAGGCTGTACCGAATGCCAGGACAAGAAGGAATTGGACAAACCACAGACGGGACTCTGTGGCCTTCTCGAGAGCATTTCCATAGTAGAATTGGTGCACGTGGTCGATAAATTCCCGGTCGTTGAATGATCGATAGTGATGGCCAAGGTGGAACTTGACTGTATGGAATAGGTACAGGGCGTGGTCAACCGATGGCAGATCGCTGATGTCAGGGGGGTCATCAGTCGAGCCGTGCTTCCATTTTAAGTTGTAAGTGTCGGCCTCGAAACATTTGGAGAAATTGGTCGTAGCTTCAATGTGAAGCTTTTCGGTCAACATCAGCTCGAGACGAACACTGAAAGACATTGTCGACCGAGGGGCCAGCCATACTGTAAGTGTCTTGTTAGGGTCGAAGAGAAAAGCTGCAGGATGATTGAACTAACTCCATTTGCGCTTGTCCCTGCATACGTTCTTGATTGTCTTCGAAGGGCATTCGAAGGGACTGGTCCAAATGCTGAACGTGCTGTCGCTGGGCTGCTGTTGTGTTACCCCATTCGTTGCGGACGCCAAACCCATGCCTAGCCAAGCATACTTAGCCCAGGGTTTGAAAGAGAGGGGAAATATGGTACAGTAGACTTGCACTCACCATCATGTTCACCGGCATTGGGCCTGAATGTAGCAGACTGCGGACTTGAAGTCTGGCTAGGGGTCACGGGCGAGGGTAGTCTTGTCGTAAATTGTCGTTGGGTTCGGGACAGCTTCTGCAACTCTCGGAGATATCTGCCTCGTGGCGTTAGCAAGCCGACATGAGACGACCTTGCACACGGCATACCTTTCCGAGACCACAATCTTATTACCGCCATCTGTAAAGCGACATCTGACGGCGCGCCGCTGGCAGTTTGAACACGGCTCCTCGCCGGAACATTTGATTTTGCTCTGTCGGCACGCGATGCAGCTGTGGTTCCGTTAGCGACATGAGAGACGACGCATTGGGGGACCCTACGCGTTGGCAGTCCTCCGCCCCTTCCGATGTTCCGTCTGCGTGTCGGCACTCATAGTGTCACGTTATGCGATGATGAGGTGACCTATCCACGGTCGGCTTTTCAACGTGGGTGATCAATGCTTTCACATAGGGCCCGAGATGATAAGAGTTGCATGGATCTGCGCTACCCCGCTTGTGAGATACACGGCGTGTTCTTATCGCACCCGACGAAATCGCTAAAAATCAATGCACCAGATAGCACTAAGCATGCTTCTGCTACGAATGATCGCGTATTACATGCATATGGATCTATGGTAGTGCTTTCGCGATGGCTTTCTCGTTGGAGACAAAGAACGCGGCCACTTGCTAAACGGTTTGCCATTTTTGCGGGGTAGACCAGGCATTAGCAAAGTCATGCGGTAGATTTCAGACCGCGGAGAAGACGAGCCGCATGGAAAACGCGGGGAGTTGCTCCTTAATGAGAGTCATTGGGCACGACTACGTATGACGTATCTGGGGGATCACTGCCGGGATCGGATGGGGTTCCCGATCCCTGTTCTGTTTTCCGGCTGTGGAAGCCGAGGTAGCTTCTTGTACTTCTCTCTCGTGTTCTCTGGTAACACTGCTCGCTCATTTCTCCGCCGCAGTGCTACTGTTTGCTGTGCAGGAAGGTATCGCGACATGTGTTGTACTTCTCTGGGAAGAAAGTCCTGTCACATCGAAGAGAAGCTGCTCCAACCTCACGTCCGCGGGCATGGCGCCTGCAGAGCCCCACATTGTCTTCCTCGGTAGTTCATTGGAAGCGACTTCCTCCGTGTGTTTCACTAGTAGGATGGCCGGGAGAGCGCGGTACAAGCAGACCAGAGTGTCACGCTTTGGACGTACTGTGTCCCTTCTTTGTATTGGGGCCTGATGCACATAAAGCTGGGCTTGAGCCTCTTTGACCTTCCTGAAGGAGGAAACGTGTCCTGTGACAACCGTAACAGGCACGGGAATGAAAGCCGGGACACGTATGACTGTATTGATTGGTCGGAACGCACCCGATACAGCCCTCTCCATCAATGGTAAAAGGGCCACGATCGAACTCCTATCAAAGCCAGCGGCCACCGGAAGCCCCTCGGCTCCAACATTGTCGAATTCAGTATTTTCGCCGTGTTTTTCCGTCATATCCTTGGAATAATGGCCCTTGGTGCTAGCCTCACTTCTCGGCGCCGATGACAAGGCTAAGACGCTGGGCCTTCCACCCACATGATGAGTTGACTCGTGGGTCTGCGGAGCACTGAGGCAGCTGGTTTCAACGTCCGAATCACCTTTCAAAGCCGCGCACTAGGAACAAGGTACGTGTAACAACCCGCCAAGGTACTCATAAGTGTTTGCAATCTGTACTACGGATTTGATGCCACCTTTGAGCCGACCAGAGTCGGAAGGAGAAACGCACGGGACACCTACTGCCAGGCAAGTACATGCAGTCGCTACAGCCAATAAGCCCCCAGCTGATGACGTCGCAGTGGGTTGCCCAGGTCTCGGGTTCCCCACCCGAGCTGATACTCCAACACCAATGCGGCGAAGGATTGATAAAAGATTGTTCCACGCGGGGAAATACCTGAATATCTGGATAGTGAAGGTGGGGGAACATGAAGGTTGGTCCCTGTTCCCTGCCGGCGGAGGCTGAGGACGACGGCAGATGTAAGTAGATAAAGTCCTCAGTTCCTGCACAGTCGATCTGCCAACCTCTCCTCACGGCTGGACAACGACAACAATGACGGCAGATTCGCTATCTTTGAAGCAGGTGGCCACCACCACGAAGAATGAGTCCGGGTCGGAAGCAGGCGACTATGCCATTGGCGAGTCTACGCTGCACCAGGCAGCGCTGCAGCGCCATTTGAAACCGCGCCAGGTACAGTTCTTTGCCATCGGTGGCTCCATTGGGACAGCGCTCTTCATCACAATCGGCTATGGTCTACTGCATGGAGGAGCCGGCAGTCTGCTGATTGCCTTCATCCTGCAATCCATCATCCTCTCCTTGGTGAACAACGCTCTCGCCGAGATGACCATCTTCATGCCCGTCAGCGCCGCCTTTATTCAGCACGCCGATGTCTGGGTCGACAAAGCTTGGGCTTTCATGATCGGGTGGAACTTCTTTTTGTTCGAAGCAATCCTGGTTCCCTTTGAGATTACAGCCTTGGACTTGATCTTGACATATTGGCGCGATGACATTCCCTCGGCGGCAGTCATCTCTGCCTGCATCTTCACATACGGGTTTGCATGATTCCAGCCCCAATTCTCCCCTATTTCAAGAGATCTGGATGTTGACTCGGTTTTAGAATCACCAATATCCTTGCTGTGGGGTATTTTGGCGAGGCCGAGTTCTGGCTCTCCATTGGAAAGCTGTGTCTCATCATCCTTGTGTACACCTTCACTCTTGTCACCATGTGCGGTGGAAACCCGCAAGGCCATGCGTATGGGTTCTCGAATTGGACAAAACCAGTATTACTCAATCGTCACCCCGCACGCCGTCGGACGACACTAACGTCTCTTGTGTCCCTAGGGTCCCTTCGTCGCATACATTAGCACGGGTGACTTGGGTCGGTTCCACGGCTTCCTTTCCGCGCTGTGGCAGGCTGCCTTCATCGTCGTTGGCCCTGAATATCTTGCTGCTTGCGCCGGTGAAGTCCAAAATCCACGTAAGACGTTGCGGTCTGCCTTTAAGCATGTTTACTGGCGCTTTGCTCTCTTCTTCGTCTGCGGCGCCCTCTGCGTTGGCATAATTCTGCCGGCCAATGACCCGACCTTGAACAGGGTTCTGAGCTCAGGCGAGACTGGTACTGGCGCGTCGTCTCCCTTCATCATTGCCATGGCCAACATGGGAGTCGGTGTCCTCCCTCACATCGTCAATGGGCTCCTGCTGACCAGCATCTACTCTGCTGGAAACTGTTACGTCTACACCACCGTCCGTAGTCTCCATGGATTGGCTTCCAACGGGCACGCCCCCAAAATATTCCTGAAGACGACCAAGAACGGCGTACCCATCTACTCGCTCGGCGTGGCACTGGCGTTTGGCTGTCTGGCTTACTTGAAGCTGAACAGCGGCACCATGCAGGTGCTGAACTGGTGAGATTGATCTCCACATCTCTGTGTCTGTCTATAGCAGTGCTGATTGCCAATGAATGACAGGTTCGTCAATCTCGTCACCAGCGGCACGTTGATAGCCTACATCGTCATCTGCGTCAACTACCTGTTTTTCTACCGCGCCCTGAAAGCACAGAAATACGACCGCGATGCTCTCCCGTACAAGGGCTGGTTCCAACCATACGGCACATGGATCGCGCTGATGTGGCTGGTGTTGGTCGAAATCTTCTACGGCTATGCCGTGTTTCTCCGTGGCAACTGGGACGTGGGCACTTTTTTCAGTAGCTACACTATGGCCTTCCTCGCCATCTTCCTTTTCACGTTCTGGAAGATCTTCAAGCGCACGAAAGCCGTTAGCCCGCACGAGGCAGACTTGGTCTGGGCACGACCCCTGGTGGACCAGCATGAGGCGCTGTTCGCCGAAGTGGAAGAGGCCGGGATTTGGGAGACGGTGAGGACGTTTCTGAAGCTCGACAAGGTTGGGCTTCCCTTTCGATCTAGCGCGTAGGCGTGAGTGAACTGTGCAAGAGTCATCCGGGCTTGGTCCTCGGTTGATGCGCTCTGTGACATGGGTAGGGAATGTCGGTTTGGTTGGTTGTTTGGAATTGGTTTCCCGTTCCTACCCTTAGACAAAGACAACAATGAAATCGATTTCTAGAGCCTTACTGGAATAACATAACGTGACGGCCTCTAAGATTTCCTTGAGAATGCTCCGCTGCATGAATGATATCCATGCACGCATCTACAAATACTTTGCCACCAAACAACATACTATGTTCAGCTGTTCCAGTTAAGCCCGCTGTATGTACTTTCTGGTAGATGGGGAGATGAGACGTCATGCAGAAGTCTGATCCAACAGCTCTATGGGCCGGGTCGACCCGTGGAGTGATGTAACCATATCCACCAAGATGTGTGTTGTTTTTCGTTGTTTAATCAGCAACGAATGGAGCCCCATTGGCTATGCGACTTGATAAGCCGGAACGGCTGCAATTCTATCCCGACATGAGGATCTTCCGGGATCCGAACGGTCTGCGCCACTCGCACCCCATATCTGTGGCCCGTACATGTGCTATCAGCCACGTCGGGACGAAGCCGAGGAAGGCGGGTTCTCGGATCTGACGCCGAGGGTCGGGGGCTGGCATTTCAAGCATTCGGGATCGATTAAACAAAAGGAGTTCAAAAGTGCGAAAGATGTAACTTGTAGATCTCCATTGGTAGCACGCTAAAGCGTCATGAAGCATTTGTGGGAGACGTACCCCATGTGTCCACTGGTAAGTGTCGTCCATGCTCGGCCCGGACCCCGACCATTGTGGGGATGTGGCAATATGGAAGACGATGTAGGAAGGGCGCCGGGCGCGGATACCGAGTGTTTGATGAAATTGTTAGCTGCCATTGGCAAAAAGTTGTTTTCCATATTAAACCGCTGTTGTTGATACACTTCATCTTGTTTAAGTCCCTCCCCTTTGCGCAGATCTTTTTTCTGACCTCTACCTGTTTTTTCCTCTATCAAAATGGCTTCCCTTGCTTCCTCTCTGAAAGATCCCAGCCTCGTTGTCGAGAAGGCCTACATCGACGGCCAGTGGGTAGCATCCGAGTCCAACAAGACCTTTGTGGTTCGCAACCCCGCCACTGAAGCGGTCATTGGATCGTGCCCAGAGTGCAGCACGGACGATCTGAACGCCGCCGTGCGCGCCGCATCCGCCGCATTTCCCAGCTGGAGAGCGCAGTCCGGCCGGGCGCGCGGCCGCATCCTCCGGAAATGGTTCGACCTCATCGTCGAGAACAAGGTCGACATCGGCAAGATGATCACGGCCGAGAACGGCAAAGCCACGGGCGACGCCGAGGGCGAGGCGCTGTTCGCGTCGAGCTTCTTCGAGTGGTTCTCCGAGGAGGCGCCCCGGCTCTACGGCGACGTCGTCCCGCACAGCAACCCCAGCGCGCGGACGCAGATCCTCAAGCAGCCCATCGGCGTCTGCGGGCTCATCACGCCCTGGAACTTTCCCCTGGCCATGGGCGCCCGCAAGATCGCCGCCGCCCTGGCCGCCGGCTGCACCGTCGTGCTCAAGCCGGACGGCCTCACGCCTTTTTCGTCCAACGCGCTCGCGGTGCTGGGCGAGCGTGCGGGCGTGCCAAAGGGCGTCTTCAACGTCGTCACGGCGCTCGACAACACGCCCCAGCTCGGCCTCGCCATGTGCGAGTCCGACATCATCAAGAAGATCTCCTTCACCGGCTCGACCCGCGTCGGCCGCCTCCTGATGGCGCAGTCGAGCCAGTCGCTCAAGAAGCTCAGCCTCGAGCTAGGCGGCAACGCTCCCTTCATCGTCTTCGACGACGCCGACGTTGAGACAGCCATCACAAGCACGTTAATCAGCAAGTTCAAGGTCACAGGCCAGACTTGCGTGTGCGCCAACCGTATCTACGTGCAGAATGGCATCTACAACCGCTTCTGCCAGCGGCTGGTCGAGGAGGTCAAGAAGCTGCGTGTTGGTAATGGGGCTCACGAAGGCGTCACACACGGCCCGCTGACGATCGGTGTTGAGAAGACTGAGGACCACGTCCGCGACGCCGTCGGCAAGAAGGCTACTGTGTTGCTTGGTGGCAAGCGCCTACACAGCCTCGGGAAGAACTTCTTCGAACTGACCGTCCTCGGCGATGTCGATGACAGCATGAAGGTCATGCACGAGGAGACGTTCGGGCCCCTGGCTGCCGTGAGCAGGTTCGAGACGGAGGACGAGGTCATCGAGCGCGCCAACAAGGTCGATGTGGGCTTGGCCTCGTACGTCATGACTTCCGACTTGTCGCGGTACTACCGCGTCTCCGAGAGGTTGGAGTTCGGCATGGTTGCTATCAACACTGGTGTCATATCAGACGCTGCAGCTCCGTAAGGACCTACTTTCTGAAGTTATCTCATTACAGTGTGCTAATCAGTCACAGATTCGGCGGCATCAAGCAATCTGGCTTCGGCCGTGAAGCAAGCAAATACGGATGTGATGATTACTTAGTATACAAGACCGTCATTACAGGTGGCATCAACACTGTTTACAGCAAAATGTAGGCGAGGTAAAAATGAGGAGCATACTATGGAAAAGCTCAATCAATAGATGAAATCATGCACTATCTTATGTCCAATTTGCGTTTCAATATATATGGTGATGCTGAACAATGTGTTGTGTGTTTATTGAGTTGCATGGATGAGGTCGAGTACTCCCTATCGAGAGACCACCACACTTCCACCTGGCACTTTCATTAGTCGACTTGACGGGACAGCCTTGTATGCACTTTGATGGTTGCATTTTTGCGTTACGCGTTAAAGATGAAGAAGCAGATTAACCTTCCACGCTGTCAGAAAATAACTTTGGAACGAGCTTGAAGACAGCATGTCCTCCATTTCACTGTGTCCCCTCATTCAAGTTAAGTACAAAGCTGCAAGATAAAAAGGAAGAGCAGAGGCTTAGAAGTAGAAGCTCAATTCAATTTCTCCCAACTAAGCAAACAGCAACGCCAATAACACGCTAAATAGATTCCCAGGCCATCAATTCGTTCCCAACGACTAATCCTCAATCTCGTAAACCTCCTCCAACATGGACTCAATGTACCGCTTCTGCTCCATCAAGAACGCCCGCGTGCCCTGAATGTCAAAGGGACGTGCATCCAACTCGCGGCGGTGCTCAGCCTTGAGCCGGTCACGGATGCGCTCCTCGAGCACCTGCAGCTTGTACTCGGTGTACTGGCCGTACAGCTCGGACAGGTTGCTGATGGGGCGGCTTCCCGTGAGGATCGTCTCGTCCGTGACGAATGGAGACTTAGGCCGGAAGGCGGTGACCATGGTGATGCGCTCCTGGCCGCCGAGGGCCTTGAGAGCCTGGTGCTCGATGTAGCGGCCCTGCATGACGACGGCGTAGCCCTTGATAAAGAGTCAGTGTGAGAATGATGATAGATTGGAACCGTAAAGACGCTATGCTCACCCTGCTTGGTCCCCGGACTTTCATGATGTCCCCGCTGGGTAGTCGCAGGGCGGTCTCGCCGCCGACCATGCCGGTGCAGTCGGATAGCATGGTGACGCAGACAAAGGGGAAGCTGTCAAAGTGCCACGCAACCGCTGAGAGATTCGCGTCGTCGGCGTCCTGCTGGGTCGGGGCAGGCCCCTTGTGATCGTTGATCGAGACGTTGATGTTGGCGATCTCGTACTGGATTGCGGGGACCAGCTCTATACCAGCAACTTGCGAAATCTTGGCCAGAACCTCAGGTGAGTTCCAGATATCGTAGGTGAACGGAGCGCGGCTATCGAAAGGTTAGCGCAAACGAATCTTGGAAGGAGAGAGAGAGTCATTGTTGACGTACGCTGCGCCCATGCCTCGGATCATGTTCTTGTTGAAGGTCGATGCGTACTGGCAGTTCTCCATCGCCGCATCACTGAAGACTTCAGCACGTATCTGGTCGATTGCCTCGTCGTTGAAAAGGGGAAAGGGCTCTGAGGCGGCATTGGGTGAGATGCCATGGCCGCCGAGGCCGATCTCCTCCATAGAATAGATCTTCTTGGGGGGCTGGAAGACAAGGTGCTTCTTCGGGTCGAAAGATTGCTTTTTCTCAATCCTAGCACCATCAATCAACGACTGAGGCAGCTTGTTGGTGGGCCGAGTGGCTCGCTTGGTTGCAGGGCCAACGACCTTGGGTGGAGTGTAAGCTGGAACAGCATTCTCAAGGATAAGACTAGGCATTGTGTAAAGCTTGAAGCACGAGTTGTGGGGCAAGGTGGCTCTAAGAGATTTGATAGTACAATCTTTGGAGATCTTATCTGATGAAGTTGGAATTAAAATGTTGAGAAAGGGCTGCTGCTGCCATTTAGATATACTCGAGCTGGATGAGGCTCTGAGGAGTGAGACACCGAATCTAGCTCTGCTTGTCTCGTGTCCCAAGTCCTACGGAGCGGCCTGATGCCCCACAAACTGGCCAGAGCATAGGACTCAAACGAAGGAGTACGTAAAAGGCGGCTGAATACCGTGGTGCACCTGTAGGGTGCTGCCACTGCTCTCATGGGGGACAGGGGGAGCATGCAGGCAAAATCCAAAATTTCCTAATACAGTTATGGATTCCTTAGAACAGAGATACTTGGTAGCAATCACGGGGCCAGTTGTGGGGTCGGGATCCATTTCCGTTGCTCGGATACCCGCACCGAGGTGGCCGATCCCTGCCGATTGCCCCGTCCGAGTGCGCCACTCTACAATCTGGATGCCCAACGTACGTGCGCTGACCATTGGGAGCAGTGATGATCGCGATAACCCCATTCTTCAGCGATAAGCCTCGCCCGTGTCGGCTCAAGTGCATTGCTGCCGCACCTTCGATTACCTATTTGAAACTCCCTGTAGGGCGATAACTATTTCCTCCTGGAATTATCTTTCAACTCGCCTGTGCTATCTACCGAATACCCCAAGATAACCGAATATGGCAGTTCAAGTGCTTTCACCTCCTCAACCAATTGATCCAGCGCACCAACCTCCGACTAGTGTCACTTCCATCCCAGCAGATGCACCACTTGACGAGATCCTCCGAATTCTTGAAAAAGATGGTGGCGTTATCCTCACCAACTTTGCAAGTCCAGAAGAGCTCGCTGCCATCGATGAAGATGTCGAGTCTTATCGCAAGGAGACTCGCTCGACCGCAGACAGCGCGCTGCACATCATTCCCAAAGAGACGCTTGCCGTGCCTGGCCTTGTCGGAAAGTCGCCGACAGTTGCCAAGCTCTGCGAACACCCCGTGTTGGAAGACCTTCGCACAGCCATCCTACAGGACAACTTCAGTGTCATCCGGGAGGACTTCGTCGAGCATAACACCATCGACCCCCTCTTGAGCATCAGCGTCACTTTGCACATTGGCTACGGCGCTCCGCGTCAGCGGCTTCATCGCGACGATAATGTGCACGGCATCAAGCATGGCGGCAAGTTCGACCTCAAAAAGGCGAGTCAGTTCGGCTGCCTTATTGCTGGAACGAGGACCACTCGCGAGAATGGTGCTACTATGTTTGTCCCTGGCTCTCACAAATGGGATGACTCCCGAGCTCCGCGGACGGACGAGGTTTGCTTTGCAGGTAAATCACCACTCCGCTTCTATGCACCTTAAGCTACTTGACCCCATTGCTTTCACAGGAATGAAAATCATACTGACGCCAAACCTCCTCAGAAATGAGTCCAGGGTCTGCCCTCATCTTCCTAGCTTCCTGCTACCACGGCGGTGGTTACAACTCGGTTCCAGGTGAGGTTCGCAAAGTTCACGGTCTATTTTTCGTAAGGGGGACTCTACGTACTGAGGAAAACCAATTTCTCGCGATACCGCGGAGCAAGCTGTGGACGATGAGCGACAAGATGCTCTCGCTTCTTGGATACAAGAAGCCTTCCACAGTGTTGGGTATCGTTGAAAACGAAGACCCAGTAAGAAATCTTGTTGGCGCTTTGGCCAAGGCAAATTCATAGCCAGAATAATGAACAGTGCATCGAAATTGAAGCTGTTATTATTGTTTTGAATTCACTTCCCCAAGTGCCTTTTGAGGTTTGTAATCTTATTCCTCTGGTGACTATGACCGCTCGGTTTCTGGCTGGCACCCGGACTCAGACTCGGACCCATTATTCACACCCAGGTCATCTGTCTTGAACTAAGGATCACAGAGACGTTCGGAACACTAATCATCCCTAAGGCAAAGATACCAATATTTTGCCACGAATCAAGCGAAAGCTTTGTCTGTGTTCTATCACAGGTTCCGTTGCGCCATGCGCATCTGAGTTGGCAGCATTGGCTTTGTGAGGTCTTGATCGCCCTTTTTTTTGACACAAATCATTTGAAAGTACGTAGAAGTAAGCGGTCACCCGCCTAATCAGTTTGCTTTAATTGAACATGTGGGCCTACTTCCACGTACAACGAATGCTAGGCACATGGGCAAATCTCTTGACAAAAACATTCTATACAAAGATGTGTACATTTGCCCAGTACGGTGCGTGCTTCATCAAAGAACGCACGATGGGTAGACTTATGTGTGTAACCTTTACTGGTCTAATCGTGAATGCCAGCAGTCAACGAATTCTCTAGCGTGTCATAAGTGGCTGCATAGAAATTTCTATGTGCAATAAAGAAAGAAGCATGTGATATCGCGACGGTCTCTCGTGAAATTTTCGACCGATGGTATATAAAGATCTGTTTCCTCGAACATACTTCGAGCACCAAGCACTCCGTCACGATAATCTCCCTCGTCTCACTCTGTCCCTCGGACTCGCCTTGCTGGCAAATTACAGTATTACTTGTCAAGCACACAGTGAATTTTGAGGTAGCTCACCACGTGCATTTTAAAGTACAATAGCGGAAGTATGCTGACAAATTACGCTCACGTAGGACTCGAAGGGCGGAAGATCTCTGTTTCAGACCAGCAACTTCGACAACATGGGGACACCTGAAGCTCGTTTGGGAGGGCTCATCGAACCCATAACAATAATAAGGCCTGGATCGCCGACTACAGAGTCTACAGACTTCGAATGGAGCAACCACGAGAAGCCATGGCACGAGTGGGTTGCTTCCCAACAGAAAATAGTGCGGAACTTGGTCCCCGTTGGCACCGTCCTGCAGAATTTGGATATCCCGGGCCCGGAGAGTGACATAATACAACGGGTTTCGGAGCTAGTTGCAAAAGAGCAGTCGTACATCCTGGACACCTGTGAGGAGGCTACCAACAAGCTCTACAGCAGCATATCTTCAGTGGTTAAGAAAGATGCTTTTACATTATGGTTGCAAGGCTACTTTTCGAGCACTACGATTATCCTCGGGGCCGGCGGCGAGACCTCATGTCCTATCTCCTACATGTGCGCGACAATGGGCAGAAAACTGTGCGCGACACTGGGCAGGGAACTGCCCCAGATGCCCTATATCTTTCCGCTCAGTTTCTTCTGCCAGCTGCACCTTGAAGAACATGACCCGCTTCGGGGCGTGGAGGGCATGATGAGGTCTCTTATTGCTCAGCTCCTAGTCCACAAGTCTGAAAACAGATATATGACAAACAAATTGACTATAGAACAGTGGGCACCGGGACAGATACCTTTAGGCAACGTAGGGAAGTTGTTTCAACATTTTGCCTCTCTCGTCAAGACTGTAACTGCCGGTACTATCATCTGCATCATCGATGGCATCAATCACTTTGCGAATCCGACTGGTACAGGGGGATCCGACGACGTGGACTGCGTTATGAGAGGCTTCCGTGAACTTATGAAAGAAGTGGAGCAGGCCAGGGAAGACAAGAAAGGGGAAGTTAGGCTCAAACTCCTGCTCACGATTCACGAGCCTGGTAAGCACATAGAGTATCAGTTCACGGAAGCCACGGCAATATTGCGCCTCCCGGGACCAGAAAAGAGGCGAGCAGAAGAATTAGCCGAGGCACGAGCAGGCAAGAGACGAGCATAGGCTCGATGATTCTGATTATCGATATGGACAAATTTGACGGGGCTATACGATAGGGAAGTCTTTGATTATACTATAAGTCAAATGATTACTTATTGGGCTGACCGGAGGCTATCCGGAAGAATTACGATATGCACAGGCTCACATGTATATATATTGAAATTGAATTGAACTGACCGATGGGAATATGAGCTTTCTGAAATACACAGTGCTGGAGTGGGATTGATATTGGCTTCAGATATTGCTGGTTACCTGCGATGAACAGGTACTCTCCCTTTTGTGGTATTTTCTGTTTGCAATATCACTGCTTGATAAAAAATAGTGGAATTTTGATTCTTCCAGCCCTGGAATCCGTCTCTAAAAGTGGATTTATCGAGCCCAGCTACCTCAGGTCTCGACGCTTCCAGATCGATAGGGAACTTATATAGACTGAAAAGACAGGAGAGCCACTGGCTGGTTTGCGGTAACACAGTGACAGTCTCGGTAGAGGAACACAATCCAGCTGAAAGCCACACTCATGCAGAATCAAATTCTCAATTTTAGTAGCAACCATCGCGGACAGTCGTCAACATACGCCTTACTCCATCAAACGACAACAGTTATAGTTTTGAATTTCTCTCCGGCTGTTCAAAGGCCCCATGGCGTCCTGCGCCTTTACTGAACTTCGAAGCCCCCTTAACGCTCTCTGTAGTAATCACTTTAATTCCCTCGTCGAATTCATTCCTCAACGCGTCTTCGAACGACGTGGCGTTGTAGACTGAATAGTAGCAGCTGGAGCGGTCAACATTCATGCAGGCTTGCGGGAACGTAAGAAGCTGCCTCGCAATCTTGTTGGCCTCTTCAAGCGCCTTACCCTTTGGAACGACGCGGTTCGCGAGTCCCATCTGCAGCGCTTCCTGTGCCGGAACAGGCCTTCCGGTGAGGATCATGTCGAGAGCTCTTCCAAGGCCGATGATAGCCTGCAGACGCACGGTGCCGCCATCGATGAGGGGAACGCCCCAGCGCCGGCAGAAGACGCCAAATACGGCATCTTCCTCGGCGACACGAATGTCACCGATAAGAGACAGCTCAAGCCCACCAGCTACGGCGTAGCCGGACACGGCGCTGATGACGGGCTTCTTGATCTGCATTCGTGATGGGCCCATTGGACCAGGGTTGCGGCCGTCGACGCGGTGCTCTGGGCCGATGTTCAGACCTTTGTATCCTGGTCCGCCTTCCGGCGTGAACTTGGCGACCTCGTGGAGGTCGAAACCGGCGCAGAAAGTTCCGTTCGCGCCGTTGAAGATGCAGACCTTCTGAGTCGGGTCGTCCTCAAAAGTCAGGAATGCATCCCTGAGCATCCTTGCCGTAGGACCGTCGACTGCATTCTTCCGATGGCGGCGGTCCAGGGTGATGGTGGTGATGCCATCCTCAGTGGTCGTGACAGAGACAGGGTTTGGCTCTGAATCTACGCCCGGTGGGGGAGTTTTGTTGTCAGGCATCTTGGTATGCACAAGCTTGCGGGAAATGGATGCAATGAATCAGAATGAGACAGCATTCGCTGAAGCGGGAAGGTGGTTGACGAATTCTGAGTTATTATATTGTCTGCCCCTCAATAGGCAGTAGCCGAGGTTAAATTATGGCCTGTCCCTTGTTCGACAGGGTTACAGTAGGACGCATGTAATAATTTGTGTGGGTGAAGCGGGGATGGTGGTTGGTCCGATGACTTTTGATTACGTCAGAAACTCGGATGCGAAAGGTAAGCTCTAACGAAGTTAAAGCCTTGTAACGTTCAAGAGATAGATCAGCTTACTCAAATTCCATATTGGGTCCGATGGATGTTGCTATTGTGTGCGGGGTGTTCTTGGATGATCCCCACCTTCCACTGTGTGATCGAGAGATCAGCTGCAACCCTGTTTACATCCCATCCAGAATGATCATCCACTGCAAACAGTTTTACTAATATTGAACATGCAGAAGACTGTCGAAGAGGTCCCTAATTTAACTCATAGCTTCGATGGTTGTTTACTCAGCAAGCTGCTTGCAGATTAATGCCGCGAGTAATCCCTATAGAATGATGGTCCCCACCAAGGGATTTCAATCTCGTTCGACATCAATTCTGTCTGCAAGTCTTCGGGAGTAGGGCGATGAAGCTGGCATGGTCACAACGCTAGATAGCCCTGTGACGAAATTTAAGCTCTTCAAGGTACTACTTTAAGCTTGTTCGGCAGCGGGAATTGAGTTTATGAACACGGCCCGTGGGTGTTACCGTAAGTGTGCCTGGTCAAGGCAGATCTCCCGTATCTGATCGGACGCCGAACGGGTGTTCCGCATTGACTCGTGCAGCCGAGCCCCGGACACACAGCACCTGTCAGCGCCGACATCGCGCACACGATCAGGCGAGCGCATGAGTGGGTGCTCACTGATCAATATCTCAGCCTCAGCTATCGGTAACCGAACGCTGCCATTTTTTTTCACGGGTTAAAAATAGAAATTATGCGCCCAGTATCCACGTGAGGCCCAGCACCCCTGAAAACATTTATTAGCAGTGGCCCCGCTCGTACCACACTGCTCCCCCCACTCCCGCTTTTTCCCCTTAGCTTCTGTGGTGGCGCACTTTCCTCAACGTCATACAGACGTAGTTTGGCCTCGCATCTTCCCCACGATGCAGCCTAAGCCACGGAAACATGGCAAAGAGCGCGCGCAAGACGACCGGAAGGCCGCAGACTCGGCATCGTCGCAGCGCGAGCTGACGCGGAAGTCGAGTTCGTCGTCGGCGTCGTCGTCGGCGGCCGCCGCCGCCGCGCCAAGCAGCAAACGCCTGCTCTTCGTTGAGGTTCGCGGGCCGCGAGGCAGGCGTCAGCCAGGGCTACGCTACGATAGGACGGCGAGCGAGCTCAAAAGCCATGTCATGCTGGTCGCCAGTAAGGACAAGCGGGAGCGCCAGGCCGGCGAGCGCGAGCTCTTGGCCGTGGGAGGGCTCACCCCTCCTCGTCTTTCCCTGGAATTGAGCCCCCAGCAGACCGACCCGTTCAACATGCTGCCCGTCGAGGGCACTCCGGAACAGCATGCGGCTATTAGATATTGTAGGTGAAGACGGAGCTGGCTTGGACTTGACACGGTCTGACAGCAAAAACGTGTAGATTTCGAACACTACCCCGGGCCTACTCCGATGACACATGGTGCGTGAGTCTGTTGGTGAACCCCATAGCTGGCTTGGAAAGTTGCGTTTGGCTGATGGACATATAGATTCACTTGTCTGCCACAAAAATAAGTTTGAGAGAGAGAAAATGCAGTGGAGTCGAGTACAGTTCAGCTTTGTTCAAGATGAAAAAATTAGCGTCAGTAACCCAGGCTTCTTTACAAAAAAAAATAATGGGGAGACTGACTATTCAGTACTACATAATGCTGTTTATATGGCAAGTCATGAAGAATTTGTCAAGCGACATGGACTACGAGACCCGCAAGTACTGGGCCCAGGTATTGCAGATTGTCAGAGAAGGTATGATGAGTACTGTAGAACGGAGCTTCTCGATCACTAACAGGTCGAAGAAATGCCTATCGGCAAGACTGGTACAGACATCTCCGAGTCGTACGTGGCCATGATAGCAGGCCTGGGTGTCGCTGAGGTGAATTTCTATAATCGTCGTGGATCTGATCAGACCTGCTGACTGATAACCGCAGACTTGGATGGGAAATTTCACCAATGCGAAGCATCACAAAGACGCCATGCTGAAACTCGTAGCCGCGCGCGGAGGGTTTTCAACCTTCGGTTCAATGGCCCAGCGGGCCCTCAAGTGGTGCGAATTCTACCCATGCGCATGCTTGACGCTGCGTCCCACGCTCCCTCAACTACCCGTGCATCATCTCCATCCCGACGTAATCAAGACGGCAGGAACGGGGCACCGACGCACGATGGAGCATCTGCCAGACCAGCTGGAAGAGTCGGAATTGAACATGATCTTTTTCCAACTGCACACCGTTGCATTAGTTCAGCTGAGTGCCCCGCAGCCGGCTTTTGCCAGCGTGTTGGATGATTTGGAGCATCGGCTCTTAGTCGAGCTGTTCGAGCAAAAGGAGAAGTTTGAGGCTTCGCAGTCTACGGATCCTACGGATCTGGTCTACGCCGGCATGCTGCAGGCGGCCCAGATGTGCGTCTTTGGCATGATGACCTTCACGCGAAAGGAAACGCCCATGTACGGCGTGTTCGCGGCAACTCTGAGACGCATCCTGGACGTACCCAATGTGATTGACACATGGAGAAAGGTGGCATCTGCGCAAAGCCTGCTTTGGGTGTTTTTCATAGGTTGGTCAACCGGCTCGCGGCTAAAGGGCGACGCTGCAGGCGCATTAGACAATGCGAAGTGGTTCATACGGCATTTTTCTTCTCTCATTGAGATTATCGAAATCAGGGAAGTAAAGAGCTTGCGCAGAGTGATGAGAGATTTTCCGTGGAACCCGAAGATTTACAACGACCCGTTGAATTCCTTGTGGAATATCTACCTCCATAGAGAAGATCTCGATATGACGTAATATTTATATCAATGATGCGTTGTAAGCCTGCGGTAATATTGAACGCTTCGTTAAGGAGCATTTTCCAGAATGGCAAAAGGGTATACTTCGATGATAATGGTCCTCAAGAAACAGATCATTTACAGGTTGGTAGTGAACAACTCACACCCTCAGTCGTTTTGACTTTCTTTTTTAAAGTTGCACAAAAAGTCCGCGAATCTGAGTGGCGAACAATGTATCTTTAATCCTTCAAAATGAGACAGAAGCGGTCAGCAGGGAAAACTCCTTTGTTTCTTTTTTCCTTACTTTTCGAACGTCCCTTTAAGGTTAGTCAGATCTATGGCATTTAACGGGGCTTGCAGTAGTCTCCTCTGTGTTGATGCCTAATCTCTTTCTGGAAAGATGACAGGGCGGAAACTGCGCAACTCGGCCAGGCCCGTTCCGCCCGTCCCGCGAGGTTCCTTATGCGCATCTAGTAATAGTAAAAGGATGTTTGCATAAGACGAAGAGATGCGGGACCCCCTCTCCCGATAAATCAGGCGATTTCCAACACTGGTTCAGAGGGATTATGCAGTCCAAGAACAATGAGCAGCCAAGAAAACAACGCAGGCGATGCAAAACTCCGATTTCTCGTGTGCTTTTTCTTCACGAACATTTCAAGCCACACAAGGCTGCATGACGCCCGAGATTCACTCAGTCACATGCATGCTGACCGAGATTGGTGTCATGCATCTCGCTACGCTTGACCATTTCGGGAAAATCAATCAACAGGGTATCTGGCCACGACGGTTGCCTATTGGGTCCAACGCACGCTTGGCAATAATGTGGATCATGTAACCCTGAGCGGGAATAGGCCAGGCCATCATAGTCGTGGACGTCTGCCATGAAAATGATGGCTTCGCGGCTGAATGAGATTTTGGTGGCTTTTCGATCATGCACCGCCATGTCTCGTCCTTGTGATGGAGGCGTGCTGGAAAACGAAACTCTACTAGAGAATTTTAGCATCCTACCGGCAGCACAGAGTTGCTTTTCTGTGCAACTACGGCCATTCCGACGTATCACATACTCAAAATCCGGCTAAAACCCCCATGTTTTGGGATCCGCAATCAAGGCCCTAACCATCGAACGAGGTACCCCTCTTTCAGAAGCAAAGATAAGCACTTGGCCGGGAAAGCAACTGGTTCTGGCGAGATGAGCGTGGCTTATGTTGTGATAGTGGTGGCGGTGGAAGAGAGGAACTTCCCAAAAAGAAAACTCGGGCAAGATCTGGTATAAAGAGGTCCGCTTAAAGTTGGAGAACATATCCATTCCTACTCACTTCCCTATCCACTGCGATCAGTTCAGTAGGAGAATTACCTGCTGCGTCGGAGATTTTGAAGAGCAAGGGATCGGAAAACAAGAACCCCGGCAATGCTTAGCCGGAATATCGCCCCACTCACCCTTGTCGCTCTCGCAGCACAAGTCGCTCTCGCCTCGACGCGTTGGCCTCAAACTCCAGACTCTTACGAACCCATCACGACCTACCAGAAATGCCCCTATGCCGGCCAGCTCTTCCCTCCACCCACCGACGCCGGCAATGCACCTGCCATCTTGGCCGCGCAATCAGCCCTGCGCGCCCAGCTCGATGATCTCACCCAATCAGGCGAAGGCGTTGTGGCATTGAACAGCACTTTCTTCTCCGTGGCCATCTTTTCAGCCGCTGATACGGACGATGGCCTCATTTTTAACTATCACTTCGCTCCTCCAGGAATGGAAAACGCGACTGGTGGCAGAGAGCTGGACAATGAGAGTGTGTATCGTGTTGGGAGCGTGACGAAGATGTTGACCGTGTATGCGCTGTTGGCGGCTAGAGGTGATAGGGATTTTGGGAGGCCGATCACGGAGTTCTTGCCAGACCTGGAGGACGGTGCGGATGACGAGGATGAGCTGGCAAGAATCCGGTGGGAAGACATTACTGTTGAGGCGTTGGCATCTCAGATTTCTGGGATACCGAGAGATTGTGAGTATTGCTACCATTTCATGGAGCGGCGGAGAAGCGGATGGGAGTTCTGGCTATCCGATGGAATGGAAGACTGATTTGCATGCAGATGCCTGGCCCGACTACACTACTGCAGCAAATGGTAGTTTGTTGCCTGTTCTGGGAGTCAACAGCTCAAAACTGCCATCTGACGACATTCCGGAATGCGGCCTTCCGGCTCCCGGATTCTCTCCAGACTTGCCATTGTGCAGTCGTGAGCGTAAGTCACGTCCTTTTGGTGAACCATCCGCAGTAAACCCCCCGCGGTAGCTTCTCCGCAGAGAAAGGCAACTGCTTGAGAAAGACGAGAGGGTAAAAGTCAGAGAGACCGGAAGCTGACAAACCCGGGAACAGAGTTCATCCAAGGTCTAAATAAGCTCGGTGCTTATTTCCCCGCCTTTGAGACCCCCACCTATTCCAACGCAGCGTTCCGCTTACTCAGTAATGTGATTGAGAACATAACTGGTGAGCCATATGAGACGACTTTCAACAGCCAGATCGCAGACCCATTGGGCCTTTCGTCAACTACGGTTTCAACGCCACAGGACGACAGCCACGGAGTGATCCCTGGTGGGAAGACGGCGGCATGGTGGGGTGAGTGAGTGACGCTCTCAAGAACTTCAACATCCAGCTAACACACTTCCTCCAACAGGCCTTGACCTCGGAGAAGAAAACGCGTACGTGAAAAGCTGTCCCTCTCTCAACCCAATCCCTTACTAACAAGCCCTTCCCCCGCCCAACAGCGCCGGCAGCGTCTACTCCACCATCAACGACATCACCACCATCGGCCGCTCCATCCTCCGCTCCACCCTCCTCCCCCGCGCCCTCACCCGCCGCTGGCTCAAACCCCACTGGCGCACCGCCGACGACACGCACTTCGTCGGCGCCCCCTGGGAAATCACATCCACACGCATCTCCCTCGCCGACAGCAACAGCACCACAACGGCTAACACGTCCACGACCCGCGTCGACCTCTACACCAAAGGCGGCAACATCGGCGCCTACTCCGCGCAGTTCGGCCTCGACCCGGACCGCGAGTGGGGCTACGTCGTGCTGGGCGCGGGGGCCGCGTCGGGCGCGCCGGTGTTCTACCTGGGCGACCTGATCGCGCGGAGTTTCGCTCCGGCCTTCGAGGCGGCGGCGCGGGCGGAGGCGGCGCAGCGCTTCGCGGGGACGTTCGTACAGGCTGACGGTGGTAATGGGACTCTAACACTAGCAGTGCAGGAGGGTCAGCCCGGTATCGCGGTGACGAGTTGGACGGCGAACGGGGTGGATGTGCTGAGCGCGCTGCCGGCGGCAAACCTGCGCGGGTTCGGGGCGCCGGCTGTGACGCTGTATCCGGCGCGGTTGAAGAGCAAGGGCAAGGTCGCGTTCCGGGCGGTCATCGAGGCGCTGCCGAATGCGGATTTTGGGGGCCCGTTGGATAGCGCGTGTTTGAGCTGGTTGACGGCGGATCCGGCGCAGATTGCGAGCAGGATGCTGGATGATGTGGTGGTGGGGGTGGATGAGGAGACGGGCGAGGCGTTGTGGGTGGAGATGAGGGCGTGGAGGGAGAAGTACGTGCGGCAGGGGGGGTACGGTGGGTACATGTGAGGGGACTTGGCTTGGAGGAAGCATGGCAACAAACGTTTACCAGGTACATACATGGATTGCGTCATTTAAAGCTCTTCTGTAGAAATATGATTGAGAGCTTAAACATTCTACAAATGGATCATTACTCTATCAGCCAACGTTGTCATCAGTCATTTACTTCCCCATTCCTGGCGTTCCAGCCAACTCATGCACTTCATTATTACCCCCCGCCGGCAGCTCAGGCGTCCTCTTCGGGCTTTCTGCCCGGCCTTGGCCCGCCGTTTCAGCTGGTACCTCATACGGCGGTGCTTGCTGGTATGCGTATCCTCCACCAGCACCAGCACTGTCTTTCTCTCCTCCCGTACCAGCACCAGCAGCGTTCCCCTTCCGCTTCCGCATGAACAGCCACACTGCACCAGCGATCAAAGCGAGGCCGGCAACACCACCCACCACGCCACCCACGATAGCGCCTGTGTTGCTGGACGATTTCGATCTTCTCCTGCCACTTCCGCTTGTGTTGCTGCCACCATTGTTCGAACCACTGTTCCCATTGGTAGAGGCAAACAGCGCGCGGACCTTGTTATTGGTCCATCCAACATTATCGCCATTCCCTTGGCTGTACCAGCTCTTCACTCTGTCCGGAGACTCGTACGCCGCAGCGTCGGCATCGTAGCCCGAACTCCAACTCAGCTTTGTCATATCGAAGATGCCGATGCCCTGGCTCCAAGGGTCCGGATCCTTCCAATCGCCTGGAATGCCCAACTTGTAGTTGACGCCGCCGATGATGACCATCTGCCGGTTTCCGATGACGTTGCAGGTGTGAAAGGCACGGGGGCCGCCCGAGACGTTCGGCGCTTTGAACCAGTGGAAGCCGGGGAGAGAGAGGATGTACATGTCCTCGTAGCAGGTTTCCTGGAATGCGTCCCAGCCTCCAGAGACAAATCTACACGCCATCCGTGGTCAGTGATCAAGCACTATAGAAAGAGGATAGGAGAGCCACTCACATCTCATACGTCCCATTCTTCCCCGCCGCCCCCACCACGCAAAACAGCTCCCTCACCCCCGGCGCCTCGCCCGTCGTCGTCTGCGAATACCACGACCCAGTCTCCGGCTCGTACATAGTAACATTATTAAACTGCAGCTGTCCGGACTTCTCATCCCACGTCGTCGGCGTCGTGCTCTCTCCGCCAAACATCATCAACAACCCGCCCTCCCCAAACGTCGGCACGAAGTGCATCTGGCCCGACACGGCGGTGCCGTACGTCGTGAACGGCGTCGCGGACTCGTTGCTCCACGCCCCGCTCTCCCAGTCGAACGACACGAGGCCCGGCACGGGCGTGTCGGCGTCGTGAGAGTCCGGATCCGTCCTGCCGGACTCGTAGCCGCCGAGGACGAACCCCTTGCCACCGCCGGATGCGACGAGCGCGTTCGCGGGGCGTGTGAGCTGGTTGAAGACCTGCGGGTCCGACGTCGCCAGCTGCTCCCACGACCCGTCGCCGGAGGGGGTGCTGCTGAACTTCCACACGGCGACGTTGGGCGTCGTGGCGTTATCGCCTGCGACGGGCGAGACTTCGCCGGCGAAGAGGTAGAAGGCGCTGGTGCCGTCAGACCACAGGCCCGGGAAGTTGAAGACCGGGGCGCCGTTCTTGTCGAGGGCAGAAATTTGGACGGACGAGTTGGACCAGGAGGTGCTGAGGTCGATGGAGAGGGTCTGGTTGTTGACGCGCGACATTTGCGTGTCCGTGTTGCCGTCGACGTACTGGGCGATCTCGCCGCCGTCGATGTAGAGGCGGTTGCCGACGACGGTCGAGCCGTGCAGGGCGCGGCGGATGAAGTTGGAGGAGCTGGGGACGTCGCTTTGGCGCCGCTCGAGGGAGAAGCGGTCTGCGGGTGATTCATTTTGCGGAAGGAGTGAGAACGGTGACGCTTCGATGATGGTGCTTAGCTGTGCTATTGCGAGGAGGGCACTGGCTATCCGCCGTGACCCTGTATAGGGAAAATGGACCATTTTGGAGCACAAGACAAAGGAAAAGCCGACAGAACGCAGAGAGAGAAGACAGGTAAAGTGATCGGCCCGTCAGGCTTTATACTTGCTTCTGCCCGAAGGATTCTTGGAGTATCAGCCCCCATGTTTCGGTCTCCATAGTGCAAAGATCGACATGGAGGATCAGCGCATGGTTCAGTCGCCACATGGAGATCAGAGAATCTCTCGTTTATTATCTGATATTCATCGTGCTAGCTGTGAGCTTTGCAGGTCACGAGATTCACTACATTAATCTGGCATGCTAAAACGTGTAGCAAGCCCGATTATCATTAATTGATTCACCGAGTCTTGCGTGCCGGAAGCTTGTTGAAGCTTAGGCTGTGCAAGCTTATTGCGCAGTGACACTGCCGGCCGCCACATGACGGATGTGGGCACATGCAGCCGCACTAGAGTATGAGCGGCCCCTGTTAGACGTTTCTTATTCGAACCTGGTTGGTAGCTAAATGTCCTCCGCCTTGCGCTAGTCCCGTAGTGCTTACTCGATCAATTTCACCACAGCCTCCTCAGTCCACTAAAAATAGCCTGTCTCTTGACTTCAGAGCTTTCAAATAAATTGCAATGAAATGTTCTACTGAAACTGTCCGAAGAGTTCTCTTTTACAGCAATTTTGTCATACCAACTCGTGAGTAGACGGCGAAAGGGACAAATGAACCCTGCAAATCACCTTATTGAGAGGATGAGTGTCCCAGAGATATCCCATGGCGCGATCTGATCGGATAATTCTTTCACCAATGACTGAAGCAGCGGCAGGAATCTGAATACAATCCGCACTTTGTGCAAAAAGATGTGGAAGATCCATATTTCGTTATTTTCCATGATAAAAAATAAAATGCAGCCTACTACTTCCTCAAAATGAGCAGCATATCTGATTTATATTTGAGTTGTGAATAAGTGGTGTGGTGTGAAAAGGGGTAGATTGCGTCACATTTGTCTGAAGATAAGACAATGTACTGGGGTAGATGCATAGTGTTGAGAAAAAGCAACAATATACGGCAATACAACACGGTAAAAGCAATGAGGTTCAACAAACAACTACCCGGTTCATACAAGAACAAGCGATGACCTATATATGCTGCAGTCATAGCTGCTGAATATTAAAAACCTTACCTTCATATGAGCTGCGGCTAGAGCAAGAGCAGCAAAGACAAGCCGTGAAGGGACATCTGACTAAGAAATCACTGGTGAGCCGACTTCCGTGTCGATGTGTATACCCGTGGCTATCCTTGCTTTTAATCTGTGTGGGGCCCCCCGCTGTAGCTGCCGGCATTAGACAAGAAGCAGAAGGTGGCGATTGACTGTATGCTTGATGAGGTAAGACGTTCCCTGATCCGGCCATACGCCTAAAGACTCCCGAGCGTCCAATGAGAGAAGCTGTACAGTCAATTCTCTTGCAGATGTCAAACAGAGAATATGTACCCTTATCTCTATCCGGTTTACCCGATGATACTCTTTCGTACTCTTCCGATTCCTGAAAATTGTGATGCGGATGCTGTGGTGGTGATTGCGTTCGTCTGTGAGCATTTTAAGCTCACGTAACTTTGTAACTCTGTAACTCTGTAACTTTGTAAGTTGTTACTGGACACGCTGATTTTAAATCAGTTCTCCACCAACTTGCAACATAAGCTCCCATGGACGTGTGGATACATCATTCGGATCTCTGAGGAGCCGGGTTCCATTGCGCTATTCGAGAGTGGCGAGAGGTGCAGACTGGTCGGCGTTTCACGACTGCTTCTCAAGAAGCGGGGGGATCGTGTCCTTATCGGCGAGCACGCATGGCATGTGCATTGTCGCCGAGTATGAGGCCAAGCAGGGACGACGTAAGTTTTACGAGCCAAGCCTGGTCTAGATACCTGAAATTTGGAGCAAGGCGCCTGTCATTACTCTGCTTGGTCGATGTTGTCGCAGATTTCTTGTTTCCCCCGCAGTAGTTCGTCCGTTTGATTCAATATATACGTGAAATGCAGCGGTAGGGTCAAGATCCGTGGGCCGGCAGCGAAATATCGGCTTACTTTTACTACCGAGCCGAGACAACGGCGATCCCTTACTACATTTGGAACACAGGTGCATCAACACACAACGGCTTCTACGAGTCTACATATCATACAGGGACATGTTGAAATTCTATATATTATTCTTGCTCGCACTAGAGATCTCAATCATTCAGCATAGATACCTCGCTAGCAATTGCAAGGCTCTACAGCACTTCCAAACATGCCTTCGGTGCCCCTTCTCGCGGGCGGCCTTGTAAGTTGCGCTTAGCCGTTTTTGGAAATAGTGCCACACCTTCTAACCACCAATAGGTAATCTTGCTTGCGCTGTCTAAAATCTTTTACAACATCTTCCTTCATCCTCTTCGCTCTTATCCAGGCCCATGGTATGCTAAGGCCACCATTTTCTGGTCTCAGTACCATGCATACAAGGGCAACTTGACCTATTTGGTGCACGACTTGCACCAGAAGTACGGTCCAGTGGTCCGCATCGCGCCAGACGAGCTCGTGTATACCGACCCTCACGCCTGGAAGGATATCTACGGCCATCGGAACGGTGTCCCGGAGAATGGAAAACATCCCAGCATGAATGTCAACCCGGATCCAGTCCATCCGACAATTATCACTGCGGACAGGGAGCAGCACGCGAAGCTCCGCAGGCTTCTGTCGCACGCGTTTTCCGAGAAGTCCATGAAGGAGCAGGAGCCTGTCATCAGGGGTTACATTGATCTTTTGATTGAGCGGCTGCGTGAAGTGGCCACAGAGAATGATCCCAAGGGCACCGACATTGTGCGGTGGTATAACGTGAGTCGGCACCCACCCTATTTTACCTTGTTGCTGACATAAACAGTTCACCACCTTTGACGTTATTGGCCATCTCGCATTTGCAGAGTCCTTCGGATGCCTACAGAACTCGGAATACCACCCCTGGATCGAATTCATGTTCTCGACCATCCGCTACGGCTCCATGATGGGCGCCCTCAAGCGCGTCGAGGCCAGTCTCGCCGCCCTGGTGAAGAACATGATCCCGGAGCGCATCCGCAAGCAGCGCGAGAAGCTGTACAGCATGACGGACGAGCTCGTCATGCGGCGCCGCAGCACCGAGCCGTCGTACACGGACTTCATGACGCACCTGCTGGGCGCCGAGCAGGGCGGCAAGCTGACCATGCCCGACGTCTTCGCGCAGGCGCCGATCCTGGTCATTGCCGGCAGCGAGACGACGGCCACGCTGCTCTCCGGCGGCACCTACCACCTGCTCACCAACCGCCGCGTGTACGACCGCGTCGTGAGCGAGATCCGCGGCCGCTTCGCCGATCAGAGCGAGATCAACGTCAACAGCATCAGCGAGCTCAAGTATCTCCTCGCCTTCTTCGACGAGGCGCTGCGCATGTATCCGCCTGCCGCCAATAACCTGCCGCGCATGACGCCGCCTCAGGGAGCCACGATTTTAGGCAAGTGGGTGCCGGGCAACACCGCCGTCGGAATCCACCAGTACGCGCAGTTCCATTCCCCGGCCAACTTCGCCGACCCGGAGGTCTTCGCGCCGGAGCGTTTCTTGGAGACGGGAGATCCGAAGTGGGAGAATGACAGGAGGGATGCTTTGCAGCCGTTTTCGTTCGGCCCGAGGAACTGTATTGGCCGCAAGTGAGTGGATCCTTTCTTGATCTAACCGTGCGGACTTACTAACGCCTGATTTAGTCTTGCATATGTTGAGATGCGTTTGATCCTGGCTTCGATTCTATGGAATTTCGATATGGAGCTTGTTTCCGGACAGGAGAACTGGATTGACCAGAAGATTTACCTGGTATGGGAGAAGCATCCCTTGATGGTCAAACTTACTCCGGTGAAGAGGTAGGTCTTTTTATAGACAGGGCACTTCTGAACCACCCATAAATGGCTTTCAGGCAATGGTTTTTCGGTTCACATAGCGCTGCGCGTATGGCAATTAAGCATTAGTTCCATATTTATGAAGTAGCTCGTTCTTATAGTGTGATAAGAAAGCTTGTTGCATTTAGTGTTTCAAAATCGATCTCCTCGACCTGACTCACTCCCGAACAGCATTTCGGCTTTTCAGCGGCGTGCGACAGAAGGGGAAAGCAGGTGCAGGTATCGCACAGGCCACTCATACAAACAGTGGCCTGGAGATGTTTTGATAAACACTAGATGTGAAACAATCATGATAGGACCTGAGGAGTTCGTGGCACCTGCAGAAATGGAATATTGTTCAAGGCTCCACTTCAGAATTTGTTCGGTGCTGGCGTAGTCCCCGAAGTCCGGGCTCTTGCGGTAAGATTGTTTCTTTACTTTACTCATCACTTTCCTATGAAGCTGATTGGTCATATTTCTTCGCGTCGGATATCTCCTATTGTAATATAGGCCCTTAAGGCGTGATTTTTATTTATCATGTGATGCGCGGTGTGCAGAATATTGCTCACGCCGGCATGACCGCGCCATTGCAGAGATTGCCCGAAATCGCACATGGACTCCCCGGGGCTGCATCGGGAAGCTCGACTTTTGAGCGCCATTCTGTCTAGACGTGACTCGTAAGAGCTGACGACACTGCTGTTATCAACGTTATTCCCGCCCCTGTGAGACAAGCTTCGCCTCTCAGATCAGCGTCACGCTTGTCCCAACTGATGTTCAAGCCTTGCCGATCGCCATCGGTCCGTTCAAAGCCTCCTGCCGGCCCGAGCCTCTGACGTTTCAGACCTTCCAGAAATGGTCCCGCAACTCGATAGAACGCGGCTTATTCTCGGATCCCAGATGTATACGCGTCTCTGTGGGCCATCGCCTTCACACAAACAGTTACTTGTCAGCAGTGACCCTATTGCGAGGATAGAGTGACCCACTTTAGGTTCCCGATTGCGGGATCGCATCATGCAAAAGACGGTGGACGCTTCGCTGCTTTGAGCAATAAGACACGATAGCCTGGTGTTAGGGAGCGGTGTCGCTCGAGGCTGAGCAATCGCTCAGAGGTTGAACTGCCCATCTGAAGTCATGAACAATCTATCCGAAGGCCGTGCAAAGATATGCAGACGCGCAATGGTCTCCTCTGAATCCCATTTAAGGGAGGTAGGGCCAGCAGGAGTGCTATTTGCTCTCCAGGGAAGATCTTCTACCTGCAGCTGTCCGCCATGGTCGCCCGTACTCTCCTTCTCGCTTCCTCCTTTTCCTTGATTTCTAGCAAAGCGGCAGCATGGACATATTCTACGAATTACTCTGCCCAACTTCTCTCCTCGGGAACCGGTAAGACAGATCCACATCAAGGAAGAAGTGTGATACTCACGCATTCATAGTCAATCTTGAAGGATGGCAAGAAGCTTTCGAAAAGTCCAAGCGTTTCGTCGCCACCCTCTCAACTTCGGAGAAGATTGATATCATCGGCGAAGGTAGCGCTGGCAACTTCACGGGTTTGAACACGAAAGATGGCTCTGCATCCGTTTTGGACTATTACTGGGTACCAAGGCCTCTGGAGATCTTCGAATGAAACACCTGCTAACGCTGCTTGTATGCAGGTCACCACCTGGCCAGCTGCACTCGCCATGGCCATGACATGGGACAAGGACCTGGTCTACAACCAAAGCTACGGTCTTGGATCCGAAATGTGGAACAAAGGGATCAACATGGCCAATGCACCGACAGCCCAGCCACTCGGTCGTTCGCCATGGGGCGGTCGCAATGGAGAAACGTACGGACCAGACGCATACCTCAATGGTATCTTGTTCGGAGAAGCTACGAAAGGAATCAGTGATGCTGGAGTCATCCCCGCAGGCAAGCACATGCTGCTTAACGAGCAGGAAACCAATCGCGAGGGCGCTGGTTCTCTTAACGCCGCCGCCGGTGCTGCCGAAAATGCTTACTCGGCAGTCGTCGATAACAAGGCCCTCCACGAGACGTATCTCTGGGGCTTCATGGATGCTATCAAGAATGGTCTTGGTGGAGTCATGTGTGCCATGAACCGCGTCAACGGTACCTTTTCCTGTGAGAACCAGGAACTCCTTGCCTACTACCTCAAGACTGAACTCGGCTTTCCCGGCCTGGTATACGGTGATGTCGGAGGCCAGAAGACTGGTATTCATTCCGCCAATGCGGGCCTGGACTATGGCTCTTCAACCTACTGGAGCAACTCAAGCATCATGGCCGGGCTACGGAACGGATCCTTCACTGAGGCTCGCCTGGACGACATGGTGATTCGAAACGTCATAGGCTGGTACAAGCACGGCCAGGATCTCGCAAGCTTTCCGGACCTTGCCTCGGCCGGTGACTACGTCGACACGCGCAAGAATCATGGCGAGCTCGCACGCCAGTTTGCAGCAGCTTCTATCGCCCTAGTGAAGAACAAGAACAACGCACTCCCTCTGAAAAGCCCCAAGAAGATTGCTTTATTCGGCATCAATGCTGGATCTGTCCAAATTGGGCCCAACACTGAAATGGCTGTCCAGGGCTCAGACTCTGTATTCCAGGGCCATATGGCTCAGGTTGGCGGAAGTGGCCAGGGTTCCTTCGCATACGTCATCACCCCCGAACATGCCTTCGTGGAGAAGGCGAGAGAGGATGGCGCCATGCTACGCGTCATGCTCAACGACAGCGTTATCACTAGCGGATCCGCCGGTGGCATTGCCGCAGGTCCGAACGCTGGCTCTGCGAGCACGGACTCCACTGCTGCTTCTCAGACTACGGAAGGCTACTCTTACAACCAGGATGTTTGCCTGGTCTTCTTGAATGCCTACTCCGGTGAGGGTGGTGATAGAGATGAACTCTACAACACTGATCAAGACAAGTATGTCCCTCTCCTTCGCCTTCGCACAATTCAAGCTAATTTTTCGCAGCCTCGTCAATGCTGTTGCAGACAACTGCAACAACACCGTCGTCGTGATCAACACCACCGGACCTCGCCTTGTTGACGGCTTCATCACTCACGAGAACGTCACCGCCGTCCTTTACGCCGGTGCCCTCGGCCAAGAATCCGGCAACGCCATCCTGGACGTGCTGTACGGCGACGTCAACCCATCCGGCCGCCTCGTCCACACCGTCGCCAAGAACGAGAGCGACTACGACACCAACGTCCAGATCTCCTCCGACGAAGTCATCACCTTCACCGAGGGAAACTACATCGACTACAAATACTTCGACAAGTACAACATCACACCTCGGTACCGCCTCCCCCTCCCCATACCCCCCAATATCACACTAACCGACGCGGTGCGACAGCTACGAATTCGGCTTCGGCCTCTCCTACACCACCTTCGCCTACACCTCCCTCCACACCACCACCAACACCAGCACCCTCTCCACTGCTTCTCCCTACGCCAGCGGCCCGGTTATCCCCGGCGGCCGCGCCGACCTGTGGGACCACGCTGCCACCGTCACCGTGACGGTTGCCAACACGGGCGGCGTCGACGGCCACGAGGTCGCGCAGCTGTACGTGACGTACCCGGACACCGCAAACGAGCCCGTGCGGCAGCTGCGCGGCTTCGAGCGCGTGTGGGTGCCGGCGGGCGAGACGCGCGAGGTGGCGTTCGCGCTGCGGCGGCGGGACGTGAGTGTTTGGGATGTCGGGGCGCAGGAGTGGAAGGTGGAGAGTGGGACGTACGGGGTTGCGGTGGGGGCGAGTAGTCGGGATTTGAGGGTTACGGGGAGTTTTGTTGTGGGGTAGTTTGGGGGGCTTCTGCGTTGTTTGAATACAAGGAGGTTGAGTGGCGTGGATGTAGATAATTTCATTGTTTGCACGTTGGTTGAAGAGAAGACAAGAAAGGGCGCAATTGCCTGAGACTGCTATGAGGGGAATTATGTCCTACACGATGACTACCTCTCACAAATTCCAGTGCCACCCAGACTCAACGCCAAGATATCCCACGCAGTACCAGAACCGATATCTACTCGGCCGACAGCAATGATATCATCAGCCAACATCTTTTTGCCACTATAGCGGTACAGTCAAGAACCCTGGACAAAGCACTCGCAGCTCAAGCGCTAATTCGGGTTGCGGAAGCCAGTCTTCGACAGACAGAAATGATCTGTGCAGAAGAGCTTCTCGCATCCATGCGCTTCGCCGCCGTCTAGGATGCTGCAGACGCTGCGCCGGGTTCTGCTGTAATTTGTGTTAGCTGTCGAACTTCCCACATAGCTGCATGGATACTTACAAGAAACTACTCAAGTATTGGATCCAGGAAAGGTTCTGGGATTTGAGCTTTGTCGAATCGCCGATGAGATCCCACTCCGTGACAGCTGACACCCCTCCCTCAACCAGCTCTTCGTTATGAAGCTTCTGGAACGTCGCCTTCATATCTTCCGGAATGCATCCAGTGACTTCGACGTGAGGGATGCGCTTGATGTGGTGCTGCTGAAGATGCAACAGAAGCATGCCGAGAAAGACTCTGTGGCAGCCTTTGTCTGTAGGCTCGAACATTGAACTGTAGTCGACATGCTCGATGTGCGGAATGTCGAGACTGAGATGGGAGATCTCCAACTGATCCAGCAGCTTGCAGAATAGGTTACAGACTCCAGTGACGGCGGTCGTCGGAAAGCCAATGTCGAGTCGCTTGGCCCACTGGGGTACAGAGAACTCAAGAGATAGTCTGGAGAGAAGAGGTGGCCAAACTCTGGTTGTCGTCATCCTAAGCTGTGGGTCCGCGAATTCCTTGAAGAGGTCGGCGTCCATGAAGCGCACTTCCAAGTTCTTGAACATCTGGTGCTTGAACTCTCCAGAAACCCGCTTGTTGGATAGCAAGAGGCCCATGATTGGCGCTTGGCCTTGTAGTTCCCTCTTCATGTTGCAGGTGCTGGAATGAAGTCTAGCTCCGTCACGCATCCAGTAGTACGGGTATGCGAAGTCGGCACAAGCGTCGTATATCTTGTTCCTCATCTCCGCAGGGAGCTTCGTGAACTTGAAGTGCTTGCCATTGTTATCCCACAGGTATGCGGTGCACCACAGTGGAGATCCGAGGCCGAAGAAATCATCCTTAGACCGAGGGAAAGTCGACATGACCCAAATAGCCACGTCAACCCAGTTGTCCTTATCCCTGATCAAGATGGTGTTGGTGCTTGTGTCGAGCTTGGCTTCAACTACGGTGAACGAAGCGGCGGCGTACAGGAGTGGAGACATCCGGGCGATTCGATAGAAGTGTTTTTGTTCCTGTTGGGCATGCGATGGCTCGGGGAGTATGGAGCGGACGACGAAGATGACACGGTGCTTGTGCAGGCGCAGTCCGAAGCTTCCGTTCAAGGCGGCTGACAAGAGAGTTCGTATCAGTTCGCTGTTCTCCGGGAGCTCTCTTGTGACAATCTTTCCACCGGAGCCTGCTGCCCCAGCGATGCTGCATTTTGCGTCAGTTCTTGACTCCCTTAGGTAAATGAGAGGTACTTACGAGAGATTGGCAAAGAATGTCTCCATGGTAGCTGAACGTTGGAAATAGTCGATGTGCACAATCGTACAAGTGGACGGGGCTGATCTTGGAATGAGAGAGTGAGGTGGTTGGTCTTGTCGTGGGTTACAGGAGAAAGATGGATTATGGATGGGTATATATGGGCCAACGGGTGCGGTGAATGAGTGGGATAACACTGCAGCTTTTGTTCTGCGTATGATCTCATTAACACACATGGTCAGAGCTTCAAAGCAACAGCCGCGTTAGAAGACCCGCTTGTAAGCAGAACGTCATCCGGGACTAAGACAAGAAAGCGGCATACTTATCTCATATCATACCTAGGCGCTAAGAAGCATCCAGGCGCTTGTATGCACATTCCTGATCAGAATTTCCCTTAAATATGCAAGGTAAATGGATGGGGGAGAGAAGTATGTTTGTGAATGCAACACCATAAATCATACCCAACATCGTTATCACTTCTACAAGTACCTAAAACTCGGCCTTTGAATACTTAAAAATAGCCCAAAACTACTCGCGAATATTTCGGCATAGTAAAGTATTTATATTTTAAACAAGGACTGTTTGATTTCCTTGCTTGACAGCAGCCAAAAAGCGGGCCGCTTGTCTTGATAATGCAGCATTAAGCAGCTAAGTGTGGTCCTTTGCAAGTAAGCGCGCTTGAAGGAAGCCGTGGGAGTCGCATCCTGGGAGGTATATTCAAACGGTAAATATCAGCATCCTCGCCGGGCCAGACGGCTCACTGCAGAGAAGACATAGGGAAGGAAGTCATTCACTTGATAGTACGAGTACGCTGCAGACTGTGTAAAGCATATTGATGTGCAAAGGAACAAATTTATTAGTACATTTATAATCAGAGGCGTGTCATAAGGGCAGTCAGGATGCCACTGCCGAACATAGCCGCCACGCTAATAAAACTAGCCCATGAGAAGGTGACAAGGCCGCTTATCCCATGCCCGGACGTACAACCGCCAGCCAGGCGAGCGCCAAAGACCATTGCAAAACCTCCGAGGAGAGCGGTGCTTGCTGCAACGTCCGCACTGCCTGCTCTGATAGCTTGAAGCGCCGTCTCTGACGCCAAGCGCGTGACCACGGCACTGCTGGAGAGGATTCCCGCAGCAAACAGTACGGATGGGGTCAAAAGCGGACCTTCCTCCTTCAGACCAAGGAAATGGAAAATTGATTGAGCCAGGTTTCCGTAAGCCGAGGATACGCCAACCGTATGCCTGGTTAGCCACACAGTTCCTGCCTGCGCAGCGCCGATCAAGCATCCTCCAGTCACAGGGCCAACCAGTCCGGGCCCCTGCCCTCCAACTCCGGTGAAAACATTGGCCAGCTGGACGAAGAGAACACAAAGGATTTCCCAGGACAGAAGTAGCGTGTTCGTACTGAGCTTGAACGTAGATTGCAGCGTTGGCTCCTGTGGCAACTTGTCGCTGGCACCCGGCTGATTCTGGATTGAGGCCGCATCTGTGTTGAGGGAACAAGAGGGAGGATCCCGTTTCTTCTGGAGCAACGGCAAGACCGCAACGTGGACTATTCCGCCAGCCATTCCTCCCAAGACAACGAATAGTCCACTGCGGAGGCCGGCCGCCAGCTGCACTAATGACGTTCCCGGACAGGCTCCTGTCAAGGCCATTCCGGCGCCCAACAGCGCTCCGCCGATGATGTTGCCGTCATACACAAAAAAGCCAAGATTTTGAGGGGTTCGTGGCTTGATTGGTGCGAAGCCGATGCGATCCGCCAGGTGAATGGCAAGCCTGGACAAGATGTGTTAGTGAACAATGTATCGTGAATTGAAGGATCTGCAGGCCTTACGCGCCAGATGCGCTTGCAGAAATAAATGTCTTCAGCATAGTAAAGTCTGTCAGCTGCATCTGCGCTTTGATGAGGGCTGGGGAGTAGATGCCGGCCGCGGCGAGGGCGGAGCCGAAGAGCGCGCCGGCGCCGAATTCGCTTGCTAATGACATATTGTTTTGTGAATGAAAATATTATGAGCTTCTTTGTGTGTTGCGGAAGAAAAGCATTCTGGAACATGGGGCTTTTAAACCGGTTCCCACATTAAGGGTTGCGATCCCCGTGCAAATCCTTTCCCGAACGCGAAAAATGGTCGCCGAACGAGATCGCCGAAGGCTCGAGCTAGTCGCCGACACCACTACTTAGCATAGAGTTAGACTATCACGCCGCCTCCTCCGGGTCCCAATCCCGCTGAAAATGAAAAGGGTCGGCATGAACGGTATTGTCGTTGCCAAGAACAACACCTGCTTGGTTACCTTCTGGAGATAGGGCACCTTTGCTACACCTTCTCAAAAAAGTATGTCGGGCGCAATATTCAAAAAGCACAGAGCAACTCCTATCAGTTCTGAATCAGCAAATTCATCTCGTTTGAGCGCGCTCTATCCACAGAAGTGAGTTAATCAGGCCGATCGCCCCAGGATCATGGGCTGCACTTAGTCGAGGGACGGAAAACTGTGGCACTTGCCAACGTGAAATAAAAGACGCTTGAATATTGTAAACCTACAATTTATAAAACGCAGAGCGCATAACCGACAGATTCTTACCTTTGTAAAGTGAATTCATTCTTATTTCTTCCAGTGGCGCATCAGAAGTTCCTGCATGGCAGATACCGTCGCCACCCTCGCTCTTGTGTGCCCAGAACATATTTTTGTATCACTTATCAGCAAGACTCGCTAGTGTTTTTAAGTTTTAGTAGGCTGTTTATAACGGGACATGTGGTTTCTGGAAGGATATAAAAGTAATAAAAACGAGAAACAAAGTCCAAGAGATAATAAGGTAAATGAGTTGCGTGCGAAATATTGCCAAGCCTCTCTCACTTATGAAAATGCCATACCATGAACCCAATAAAGAAAGGGCTTTAGAATAGATAGTTCGCCTAGGTGCTGACAAAATGAAAAGTATCTAATGAGTGGATGCCGTTTTCCTGAGCGCTGGCCAGCGCTCCGCGATCCCGTTTGCATATACGGCGAAGGCGGAAAACATTGCCAAGTCGGGCCCGGAGGAGTATGCTGGAACTTGAAACCATTTTCGAGGAAAAGTACTATGAGTTCTTGATGTCCTCCACTTGCAGCGGCATGAAAGGCATCCCTCGCAAATCCTTCTTGTTGGACACGGGCACCAGATTTAAGTAGCATCTCCACCGTGCTCCTCTCACCATGGTAGGCGGCAGCTTGGAGGGCTGTCCCGTAAAAGCCACCTGATTGGTCGGGGTGTGCTCCCTCCTCAAGCAGTAGCCTGACAATCTGGGTGTGCCCCTTCATCGCAGCTGCCTGGATTGCATCCCCCAACTGACCACATGCGTTAACTTTAGCTCCTCGTCCAAGCAGGATTCGGACAATGTGGTCATGATTCATCAGACTGGCGACCCTGAGGGGAGATCCGAACAGACCCTCCGCTTCCACGTCGAGCCCACTATCTAGTAGAAAATCTACGGTTTCTCCGTGTCCGTGAAGAGCTGCAGTTGCAACGCCGTCATGTGGTAATAGCTGCAGGGGATCGGAAGATTTGTTCATAAAATAGCAGAGAACTCCTAATTGGCCACCGTGAATGACCTTGGTCATTTTTGCCAGCATTTTGTCTGGAGCAGCTTTTCCGTACAACGAAACCAGCTCTGGTCTCTGGAGCCACTCAACAACGCGGAGAAAACCTGTTTGGGCAGCCCCTAGAAGGGCGGAGTCGTAATCATCTTGACTACGGATATATTCACTTTCCAGAACGAGTACTGCGACGCTCTCATGCATACCACGGAAAGCCGCATCAAGAGCGCTCGAGAATATACCGCTTGATTGGGTGGAAGCGCCCTGATCCAAAAGACACTGCACGGTAGCACCATGCCCGCCAAAACAAGCAGCATTCAAAGCACTGCCATATTTCCCGCAGTGGACATCAACATCTGCCCCTTGCCGTATCAGATAGGAGACGATGGCGTCGTGTCCACGTGCGGCGGCAAGGTAGATCCCCGTTTGGCCAAGAAGGTTCTTCTGATTCCAATCTGGGCCTGGCGCGCTCCTTGCAACGATGAGGTCAAGCAAGCCTTCGAGGCCAGAGATACAAGCTGTGAAGAGTGGCGATGAGTCACAGCTATTGACCGTATCCAGAACGGCTTTTTTCGGGTGATCTCTAGCAAGGCCAGTCGAAATATGCTGGACGTAGTCGAGCCAGCTCATGAACGACAGGCTCACGTCATCATCGTCATAAATGAAGTCCATCATTTGACGGAACAACGTGTCGTTCTCTGTGGCGCCTGCGCTTCTGTAATGGTCCGCCCAATACATGGCACCGTAACGGTAGAATGTTCCTTCCAAAAGTGGAGTTGAACCATTATGGTGAGGAGGACCCTGCATACACACCCGGAGACAGCTGGACGCCAAAAGCTGCTGGGCACAAGGCTCCGCGAAGATGGCTTGCGATCGGAGAAACTCTTGAGCAGATTGGTGGGCAAAACGGAGCATCGTGTCCTTTGCATCCACGATTACCAAGTTAAAGCAGATATCGAGGATATCCGACAACTTCACCTCCACTCCGTTGTTGAAAGCCGCCAACGAGATTGCCGAGATGATTGCTTCTGGCTTCAGGGGCTCTTTTGTGAACAAGAGCCATGAGAAGACTTGGATAGCAAGGTCGCGCGCGATCTGCTTGGATTCCAGGACTTTCCCGAGGATATCGGTATATATCTCGTCTAGAGTGGCTAGACGTAGCTCTCTGATAGCGTTCGCGACGTCTCTTTCATGCATCATGCGGCAGAGATACTCAATTTGAAGCTTTGCCCAAAGGAACCTAATCATCGTTAGATGTCAATTGACGAAGCCGCGGATGATACTTACATCTCTCCTGATCCTTTGACCAATTTGTCCACCAGCTCATCACGTAGGTTTGATGGGACGCGCCCATTGAGGAGCCTTTTTGCCTCTGTGACACCGTTGATCTGAGCCCTCACGAAGCAGTCCATATCGGCACGATTTATTTCTTTGTTGATACGAAGCCTTCTTGCATCTGGTAAAATTGCATGGATATGGCTGTTGTCTCGGCTCGTCACTAAGACCTTGGTAACGTTATTCGAGCTGGAAACGACCCGACTGAGGGCATGCAGTAACTCATAGCGATCTTGTTCCTTCACTTCATCCACCGCGTCCAGAACGATTGTCACTGGATCGCTGTTGATGACATCCAAAATCAATTTCACGCAGTCGTTCACCTGCAGCGTCTTCGCCTCGAATCCATCAAGCTCGGCCTCGGCCCGCCTGCGTTCATACTCAGACAAAACTGAATCGCGGACTTTTCGCTGCGGCTGAGCGGATACCGTCAGCTGTCGAACGATACTGCACAGAATCTTGTCTGGTTGACCACGTTCCGGCTCAGCGTCGTAGTCGGCGCAATAGAAGTAAGCAAATGGAGCCGTTGTTGGATTCGCAGCGCGCTCGGACAACAACGAGTCTACGACCATCGAAGAGAGCATACTTTTCCCGCAACCTGGGATACCGTGGAGGAGAAAGATTGAAGATGAGCTGGACGCCCTCCATTGGCAGTATTCAGGATGATCCAGCAACCACTGCCCTGTTCCGGCGAGTCGATTTTCCGAATGGTCCGCATGATGATGCGAAAATTGGGTCGGAGACAGCCAATTCAGCAACTCTCGATATCTGCTTTCCTTGAGAGCCTTCTCGGACATGTTTGCTTGGTCTGATAGGCGCACCATCACAGTCTGGAGGGACAGCAGTCTCTCGGTATTGGTAAATCCAGCAAGTTTCAAGACCTCTTTCTCCTGAGCAAGGACTTCCACAATGTCCTGATTCTCTACTATCCGGAATGGACTCTTGCTGATACGAATCACTGTCGAATCCTGGTAATAGTGCACAGCTTTGGCCAAGAAGGCCAACATCGCTGCGTACAGGCGAGTCAAGCCGTCTTCCAGAAGCGAGCTGACGGTCGACGGCTGTTGCAGGTGAAGCTTCTCAAACTCTCGGTACTGAGCGATGAGACGTGAGATGAATTCCAGGTTGTCCACCATGGCTCCAAAGATTTCAACGTCGTTGACTGTTGCCTGCAATAGGAAACGCACTGCGGCCCACGCTAGCGATGCGGGCGAGGGGTTGAATTGCACAGCAGTGTCCCCAACCGCTTTAAACCTATCAATCCACCTCGATATCTTTTCCAAGATATCACGAAGGATGATCTCTTCACCATTTGATTTCTTGAAACGCCATCGTTTCTTCATGCATAGCGTTCTCTTCTCCTCGGATACCTGGAGCACTGCTTCCAGGATATCTCTCCTGCTGGTGCTTGCCAAGTTGATGTTTGCTTTGAGGTCAGGGCTCAAGGAGTCCAGAGCCAGCTGCCAGTAGTTGCGGACTTGCGGTCCAGTGGGTGAAGAGGGTGCCGTCATGTTGGAGACAAGAAGACGAATGTAGCTTCACAGGCTGATGGAAGAGGTCACGTTGGTAGATAAACCTAAGCGAGCCGTAGCATCTCAGAATGTTGATCAGTGCGGTACTGTCTATGCAGGAGGCGGTGGGCGCAGATAAGTAGACGCTTCCGTTACACTCAAGGCTGAAATCGATAAAACCCTCTCAAGCCATGGTGTGTACAGCTACCCTGGACGCCTGACCGTACCAAGCCCCGTTGACCACTGATATTGCCACTTGAATTGTACAGCATATTGTGATACACCCAACAAGACACTGAGCCTCTTGATGGTGGAACCTGACGCGTTAAGTATTGCGTGACCTGCTGATGCCTTCTCAGCCTTGCCCCCTTGGCATGAGGGACTAGCATCATCAAGCCAATGCATGGGGCCATTCCTTTCCGTGAAAGCGGAGGATTAATTGTGTATATTTCAACCCCTCTCTCTGTACCACGCACGAGGCAGACAGGTGGCGATAATAAGAGCTGGCCATCATAGCCTTGTCTATGTTGCACATGATGATGTCTTTGCATCGCTTGTCCATCCCTTCCATTTTCAAACCCTCGCACAATGACGTCTTCTCTTAATGCTTCTGTAATATTGCCTGTTAACCTCCTATGGCAACTGACGAATTGTAGTAATCAATAAATGAAATTCTATATTAAATGTTGAATGCGTGTTGAATATGGTAAAGGCCTTAGGTGTGACTGGACTATCATTAGCATTCTACCTACATTGATACTGACGATAATTTTCCAGATATCAACGAGATGGAAAAAGGATTTAGTAAGCGAAGGGAGCTTGAGAACAAGATGACATCTAATAATTAGATGTAAGGAAACGCAAGTTCCGTCAGTTGGTATATCCTCTACTAATATATACACACTTCAGCATTAATGTAGCGCGCACGATGGTCTCAGGCCAACTACCGGCCGCCGATCGGCACGACGCGGGGATCCGATCAGTGCACTCACCTCGTCATCGATCTTCGTTTCTGGCTTCCGCCACAAACTTTCAAGCACGAAAAAATTGGGCTACAAAGAGCAAGACTGAGTAGTACCAATCGGAGCCATTATCTCACATCCTTAGCGATATGGCAAGGTGATTCGCTGTAAGGAAGGGAGCGAAGCCGAGAGGCAAACGGGCCTGCGTGCCGAACCTCCGCACGCCGAAACTACCCGGCGGGAGTTTTACTCGCCACAGCATCTACCACTTTGCCTCCAACAATCCGCATGGCGATCGATTGCAACTTGCGTTCGGATACTTTGTCTTCGGAAGCCGAACGATGCGAAGGCCGACTCAGGTGGCCTGTTCTGAAAATCATGTGTGGATCAACTGTAACTCAAAGGCCGCGTCTAGTCTCGGCCTTGGAAAACCGCGAAGGCCGATGCAGGTAAAGTGTATATAAAAGATGGAAATCAACTTCCAACCACCGCAGTCTCTTGGATATTAAAATCTACAGTACTGTTTCAGCTATCAAGCTCTAACGCTCGCCATGTTGTCACAATCGAAGCCTCTTTCCGGCAAGGTAGCCATTGGTGCGTGGAGACGTCATTCCGCAAATTTCTGCGTAACTGATGATATCGGGGGATCCAGTAACCGGATCGAGCCGCGGCATTGGTGCAGCTATCCTGCTCAAGCTTGCATCATGCGGGGCTGACGTCGTTGTGAACTATGTCTCGTCTCAAGCGCCGGCCGAATCTGTTGCTGCCAAAGCTCGCGAGTTCGGAGTCAAGGCTATTTGCATCCGGGCGGATGTCAGCAAACGGGAGGAGATCGCCCATCTCTTTGATCAAGCCAAGAAGGAGCTTGGAAGAGTCGATGTCGTCATGAGCAATTCTGGTATCGAGCACTTTGGAGACCTGGAGACGGTCAAGGAAGAGGAAATCGACAGGGTTCTGGCTGTCAACGTGAAGGCGCAATTCTTTGTTGCGCAGGAAGCACACAAGTACCTTGAAGATGGTGGTCGTTTGATTCTTATTTCGTCCATCTCAGCTGTTTGGGTAAGTGTGTTGAAAGGGAACAATACCTTGGGTTCTGTACTGACCCTGACAATAGGGCGTCCCTCGTCATGCCCTCTACTCGGCGTCAAAGGCCGCCATCACCGGCATGGTCAAATGTCTGGCATGCGACTTTGGAAGCCGCAACATCACTGTCAACTGCATTGCCCCTGGTGGTATCAAGTCCGACATGTATACCGAAGCAGCAAAGGAATATTTCCCTGGTGGTGACAAGATGACGGTGGAAGAGATCGATGAGAAAGCAGCTTCAATGAGTCCTATGAAAAGACCTGGCTTCCCCGATGATGTGGCGGGTGTTGTTGCGCTTTTGGCTATGCCGGAATCCCAATGGATGACTGGGCAGACCTTCCATGTCGGTGGAGGCGCTCACATGGCAACGGCTTAGTTATACGTAGAATCGTATTTGAAAGGTAACAATGATAAGGAGTATTGGCATTCATTTTCATATACATACACGGACTTATCTGGTAAAAGTTTGTGATTGGAAGGAGACTCTATTTCAAATTGAAGTATGTACTTGAGAAGTGTTTCAAACTCATTGCTCTTCGATACAAGGATTGTTACAGACAACTCCTTAAATTTCACACATCCCAACTTCAAACCAGATACTCATTGGGGACATACAGCGGCATCGAATCCTCCCACAGACTATCCGTAAGCATCGTCTTATTCGAACCGTCGGCATTCATAACAATGATCTGACCGTACGGCTGGAAAGTCTCGTCGTAGATGGCAGCCTCATCACGGAAGCCATACATTCCACTGGAGTACATAATACGGTTATCAGCAGTCCACACAGCGTGCGCATCGTTGGCACCGCTCGATGTCAGCACCTGCAAGTCCGTGCCGTCGGGGCGGATGGTGCAGACGTCGAAGTTAGTAGCGCTCGTCTTACGCGTAAACACAATGCGCTCTCCGTCGGGCGACCAGCCGGGCAGGTTGTCAGTCGCATTAGTGAGGACGTGGTAGCTCTTGTCTTGGAGGTCGATGATGCGGAGGCCGTAGCGGACACCCCACTCGCGGAAGACGATGTAGCGGCCGTCGGCCGAGTAGCTGGGGAAGCCCGAGTGCACAGTGCCGTCGGTCAGGGCCTCGTAGAAGGAGCTGTTCGACGTCGTCCTGTAGATCCTGGCTTTGCCCGTGGCGCGCGACTGGAACCACTGGCCCAAGCCGAACGCGATCCATTCGCCGTCGGGCGACCAGGCGGGCTGGAAGGCGCCGGCCAGACCCTGGCCGACCAGCGACGAATCCAGCTCGCCCGTGGTGTAGGCGTCGAAGACGGTCTTCTCGTCGGTGCCGTCGGGGTTCATGGTGACGACGGACGAGTTGCCCAGCTGCTTTTGCGTGATGACGAGCTTGCCCTGGCGCGACAGCTCGGGGAAGACGTCGGTGAAGCGGTACTCCCACTCGTTGTCCCAGCTGTACAGCTTCTTCTCCATCGGGCGCGCCGTGAAGCCGACCTTCTCGTAGACGACCGTCTTGCCATCGGGCGACCAGGCCGGCGAGCGGACCTCGGCCTTGACTTGAGCGCGGCCCGAGGCGTAAGAGGTGTAGTTGAGCCCCTCGTTGTCGCCGCCCTTGACAAGGAAGCCGATGTCCTCGTCCGAGATGAACTGCGGGAACATCTTCAGGCCGGAGCCCGAGGTGTGCTCGACGCGGTCCAGGCCAGTCTCGAAGTCGACCGACACGATCTGGGATGTGACGCTGGCGACCGACTCCGGGCGGTGGGAACCCCAGGTGTTCTCAGTCGTCACCTCGTAGTAGACGACGCGCTTGCCGTCCGGCGACCACTTGGGCGAGCCGAGGCAGTATCCCTCCTTGGTGGCGAGCTGGCGGAAGTCGGAGCCATCCGGGCGGATAACGTAGACGGAGAGTTCCTGAGTGTGTTCCCAGCCGGTGCCGTTGCCGTGCCCGCGCCACGGCGTGTTGCGGTCCGACGTGAAGGCGATCCACTCGCCGTCGGGCGACCAGCTCGGCCGGAAGTGGCCGTCCGGTAGGCTGGGGTCGCCGGCGATGGCGGCAGTGTTGGTCAGGTTGTATCGGTCGCCTGTTGCGAGGTCCAGAACCCAGATGTTGGCCCGGTATCCATTCTCGGTCGAAACGAAGGCGACTTTGCTGCCGTCTGGGGACAGGGCACCCGCGTCCTCAAGCGACGGCGTTGCTATGATCTTCTCCAGTCCGGAGCCGTCAGTTCGGCAGCGGTAGAGGTCCGAGTTGCCGTCGCCGTTGCGCTCGGTGGTGAAGGTGATCCATTCGCCGTCCGGGGAGAAGGAGGCGTGGTACTCGAAGCTGGAGCTGTTTCCGAGCAGCTTGCGCTCGTTGCTGCCGTCAGCGTCTGCCACATACAGCTCTGATGTCGACGGCCCGATGCGGTTCATGAAGAGCACCCCCTTCTTCCCTGGCGCAGGGAGACCGCGGGCTGAATGCGCCTTCATCAGCGATCCGAATTCACTCTCCAGTTCAACATCCAGGTGGTGGCTCTGAGGCATGGCATGGGCCAAGCCCATGACAGCCCCGAGGAGGGAGAAAGTGACAAATCGCATCTTGACTTGACTGGACCGACGCTCTTGTCAAGTGAAAGATGAGATGATGGTCTCGCCGTGGAGGCGTGGCGACGGTGAACGAGAGACGGGGGATGTCGAGCACTCATGGTCTACGGCTCCCATAGCTTTATAACGCCTCTTCTATGCGTCCACGACAAATTTTGGCGGCAGTTTCGTTGCGGAAGGTGGACGGTGAAAGATCCACTGGGGTTGGTGCTCTCGGTGTGGCCAAACAAATCCAGTTAAGATTTTCGGCAGCGTCGGCTACTAAACGGCGATAAGATTGAGCTTACATTTCAGGATCAAGACCTAAGCGAGATTCTACCTTCTAGAAGAGCGGAAATATTTCTGGTAGGGGTGCATGCAGCTGCAGAATGCAAGATTATCTTGACCTAAGTCCGAGAATCAATCGCCGCGGCTTCGTATCTCCGAGAAATCTCTCAGACACTGACACAGAGTGGACAGGGGACGGCCTTGGCAGTTGGGCTAGCCTGCCGAAAGGGACGCGTGAATTAATGCTTGCTTTGCATCATTGATCAATCGTAGTCCATGTTTACAAACCGCTCTAGGATGAGCCATCTCGCCGCAGCATCCGAACGGGACAGCCCAACTCCAAAAAGGAAACAGCCCGACCCGCCCGGCAAAGAAGCGAAAAAGTCTCCGCAATAACCGAGACTTCGTGACGAATGCAGGGTCTCGCCGTTCTTAAATGTCGTGTAAGTGAACCGGTAGTATGGGTGGACCGCCGTCGCCGTTGAAACGAACTTCACATGTCCAGGGAGTCCTGAAGGCAAGGCAGGCCGGCTCGGACGTAGTACCTATATCCTTGTGAATCTTGACAGCGAATAGCAGATAAACATGTGGAAAGCTCATGGCCTGTCGCCTGGGTTGCCCTCCACAAAGGTCGCACGTAGGCGAAACCCGATAAAAGTTAAACACAGTTATTGAGCAGGATGTTTAATCATTTGAGTCGACTCGTAACGTTTTTCGTTTCCTTTTAGAACTCGTGAGTATTGCTAATAGCACACTCGTAACTAAGATGCTGCCAGCGTCTCGTATTGGAACGCACGAACCACACGACCGAAGGACTCGAAGAGCCTGCGTATCGTTCAAAAAAATATATACATTCAAAAGAAAAAGTGAATGTGAAAAGTGAATGCTAAGTATAATGCAGGGCAAATTCCGCTGCCTATTAACTGAGTAATAATGGAGAGGCCTAGGACAGGCTCGGAGGAAACCACCCACTAACGCCTTTCAATATGATGGTATGCCGATGGCGCCAATACCCATGCCCAGTGTCGGTGTGACTAATATTTAACAAAACGCTGAAAAGAAACGAAGACATGAAAGGTATTCTAGACGATGCTAAATGCTGAAACTCCCCCAACACGACTGGTACATGCGCACGGCAGTATAGGGTATCGCGCAGCGCGTCTCGAGGAATCGATTCGTAGAGAGGCCATCATGGAAAGTTAACGGTGCGCGTCTCCCTGGAATTCGAATGTGGGAGGATAGCCCTGTCGCTATTGTTGTCGCCAAGGCTTGCCGTCTTCATCGGCACCTGGATGGCCTCGACGGCGTTTCTGATCTGCGGATTCTCCGGCATTGTGCCGTTGAGCTCGTACTCGATGAGCTCGTTCTGAGCCTCGATATTTGATGACCACTGATCTTTCGCCGGCTCTTGCGGCCCTGTATCTTGTGATGATGTCATCCGCGATGATGAGGCTCGGCGGCTGACTTTGTGGAAGCCGTTCAGCGTCCAGGCCGATTTCGCTTCTCTGTCATCCTTGCGTTGGGTCATGGTCATCTGTTGGTTTCGGTGTGAGTGTCGGTATTTAGAGGGCAGAGAAGGGTAGACATACGTAGAATAACAGCACGGCGTTGGCGAAAATGTCGATGCTGCAAGACCCCAGGCAGAGCCAGCCAGGTGCCTCGATCATGATGAGCATAACAAGGTTGACCATTGTTGCGATGACAGATCCAACAGAGGTCCAAAGGGACTTGATTGCGAGGCGTCGTAGTTTGCGGTTAACGAACTGGTCCCGGAAGAGCGGAATGACGAACATGGCGACCAGATAGACTGTTCCACTCATTAGAAACCCCGTTGTCTGATGCTTGTGGCACCTAGAGGAACCTACTGTTGACGAAGACATCCAGAGACATGAGTGGGATGAGTGCCCACCATTCCCATCCGAACGTACAAACGCCGTCTTCGCGGAGCGCGTAGATTCGGCCGGTCTGTGATGACTGTTAGTAGAACTAGAGCATGGAGGTGATGGAGCACCCACCTCAAGGAGAACGAAGACACAGAGCCAACAACCCATCAGGAAAAAGTTGAAACGGTAATGCCATGATTGAAGGCGAACTCCACCGCCGCGCACGACGAAGGCACGCTCCATCAAACTATCACAAAGCCATCAGTATTTGTCAGGATGTCGTGCACGGGATTCGTACAATAGGTACACGCCCAACTTTGTAGTGGTATAGAACCATGTGCAGAGGAAGAGTCCTGTCGAGCACTCCTTGAGACTCTGGCTAAGACCGATTCCGAGATTTAGCAGGCCGCCAACGAAGATGTAGCACCAGCTCGCAAACAGAGCGATGAGGATTGTCACTCTGGTGTACTGTAATTTCCACTGAAACGATACGGGTCAGCTACAGATGCAGGGGAAAGTGATATGCGTAAGGAAACTTACTCCGTAGATTTCGCGAAGTGTTCTGATGAGGGGAAATCGCGAGAAGAGCATGAGGCTGATGAGTGGCATTGTTACCAGATACCCGACCGTGAAGCCAACCTGCACTGCACGGTTCGGGAACCAGGGCACATCGTTGAACCCGATTTCGTACATGATTGGAGATGAACGGCTGCGAGAGCCGACGAGGATAGCATTCAAGACAAGAAAGTGTGATGTGTCACGTCGCCGCGAGACATCTGGAGTTGGGTTTAATAAGACTTCCCCATGGGGTGTATGGCGTCTCGGCGTCGAGCTTGTTTTGTAGGATCCTCGATAGAAAGCGGTGGCCAGGCACATGTAGGCTTGTCCCGCATGTGGCTGGCAGCCGCTCGTGGAAGGGGGGCGCCACATCCACACAGACCCCTGCGTCAGCTTCTACCCTTATTCAAAAGCGGCCAAGGCAGAACCACACGCGGGACACTGCCACGCGGATGCACACTTGCAGCCAACCCAGGCGATTGCCACGCTGCACGGAATCTGCACCTATCGATTCCTGTGAAAATCTTGTGCGGGCCAGCCCCCCACGTCAGCCGCGTCGGTGAATTCGATCGGCAGGCGCGGTAACGGAGAAACAACAACGACAGCTCCACGATGCGTGATGGAGCACTGGGCTTGGGTGGTGGTGCTCCTCCAGCGAAAGGACGGGAGCGGCACGTCATTGCTCGGCCGATGGCGGACTCGACGGAATAAGCGGCGTCGAACAACGGGACGAGACATGACGCACACGGCACGGAGCTTATCAGCTTCTCACGTTACACTCGACCGGTAGTTCGGCGGCATTCCACTGGCAGAGAGATCACAGCGGAGATACTAGCGGGCGGCATTCTTCGATTGACGAAGAAGGATCTGCGATGTAGCGCGTCCCGCGGGAGGTTAGGCAAGGCATAACGCACTAGCGAACCTTATTGTGCGCCTCCGGACCCCATTGGCTCCCGCCTCCACGGTGAAACAATCACTGCCCTTCGCGGTCCATGGCGGCTGGGCTTGAGTCAGAAAAACAGGTTGAACAAAAGAGCGCGCGACCCCGAGACGAGGAGTATATAGTTCAGGAAAAGGAACGCGTGGTCTGGCACTGAACGCCATCGAATACCGCTAGGAGTACGGCTGAAATTCGGGCACTGCTTTAATGAGATGCTGGCCACCACCCGGCGCTCTCGACCCTGACTAGGAAGCCCCTCCGCACTCCCATCTTCATGTGATACGGAGGCTCCAACAAGTGAGATTAAAGACTCCCCTGTAAGCGTCTGTACTGTCGAATAGTCTACAGGTGCGGCGAAAGCCTCCCTTTTGCATTCTGGCCCCACCGCTCCAAGTACCGACATGCCGCGCCGGCAGAGCAGGGTCGGTACCAATAAAATAGGTGCATTGGCCACCGCTACCAGTCAATGGGGCAACTTGCCCCCAGCCAGCTGCCTCCCACAGCACGTGCTGTCCTCGCCAATCCAGGGCCTCAACAACATTCACATGATGCTGGAGACACGGCTCGGTCAACATCAAGGGTCCAAGCCACGGTGTGAAGAGCGACCCAATCGCCACCGCTTGCGAAGGTACTCGAGACGGCCAAGAAGAGACAAGACGTCTGGATGAACTCCTGGACCACCGAGACCTCCTAGAGTTGCTGCTTGCAGAATGAGCCCCGCAAGCCAAGAACTCGCCTTCTTATTCTTAAGGACGAGGGATATAATCTTTCACGCTCGCGCTCCTGCTCAAACAGTCCGCTCCCAGCACCATCATAAAGTGGAAAAAGAAATCACCTCATTCTGACTCTCGTATAGACACCGATCCCCGCCTCCCTTCTTACTTTCAACCAGGTAATGATCATCACTCCACCTTCTGGTTGGCCTATACAAGACGCCGGAGTCGGTCGCTTCCGTAGGCGGCAAGCCTACATCCATCGCCGGCCGCGAAACGGCACACGAGCGCACCTCCGTCCGCTTCAGGGAAGAGCAAAGCGGTTTGATACGGCACTTACCTCGTGGTCCTAAAGCCGCAGCGCACGGCCCCGGATGTCAGTTTCACTAGCCACCGTCTCTCTCATGATAGACAATGGTCCAGGGACTCTAACGGAGCCAATCATTGGGTTTTTCCCTCCTATCCAAATAAACAAGCCAAGGATATGCCGCCGAGGGTGCCTGCACACCGCTGAATCGTTTAGGGGATGATCTAGCAGAACGTCCCGCCTTTGGTTAACTCAACCCAGTGAACAACACATCCAGGGGTATCTTCCGTCCCTTGGGTCCTGACGACTTATTGAAACTATTTTCAAAGCCAAATACGGACTTGTTGGGCGCCACCAGGAACAGATCCAACTTTGTTTGTCTACAGGTGGTACGGAGCTGAACTGTCAAGAGCATGGAGAGGGCACTTTTCAGTGGCTGAAATTTCCACGTGATCACAACACTGGCCATACACTCGATGATATCCAATTATGAAGGCTAAGCTAAGGCGGAAGAGACGTCCCCCAGCTTCATTGTCATAATCTCATGGAAGCAGAAATTGGAGGCTCTACCAGACGGCCCTTTGTCGACCTTTTCTTGGCGTTCACTCCATTAACATGACTCCCTGTCACATGGAAGTGTTGAGTATCAACTATCTGAAATCCACCAAATCAGGCGCCACATGAACTATGCACTGTATTTACGTCAGATTTGCAGATAGCTTGGACTTTATCCCACAATTAATCGGCCTGGGGCTGAGCTGAGGCTCGTCAGAGAGGGATTCGGAGCTTGCCTTTGTCTTGCATTGGAAGCTCTCACCAGCGTGGGGGCGGTGACGCTGCCGCTCACCGCTGGTTCCTGCACCATCATGCAGCTGCGCTCATCGTAAACCATCAACTGATGGCCACGGCTGTCTTAACTATTCTCGCCAGCTGAGCCAGCCGTCGCATTTTTGGATGACTCACGCGTAACTGCTTTTATATCAGTCTCCTCGCGTGCCTTCACTTCCATTGCTCGACTGTCCCCTACTCCGACATCAGCGTTTGTTGTGCTACTGGTCCCGAACAGCACGCTTGAACAGCTAATGCAGGATCCTATTCAACTCTATTGACGCCCATGCTAAGGAGTTCGACCGTCTTTCCAGTGGCTACAGAATTACGCCGGCCATAACGCCGGTGTTGCCTCCCAATCATGCATCAGGAAAAGCGCCGACCCCGCGTCAAGCACTGAAGCAGCTGGTTTCACTCTCGTCAGCAAAGGCGACGAATCAGAGTCAACGGTAAACATTAACGAATTGTAGGGAAATACAATAAAAAATCTGTCGTGGTCCACTTCTAAAGGAACCCGAGTGCCATGGGAGTCCAACACTTGGCGCTTGAAACATGACGAACAAACTATTTCATACAACAAGCCCCACCGCAATCAAGGTTTTCGAGAGCTGAGAGTATCGTGGTCGGGTTGTCTTCTTAGAGGACGGCTCCCCGCCTTTGAGTCAGCTTGTGATAGGCGCATCCCAACGCCACTTACGTGAGACGCTGACGACCATGCATGACTGCTGCTCCACGTCAGTCCTTACTGAACTGCGGTCTGCCACTGGGAAAAGGATTGCCTTTGTTTCACAATCGACATGTGCGAACCCAATGCTTGGGAACTGCACTCCCAGTACCATGTATCTCTGCGGGGGTTTTGCATGACTCGGCGTACTCCAACGTTGTCCAACCACGGTGACGGAAAAGCAAACGGCCAATCAGACTTGCGATCTAAACAAAATCACTTCCATAGTCGCATGGCATGCTCGCTGTTGAAGCTTAATCATCGTCAATTGTAAAGGCTGTTTCCGCATCAGAGCGGCCCCGATGATTGCTGTCCTATCACGTCAGGATAGTTGTTGATCATCACAGGTTCCGCAAGCATGCTTACTTACATCCGCACCAATGCTTGCTAGGAACATGTCACATCTTACCAGCTGGAGTGAGCGACATCAGCACAGCGGAACCCACCGCCATTCCCCGCCCCATGCTTGGCGTGCAACGCTCCTCAACCCGTATAACTTGGATTGTCTTCCCACATTTAGCGTCATTGTAGCTCCTTTCGCCGTGATGCTTCCAACTAGTCCCAGAAATTTGGGCTTTCGCCTGGGAGGAGCCGTCGTTATCTTCACGTTATTTTCACTGGCACTGGGTCAGGATGCCGATCCAGTCAGTGACAGATGCGCCCGCTGGCATCATTCGGGTCAGTAAGCTCACTTCGGTACCTCTGAACCTGCTGACTTTGCGCTTTTCCAGCGATGGTGAGACGAGACTCCATCTTCATCGATGGTGGAGTGCAGACTCTTCGCAGCAACGGGACAACGTGGCTCACATTCAGTACGGCCATCCACTGAAAGCATCTTTTTAAGCTTCAATTAACTTTCCGCAGGCGAGTACATATACGAACTCGATGTTAGCCAGTCATGGGACGCCAACACAAACTTTACGGAGTCGAGGATCGGTCGGTATTCCGAAGCGGATGCAAACCCCCCAAACATGCTACGCGGGGCTCTCTATGCCGCGAATCGGGAAACGAACAGGCTCTTCACCTTCGGAGGATCGAGCTTCCTGGCCAACACTTCAGATCCCGACTGGCAGCCCCCAAGCCAGGACTCCACCTCTCTGTGGTCCTACGATACCGAGATCCGGGACTGGCATTCGTACAACATAAGCACCGTCCCTTGGCGCCCGAACTGGGGATCGATAGCCGAAGACATTTTCCATGACATCGGGTTCTTTCTGAACGGAATGTACGACCGGGGGTCCTCGTATGGACTTTACACCAGCGTTGAATATGAGGGTGGCCAGGTGACGAACGATTCCTTCAACGAGATCCGGTATCTGGGTGGCTTGATCATGATTGATCTGCACACGCAAGAGACGAAGAATCTCTCCACGGCAACTCTCGGTGCTCCTCGCGTAGCGGGCGGATTGGTTTACACGCCGACGTTTGGCAAGACTGCGAATGGCACACTTCTGACCTTTGGTGGTATGCGAAGCAGCGGCCAGTCAAGGGATACCTTCACAAACGGCGCTCTGGTAAGCTGACAGCATTAAAAAAGACATCGGGCGCTGCTTACGCACTTAGATTGACATGTCGACAATCTCTCTTTGTGACAGCTTCATGGATGAAAACGTCACTTGGGTTAATCAGACAACCACAGGCGATATTCCCAGCCCTCGCATGGATTTCTGCACTCTCCCATTTGAGAAGGATGCAAAAGATAACTCAAGCATCAACATGTCTGGCACCCTTCAGTCACAGAAAGCATTGGGCTAACTGCAAGCAGCTACATCCATGGTGGATATGACCCCCATAACTCCACGCTATTCGACGACATGTACGTGCTCTCCGTTCCCTCATTCACTTGGACGAAGGTATATTCCGGGAAAGAAGGGCGCTACGGCCACACATGCAATGCTGCAGGCAAGCGGCAGATGTTGGTTACAGGCGGAGCACGAGACGCCAGCCTATTCGCTGTCGAAACGACAGGCGACGTGCCCAATCTGAACCAAACCAGCTGCAATGAAGGCATGGGTGTCACCGTCTTCGACTTGACGAATCTGACCTTCGGTACGTTTTTCGACTACGACGCTCCCGAGTATCAGGTCCCACAGAAAGTGGTTGACAAGATTGGTGGAACGTAAGTATACGGATTTCCCTCAATGCCTCTTTTGTAGTCTGACGACCGCAGACCAGACGGAGGTGCCACCATGACCGAGCCCGCAGGCGGGTTTGCGCATCCCGCCATTTGGACAATGTTCCACCCCCCGCCAACTCCAACGGCCACTGAAAACGCAGGTAACGAGGGTGTCAGCGGAGGTGCAATCGCCGGTGCGGTAGTGGGATCAGTTGCCGGTGTATCGCTCTTTGGCGTGGGTGCTTGGATCCTGCTCAGAAGGCGATCTCAAAGGCGGCGGCGCCAATCGATAGGAAGAAGTACCATCTCGGAGCTTCAAGGCGCGCCGGTCGAGGTCCACGAGAAGGCGTCTATCCCGGTGGAGCCGGTGACGGTCCATGAGAAGGCGGCTATGCCGGTGGAGCCAATCAACGAGGAGCCCCAAGAACTTGAAGCGAATCTCCCAGAGCGCCAGGAGCTGCCCTGCCCGACAAATGATTCCAAAGTCGAACGCAAGAGGACTCCCAGCCCGCGGCAGTCCAAGTTTGCCGAAAATACAACGGACTAGCATACAGGGGAATCAAATATAGTAGAGAGGCGGCGTTTCAAATCTATGTAATATTCACAAAACACATTTCAGTTTGTATTCATTAGGATGGGAAACGGACAGAATCATTACGTTTCTATTTCTCAAATATTTATTTCTAAAGAATACTTCAGTAATAATTTAGTTATTCAGTTCTGCGATATCTTTTGAAAATGAAACAAATGTGCGCATTTCAGCAGCTTACAGTTCAGCTGAAGAGCAGTTTGATACGATAGGTAAAGCGACACGCTATGATTTTGCAAATCTCGCCACCGTAACAGTCTGGATTACAAGTAACAAACCATCGAGCTTTCCATCTTGCAGGATTTGGACTTGGGTATAAGCCTTCCGTGTATTTCTGTTGCATCAATCTCTACCTGAACGCGCGGCCCATCATGTGTGGCTGCTGCACGGCCAACTTATTAGAGACAGAACCACACCGCCGCCTGTGTTGTACCTCCTCAACAGCTTATACATTACTCCGAGGTCTCGGGATTTACCATATCGCAGCAAGGGGCAATGGCGTCCCAGTGACGGGCGTACGTGGGCTGCATTGGCGTGACACTCGGCTTGCAGCAGAGGAGCGAGACCATGCCCGAAGCTGTGAGGCGTACTCTGGAGCCTACATTATCAACTGAGCAGTCCAAGCGGCTCCACATGAGCTAAAGGTGGCTTCGCAGGCGCTAGTTCCGAGTGGGGCAGCAATGATGCCGAAGGCCGAGACCTTTTAGTTCGCCACTCAGGCTTACTGTAGTAGGGAGCTATCCTGTTAGTGATTTAGGCTCAAGTGCGTTTGAGAGAGATGATCACTCAGCATGGGTTGATACCGTATTAAATTACTATTTGACTATGTTCCATAGACAAGACAGTTTTCGAGAGCAGAACACATGAGGGGCCGTTCGTTTCAATCATCATGATCCCTATCTGCAGGCTTCGGATGCAATAGGGAACTGTTTGGCGATTGAGACTGGACGCGAGGGGAGCATTATCGCTGGCCAGCGACTGAATTCAGTGCAGTTCCCAAGTATATATTCGTGGTGCTTCATGCGCAAAGAGCGGAAATAGAATTCCAGATTACATGCAGGAACAGCACATCGTGCTTAAGCAAGCTGTAGGCAGAACGGCAACCCCGGACATGAGAACGACAATCAGCGTGACCGAAATGCATTGCCGACTCAGGATCATGCCTTCTTTAGACTCGTGTGACGTAGTGTTTGCGATGAATTGCCGTTGTAGGCGTTGGGTGCCTTATTCATCTAATCTCGGGGAAAGACTAGTCGAATACAATAAGTGTCGTAGTGAGGACGCGCCAGCAAACCCCTATGGTGGGCGTTGTGTTTCACGCCACCTACAGGCGCCCGGCGAATCAAGCGCTGAAAAAGGGAACCATTGCGCCCGTGCCCCGTCACAGAAGTCGTTTCGAAACCAGCCCAGCCCCACAGATGCTCCACCCTATTGCGTGGGTGCCGGTACCCGCCCGCGCAACGGCGTCGCCTTACCCTCGTAGAAATCCGGAGATTCCACCGTTTGCTGCCTATGACCGGCCGAGGCCTCAAGGCCCTCCAGTTCCCGGGCCTCGGAGTACGTACCCTACGACCCGGCGGTCCGGGATCAACACAAGTACGGATCGCTGTGGCGCTCGCGCCTTGACAGAGCTTGAATGGGGATGCCTGACGCACATCGTCCTAATCGTACGGGGTAGATGAACCAGATAGCTATATAAGAAGACGGCCGACGAGGCCTACTACTTGTCCACCACCAGCCTCATCATCAGCCTCACCCCGACAACAACCACACATTCGCTCTCTCTCTCCACTCGCTTTCCCACCACCATGTTCAAGCTCACCAGCATCCTCTCCGTCCTGGCCGTCGCAGCCACCGTCTCGGCGACGCTCGACCCGGCCACGTCCAACTCCAAGGGCAAGTACCCGGCCAGCCCGGGCTGCTCGCCCGAGAAGACCAGCACCGCCATCCAGGCCGCCGAGTGCGCGTACAACACGCGCGTCTCGGGCACCCAGACCTTCGCCGTCTTCAAGCAGGACCACCAGTACGACGAGAACAACGGCGCCCCCTACGGCACCTGCGAGGCCTACACCTGCACCGCGCCCACCAGCGACGAGCTCACCGAGGATGACGACTACTGGACTTTCTTCTGGGGGTGAGTTGATTCCCCCTTTTGTTTTTGTTTATGGGGAGAGAGCTAATGGTTATTCTTTTGCAGCGACAACGGCGATTCCTCTGGCGTTGGCACTACCTGCATCAAGAGCCCTGATGATGGCACTTGCGGCTGCGAGAACTCCGATGGCACCTTTGTCTACGGCGGCACTGACTGCTCGTAATCGTGTGCTACCTTTTCTCGCATGTGATGGAGAAAGCGTTCGTGGGGGGGTTTTCCTGCAAACACTGTATGATAGTCATTGATCATGATAAAATAAAAGGGAGAGACCGCCCAAAATTCAGAGTCAAAATCGACAATGGAGTACGGGACACTGAATGACACATGCAAGCTAACCAGTGATGGAATAGAAGCAGAACAGCGGCCATGTTGGTGCATGTGGATGCATCATAGTGTTGTATGTGACTTGGATATACCAATCCTGTCTCATAGCACGAAAGTGAAGATTCTTACGAGGAATGATAAGAGTCGAGCGCAAGTGAGTTTCCAGCGATGTAGGGTTGTAAGAATGAAAAATTCGTATCTGAGGTCTGTAGGTTGGTAGCACCGACGGTTGCCATGCATTTCCATCATCTTCACAGTGGATAGTCCTCACTCAAGCATCATGGTGCACTGGATCACGCAAAAAAAAAAAACATTCTTTATCTGCATGCCAATCCTTCAGCCTCCGCCTCCGCCAGAATATCCCGACCTACAATACCAACGAGGAGGGGGTGGGCCGCGTTGGCCTGGCGCATATAGGAACTCGTGGTCTGCCGCAGGAGTTGAGAGACCAAAGTTGTGCTTCGACGTCGTATACTGTGGCTTGCGCGGGCCGTCGCTGACGGGCTGAGACGTGTGCTCAGGGGTCTTTGTTGCTGCTGATCCCCTCGGTTTAGGAGCTTCTCGAGATGGTCGGCAGCCCATTCTGGATGATAGAGTATGTCCTTGTCGCCTGGCTCGGGACTGAGGTATAGGCGCTAATAGGTGGATTCGAAGTCTTTGTTCGGTTTTGGTTGTGATAATTTCCGAAAGGTAGGAAAGGTTCCTAAAATGAGGGACTGAACGTGGTGACTTGGCTGGAAGATTCTTCGCAATCAAGAAAATGCGGGATATGGGCCGATATCTGCATGCGGCATGGTTTCTTTATAAGATACCAACTGTGGCAACCACTCAGCCCACCCAACACTTGGCTGCGCTAGCACCATCCCCATATATTCCAACAGCTGCCTTGTGTACGACCCACCGCATCACCAACTACGGCACAGCCACACGGGGTGCGTCATGGCACGTTCCCCAAGAACTGGAAGAGACTGAAGAAAACGTGAAGGACGAATAGGGATGGCTAAAGAGAAGTCTGCCTTGAGATATTGGCGCATATTATTTCGCGAACTATTGCGCGAAGGATCATCAACAGAGAACTTGTTCCGTTGTATCCGAAGAAGGGGAAGAGAGCGAGACAAAGCAATGCAGACGTTCCTTTTCGAGAGGAATTGCTTCGGCAAGGTGTTGGAATGCACATTTCGGCTCAATACAAAAGCTGATTTCAGCGGTAAGGCCAGATAATATAAATTCAGACGCGCTACTGTGCCAATAGCAGTAGTTTTGCTTCAATCATCCTGGCAATGTCATCGCCGGGTGCTGTCAACGCGGAAGAGGGAGGAAGGATGACCAGCTCCAATGTACTAACCCAGCGCGCATGCCTAGCCGGAACCCGGCCCGTTAAAAATAGCACCACTCAACAGATCGCCCCGCAAAGCCTCGCATCCATCACAGACAGCATCTGCTGCCATCCCATCTGCGCCACAGCGCGTCAGATCACAATGACTGCAATCACAGTGGTGGCACAGGAACTCATCACCTTCCCCCACCCCTCGCACGCGTCAGAAGAAGGCCACACCGCAGACATCTACTCCATAGCCGTCTCGGCCAACCACCTCATCAGCTGCAGCCGGGACCGCACCATCCGCATCTGGCACCTCAGCGACCAGCGCCTTGCGCACCCGCCTCTGCGCGAGCACGCCTCTTCCGTCCTCTGCTGCCGGATCCACGAGGAAAGCGATCTGTTCGTCACGTCCGAGGTGGACGGCTTCGTCGAATTGTGGCGGTTGTCGACGGCGCAGCTGGTGAGGAGATGGAAGGCGCACGCCGATTCCGTGCTCAGCCTGGCTTTGGGCGGCGAGGTCTTGGTCACGGGCAGCAGGGATAAGTCGATTAAAGCGTGGAGTGTCGCCCAATTGCTGCTATCATCACGTGCAGCAGCAGCAGATGGGGATACCACCACTGCGGATGTCGACGACGACGACGCTGCTGAACCCGAACCGTTGCGTACGATAGGTGCGGCTACGGCAGCGGTGAACGATGTCTCCCTTGCGGCGGACGAGAAGAGCGTGTTTGCTGGATCTGGGGATGGTTCGCTGAGGCAGTGGTATCTCAGAAGCAGCAGCGGTGACGAGAAGCCAAGCCGAGACTTCGAGTCCCCCGGTGGTGGTGGTAGTGGCGGTGGTAGTGGCGGTGGTTGTCGCCGCCGTGGCATCTGCTCGCTTTCTCTGACGCGTAATGGCAAGCGTCTCGTTTCTGGTCACTCGGACGGGAAGTTGAGGGTGTTTGATGTCGAGCTGGCAACTGAGCTGATGTGCATCGATGCGCACGGGACTTGTCTTACGAGATCTGTATGCAGCGGTGAAGTAGAAAAGGTCGCAGGTGGAAGAGAAGAGGTGGTACTCTCGGGTTCGTATGACGGGACGGTTAAGATTTGGATGGAAAGGGAGGAAGGGAAATGGGAATCGGTAGCAGGGATGAGGTTTCAACAAGAGGTGGCCACACCAGCTGACGAAAAGCCCACGGACGACAGTCGAATACTCTCGGTTGCATTGAGCGAAAATATGGTATTCTACTGCGGCCAGAGTCCATATATCTTCGGGCGACGTATAGATTATAGGGCAGATGCATCATAATGGAGTAAGTAATTGAAGGCACAGAACTTGAATTTCGAATACTTGCGGGTTGTAGTAATAAAGTATTGTATTCAAGCCCACTAATCATTGCAGTGGAGGCCTTCAAAGAGTGGTCCTTTTTCCAAGTAGTGTAGACGCTTGAGTTGGATTACCGTTGGGTAGGACTGCCGCGGAAGATAGAATGGAGCTGCAGGCATTAGATTGAAAATGCATTAGGAATTCTTTTGCAAGAAGTCAACCGACAGCGCAGAAAGGCATCGTTTACTGTCATATTTGGAACCTCAAAACGTGCTGCGGTTTGCGGCGGAGTGAGGCTGAGGCAGGAATGACATAAGGCGAGCTGCCGACATTACCGAGTGTGCCGACTACCCGGAGATGCAGCCGCGCCTGCCTTGTCACGTCCTTACCTTTTATGATGCAGCATGTCCTCTTCCCTCTAACTCCCTCTACCTTCTTTTCACGTAGACTTCTCGCTCTCCCGCATGCGCGTGGTAGTACACTTACTAGCCACGAGATCTGCACACAACAGAAAATGACGTCAGGAGCCTCGACCCGAGCCAAGAGGCCAGCTTCACAGCGCGGCTGTGAGAAACCGCCGCATACTCAGAGAATAAGCCTCGAGGGTAGCCCGTAAGTAGCACCTCTATGCTAACGCTCAGCCGTGTCAAGCAAGCCAAGTTGACTTCGTACTAGGCGCAATACCGCATGACTGGCCGCTGAACCCAGCCTAGACTGGAAAGCATATCCGATCAATCAAACCCATCACTCTCTCCCATCGTGAGCCAAATGCAGCAGCTTGACGAAACTTGAGGAGGCCGACCATCACATGCGCCGTGACATTCTCTAGGCCACGTCCTCGAATACGCGTCTCTGACGCGCGCTGGGCCGCAGTCGAAAGCGCGTCGTCCTACTTCGGATTCCGGATGACCATCCTCTGAGCCTCCTTCTACGAGAGGCGTAACCTCATGTCTTACCCGAAGCGCTTTCAACCGGAACCGGAAAGCCTTGCCCAATCATCGCTTTTTCGCCCAACTGCCCAGCAGAGACACTTGGCAGGCTGACACTCAAATGCACCGCCCTGCGGCGGGAGCGATCGGAAACTCCGTTTCTCCTTGAGAAGGGAGTGCTAAGCCAATACAAGTCTCACTGGTTGGAAGTAGGCTCCGGATCCGAAACTCTCAAAACGGCAAAAGCGAGGAAATAGCACGGCAGAGTTTTCTCTTGGAACTTGTCTTGAGGCAAGGCTCTCGGCAGGGCTGAATCGCCGCAGGGCACTAAGTACTCTACCAATCAGCTGAGAAGAGAGGGAATAATCCAGTTTTCTTTTTGCACAGCCTCCCTCTCGTTTGCGCCTAATCCGCGGCCAGGATTGATTGATTGATTGGCAGCTTTTCCCGTTTCTGTCAACGTTTCACCTCCCTAACTCTCGGCGCCCCGGGCGTCAACGCCTTGGAAGGGCGCCAACGACGAAGGCCAAGTGTGCTGGTACGAGGGTCAAGACACTTGGGACTCGGACTAAAGATCGGAAATTTTGCGGCTGCCTGAAGTCGCACGCGAACATCTCGGTTACCGGATTGATGATTGCGATGTATCGAGCACTGGTCACATAATAGGTCAGGTTTGAAAGCCAATTTGGCGGGCAATCTTACAAGGCGACTATGCATGAGAAGATGAGGAGCAGTCGTTATTGGGTATATCTACAATCTATAACTTGGTATGTATGTGTATAGTCATGGGTAGCGTGATATATGTTCGGCAGGACAAGATATTAACGCGATAGATAGGAACCAATCAATCAGAAAAAAAACTCAAAAATGACAAAACGAAAACGATGCAGACGCAGAAACCTTTGGACGAGATTGATCCCGACTACTTGGCGGCGGCCCCCCCTTTCTCCGGATCAACATTACCGCCAGGCACAGCCACCGCAGCATCCGAATCGCTCTCGGTCTCGGCCGCATTCTCGCCCTCGTCCGCCTTCTTCTTGCCCCTGCCAAAAAGCCTCTTGATGGCATGGCCAAGCCTGCTAGAGGCGCGGCTGAGCGGGCGGTAAACGAGCACGACAGGCTTGCCGACGAACTTGGCAGACACCTCGAACCACGCATCCGGGAAAATGCGGACAAGCACGGCCCAGGGCAGACACAAGGCCGCGACGACGATGGAGATGGCCCACTGCGCGCCGTTGATGCGGACGATGCTGAAGGCCTTGCCGCCGATGAAGGCGATGGCGATCTGGCAGCCGATCATGATGCAGTTGATGAGGATGAAGAAGTAGTTGCGGTGGACGCCGGCGAAGATGTTGAAGCGGTTGTCGAGGCGGCGGTTGTTGTACATGTTGAAGATCTGCATCCACACGAAGCAGTTGAAGACGACGGATCGCAGCTCCGCGTCCGGGTAGTCGAGGAAGCGGGGGCCGCCGAAGTGGAGGATTAGTGTCACGCCCAGCTGGAAGAGTGCTTGTCCGATGATCATCTTCCACATGACGATGGAGATGAGCGGCGCGGTGCGTGGCGGCGGCTTGCGGTTGAGGATTTCTTCGGTCGGCGGGTCCGTGGCGAGCGCGAGCGCGGCGAGGGAGTCCCTGCGGATGCGACGTTAGCATTCTTCTTTGTCCTTCTTGCAGGCGTGGTGGGGAACTTACATGATGAGGTTGATCCAGAGGAGCTGGACGGCAGTGAGGACTGATCGCATCTCCGAGTCGGACACCGAGGAGACGAAAGTCAAGATGACGGCCGTGATGTTCACCGTCAGCTGGAACTGGAGGAACTTGCGCACGGCATCGTTCACGGCGCGTCCCCACATGAGGGCAGTCAGAATCGAGGCAAAGTTGTCGTCCATGAGGATGATGGCGGACGCCTCCTTAGCGACTTCCGTACCGGCGATACCCATGGAGAAACCGATATCCGCAGCCTTCAGGGCGGGGCCGTCGTTGGTACCGTCACCAGTGACTGCGACAATGTCGCCCATGGAGCGGAGCTTGGTAACCAGAATGCGCTTGTCCTCGGGCGACGAGCGGGCGAGGACCTGCAGGCGGGGGAGGATCTCGACCATCTTCTCGTGGGTGAGAGTGCGGAAGACGGGGCCTTCCATAACAATGCCATCTGTGTAGATGCCGCAGTCGGTCGCAATCGCCTTCGCGGTGACGACGTTGTCACCGGTAACCATGCGGACGCAGACGCCAGCGTGCTGGCATTTGGCAACTGCCTGAGGAACGCCGGGACGGATGGGGTCCTGGATGCCGACAACGCCGAGAAGAGTCATATCCTTGAGAAGGAGATCAACGTTGGCAATGCTGGGGTCTTCCTCGGCTGCGGTGCCCGCAGGCGGCCACTGAGGGAAGTCCTTGGTGATGAGAGCAATAGTGCGGAGCGACTGCTCGGCGTAGTTGTTGATGATGGCCTCAAAGCGCTCGCGACGCTCCTGATCAAGAGGGACTTCTCCGGAAGCCGTCAGAAGGCTGGAGCTGTAGCCAAGCAGAATCTCGGAAGCGCCCTTGACCAAGAAACGGTAGCTGCCGTTGGGAAGTTTCTGCACGGCACCCATGCACTTGCGCCCCGAGTCGAAAGGCATCAGTTGGACAACCTGAGCGTTAGCGCGCTCCTCGCTCAGCGATCCCATCCCGAGCACGTTGCGAGCAAAGCCAAGCAGGGCGGTCTCGGTCTTGGAGCCCACGAATCCAGCCTCGCCAGCCTCCTCGCCCTCGAAAGCGGTCGAGTTGATAGCAATCGACTCGATTAGCGTCCTCTTATTCTCTGCAGACATATCCCTGGCGAAAGCGGTCGAGCGGCGTTCGTCACCGCGCTGGTTCTTGTCGTCGAAAGCGTCCTCGCCGAATGTGCCGGTAACGACGGTCATCTTGTTCTGCGTGAGGGTTCCGGTCTTGTCCGAGCACACAGTCGTGGCATTCCCCATGGTCTCGCACGACTTCAGAATGCGAACCAAGTTGTTGAGCTTCACGAGACGGGTGGTAGCAAAGGCCAGGGCCAGCGTCACGGCAAGCGGGAGACCCTCAGGGACGGCGACGACAATGACAGTGATGGCCACAATCAGGATGTCCATGAACTTGGACGCCTTCTCGTTCGCCGTCAACTCGCTGCCGGGCAGGGTGCCGAGGAAGCGGAACAGCAGCACGAAGAACAGGAAAGCAGCGGCACTGCTGCCCAGCTTGGCGATGGCACCGGCGAGGCCGTCCAGCTTGACCTGCAGCGGCGTGGGCTCGGGGTCCTGGCGCATGGCCATGAGGATCTTGCCGTAGCTGGAGTTGACGCCCACCGAGGTAACGAGGTAGGTGCCGACGCCCTCGAGGACCTTGCTGCCAGAGATGATGAAGGGATCCAGGTCCTGGTGCTTGGCGTGGCCCTGCTCGAGCAGCCGCATCACTTGATCGCCGCCCGTCTTCTTCATCTGGTCCGACTCGCCCGTGGCCGACGACTCGTCGCACTTGACGTTGTGGCCAGTGATGAAGACTCCGTCGGCCGGGATGAGATCGCCCGGCTCCAGGTGGACGACGTCGCCGACGAGGAGGTCGTGCACCGAGATCATGAACGACTTGCCGGACCGGATAACCTTGACTTCTCTGTCCTCCTTCTTGGTGTTCAGCCGCACGAAAGCACGCTCTTTCTGGTAATCGTTCAGCGCCCCGACGAGCACCACGATGATAATGGCAATGCAAATGGCGCATCCTTCAATCCAGTCCACAGGCATCGGCGACCCCGGCGGGTGATCGACACCAAACGTCTCATACAGTCCAAGGGCGAGCGAAATGGCAGCAGCGACAGTCAACAAAATCAAGACCTTGTCGTTGTACGCAAGCCACATGAGTTTCCATAGCGGCGTGGGCTTCTTGGCCGGCAGCACGTTGCGCTTGAAGACGCGGATGCGATCGGCAAAGGCGTTCGAGTCGGCAGAAGCAGGGGTGTGCGCGGTGCCGGCGGCGGCCGTCGCGGTGCCGGTGGCATTACTTCCGGGGTTCCCGCTCTTCTCCAACTCCCACGCCTTTTCGGACGCCTTGGTGGCCTCTTCGAAGCTCACCGAGCCCGCCAGCGTTGTCTCGTCGATGCTCAGTCCGGCAGTGCGGTCGGTCCGGAGGCCCCTTTCGATTCCGGCGAGCCCGCCCAAGGCGACATATGCCGGGAGCGACTTGGGATTCAACAGCTTGTTGAGATGGCCCGGCGAAAAAGCGAATGAGTTGTTGTCGATCTGGAAGTCAGCCTCTGCTCCGGGATCTGGTTTCAGTGCATCCTGCTGTTCCTCGTAGGAGAACAGGCTGGCGCCGCTGCTGATCGAAGTGCCGCCGGCTGACTTTGGCGGTGCCAAGTGCGGACTTTGCGGTCCCAGCGTGCTGCCGCTCATGGCTCGGTCACGGTAACCACCGACTGGTGCAGCGCTAAGGTTACAGGGCGAGATTGCAGTCTCTGGAGATTCGGTTGATGGTGGAGGAGTGTTGTTGGTGGTCGAGTTGCTGTCACCATCCTGCACAAGGAGTTAATTTTGGCGGCTCAACAAGTGGTGCCTGGAGCCTTCTTTACCGGAATCTCGATGGTAATCTGCGGCAGGCCGGTGGCGGCCTCGTTGTTGTGAGCCATGGTGATTGCTGCATCCAGAGTGGCGGTGACTTGCCAGATCTGCCTTTCCCTGAAGCTGGATCTCGGGGGCTATTGTACGGACGCACAAATGAGGCTGTGCCGGGGCCAATGACAAAGGACTAGTCTGAGCGGAGCTTGGTACCGCGGCGGCGAGCGGCGACAAAGTACAGTGCGATTGCCATGGCGCCAACGCTCCAGTCGCCATCCACTGGTGATTTGCCAAGGGCGGAGGCCAAGCCCGCTTCTGCAGGCTCGAGCGTCGCTCGGTCTCCGTCCGACACACCAGAGGAGGGGCAGCGGAGGAGAAGCCCCGAAAACATCTCTAACTCTCTCCGTTTCACTGATGTTGTGGTAGAGCAAGGCTGTCTTCGTCGTCCATCGAGGCTCCGAAGTGCGCCTTCTTGGCGAGGCTGAGCTCCGCTGAGGACAACAGAGCCGCAGGCCCAGCCGCTATTGCAGGCGCCCAGAGGCCCGGAGCAAGCCCACCCTAGCGGTTTCAGCATCCGCCTGCGTGATTTCCTGCCTTGTTGCATCACTCGACCATGACGTCCGGGGCTGCCGGGGTCTTGCGGGGTTGGTCCTTCTAACGAGTCGGCCCTGGTCCTGACAACAGCCGACCTCTTTTCTCATCCTCCATCTTCCCCTCAACCATCACCCATGGAACCCTGTCCCCGCGCGGCACATGAGTGCTACATCCATGCGCGGCAGGACCACCGTTGGGCCGACCATCACTTCTGCTAAGCCCCGTCTGAGTACTGCTACTTTCGCCCCTTGCCTCCCAACACGTCGCTGTTGAGGGCGCAGCACCGTAGCTGGATGTTTGAGTCGCTGAATATTTGCCATCGGCGAAGGCGAAAAACCGCAGTGTGCGCTGCTTGTTTTCCGGTGGCTTTAAGAGGTCGGATAAGATCGAACTAGTGAGAGGGGTCGAGACGGCTGGGCACAGTGTGGCATTGCTCTTGGCGCCCTCTATCTTATGGACCAACCTCCTCGAGATTTTGCCTTCAGGCGACGAGGCAAGCAACCAGTTGAAGCTTGGTACTCGGTTTGTTTTTGTCGTTGCCTAGAGAAGTGTCTGCGTCACCACCATACGAGCCTCTCCAATACACCCTATTCGACCAACGGTGCCACGGTGCCACCGCCTCAATTGTGGCGCAGCATTCGATTCACAGCGCACACGACACTCTCGATCAAGGCTGAATGGGGTGCGACGTCATCGCATTGCGTTGATCGATGCCAGCTTCTGCGCCATGGCAACGCAAGAAGCATCCATGACCAAGGCCGACGAGCCGGGCAGTGCTTCTGATGAAGGCTCCAGCAATCGTCCACTCGAGCGTCGCGCAACTGTCGGTGAGGCGCCCTCGTCTTCATGCCAACCCCACCGCTGGCGTCCACGAAGCAAGTCTGTGTCCAACGCATGCGAGAGATGCAGGCGCCGGAAAATCCGCTGTGATGGAGAGGTCGGGCCTTGTTCTACTTGTGTTCGTTTCTGCGTCGCTTGCATCCGCCCTCCCAAGTTGAAAGATCGAATGGGCCTGTAAGTATCCGCCTGGCTTTCCTGAAAGAACATGGCACTGATCGGGATCACGCAGTGGTGCCCACAGGGCTCTGGCCAGCCGCATCCAACAGCTTGAGGCTCAGCTTGCTGAGATTGGTGATGCCCACACAACAGCCCAAAGTCCAGCTTGGGGAGAAGAGCTCTGGAATCCTTTCCCAAGTACTCCACGGCCAGCTCAGCCATCTCTGCATGTCGACACGAGCTTTGATCCCCCGCAGCGATCATTCTCATGGGACTTTTCATCTTCAACCGACTCAGCTGGCGCCGAGGGCACGACGACCCAACCAGAAATTCCAACCATCGAGATCTCCGAATGTGGAGGTCCCTCGCCGGCTCTGCTCTCGCCCGCACCGTCTTTACTTTCTGCCAACTCTCGCTGCTCGACCCCAGAGCCCTACACCATCACTACCCCTATCATGGGCTCGACGCTGGCGCCGCCGATGCTTGGATCTCCTGTTTCTCCTCCGGTATCCGCCTGTCAACGTCCGCCGTGGGAATTCTCACACGGCGAGAGCAATGATGGTTATCTGAGTCCTCCCGACCACGGGAAACTCTCGCTTTCACGGCGCTCTTCCATCTCTTCATTTGGCCTCGACCAAGATTTCAGCTCCATTAACCTCCAGTTCTCGCCCTTTGACGACGAACCACAGTCTCCAGGCGCTTTTTCAGACCATTTCCGACCGCAATCCAGGATATCCAATCAATCCACGACGCCGACAGGGGCGAGGTCACCGAAGATGCCCACTAAATTTGAAGCAGAGACGCTCTCAGATATCTTCTTTGACAAGGTTGAACCGAGTCAGCGGCCTGTAGAGCAGTCCTTCTACCATACTTGCCTGGATCTAGTTTACGAGTTTGCAGCGGACAATACACAGGGGCCGCACATGGATGTGGTCGAGTGTCTGATACCTCCTTACTCCCTGCGCATGGCCCGCTTCTATGTCTTCATGACCATGGCGATCGGCATGCGCTTGCGAACCGGCGGCCGGATGACGGATAATTCCCTTCTTGACAGCTGCTATCATCTCGCCATGCACCAGGCTGAATCCCCCGCTTTCTGGAGCGAGGTGGGCGGGGTCGAAGCGGCCACACTTCTGACCTTGTTTGCGAAGAGCGGCGAAGTGCAGACGCTCGACAAGATGGGCCATTAGGAAACCGGAGTCTGATAAGGTCCTGTTAAGGTGTCGTTTGTCCTTTTATCTTAGCACGATATCCCTGAACCTTTGCACCCGTGCTCGGCTCGAATGTTGCCGAAAACGGGGGCGGCACTTCACGCGGGAGTGGGTCTTTTTGCAAACCTGAAACACAAGATCCGATGCGATCTTGGGGAGCTTTTGCCAGCGCTTTTCCTCAAGCGTCAAAATGATCTGCGTAGCTCTATTGATATCTTTTCGCCTTCGGATGCTGTATGCAGATCCGGAATGCAAGCGTTTGCCAATTCAATCGCCGTACTTCGTGAGTGGTCGAAAGGTGTCACAGGCCATGCAACACCACGCCGTTCGGGTGCTTTCACTGGTGCGAGCGCTTCTACAGCCCATCTCAACGGCGGCAAGGAGGCTCTGAACCTTAGCGCTGCCGTTGGATGCGGATCCGCCGTATCCTGAAATTGATCCACCCCGGAGCGCTTACCAGGTACAGATAAGCACCCGCCATCATTGGCTGCAACTCTCGTGCACTTACCAAATAGGGGATACCACCTCCGCAAAAGGTTCCAAAACCGTAGCCTTGGCATCTTTCAGGAACACCCGCTTTGCCGCAACCCTGTGGATCTGTGTCGTTTGAAACACTTCGTCAATGAACACCGAACAAGCCAAGAAGTCGGCATCTGTCGGGAGCTTTACACCCCCCTTTCCACTCATAGTAAACTTATAAACATCCGTCATGGCCCGCATCCGCTATCCTGCAGCGCATTCCTTCTGTCTCCTCTTCTCTAACTTTTTCGTCTATCGTTGAATTCTTTCGTCTTTCGCTTTCTTGCAATTATTCACGATGCTGGGCGTCACCATTTCCATTCTTTCGGCCGTGAGCGCCGCCAATGCCTACACTGTGGTTACCCATGACCAGTTCATGAGGAAGAACATCGATCCTCTTGTCGTGCCTGGCCAGTACAAGTCCCACATGCACTCCTTCTTCGGCTCCGACGCCATTACCAAAGACAAGCCCACTTCCGCCGAGTTGCAGAAGGGCTGCGCCTCGGGCGAGAACCCCAACGACCTCTCCGTCTACTGTAAGTACTCACCCATCTCGAGACAAATCCTACAATCAAACATGCTAACCACCCGACAGGGGTCCCCACCCTCTACCACGTCGACGGCTCTTCCCGCACCGAGATCAAGCCCATGCGCTTCTCCACCTACTACGAAAACATCCTCTACGCCGACGCGCCCATCCCGCAAGACTTCTCCGTCATCGCCGGCAACGCCCTCGCCACCTCCCAAGCCGAGCTCGACGACAAAAACGTCGGCCTCTCCTGGTTCTGCGAAGGCGACTCCGCCCCCGCCGACAAGGAAGCCGCGGCCTTCCCGACGTCGACCTGCTCGACGCACCTGCAGACCATCTTCCGCTTCCACGACTGCGTCGAGCCGAGCTCGCTCAACAGCACGTACAGCGCGAGCTCGTTCAAGACCGAGAACTACTGCCCGGAGGGCTGGAACCGCATCCCGCGCCTGCGCTTCTCGATCCGCTACGACCTGCGCAAGATCCTGCCGGATGGATGGAGCGGCGCGCCCCCGCTCGAGCTCGCGTCCGGCCCGTCGTTCAGCATGCATGGTGACTTTATTAACGGCTGGTTCGAGGACGCCGCCCAGAACATGTTCGACAACGCCAAGGATAAGCGCGAGTTTGCGCAGGTCGACGGCGAGCACGGTGATGGCAAGAGCGGTCCGACGTGCACTGCTACTGACGCTGATCCCAACGGCGGCACTGACGACTATGAGACGAGCTTGACCATGATGAGCAAGGTGAAGAGGGTGGTAGCGAGGAAGGCTAGGGGGTTCATGGAGAGGAGGATGGCGAGCGCGAACTGAAGGAGAAGTGATCAATGAACTGTATTGGTTGAGGCGCAGATGCAGATGTTGGTTCTTTGCGAACCATGGCGCGGCTGTTTAGCATACTTGTATAAATTTTGAGATAATGAGGTTTCAGACAGAAAATTTTTGTCTAACGGATGCACACTTTTACTGCCCGCGAATAGTGTAGTCTATTTAAAGCTGCCTTGTATGTCAATACACAGTAGCGGACAGAATTCTACAAACCTTATGCTATTATTAGCCGTGCGCTTTTGCTCAGGGACCCTCGGTTTCCCATATGGGGTATAAGCGTAGCATTCCACCAAATATCACAATCTTTCATCACAAGTGCATGCCAAAGAGTTTGAAATTGCGGACCCTTGCTTTGCGAAAGTACCATTGGGAATGGTCCAAAGGGGTTGTCGGTCTGGAATAAGCGAGAAGAGCATTCAAGCCTCGACCAGGGCAACTCCTCAAAACTTGATTCAAAATCACCAAATGATCCTGCTACAGCAACATGCAGCGTTTGTAAAGGGGTCATGGAGAGATGAGGTATGTGCCCTAAGTGATACAACAGGCAGCAGTGTTTGAGGGTCCTGGGGTGGCAGTGTTCGGCGGATTTCTGACTGCGCCCCCACAAAAGCCATCGCTGGTACAATCGAGAACACGTTTTGCGCCAAGGATACGCATCCTCTGCATCCTGCTTGCTTACTACCCAAGCCTTTCCAAGATAACGGCCCACCTCTCTTGCAGTAATGGTCTCTTGAACACCAAAGCGCCAAGGGCTGTGCTGCCGACGTAGGCCTCTCAGCCGCCACAGACGCGTCAATTCGGCTCTGTGCTGCACGACAACACCACCACCAAGTTTAGCAGGGCAGACTTTGGTGGTCGCTTTCGCAGCCTTACGATGCAGGTGGCGAAGTTCATAAATCGACGTGGTTTGCATCTCGGGAACTAGCCCATTATTCCCCTTCGAATTCGCCATGGCATCCGCTACGACAAACCAGACTGCTTCGGCAACAAGTTCGACATCAACCCCCAGTTGCACAACAGCAGTGCCCGGTAAATATGGCAACGTTCCTTTCGATGCCTGCAATTCGTACTACAACTTCGACCCGCAATTCGCACCAGCGGTAGCAGTGGCTGTGATTTTCGGCATACTTACCATCGCCCACCTCGTCTTGGCGATAGTCTTCAAGAAGGTAAATTCTTAGCCCAAGACAAGCCTCAGCCAAGCATCTCGAGTAACACGTCAGCAGAGCTACTGCTGGGTCATCATCATGGGTGCCACGTGGGAACTCGTGGCCTTCATAGTGCACGCACTGGGTTCGCACGACCAGCAAAACATCGGTTACGCTACCGCGCACCAGCTGCTCTACCTCCTCGCGCCCTTGTGGATCAATGCTTTCGTCTACATGACCTTCGCCCGCATGGTGCACTACTTTCTCCCTGACCGGACTGTTTGGCGCATTCGTGGCGAGTCTTTGGCCAAGTACTTTGTCTGGGCCGACGTCGCTTCGTTCATCGTGCAAGCCGTTGGCGGTCTGATGGCAACCCCAAGCGCATCTGCAGACATCATCCAGACCGGTATCAACGTCTACATGGGTGGCATGGGTCTGCAGGAGGCTTTCATCCTATGCTTTTTGGGGTTGATGATCATGTTCCACCGTCAGTCTCTGGCTCTTGACGCCGCGGGAATGGCTCACCGACAGTATAACTGGCGCGCGTTGCTCTATGCTCTTTACGGAGTACTAGTTGCTATCACGGTAGGCATTTGTCAGCTCAGGACTCTTAGATCAGACACTTATACCCTTGCCTTGTGTAGGTCCGCATCATCTATCGTATCTGCGAGTTCGCCGGTGGCGTCAAGCCATCAAATCCCATTCCATTCCATGAGGAGTATTCATATTCTCTCGATGCCTTCCCGATGATGGTCGCAATACTGCTCCTCGCCGTTTTCCACCCTGGCCGCTTCCTGGTCGGACCTGAAAGTGAGTTTCCCAAGATGTCTCGAAAGGAGAAGAAAGCTGCAAAGAAGGAAAGAAGGGCGGCAAAGAAGGCGATGAAGCAAACTAAGGTTGAAGCACAAAGTACGGATGGTTTGCAACAGCCGGAATGCGAGGAAGAATACCACAGGAGGGATGATTACAGCCCGGCGAGGCTTGAGGAGGCTGGCGGAGAACCTCAAATCATGGGAACCCGGCAACAAGCCTGAATTTAAACTCGAGGCTGGCGTTTTGACCTGGTTCACTTCAGACTGCCCACATTCTGCTCAGTTGGATTGTTGTCAGAATGTTCGCATTTCCACGCGGAACGTGGACTCTCGTGTATTGGTACTACTCATTGCTGCATCGACAAGCAGTCACAAACTTCTTTTGTCACCACTAAGGTGTGTCATTAGTAATGGTAATTGAATTCTTCACACTTCAATGCATCTTGCCGGTGAAGTGATTCGACATTCGGGCACCTTCTGGATGGAGTTCGCTCCGGTCACTTTTTGAGTATTGAACCGAACGAATAGTTTGAGATATGTACTTTTAATGAAGTGCCTCATGGAATGCGCCCAATTTAGAGAGAAGTCCCCAGACTGCGTTCCATCCTCGGCCACAGTTCCAAAGCACCTTGCCACACAATAACGGAATTCCCTCAACAAATAACTTTTGTTTTGGAGGCTGAAGCGACGCTATTTAACACTCATGCCGACCATCACGCAATTACTCTTCAGGAGCTCATCCACCCCTTCTCAGCCAACTCCAACACCATGGCCAGGATTTCTTCCCTCCGCCTTTCCTTGGGCGCTGCCCTGCTGCTCGCCAATGTCTGCTATGCGCAAGACAGTGCCAGTCCTCCAGGTGATTCGGCAGCGCCTGCGGATGCCAGTGCTTCGGCCGAGCCCACGATGTCCATTTTTGCTGATCCGGGCTCCCCTGACGCGGGCGCCGCTGAGCCGGCCGCCGCCGCCACCACGACCGATGATGGAGCTTCTGGCGTCGCCACCACCATGGACGTTGGCGCAGGGCCCCCGACCCCTACCTTCCCGTACCCGCCGGGCTCCTACCCGATAGGCGACACGACCTACTACGTGGCTTGCGAGACGGGCGATATGAACACCGAGTGGTCGCCGAGCCTGATCGTCCAAGGCTCGGCCAACATCGACGACTACGGCACGTGCATGGCCTTCTGCGAGTCGCTCGGCAAGGTCTTGTGCGTCACTGCCATGTGGAACCCGGAGAGCAGCAGCCCCTGCCAGATCCTGCAGTCCTACCAGAACCTCCTCAGCCAGCCCTTCGGCCGCTGCTACGGTGCGAGGCCCTATGTCCCTGGAGACGACCAGCCATCGCCGCCCACCGGTGGCTTTCCCCCGGACTCACCGTCGGATCCGGACTTCCCTGTGCCGCCGACCACGTCGGACACGTCAGGAGGGCCACCCGTGGCACCAGGACCTCCCGGGGCGCCCCCGGGGCAGTCTGACCCATTGACGTCTAGCGTAAGCTCCCCGCAATCTCCCAGCAGGAAGGGCAACCCTAACGGGTCATCCGCTGCTCCTCCGCACCCGCAACCGCTGCGCCGCGACGCGAAGTGCGGCTCCGAGTGGGGCAGCATCCCCTACACGTCGTGCCCGCAGGACCACTCGGTCTACGGGCCGTGCTGCTCACGCTTCGGGTACTGCGGCCGCGGTCATGCGTATTGCGGATACGGATGCAAGAGAGAATACGGACACTGCGACTAGTAGCAGTAGCGTTGCGGCTGTTGCGTCCTGTGCACTCTCTCCGTCATCATCACCATCGTCGTCTCCTTCGTCTAACTTCTGATTTTCTCCCAGGCAGTCTCGCAAACATAGCAGTGGTTACTATCCGTCTGATCCGTCCAACCCTGGCTACTACCCATCCACCCCTGGCTACTCTCAGTCAGCCCCTGATTACTATCCGTCCGACCCTGATTACTATCCGTCGAACCCTGGCTACTCCCCGTCAGGTCCTGATTACCATCCCTCCGATCGTGGCTACTATCCTTCCGACCATGGTAGCTCTCCGTCCGACTATGATAATGATCGCATCCCTCCATACGTTACATCACCACAAGACCACGGCGGACGTCGGCCCAAGGGCAAACGTCCTCACAAATGCAAGCAGTGCGAGGAAAAGAAAGAGAAGGGGTACTAGATGGGAAGATGCGGTAGGAAGCTGGAGGGGTTGGGTTTAGTGTGGATTAATGTTTGGGCTGCCTTGTAGGTTAGCGTAGGATTCGGTAATTTTTTATGGTGGGAGAGGTGCACACTTAGCTTCAGTCTCAAAGCTTTAATTCGATACTTTTGTGTCTGATCAAATGTGGTTCTCTTGCAGTACATCAGAAATATAGCGTCTCAGCCCTATACACGGGCATAACCGAATTCGAAGTGAATTGCATGAATAAACACCATGATGATCTCCGAGTACCTTGACCTTGCTGCATACCTCGGTTGAGGCGGGGAAAGCTTTCCCGAATTCGGACGTAGTCCCGCCGAGCCACCGAAACGGCAATAGGCTAAAGAGCCCCTCCTCAGCATGCCATAGATCTGTCCTCACAAGCTCATTCTACTATCTCGAAACTATCACACGTTACAATGTCGTCGACAAAGGAGCCTCGCCGGATCGGCCAGCTGGTCTACCTGAGGCCGGAGTACTTGGAGGAATACAAAAAATGCCACGCCGCTGTCTGGCCTGAAGTCCTGGAACAGATCAAAGACTCCAATATCGTGGACTGTACGTCATCAATATCTTTTCGTCCTCATCCGGCAAGAGGCCGCTGCAATTAATTGTTATGCATGCTGATGGACACAGATTCCATCTTTTTTGTGGATGAACCCCGACCGATGCTCGTTGCATCATTCAAGTGGGTGGGCGACGATTGGGATGCCGACATGGCCCGCATGGCTGCAAACAAAAAGGTGCAGGAATGGTGGAATATGACGGATAAGATGCAGGAGAGCCCTCATCCGGGCGCAAAGGGAAGTGCCGCCGGCCCGTGGTGGAAGGTAATGGAGGAGGTCTTTTACTTTAAATAGCCAAGCATTGCTATGACGATGAAACTCCCAAATCACAAATGCTTTGTTTCAGGGGTCCACTGCAGTTGACATCAGCCTCATCACCTCGCTTAAAAAACACTCAAAGGACTCAACCAAGAACCGCGCGGCCTCGGAGATAGGGCCAAGTTATTGGTGGCTTGCGGAGAAATGAGTCGTGCCTCTCTCGGGCAATCTTTGACCGAGCTATGCAGGTCCGCTTCCCCCAGACTTCTCCACACGCTACCCCGGCTTCCCGTATTGACCATGCGCACAAGCATCTGCAGGAACCAGGCGCTCGGCTTTGATTCATGGGTATATAATGGATACGGTCACCACAATGCCCAAGTCAGGCTTCCGCTGGACGTCCACCCTCCTCAATGGCAACCTCAGGTCTCCGCCGGGCGCTTGCCCCCTTCCTTGGATTTTTGGCATTGAGCACCGAGGTTCAAGCTCTCCTGACTGTCAACGAGACTTCGTCAAACATCATTCTTGAGAATGACAGGCTCTATCTCTCGTTGGACAAGTCAAAGGGTGTCATTACCGACCTCGCCCTGGACGACCAAGATCTCCTCGGCCCTGTGAGCGGATCAACCGGCATCGGTCCCTACCTTGACTGTTACTGCACTCCTTCAGGCTTTTATACTCCTGGATCGATAGCTCCCGATTTCCAAATCTTCCAGGGAAATGACTCTGAGGGTGTTCCGTACGCTGGAGTCGTCATGGGTGAAACCTACCCAGCGACTGGACAGCTTCTGGAGTTTTACTACTTCTTGCGCGAAGGAGAGACGGGCCTGCACACTTTCAGCCGTCTTGCGTACTACAATGAGACGACTCCATTCCTCCGCAACTTGCAAGAGTTCCGCACGCTTTTCCGTCCAAACACGGCGCTCTGGACTCATCTCTCAACCAACGAGAAGACGTACGCGCCCCTGCCATCCAAGGACGCCGTTTCGAAGCAGGTCGTTGTCCAGGATGCTACCTGGTCCCTTTTGAATACGCCCAACGACCCTTACGTGGAGCAGTGGGCAGACTACTTCACAAAGTACACTTTCCAGGCTCAATGGAGGGACCATAGGGTCCACGGAATGTTCTCCGATGGCTCAACCAGCGCGACCAACGCCACTTTCGGAGCTTGGACTGTCATGAACACTGTCGACACGTACTTTAACGGGCCAAAGAACTCTGACCTGACGGTTGATGGCATTGTCTATAACTACATTGGTATGATTTTCTTCACTGATGTATATTCTCAAAATACTCACCGCATGCAGCTTCCAACCACCACGGAAACGGCACGCCCAACATCACCAACGGCTTTGACCGCACCTTTGGCCCCGTAAGCTCCCCTTTGCCCACCCTTTCTAAGAATGTACTGACATCATCCAGTTCTACTACCACTTCAACAGCGGCAAGCCCGGCACAACCCTGCAAGAACTCCGCGACGACGCGCTGCAATACGCCGACCCGACGTGGAACGCGCAATTCTACGACGACATCGCCGAGTACGTCCCCAACTACGTCCCGACCTCCGGCCGCGGCACCTGGCAAGGCGTCGTCACTCTGCCCCGCAGCGGCAGCACCAACACCACCACCTGGAGCCGACCCATCGCCATCCTGACGACGACGGGCGTCGACTTCCAAGACAACGTCGTCGACACGAAAGCGTACCAATACTGGGCCGACCTCAGCATCATCTCCAACAACGCCAACGGCACCATCGCCAGCGTCGAGATCCCGCGCGTCAAAGCCGGCACGTACCGCCTAACCATCTACGCCGACGGCCTCTTCGGGCAGCACGTGCTCGACGACATCGTCGTCACCGCCGGCTCCAAGACGACCACAACCACCACCTTCACCGAGGAGAGCGCCGGGCACGAACTCTGGCGCATCGGCACGCCCGACCGCTCGAGCGGCGAGTACCGGCACGGCGTGGCGCTCGACACGACCAAACCACTACAGCCCGAGCAATACCGCGTGTACTGGGCCAAATACGACTTCCCGACCGAGTTCCCCGACGGCGTGGCGTTCCGCGTCGGCGAGAGCGACGCGGCGCAGGACTGGAACTACGTGCACTGGAGCTCCGTCGGCGGCAAGGGGAATGCGATTCGCACCGAGACGCTGTTCGCGCCGACGATTAGCAACTGGTCGATCTTGTTCGATGCCGGCGCGGCCGAGCTGGAGAGGAGTGTCGCGGGTGGTGGCAAGAACGAGGCGACTTTCACCGTGCAGCTGGCCGGCGCGAAGACGGCGGCAGGTAATACGGACGTGTATAACGCGACCGAGCCGTATTCGAACTTGCCGTATGTCGTCACGGTGAACGGGCACGAGTTGGAGCCTTGGGTTATTCCGTAAGTTTATTGTCTCGCCCCGTTTGTTCATTGGGAAGTTCAACCTAACAGCGCTGCAGGTACAAGCATTCCAGTTCCTGCGCCGTTCGCTCGGCTATCAGCTGCTACAATATCGCCCACAAGTTCGTTTTCGAGACGGGCTGGCTCAAGGAGAAGGACAATGAGATTGTTCTGCGCCTTCCTATGGATGCCATGGACTATGAATCTGCAGTTCTGCCTCAGCAGGTATACGTTCAGTACGATGCCTTGAGGCTGGAGTTGCAGTGATTTGTCTTCGTGATCGCGTGGGGAAAGCGAAGGGATTCGAGGAGATATTAATAGATTAAATGAACATTCACTCGACTTGAATTGCATGCGACGAATGCTGTCTTGCCTCCTTTCCCGTATTTTTCTTCCAGGTTGCATCGTAGTCATCATGCGGCGGCTGATTTACATTCTCGAAGACCCACAGAAATATCGCCTTACAGCTTCAGAAGTTTGTCCTGAACATGGGAGGTATCAAATGGTAAAAATGTGCCATGTCTTTAACAGATTGATGCTTCAAGCGGTGGTACTCTGCGTGTACAATGTTGTTGTACAATGTTGTCGTGGCAGTGTAATCGACTAGCTTTTATCTAGGCCCTACAAAGATCCAACAGTCCAAACTTACGTAGGTACTTTTACAAGAGATCTGTAATCCTCTGCAAGAATACCATGGACACTTGTCCAAGAGTGTTTATGGGTTTAACACCATAAAGGGGTTTCAAGAACCGTTTCCTTTTCAACAGCCTGCCTTGTCAGGTGAAGTCAAACACCCAATTGCCGTACTTTCACATTCAAGTGTCCCGGGTAGGATTCATGTCATTGTTATCTGTCATTTCTATCGTCGCTTTTAATATTTACGTGCCCATCTCTTGATATGAGGAGACCCAGGCGTCGCACCATCTACTTCATTATCCTATTCATACCAAGCTCTTCAACCAGCCATATAGACAACGGATATCCAACCACCAGCCAATCAATCAAAATCCAACGTCAAAGTGGCCGAGCAAACCCTGTCCTTGATCCTATCCTCCACGTCCTTCATCTCCTCCTCCACGTGCAGCCTCAACTCATCTTTCACAATCAACATCTGCTCCTCGACCCGCATATCCGCCAGCTCAGTCGCCTCACACCGCACATTCTCCATATCGTCGCCGACTTCGTCCCTAAGCTCCTGGGCCAAGTCGTCAATCTTCTTCTCAAACTTCTCTTCTAGCTGTTGCAAGCGTTCTTGCATCTCTTGGCGCATTTCGCATCTGAAGCCGTCGAGCGCTTTGTTCACCAACTTGGCTACTTGATTCTCAAGCATCTGCTGTTGCACACCTAGGTCTTCTAACGGCGAAGGGGCTAGCTTGGGCTTTTTTGCGCTAGGGCCGGGAGAGGGGGGATCCCGCGCCCGGGTCTTTGCATCTTTTCCAGAGATGGGTGGAGGGGGCGGAGAAAGACTGAGTTCATCGTATGATGGCGGGCTCTCAACAGGCGAGGGAATATGAAGATCAGCACCTTCAACCATTTCTGCACCTTTGCCTTTGTGCAGACTTGTGAGGTCCATCTGACTAGACATGGTCTTCAGACCGCCATCACGAGCCATGGTGCATAGCGATATTAAACGCTGCTGGCAAATTTGCTTCTCTGGGAGGTGTATTGTGAAGTCGGTGGTTTGAGCGAAGGACTGGAGAGAATTCAAGATAATGCCTGATGCTGTTGTAGCGGGAGCGAGTGACGTTGCTGCTGGGACGATGACGACAGGAGGCTTGGAGAGGGTGAAGCGAAGGCTACAGATGGGATCGGATGAAGAGCATGCCTTTGCCTGCACCAGACCCTGCCTTACAGGCTCTGGAACAGCGGCATCGGTATCCGACCTAGCATCCAGGCTGAGGATGCGGTCTGGCAGGACGAAGACAAATACATTCGTTTTCTTGGGGCATGCTTTGAGAGCGACAGGGCAGCGGAGCTTGAAGAAAGCGGCGTTTTCAGCCTCTTCGAAGCGGATCTCGAGGGCTAGCTGGCAAGGAGGGCGCGGATGCCTGTGGCCGAGATAGGTGGTGGCATTTTGGTCGGAGCAGTGCCACTCAACGAAGGCTGGGGCGAAGGGGACGAGCGGCGTCGAGGCGGGCATATATGTACATCTGCGAAGAATAAGAGGTCAGCAACAGGACCGACGAAACGAGTTCCCCTGCGCAGCAATCATGCGCAGGATTCCCGCCCACCCAGGCTTTGCGAGACGTGTTTCAGCCCGGAGCAGCCTTGACTCCCATGGTGTCCACGCTGCCAAACCCAGACGACGCGCGGCGGAGACGACAGAGACGCAGTCGGTGACGATTGTCCCTACAAGCCCCAGGCTTTTCGACGGAGAGAGCCACCATATTCCAGGCGGATGTCCGGCGAGTGAGCGTGGTCAAATGGCCTGCCTGCGAGCATCCGTCGCCCCCAGCGCGCCGACGAGTAGTACAGCCCGGCTGACCGATGGTCGCCTATGGAGCAGCCCAATACCCACCCCGCCACCCTCCGGGCTCTTGATAGCGAGCAGCCCTGGCTCGATTGCGGAGGCCGAGGAGTTGTATGTACCACATAGAGTTGATTGTATGGGAGGAGCGAGTGTGCGTGCGTGCGATGGATGATGCGACGGAGGTCGGGTGATGATGTAGAGGAGCGGAGGAGCGACGGCGAGGTTGGGGGTAAATGTGGCCTGTGCGCACGCGTCTTGGCCAACGCGACCGTGGGTCCGTGCGCTGGACGCGATCGCGATCGCCTTCAACACTTTCCACCCCATGTGTTACAACCTGCCAACTCTCTATGCCAGAGCCGGCAATGATGGTGGTCACCGTCGGCTTCCTCACCTTGGTGATGTCAACGCCCAGTAATGGAGGATAGTTCATTGTTACCCCGAGGTTTGGCCTCGGCCGATCAGTACTACCCATGAGTCGAAGACATGTTCTAAAACATCAGCCTACAACCATAGAAAGCAGCAGAAATATAACTCGCATGAAAGTAACCGCGAATGTCCGGACTATGCTGTCACTTACGTAATTTTGCGCCGTTAAATCCGGGGACTGTGGAAATCTTTTTGCAGACAATATTTAAACGTCCAACGTCGTCACGAAGCTTTCGAGTCTAATGACTCAACATCACAAAACCTTATAACCTTATTAGAACCACTGAACCATGTCTCAAAACAGCGCTGCCTGGATCACCGCGCCTCGCGCCAAGCCTCTCGAGATCAAAGAGGCGCCCCTGTGGAAAGCCGGCCCCGGGGAGGTCATTGTCAAAAATGCTGCTGTGGCTATTGTCAGTCTTCCCGATCATGCTTCTAACGGATTTGCGCTAACATGATTTCTAACAGAATCCGGTCGAGTGGAAGATCCAGTAAGTGCCGTTTTAACCAGAAGTTGTGAATAGAAACTTACAAAGCTCGTAGAGATTCGGAGCTCCTCCCCATGACCTACCCCAACATTCTCGGCGCTGATGTCGCAGGCGTTGTCGAGGAAGTCGGCGAAGGCGTCACCCGCCTACAGAAGGGCCAGCGTGTCATGGCGTAAGTTGACACACGCCGTCAACCGGACTGTAACTCATCCTCGCTCCACCGAACAGATACGCCACAAGCATCGACACATCTGACCCCTCCCAAGGCGGCTTTCAGCTCTATACCAGATGCCAGGAGACCCTCGTCTCCCCCATCCCGGACACTCTCTCCTTTGAGCAAGCTGTCGTCCTCCCGCTCGCCATCTCTACCGCTGCGGCTGGATTGTACGAGAAGACGATGCTGAATTTGCCTTTTCCCACCGTGAATGGTGAGAAGCACGGTGTCGGCAAGACGCTGCTCGTCTGGGGCGCCGCATCTTCCGTTGGCTCGGCTGCCGTGCAGTTGGCGGCCGCGTCTGGTCTGAGGATTGTGGCGACGGCGTCGGCGCGGAACCATGAGTTTGTGAGGGCGCTGGGTGCGAGCAGCGTGATTGATTACGGCTCGCCGAGTGTCGTTGAGGATGTTGTTGCGGCGATCAAAGAGAGCGGGGAGTTTGTGGGAGTCTTCGACTCTATCTCTGGAGGTAACACCTTCGAGCTGGTTGGCAAGGTTCTGGATGTCTTGGGAACTGCCAAGGTTGCGGTTGTGATGCCGCCGCCGGAGAATCTGTCGAAGAGCGTGCAGCCTCTGATGGGTAAGTTGTTGAGCGTGCACCGACTGAGGAGTAACCTGCTGACGGCGTAGTTCTCTCCTTCACCATTCCGAAGCCACCGCATGAGGAGGTGGGCGACGCTGTTTGGCGGAAATATGTGCCCGAGGCTTTGCAGCGCGGCCTGATGCAGGCTAAGCCGGATCCGCTTGTTGTTGGCACTGGATTGGAGAAAATTCAGGAGGCTATTGATAGACAGAAGGCTGGTGTGTCCGCGAAGAAAGTTGTTGTTCTTCTGTAGAAGCCCAAGTCAACACGGCGCATTACTCTGTAGTCGCGGGTGATTCTCAGCAATTAGTCCACTCCCTCAACTATCATTCCGACAGAGGACGTACATTCAAGCTCCGCCGGTGATCACCATCACCCGTTAAGGCCTCCCTAAAAGTCGAGGAGATCTGCATTCCTGCGACAATGAGAGAAAAAGTCCGCGCGTCCCGAACCTTAAATCCGGAGGTGGATGTCCGATACCCCTGGGCGATCCCGAATCTTTGTAACACACCCACCCCGCCTGATTACGCGTCCAAGTCACCTCAAAAGGTCGAGATTAGAAACATAGCCAATCTACATCAGGCGCTGTGCTGCAGGGAAGGTATGCTTGAAGGCATGCTTAAATCAATCGCACTGCATTGAGATCTCGCTCACAAACTCCGCCTTCAACTACAAAATATTACACTACATGGGCACTTGAAGCTAACGTCCGGACGTATATGTATATTTTGAAATTCATACAAATACTAGCTTCAGAAACCCACGCAGCGTAATATTGTAACTTCCTTCGATGATTATTAAAGCAAAGAGCTTAAAGGGCCTCAACCCATTGTCATGTTAAATTTTCTTTGATGCAAGGTAAGCGAACATTGATTCAAATTCAAGAGCTTGGAACAGTTGTTTTGGTCTCGTAAGCATATATATTTTGGTCATATGTACGATAGCGTCAATCCCACATTCTATCAAAGAAGTATATACAAGAAGTTTAAAGATTTGTTACGCGTTCCTCACCGTAGGCATCCACAGGAAGCCAAGGAGTCGCAGTTGTTTTCAAAAAGAGTGACGTTTGCCAAACATGAGTTGCTGCTGGCTCAGCCAAGCAATTAAGTTGGGTTGCAAGTAGTGCAAGCACTTTAAGCAACGATGCCAACACCGTACTTGGCGGAGGCGACGGTGGAGGCAGCGGAGGCGGAAGCAACGTTCTTGCCCTTGAAGTTGGACAGGAAGGAGCTGTCGGTGCCGGTGAGCGAGCCAGAGGAGCCGAAGGCGTTAGCCTGGCAAGAGTGGCCAAGGTAGGTGGAGCAGGTGCTCTGGACCGAGGTAGGAGCAAAGACCTTGCCCTTGTTCTCAAGGAGAGGGGTGACGACGTTCTGGAAGACGTTGCCCTCAATGACGGCGTTGGAGTTGGAGGAGCCAATGTCGAAAGCGTGGCCAGAGTTGGCGTACCAGTAGTTGTTGACGGCGTGGAGGAGGGTGTTGCCGCCGACCTTGGGCGAGCGACCGGAGGTGTGGTGGATGTAGTTGGCCTTGAAGGTAACCATATCGGACGAGCCGGTGAAGTACAGAGCCCAGTAGTGGTGGCCGTCGCAGGTGGCGGAGTAGTCGGTGTAACCATCGAACTCGGAGTTCGTGATCGAGACACGGCCAGAGGCACCGTTTCCGAGGACAACGAACTGGCGGCCGATCTTGCTCACCTTGACATGGTCTACCTGCTGAGGTTTAGCTTGTAGTTCAAGGAAATGAGGAGGAAGTTGGTGGTGTGGCCGGATATGCTGCCCTCAGATCTGGCATTTCCCGATTGGGACTAGCGCATTTTCCAAACACTTCGCTCCCACCAACCACCAGGGACTAAAGACTTACCCAGATCATGTCAGTGCCATCGAGCGTGATGGCATCACCACCGAAGATGTACTGGGGGTTGAGCTCGGTGATGTGGATGTTCTGGATGATGACGTTCTTGGCGCCGTTGGCCATGCGCAGACCCTTGCCACGGATGACACCCTTGGAGCCAACACCAATGATGGACTTGTTGGAGCCGACGGTGAGGCCGGAAACACCAGCAGTGTCGTACTTGACAGTGATGGAGGTGGAGCCGGTACCGGCGTTGCCGTTGTCGCACCAGCTGGCGTGGTTGATGGCATCCTGGCCACCGTTACCGGGGCACTTGTTGGAGGCGGGACGGCAGCCCTTCTCGGTGGTGGTGCCCTCGGAGCCAATGTAGTTGAACCTGGAGGAGGAAGGCGGTCAGCATTGTAAAGAATTGGCGAAGTGTGATGATGATGATGGATTCAAATTGGCGAAGTGTGGGGAGAGATGCAACTCACTCCTTGTTCAGGACGATGACACGGGCAGTGTCGTCAGCCAGGTACTTGGTAAGCTCGGCAATGGTCGAGGGGTAGACGGGGGTAGCGGAGCCACCACCGGTAACGCCCTTGGCGAAACCTTCAGCAGCGCCGACAACGCCGACAGCAGCGGCCTGTTGGGCAAGGCCCACAGCAAGAGAGAAAAGAGCGAGCCTCATGATGGCAATTGAACGAATGTGTTGGATTGGAAAAGAATGGAAGGGATTGATGGACTGGAAGAGTAGTTGATGTGCAAGGCGCCCAGGTCTTTTATATCTCTGCAACAATGGCATCCAGCCGGCTACCCGGCCGTATGGTGATGCGAAACATGGCTCGTCGGCTGTTGGAGCAGCGGTCACAGCAGGCAGTCAAGCTTCGGGAATGAAGCTTGGACGGTAGCTCCCGAGAACCGGTCCGTGAGTCTGGAATATGGGCACATCAATCTCCGGGCGTCAGTCGCAAGAGCATCGCAGGGCTGCCGATCGTGCAGCCGACCACGGGAGAAGTGCCGTAATGGCCCACTCAACCGCCTTGGCAGCCCTTTGCAATAGCGCCCTCCAGGCCGCCGCTCGCATGATGGGCTTTTGATATGTTTGACCTTGGTGGGGCCAGCCTTCTAGCGCGTTTCCACCAATAAACGCCGCCATCTGTTGGGCTTCCGCCCCCCTTTCCGTCCGAATCCACCACTCGCAGCCTCGGGAATGTTTCCTGCCTTTCTGTGCAAAGGCGGGGAGGGCCGTTTATCCGCCGGACAGCAGCATGGTGCTGGCGGCTCGCGAGATAAGCGCGGCGGCAGGCGAAACAAAGGTGCAAACACGGCACGGCAAAAGAACAACACACCGAGGAAGGCTGAGCGATAGGGAGGACGCCTCTGTGGCGAGCCAAGCCAGTCTCGTCAGTGAATGCGGCTACTGTTACGAAGCAAGGTCAGAACAGAGGTGCAGCCTAGATGCAGCCTCGGCGACCACCGAGATGGTCGAGGCGGGCCCCTGGCTACCTAAGCGAGCACAGTGATCCACCCTGTAGGAAACCGGGGCGGATTTGCCGGCCAGTGTGTTACGCTACCACGCCCGCCCCGACCCCCAAATTACCAAGCCATAACCGTCCGAAATATAATTACTTGTCATCTTTTTTCTTCCATACCGATCTTAGCACAAAACTTGGAAATGTCTCAAACAAAACTGCATGTAGATGTTTCTATAATAGATGCATTCTTATAATCAATACAGCATCTTTAAAATAATTTTTTATCGAATTAAAAAAAAATCTCAAATCTACGAGATGTGTAGAATAGCTTTACCTTTTGGTGATTAGGACTGAGTAAAATACTGTTGTTAAAGCACCCGGTCAGTCAGCAAACAGTATGAAATTTGGTAACCAGGGGAGTTGATAGCGCCGGAAAAACCGCCGTTGACCACATCGCTTCTCAATTTGAAACCATATCCTGGCGTCCATCCTCACAGCCCCATCGCAACGGCCCATTAGGCCCATCCCCCCAACTGCTCGCCGCCTTACGCCCACACCGACAAGTAAACTTCTCCGAATTATTCCAGAAGAACCGTTGTGTTCGATTGCCAGCGCAGAGAAGCCCCGCTACGCTATTCGGCCGAAGAAAGCGCTCTCTCTTACAGGAGAGCCCTCATGCCGGGCACTTCATTGCACAGCCCACACCGCCTCCTTAGACGTCAGCAGTCCCCGCCACAGTCCGCCCATGCCAAGCCGTGGAGATTGCTTGTTGACGAGGTTGCCATCTCGCCTGGCGGAAACTGGGGCAAACACGAATAAGCCTCGACCCACGCCAAACCCGCCTCCCCTTCTATTCGCCCAAGACCACTATACAGCCTATTCTTCAGGACCGATTGACTAGATTGACCCTCATCTGTTATGATTTTGCCGCTGAGACTTTCGGTAATCTTCCCTCGTGGATCGGGAATTTTCCGACTCCATCGTTGATCAGAGCCTGTGGGTGTCTTCTCGAAGGACGCGAGTTCCGATGGATCCGCTTTCAGATCTAGATACCTCTCCATCACTTACGAACCACCCACCTACACCGACATATCGCAATCCACTCAACCCCTTTTTCCAGAAGCTCGAAACCTCTTGCAGTGGACTCCGGTGGAGCGAGAAGAGAAGCTAAGCGACGCCAACGACCTGGTATCCGGGGCGCTCTCCTTCTAGAAGCCCCGCCTAAACTCCGAGAAGCTTTATGGGTGGCGACATCTTGCCATCCCTTTAGGAATTTTTTGACGACTCAGCTCAGACCACCAACACGCCTCCAATCCCACACTTCTTCATCACGAGACGGCCATGACTCTTGCATCTGAGTTGAGGGAAGAAACATCATGAAGCGAGCAGGCCGTTACTGCCCCTTTCTTGTGCGATACGAACATTCCGAATGAACCCAGTCTGGTAGTCCGAAGCTACTATCGCTGAGCAGCTTCCAGCACATCCAGACCATCTGTTGATTGCTTAGAATGGCGTGATTCCGTCCTTCATTCGACCATGTGTAAGTGTGACATTATTCGTGGAGGAATGGTCGTTCAGTCGGCAATTCAAGTCGACAACCGGCTGACGGGTTGCCTCTCCCTCGGCAAAAGTGTGTTCTATCGCCATTCAAAGCGGTCCCAGGAAGTCAACATGGAAGCAGCAATGCTCATCGATTGACACAATCTACCAAATGACTCTCACGGCATCAGCTCCAACGCGACTCTTTCTCGTCCGCAGCAGGCTACTCCTTCCCAAGTCCCGATGGCGAACATTGAGGCAAGTCTCCGCCTCAGATAATCTAGCCTCCCACACACTCAGAGACTTCTAGCCTGGTTTCGGTCAAAACAATAATCTGAAAATATCTTTGGAGTAGGATGTTCTTTGACTGGGAAATATCTCCGCCGACGCACTCTGATACCCTCACAATCCACATCCCCTATTCTCTCTCGGGTTTCCACACTCCACACACGCATGTTGAGCACAACATAGCTACACATATCCACGAGTCGCATATCCCAACGTTGAAACCGCATATACACCGAACCGAATGATTCCAAGGCGATATTTATAAAAGAAATGCTTTCTGACGCCACCAAGTCAGTTGTTTGGATGGTGATTTGTTGTTTAGATGGGGGTTCTTGATTTTTATGTGTCGAAGTGCACGACATGTCCCTCTTAGCAACCACACGAAGGCTTCCCGGGCTACGAAATAGTGAGCTGTATCCGGGACAGTATCTTTAGTATACATTTTACTTCGTGATATTTCGGCCTGTGTTGGAAAATTCTAAGTTTCGAGCAGACCCACACCTAAGAAGCTGATGTGAACGGTGGATCGCGAACTATTCTTTAGACAGACGAAAAACCTTATCTGTAGAGTGGTGTAGGGTGGTGTCTTCTTAAGATATCTATTTGATGACTCTTAAGGATTAACCCTTGTGGCCTTCTATTAATAAAATTCTTTTGGTTACTTTACAAGCGATTGTGAGGACAGTGTCGTATAAAAATCCATTGCCCATATCTCCTAAGGATATGCTATTTCCTGCATCGTTGCTTACGCATAGTAAATTCGGGAAAAGTGTCTAGAAGGGTATCGCAACCGATGGATAGCGTGAATTTATTTTTTCGTCATGTCATGGGTAGTTAAAGCTATCATCCGGATGTAAATGTCGCATTAAAAATTTTACATATACGTCCGGACGATAGCTTCAACTACCCGCTTATGTTTTTTTTTTCATAACAAAAAGAAAAAGAGCTAAGGCGTATAGACGCCGTGTTCCAGGGTCCTACTATTCTTCGCTAGCCTTCGGCTGCAGTGCCCTTCTGTATTAACAATTCAAGCCCTTTCCCGCTAAACCCATCACCCTTCTTTCTTAATCTAGCGCCCTCGTTCTCGAATCACGCCTCCGCACCCTTCCACCACTTCTTCACAAACTCATCAATCAGCCCATTAACCTCCCCAAAATTGCTCGCGCTCAAAAAGTGCGATCCCTCCTTCACAACGACCAACTTCTTCTCCTCGCCCCCTCCAAACGCCTTGATCCCCTCCTCCGCATTCCTCACGCTATAAACCTCATCCTTATCGCCGTGCAGCCACAGCACGGGGCAGCGCACCTCCTCGACGCGGGCGCCCAGGCCGTCCCTCTCGGCCAGGTTGACGGCGGCGGTGCGCATGCGGCGGCGGCCGGCGTCGCCGGCGTAGTTCTGCTTGATGCGGGCGGTCCAGTAGCGGCTGGCCTCAGGCGAGAGGCGGGCCGCGCCGATGCCGACCGAGAGGAGGTAGTCGCAGTACTGGTCCGGAGGCGCGAAGTCCGGGGTCGCGGTGGCGGACGTGGTGAAGGCGATGGGCCCGCCGAAGGCGACGGCGCGGCCGTCCCAGCAGCCGAGTTCCATGGAGCGGGGGGACTCGTGGTCGATGGATGTGCCCATGGGGACGACGCCGAGGACCTGGGTTTGGCATATAAGTCAATGTGTTACGGCCGATAAATGTGGACAAGAGCCGAGGAAAGCATCGTGCAAGGGGGAAAATGAGGAGCAAATACGAAAGTGAACGAATAGTAAAAAAGCGAAGACAGAGAATAAAAGTTGAATCTCCCCTCTCACCCAGACAAACGGAGTTCACATCCCAACTCTTTTTCTCCAATTTCGCCCAAAATAAGGCAAGGAAACTGCCGCATGAGGACAAGAACGGAGCGTCAAGGAGCAAAGAAATCAATCAAACAGAAAAAAAAAAAAAGCGACTCACCATCTCCGGCGCCACCAACGCCACTCTCACCGCAACCCATCCACCCTGGCTCGTCCCACCAACGAAGAACTTCTTCACCCCCAGCTCCCTCACCAGCCCGACGGTCATCCACGCGCTGTCCCAATACGTCCACTGATCCCTCTGCAACCTCTCCCTCTCCGTCTCATCCTCGACGCCCTCACTCGAGGCATAAATCCTCGTACCGCCGTGGCCCAGGAGGTCGACGGCGATCAGGTTGTACGAGTCCTTGAGACGCGGGTCGGCGAACTGCGGAGCGAAGAGGGAGGAGTCGCTGGTGAAGGAGTGGAAGAAGACGATGGTGGGCTTGGCCGGGTCAGGCTTGTCGCCGGGGAAGGAAGCGGCATAGCTGGCCGTAATGGTGGTGTTGGTGGAGGGGTTGGCGAGGGTGACGGTGCGGCGAGGAAGTGGGGTGAATGCGGGCTGCTCAGCCGCTGCGGCGGCAGCGGTGGTGGATTCGGCCATGTTTGAATTGCTTGATGGTGCTTGTGATAATTATCCCACCTTTGCAGCAACCTTCGCGAGATTCTACACGAATATTTGTACCCAATGGGTGGGACACCGCCTCATTCATAGTACAAAACATGTCCCCACTATGAACGCCTCTTTCTGTCCATTAGTCACTGGCCTCGACCAAAAACATAAAAGCGGAGCAAACCCAAGGCGGGGTTGACTACTCTGTACATGAAATCGTCCGACCATTTTGGGGGCCGTGCAGGGATACTCGGCGATCTAGCATGGGAATCGACTATCTCGCGTCGCAACCCACGTGCTGATCGGCGTTGTGTGCAGAATGGGATTGGGTGCGGTAATGATATACGAGCCTCGGTTTTTTGGGGGCCAGTGTGACATGCATCGGCTGCCGGTTGTGCGGGAATAGGATTGCCCCGCACCACGTTTTTTCGCTGTCGTACCACGCGTCGGACGGCTAGACCCTGCGCTATTATGACGTGTGGTGTGCAGGGTCTTGTCAAACGTCAAGTGTACCCTCCTTTGTAAAGCTAAGAGTCCAAATGTCATGTCTAAAGATTGCGTAGACAAGATTCACAAAACCCAACGACCGTTTTTCACCACATTAAGACCAATCAAATCAAGTCTATAGAATACACGTACAGAATATGCTTTGTTTTGGCATCCGATCTATAGATTAACAAAGAACAGCCCTAGATACCTACGAAGAAACAGAACTTTTAGCAGCCCGTGCTTTGATTTACTGATCCTTGTATGCCTGCTCGTGGATCTTAATGGCACGACCGCTGGGGTCAGTCTGTTTCGACCAGGTAGGCACCCATCTCTGGACGGTACCTGCGCAGTACGGAGGGAAGAGCTCGTCAAACATGCAGCGGTACCAGTAAGCCTCCTTGGTGTCGGGAATGTCGTCACCCCAGTGAGGCTTAGGGTTCTTCATGTCCTCGTCGCTGACGTGCAGCTCGGCGTTGTCCTTGAGCGCGTCGATCCAGCCGTAACCAACACCGTCCGAGAACTGCTCCTTCTGCCTCCACAGGATCTTGTCGGGCAGGTACGCCTTGGTCTCGGGCTCGTCGGTGGTGTCGAAAGCCTTGCGGAGGATGTACTTCTCGATACGCTCCTTGGTGATCATCTTCTCCTGCGGGTCGATGTTCATGCAGAGCTGGAGGAATTCCCTGTCGAGGAAGGGAACACGTGCCTCAACACCCCAAGCCATTGTCGACTTGTTAGCACGCAGGCAGTCAGCCAAGTGCAGGTTCTTGACACGGCGAACAGTCTCCTCGTGGAACTCCTTCTTGTCAGGCGCAGCGTGGAAGTAGAGGTAACCACCGAAGATCTCGTCAGAACCCTCACCACTCAGCACCATCTTCACACCCATAGCCTTGATCTTACGGCTGAGCAGGAACATGGGTGTTGAGGCACGGATAGTAGTGACATCATAGGTCTCGAGATGGTGGATAACATCCGAGAGGGCGTTGAGACCGTCCTCCAGGGTGAAAGTGAAGCTGTGATGCCTGGTTCCCAAGAACTTGGCAACCTCTTCGGCGGCCTTGGTGTCGGGAGCTCCCGGCAGACCGATCGAGAAAGAGTGCAACTCGTGCAGCATCTGGACGGTGGTCAGACGGTTGTCGTCGTCAATACCAACCAGATCGCTAGTCGTGTTGTCGTCCCTCTGGATCTTGGCGACGTCGTTAACCCTTTGGATTTCCCTCTGGGCAATCGAGGCAACCAGACTCGAATCCAGACCACCAGACAGAAGAACACCGAAAGGAACCTCAGCCATCAACCTCTTCCTCACAGACTTCTCCAGCGAGTGCCTTATAGCCTTGTAGTCAAGTGGAGTCGAGGGAATGTTGCTAGGCTCCATGAGCCACTGGGGGGTAAAGTATTGGGTGAGCTTGTCGGTCTCGGAGTCGTAGACGTGACCGGGAGGGAAAGTGACGATATCGTCGCAGACGGGGTGCAGGCACTTCATCTCCGAGGCGAAGAAGACGGCGCCGGGAATGGTGCTGGACCTTCCCATGTACATCGACGTAACACCGATGGGGTCGCGGGCGGCAATGACTCTGTCCTTGGTCTTATCGTGCAGAACCCACGAGAACATGCCGTCCAGGTGCTTCGGGGCGTCGATGTCATGTTCCAAGTACTACTGAGAGTCAGCAAGCGCAGCACTGACGGAGCAAGTGAGGCTGCGTACCAGAGGAATGATAACCTCGCAGTCGGAGTGGGTCTTGAAGTTGTAGGGCTTCTTCAGCTGCTTCCTCAGCAGCCTGTGGTTGTAAATTTCTCCGTTGACAGCGAGCGAGATGGTGCGGTCGTCGTTGGTGAGCGGCTGGGCGCCGGACTCTGGGCTAGTGTCAGCGAAAAGGCGGTCGTGCGAGGGCAGTTGGGTCGCGTACCAACACCGACGATGGACAGACGCTCATGGACGAGGACTGGAAAAGGGTCAGTAATCGGTCTATCAGCAGTTGGCTTGCAAAACTTACTGGTGTGGTTGGCGATAACGTTGCCACCTGCGAATGTTCAGTACTCTGCTAGTATTCAAGCTGGTCGCAGATTTGCTCACTCCAATCGGGGCCACGGTGACGCATGCTACATAAGGGTCAGCGCAAAAGTAATTGAGTCAATGGCAGGAATACGTACGCCTTGCCCATCTTCAGGGCGGTCGGCTTGAACTTCTGGACATCAGGATGACTGATTGCGAGTTAGAAGCTTATCGCAGCATCGTACGCGGCGGGCATACCGGTGGCAGGCGAAAATTCCACACATTGTGGCGACGAGGGGCGCGCAGCGCTGCTAGACGGAGACTCTGGGAGGAATTGGAGAGGATGAAGGTTAAGGCACGCAGCAGAATCCCGCGAGTAGAAATAACGGGGTTTCAGCCGGGGCGTAGTTGAGTCACTGGGGAAGATGGCGCGCACGGAGCAGAAATGTCATGGCGCATCCGACGAAATGCACGCCCGAGAGCGGCGGGCTGATAGCAGAGCCCCGCGCTAAACCGCGCCTCTCCCCCTGCCGCCCGCCGAGTGCGCCCGCGAGATCGGCGTGATTATTAAGGCCGTCGCCCATTCGCGCCGCCAGCGTGCCTCGGACTTCTATTTTTCCGCCTTGCACCCGCCGATCCAGCAGCTTTCGCGCACCGCGAATTGATGTGCGCCAGCTGGCCACGAGGATACGTGTTTTTTCAGACACCGAGTCTCTCCTCGGTGACTCTCCACGTAAAAGGTTCGACCAATTGGGTTACCGTTGGGGTCATGCCATGGCCTGCCGAATGCGCGTTTCCGTGCGGTCCGCAGTTTACAAGACATTCATTTATGACACAAACTCCCTGATAAAGCAAGCGCCCTAACTCCACTTTGCCGTAAAAAGGAAAATGCTCGCTTGGCTCCGAAAAAACGGACGGCAGAAGACCGAGGAATCTCATTATTTTAACCCAAAGAAAGAGCCTGTGCTAGTGCGCGGTATGGTAGTAGAATCAGAACAAGGAAACAATAGCAAGTGAATGCGCCGAGCGAGGCCCGACCAACGTCCGCTGCCCGGACCTATAAACTTCCCCCTGTGGTATCCTCGATGAATGGTCCTCTTAGAAGAAGAAGTAAGCCAGCAGGAAGCTAAACAGACACAAGCCCGCCACCACCTGCACCGGAACACCTCCTGCCGGCGCCTGCTGAACCGCCAGGTTCGACGCCTTCTCTTCCTTGCTGCTAACGCCCTCGCCCTTGCGCTGCCTAAGGCCCTGCGACGCCTGCTGCTCCAGCCTCGCGATCGTCGCCCGCGCCTCCTGGAGCTGCGCCTTGAGTTCTTCCGTGGACGTAGGGATCGCGCTGGTCACGCTCGAGACGGCACTTCCGATCATCGACTGGTTGGCGGGGTTGAATGCAGAGTTGACAGCTTCACCCGTGGTCTTGGCCGAAGAGGGACGAGACTCCGGACGGGAAACGGAGCCGGTGGTGGTGCGCTGTGGAGTCACAGCCTCGGGGGAGGGAGAGCGCTGGGACGAGACGTCGTTTGCGGTCGTACCGTTAACGGACGGAGCGCCCGAAGTGCTATCGGCAGGCAGGAAGACGACGCGGATCTTCTTCTCCTGGATGGTGTGCTTGGCCGTCTGCTCAATGTGGCTCCACTACATCCCAATTAGCCCCTACTCTTGTACCAAGTGCGGCGGTCTTTCATACAATGGTGCCAACGTTGCTAAACTCCATGTCGGCGGTCACAGCGACGGACTGGACAAGGAACTTGTCACGGCAACGGGCATCTGGAGGCGGGTCCTCCTTCATGGCCTGAAGCAGAACTGATTACATTGTTATTACTCATCCCGCATATCCAACAAAGACAGACTTGGTGCACTCACCCTGAACCTCGACCTCCTTGCCAGCCTCAATGCGACCGGAGTTGGGGCGGACACAGTATCTGCAAGCGTTGGTGAGCGTCTGACAGGAGATGGAGGGTGAAAGAGAGCGCGTACTGTTTCGGAGCGGTGGTTTTGACCTGGGGTCGTCAGATTGCGTTCATGTGAGAGGAGCTTGTGAGAGTCGATGACGACGTACCTTGAATGCGACAGGGTCACTATTCGGATTGCGCAGGCGCAGACTCTGCGAGACCTCCTGGGTGAAGGGTCCTTGCCACATAGTCAGTATGCAACCTTTGACAGCTCGCCAAGACGTCATACTCTTGAAGCCCAGTTCGGGCGGCGTCAGTTCGACCGACATGGTGTCTCGTGGGCGCCAGGTGGCAGGGGCTTGCGCGCAAGAACGGGGGACGGGACGGCGTCGAGGCGCGGAGGCGTTGCGGCTGGCGGAGGGGATGCGAATACGCGGTGAGACGTGCAATATGCGGCGTAGACCGGGTGTGGAGAGTGTGGTTGGAAGTACCGCGGGAAAGACTGCCGTGGTGGTTGCCCGCGGGCGGGCTGTGTGCTTCCAGGCCAGCAGGTATGAGAGCCCTGGCGCTAGTCCTATTGAGGCAGGAAGCTATTTCGTTTGGGTACGTCACTTCTGGAAGCGCCTGCTTAATGCCGAAGCGCCGCTGCTGCTCCCCGCCAGCTTGCACCACCGCACTTCTGACGGCGCATTCCCTCAACAGTTTTCTCTGCCTTTGCCTTCTGCAACTGCACTCGCTCTATCCACACAATCACCATTTCCACAGCCATGGCATCCTCCGACTTGACCATGCTCGTCGACATGGGCTTCGACCAGGAGCGCGCCGAGCTTGCTCTCAAGAAGTCCGGCTCACGTACGTCTGCCTTTCGCCGCAGAGTAGCTGCGGATCCGTCAGCGGCACCAATGCGCTGACGAGCTTCTAGTGCAGAACGCGATCGACTGGCTCGAGAAGAACCAGGACAAGTCTATCGACGAAATCAAGGCCGAAGATGCCGCACCTTCCTCTTCGTCGCCCCCGCCTCCCGGTCCGGGCGAGGAAGCCCAGAGCCTCAGGTGCAATGACTGCGGCAAGATGTTCCGCAGCCACGCTCAGGCCGAGTTCCACGCCAGCAAGTCAGGCCACGTCGACTTCGAGGAATCGACCGAGGAGATCAAGCCGCTGACGGAGGAGGAGAAGAAGGCGAGGTTGGAGGAGCTCCGTGCAAAGCTCGCCCTGAAGCGTGCGGGACAGTCGGAGCAGGACAAGCTTGACAAGAAAAAGAACGAGGTTAGTCATCGCATTTCAGCCTCTTTTATCTGCGCTGACACTCGGGGCTCTTAGGAAATTCGCCGCAAGGCAACCAAGGAATCTCAGGACGCCAAGGAGGCCTTGCAGGTCAAGGAACGCATAAAGGAAGCAGAGAAGAAGCGTCGTGAGAAACAGGACGACATAGATGCACGCAAGCGGGTTCAGGCTCAGATCGAGGCGCAGAAGCTCGAGCGTAGGCGGAAGGCCGAGGCGGAGAAGGCAGCAAGATTGGGACAAGCCCCTCCCGAAGCTGCGGCACCAGCACCTGCTGCGACCTCATCTGGACCCACCACCTCGAAGCCCGCGAGCGCATACACTGAGACGAGATTGAGGCTTCAGCTTCCCTCTGGCACCGTGCAGAAGACACTACCGGTGGAGACTACCTTATTCGAACTGGCGCATCAGCTGGCTCAGGAGAGCGGCATGACTGTGAACACCTTCACTCAGAACTTCCCAAGGAAGGTTTTCGACCAGACCGACTTCGGTCAGACGCTCAAGGAAGCAGGCATGGTCCCCAGTGCCGCGCTTATCGTTAGATAAGCTTGGACACTACTCATACCCAGGTCAGGTGCTCAGATGCTTGATTAATATGGACGATTTGATAGGGTATTATCACAAAGCGGGCTTGCATGATGAATGATGAGATGGTTAGGGACATGCGTGGTTTTAGGAAGAAAAGCCACATGATATTTACTCGGAATGATTAAGACCAGGACCGCAAGGGTCCCCGAACTCCATTTAAACCAACCCCCAATTTTTTTTTCTACCAAGCCCAACCCCCATGTCCCCTCTCAACTGTCATATGGACCCTGGTTCAATGCGTCGTAGCTCCCTCAGCTGGGAGTCGCCAACCAAATGCGTCGCAAAGATGGCATGGAAACTCCAACGGCATGCGCGTGCGACCTTCGGCTCAATCAGGAGGTCCATATGGAACAGAGCCGTACCTATGGCTACTTCAGCTTATGCTGAGATTTCTGATCGTTCAAGTGAAAACCCCTTCCGGCCTCGAGACTCAAGTCCCTCACGCAGAAGTCTTGGCCTTCTTCGCCTTGGGCTTGCTTGCCTTCTTCTCCTTAGTCGCTTTGACCTTCACAGGCTCCTTCTCCTTCTCCTCCTCGACTGCGCCAGTGCTTTCCCTCTTCTTTGACTTCTTGGACTTCTTGGCGGTCTCCATGGCCTCGACAACCTCCTGATCTTCTTCGTTGTGGGGCTTCTCCGTCAGGGTCTTGGGGGCTTCCTCAGTCTCGGCAGGGGCCTGGCTCTTCTTAGGAACCTTGCTAGTGCTCTTGATAGCCGGAGCCTTGAACTCGTAGCCCATCTCCTTAAGCTTGTCCTCTTTGTTCTTCCTCCTCCGCTCTTCCCTCTCAATCCTCTTGTCCCAACCTTCACGATCCATGCCCAAACGCAAGTGGCGACCCTGCATCTTGTTGCGCGGGGCAGGCTTGAAGCGCTTGTTGGAGCCCTTGAAGAGTTCGGGGTGGACCTGCTCGGCGGGAACGTGGCGCACCTGCAAGATGTGACCGAACATGAGGTACTTGTCCATGGTCTCGGCGACGATTTTGGCGACATCGTTATTGGCGAACTCAATGAAAGCGTAGTGCTTGCTGCGGCCGGTTTTCTTGTTGCGCGCCAGGCGCAGGCGGCTGATCTCGCCGAATTGCGAAAAGTAGGCCTTCATCTGATGCTCGTAGAAACCGTGCGGAATGCGACTGTAAAATAAGTTTAGTATGAAGGGACAGTCACCAATGCAGAAAATGGCGACACTAACCCAATGTATATCACGCCAGGGCTTTCGGCGTCCTTGACGTTCTTCAACTTCTTGGCCAGCTTCTTCGAGTCGGGCAGAGACGGGAGGTTGGAGAGATCGCCCTCGTCCTCGCCATCCTCCTCATCCTCATCGCTTTCGAAGCCCTTAAGCAGAGCCTTGGTCTGGTCATCCTCTTCTTCGCTCTCATCATCGCTGCCGTCGGCAGCGGGCTGCTCCTCATCGGCGGACTCCTCAGCCGGGGCGGGCTCTTCGGCAGCTTTACGCTTCTTGCCATTCACAGCCTTGGCAGCAGAGGCAGGCTTCGCGGCAGGTTCCTCATCCTTCTCCTTCTTTGCCTTTTTGGACTTCTTGGGAGTGGGCTTCTCGGCGGCCTTCTCTTCCGCTTCGGCGGCGTCGAAGAAATCGGAGGCGCGCTTGCGGGAGGACTTGGACTTCGGAGCCGGGGCCTCCTCTTCCTGCTTGGGAGCGTCCTTCTTGGACTTCTTGCTTGATTTGACGGGCGCGGGCTGTTCTTCGGGAGCGGGAGCGTCGACCTTCTTGAGTTTCTTGGTGCTGGGCGAGGCAACAGCGCCGCCACCTGTAGAGGGTCAATTACCTGGCAAAGACATGGTCGCAGATTCACCTACTCTTGCGCTTCTTAGACTTGGTCTCGGGGGCCATTTTCGGGAGAGGTGAAATTGCGGGCACGCGGAGGTGGTGATGCTGAGCAAGCCGCTGCTTGCCCGAACTTTTTTCTGCGACGTGCGCTTCCCGCCGAAGATGCGCCGCGTTGCCATCGCCGCAGCTGCCTACCCCCAGCACAACCACCACTACTTCGTTCTCTCCACAAGCAACCAAACAATTTTTTCGACTCTGGGTTTGCACCAAATCACCCCATACCCTGAGCAGCGCTTAAGTCCTCGCCGTGCATCCATCAAGATGTCTGGCATCGACATATTCGCTCCCGGCGCCTGGGACGATCGCGCCCTAGTCAAGGGCTGGAACGCCCAGGTGAAAGAGTACAAGGTAACAAGCTCCAAATACCCACTAGGTGAAAAGACACGCAAACTAACGAGATCTTCTATTCTGAAGAAATATCACAGCCTGCAGAAGAAGGACAGGAAGACTCCGCTCAGCGACAAGCTCACTGCTGCCGAGATCTTCGATCTTGCTGAGTAAGTAATCCCAACTTCTGCTCCGCTTTTAAGATATTCCCATGATAATAACAGTATCTTCAGCCTTGCCGACCCGGATGAGCTCGAGGAGATGGGCATCAGTCTTGAAGCCCAGTCTCGTGCCAAGCCGAACGAAGAGCCCGAAGATACCCACATGGAGGACGATGGCACCGCCTACCAGCCTAACTCAGCTGATGCTGCCTCTTCCGAGGATACTGACGCTGCTGCCCGCCAGCTGATGCAGGAGGCAGAGAGTCAGCATGGATCGCAAGCCCCTCCCATTCCGGGAGCTGTCGCCGCCGCGCCTGGTTAGTGTCCTCCCTCATTCATGCGAAAGCCCTGCCTTCCGCGTTTCCGAACTTTCGCTGATATCGTTTTAGGTCAGAACGACGCGTTGAAGAACATGCAGTGGGCTTGGTTCTATGCTGGCTACTACCAAGGCCAATACGAGGCTCAGCTGCGCTCTGCCCAGCAGCCCCATTAAGAGGTGGCTGCCTTCACGTCTCAATTGTAGGTAGCCTTACAGGTCAGCGCCGTAGGCAAAGGTCAGTCTGAACAATTATTAGATACCCATGGTCATAACATTACCTTATCAGACATGCAACTTCCTTCCATTTGGGAGTGAACCGTATCCGTATGATTGACACGTCCAACCCTGATAAGGTCGCGGACGCTCCGACTTTCCCGGGGGATGGGGATCTTGATTCGCTCACATAGGATCTCGCGGTCTACTGTGGCGCAGATGCCAGCACAAGTTGGTACCTGCAGCTGAGCAAAACAAGCATTTTCCACATGCGACACACTCGCAAGTCACAGTTTGACTCATGGATCGCCTATTGACGCCATGGCCAGTCTGTTTGTTGCAGGATCTGGGCCTAAGGAACTTCAAAAAGCATTTCAAAGATAGGATAGAGAAGAGCTCTACCGCGCGCGTGCCTCCTGGTCCTTGTTCAGCGATTCTCACAGCCAGGATAATCAGGAAATGAAGGAAGAAAGCGTGTATCCGGAAGAAAAGGCGGATCGCAGCTAACCGAAGGCAAAGGGCTTGGTTGGCGACAAGATGGCTATAATGGATTCTTGTCATTCTGAGCAGGCGCCAAATTCGCCGGTTTTCCGTCTTGTCAAATATCATACAGCCAATACAATGGTGATCAGCAAAAGCTTGGAGAAGCTTGGTTCCTCGGTTGAGGTTGTGCATTGTGGAGATGGTCGTGGGGAGAGGAGGCTGACACAGACCTGCGACACAACCCGAGACACAACCAACACACAACATGTCGAGCTTCGTGCAGAGCCTTCGCCCCGCAACATCCAAAATATGCGGGAAAGGCTAGGCTCCGGCGTCGATCCAGGCAAAAACAGACCACTTTTTGCGGTTCTAAGTGATGCCGAGAGGCTGTGGCGTCTCGCCTGACTGGTTTTGCGACACGCGCAGCCTCCGCCACCAGCGGCTGCAATCTTCTCTCCACCCTTATTAAAGACAACGTCTCGCCTCCCCAGCTGGATCTGTAAGCGCTCTTTCGACAACCGTTGTAATAATTGCACTCTCATTGGGCCTCTTGCAAGTCCAGTCTCTCCCTCCCTCTCTTTTTCCAAGCCGACGCATTTGATACCCCACCGCAGCGCGGTCTTCTTTTTCAATTTCCATATATTAGAACGAAAGCTTCACGAAACCAGCATAATGAAGGCCACGACGTTTCTCCCGCTCTTCGCTGCCAGCGGCGCCCTCGCCGCCACCCATACCGTCATGGTCGGCGGTGTCAAGCCTCCGACAGACCCCACTGGCGAGCCCACGCCCGTGCTGCAGTACTCGCCCGAGAACATCATGGCCGCTCCCGGTGACACTGTCGAGTTCCACTTCATGCAGAAGAACCACACTGTCACCCAGAGCACATTCGAAGACCCCTGCAAAAAGATGGAGGGCGGCTTCGATTCCGGCTTCATGCCGAATCCCGACGGTGCAGAGGGCGTTACCTGGACCATGACGGTCAACGACACCAAGCCAATCTGTATGTTTGAAAAAAAAAAAAAAAAAAACTTCTTTCAATCCGGAGAGAGTAAGAGAAAACTAACGCAAGGAACAACCAGGGGCCTACTGCAAGCAGAAGACGGGCATTCACTGCGGCAAGGGCATGGTCTTCAGCGTCAACGCCGTCGAGAGCTCGGACAAGTCGTTCGCGGCGTACAAGCAGCTGGCCATCCAGAAGAACGGCACCGAGCTCGAGACCGCCCCCATCGCCGCCAGCCCGGCCGCCGCCGTTTCGAGCACTGTCACCCTCGCCGCCGGCCAGGCTGAGGCGACCGCCACCGTCGCCGCAGGCAACGGCCAGTGCGCCGACGGCTCCGCTTGTACCTGCTCTTGCCTCTGCGGCACGAACAGCTTCCCGGAGGGCGCCGCTGTGAACAACTTTGGCGGCTTTGCTGGTGCGTAGCTCGCCACTTGTCAAATTTTGTACTGAAGCTGACGATTCTATTAGGCATGCTCCCTGCTTAAATAAGCGCTCGAGTACGGCTATCGAGCTTCGAAGCAGGCCACTCTGGTGAAGAAGGTGGTTCGAATCGAGGAGGGTATACCCCAGGACAGGGCTCATTTGCTTCGTCAATTGAGCGGCATTTCTTACTTTTCTTTGTCATAGAAGACATGACCTCTGCTGCGCAAGGTGTAGTATGGATTATTGTTGATATCCTTGACGGATGGTCGGTTGGTGCCAGGCGGTGCCTGATTAGATTAATTTATTTTGGGAAATCTCAGAAACTTGTTCTATCTCTTAAATGGTGCTTCTTATTGTGGATCCTTTTCACTAATTGTCATTTAAGTACGTGACAAAACATAGTAGAGAGAGTTTTTGTTTAAAAAAAAAAAAAGATCAATGCTAGCGCAGCAACAAATACAAAGAAAACAAAAAGCAAAAAGTCGAGAAGGGGCCGCCAGCAAGCTGAGGGCCACCCGACTCTATAAAACCCCCTTTCGGGAATTTTCCCCCTCCCGCCTGCAGGGTAAGGTGGTGGAGAGCGATAGCTCCCCATGCCATAGGCCCGAAGACCCTTAGGCGGAAGATCGAGCTCGCTGGTGAAATTGATAAACAGCATCGCAACCAATGGGCAAGTAAAAATTAGAACAGCTTCTTGCCACATACAATTTACGAAAAGAAACAACAAAAAATCAGTTTGGATTTACGGTCCTGTATACACAGGCCCAACCATGCCCTACAAAACCCCTTTTCAGGGATTTTCCCCCTTTACCCCAGCTGGGAAGGTGGTGGAGTGTGATAGCATGAGGTTCAAGAACCAATTCCTACCACACTCCGCACCATAGGCCTCCTTAGAGTGGAGACCCTTAGGTGGAAGGTCGCCTCACTAAGCTTGTTTATAACTATCAGCGGGCACGTTATGAGGTAGTAATGCTCGCAGACCATTACCATTGGCAATGAAAAATCCAAATACTCAGTGACAGTGTTCAAGTTCGATTGATATGGCTCCTTTCATTCTGAAGTTTCATAGAGATACCTAAGAGGAAAAGGCTAACGGAGACGCCATAGATCGTCGAACCTTATAGTCATGCCTCATTCAAGGTTCGTCTCTTCCTTAAACGCCTCTTTTCTCCATTTTTCGCAACGAAACCAAAAAGAATAAGCACCCACACAATCCCATCTTCTGTTCGCTGAATCCCCGAAATTGTCAATCGCCCCTTCCGCACTTCGACCCCTCAGTTGAACCTCAATAGACCTTCCCGCCTCTCCCTCTGGGCCTGCCTCTCCCTCTTCCTCTGCCCCTCGCCATGCTTCCTCCTCTCATCGAAAGGGCTTGTGTCACCTTGGCTGGGATGATGCCATCATCGCTATCGTCTGTATCGCTGAGCCGCAGCTCGCCAACATTGTACTTTCGCTTGTTCACGGGCGTGAAGCCCGAAGTCACTACAATCGAAGTTTCCGTTGTCGTCGCTGTCGTTGTTGTCACCGGATCAGCAGTAGTAGAAACGGTTCCATTGACGGCTAGAGCAGACGTAGCCGGCAACGCCGAAGAAGAAGCCGATGCTTGACGCTTACTGGCAGCGGAGACGATCTTGATCTTCTTGCCGCCACGACCGGGGCCAAAACGAGACAAGATGCTGGGCCTGCTGGTCGGAGGTGGAGCAGAAGGGGCGGTGCCAACGGGATTCTTGTTGGTCTGCATCGGTGCGATAGCCACGCGCTTGGCAGGCGAAGAAGATGGAGGAGTCGCATCGCTGGTCCCATCCAGCTGCTCAGCAACGTTGTTTTCCTCGTCCTCGTCGTCATCCTCGCGCGCCCAACGAGCAGCTTGGATCTTTGCCAAGCGATTGCTCTCCTCCTCGAGAGCACGACGAGCCTCTGCCTCTGCATTCTCGCGCTCCATCTGCTCTTTGGCCTGCTTGTCGGCTTGATTAGTTGTCGGCTCACGGTTCATTGGCGCCATTGGCTGCGGTCGCTGCGATTGAGGCTGATCTTCATCTTCGCTAGTGTCCGAATTTTGGTCATCGGAAATGACCTGGATATCCCCAGTAGACGCTCGGGGTCGTCGTGACCCAAGAGGCCGTATCTGAGCGCCATTGGAGCGAGCAGGTATCGACTGGCGTTGCCTGTTTGGGCGAGGATTCGCTTGTCCCTCTTTCCAATCGTCCGGCAACTGTATCAGATCATCGTTGTTCTCGCGCCGTCGGCGTTGGCGAGGAGCGTAGTACTCTTCATCTGAATCGAGTCCTGCATCTTCATCGGAATCCACATCGATTTCCTCATACCTCTTCTTCACGTGTTGTCCCTTTCTCTTGGACTCGCCTTTCCTGATGTCAAAATCATCATCATCTTCAAGCGCTACTCTTGTCTTTTTGGACTTCTTCACTGCGCCATTCGCGGCGGTCGATGCTTGTCCCTTCGGCCCGGCGACATCAGACTGGATAATCGCAACGTTATGCATAGCTGAATTTCTTGCGTTGGGATCCAAACTGAGCTGTGCTCGTCTGCGCTTTTCCAGGTCCTTTTGCCTAAACTCTGCAAGCTTCTCGCTAGGGAGTTGAAGCTTTGCGATGACGCTGCGGTTACGCATGGCACCCCAGACTTGGATGTACCTACCGTCTTTCTTGGCCTGCTCCAGCTGAGCCTTCTCTTTCTTCTTGAGAAATTGCCGAGTAGCATCGCTCTTCGCCTGCGACTTAGGCTTGTCTGTCTTTTGTCTCTTCGACACAAGCTTAATATGGTCGTCAGCATCAGCATACCCTCTCTTTGTTGAACTTCGGAAGATTTGAACGGTGCTTTCGCCGCCGTCCAACTCTGGGTACATGGATGAATCATCTCCATCTATTTCATCGAAGTACGGTGCAGCTCCTTGGCCATTTTCATCGAGTGGGGAATCCAAGTTCCGTGGCCTCGCACCGTCGAGCATTGCTGAAGGCCCAGGCAAGGCTGCATCGTTGGAGCGGAGTGCGGGGTCCAGGAAGCTCTCGTCTTCCCCAACTGGTGAATATTCGATTTGAGTTTGGTCATGATGATCATCGTCTTCCTCATCATCAAATCGAGGATGATCTTGCTTGGCTTGATCTGCTTCTTCGCGACGTCTCCGTAGTCGCGCGGACTCTGCAGGGGCTACATCCTCATCCCGTAGCCAGTTGAGATTCGAGACACTGAAATCGACTAGCGCCTCAACACTACGCGCATCAGCAACCTTCTTGGTGTCGTGGCCCAAGAGAGTCCCTTTCGGCTCGTACGGACGTTGGCGTGGATCTCTTCGGCACGCGCCAGTGTTGCAAACACGGCGACAGTGAGGGCATTGCCACCTCGGGTTCTCCATGATAGTTTGTGGCATGATATCATGTGCGCGAAACAGGGAACCGTAGCAATACCATAGGTCACACGTGGTACACCTCCCCATCTTCCACTTAGGATGTTTGTGTAGGCACGTGTGGCAGGTTGCGTGGTTGGCAAGCCAGGCCTTTGACCTCTTCTTGGCGGTTCGGCGGACAGTCCCATCGTCATTTACGATGATCTCCTCGTCAGACTTTTCTTCATCCTCTTTCGCTTTCGGGTTCTTGTAGTCAACAAAAGGCCTCGACTTGAGCTGTTCCTGGCAGATTTGAGCTAGTGTCTTCTTCTGCAAGCTGCGCCGTTCTTCCGATAGGGGCATTGGCGTCTTCTCATGGAGGCGACCATTGTCAATGTCGATTACTTGTTTCCTCCATTCCTCGTACTTGTAAAGCAAATCCTTCCATCTCCATTGCTCAACCCAGTGCATCCCGGAGATGCATGCACAACTGCGACCCATTGCGTAGCAATCGAGGCAAATGTCGTAAGGCTCCTCAGCCTCGGTACCCAACGCATGGACACATGCTTTGCAGGTCAAGAACCTGTTGAAAATGTTCCCGCGACAGTACGCACAAGTTACGTACCCCTCGAAAATCATGAATTCTGGGTGCTCTTGCGGTAAGTCTGGAGAGAACATTTCGGATAGAAGGATATGCTTGTATAGCTCGAAGAGGCGTTTGAAGTCCTTCTGTACCTGGCGAACCTTGGAACTAGACCGTAGGAGGGCAGTCTGTTCGGCGCTGGCTTCGCTCTGCATCTTCGCCTGCTTGAGGAGATTCGAGTACTTTAGGAGCGTGTAGTAGACGATGGCTTTGTTCTTGTACTGTTCGTCTCGGCACACCATGCGTGCATTTGGGAGTGCTTCCTTGAACGCCATTTCCAAAGTTTCGACTGTTGTCCGGTTCCAGGCCACTTTCATCGTTCTCGTTCCTCTGTTCCAAACCTGATGCGGAGCCAAAGGCGGGATCAGAATAAAGTCACCGGGTCGTTGTTCAACGACGTACGTTCGGAAAGGCGCTCTCTTCCAGGCCGCAACTTGAGCAAAATGGTTTTCGACTTCGATGTCGTGGCCCAGAACCGAGAGCCAATATTCAGAAACGGTATGTCTGTCCTTCGTCTCCGTCATAAACCAAATTGAAGAGCCGGGTTTTTCAGGTTTGCCGTCCTCGCCAACGGTTCCAGAAGCGTTGACCATGATATTCTGTCCCAGAGACGCGCACATTTCTCTGTGGGAGGGCGTGTACGTCCCTTCGTGTCCGATGTAACACATCAGGTTTTCAGCCCTCATCTCCGGAGGGAGGCTGCTCATCAGGTCTCCCGCACGCGCAATGCCACGGCCCTTCTTCCGACCACCCGGCGCATTCGGTGTAGGCTCGTCCACCGACCCTGGGCCGTTGATCTCTCCCGTACTCTCATTCAGATAGAAGAGACCGCTTGGAATATGCTCCCTCAACTTATCGTGCCAAACCTGGGGGCAATCAATATCCTTCAGGTATATCCGCTGGCGGTTCTTATCCTTGTAGTTGTCCGGCTTGTCAAAATACTGGTTCGTGAGGAGTCCCATGTTTTTGAGGTAATGCGCGATAGTTAGAGGAATGTTATCCTTTGCGGTCAGGTTACGCGCATTCTCCACTGAAGTGAAGTGAGCCCAGGCCTCCCGACGAAGTGAACGGAGGTTGTGGGAGCTTACCCTTGTCTCCGCAATTGGCGGCGAGCCACTCCGGAGTGAAAGTCCATGGGTCAAGGACATCCTCAAAACCGTCGACTACAAGCGGTTTCCCACCTATTACGACGTGGAGTAGCACGAGTTTCTCGAATTGCTCGACGCCTTGCTGTTGGATCATGTCAACCGATATACGGTCCACATATTGAAAATTTTCCGTGTTTTCTACGAGAGCTTGGACGTCGAAGTCTGGTGGAATTGGTTCGAAAGACGCACGCGGGCGTTGGGCAGGCATTTTTACGGCGAAGCTCCAGCTATGCGACGGCGGGTAAATTGAGTGGGGGTCTAGGACACGATTGTCGAGCGGCGCGTTGCGACCATAATCGCGCGAGCATCCGGGGTGCGGCAGACGCGTGAATCGCGGTTGGGAGCGCCAGAAAGCGCGGGGTGGTGCGGTTGACGAGCAGAAGAGCGGCGGCGGGTAGTGAGGAATCGCGGGAGCTCAGTCGGCGGAGGCGTCGAGCTCATGTCCGCGCACCCGCGGGCTTGTGCACGGACCACCACAGGAAAGTCGGCGCCCTTGACCTCAGCTCCGTCTTTTTTCTCCCTTCACAGAAGAGACCATCGTGCCCAGTCAAGCGACGTGCATCGTTGGGACTGTTGAGCGCGCTTGGTGCAATTGGCTCAGTAGTTCGGGTCGTCTCAGTCTCCGGGTTCCTTCCTTTCTTGCTGCAGGGATCAGACGTCAAAAAGGATTCGATATCTATCCTTCTGGAAAGAGCTGGGCCAGCTGTTGTAATTTATCTTTCTTCCTTTCAGTCGCCATTACCATGCTGCTGCTACAGACTTTACAACGCGGTAGCCGGCATGGATTACAAAGGACATCTGGTAGCCTCACTTTCCGCACCTCAACATCTCATCTCCGGACAACGCCGGCAAGACCTCTGAGCTTCGCAAATGCCCAGCATCTTCAGAAGAGACTAGCGAATGGCCAACCCAGCCGGATACCAGCTCGCATACTCCACACCACCAGCGTTCTTACGCAGCAAGCGCAGACAGCTTCAGCAACAGCCACACTCCAAACTTCCACACCTCAACTCTCCGCCTATCAGCCGCCCACCACGGGGCTGCTCTCCTACTTGCCTTCGTCCTTCGTCCCCTATGCGGAGCTGGTTCGACTCGACAAGCCGGTGGGCACGTACTACCTCTTCTTCCCCTGCCTCTTCAGCACTCTCCTCGCAGCGCCTCTCGCAACCCCAATCGCAGCCCCAACCGCCGTCCTTGGAACTTCGCTCCTCTTCCTGACCGGCGCGCTCGTCATGCGCGGCGCCGGCTGCACCATCAACGACCTCTGGGACCGCAACCTCGACCCGCACGTCGCCCGCACGCGTCTCCGGCCCATCGCCCGCGGCGCCGTGAGCCCGCAGTCGGCCGTGGTCTTCACCGGCGCGCAGCTGCTGACGGGACTCGCCGTGCTCCTGCAATTCCCGCAGCCATCCTGCTTCTTCTACGGAGCGCCCAGCCTCTTCTTCGTCGCGACCTACCCGCTCGCCAAGCGCGTGACGTACTACCCGCAGGCTGTGCTGGGTCTGACCTTCTCGTGGGGCGCCATGATGGGCTTTCCGGCGCTGCACGTCGATCTCCTGAGCGACTCCGTTGCCGCGACTGCCGCCGGTTGCCTGTACGCCAGCTGCGTGGCGTGGACGGTGCTGTATGACATGATCTACGCACACATGGACATCCGCGACGATGTTAAGGCTGGCATTAAGAGCATTGCCCTTGCCCATGAGAAAAATACTAAGGCTGTGTTGTCTGGTCTGGCCGCCGTGCAGGTCGCCCTGCTGGCTACCGCTGGCTCGGTCGTTGGCGCGGGCCCGGTCTTCTTCGTCGGCAGCGTGGGCGGCGCTGTGGCGACGCTGGGGGCGATGATCTGGAGGGTCAAGTTGAAGAGCGTAGCGGATTGTTGGTGGTGGTTTAGGAACGGGTGCTGGATGACTGGAGGCGCTATTTCGGCAGGATTGCTGGGCGAGTACCTTGCACAGCTGTTTGGATGGTATGGAGATGATGTGGAGGAGAAAAAGGAGGTATTGTCGGCATAAAAAAGGGCATTTGAAATACAGATTTGACTGTCACAATAGTGTAAAATAGCTGTCCTTAATCAGAAATCAGATTCGATATCCAACTCCGTAAGAAACCCTATTCAGTGCAAAAAAAAATGTTTTTATTTACGAATAAAAGATGCCGTATCACAGCTTATAACCTTGGCTTGAGCCCTTCAGTAGGTCCATTGACGATGAACAGCTATCCCCTGGGCATCTCCATCTCCTGAATGCATATCCGTTTTGGCCTTCACTCTTGTGGTCTTTGAGCGTACACAATGTGACTAGACAATGAATGTTTAGCTTAAGAGTTATTAGATGGGAACGTCAGGAACTTACAAGTTGAATTGTCTATGCCTGTCTTTCTTGAGCGCATCTTTCTTGACCTCTTCCAGAAAAACTCTCACTTCGTCTGCCGTCCAACCCAGCGTACGGGTGAACAGACCAATCGTGAATGCTTCCATGCCTTCCATGAACTGCATCTGATTGACCGCGCCCGCTTTTTTCTGCAGTTGTTATCCAGTATTAGCACTGATTTAAAGGAGAGAAGAAACAATAAAAAGAGGTAATAAAAGAAACTCTTACATGTTTCTCATTCTTCGCCCACATGCCAAAAGGCACGACTCTCAACTCATGCTTCACGTTCACGAACCCCGCATCCTTCACCCACTCTTCGAGATTCGGCCCAGGCCGCACAGTCCGTCCGAGCTTATCCGTAGCCTCGACCAGATACTGATGCAGCCTCAAGACGGCATCGTCCTCCGGCATCGACGCATCGGTCGAATACGGCAGAAGGTCCCAATCGGAGCATTCAACCCACCCACCCGGCGCCAAACCATCGTAGCAGTTCCTCAGCAATTGCGGCCAATCTTGAATGCTGCCGGCCATGTACCTGACGTGGATGAGATCGAACGGCTCGCGGACCGAGGCTCCCGGCCACTCCGCTTCGACATCGTCGACCTCAAACAAAACATTGGGCGGGACCCAGCGGGGCTGGATGGGGCTGAAGTCGTTGCCCACGACCGTAGCGTTCGGGAATTCCTCGCCCACACAGATGGCCCACAGGCCGGTGCCGGTGCCGACGTCTAGGACGCGTTTGAGCGAGTTGGCGGTGAGAGGCGCAAAGAAGAGCTTGTCGTCCTTGATGATCGAGTGCAGCGCGTGCACGAGGTCCAGGCGGTCCTGTTCCTTTTCGTCGTTTGGGAATTGGTAGCTCCCTTCTTTGTAGGCGTGGAAGCGGCGGCCGTGGAGCCACGGGTATGCCTCGACACTCGACGCTATTGAGGTGGTGTAGCTTCGACTGGCCGCAGGTCATACGAGTGAGTACGTTGAGGTCATTTCTGGGATTGGAACAGGTAGAAAGTCAAAAGCACGAACAGATCGCTGTGGTATGCCGAGTCGGTCTCACGTAGCTGAACAAATAACACTGTCAGTAGGTCAAGACACGTATTGTACAAAAAGTATATCCGGCGAACGGACCGTCTCGTCGACCTCTATGGTTTCTTGGGTTGGGACAGCCATTGTGGGAGGGAGCAAGTATCAGAAAAGCAGTAATTGCAACTTGACAAACTACGCGAAAGTAAATGGTCAAGGCGGAAGTTCCCCCGTTTATAGGTGGAAAGCGGCGGGATGTGTAGACGACTCGGCAGCGGGGCTGCTACCGTAAGGGTGCATGTACTGCGGCACAGTTGCATTGCCGACTCGTTCGCCGGAGGTAACTCTCCGCACGGCTTTGTTTGGCGAGACAGTTTCCTCGGCGGAGCGCGAAACATGAGGTGCGGACAAATGTCGTATCATGGATCCGATACCGATTCGCAGAATCATATGAAAGATTTCGCATACGTAGGATTTGCGATGAATAATCTGAGAAGTCCTGTTACAGGGGTTTGTGGAAACAAGGAGACCTACTGCGAAGTCTGCTGGCGATTGTTTCCATCGTGATTTTATGTATCCGTATTGTTGGAGCAAGGGGCCAGAGATCTATTTGTGCTCGGAGACGCGCGGAGGCGGAAGTTCCCCGCCGTCCCGCGGCTGCATTTGTGGTACCTTTTCGATGGCGGCCCAGAACCCCTCAAATAGGGCTGAAGATCAATGCAACCTTCACCCTTTACGAAAGGCTGCAGCATACAGCTTATCTCCTCAAGTGTTTCACGACTCCGCCCAGCTTATGGTCAACCAAGGCACAGGAGTGGGGTCGAGAAGACGCAATTCGCTTGCTTCCCCGCGCGAACTGATAATAGCAGCTCAGCTCTCGTCAACCTCGACGCATCCCCTCACCTACCTATCCAAGCCCCCCCAAGCTCTATATTCCACCCACACACACCATAGAAACAATGCCGACACCAGACCTGAACCTCACCACCCACTCCATCCTCACCACCCACGGCACAATCCACGTCCTCGACACAGGCACCCCTCCCGACCAAATCAAACATCCCCTCCCCACCCTCCTTCTCCTCCACGGCAACAGCTCCTGCTCCAAAATCTTCCTCCCGCTCATCCACCTCTCCCTAACCAGCTCCACCACCCTCCGCCAGTACCGCATCCTCGCCCTCGACCTGCCCGGCCACGGCAGCAGCAGCGATGCGCCGGACCCGGTGGAAACTTCCTACACGCAGCCCGCCTACGCCGACGCCGCGGTCCAAGTGCTCAACACGCTGGGCGTGCTGCAGGACGACGCCGACGGCGTCGTCGTGCTGGGCTGGAGCCTGGGCGGGCACAACGCCATCGAGATGGTAGCGCGGCTCGGCGACGCTTCTGGGCGGCGCATCAAGGGCATCATGATCACGGGGACGCCGCCGGCGCTAGGGTTGGAGCAGGTGCAGAAGGGGTTCGGGTCGTTGGGCTTGCAAGACGAGGCAGCACCGGAGAAGACGGATGGAGGAAAAAAAGGAGACGAGGAGGAAGGACATGTAAATTTGGCCGGGACGGAGAAGTGGTCGGAGCGCGACTATGATCAGTTCCCCTTTGAAGCTGCGCGGGGAGAGCGCGCCCCGTGGATTAGGGAGACGGCGGTGCGCACCGACGGGCGCGCACGGCGCATCATGTTCGAGGCGTTCGAGGCCGGCCGCGGCGTGGACCAGGTCAAACTTGTCGAAGAGAACGACGTGCCCTGCGCCGTGGTCAACGGCGGAGATGAGCCGTTCGTGAACCTGGATTATCTGGATTCCCTCAAGTACAAGAACCTGTGGGAGGGCAAGTGCCACAGGCTTCCGGGTTTGGGGCACGCCCCGTTCTGGGAGGAGCCCGAAACTTTCCTGCCGTACTGGGAGCGTTTCGTCAAACACTGTTCTAAGGAGGCATGAGGAGTTGAACTATCACACATTGTGTGTTCTGGGGAATCAGCAGAAGGGCGGCCGGCCGCCTACAAAAGCGCAAGACATGGGACGGAAACAAATTGGACGAAAGCAATGAGACGAAAGGAAAAAGACTGATATACAAAGGCGTTTTTACCTCGCCCGCTAAAGACTGCTGTGATCCAATCGAATGGGCCTTTTTGCTTTCCGTGGTAATCCTGTATCCTGTAGCCAGTCTCAATACCAACGACGCCGCACAGAGGGGCATATTTTTCCTGTGCCAGTGATAAAAAAAATGCCACAATAGAGAAAATGCGAACGAAAACCCTACTCTTCCTTTCCCAGAAACCAACGAGTTGAAGGTACTCCGGGCTCCAACCGTATGATGCTCAAGCGCTAGCTGCACAACATATACCTGAAGATCCAAAATGCTCCCTGCTCATCCCCTATTCCCCCTCCTTTCTCTCCTTTCCCCACGCTCATTCTTGCGAAGCTGGAGGTTGACGGCAGATTTAGAGGGCAATCCACATGACGTTGATGACAACGTCAAGACCCTTCTTCTCGCCACCGTCGTACTTGAAAGACCACATGCCGTCTTTCTCGCTGTTCCAGTAGGCGCCGGCGGCGCTGTGCATTCCGCGGCGGCCGACCTTGGCAAGGCTGGTGGCCGGTTCCTCGGCGTCGTCGCTATCGGCGGTACGCGAGAAGGTCGGGGCGTGCTGGATGATGGTGCTGTTGACGGCGTACTTAAAAGGCGGCTGGTTGTTGGGGCCGGTGCTCGTCTCGCTGATCAGCGACTTGAGGATGGTGTTCTGTTTGCGAAAATGACGCTGTTACTACGGCCTGCTACTCTTTCTGCTGCAAGTGGGTATGGCTGCTGGTGCTTCTTGTGGGCTCTGGTGGTGGTGTGGTAGGGAGACCACGCACGATGATGGTGTTATTCCACTCGGCGGTCGAGGAGTGGACGTAGCTCTCAGCAGCTCCGACGGCGGCGTCGCAGGCCTATTGGGGATTTGTTTAGCGGTCGTGAAACACATGGTGGTCTGCAGAGGCGCTGCATGCGTACATCGGTGGCGATCTGCTTCAAGCGGGTTTCCGAGACAGGCTGTTGCGGAACGGGGTCAGCAAGTTAGGAGCAATAGGAGAGGGAGAACACGTGGATCGTACAGGAGCAGCCATGGCGACGGTGTTGTGATGCGGAGATCGAGAGATATTCTGGGTACGGGCGCGGCGGAGAGCGGGCGAGTTCTGAGGTGTCTAGGGCGGGACGGACGGTACGATGTGGCAGGGAGCTGTCGTGTGTGTTGTTGTCGGAGCGAGTTATGAGAGAGATACGACCAGGAGCCGTTGCGGAGCGACAGGCGACGTCAATAATTGGGCCGAGCGGGGACGAATCAGAAAGCTTAATCGTTACCTCGTGCGCTGCGCCGCTCCAAAGCTCCATCATCTTTCTCGTTGCGGCAAGCCTTCTCCGCCGTCGCGCGACCTGAGAATTTCTCCCACCGCAGCTCTCTCGTGCTCCCTTCCGTCCATTCTCTCTCCGCCGTGCTGTTGTGACCCCCATTGGCGCCGCCGCCCTCACTCCCGACCTCATCTTAGAGCACGTCCGCGCCCGCCGATCCGTAATGTCGAGCCAGCCTCTCCTCCAGACTGCCCCGGGTATGCAATTTCCGCGCCTCAGCTCTGCTCTCACCATGCGCGTTTGCGACCCCGCACTCACGCTTCCGGGTGTCACTATCGCTGGCTGTTGCTGACCTGTCCCTCTTCGCTGCAGGCAAGCGCATCGCCCTGCCCACTCGCGTCGAGCCCAAGGTCTTCTTCGCTAACGAGCGTACCTTCCTCTCATGGCTCAACTTCACCGTCATCCTCGGCGGTCTGGCCGTCGGCTTGCTCAACTTTGGCGATAAGGTTGGTCAGATCAGCGCTGGCCTTTTCACGCTCGTCGCCATGGCGGCCATGATCTACGCCCTCGTCACCTTTCACTGGCGCGCGAAGAGCATCCGCCAGCGCGGTCAGGGCGGCTTCGACGACCGCTTCGGTCCCACGGTGCTGGCTCTTGCCCTGCTGGCCGCCGTCATCGTCAACTTTGTCCTCCGTGTCACAAACTAATGGGAGGGGAACACTGTGGAAAGAATGTTGCGCCTGTAAACGAATGAACATGGCCCAGCGGACTATAGAGGAGGGATTATGCTGCATATTTCTTTTGTACTTCGGTAACTACCCATTGGAGTGTACTTTGGCCTTGGAGTTAGTATGGAACTAGTACATTCTTATCAAAAAGGACTGGAGGACCGGCAGCTTGTGTATATTAAACAGCTCACGTGTTCAAATAGATGCCCTAATTGCGACGGAACCACGACCAGAATATTAGAAACACGTTTTTCCTCTGCGAGATTCACCATACTTTCAACCCATGCTACGAGATACTCTTCAAATCTCTTTCATATTGCTCTCAAAACCACGGCACTTGATGGGTGCGCTACACCCCGCAGATGCGCTCAACCCTAGAAATTATGCTCTGTACGTGTGTTGGTGGACGGTCGGCGGGCACTCGTGATCACTTCCGGAACCGTTTCCTGCAGCTACCTATTAGGTCGAGCGCACCCATCGAGTTGAGGGCACCTATCTAGTTAAGTGCATCTGCTTGCGGCTGCTCCATGGATAAAACCGGCAAGGTGCAGCGACGTGGAGATGGCGATAAAATGAAATAAAGCCCTCGTCAGGCTGTTGTAATCTTGCGAGCCTACCTGAGCAGCCCACGTAAGTCAGCTTCATTCGCGGGCGGCGATCACCTCAGACAGAAGGAGCTACCAGAACGCGCCTACCTCTTACCCCAGCCGACGCGCGGGATTGCGTCATCTTCAAACTCAGCACCATTGGTTTAAGACTCTAATCAAGGCCCTCGTCTTTTTATAGGTCTGCCGGTCCGCCTGCCTTGCGTCTCTCACCTCTTTGCACACCAAGGTAGCTCTCCCGCTCAACCCTGTGCTGCTTCAAGACAAAAACCTCGGCCACATGAATCACCAATCAGCTGGAAGTACGTCCTCGGCGACCGTGGGCGCAACTCAGCCTTCGTCACCGGATGTTGCGAAGACGCCAACCACCGCAACACCCTTAAGGTTTGACTTCCGGATTCGCCCGGCACGCCGCGGCTCGTCTCCCGTCACCTTCTCTCGTGGAGTATCTGGCGATCATGGACCTGGTGATCCACCTGCAAGCGGTGTGAGCATAACGCCCTGGAGATCCTCTGCCTCGCAGCAACCTCCAGGCTCCAAGGAGAAGACTTCAACGCCAAAGACGAAGCGGATGAGACTCGATATCACAGACGTGCCACGCATCTCCTTGGGATATCGCCGCCTTTCCTATAGCAGTGACATGGCTACAACCGTTGAGATTCGTGTCGGCATCGACGGCGACATGTTCATTCTTCACCAGTCAGCTCTGTGCGAAGTCTCTCCCTTCTTCAGAAACACTTTTCTTGGAGACTTTAAAGAGGCCAGAGAGAAAAAGATGGAGCTTCCCGTGACGGATACCGATACGTTCAAGATCTTCGTCGAGTGGCTTTATTCCCGGAAGCTACTACTCGATCCAAGGGACAGTGAGCTGGCGCGCGTGTGCAGACTACCGGATCTCGCGTACCTCTACATATTCGCGGATAACTACGACGTGCCACAACTAGAGAGGGATACAATGGATGCAATCATATCCTGCGTGCACAAGAACTACCCGCTTCCAGACTCCGAGGTAATTCGTTATGTGTATGAAAACTTGCCAGAGGACTCGCCGCTCTGTAAGCTCTTCGTCAACGAGTACGCACGCACTGATCAAGTGCTTGCCGGCGGCCCTGACCACTGGCCCGCTCGATTTGTGTTCGACGCATTCAACGCCACGTGCCGCGCGAGGGCACAGCACAGTCCACTTGTCAAGCCAACACATGACTGCACGTATCATCAACACACCACGGAGGCGGAGGAGAGGGCCTGTATGGGCGGATGAAGATGAGGTCGTCTGGTTGCCACGCCACGGCGCACGTTTCCTGTGGCGCTCGCTTGCATGCTTCACCCTGGAACATGTTTACATCAACTTTTAATGATTGCGCAACATTCGAGCGGGGACAAACATACATGCTGGTCGATATATCTCTGGAAATGAAGGCTGTAATGAACAGGGTTGGCTCACAATTAGCTCGGGCAATGGCGCTCAACAAGGCTGCATACGATCAGAATATTGTATCTATGGCGATTCCTTCAGTGGAGTGAAGCAGGGTTCAGGGATGCGAATGATGAGGATTGCTTTTGTGGCTTCATTTCTTCAGAATGAACGCGCAAGAATGTAAGACAGACTTGCTCAATGTGGCGAACGGTCACGAAGGGGCAAATATACATATGGTTGATTCACTGCGGGTGGGGGCAAAGGGTGGCGTGAACCCCGGCGCTGAACGCAAGAAGAAAGGAACGCTCAATCAATGGAAAACACCTAATCTACTCCGACCTCCGAAAGTAAACGCCGGGCCGACGGTGGCAACAGCAGCACGCCGACGCATGGGTCGACGGGCAGGGTCACGGCTGGGCCAGGTTATTTCTTCTTGCCATCAGTCTTCTTAGAGTCGGCTACGCGGGATCGTCAGCAAAAGTGGTGGTTGAAGAAAAAGCCGGCCGCATATGCAGCCGCCGACAAGGTGGAGACGGCAGGGACAACGCACCTGCAGCCTGCTTCGCACGCATGATGGCAGCCTGGTCTTCCTTGGCGCGAGCGAACTCGGTGCCAGACATCTAGAGAGCAGGGTTAGCGTTGCGAAAAGGCCGCTGCTGGGGACGTTCGCGGCCAGCGACGTACGCTGTTCTTGTTTTTCTGCGGGAGGGGTCAGCACGGCGGGAGCGCGATGAGCGGGACGGCATTCTCACCTGGCCAGCCTGAGCCTTCAGGTTCTTTTCGCGGGCCTTCTCGCGCTGGTTGCCACGGGCCATGGTTGCTTGGGGATGCGAGTCGCAGTGGGTTTGAGTGGACGAGCGAGCGGCGATCCTGAGGCTCTTTCGAGCGGATTCTGTGGGCGCTAGTCGGTGGAGGCAGGGGCTTGGGGAACAGAGCACGGGGGATGCGAGGCTGAAAAACGCTGCTGCTGCGGCGAACTCTGGTCGAGGAGGGTGAGGCGGCCAGATTTAAATTTAGCTAGCGCCGCTGGCCGGCTGCGGATTCTGGAAGCTCAAAGACACGATCGGCCGCAACAAAAGGCCGTCCACATGCTCACCGACTGCGCACAACTCGACCCTCGGCCAGCACCGCGATGATTGTCGTGCGCGCGCTCCGCCGGCAACCCGACGGACGGCGCGCACGACGGAGCGCGGCCGGCACAGATTGCGGCGGGAAGATTGCTGATCACGGCTCGCGAGCGGGCTGATTTGGGCGCTTAAGATGCGGTGGTGGGCGCGTGCCGACGCGCTGCTGGGGAGGCTCCTCGCGCATCTGAAACAGCGCATCGGGCCAGCGACAGCCAATCCCTCGACGGTCCCTTGCGACAACCTAGACGCGCACTGTTGCTTTGCTGGCCGCGTCGCCCCCAGGCTCGCTCTGCGGGAGCACCGCAGAAACACCTTGGTGCTTCATCGCCCGCCTGCTTCCCGTCCGCCGCCGCCGTTTCATAGGCTCCCAGCGCATCCCCATCCCGACCGCGCTTCATTGGCCCTTGGTCGTGGAAATGACGAGCCGGAAAGCCTGCTCGCCGTCGCCCGGGAGAGAGGGCGGGTCACTCCATAACTAATGTCACTCGCCGCCCGCCGCGTGCGTTCACTTCCTCTCCTCATGTTCAATTGTGCCTATTGTCACTGTCTTTCCTATTGTGTCTGTTCACCTCCCCCGTGAGCAGGAAGAAGACCTTTGCCCCAGCGGCTTGGGACTGCTCTTCTGCTCCTCTTCTTATTCTCAATCCTTTGGCTCTGGACGCCCAACCTTCGTTGTCTCCACCACGTCTGCCGGGCAGCGCGCGCCTACTTTGCATCCGCTCTCGACGGCTGCTATCGAACCAACCTGCAGCCCACCTGCGCAGCTTCTCTCTTCGAGCAGCTTGCATTCACGACACCATGTCCGTCCTCATTTCAAAGAACCTGGCTGGTCCAGCGTACATCATCCTTAATGTCGTTCGCGCTCTGAACATCATCGGCCTCCTCCTCGTTGCTACGGCCAGCTTCCTTATGCTGGTCAAGACCATCGTCGTCTCCCGCTTCTTCTTCTTCGACGGCTGCAGCCACGTTATCACTGCCTGCATCAGCTGTAAGTTCTCCCACTCGTCTTCTGCCAGCACATCACACTTCTTGGCACGCATCCCCCAATCACCGCGACACTGGCTTCAGCCATTGCCTCTTCCCATTGGCGACGTGAACTGACATTTGCAGGCTTCCTCATCGCGTCCGAGGCTTGCCTTTTCCGCAGCTACTTCCGCAAGAACTGGCCTCTCTTCAGCCCTGAGCATGGCTTCGTCGCTCTGGGATTGGCCATGATCCTGCTCGGCGTCAACACCCTGGGCAACCTCAACAAGGATGCTACAAGCGCTGAAAACCTGGGGATGCCCTTCTGGAGTGTGGTCATCAGCTCTGGCATCATCATTCTGGTCCTTGGCTTCGTCAACATCTTCGTTAGCTACATCTTCCGCGATACCAAGCTCCGCATCACCGCCCGTAACGTCCGCGCCTCGGGAGCCGTAGCTATCCAGGATGCCGAGGCTCAGCTTGAGGCGGAGAAGACGCTCAGTATCAAGTCGTCGATGCAGAGCATGACCCTCAACCAGTCGCCCTGGGCCACTCCGCGCAAGTCGCCCGCCCCCTCCAACTCACCCCGGCCGACCTACTCGCCCACGCGCACCATCTTCCAGCAAGCCCGCGCCTCCCTGTTGCCCTCGCACTTCCGCACCTCGCGTTACAGCGCCTCCAACTACAGCCGCTCCTTCTTCGGTGGCCGTCCCGACAACGATGAGGAGAAGCCTCCGGTCCCTCCGGTCCCGCCGTACCCGGCTTCGGAGGCCGGTAGCGGCACCACGGCAGCTCCCTCGTTCCGCGAGAAGGCGGGCAGGTCGCACCACCAGCACAAGAAGAGCTCCAGCAAGGACAGCACCCGCAGCAAGCGTGAGAGCAAGCGTAGCAGCCTGGGTCGCTTCCCCATCAACATCTCATCGCCCCTCAACACCAACCCACGCTTCGCCTCGCTCGTCAACGGCATCAAGAAGCCTGACCTTGCCCACCACCCCAGTCAGCGCCAGCGTCGCGTCGAAAATGGCCAAGACGACAACCCTTACGAGCTTCCTCCGGACTTCTAGAGTGGAGGCTAATCTTACCACTTACCTCCCCCTCGCCCGAGAACGGTCAAGTTAAATCAAAAGCAAGTAATTCGGCGGCGGTGGTAAAACTTCTGGAGGACCGAGCGCTTCTTCTGCGATTGCGCTCCTGACGACTTGAGAACCATGATCGGATTTATACCCTTTCTCTCCCTTCATTTCTTCTGCGTGGTTTTCCTGTTTGTTTGCTTTTTGCTCAAGGCTAGGCGCAATGATTCTAGCTAGTCGCTCCTTTTTTGGCTTCTATCACTTTGGTTGGATAATACTGCTCTCTATTCGTTGTTCGAAAGAGAACATAATCCAGCTCTTCTGGGTACATCTTGGCGTAACGAAACCATAGGGTAGCTGGGTAGATGGGTGGATGGTCAGTGGGAAAATGGGCGGATGGGCGGCTTTTTGCAAGCGCAAGCCGAGGGGAGATGGTTACGAAGAAATGGTTTCATTGCCTTTTATCCCAAAGCGTAGGGAAAGCATCGACTGGCATGGAGAGGAGAAGTAGCTAACGGTAAAGATCATTTTGATCGGCTTCTCCTCTTCCACTCGTGTACTATCTGCGAGTCTTACAGATGGAAGTTTTTTTCACGATCCTTCTAATGCCATAACGAATGCAAAACATCAATCACTATGAAGCGAAAGAAATGGTGGTGCATATTCAAATTCCTCGAAAAGGACTGAAATAATCGCTACAGGAGTTGGGGTGTTATGCCGCCATGGGATTGACTACACCGAACATCCATCTCTTCACGGTGTCGCGAGCTTGACCTCACATCTCCTTCCCAGTCTCGGTTGAGCTTGTGCTGCACCGCTATCTACTATACATGTACCCATGTATTAGCGGCGGCAGGCAGTAGTTGTGATCAACATACATGGATGCGTGAAGAGAGGCCAAAGCTCCGGCAGATTCTCCGAATTCTAGGTCTTCAAAACGGTTTCAGCACATGCAGATGATTGTGCGTGTGCTGGGATTTATGTCCCAGCTTGCTTATAAGAGATGCGATGAATGCTCGTCAGTGGTCAGCCTCAACGGGAGTCGAAGCAGATGCTGTACTGGGCTGCTTTCGGTCCATAAGGATGATGTGTTGGAGAAGGGGAAAGAGGGGGTAGGTGGTGAGAGCGTGCTGACATTTCATGCTGTATCAGACATATGCAATGATGGCCGCATGTCGCATTAAGGAAAATGTAGGGAGATAGCGAATGCTCGCGGTACACGTAGCTGACTGATATGCGGATTGGGGTAACTGAGGCGGTCCGTCCCGCCGCTAGTTTGGGGTAAGTGTAGGAGGACTGCAGAAGGAGCGGCGAGCCCGCATAAGGGAGAGATAGCAGTCTGCCAGTTAACATGCAAAGCAGCAGTATCTAAGAAGAAGCAGAGACAAGGTTGATGAGGGTGGTCGAAATAAGATTTGTAGACGATACGTGGTACATGCTGCCTTGCATCCGCTAAAACAACTCTGAAGCATGACGGATGCTCGCCACCAGCCTACCGGGAAGTTCCTTTCTTTTCTGAATCAGTCGCTCTAGAAGAGGGGAGGAATGAAATTCGAAGGATTTGAAATGGGCACCGACCCCGGCCCCTCCCGCAACCTGAACCCAACGCCCGCTGATGCATATATGATACACTTTAGCCCCTTACGAGCACGCCTTCTTCCACCAACACCCTGTTTTTAAGGCTGCCCTTTCGATTGATTGGGAACACATGTTCCCCATTTCGTGGATCATTGCTCTTTTCTTTTATGCTTACCCCGGCGCCCCACGTTTAGTCTTCGTCATCGTCTGCAGTCCGCCTGAATGGATCGGGACCGTTGACGTCGAGCAATTGAATGGTTTTGCCGTCGTCGGTTATCAAGCTCCATTCCAGGGTCTCGAACTGTAGAAAGAGTTAAGTTAGCGTACCATCCTTGAATATGCGTGAACAATAAATCTCCCCCAGAAACGCGGCATTGATTGCCGAGCCAGAGAGCAGTTCGGCATGAACTATCCGATGCAAAATCGAACAGACCCTAGCTCTTCCTTCGCGGGAACAGCGATTGCACTGTAATCTTCCGACCTCTTCACGCTCTGACGAAGATGATGGCCCACGACACAGTAGATCGCATCCAGCCGGGGCATCCAATGCCCTCAAGCCACCCTCGTCCACGCTAATGCGCGTCCAAAGAGTCGATCCCACGATCCAGCAGCGCCCAGCCCACCAAATTCAAACCCAGAACCAAATCCCAGTCCCGCAAAATCTTCAAAGAAGCAAAGAACAGGGAAGGAAAAGATCATCCACTCACATAACCCATTCTCTTCAACCTCTCGCTTCTGAACTTCATGACGCCCTTCCCACTCCGTCCCTTCACCCCGTAGCTGATATCGATCCGTCCATGCAGCTGGTCGATGGTGCCGCTGATCCACGGCATGCGCGACGCGAAGTAGATCTCGCCGCCGAGCGCCTCGCGCGCGGCCGGGTGCGTGCGCAGCGCGTACATGGTCGACTCGACGACCGACGACGACTGCTTCTGGTAGTTGAAGATGGCGGCGGTCGAGCCCGCCAGGATGACGCCGAACAGCGGCAGCGTCAGCGTCCACCGCCACGAATTCGTCGACACCGAGGGCAGCTCGCGGTCGGCGCGGCGCGTCATGAGCGGCCCGGAGCCCGGCTTGGGTGCGGCGATGAGCGTGCGGCGGAGCGTGGGCGCGGCATTGGTGCGGAGTGCGGGCCGGAGGAGGCTCGTGGCGAACGGGCGGAGGGACATTGCAGGCGTAGTTCGTGTTTTCCTGGTGGTGGTTGCGTGGATGGTGTTGGGTGGGTTTGGAGGTGTAAATGGCTCGAATGATCATCGGAGGTTTGCCGCTCCTCCGCAAATTTAGTGATTGCCGCTGTGCAGTTGCAAGATGTAAATAGAAAGTAACGCTGCGAGCTAGCAAGACAATATGAACTCTTTTTGTATTGCTAGCTTTTAAATCTCCTCATATATCGGCAGAAGTCTCTCAATTATTAATCATACCATTTGTTGGCCGCTGGGCTGATTGAAGTTCGTCGATTTTCGCGCCTCAGGCATCTCCCGCACTTTAGGCTGGCTGCGTCATGGCAGCTTCGCCAAAGCTCCCGTACATCAAAGCCGGACAGCTACTTTCTACACAACAACCACGCAACCATGGCCACGACCCGCCTACGGAAAGCTTTTCGCTACCCCGACGACTCCGACGAAGAGCTCCCCGAGGGCATCGACGAACAAGGTACACACACGCGCGCCCTTTCAAATAACTTATCGCTGCTTTGCAAGCCCTGCTGATGCCTGCCTGCAGAGCAAGAGAAGCTCATCACCGAACTCCAAACTGAGGATGTTGCCAAAACGGAGTTCTACAAGGTATCTAACACTCCGCTCTAATCTTCTGTTCCACCGACCCTCCATCCACGTCGTAGCTAACGTATCTTTCCACACCAGAAAGCGTTCCTCGCGCTCCCCGCCCTTTCCCTAATCCTCTATCTGCGCCCCCTCTTCGCGTCTTCCTCCTTCGCCGAGTTTTTGACCGCCGTTCTCGCCGTCACCTCCCTCGCCGCATCCGCATACACGCTGTATTTCATACCGCTCGGAAACCCGCCTTCTTCGTCCTTTTTGCCTGCGCGCGCTCAGGTCAGCTCAGGCTCGGCAGTCCGGAGGGGGTACGAGATGGCGCTGAGGACTCTTGGGACGGGTGGCGTGGATGATGGCCCAGTTGAGAAGTTTCTGCCGCTGCTGAACTTGGCTCTGTGTTTGGTGGTATGGCTGAAGTCGCGCACCGCGAAGGACGAGGTTGCGGGGTGGGAAGGCGGTTTACCTACACGTGAGTTCTTCCCGCCAAGATTTCCTAACAGTGGCTCAAAGTGGCTAATACGGTGTTTAGTCGTGTTTGTACTGGTATTTTTAGTGAGATCCCAGCTGGCGCCAATCGATGTGGCGGGGTTGGAGCGGCTGAGATATGGGTACAAAGGCGCTTGAATAGAGCCAATAATTTGACATTTTGACGTTACACTGCTGAATGCTAAGAACATGTAGAATCAAGAACATTACGGAGTTCCGGCTGCTAGTGCTAACTCATTTAAGGAATTCTGACTTTCTACAAATTAGATCACCAATTACTGTAGGCTTTGTAGGCTCGATTTTGTCAGCCACACAACCACAGGCAAGATTCAGCGCACGCTCTTACCCTTTCTCAACTGATAGATGTCGGAACTACAGGAGCATCTTATGCTTCCGCTGCTCGGCCATCAACCTTGGACGGGTCCATGGAGTGAGAATGGAAGAGTTGGATATTATGAACAGAGCCTTTGCTTACTACTCACTACTTACTAACCTTAGTTTTCAACCCGAAGCAACGCAGCACTGGCGATCACTTCTGGATTTAAGTGGCATCAGAAGGTCTCATCACTTTCTGCTAAATCATCATGTACCGATTGATTGGCTGGGTCAGTAGAGCTTTGTTATTCTTGCACGATGTATGAAGGGCTCGTTTGGCTGCATTCACTTTAAGCCCGCGCCTGCCTCTTCGCATTATCTTGCTCATTACGATCTCGACTTTGATAATTAAATCTACAGTCAGATTCTGGGAAGAACAATGGCCCAGAGGAATATCTCTTGACTGGTTGGACTTAAAACAGACCCCGTCAACAAAGAGCATAGCTTTTAAGGCTGTTCAATTAAAATTGCTCAATAGAGCACCTGGGTGTGAGTCTCTCAACAAACCTCAACACTCCGCTTTAGCAATGGGGTATTTGACGAAGCATCAGGGCCTTGATTGATTAGCATGCCGCCAGACATTTCACCGACTGACCGTCTACAATCGTGTTCTGCTGTTACCGTCTAAGGAAAGCAGAGCAGTAGCCTAGTTTACTACGCCCGAATGAAACCCATCAGTGCCGAATGTCCAAAAGTGACCGTTCTTTTTGAGCACCTGCTAATTTCAGCATACCCCATTTCGAATGATAATCAATGTATTCCTCGCTGCTGCCCCTGTCAGTTTACGCCTTCCTGGACCAAAGTGCAAAAACCGCTGTGGAAAGAGTGAGCTATGTACTACCATCGATAACTTGTAGCTAACAGGACATGCTGCTAGCTTACAAGCCCGGGGGCGGCGGGACCTAGGCTTACTGTCAATAGTAATTCTCAGGTACCAGGGTTATGTATACATACCGCGCTGTAGCCACCCGGAGGCGAACCCGAGGGCGGAGGTGGAGGTGGAGCGTCACCGGGCGGTGGCGGAGGAGCCGAACCAGGCGGCGGGGGCGGGGCCTCAGAGCCCGGAGGGGCGCCTTGTTGCTGTTGCTGCTGCTGAGCGTACTGATAATACATGTTGACGTAGTTCTGGTAACCACCATATGCAGCATAGGGATCTCCACCAGCAGCATAGTACTGAGCATAGGCAGCGTAGGGATCGCTGGCAGCCGTCGCGGGGGTAGCAGGCGTGGTCTGCGAAGTGGGGCTCATGGCTGAACCGTAGCCGGGAGACTGTTGGTTGCCATAACTACTTCCGCCGCCATAGCTGCTGTTGCCGCCATAGCCGCCGCCATAGCTGTCAGAACGTCCACCGTTCCTGCCGCCGCCCGAGTAACGGTCACCATCGCCGTATCCGCGGCGACTCGGGCCGCGCTCCTTGAACTGTTCATACTGCTGGCGTACATTGGCAAGAAGGTCTTCACAGAGCTCCTTGGCCTTCTGCACATCGTCGGCATTTGGGCCGCTGATTTCTGTTAGATTTAGACGTCAAAGAAGAAGAGTGGACTTACGCAACATGGAGATACATGGGCTCGTCGCTTTCCTGGCCAGTGTTGTGCTCGATGAAGCCAGAGCCACGGCCCTTGATCTGGACACGACAGCGAGTTTCCTGCTGGATGTGTTTGACATAGGCACCGCCATGGCCGACAACTTGAGCACGGAGGTTGAAACCAGGGATGGGCTCGAGGTCGACGGGAATCTTTTCCTCAGGCCATTTACGCTAATACTGGTCAGTGTATTCGTGTGCCAAAGAGATACATCACCTTGTGCATCATTACCCTTCCATACTCATCACGCTCGACCTGTTCAGGCTCTCTGCGGCGGAAACGCCTCTCGTCAACAAGGTTGGGCAATTCCTGCTTCATGAGTTCATCGATTTTGGCCACGGCCTTCTCGAGGCCCTCCTTGGTAGTACTCGTGACATGGAGGTAGAGCGGGGGCGCCTGCGACTTCGTTAGGTAAGTGGTGGATAGGAACCAACGGAATGGGAAACTCACACCGGGCCGGGCCAGACTCTTATCGGGATAATACTCGCCGCGGGTTGTGACATCTTCACACCACTTAGTAAGATACCCTATAATCAATGAAAGCATGTTCAGTGGTAGAGCGTACCGGCGCCAGTCTCTTCTTTGATCTAGATGTCACACGGGTGAGGTCAGCAGATGCCAAACGGGGGATGCTGGGAACAGCAGCTATATGGCGGCAGTAAGTGAGCTTCTGCGCGCTTTCCACAAATAGTTCGCGACGAAGCTAAGTGTCAAAGAAAACAGGGGAACCTGCAAGAGAGTGGTGGGCTGAGGGGGTATGTGTGGGCATGTTCCTGGGAGTATCAGTAGGTTATGATCTGAAGTATTTACCATCTTCTGAGTAGAGCCCTTAGTGAGCGTGTAACGGTTCCTGAGATCGTTGACTTCGATATCCTTGATGTAGTCGCCATCTTGTTGGTAGACCTCGCCCGAGGTGCCACTGCCACTGGGGCCCGCAGAGGGGGACTTCACGGTAGCGGGGCTGGCGGTAGAGCGGATCGGCGGGACATCGACGTGTTGGATGCCCTTTCTGGCCTGGATTTGGGCGTTGATCTTCGCAGCAGCTGCTGCGGCGGCGGCAGCGGGATCTTTTCTTTCCGCGGTGGCAGGGCTGTTGCTGTCCTGGCGGCTCAGCGGGCTGCGGCTACGGCGAGCCTCGCTCTGGCGTGAGGAGGGCGATCGCGAGCGGCGGTCGAAGCGGGACTGGCGCTTGGGTTCGGGCTCGGTTTGATCGAAGCGCGAGCGCTTGCGACCTTCCTCGGGCATGGTGGCGGTCGGCGCAGTCGATTGTGGGGACTGAGGGGCGTGGCCACGACCTTGGACGCGGGATGAGGATATGGACAGAGCTGCGCGCACAAGGCGACAGAAGGCGACGAAATGCCCGGCGGTCGGGGCGGGAACTTCCGCGCCGAACCGCGACTCAGGTGCGGCGCCGGTGCGGATTTCCACCTGGCGTACGACAGACTACACTGCAAGCATTTATTCTCACGTTAGAAGTACAAAATCTGTACGGATGCTCCCGTGAAGATAGAAGTGGATGCGAGGCTTCCGGCAAGATTAGGAAGTAATGTGTAAATGTAGGGATGAAATGTCCTTTGACTCCTGCAGACAGCTGTTTCGCGAGGGGGAAGATCGGGTCACTTGGGAATTGCAGCAATCATATCAACAACAGCGGCTGTTGGAGATCTGGCCGGAAACTACAACACAAGGCTCACATGCACGACGGCACACAAGCTGCAGCTCCCTCGGATCTTGCGCTGCTAAGCGAGCCGCCGTCGTAGGCGGTCAGAGGGACCTGCGAGGCCGGCGGCGGTCGGCAACCACTAATGGGGGCCGCGATGCCGAAATCGCTCGCTTTCAATTGGAAAATAGCTGCCCTGTGATTCATTCCTCCGCACTCAACATCTTGCGGCTCCCGCCTCCTCCTCAGCGCTCTCCGCAACCCCAGATCTCCAGCTGAGGGGTGAAATCAGAGCCACAATGGCCTCCCGGCGAGCATTGAATGCTCTGCCTCTGCGCTCTGCGCTCCGCAAGCCCCAGCCTGCCATCGCGACGCCTGCCGTCCGCCCGCGTCACCAGCCGACCAGCTCCTCGTCCACCCAGGCCCTCGCCTACAAGGCCCTGCATCGTCGCATCGCCCCGCTGCCCACCAGCGACGCTCCTCCTTCGTGGTCCGCCCCGGCCGCCGTCAGCAGCATCCTCTACGAGACGCCGCTGCCGTCGCAGGCTCCGCCGAAGCGCCATGTGCTGAACTGCCTGGTCCAGAACGAGCCCGGTGTGCTGTCGCGCGTGTCGGGCATTCTCGCCGCCCGCGGCTTCAACATCGACAGCCTGGTCGTCTGCAATACCGAGGTCCCGGACCTGTCGCGCATGACCATTGTGCTGCAGGGCCAGGACGGCGTCGTCGAGCAGGCCCGCCGCCAGCTCGAGGACCTCGTGCCTGTCTGGGCCGTGCTCGACTACACCCAGGCTCCGCTCGTCCAGCGTGAGCTGCTCCTGGCCAAGGTCTCCATCCTTGGCCCGGAGTACTTCGAGGAGCTCATGCAGCACCACCGTGAGATGGTTGACTCGCCCGGTTACATCCAGGACGGCGAGGCGCTGTCCGACGCCGACAGGCTCGACAAGGAGCGTGCCGCTGAGCAAGCCGCCACCGAGTCTCTCAAGAGGGACTTCCACCCCAGCAAGCTCGCTGCCAGTCAGGCTCTGAGGCACAAGCACGAGCACTTGGAGGCCATCACCCACCTGACTCACCAATTCGGCGGCAAGGTGCTTGACATTAGCACCAACAACTGCATTGTTGAAGTCTCGGCCAAGCCTGTCAGGATTGACTCATTCATGAAGCTCGTTGCTCCTTTCGGTATCCTGGAATCCGCGAGGACTGGTAAGTTTCTAGTTATGACTCAGAGGTGTGATTCATTGTTAACAGCTTATCAGGTCTCATGGCGCTGCCCCGCTCGCCCCTTGCCGGAGCCGATGAGGCACAGGAGAAGGAGATTGAGGACGTTGTTGACCAGAGCATGCTTCCTCCCGGATAAGCTAGAAACAAGGGATGTGTTAATAAAAATTCAAAGGAGTTGGCTGAGCTTTTTTTTGTCATCTTGGAGCTGTACAAAGTATTGCGGAATTACGGTCTATCAAACGATTATCGTGCCTTTAAGTCTATTTCAAAATGAAGCCAGTTGAGAAATTTTTTGGCCAAGAACTCCGAATGAGCACAAAAGCCATACGTTTTAACGCTACGCTGTCGCCCTCTCCCAGTCATGAAAAACGTCGTCCACTTATGCAGACTTGATGGTACCCTTGTTCACGACGAAAGCCTCAAGAGCAGAAATTGCGGCCCACAGCCTGTTTTCAGCCTCCGGGAAAACCAGCGACCTGGGGCCGTAGAAGACCTCATCACTGACTTCCTCGGGGTGTCGCGGCAGACAGTGCATGAACTTCCATCCTTCGTTCGCTCCACCCCTCTTGGCGAGCTCAGAGGTTATTTGGAAGCCCTCGAAGGCCTTCAGCCTCTTGACCTTCTCCTCCTCCTGGCCCATTGAGATCCAAGTGTCTGTGACGAGGATGTCTGCGTTCTTAACCGCCTCCTCCGGCACCGTCGTCTCGAACAGCTTACCGCCGTTCGGCGCGCTCGCAGCCGCATCCGCGATGACTTGGCGCATGTTCGCGGGAATCTCGTAGCCCTTGGGAGTGGCAACGGCGACATCAACACCCAACTTCGCAGCGCCGATGGCCAGATCGAACAGCACGTTGTTGGCATCGCCGACCCAGGCGATCTTCTTACCCTCAAGACCCAGAGTGGAGGCGGTCGAGGGGAAGGCTTCATGGATGGTCAAGAAGTCGGCGATGGTCTGCAGCGGGTGGGCGATATCGCAGAGGGCGTTGATGACAGGGACGGAGCTGTGCTTGGCGAGCTCGGTGACGTCCGAGTTCTTGTTCACACGGGCGACGATGCACGAAACCATGCTGGAAATCACGACGGAGGTATCGTAAAGCGACTCGTTGACCTGGAATGGAATCGTGTGAGCGGAGGGATAACTTCAACAAAGGGGGTGGATGGGGGTGCGCACGCCCAATTGGATATCGTCTTTGCCCAGGAACATAGGCTGGCCGCCCAAGGCAGTGACAGCGCCCTCGGTAGACACTCTGGTGCGGGTGCTGCGCTTGCTGAAGGTCATGGCGACCGTCTTGCCAGACAGAGTGCCCAGCAATTTGTTGGAGCCGGATTTGATGGATTGTTTATGCGAGTGCGCATTGCGGACGAGAGTCACAAACTCTTGGGGAGTCAGGTCGGCAATAGACAGCAGGTGTCGTGGTGCGGCGGCCGAGGCGGGGGAGGAGTAGAAGCGCGCGGGAGCTCTAGTCAAGCTCCGCAGAGCGGAAGGCTGGGGGCGGAAAAGAGGCATTGCGCAAGAAGGACAAAGAGCGAGTTCGATTGACAGTGAGAAAGAGGTTGGGTATCTCGGAGCAAAGCAGAGTGCAGGTACGAGACGAACAAATAATGCAGCAATGGATGGTGACTCGTTCGAGCTGTGCGCTCGGACTGCATTTTTTAGCGCAGCTAAGCTCCAAGGGTGCTAAGGTACCCCAGCTCCAACGAGCCTCTTCTGATTGGTACATGGCGGGGTAGGCGCATCCGCGACCGTCAATGCACTGCCATCCTCGCGTCACTACCTCAGCAGCTCTCCTGTTTCACGCAACTCGCGCTCCCTGAACTCTTTTTCCACGCGCCGGAAGATGCGTTAAAGAAAAACCGACATTCTACTGCCATCCCACCCTCAAATACCAGCCATGGCCGACACTCCGTGGGGCTCAACCGCCACCCCGAGCCCCCGCCCAGCTTCCACCAAGTCCGCACAGTCTACCCGCTCCTCCCGCGAACCCCGTCCCGAAGACCATGACGACGACCTGGAGTTCACCGAGGACACGCCTCTCCTGGCCGGCGAGGACAACAACAACGTCGACGACGACGATGACACCGAGTCTCGCTCCCAGGCCGCTTTTTCGCTGTTGAGCTGTCTCCGCCGCAGCTCCACCACGTCATCTGATGCTGCCAAGAAAGGCCACCGCTGGCCCAGCCTGGTGGCGCTGTTGATATTATGTATCGCCGTCGTTACTATCATGGTCCTGGGCTTCTTCGCCCCTGCCGCAGTCGAAGAATACGCGAACGAGGCCGTCGATGTCAAGCCCACTGGTCTGAGCTTCGAGTCGGTTAAGTCGGATGGCGTCTCGGTCAGGGTCCAGGCGGATTTTACCATGGATGCTTCGCGGGTACACAAGAAGTCGGTCCGTGACTTCGGACGCTTTAGCACCTGGATTGCAAGGGAAATCGAGAGTGGAGAGACTCTCGTCGAGGTCGTGCTGCCCGATTACAGTGACAAGGTCGTTGGCAGTGCCGTCATTCCGCCTGTCAAGGTCAGCCTTCGGAATGGTCACACCACTCACATCGACTTCATTGCCGATCTCCACCCCGGCTCGTTTTCGAGTATCAGAGATGTTGCAAACGACTGGATGAGGGGTCGCCTGGGGAAGCTCAAGGTCAAGGGCAAGGCAAACGTGCCTCTCAAATCAGGCATCTTCCCGCTAGGTACCCAGGTCATTGAGGAGATCATGGAGTTTGAAGGTATGGCCCTCCCCTGGATTTCTAGCATTGCACGGTGGGAGGCTGATGACAGGATAACCCGCTAACAGTATCACTGACACAGGCCATTCGCTCCCTGCTGTTCCCGCTTATAGGATAGCCAAGCTCAACGTCCATGAGGTGGGCCTGCCTCATGGTCACAGGGGTCTCGAAGCAAACACTAGCATTGTAGTCAATAACGATTATCCCCTCAGACTCACCGTCCCTCCTCTTGGCTTTGGCATCTTGGTTGGAGGCTGCTTGCCCTCAGACCCTTATATCATGGTCGCCGATGCAAGGACCCAGGAGCTTCATATCGAACCTTTCGAGGACATCGAGATCGACGCGGCCGGCTGGATCAGGAGGCTGCCTGATGCTCTGATGGCGGCATGCCCTGATTCCAAGCAAACGCCATTAGACATTCTGCTCGGCGACTTCATCCACGGGCGTGATGCCCGCGTCTACGTCCGTGGATCCGACTCCCCCTCGGTCGATACGCCAAAATGGTTGACTGATCTCATGTCCGACATCACTGTCCCCGTGCCGTTCCCTGGCCGCCTGCCCGACAATCTGCTGAAGAACTTTTCCCTGACTGATGTCCAATTCCACCTTCCTGGCTTCTTTGCCGAACCCGACACTCCCGAAGCCCAGCCAAGGATCGACGCCAAGATCAAAGCTCTCGTCGGACTCCCTGATGAAATCAATTTCCCCGTCAATGTCGACAAAGTGCGCGCTGATGCAGACATCTTCTACGAGGGGAAGAAGCTCGGTAACCTTGACCTCAGCAAATGGCAACCTGCCAACTCCACCCGCATCGATTCCAAAGACAAGGACAAAGCAGGCCTTTTGGTCGAGGCCGCCGTCAGAGATGCACCTGTGAATATCACCGACCAAGCCGTGTTCTCTGAAGTTGTTCAAGCGTTGTTGTTTGGTAGCAAGAGTCTGAGTCTAAGCGTTAAGGCGGAGGTAGACGTCGAAATGGCCACGTCCTTGGGCACTCTCAAAGTGCGCAAGATACCTGCCGAGGGCGTCGTACCAGTTAAACGTGGGTAGTTTTCTGTTCTCTTCTCTCAACATGATGTCATAGCCCTGTATAATGTCACTTCGTCTTGTATTCTTAAGTACCGAGACTTTCTCGGCACGAGGAGTATGCTAACTCGTCTTCGGTGATGAAGCAATCGGATCCGGTGACGGATCTGGCAGCGGAACAGGCGAAATGTTCAAGCGCGTTGCGCCCAAGTTCGGAAACTTGAAGATCTTGGACACGGGTGCCAGCTCGATCAAGTTTCAGGCTGAGGTCAACTTCACGAATCCAACAAACTACTCGGCTACCGTACCGTACGCGAATATCAACATCCTCACGAACGGCACCGCCTTGGGCCAGGTCACGGCGGAAAACTTGACCGTCGTCCCGGGAAACAACACGGGGGTCTTGGTGGAGGCAGTGTGGGACCCGTTGAAGATGAGTGGAGAAAAGGGGAGGATCGTGGGCAGGGATCTTCTCTCGCAGTATCTTTCCGGTACGTGGTGCCAGTGGTATGAGGGAAAGCAGTGGGCCACTTAGGGGCTGACTCGTGGCTTACAGGATTCAACACCTCGTTGACGTTGAAGACGCACAAGAACACCATCCCGTCGCAGCCGGCGCTCGGTGAAATGCTTTCAAAGCTGGAACTTAGCCTACCGACGCCAAATTTGAGGCACGGTGATGACGGCGAGGATGGTGATAAACCAAGATTCATCAAGGAAGCTACGGTAGGTTCAAGACTCCACACTTTCCCACGTTCCAAAACCAAGAGGCCATTCCCACCTGTCCACCATGGAGCTTCCGCTGATATTGTCCTCGCGTAGATGCACATCCTCTCGTCCACCGCCATCTTCACTCTCTCTTCCCCGCTCCGCGAGTCCACCATCTATATAACCCACCTCAACGCCACCGCCCGCTACCACGGTGAGCCCGCCGGACACATCCTGTATGAACTTCCTTTCGCCGTACCGCCGGGACTTTCCCAAACGCCCCGTCTCCCAGTCGACTGGTCGCTTGGCAGCGTCGGTTACGACGCCATCAAGAAGGCCCTTGGCGGCGAGCTAAAGCTGAACGCCAGTGCAACCGTTGGAATCAAGCTGGGTAGGTGGGAGGAAAGAATTTGGTTTGTTGGCGGTGGAATCGGCGCGCACGTGAGACTGTGAATGGGGGGGGAGTTTGGGTCAGATTGCTAGTCTTTGGGGATCATTCCCTCAGGTGTTCTATGGGGTTTGGGGGCTTCTCTTGGCTTTTTCTTTGATGGCGCTCTGGAACGGAGTTTCTGGCTGGGCCGTGGGCTTGGCTCTCCTTGATCCTGTATTCTTTGAGGCGGGTCGAATGGTCGAGATTGTACACACATGGTTATGAATTATGTACATAGTGCGTCCCATTCTTCAATCGACAGGAATGGAGGAGGTTCGCTGGAAGACCTCCATGTTCAAATCATGCATTCAAGTCTCAAATAGATCGCAAAGCACACATATCTTGCACTTTCAGATGAAACCCCCACGAGAGTGATCCTTATTTAGAGTAGTAGGGATATCCCCCGAATGGTATCATATTCACACAACATTTGGCCATGCATCTGTGTTCAGGCTGGCACTTTGACTTTCCGCTTCGTCACTGTCAGTAGCGTCTGTCCACTTTGTGGGAGGTTTCCAATATCGATACCCTCCCATCTATCGTTCGTGCCGACAGACTAGACAGTCTCTGCTACACTCACTGAAATATACTCACCTGCAGCCACATCTGGGAAGGCTCGAAACAGAAATAAAGAGCTCTTGAAAGCTCGACAGACCTGCCAACAAAGTCTTGTAGGGGTTAGTTGCCTCGACTAAGTCGAGGGTGCCTTTCAAAGTAATTTCGCGGTGTTTTCGGCCAATGGCTTCAACTTCAACATCCACCATCCAGCTCTTTCCTCGAAGAATCGTAAGCTGGACCTCGGCGTGGAATCAAGTAGATCATTCCGGTCTATTCAACTACGGTTAAGCTAACCTACGTTGTGGAAGTATGCTCACGAATCAGTTCCTGTACAGGCCCCCATTACGATGCAGCAGTCGGCAAGGGTGGCAAATCCTGGAACAGATTTCCACACTAGCCCAAACACGGGCGATTGTAAGGTTCAGCAAAAATAGCAAGCACCAAAATGTAAATTGATTTACAGTTGTTCTTCATCCCAGCATGAATTGCATCAGTGGCTTGAATGGCATCCCAGCTACTCGCATGCCCAGGCTTTCTTCACGTCCTATCAGCAACCTGTAATGGGGCGGAATGAGCTCAACCTCCAGGTTCTTTTCCTTTTCCATGCATGCAAGCTTGGTCAAAAAGTGAGAGTTGGTGGGACGGGTGGCTGCAGTAAGGCGGGCAATGGCAGCGCGGAAGCGGAAGCAGGCAAAAACGGTGGGCAGATAGCAGCGGGAAACGCCGACGAGCAACGCTGCTATATCACCCGCCGTTATGCGTTTCCCCGTCCCATGTGTTGAACAACGGATGCGTGACCTAAGTCTGCACGACCAACCCTGCATGAGGGAGCTGTCCAAGCTGCATCTTTGCGTAACTTTTGTCATTGTGCATCTGTTAGTGTACCTGGCAGATCTTGGGGCCGAGGAATGTCTGCCCAACAGTGCCACCAGGGCAGAAGATCTCTCCGAGACAGCAGCTCAGAGATGTGAGATCTGCTACAGCTGACCTACACAGCCATCCACGGAGCCGGGATAATCCCTGAGCACACCACAAGCTTCCCAACCTTGTTCGAACGCTCACGCAGTCGGGTTGCGGCAGGGTCGGCTGGTCATGGCCCGTCGCACAGCAGACGACCCTGTTGGAAGATCAACGGTCGGGGCCCCCACTTTTCCAACCACCTCACTTCGTCGTTTCCCTTGAATTCTACGCAGAAAGCCTGTTCCTGTTTTCCTCCCCTGTCCAGCTCGGACTCAGGCACGCAGCCGCCATCCTTTGCCGGTCCCCCGCTCGACCGTTGTCCCTGCTTTACCTCGGCCGGCGACATCCATCATCTTCACCGCTTGACGTTGCTGTCATACAGAATCGACGAGCAAACGATCCGCCGCGCTATTCCGTCGAGCTGACGGGCGACGATGATGTTGCCAGCTTGCCGCGCCGCACCGCACTAAGCCTGTCCGAGTAAACGCAGAACAACACCTCCCCACATAGCCGCCTGCCTCGCCTCGCCTTACGCCCTGCTTTCTCGTTCCCCTGCGCACAGCACTAGCCTGCTCTTACCCTATCGTACCAAGCCTGTTCTCTTGTTTGTGCCCTGCTTCAGAACTTGTTTGCATCCCCCCGGCAGCAATGTGGGGCCTTGCAGGCTACAATGCCCGCGCTAACGCAATTTTACCTCAGCTCTTACCTAGCTGCGATAGGTAGGTAGGTTTGTAGGAACGAAAAACCGCTCATCACTCCACACCTACAATAAAGGTGGACCCACTTTCTTCTCGGCACGCCCGGGGGGAAGTAGGGAAGATGGGGGGGATAAAGATGACAAGGAAACTGCCATTGGGCGCCAGCGTAAAGCCGTGTCTGGCGCTAGTGAGTGAAACCGCCCCGTCCCCGTCTTTTTGTGGGCTATTGCGTTAGAACACACGTGCACACGCGTGCGCTTCTGCCGCTGGGGCTGAGACTGAGAGGGTCCAGACAGGCGGTTCAGCAGCAGGTCATAATAAGCACTTTATCGATCGGACCATGATGGACCAGTTAGCCTCTTTCATCCCTAGACGAAACTATCTCATCGCACCATTTGTCCTTGGCTCATCAGGCGCCCGATATACACTGACAGTGCCTATATCGCCTCTCAACAGACTGGCCCGCGGAGATCGAGTGGCGGGGATCGCCCCTGTACCTATCTTCGCAGATGACCTAGTACTACTTCGTCGCCTATCTTCCACCCCTCGCCCAATCACCCCGCTACCTATAACAATCTACAGGTGTGATCTACGCCTCTCGCCTCGTTTGCTTTCCTACTTTCGATCTCTAGTGCCCGACTATTTTAGAGCGGCCGCATCACTACCAAAACAGTAAGAGACTACGTAGAGAGTTTGGAGTATTATGTCCAAATCCTACAGGCTGTCCACGTACAAAAAGCACACGTATGCGTTCGCGACAGGAGTGACTTCATTGTATAAGCAAAGCTCGATATAATGGACAAATCCTTTTTAAAGCGGGTCTACGTCCTAAAAGACCGGCATTGTCCAAAACAAAAGTAGACCGGCATCGTGGAATAGTTGTGGGACATTCTCAGTTTTCTTTTATTAGATTTTCACACGAGTGATTGAAAGTCCTGCAAGAATTGCACACAGTGACAAATAAATGTTTGTGCAGCTGGCTGATTTATAACACCATGCATTAAATAACTAATGAGCGTCTCGAACCGAGAGCCGCTGTTCACGGTGCCGTTAAAAGGAACATATGGAGAGCCCTTGTAGCAAACCTAGCCTAGAAATCAGCTAGACTAGATGCTAACACCTACATTACTGTGGGCGAGTGATGAGGTACAAAAAAGTCACGGGTAGGCTTGATGTAAAGCCTAACTCGAAGCACGTAACTCTTCAATATCAGCAGACCAGGGCACTGACTTTAACTACGTCTGAACAGAATGAAACTTTGACGAAGCATGATGGAATATTTCTGTAGCTTTAGCTCTGTATCAAGCGCTGACGTCTGGGTATTACTGGATACTCTATCGTCCTTTCGTGGTAAAACTTATTTACTAAAATATTACTATGGATAGATTTAAACGTAATTTGATTACAACTACTGAACGGGGAAGGCTAATGGCAGCCTAGACATTTACGCTCTATCACGAAGATGCTGTTATAAGCTTGTGTTACCGAACACAGTTTGGTAACAGACCACGCCTGAATGATCGCTAAGCGCGTTCATTCCAGGACCTCTTTTGCACTCGGGAGGGCCCGTACTGATAGCGTGGTGCGGTGGGTTAAGCTAACTCTTAACAGATGCACTCCCGAAAATCATCATTACGCCCGCACAGGTATGAAAGTAGAAAGAAGGGCTCGAGATGGATCGCGACTTTCAAAACCTTCATGACACACCTACGAACAATGCCCGTACTCTATGGGAGAAGAGTCTCACTCGGTGATCTGTTCTTCTCATCTTCTCTTGATATTGCCAACTGTTTTGCCCGAATCATAGATAACCAATGATCGAGAGGCACTGTAAATTACAGCTACTGGGCTCTTATCGTAGTCGTTCCGTTCATCTAGTAGGGAACAGGTTGTGGCAAGAAAGGGGAAGCAGTGACTCTTCGAACCTAGACACATTTGCAACATACACTTATAAGGAAAGTATAGTTAAAAGCTAGAGACCTACCTGTTTAGTTGCCGATCTATTAGGATAATCTGGCTCTGTGTGCACGGATTATGTTCGTTCTATAGGGAGTGGAATGATCGACATTTAAGACGGGCTTACAGACCTGCCGGCTGTATATTTGTAGAGTATTATATCCTTTCTTGCTTCACAAAAAGATCGTACTCATCCTTTGTAAGATGTTGGAAGAGAAACTCTGAAGGAGACTGTAGTGAGCTTAATGTGACGCCGATCTTGGTCGACTGGAGATCCCGAGGGCACAACATTTCACTGCACGATCGAGATGAAGCAAGAATGACGACCATTGCTGACGCGGACCGGTCACAACGGTTACCGTAAACTCCGCAGCTTGATCGAGACTACGGCGGTGGCTGCGGCGGCAGATCATAAACGGTTTGCGGTTCTGGATTCATATATCTGCGACATGAACCGCTCCAGTCTTCCTCTTTGGACACGACGAGGGTTCTGTTTTCCTTTTCCGCGCGCCACTGGTGAGTGGAGATGAACAGAGGGTCCGGCGAGTCGTTTACCGAGAGTGACGATGGAAGACGGAAAATAGCTAGCTCCGCACCGTTCGTTCCTGGCTTGGCCCGGACTTGGCGGATTGCTGAAGCTTTTTCATAGTGGAGTTGGCCGCAGATGCACCGAGACGGTCATGTTTCTGCGCTGGCCGCCCAAATCGCCGAGGATGATACGCAGACAGGCCAAGCAGCACACAGCAAGGGTCAGATAAATCTGAAGCAAAAATGAGGCTGCAAGCTTTATTGTTGTTGACGCCATTGGGCCGTAGCCTGCACGCCGCGTCATGGTTTCGTTGCTTGGCGGACTACCTCTCATATGCTGTAGTATTGCTAGGTAAACAGATTGATAACGGATTGGTCTCACAAAAGGCCGAGGTCCACTAGCATGTAGTAATGGCAGAACACCAAGTGGCGCCGGAGTTAAGGCACGGGTGCTGGCGCCGAGTCAGGCCATTATTGGCAAGAGCTTGGAGGAGAGTCTGGGTCAGCGCAGGGGCCTTGAGCCTCCGGAGTCCCGGGGCCAATTGAGGCGTGTTTGATCGTCCCTCTTTGGCTTTGGCGAGCGAGTAGCTGCATCGGGCAAACGGGCGTTGGAAAGGTCTGGACGGACGGGGGCGCGCATCGTCATCAGCGCGCTCCTGCTGCGCCTCCTACGGCACGGAGATTGGCATGGTCGTCGTCGACCACCGAGCGCCGACCGCGCCCTAAGGACAGGAGGAACACCCGGGGAAGCGGCTGCCCAGTGATGGGTATACCGCGGCAAGCCACCGAGAACACATGCGAACGCACGGCGCAGGCTCCATCGGTGTCTACTCCGCAGTAGCCCGAATCGGCAACATGCAGCCGATCAGGCCGTGGGTGGTGATGAGGATTGACTGACAGCGTCGACAGCCACGAGGTGGCCTGAGGAAGCTGCTTCATGCGGGCGAACGGTGAGAGCTTTTCGTCGCTGCTCTGTGCGCTTCCCGTGAAGGTTGGTAGCGCGAACCAGGGCCCGCGCTAAGCAGTCGGTTCCTGGCTCTCTGCTCGCAAGGCCAACCCACAACCCCGCCTGATACAGCTGTATCGACGGCCGCTTTTCTTCTGCCCGCCTCGCAAGGGGCCGGTACCACAATGGGGAAAGCCGCCGGTTCCTGGCGTGCATGCTGCGTGCCGCCAAGTCCGAAACCGTCTCTCCACCCTTGATGGCATCCAGCACGCTGGGTGTTGCTCGTGGAACCCAGCCCTCGTATCCAGCCCTGCGAGCCGCCGCCGGGATTGTTGTTCTTTTTCTGCCTGTTGCACCGGTAGCTGCCAACCTTCCTTTTCTCAGCCTCGCACCGCATACACGTTAATGCACCAGAGAGCATCTTTCCACGTCCCTCCACCTAAAGGGCAACCGCTGCCCGGACGCGCGGGTCGAAAAGCTGGTCGTTACACGAGGAAAATACCGTTGTCTGGAATGTGTCGCAGCGCTTCTTTTTTTGCTCGTCGCCGGCACGCACGTACGCGCGCACACTGCTGCTGCGGTGCGTGCCCGCTGTCGTCATTGCGAGTGATCTGCTGCCCCCCCTTGCGCTCTCGGCTCTTAGCATTGCGGAGGCAGTGCAAAAGAGATGAGCTGGAACGGAGCGGCTGGCAGGACTGGGAAGCAAAGCCTGGAGAGGATACGAAAGTGTAGCGATAGTGGTACCTGCTATCGAGGGGCCTTGCGTCTATGCTGTGGCAGTGCTCGTACCTCGAAATTTCGTCGACTACGCGCGCCGACGGCCGCCGCGAAAGGGCAGCGAGCGTGAAACGTCGTCAGGTTGTGTTTTGGCGCGGGCCGATGATGGTTGGAACGACGAGCCTGAAAACGCCTAAGATTCGCGACACGGCGCACGGCCGATCTGCGTCTAGCGGGCCCAGGCCCAGCTGGCGCTTGCCCTGTCGTATTCCGTCTGCCGCTGCTGCACCACCTCTCTTGTCGCCAGCCCTGCGCTGCCTTGTGTGCGCGCTGCTGCCAATTGCCGCCGCCGCGCGCCACACGACTGCTCCGCGTCTTGCCGTCACTCTCTCCACCACAACGCACGGAGCCTGCCCACGACTCAGGCCTCTCCGAGCCCTACGGGCCCAACAAGGGCCCCCGTTTCCTGAGAGCAAATGACACCAGCCCCTCGCTCTCCTCCCCTCCTACGTCCTAGCCCCTCCTGCTGCCTGTCGGAACATCCGACACTCTCACTGCCCGCCCTCTATACTACCGTTACTGCTTGCTAAACCGATCTCCCCGAACTTTCCCGCCGTTGTCGTATCGCAAGCGCCCTCACCCCTCTCTCGACCCCCTGCGCTCCCCGGCCACAGCCCTGCCCAACTCCACTCCCTACCACCCTCCCCACCTTGCTGTTTTCGAACACACCCCCTCCACGAAATTACTCAGGGTGCACATCGCCCGGGCACCCAAGTTGCGCCATCGGCATGCCCCGTAAATCCGATCCGAAAGAGAAGAAGATAGAGTTACGCTGTAGGATCCTTTCGTTTTACCGCCCCCGCCCTCTCTCTTTAAATCGTCGGCCGAAGGGCAAGCAAAACAGTCATCCAATAATCAAAAGACTAATGCAAGCCTTGTTTGAATAGTCAGCCAACTATCCGCGCGTTCGTTTCCTTGTTCGTACTCGCTTCTCCATGGAAAACGCCCGTTTCCCTTTTGACAAACCCGGAGAGTAGCCTATTCGATAAGGCAATGAAGCGTAGGCGCCCAAGTCGCTCTCCTAGCAACACTTGCTCGCGGTTGGTCGATCTCTGTATACTTGTATTCTTTCGTGCCAGCTGCCATATAGTTGATCAACAGGAAAAACCACCAACACGAACGGCCCGCCCGGGTTAGGGCTCGTTCTCTCTCTTCGATGCCTGCCCTACGCACGCTCCTTACCCCCTCCTCCACTATGTGGGTACTGTAACACCCTACTATATAGCCCTATCGTATTTGCTCTCTCGCATTGCTACTCCTCTCCCCCCACCACACTCTCCGCCATATTGACGTAATGTTCATGTTGTGAAGAGAGCCCTGTGCGCTGCCGGCTAGACGGCTGAACGGCGGCTCTGCTTTTCACGCCATGGATTTCGTCACCTTGAACTATGTACTGGTTTTCGTGTGGGCCGCTGGCGGCGCTTGGGAGGTAAATGAGTGAATAATACGGCCGACCGGCAGGACCTGCTTCGTTCAAAAAAGGCGCGCAAAGCCCACCAGATGATCCAGGGTCCTTATTTTTTTTTCCGCGGCCCCATAATGACTTGCTCGTGTGGGAGCTTTGCCGAGAAGTAAGAGGCGAAAGGGTGGGAAAGAGGGTTGTAAGGGTTAGGCAAAGTTGCTGCGGGAAGGGGGGAAATAGGAAGGTACTGGCCGTCGCGTCTGGGGGGGAAGCTAAGATGTACCGTAAATACAATATAGTACTAAAGAGACATTCCTGAGAGTACGTAGCAGGGGTGCGTGTTGGAGTGTTGTATCTGTATGTGTCGACACGATTCAGTTGCGCAATATAATAAGCTTTCGGGCCGACTACTGTCGTGCCTGTCCGATGTGGTGGACAACATTAGCTGTGTAAAACAGTGAAGCACGTAGTGTTTTGGTGGTCAGAAGTCACTCTCTGCGGGTACTGTGCAACCTGCTGCCTCAATCGCCAAGCATTATTTCCCCACCCCTCGCTGCCCCAGGTCTGTGGGTAAATACGATATCTTGTTGGTTTCAACTGTTACAACAAGGCGCTCATGGTCCTATATGTGGGGAAAGGCTCGTATGGACGTTGGTGGTCATGCGCGGTTTCGTGCCCGTGGTTATGCCAGCCCTGGCCCAGCTGACACGGATTGCTATGTTTACTTCATGATGGGCATTGCATGCTTCTCTGATCGATCTGCATGTGCAATCGTGGATGGATGGCGCGGCTGTAGGGTCCCGTACATACATACATATGCTTGCACGTCTATTATTGCATGGCTTGCTGCTTTGCTTTTTTTGTCCACCGGTTCGCCTGCCAGGGCGGACCGGAGCAGGTGCCGCGCGTTGATGTGGGTGTGATTGGGCCTGGTCCTGGCAAGGGTATCAGCATATGAGGGGGGAGAGCCAACATGTGGGCAGGCGATGGCGCGCGAAGCGGCGGTTGACAGGCGATGCAGCTAGCCAAGCTGGCTTCGAGCTTATGCGCATGCAGAGCGCAGGAGTTCCAACCCTTTTGACACCCTCGTAGCCTCAAGACGAGAGCGAGAGCACCCTCACAGCCTTGTAGTGGGGGAGCACATGGCCTGTCTGGCTGCCATGCTTTTCGTCGCCGTTAAACTATCTAAGCGACCTTTTCCCTACTGCACCCCGTCGATCGCCCAGCCCGGGCTCGCTGACGGGCAGACGTCAGGCTAATCCACGTCCGCATCCGGCGGAGCATGCGCCGGCTATCGTCGCCCCCAACCTGCCTCGCCGCAATGCGCCGCAGCATCTGCAACATGCAGTCGTCATAACCTTCCTGCGAACGTCCGCTCGTTGCTACGTGACTACAAATTGCCCATCCCAGGAGCCCTACCTGCAACCGCTGCGCCAGCTTCAGGCCCTATCGGGCCGCCGCCGCCGCCTCTTCCTCCTCCTACGCCGGGCGGTCTCCTGATGCTCGCCAGCTGTTCCGCGTTCCCCGCGCGCTTGCGCACCTCATCGATTCGCCCTTTGGACAGACTAATGGCGGGGACGACCCAGTCGCCGCAGTTGCACCGCATGCCCTGCCAGGCGTACTTGCCCACGTTAGTCTTGCACTTCGGGCACTCGAACCGCCCGTCGAGCTTGCCCTGCTCGAGCTCGGGCCTCATCCACGACAGGGGATCGATAAAGTAGTGCGAGCAATTCGAGGCGTCCAACTTCTGCTGACCGGCCTCGTTCGTTGACGCAGGGTGGCTGTTGATGAACGCCGACGTTGCTAGCGGACGTCTATAACACGGATCAGCGTCAGTCAGCTGTCAAACGGCGCACGGTGGAGCAGACGGCGCCATCTCCACCAAAAACGAAGATGAATAGGGAAGCGTCTGTTCGAGCTATGCAGCGCTGCTCACAGTACGGAATAGGCCGTGTGGGCAGTGGGAACGGGCAGTCTGCTCTGTCCGTGCGAAGATGCACTCCAGGCCGGATCGGCGCCTTGGGGCTACACCGAAGCGGATCCATCTCGCTTCCTGATGCATTCGGTCTCCTAGGGCACGAGGTGGGGAGGCCAGCGCATTCGCTGCGACACTGCTCCCAGGAAACGGAAAATGGAGGATGACGGTGAGGAGAAGCGGACGTCGGGACCAAGGATTTCGGAAACAGAGCCGATGGAGATCGGCAGCACGAGCAGTGACGGTCCACCGTCAATCTCTGATGGGGGGTTTGTGCGTACCTGCATTTGCGGCATCTCAGCTCCAGCTCTGCCTGAGCCTCCGTGATATGCTCGTCCTCGAAGCGGATCTTCTCTGCCTCGGGCGCCTGGCCACAAGCGCGGCTCAGCTCGACCTCGCGCTGGTAAAGCCAGCGCTGATAGGCGGGCGATTCGTCGATGTTGTCGGGCATGTTCATGCTGTGGTAGATTTCCAGCTGCTTCATAAAGCCCTCGTTTGGCTCGCAAATCGGGCGGGCCAAGCGGATTTGCTCGAGGGCCTCAGCGGGCGACATGTGGTACTTGTGCATCAGGTAAGCTATGACCACTGTGGCCGAGCGGGACTTGCCCATAGCACTGCAGCATGTTGGTATGATGATGAGATGGAAACAAGGCCAGTCACGTGCGGAGCACAAGCGGCCATTGGCCCGGGAAGCGCGCGACAAATGCAAAAGGACGGGAAGGAGGCTTGCAAAGGGGAAAATGGTGGGAGACGCCACGCGGAGTGCAGACCGTTTGGTCGCCTCCTGTATGACGGAGCGGCGTTGCTTTTCGATAGAGGAGGCAAACGCGCCAAGCCACAGATCCGAGCAGGGAAAATGTGGGAGATGTGCATAATTCAGCTCGCCAAGGTTGACTTACCAGTGCACGAGGACGCCACCGCCAATGTCAAGGCCGTCCTGGATGAAACGGTTGGTCTGCGGGAAGTGCTCGAGCAGATTTTCATCCTCGACATCATCGACCTCGACGACGTGGTGCGCGTAAGGGCTGAACAGGTCCCTGTCGAGCGGCAGGCGAAGCACGGAGACGACATGGGTGATGTTCGCTTGGGCGAGAGCCTCGCGGCGGCGCAGGGTGAAGAGGCTGCGCGCGGCTCTGTCAGCTCTCCGCCGGGGCAGGCGCTAGGAGCGGGCTACGTACCCGCCAATGTAGAGGTTCAGGTCGCCGGGCACCTTGTCGAGCAGCGCCATGATGGGTTTGCAGAAGGGAGGGTGGTGCTACCTCGGGTAGCGGGTGGGCAAGCGAGGCGGGCGCGTCTGACAAAGCTGAAACCTCGCAGGGCTAGGGCTGGCGGTGGACTGGAAGCTGGGGAGAGATGCTACGCCGGCGGCCGTGCGGGCGATCTGTGAGTGGAGGCTGTTGTCACGGTCACGCTGGCCGCGGTCGACTCGGCAAGGCGCGCAGAGCCACAGCCCTATCCGTTGCGCCTGCGACGGCCAGGAAAATCCCTCCAGTAGCCGCATGGGGGCCGCGCGCGGCGCCGTCTGGAATGCCGCGCGCGCGCGCGTTGCGCTGGCGATGGCAGGACTTGACATCGCCGATCCGCACTGGATGCAACGCGCTGCAGATTGGGCCTAGGGGATGATCAGAGTGCTCCTCTCTCACCAGCGCTTGAGACATCGGGAGCAGCTGCGCGTGGCCTGAGAGTGGAGTATCGCCAGCACCCCAGCAGCCAGTACGAGCGATTGGCGCGCACCTGCGCCGGTCAGGGACCGTCAGCTCCGCGGGCTGCAGGCCGCCCTGCAACCAGGCCGGCGGGAGCGCTGCACTGCCGATGCGAAGGGTGCTGCGCGATGATGATGAGGTGCCCCTTTCGTGGCGGGCAGGCGTAGGGCCGAGGCTCGTTTGCGGCCTGGCGCGTTTTCTGGCGGTGGGGTGGAACGGCATGTGCCCGCGGGCCATAAGGCTGAGGCTGGCTGGCTAGTTAGGGGGAGTCCGAGCGAGTCGACCGCGCGCTGCCCTACGGCGGCGGTGTTACTCGCTCGGACCTGAGCAGCGGCTTACTGCGCCTCCGCGGTCCGTCGTAAGGCAGACGGGCAGTTGCAGGGAGCGCGCCGGCCCACTAAGACTCGCGCTCCATGTCGACTACTCGTCGCAACCGGGTCAATTCGCACTGTCCAGCTTGCACCGCACCGCACCGCACCGCACTGCACCCTCGCCGCTCGCTGAGCGCTGCTCCCCCAGCCGCAGCGCTGCCGTACCGACGCGCCCAATCACCCGCCAAGCACCCTGCACGCTCCTTCACACGCCCGCGCATGCTGGTGCAACCGCTTGCAATGCAATGATCGCCATCCAGCTCACTGACGGCTAAGCTCCTGGACTCAGCAGCGCCCCAGGTCACTCTGCAACTCAGCGCTGGCTCGCCGCTGCCGCCGGCGCACCCTCGTCTTCAGCCTGGCCCCCCAACCACTTACCGCATGCTGTAGGGCTGAGCGTTCCCGGCCGGCACCCGTGCTCCCAGTATCACGACACGATACGGCACCCAAGCAGCGCAGCCCCTCGCTCGCCGCCTGCCCAGACAAACCACCTCCACCTCCGCTCCTCTGCCTTTTCTCCACCATCCCTCCCCGACAGCTGCTCCTTGCCTCCCGCTCCCCTTCCTTCCCTCCCTTGGCAGCCCTGCCTGTGGCGTCCGCACGCCGGCCACTCAGCGCCGAAAAGCCCTCAGCAGCTGCCCGCCACTAATCCCCCGACTCAGCTGGTGGCGGCTCCCGCGTCGTCACCCCTAATGGATATGTCGCACGCAACAACGACGCCGGCGATACGAATATATGACTCCGGCACGCACCACTCCCATTTCGCCATCCCGCGCCGGTCGTCCTCGTATGCCTCTCCGACCGCTCTTCCCATGGCCATTCCCAATGCTCGAGACTCTCCGCCGCCGCCCTTGCCTCCGCCGCGTTACATCAGCGAATTGAGCGATGGACAGGATCCCGGGTGGCAGTGGGGCAATGGCCCGAATAGTTCGTCCTTCGGGAAGAATTCCTTTGGCTCGGTGAAGCCGGGCTCCAGTCTGCTGGGCGCTCAGGTGAAACGAGACCAGGCCTTAGAAGAGAGCGAGCGTGGCAGCTGGGCTCGCAGAGGAAGCTCGCTCTCAACGGTCAAGCCTCAAGACACAGACATGGCTGCCGACAGCCTGAGTCACCACAGCGACGAAGATCGCCCAGATCTCCCACGCCCGTCCATGGCAAACCACCGGTACGTACCCTCCTGCGCGCTCCCTGTCCTCGTTGCTAACCGCCGCCGTGCAGCCTCCAGAGCGAAAGACAACTCGGCCAGCGTTCGCTCGAAGACTCGTCGCAAGCGTACGATAAGCAGTTACTATCCAAGATCGGCGGCCCAAACACGCCGAGTCGCGGCCCAGGCACCGGCTTCCTCTCGACCAGCGCCCAAGAAACCTCGACCAGCCCGCACAACACACTAAGCAAGTTGAATGGCCAACTCAAGCCGCTTTCGATGCCGGACCGTCGCTTGAGCTCCGTCGACCTTTCTGCGTCGAACTGGCCGCCAAGTTCGGGGGCCATCTCGCCGGGGCAAACAGGATTCCGGAGTCCCATCTACGGACCGGGGTCAGGCGAGAACCCTGCGCAACGCCCCTACGGCAGTGTTTCAGGCCCCAGCGGATACGAAGACCCTCACTCTCACAGGGGCAGCTACGACCACACCGTTTTCTTGGAGCCTGATTTCGCCATGGAAGAGAACGGCATGCGGGATCTCAACTTGAATGATCGCAGTCCTGCCGGGTCGGACGAGTATCAGCTCAGCACCCACGGCGGCCTGAAGAGGCGCGCGTCCTCACCGCCCACTGAGGCTAACCGCGAAGACCGCCCCAGCGGCGGCAACGACCTCTACCATCGCCGATCGGCTCAGATGTTGGTCAATCGCAACTCACCCATCTCAAGGTTCCACGCCAATCACGGCTCGGTATCCTCCACTTCTTCCCTAGGACAGCGGAACGGGTCTCTAGGATCGTCCTACGGCCTTTCAATCGCCAGCAGCGCAACGAGCTACAACACGGATCGCCTGTCTCCCGGCGCGCTCTCCCCTTCGGTAGACGACTTTGGCCCGGTTTCGCCGTATTCCACAAACAGGTCGCTGAATCCCAGCCCACGTGGCTCTTTGTCCAAGGCGTCGCACCACCAGCGCGGATTGTCGGGCGAGGATGCCATGCAGGCTCGCAAACTGTCGGCTGACAGTTTAGCACACTCACGGCAGAACAGCGTGTCGAAGATCCAGGGCCTCTACATTTGCGAGTGCTGCCCGAAGAAGCCGAAGAAGTTTGATAGTGAAGAAGAACTACGGTACGTGATTTTTTAAAAGAAAAAATTCGACGGGGAGCGGTTTTATGCTAACGCACGGCAGGATGCACGAGATGGAAAAGCAGTACACATGCGCATACTGCCCGAACCGGTTCAAGAACAAGAACGAGGCGGAGCGACACCAGAACTCTCTGCACCTCCGGCGCCATTCATGGTCCTGTGCGGCGCTATCGGGAGTGCAAGCGGCCTTCCACCCGTCAACGGTGCACCCGACGGTGGCAGACGTATGCGGTTACTGCGGCGAGGAGTTCCCCAACCCCGCGGACTGGGACGTACGAGCAGAGCACCTGAATCACGTGCACAAGTTCGGTGAATGCAACCAGGCCAAGAAGTTCTTCCGCGCCGATCATTTCCGGCAGCATCTCAAACACAGCCACGCTGGCACGAGCGGAAAGTGGACCAACATGCTGGAGAACGCATGTATGAAGGACGAACCTCCGCCAAAGGAGCGACTGGGATCAGTGGGGTCGCTTCCGGGATCGACCATGGGTCCAGGCGGCACGCTGACTGCAGTAGCCGCCCCTAAGCCAGGCGTCATCAGTGAAGCGCGTGATGAGTCTTGAGCAGGCGTTACAGGGCGAGTTTGACTAGCGATTGCTGAGCGAGCATGATTGTCATCCAGCATTTTGGTCGCGGCGTCATTAGAACCATTCACATACCACATGGAGGAGGGCGTGGCCCGAGTCCGGGCACGCGGTTTTTGGTCGTCGGTTTGCAGCACATCTCCGTTTGGCATTGGTGGATAAAAGTACTTATTTCGAGGTTTCATTGTCAGTCCTCCTCACGGATCCTCCGACCGATGCAGGAGTCTATCTCGTACTTGGTGGTCTTCACGATGTCACGACGGCGTACGTGGGCGGCTTTCGGACTGTTGTTGGGAGGCCTTTCCTTTTTCTTTCCTATTTTGTTTTCCTGGCTGCGTAGCATCTGGCTTACTCGGACCACCAGGAGAGGCTCCAGAAGTGTTACTATACCACTCGGGCATCGTACACAGAACAGTCATCACGGTTTGATCATTTGTCTTGCACATTTTGGGTGTTTTTGGATGGTAAGGACGCACAGTAATTGGAGGGACGGAGTTGGGCAGATGGGATCTGCGCACAGCAGGAGATGGCGCCGTAATTAGCGCCAGATCGAGGGCGCCGGCCTTTTTCCCCGAGAGGAAAAAGCACAACACGCACACAAAGAAAGTTTCTGGGTTCATGTCCTTTGACTCGTGAGGTGATTCTGGCCGGATCAGGCGCGGAGACGAGAGGGCGGCTAGGGGCCGTGCGGACGCGCAACACTACGGCTAGTGATCTGCTCGGGCTATCCGGAAGCATATTTCAACTCCGCCTGGCTGGCCCCGGATGAAATGAAGGCAGGCCTGGGCGCGTCGGTTCGGCGAGTTCGGCCGGCAGCTGGGCCAGGGCATGTCCCGCTTCCGCGCGGCCACGAGGTTTCTAGGGGCTTTGGCGCGCTTCAGCACGGTTGGTGCCGTGCTGTTCGTGTCCGCTTCGGGGCGCGAGCCCGGCTACTTTTCCTGCGAGGTGCGGCTCTCCACCCCAGCGTGAAACCAGGCTCCCGCTGCCGCGCGCTTCTGGAGCGCGAGCAAGTTTCGAGTGCGCATGAAAGCCGCAAATTTATGTTTACCCCCTACACAGCTACATCTTTCCGCCCTAATCCGCCGACGGCCGGGGCGCCGCAAGCGAGACGACATCCAAAACTCGTGCTGACCCACGTATAGTGCGGCCTCCGTCCGATCACTTGCCCGATCTGCACACCTGCCAGGTACTACCTTCTATCGACCGACTTTACCACGATTGCGCGTGACGGCGACAGGCGGCCTCGTCATGCACAGGTAGCGGGAGCCTCACATCACGACGCTTACGTCAGGCTACCTTTTCGGACGCCTTTCCATGCCCTGCAACACTGCGTGGTTCCTCCGCATGCCCGCCGTCTCGTGGGGGTTCAGTGCTTCGACTCGCTCGGCTCCGTCCTGCGCCTCGAATCTCCGGCAGCATGAGCCCCTTTTGGGAGACGTCTAAGCATGGCCGTGGCGATCAGTCGCAACTTCTACCTCGAGGAAACTCCAGCCAAACGCATCTCATGAGCCCACGGCTTGGCAAGCCATGTCAGAACTCAGGTGGCGGCGCTACCGTACTAGCACCCAGCCAGGCACAGCAGCAGGGCTAGCATCTATCATCGCCGCTGCTGCTCGTCCCGCAGCTCCCGCAGCTGGCGCTACTGCCGCAGCATCTTGTCCATACCACATGCTGACCGCTCATCTCCGCCACGCCCTCCCTATCATCTGCTGGACCTCTGGGAGCACGCGTCCTGCCTCCACACGAGATCATTCTCACCACCCATCTGAGCCTGCAGTCCAACGCCAACGCTGACGCCTTCCTCTTGGCCGGGCCGACAGCCGACTACTTGTATCTCTCATGGCTTGCACATCCACGTCACACGCGAATCACAGGGCGTAATTAGGCTAGACACTAAGCTTTGGGGACTGAGGACTCCGCTCACACTTGTGATTCTTGGGTGCTGCGCGGCTTCCTGTCCAGTCTTACTGTGTATTCGCTGACGCTGCTTGAGATCACCCAGTGACGATGAATCCCTATACAGATACGCGGAATTAGAGAGCAGACGATGCATGCAGATGAGCACTGTGTGACGGCAGATCGGGCGTTTTATGTGCCTCTTACCGTGCGAGGTAAAAGAACTGGCCACAGCATGCGTCGTGCCCAGGACCATCTGGCCAGACGTCACCTGCTGAAGACAGTGACCATCCTCCCGTCACTTCTTGGCACTTAGGTATGCTCTCCTCACAAAGCTTCAGGGCCAGCAATGAGGCGTGCCATTCGGATCAGCATCCCAAAACCTGGATAGGCGAGCCGTTGGATCGACAACTAGTGTGCCATTGGAGACTTGGTGTCGAATCCTCAGAACCAATCACTCAGACACTATCTCACGGCTGTTCACTAGAACGTTTGACCTGCGATCCAGCGCTAAAACGCCGTATGTCAGACGGACGGGATGCGGGCTCTTTCCCTGCTGCCCTGCTGTTGATCACCGCCGCTACTGCACAGCGCCCGCTCCCAGCTATTTCATGCCTTGACAACTCTTTGCGCCGGATGTCTTCCGTCGGCCCCCGCCCGGATCTTCGGATCATGTTTTGGCGATGGCCTCATCGTTCCAACTCCAGTGTTTTGAAAGGGGAAAGAAAGAAAAAGTGTGGTCGATACAATGCTGGCACCGATTACTGCTCAATCGCACTGCATCATCGTCCCGCATATGTACAGCCTCATCCCGCACACAGTCATACTTCTAAAGCGTCCCGCAACGGCATGTGCCTTGCGTGTGACTCTGGTCATACGGCATGCTGGAATGAATTATCAATCTTGCCTCAGCAGCGAAGTGATTGAGACATCCGCCACAGCATCTGCTTCACTTCGTCGGCCGCTCTGGATGACGGCCACGCAGTCAACGTGGGCCTCTTCCCGCGCCCGCCGGAACACGCCCACATCCCGGCTCACTGCAGACGGGAAAGACGCCGGGTGGGCGAGCCGTTGCGGGAAGGAAGGATGATGAGCAGCCGGGTCCGGGGTAGTTGTTCGAGGTTACACTGCGGAGAGGAACAGAAACCGGCTTCGTGCAGAGATTTGGCGCCCAGAGTGGTCCATTTCTACTGCGCTTCAACTTGCACGGCCGAAAGTTGGACGCAGGCCTCTGGATGGACAGGTCCGTTGACGCAGGGACGGTACCGTGGCGTTTTTCGGCCCCCATTTCACCTCCCTCCTCGGCGTTGCCGATTCAACCATCTCCAACCGCCTCGATTTTCTTCAACGATCCGGCCTCCCTTACGGCTCCTTCCCGATCAACGCAGCGCCGGACTTGGCCGAGACTCGACGAACGGCGATCGATGCTAGCGCGGGATGGGGTTGAGTGGGCAGAGTCGTTAGGGCGGGGAAAGGGCTGAGCCGGCGGGCATTGGTCATGCCGGTCTATCTTTAAGTCCATGTAGTAAGCGCTCACCGCCAGAATACCCCTCCACTTCACGAGCAATGAGCGCCCAGATAAAAGCGATTAGCGCGCTGTCTTTTCTTTTTTGCCCTCGCGCTAAACAATCACCTGCTTCTGCACCACTAACACATCTCGTATGTATGTCATTCTTCCATGACGAGAGAAGCTTGGCGGTCGTGCGGCTGCCTGAATTGACCCTTCGTCGCGGCACGTCACTATCCAAAAGGCTTATCCTCGTATCCGCAAGGCCTTGCCTCCGCCTTATCCCCATCCTACCTTTGCACAGGATCCACACACTCCTCACACGTCGATTACGCGTTCAAGCAGCGCCTTCTAAACCTTTTCAAATGCACGACCAATCCCGAGAACGTGAGCCTGCGGGACGAAGGAGCCGCCAAGACGGGATCTCCGTACGCGCTTATACTCATGTACTCTGAGCAAAATCTACATCCATAACAATCCTCCGCAAATGCGTGCCCAACGCACCGGTCAAATTTCTCTCCACAGCAACGTAATGCGTGAACTGTACCATCGCCGATCAGCCCATTCTCGCACAAACCCGCCATTTATTGCTTGACAAATAGATTCCATTCCGTCATGCTTTCTTATCTACAAAGCCCTATTCCTCCGTCTTATTTCCTCTTTCTTCTGCAACTGCCGTCTACCTTGTACATGTGTATTGCATATACGTACAGGGATGCCAAGAAAGAGCAGGAGAAAAAAAAGGGTTAGATAGCGTCAGGCACAAGAAATTACCACCTTTGACATCCATAGCCCCCACAAGGCGAATTGTCTCAGCCCTGTGGTATGGGGGCCAATTAGCCTTGTATGGACGCGGGGTTAATGGGGCTAAACACATGGTGTGTATGTACGTAACGTTCTCGGCCCCCAACGGTTCCCCAGCTGACATTCCTTCCCTCCCCCGGTTTCTCGACTCCTCGGCCAATCACATTTTATTTTTTTATTCCCCCCTTGTTTTTTGGGACTTGGACCTGCCCTTACTTACGTGGCCCCCACGATATGCTCCTACGATCTGTAAAACATACATCCGCTTTGCCGCTGCTAATTCCGATCTGTCGAGCCCTGCCTATACGAGCTGCATATATCCGTGGCCCCACGACGGATAGGTGGCGTTCGGTAGCGGAGGACTATTAGTCACGCTGTTTTACTTCACCGAGGCAATGCAGAGGTGCCTTACTGCTGCTCCAGATGCGAACACGATCATGTTTGGGTCCGCCATGCAGCAAGGAGCGAAACAAGCGAATATCGCTATCCTAGATCTTCTTCCTCGCAGACCCTGAGACAAACCCGCTGTGATGCTTTTCGGAAACGTTGCTCGCTTTGTGCTACAACTTCATTCGATCAGTACTGAGCCGGATGCGCCCTGCCACTTCGGTAGTCAACTCCTTTTCCCCCTTCTATCTTCATGGTATCGAACAATAGGAAATGTAAGCTCCAAGACATGAAGAGAAAATGCAATTGAGCGCTCTTTATCTGTAGTGAATTGAAACTTATCTCTTTGTGTGCAACCTGACAACGACACATCCCTCTTCGTGGACCTGCTGCCAAAGGAAGAATCATAAACGTCGGCATACATGTCGGAATTTTTACTAACTACTGTTTATCGATCTATAATTCAAACATTTTTCTATGTCTGAGCAAGGATGTAAGCATAGTGAAACGCACTCTATTTATTTTCTCTTTCCATGCCAATTTAGTTCGACCCTGGTTTAAGAAGGTTTAAAGACTTATAAGACGGGTGCCTCTTTCCGAAGAATCATAAAGCGCTAGCATACCTAAGAAGACTACTTTTCGTTAACATCTTTTAAATTTACTCAGCCAAACACTTTACTAAGAAGAGGTGCTTGCATTCAAAACAAATGCCGAGAGCATCCATACAACTGAAAAAGGAGGAGGGGGGAGGGGAAGAGAAAGAGCCCACAACTGACAGTGGGGTAGCAAAGACTCAGCCACATCACGCCTCCCCAACGGGTTTCATTTGACCCTCCCAATTCGGGCAGGCCCTACAAAAGCTACATGCAAGCCAAGACGGACATAGGGTATGGACATAGAAGAGCACATTCTGTCTGCCCACTTCATGCCACCCTGCCACGTACCCACCCGTGATGGTTTCTGGTTGCATAATGACGTACATGCATGCGCTACGGACTACCTTTCAGACAGGCTGGCCATTGCACAATCATGGCTCCACATAACGTAGCACGAGGATGCGGCAAAAACGGTTTAGTGATGCAGAATATTCACGCATAAACGCGTTCAGGAAGGGCAACGAAATGGAGTGAGCGAGAGAGCGGAGACGATGACGAGCATGGGTGTCATGAGACCAAAAGTGAGTTTGCGTCGGCGTGGTGATGGTTGGCGTTAGATAGGGTGATGGAAGTACGTACAACACGTGCATACGCGCCGTTCCAGTACACGCGGTTTCCTTGTACCGGGTATTTGGGTAGGAATTGGGGATGGGGTGGAGACGTGGGAGAGACAAGCAGTCCCCCAGGCGTTGCACAGGGATTGAGCGGTATTTTGCGCGGCCGGCATGCGCGAAAAGAAGTACAAAAGAGGAAAAAGGGTGAGGAGGTTGCCAAGCACCAATCGGAGTTATACTGTTGTCCCACATCAAGCTCTCGAAAAGGGCGTCCGCTGCGGGGCGCGGAAGTAAAACCTTTGTTGTGAGTACAGAGGCGTACAATGCGGCAGGGAATTCCAAAACACTAGGGAGGTTCAGCATGCACGGATGGTAAATACGAGACACGGAAGGGACCCAAATGGTCGAGTTACAGCAACATGATGTGGAGCCATCCAGCACGGTAAGCACACGAAGATGAGGAGTGTGCATGCGTGGGGGGATCATCAAGAAATGCTCGAGGGACGCCAAGAGGCGTGAGATGCTGGTCTATACCAGAAAGCGTGCAAGGCGCGTGGCAGGGTGTCTGGGGAGTGCAAAAAAAGCAAAGCTGGTGTTCAGTGACGGAGAGACGGCCGACGTTGGAGGGGCCAATAACGACAACAAGCATGAAAAGAGTGGTAGCATTCGGAAGGGCGGGAGCATTTCATGGCTGGCTGCAGACAGGTCGATGCCGCGGTCTAGTGCGCGATCCAGGCTTGCAATATCTGCGGGGCTGGGCCAGCGTGGCCGGCAGTCAGATTGGCAGGCTAGCACAGGGCTGAAGATCTTCTGGGAGAAGCCATGCTGTGAATAAGCAAATGTGGAGAATTGGTGATCATAGGTCGAAATTACTATGGCCTTGGGATCCTTCATCCTTGCGGTTGCCTCGTCGCTGGCCTTCTCCAGATCCTTCGAGCGGGATGGTGCGCGGGCTGGCTCGAGGACGGGCGGAGCAGACGCCACAGAGGTGTTGTGCACCCTGCCGTCAGCAGCGCGCCTCGTGTCACTCGCTAAGTGCTGACTGCATCTTACACCTCACTAGAATGTCCTAGGGCTTAGCGGCATCGGGCAGGATGTGCGCCAGAAAGCCGCTAGCGGGCAGCCCGCAATGGATTGGGATGTTTGCGACGAGTCAGCCGGGTATCGTGGGAGTGCAATGAGGATGCTGGGCGATGCTGCAACATGGACGCCGTGTGAGATTGTGCTGCCCTCACAGATCCCCGGTGGGGACCGAAGGGAACGTCGACGGGTTCGCGAGCCGGTCTCTGTTTCTCCGAGCAGCGTCGGCGTCGCGAATGCGCTTGATGCGCATCTGGTGGAAGTTCCTGGGAGGGCATTAGTCATGCTTTGTGCTGACAACAACAGCCTTATCGACCCGCGTCAAACAGTCTGCCCCACAGAAAAAAAGAAACAAATACACAGCGGGGGGACGCGGGTGCGGATGGGTCCCATGCGCATGCATGTTCACCATGACTCGACAGTGACTTTTTGCATCCGAAACCGAGCGGAAGCAGCGTTCCGGACGGGCAGTGTGGCCAGCGCGGTAAAGATGCGCGTCGTCGTGCCCGGCAAATTGGAAAACGTCGGTTAAGTGACGGAACATGGACGTACTTGTGGAGGGTAAAGATGCGCGGGCCGTCGTCAGTTTTGGCCTGGTCCGGGTTGGACAGGGCCTTGATCTGGGCGAAGGTTAGCCATATCGAAGGTTGTGGTGTGGCCCGGCGGCTTACCTTGTCGTCTCGCTCCTTTTCGTCCTTCTTGTCCTGCTCCTCCTCGTCTTTCTTTTCCTCTTTGTCCTTCTCCTTGTCCTTGGCCTTGTCTGCGTCCTTCTCTTTGCGGCGCTCCTTCTTGCGACGCTGCTTCTCTTCGTATTCCTCCTTGATCTTCTGGATCTCGCGGTCCATGTCTTCCTTCTTCTTCTTCTCGGCGAGCGCGGCAGCCTCGTCGGCCTCGGGCTCGCAGAAGCCGCGGTCCTTCAAGTGGCCGGGGCATATGTAAAAGAAGTCCTTGCACGCTTCAGCTGGAGGCCGGGCGGAGGGTGGATTGGCGGCGTGCTGACCTTGTTGTCCGGGGTGATCAGCACGCTGGACGAGGGCTTGAAGCATATCCAGCAGGCCTTCGCCTGGGCATCGGCCACACGGCGGTGGTGCCAGACGTTCTGCAGCGCGGCCATGGTGCTTGCGGGAGGGAGGGAGATTCAGGGTTGCGTCACCTGGGGAAGCTTGAGCTCGGGGCGCTCGGCTAAATAGCGGAGCCTTCTTATCGATAAAAATCATTTTGATTGCGAAGTCGGTGATTCGCACAGAGCCTGTGCTCAACCCAATCCACGCCCCGCCTGTAACCGCATTGACTCACAGCCAGCTGCTTTTTCTGCTTGCAATCGCTCGGAGCCCTTCCAATTCTACTTTCCCACACACATTGCCCACCATGGCCGAGAACAAGCCCAGCAAGACGATGCTCTGGGGCGGCCGCTTCACAGGTAACGCGCCATTGGCACGCTCCAAGCTCCCGTCCACGTCCTGATCAAGCCCAACAGGCGGCCTCGACCCGCTGATGGTCGCCTACAACGAGTCCATCTACTACGACCGCAACTTCTACGCCCAGGACATTGCCGGCTCCATTGCCTACGCCCGCCAGAACACCAAGCTGGGCATCTTGACCGACGACGAGTTCCAGGCCATTGAGAAGGGCTTCCAGCAGGTCAAGCAGGAGTGGGAGAGCGGCACCTTCGACATCAAGCCCGGCGTCGACGAGGACATCCACACTGCTAATGAGCGTCGCCTGGGCGAGATCATCGGCACCAACATCGCCGGCAAGCTCCACACCGGCCGCAGCCGCAACGACCAGGTCGCCACCGACATCCGCATGTGGCTGCGCGAGAAGCTGCGCGAGATCGAAGGCTACCTCATCGAGTTCCTCAAGGTCGTCGCTGCCCGCGCCGAGAAGGAGATCGACCCCGTCATGCCCGGCTACACCCACCTGCAGCGCGCCCAGCCCATCCGCTGGAGCCACTGGATGCTGAGCTACGGCCTTGCTTTTGCTACCGACCTCCAGCGCCTGCGTGAGACCATCCGCCGCGTCAACCGCTGCCCGCTTGGCTGCGGTGCCCTGGCTGGCAACCCCTTCGGCATCGACCGTGATGCCCTGGCCCAGGAGCTCGGTTTCGACGAGGTCTTGTACAACAGCATGGCCGGCGTTGCCGACCGTGACTTCGGCCTTGAGGCCATGCAGTGGGGCAGCACTCTGATGCTGCACATGAGCCGCTGGGCTGAAGATTTGATCATCTACAGCAGTGCTGAGTTCGGCTTCGTCAAGCTGGCCGACGCCTACAGCACTGGTAGCTCGCTGATGCCGCAGAAGAAGAACCCTGACAGTCTCGAGCTGCTGCGCGGCAAGTCCGGCCGCGCCTTCGGCCAGATGGCCGGCCTGATGATGACCATTAAGGGCATCCCCTCCACTTACAACAAGGACCTCCAGGAGAGCGTCGAGCCGCTGCTCGACCACGTCAAGACGGTTGCCGACAGCATCCAGATCGCTACCGGCGTCATCTCCACTCTCGACATTGTCCCTGAGAAGATGCGCGCTGCTTTGACCCCTGATATGCTGGCCACCGATCTTGCTGATTACCTTGTCCGCAAGGGTGTTCCCTTCCGTGAGACTCACCACATCTCCGGCCGTGTCGTTGCTCTGGCCGAGAAGGAGGGCATCCCCATGGACCAGCTTTCTTTCGAGCAGCTGCAGGCCGTCGACTCCCGCTTCGAGCGTGACATCGTTGAGTCTTTCGACTACGAGAAGAGCGTTGAGATGCGCGCCACCAAGGGTGGCACTAGCAAGTCCTCTGTCTTGGACCAAATCTCCAACATTAGGAAGATGATTGAGGGCAACTAAATGGGTTTCGTTATTTCTTATCCCGGCCTTCGGGGAGGGCTTATGTATTCATGTGTTTTATGTTAGGATGCTTTTACGACCGGAAGCCATATTTCTTGTATGTTCAACAGCGTGGGAAAACATAAAAAAGAGTGAGGTTCTAGCAGGAGAAAAAAGAGCTAGACGAGCCTATTGGATAGAATTGAAGGGTTTCAGGATTCCGAATGTGTGAATAAATAATACCCTTGCTTCCGTCATGTTTAACGCCTAGGACAGTACTGCAAACCCTTGCCATTATCCCAAATCCCTTACTATCTGTCCGCAAGCTTCAGCAACTTGGGTATTACGCCATACATATCCCGTGTCTGTAGTTAAAGACTCCTCAACGTCATCATAAACGCATTATCATCTGTACCCATCCCAACGAACATGGCCACTGACGTCAAAACCAGAAGTCATCGGCGTCATTGGCACCTCGTCCGGATGGATGAAGCCAGGCGAAGCCAACACAGAAACTGGAGGAGCAGTGCTTGCCAGGCGAAGGATCCTATATATTGTGGTGAGTAGTTTGTCTTTTACAAGCCCTTCAGCTTTATCTACTCAGCACAGGAAAGCGACGATGACAAAGTACATACCACTTGATGGCTCCGGGTAACTGAAAAGTCGATGTTGATGGCCGTGTCGTTTCCATTGTTTTGATGGGTTTCTCACGTTCGATGCCGTTCTAAACAGGCTTTGTTTTCCTTGCTCACAGCCTTTCTCTCTCCTCTTCAGTGGAAATCCGACGCGAGATGTACAGCGCGTCTATATCGCAAAGTCGGCGGCCCACGATGACTTCAATCCCTAGGCGTAACCGCGATCTGACTTTCTGAGCGGAGGTCCCGATTTGTAGTGGTGTCGTCGAAGCTGACTCTTGGCCTTAATGATGATTTGGTCTAATAGCACATAGACGAAAGAGGAAATTATTAAAACGATACTGGGAAGATTTAATGCTGAAATTCTGCTTGGTGAGTTACATCTAGAGCAGAAGCGGCATCTTTAAAGCAATGAGTAGAAATTCGGTCCCGCTCAGCCCTGTTGGACTGACTCTATTTTCAGGCTTCTGCGGCGCAGGTGTCGTTACCTTAATGCAGTAAGCGCGCTCGGAATGTGGTGCGAGGTAGCCAATAACGGGGCGTGAGGGGCTGCGCCCCGAGCTGAGCATTGGTGGTGGTGGCTGGGTTCCCCCTCCCGAGTCTCTTGGCATCATCCTCTTCGCACAACATTCACTCACAGAACTCGGTTCGACGGCGGGGCTGGAACAATATTCTCGTTTAGTAGTCAGTTGTAAGCTTGTGGTGGTAGACGTATGTGGGATTCTTGGCTTCCATTGTACGAGTTGTCCTACGGCGTGCAAGACACCCAACGAATCCGTGGTAATACATTTGTCTAGATGTTTTAGCTGCAGCAATCCACGGGTCGATGGTCACTGAGGAGTGCAGTCTGTCAAGATACATGAGGGCTGAGACATGGGTCACAATGAGCAAGTTACAAATGCATCTACCATCTTCAGATATGCTTGCTGGAAATCCGTGGAAGCCAATGACCACTGCATAGGATTCCCATTAGTGTACCCGAACAAGCGAACCCGAGTTCCCAACTCCGCCCGTCCGGCCAAATGCTTAATTCCGTTTAGTTCTCGTACACACACGTTTGGAGCGATGCTGCGCTGATTGTCGAATACGAAGTTGCACAGGATAAGTCTTGGACGCATACTAACTTGTAGATCGATTGATAGTGAGAATTAAGAGTACTCTTATAATTAATATCCTTTGAAATGGATTACAGTAATATATGAAGCTGTGCGCAACAGAATCGCATTCGGCTATAGAATGATATGAATCCTTAGAGCTCTTATTGTGGTGTAAGTAAGGTCGATAGAACGCATACCGATTTGTCTGAACAACACTTGCTCATAACTTGAACTTTCACTCACAAATATATTAACGTTTGAATCACCCTCTTTTCTAACCAATTGCTGCTATTATTATCTTCGCTATTTCTTCGCAGGAGAAGAAAACAGAAGAGACGAGGTCGTGGAGCATACCAGCACCTATCAAACAACAGCGGACTTTGCATGACTCGCGCGTCCAAACTCCGACACTTTTCCCACAGCTCGAGACCAGCTCCCTCCGCACCAAGCTCCACAAACGCCCTCTTTCGCCCAAGATAGCGCGTTTCCTCCTCTCCCACAATGCATTGAGGCTCGACGCCTCCAATCACCCACAGACCTCACCTCCTTACCTCTTCCTCGCGGCATCCCCGTCATGGCACTCGCAAACGCACCTCCGCCGCCGGTGTCCCTCCTTCTCTTCAACGGACTGATTATCCTCGCCTTCCTCTCTATTCCCTTCATCGCCCTACGCATAATCTTCCTACTACCTCCTCTGCGGCCCCCGCCACGGCCCCGCCGCCGCCCCGGTTCCACAGGCACCAGCACAGCAACCGAATCTCTCCTCGCGGCCGGAGAGCGGGATGGTGATGATGATGCAGATGAAGATGGCGACACGGACCAATTGCAACGACAAGACCCCACGCGTCTCCTCGTCGTGCTCGGCAGCGGCGGCCACACGGCAGAGATGATGGCCATGCTTCGAAAGCTGGATGCGCGGACTTTCCTGCGCAGCTGGTCGCACCGCACGTACGTTGTGTCTGAGGGCGACGGATTCAGCGCGGAGCGGGCGCGCGAATTCGAGGAGCAGCTGCTTGAGGAGGTTGCTACGGCAAAGAGGAGAAAGAACGAGAAAGGGGAGGGAAAGACGAATGACAGCAATGCAGCGATGGAGAAGAACAACGGCCAGCACAGCACCGAGGACGAACAGGAGCAAGGCCTGAACGGCGACGCGAACCCAGAGCAAAAGACAATCCACTCCTCCTCCTCCTCCTCCTCCTCCAACACACCACCCGACCCCGGCACCTACACCCTCCACATCGTCCCCCGCGCGCGCGCCATCCACCAATCCCTCCTCACAACACCACTCTCCGCGCTGCGCTGCCTCCTCGCCTGCGTCTCCATCCTGCAAACCCCCGCCCCGCCCGACCTGATCCTCACCAACGGCCCCGGCACGGCCGTCGTCGTCATCCTCACCGCGCTGCTACTCCGCTTCGCCGACGTCGGCGACGGCAGGGGCACCAGCCGCGTGCGCACCGTCTACGTCGAGAGCTGGGCCCGCGTCACGCGCCTCAGCCTCAGCGGCCGCCTGCTGCTGCGCGTCGTCGACCGCTTCGTCGTGCAGTGGGAGGGCCTGGTCGAGCGCACGGGTGGGAAGGCCGAGTTTTTGGGGGTTTTGGTCTGAAAATGGGTGGAGTAAACCTCATGTGGTGTCTCTCCGTTCTGATATCGGACATATGGCTTTAGAGGGCCCAGGTTTTGTGTTTTTCTTTTCGCCCCCTGCGCAGCAGGAAAAGAGTAAGCGGATCCATGGAGCCATGACTGCATTGAAGCGTACATGAGTTCTGCGAAGGAATAAAAGCTATGTATACCCGGACGGTTCTTCATGGGCAATCGAAGCCCGTGTTCAAGTATAGATTTCTCACAATGCACCATGCAAGCTATCATGAGGAGCCTCCAGCCCTTAGACGCCCAATTGCGGGACACGACTACGTACGTGACAAGAAACAGGAGCAGAAAAGCATGAAGGGGAATTGCAAACAATTTGCCTACTATTCAATTGCTGTAGGTGAGCAGTACTACTGAAAGACGCTGAGGGTATTCTAGCAAGACCAAGAAGCAAAGAAGAAAAGAAAGGAACCGGACTAAGGACATCATCAGCCACCTTCCAGTCTGTTCGTGTGTGTGTGGAATGAAGCCTAAAGTGAGAAAAGGCGGCAATCATAGAAACGACTCCCTAGGCAGCGCCAATTTCCCCGTCCCGGAAGCTCCATCTCCCAATTTTTAATACACCAAAAAGTAAAAAAAGCAATCGCCATTCTCGTACACCACCGTCTTCCTTTTCATTTCTTCATTCATCCACCAAATTGGATACCTCACGCAACAACTCCCTCCCCGACACCACCAAAAATCATTCCCTTCACCCAACCCCACGCCCAGCGGACGCCCATCCACGCGAACGGCGCCGCAAACGCAACAGACAGCAGTCCCGCGACCCACGGCGGCGTCGGGGTGTCCCAAAACTCGTCGACGATGCCGCCCTTGCCCTGCTCGCGCTCCTCGGCGCGCTGGCGCTGCACCTCCTCCGGCTCGTCGCGGATGCTGAAGACGGTGTCGAACATGGCCTCCAGCCCCGTGTCGACGGCGTTCGGCGGCGGCAGGTTGAGCTTGGGTTCGGCGAACTCCATGTCGATGCGGTGCCTTTGCAGCTGCTGGGGCGTCATGTTGGCGAAGCGCGGGTCCACGTCCGTCTCGGCGATCGAGGTGCCGTCGTCGTAGTAGATCCGGTTGCCCTGTCGCTTGACTGGGCTGGCGTTGGTCGTTGCGCTGGCCGTCGAACCCATGATCTTGGAGAAGAAGTCCTTCTGTTTGGTGAGCGGGGTTTTCCTGAACGTGGGTTGGTTTGGCGGGTTGCGGAGCTTGTGAGCGGGGGCGATGGGCGCAGGGGGGAGGGTTCCGCGGAAAGGAGAAGGCTCGTTTCTGGAAGAGTTCATGAGCTGTTGCAGTTGTTGCGATTGTCGCTGGGCTATGGGGTTGTTTCGAGGCCGGAGGTCGTAGTATGTTGTCTGGGAGGGACGAGTGGGGGTCCATTCCATCGTATCTTCGTCTTCGTCATAAGGGCGTGTCGTGGCTTCGGTAGTGAAAGCTGTGTAGCGCGTCGAGAATGACGGAGTGGGAGAAGGAGGCTCTTCAGGCATCCTGAGGGGCTGTGCAAGGTTGTTGATCGGAAATGGTTTGACGTATGCTGGTGATTGGGTTTGGAAGGCCTGTCTTTGAGCAGAATTGTAGAGAGGATTGGGTTTCTGAGGGCTTTCTTCCAGCGGCTCCTCCACCAAAGGGACTTCCTCCTCTTTCTTCTTGGGAAACAGGGGCGTTCGGTCCACCTTTACAACGACAGAAGAGTAGATAGTCGACTATTCCAGTGTTAGGACTGAATGTGACTCCGAGTTGTCAAGGAACTTACGGCAAAAAGGACGCATGCAATAAAGGCGTGTGCGCCCCTGTAAGCTTGCATGGGAAGTCGAGTGGCGGTAGGATCACGTAAAAGCCAGTAGCTCCCCGCCCTCAGAGCTATTACCAACACCTGCACCAAGAGGTGATCCCTTAGTCCCAGAAGTCTGCCACCGGTCCATCCCTTCATCTTCGCGTGCAATTTGTTGTTCCACCAGAATGTCGCCGCCATGGATACCAGAGAAAACCTCATTTCCCCGGCGAAAGTCGTCAGGCAATCCGACTGAACCATATCGTACTTCCAAGCCTGCTTGGCGCAAACGACTACATTTTGGGCATACTGCGCGTCTCTTCCGGCGCCGAGCCTGCCCTTTATGGCGTATGCGCCCAGAAGACTCCAAAGAAAATGGATGACAATGCTGATCCACCAAAACCAGCCGGCCCAGTATACGAAGATGCTCTGCCACGTAGGGCCTGTCCAGTACCTCTTGTCAGTCTCCCGCCGCGGACGGTCTAACAGGCGCTTCAGGTAGTCCGTCTTAGCAGCATATCCGGCAGCGTTGATGCGCTCGCGCACACGTGGGGCACAGTCGGCGCAGACTTGGGGGTAGCGGCGTTCAAGGTTGCGGCGGTATTCAGGATAGGAGAGCTCGAAGGCCTTATAGTTGGGATCAGAGGGCGGTGGTAGATAGGCTGCCAGAGTCTGGGTGAGAAGATGCTGGTTCTTCAGGCAGGTTGCGCAGAAGAGGCTGTGGTCCGGCGCAGATAGATTTGGAGACGGTGAGCGGGCAGGAACATAGTGGGCGAATCTTGCAGGCTGTGTGGACTCGGCGACCGGGGGATCTGTTATCTCGCCATTCTGCAGTCTTTGTGTCAGCCATGGTTCTTTTCCAAGATGCATGCGCGAGACGGACCTCGTCCAGATAGTTGGTGGCTTCGCACTCCTTGCAGTCAAACTGGCGTATCTGCGGGCTTCGCTTCAGCTCAGACTTTGCGCCGCAGTAGAAGCAAGTCAGGTTGCGGCGGAGTAGCATGGGCATGATGCTGATGTTTGGTGGGAGCTCGAGCTCGGAGGTGATGTGACGAGCAACGCCGGCCGCGCGCCCTCGCCCGCGAGAAATTCGAGGTCCGGCCGCCATCGCCCGTTCCCGTTGCAACGACAACCGCTGCGTGTCGACCCAAGGAGCGCCCGCCTTGTCCGCTTTGTTACGCGCCCGTGAACGGCACAATTGGTCTGGGCCTCCCATTGTGCTCCATTCATCTCCGCGACGCTCTCCCCGTCCACGCGCGTCGCGCTCGAGACCCGGCTTTCACCACTTCATCTCCGCACCACCGCCGCACGCACCATACCAGCTCCACCCCCGGAACCATGCAGAAGGTCATCCAGCGGACGGCAATGGCCAAGCGCCAGGCCGCTCGCAAAGCCCAGAAGGCTACCGAGTTTGACAAGGCCTTTGACAAGAGACAGGCTCGGAAAGAGCTGCAATCGGTCAAGACCCTGGGGAACAAAACCATCGTCGAGGCTCGCAAGCGCCGCCGCGAGGACTGGCTCCTGGGCCCGCTGGCCCCGCGTAGAGACATCGGCGACATGAGGGAGAAGTACGCTACCGTCGACTCGAGGCGGACCCAGCTGCCTGACGTCCACCCAGATCACAGGCTAAAGCTCTCGCCTTTTGCCGAAGGTGACCGTGTTGTCATTCTCAAGGGCCGTGATAAAGGGAAAATTGGCGAAGTTCGCCATGTCGATGAAGACAGCCAGACAGTGCAGGTCAAGGACTTGAACCTGGTATGTTGCCGCAGTTCATTTTCACACTGCACAAGCACTAATGATTTCGTGTACAGGCAGATGTCTTCATTCCCGAGTATATGCGGGAGAACGAGGGCGACAAGAAGCCCACCCGGACTGTCGAGCTCAAGATTCCATTTTCAGACATCCGTCTAGTGTTTGCTCTCCTAGATGAGAAGACCGGCAAGAAGCGGGATGTCGTTCTCAATGAGGTTGTACGGCAGAAGGCGGGCTTCGACGACGACGGCGACCAGGTCTACACTCGTATCGTTCCTGGCACCGATATTACTCTGCCCTACCCCAAGCTTGAAACCCCTCCTCCCCAAGACAAGGCTTCGGACACGCTCCGGATTCTGAGCGAGGAGGAGACCTTTGTTCCCACGTTACTACGTCCGCCTATGCCACCGTCCGTTTTGGATGAGCTGCGTAACAAGTACAGCTACTTCCGTGACAGGCATGATCCTGAGTGGGTCGAGAAGAAGAAGGCGGAGGATGCGGCGGAGAAACAGAAGGAACTATTGGCGAAGAAGATGATCACGCCGCTCAAGGAGTTGCACGCAAGACAGAGGGCGGAGAACAGGGCCAAGGGTAGGCAACCACTGCCCGACGAGGCCCTTGCCAGGATCGGAGAGATGGTTGCTGCGCACAAGGCGGCGAAGAAGGCGGCAACAGTCCACGCATGAGTGTGATGTCTGGTCATGTGAAAAAAAAATGGATGTGCTTCTAGAGTCTCATCGTACAGATCAGAGAAACCTGTGGCATTCCTCGAGTGTACAACATATTTCAAGCAGTGCCTTTGATGCACGTTTTATACCATCGGTGCATATTGAAACATCCCTGCTGTGGAAATAACAGATCAAGTGGACTGAGCTGATCCGCACATGGGTCCGCCAATCACGTAACTGTTCAACCGCACCAACACATACATTGCTAGGCAAGGAATTTATTCTTGTTCAGCTATGTCAACATCCTAATGGTAGCGAGAAGCCAACATTGCAAGAGCTGGAAAGAGACCATTTTGCGGGAGTGGAAGAGTACTATTTTTGACTCCAAAATCGGTGGTACGATCCACCACATGACAATGCCACAAATGATCCAGATCATGCGAACATGCTAAGGAATTTCCAAAGACCAAGCTGACATGTAAGTCAGTTACCGGATTCCGTCGAGGATGGCGAAAACATTTTAGGTGAAACAGAAGAGCAAACGCAGGTCATTGATATCTCTTGATTTCGTTTTTTGGACGCAGCTTTTCGGGCTTGCAAGACGGTTGGAATTTCTGCCTAACCGTTCATTCCAAGCTCACGCCGTGAGAAGCAAGAAAACCCATCCGAATAAATCCACGCCGGTTGTCTTTCGTCGAATGCTTCTCCCCGCCCCACCCAGATCTGCAGTACACAAACGGTCCGTCCCTTCGGTTTTGATGATGATGGTGGCGCACACGCTTATGACCTGGGCTTCTCCTTCTTCTCCTTCCACAGAGCGGAAAGACCGACACCGGAAACCTTGACGACCTTGAAACGGACACCGGGAATATCACCCTTGGCCTTGCCCTTACGACCGAAACCAGCAAGGAGGACCTCGTCGTTCTCGTCAACGAAGTTCAAGCAACCGTCGTTGGGGACTGTTGTGGAAGTAAAATGTCAGCCCGCATTCAGACCATTGCCACCCAGCTCGACAAAGCTGCTGTTCCAGCCCCACTCCATCTCAAGTTCCTGCGAATTGGTTGTGACGTACCGAAAGCGGTGACCTTCTTGCCGTTCTTGATGAGCTGGACACGAACGCACTTGCGAATGGCGGAGTTGGGCTGCTTGGCCTCAACACCGACCTTCTCAAGAACGATGCCCTTGGCGTGGGAGGAGCCACCGAACGGCGACGACTTGTAGGCGGTACCGAGGAGGCGCTTCTTGTAGTGAAGGTCGGCCCAACGTCCCTCACGACGGTGGTTGCGCAGCTTGCGCGCGGCGTTGAGTCCTCTCGGCTTTCCCTTGCCCATGGTTGCTGCGCGGCCGAAAATGTCAGTATAGAGCTTCTTCCGGGAAACGAAACCGGCGTGCGGCAGGGAAAATTGTGTCGCTGGCGTGCAATGGGGTCTGCAGAGGGCGTACGCACCGACTTATGTGGTGAATCGCGGATGGGTGGTGGAGGGTTGGGTGGTGGTCGTCGATGTCGTCGGCAAGAGCAGTGGGTCGGCCAAAATTGAAGTTCGCGGGCGTCCGCAGTTGTGCGATCACGTGCACTCGCTTTCCGGAAAAACTTGCCCGCCGGCACCCGCTTCCCCTTTCAAACCTCCGCCGCTGCCTCGCGCCGCCCAACTTGTAGTTATTCTGCAAAGTCAATCAAACATGACTTTAAGATGAATTGGCTGATCCCGGCTACGCCCTTTCTGCCGCCCTGATCTGTCAACCTCAGTCTGCTTGAAATTTTTAGATCAACCCTGCCATTACCTCCATTACCATCATCCAGCTTTCGAAGCAACGATAAATTGCTCCCGTGAAGATTTGGAAAACATCTTTCGAAGAAGACGAAATCGTCCGATTTTCTCCCGGGAAACCATGACTTCAAAATCGTCTGTCAAGCGGAACTCAAGCCAGGCCAACCGCCTCCCAGCGCCCTCTCTCTTCATCGGCCCGCCCTCGCGCAATGCCTCAGACACCTCCATAATCCCGCCCACCTCGGCAGCTGGCACCGGGAGCAAGACGCCCGGCGCGCGCGGCAATCCCCTGTCACGGCAGCGCTCCCAGCGCACCGAAGCGGCCGCTGACGGCGCCGGCAACGGCGCCACTGCCATGAACCGCAGCAACAGCAGCAGCGGCGCAGCAGGCCCAGGCGTATCCTGGAAAGATGCGCCTCCACCGTTGCAATCCCCGCTCTTGCACCAGGCCAACATCTCGACCATGGACCAGGCCGCTCACCACCATCACCACCAAGGCCAGCACGACCAGCCCAGCACCGACGCCATCTGGGCGGAGATGCAGAACACGCTCGAGGAGGTCGAGCTGAGCGCGACGACGGGCACGCACGTCTTCCGGCCGGGCCACTCGCAGGCGCTAGACGAGCTACGCACCGCGCAGATCGCGCTGGCCCAGGCGTGGGCGCGCTCCGAGGCCGAAGAGGAGGACAGGACGATGACGGAGCAAGACGAGCTGCTGCGGAACAACGGTCTGCACGGAAGCAGGCCGCTCAGCGCCGCCAACGTCCTGCAGATGGACCGCGAGCAGAAGCTGATGGGAGGCAGCGTGGGGCCCGCCGCGGCGGTTGCGGCGGCAATGGGGGCAGGAGGCGCTGCTGGCGTGGCTGGCGGTGCTACTGCTTCTGCTGTTGCTGGCGGTACGCGGCCGAGAAGCGGGACGGAGACGAGCGCGAAGAGTCAGCTGGAGCGGGACACGGAGAATGACATTCAGTTGGCGAGGAAGAGGCGGGAGGCGAACGACCGATACTTTCAGCGGGTGAATGCAGGAGTGCTAGATGTAGTGGCTAAGCTGGAGGAGGTGGCCAAGGCGATGAAGGGCGTGGAGCAGGAAAGCAAAGAAATTTGGGGGGATGCGGAAAGCGTTGATACGGCGAGTGTCGTGAGCAAATGATATCACTGTTCTATGAACGACACTCATTTTGTTTGGTCTTATTGATGGACGAGGCTCGAGCTACCTCTATGAGTTGGAGCTGAAGACCTCGCTAGAAAGTCTGTGACTTTCTCTAGTTTCTCATATCTCAACCCTCTACTCGTCAGAGCTCTCCAAGAAGTCCGACAAGTATCCCACGCTGTCGTGTCGACCTTCGCGACGCCCAAGACGGACTAACAGTTCCCTAACGAAAATTCCCGGCAATTTATCCCTCTCCTCCACCGCGTCCTCGTCGTCCGCATCCGATGACCAGCCCACCTCATACAATTCCAAGAAGAGCTTGCACAACATGCTTTCAAGAGGCAAAGTCCTGAATGCGCGAGACACAAGTTGGTATGCCGGTAGCTTGACTCGATCTCCCCAGACGTAAGCCGAAAAGAAATCGCGGACGATATGGTCGCGGAGACCGGGGACCTCATAGCGAGAAGCGAATATGTAGCCCTCTAGCAGCAGCCAGTCCGGCTGTTTCTGAATCTTGCCCGTGTACATCCAGTCGATGACAAAGGCCTCGAATATGCCCGGCTCCGTATCGGGAAGTGACATCACATTTTCCTGGGTCTCTGTCCACGGACTATCGGGGTCGGTCCCTGCGGAGGATGGGGCTCTGGCGGAGAGGATGCCTCTGTGGAGGTTGAAGGTCGTCTCAGATAAGCCAACTTGCAGGGTGACGATGATTTGCTCCATTTGGCTATTAAAGTTAAACGTAAGCTTTGCCGACAGGGCGATGAGGCGGAGGTGAGCTTACCCGATTGCGGGCCTGCAAGCGCTGGATGTCATCATGTTCGAGGTGAGCGGCAAAGCGCGCCTCAGAGGCGGCCAATTAGGCGGGGTGGCGGTGGTTGCGAACAAAACTGTTGGTTGAGCAAGGTTGGTGTTTGGGTGTTTGGTGGACGAAGCGGGAGGGCATGGAGGATGTTATATAGGCACCCACAGCTGCTACATGCACGTGACACAGTATAGCATGGTGTCCAGCTGGGCTTCCCCTAGGCAACAGGGCTGGAGCTCTGGTTCGACCGTGTTTGTACTGAAACACGAAGGAATTTAGGCACATTTCTCCCGACTCGTGTTTCAAGTACCCATCTAAGAAGAGTGCAATATCTTCGGCAGAGCATGGGAAGCAGCCCACCGCAAAGCGCCGTTATATGCAATCCCTTTATGGCCACACGAAAAATACTATATTCCGCGCTTCATGGGAAGGGAGCTGAGGCACACTTGGGACGCCTGTACAAGTTTTAATTTCACATCTATGTCTGAATACTTGCTTCTACTGACTGCACAAGAATATTATAACGTGGAATTCGTTGGAGATGGCGGACTCAATGTTTATGCACTCCGTTATGCAGTTTAAAGGTGAATCTTGACGTTTCCATGAGCTTCTTGACACGTGACGGTCAAACCAGTCAGGTAAGGTAGACCCTTCCATCTGGCAAACAGCTGTTCACGTGAAGGGGAGACCCTTGTTCAATCACTTCTAAATTTCATCCATATCCTGTCACTCCGCATCTTCAGTTCTGCGACTCATTTTGCGCAAACGCTACGCAAGCTCATCGGCGGGTCGCCTTCCGCGTCCTGCCGCCTACAAGGAGCGCTCTCAACATGACGACACCGTGGGACAATGCCAGGCCCAATCTTGGGTAATTATTTGTACCTGCCACCCGAGAGTAGATTCGCTAACCTTTGTTTCGTAGCAAAATGTCCCATGAGACGTTGGTAACGCTCAAGGTTGGCTCTGAAGCAAAGCGCTTTCTGATCCATAAAGATGTTCTCTCAAAGCAATCCCCGTACTTCCGGGCCGCCCTTGAGGAAGGAAGGTGGAAGGAAAGCCAGGACAACGTCGTGGAACTAGATGAGACCGAACCGAAAATATTCGAAGATTTCTTGGTCGAGTGGCTTTACACTGGCAAGCTCGATGAGGACCTCGCAGAATTGACGCTCATCGAGGGATATATCTTCGCAGACCGCTATGACTTCCCAAGATTGCGGTTTGATGTCATCGCAAGTATCCATGGACATTACACGGAAGAAATGACGGATGACTTGCCGTCTTACGATGCCATAATCTTAGCATTTGAGAGCCTCCCGCCTAGGTGCAAACTCTGCGAATTCCTTGTGGATCTTTACGGCTCTCGGTGGAAACCTTATCATGATTACATCAACAGTAGAGAGCTAGAACTTCGAGAGCAATTGCCGATGGCTTTCCTCATGAGATGGTTGGAGAAACTTGGGAACCGCCCATACATTGGCGATGGAGGACTCGAACATGGTCTTGGTCACTATTCTGAGCAGATGGAAGAGGTGCAATCTCGGGCATCCGAGTAAGGACTGACTTTCTCAGAGCTCGTATTAGGAGATTAGAGGATATGAGGGATTTGGGAAGCAATGAAGACATGGAGGGTAGCAAAACGCTTAAGGTCTGAACAAAAGTGAAGCAAAGTGGCTTGAGCAATTTTCAGGGAGGCGCTCCTGCAGTGTTATCAGGCACTAAGAAAACTCTGCTCTTCCTGTATAAACAATTGAAGTGAACAGGCGGAATGTGCATGTGTTTCAGAAGCAGAAAGTCACATCCAGACGTAAATATATGCATTTGAAGTGAAAAATTATTGGAAAACTTCATTTTTCTGCAAACCACTGTGTCTGCATGAAGATGACCCAAAATTATCCGATAAAAGGCAGCGGAGAATGTTTCTCATCAGTACTAGATGCGCAGCACATAGAACGAGCATCGACCTCTACGATATGTTGCAGAAATGCAAATAGAGGTCACACAAACCCAAGACGACCAGATTCACTTGATTTCGATTTCGATATGCTAATGCTCTATCGTGGTGAAAAGCACTAAGGAAAAGTAAAAAGGAAATCTCTCTTAACTGTTGCAGAGAGCAAGAGATTACAGAACCGCCCCCGAAAACCAAAGCAGAAAATAAAATGGAAAACCCAGCAACAATTCGACGCCGCCCGCTGCAGACGATTCCCTCCGTACGAACTCCTTTCGCTGATGCAAGATGGAAAACCGCAAAACTGTATGGTGGAATCGCAAAGCTGGAATTGCTCAAAGACCGCAAACGCCCCATTGCATTCATCATATTCTCCCACCAAGTAAAGAGCAGCAATGTACGCTTGTTCGAAGATGCAGTCACCTCTTATGTAATCTCACTCACAGAGGAGGGTTGAAAGCGGGAGAATTGATGTCCGTCTCTCAGCTAAGATGGTTTAGCCCTGTTCCAAACCTACGCGAGGCGCTAGCGAACTTGGCTATGCGCATAGATGTGGATATTAGGGCAGTGGCTCTTAGTAGCTCTTTGAACTGGATCAGATGCGGCGCTGCGTTTGTTGAAGGAGGCGGTCAGCCCTCTCAAAGACGTTGCCAGCGAATCGACCCGTCATAGGGGGATCAACAGGCGTGGAAGTCGGTGCATGGCCAGGTGTACTCGGCACCGTGGCCTGTGCCGCTGCACCAAGCGCAGCGCTCAGAGGAGTAGCGGGCACAGGCGTAACGAAACCCATGGAAGATGAGGGAGTAGCGGAGTGATTGTAGTTGGCGTTGGTGGGAATGGACGTGTTGATCGGGCCAGGTATAGAAGATGTGCTAAGGCCATTGAAACTGTGACCCAGGTGACGAGTGTCGGAAGAACGCATCGACAGGGCCGATTGAGGTGGGAACACTGCCGAAGACTCGTTGCGCACAGCAAGGTGGCTCCATGGTGAGGCGGTAATCGCGCCTCCCGCCTCCTTGACAGCCTTCTGGACAGGCTTCATGACTTGCTTGATATCTTCGGGCAATTGTCCCATCTGTCCGAGTCCCTTGACCGCCACGGCCAGGTCACTCCACGCTTTGACCCATGCTGTACAGAGTTCCCAGAATCGCTGCGAGTTGCGGAATTCCGCATCTCTCAATTTGATCGTCTTGAGGACCTCGTTGAGTGACGTTGCCGCTTGGTGAGCTTCTGTGGATCGCTCCAAGACTCGCATCCATCTGGGGTACGCCATGTGGCCACGCTCACCGTCATCCCGCGCGGCGATGCATGCTTGCTCGAATCGTTCGTGGCACACCGGCAGGTTCTGCAGGGTGAAGGAGCAGGCGTGTCTGAGCTTCTGCCAGATGCGTTCGAAGATCTGCTCTTCGTCTGCATCTTCCATGCTTCTCATGGTATTGGTGCGCGACATTGCGACAGAGCCTAGGGTAGCAAAGGACTCGCCCGAGCGGGGGGTAGCTGCCGATGCGATGCTAGTCAGCGTGTTGGTGCGGCCGTTCGGATGCATTGGCGGTGTAAGGCCATAGACCCCATTGGCGGTGCCGTTAGTTTCGAACCCCATCCCTTGTGTTGCCTGTAGCCGCTGATCTGGGTTTGGCATTGTCTGAGTTGGCGTAGTAGACGACCTGGCATAGCGGGAATCCGTCTTGGTGGGCTCTGCGAACTCTACGCCCAGTACCTCGCAAGCATTGCGAGCCTCCACCGCACCCATGTACTGCGCATTGATCTGCGCTCGCCAAGCGCTGCGAACACCGGGATCGTTGACTGCTCTACCCACTTCGTCCTCCGAGTCATGCATCTGAATTTCCAAGTCAATCAGAAGATCCATGCAGGCTTCGCTTTCATCCAGCAGCTTGCTGAACAGGTAATCTGCCTCATCCTCTTGATCTTCTGTCAAAGCGTTGTAGCGGTTGACCAGCTCAGACAGGGCATAGGCGCTTGCTCGTGTTTTCTGAAACTGGGTCATGAGGGCGTGCTGACTTGGCAGGTTGACACGTCGCAACAATCTTTCGGTGGGAGCGAGAAAGTCAAGGGCAGACTCGGCGGATAGGCGGCATGCCTGGACGGCATCATCGTACTCGCCGGACCATGGCTTGTGCTCCACAAGGTCCGACAATGGGCGAATGGAATTGAGTCTGGATCTGGATTGATCGCCGCTTGATGAAGAGCCAGGGAAGCCATTGCCTTGGAATTCAGAAAGAGCTGAGCCGTGGCTGAAACCGCGAGAGTGCGCCGGACCGTTGGGCCGCCCTTCGTTCACCGGCGCAAGATCGGTTGTCGCCTTACGTGTTACCATTCCCATTCGCTTTGAGCGCATACTTCCTGCCCCAGCCCCCTCACTATGGCTGCGATTGCGCTCGTTGCCGTTTGACGTGAGGGGCCCAACAGGAGGGCGGCGCATACTCGCATTCTGCTGTGACTGAACTCGATAATGGGAGCGAGCCGGGATGGGAGGCGCAGGAGTACTGCTGGGAGAGTCGGACTTAGGCTTCGTGTCTCCGAATGCGTCCAAGCTGCTGATGCTAGGCTTGACTGGAAACCGTCCGCCGCCGCCGCCACCACCGCCTCCTTTCGATCGGGTCGGACGAGGTGTTTCCACGTTGCTCTCACTAGACGCAATGTTAACAGATGTAGAACGGCTCGAATGAACATTACTGGCGCGTACCTTGAGTCTCCCTCAGACTCAACTTTGAGGCGTTCGCGTGTAGCAACTTGGCGGAGGTATCTTTTAACCTGAGTTGTGATGAGAGCATCCCGCTCATTGTCGCCCGACGGGGTCGGTGTCCTGTCTTTGATGCTGCATACCTCGGGCGGAGGGAAAACAATGGGATTGCCGTCAAGCTTCAGCATGTGCAGACTGCTGATATCACCAAGGCATACGGGAAGCCGCTCGATCCTGTTCCGCTGAATAGCAAGAACCTTCAGCGACGTGAGGTTCGATATTTCGTCGGGAATCTCCCTGATCTTGTTCTTGCTGACATCGAGAATCTCCAACGTCGGCAATTGTAGAATCTAAACCGAGGCTCAGCAGTGACTCCTCAATATGGCCCTTCAGTCCACGTACCGCCGGAGGGAACTCGCGCAGAGCATTGTAGCGAACATTCAAGTATCGTAAGCGGGCGCATTCTGACATGCGGAGGGGCAGGGTGCTGAACGAATTATGCGAAAGCGCGAGCCTGCGACACAGCGTTAGCCTCACGAGCTCTGCAGCGCGGGGGTGCGACAGCGATCCAGGGCGCAGAGAGAGAAGCTCGAGATGACGGCATGAGCGCAGCAGAGCGGCCTTGAGTCGCAAGCGGGGCCACATGCAATGCGAGCAGCATAAGCTCTGGCGCCAGTCATCGGCTTCTCCCCCGGCAGGCTCCTGGCGCGACAGCTGAAGCGGTGCTCAGGGCGGCGACGCACCTCTCGATATCGGCCTTGATAATGTCGATAACCTCCTCGGGCAAGCGGCGGATGCCATGGTGGCCCAGATCAATGGTGATGCCAGGCTGGGCGAGGTCCTTGACGACGTCGGGCTCGGTGCGGCGGGTGGTGTCCTCGCGAACCTGCTCGATGGTCTTGCGGACGAGCGCGACCACCTCGTCGTCCGAGAGAGGAGGGCGATCTTCGCTCATCGTGGTGGCATGTTCGGAGCCTGCGAGCGTAGTCAAGGCATTCTCCGAGGGGCATGACGGGGAAGCATGGCGGGAGCGGATGAGGTGTGCTGCAGGTACCGGGCTAGGCGGGAGGCCGGTCGGCGATCCGTTACTGGCGGCAAGGGGCCGAGGGGAAGCCCCGGATGCACAAAGCAGAACGCTCCACGACACACCACCTGCCGAGATCCAATGGGCGTCGTTGGGCCGGGAAACAACTCACCTGCGCCGCCCACTTCCTTGTACGCCGCCCGGAAGATCTCGACGAGAGTCAGCTGTGCCCGATCGCCTGATTGCCCGGCGCGGTCCGCCATCTGCTCGCTTCTGTGCTCGTGCTCGTACTTCTTCAAGCTTCGGTTGTCGAGTGCGTGTACCGGTGGCATGGTGAACGACGTAATTGGGCCGCAGAGGGTGTGGTTCCTGGCGTGTCTGACGGATGACGAGCGCCTTAGCTTACCGAGCCGCTGCGCCGGTGGCTGCTCGTGGATGCTCGCCGAGTGAGTGGTGGATACCGGACAGGCAAGAAGCACATGTATCAGCGCGAAACTCCATCGCCCACAATCGACAGCCACGTCACACACGTGATTTCACAGGCCTGACCCGTCTGCTGTCATTCCGCCATACTTCCCGTCATCACCAGGTCTCCTCACCCTCCACCTTGGCTTCCACAAAGTACGCTGAGGTTCCATGCCCGCCAGCAACATCCCACATATTGCAGTGCAGCTTCTTCCCGCTCATCAACCCGTCTACTTTGCTCCAGTTATCTCTGCTCTTATCTCGCAGCCGTCCACGCCTACGTCCGCCATTCTACCGCACATAAAGACCCTCTCAGTGCTCCATCATGAGCCGCCTGTATAGCTACATTTTCGGCAACCGCCAGCAGCAGGAAATGGAGTCGAGGCTCCAGCTAATGGAGAAGAAGTTGGAGGAGGCCGAGATCATGGGCAGATATCGTGATGCCAAGCTTATCGCCCTTTTAGACCGAATCGAGAACCTTGAGGCCGAGTTCAGGAGGCACAAGACCGCTTCTCTCCAGCAAACAACGGCTCTGGAAGAGCAGCTTGTCCATGCACGCCAGGCACGTTCCAACTCGATCGTCCAGCCTCTGCAGCCAATCACAGACACCGCCGAACTCAAGCCAGCAATAGCCTTTGCTGATGTATTTCTCGTCGATTTTCAGACAGCACAACCACTCGCCGCGCTCAAGCTTACCGATTGCATCTCCCCAGCAAGGCTTGGGCAGGGCTCGAACATCTCGGCGGCGTGTCTCGAAGAGCCCTTCTTGAAGAACAAGCTGAAGGCTATCCTCGAAGCCTATGGCCAGCCAGCTCCGCCTGATGCCTCGCTCTATCGTTGCGACACGATGTGCCGCATCCACGATTCGGAAGAACTCGGAATAAGCGCAACAGACATGTATATGAGCAATGAGAAGGGTCAGATGGCCTATTGCCTGTGCGGCGGCATTTTTCCACGAGGTATGGTGTTGTCAGCCTCTAGCCATCTCAGCTAACTCCCCTTCAGGACCTACCGCTGCTCTGCGTGCCCTTCTAGGCACTCTCAAAGTCCGCCTCCCGGAGAAGACGGGGTGATGGTCTTTTGACTAAAGGTGCGACGAAAAGAAACGGATTGCGTGCGGTCTTCGGATGAATATAAAGAACAAGATGCGACGTGAAGAATAAAAATTACCTGATACCTGCGGATACCGCGAACGGCCGCTCGTCATTTCTAACACTCGATACCCCTTCCGCCCACTGTACTTTTGCTAGATGAAGATTTAGAGCAGCGATTAGGCAACACCAATGGTTTGATTTTATTTCTGCTTTGAGAGAGGTAGAGAGAGAGGGGGCTGAATGTAAAAGAAAAGAAAGTGCCACTGAAAGTAGTCACAGGGGGACTGAAACGGAAATGCACTCGTCAAGATAGAACGTGTTCCTCGGTTTCGAGATTTAACGGCATAAAGGGAGGTATCGCAGCCGACGACCAGCATGAAGAATAGTAAGGCCCCAGGCGTAGCTATGCCTCAGCTCTTTCTCAGAAAAATAACACATATGGGTAAGCTGGAGCTATTATCCGGACAATAGCTGAAGCTACCCATGACATGAGCGAAAAACAAATACACGCTAGCCATCGGCTGCGAGAGGGGGCTGTAGAGCCGTTAATGACGCAGGACAAGTGAAGCAGGAGCATTGACGGAGAGCTAATGAAAATTGGTGTGGGGTTTCCACACGTTCTCGACCTACTGCTTTCCCCACCTGTTTCGGAGTTGCGCCCTGACTCCACACACTTACCGTTGCATCACACGTTGGCAATTTGACCATGGTGGAACGCTAGACGGCGCAATTTCGCGTCTGTTGTTCATTTTATAATTGCGAATGCTGATCGTTCGGAATGTACGCGAACGCAGACGGATCCGTAGGTAGAGCGACATTGACTCGAGGTTCTGGATTGGACTTGTGCAAGTGAGGTACAATGCACACAGTGGACTCGTAGCCGAGGACTGGCCTTGGTTCTTATGAAGATGATGTTGGCTTGGCACGTGTACAGTCATGTTGCGCTATCTACAAGAGGAAGAAGTAAGATCGCATCCAGGTACCTACCGCCTTCGGTTGATTCGGATCGCTCCACTCGACAACATCCCCACCAAACACCACCACCTCGCTTGACATCACCGAACGCACGCCATGGCAGCCCATCCCCCGCAGCTCGAGCTCGCTGAATACGATGACGCCGGAAATATCACCGCGACCTACATCGAGACTGGTCCACGCATTGATGTGATCGTAAGCAAGGCAGCGAGCTCACCGCAACAACATCACGATCTAGTTTCACGCCGAGCTAACTGTTCTTCGATAGCTACCCGAGGAGCGCAAAACACTTTTGCACCAGGCTCTGGACGTGTTCCTGCCCGCCGGCTACCCTCAAAGCGTGACCGAGGACTACATGCCGTGCGTCCTTCCGTCTCAACACTTGTCCCGTTGCGCAACGATTTCCCCATCAAGTAATCATTCCGCTATTGGCATGCTCACGTTCGTTTCTGCCCGAACAGGTATCAAATCTACGTTCGTATCCCGTTCCATTTGTTTGCGTCACTTCCTTCGATGATGCCTTACGATTCGGTCCGCAATCTGCTGAAGGGACGTCATTCACGCACAGGACTCTCTTCAAGCCTTTTCTAGCTCCATTGCCGGCCTTCTCTCTTCTCGGGCCGTTCTTGAAGGTAGATCACCAGGACAGCACCGATGTCCCTTCCCCACACATGCGCCTTCGGCGATCATGATCGCGATCACGGCCAGCCAGACCGCGGCGATCCGCGCGTTGAGTAGCCTCACTCTTCCATCCACACCGTTATCATCGCCTCACCTTGGCGTGATTGCGCAGCCCCACCCCGCATCCCTTCCGCCGCGTCCCGAACCACGTGCTCAGTAACTAACGCTGCAGCTTCGCAGGCGTCGGAGTCGGGGACGCCAGCGCCTCGCCTACCGCGGCTCTGCTCCTGTCGGTCCTACAAGAGTCGACGGGTCGCGTTGCTACAATCCTCTTCGCGGCAAAGCTTGGAACCAGCCTGGAGCCGGAGTGCAAGGCGTGGAGATTGGCAGCTGACTTTTTCAACGATGCTGCTATGCTGTTGGATTGCGTGTCACCAGCCTTGCCACGCCTCCCGCGCGTCCTGGTTCTCAGTTTCAGCAGCATCCTTCGCGCTCTATGCGGCGTTGCTGCGGGGTCTAGCAAAGCGAGCCTGAGTGCTCACTTTGCGCGCATGCAGAACCTTGGAGAATTAAATGCGGTGAGTTGTCTTTCCTTTTACTCATGCTAGCGTCCAGAAGTTCCAAAAACGGACTCGTGCGGAGGATACCAGATCCTGCAGCTGGGATCGGCAGTTCTGTTATCAATCCATAGTACTGAAACGCATCCGGGGAACGTTTACGAAAGAGCTAGTCCGGCACTTGTTAGGTCCCGCCTGGATCCGTTTCAAATTTTATTCCGTCCCTTGCCGAACTTTAACTGACTCACTGACGGTCTGCGTTGTCTAGAAAGATTCCTCGCAGGAGACGATTATCTCCCTCTTGGGAATGCTTGTAAGTGCTGCCCGATCCGTCAAGCCAACGTACATTGCAGCCCTTCGGCCGCGAATGATGGGTGGCCAGTGTTGGGCCCGGGTAGACGGCTCGTGTCTCTACCGCTCACTTCCTTGAAGGCGGTTGACTAGCATAGCATCTCGCTTGCTGTTGCACCTTCAGAATCGCGTGCGATTCCTCCATACCCAAACCCTGCAGGTCAGCTGAGCGGATATGGAAACACGGGGCTTCGAGAAGCGCAAGTGCTGACTCTTAGTTACTCATAAGGCTGGGAGTGTTGTCGTGTCATGGGTCTCATCCCCGCTGGCGACATGGGTGGCAATGCTGCTGCTGCTGACAACTCACCTGGGGACCAACTATGCCGCCGTCCGAGCGGTCAGCATGCGGTCGCTGAACCGGCAGCGTGCCAACATCGTCATGACACACCTTCTCGCGTACGACAAAATACTCTCACCGCAGCAGGTTTCGCAAAGGGAGCGGATCTTCGAGCTTCGGGACGGAGCGCTGCGCTGGGCGGACGATCAAGTCATCGGCCGTTGCAGAATTGGGGTTCGTCTGGCCGAACTCGTGGCAAGGCTCCCAGGCGCAGAGGCTGGGGCCCCAGCTGCAGCGCGGAAAACCGGGGCGGTTGTGCGCGACGCCGGTGCCTCAGCCAAGACGATGTCGCTGTCGACACTGCTTAAGGTTTTCGAGCACGAGTCGTACCTGCTCTGGTTCGACTCCGCCAGGTCCGAAGCGCTCATCGTACTCAAGCAGAGTTGCGAGCCAGCTGCTCAGCTTCAGGCCTGGACGCAGGCGCTGCTGCTCGCCTCCCGCCATGGAGCAGCAGCCGGGGGGCGCCGGGGAGCGGCGGCGACTCAGACGTTGGGGCCACAGTCAGCCACGTCCCAGCAGGGCCTGAGACAGGCTGCAGAACAACACGGCCGCGTCAACGAGGTTGAGACGGAGCTGCGGCTGACGCTAGAGCAAACGCGCCAGATGTTTGGCGGCGGCAGCGGCAGCGCGAAAAAGCGGCTGGAAGCGGCGGGCTGGGACCTGAGCATTGCAGCTCTGGAGACCCACCCGGGCACACGCGCTGGCGTGCGGGCATCTCTGTGGCCGGAAGAAAAGTGAATGTGACTGCGTGTAGCAGCGCTCGGCTCGCTACAGGAGCGAAGCCTCATGCCGGATAGGGCAGTAGGCATGTAATTAAACGTTTGCTATGGCTGGGCCCGGGCCGGTGGAGATGGACGCAGGCGAGGGCCGGTCAGAGCCAGACATCATGGAGTCGCGGTTCTTTCAAGCAGGGACTCACCGCATCGGCGGAGCAACGGGGGCGCAGAACATGGCTGCTCAGGCACCACGAGGCTCCGCGTCTGGGGCCGCTTGCGGCTGCGACTGGGGCGGGCCAAAAATTGCGCAGGCCGGTGCTTGGAGACGTCACGGTGGAGGCTCTCGCTCGCTTCTCGGGTGGATGTCCGTCCGCGGTGGCATAGCAACGGCCATAATATTAGCAAAGCGTGGCAGGCGGCGCATCAGCAGCCAGGCGTTCGGCCGGCAAGCAGCCGTCATACGATAGTGTCATGATCTGCCCTGGCGTGCAGCTGGGCTGCAGGGCGCCCGAAGCGGAAGGCTTCTAGAAGGCCGGCGGAAAACGGGTGGCAGAGGGCGCGGTGGTGAGGTGCAGCGTCACCACTCGCGCTCTGGGCCGGGCGGCTTGGCCAAGGCTCCACACCCCCCGGCGCTGCTGCTGCTGCGCTTGGCCGGCTGCTCTTGGGCGTCTTGGTTACGAGCCGCAACAAGGGGACGAGTGGAGCCGCGCCCCTTCTCCTTTCCCTCACGGCGAGGTCAGGCCCGTTGGCGCCAGTGCAGCGTTGGAGAGGCCCGGCCGTGTGGCTCGTGGCAAAGGCAACAAAGGACGCGGTGGCCGGGCGGGCGCAGTGGCCCGCGCGCAGGAGAGGAGTCAGCGCCGGCCGTCCTATCACCGGCGATGGCATCATCTGGACAAAGAAGAGGCAGTCGCAGGCGCGCACCGTGCTGGCCGTGCGCGGCTGTTTGCGGTCGCTGTCGCACGCTGCGCGAGGGCGCTGGGGGGCGCGATGATCGGCGCTGGCTGTGAGATGCGCATGGAGCTGCCGCCTGCACCCATGAGCAGAGCGTGGTGCTTGCAGAGCCACGAGCGCCCGGCAGACGCGCGTGCTGCTCTGGCCCTGGTGGCGATGCCGTATTGCGCAGCGCTAGCCCGCCGCGCTGCTGCCGTCCCACAGCCTCCTGCCTGCTTCGGGCGCGCTTCGACGCGGCCTTCTCTGGCTTCTTTGTGCTCGATCAGCGGGGGCGTGCTGCATGCGCGCAGGGATACCATTGGCCGACGCCCGCCTAGTGCCTTTTCTCGAAGGGCGCCTGTCGGCTCTTAGGGCGGACGCTGATGCCACTCCGCTTCACTATCCAGATCATACCTCTCCGCGCTCCGTGTGCATCTGAGATTGCTGCCCGGTCCCTTCCAGCACCGCCCGTCTCTCCACGCCTGTCTCGCGCGCTGCTACTAAACCTCCGCCCCGGCACCGCTCGCCGCGTCCCTTGTCCTCCGCTTCCCAAGCAAGTGCACCAGACCGCCCGCGTGCCAGACGCATTGCTCCTTGCGCATCACTGCTGCCCTCTCCACTCCTCCCGCCTCCGTCAGCGGCCCACCCCCCCTGCCACTCCCTCTCCAGCGACCCCCAACCGCTGCCGCTCGTTTCAGGCCGAGTCTTGCGACAGCGCTACCAGCACCGTCGACACGCCTGAGGCGACGCTACCACCGCCCTCTAGCCGACCGCGCTGCGCTACCAGCGCCATTAGTCACCTCGCTCAATTCCACCTCTCGCCTTCTCCGCCTACTACCTACTCATCAACTCCGTGTCGCCTGCCTCTTGTGCCCCCGTTCCAGAAGCCCCCGCGCGACGCACCCGAGCACAAACACCGAGCATCCACCCGCCAGGCCTGACTGACCTCCGCTCGTGTGCGACGCCGCCGCCTCTCACCAACGACCGTCCATGTGTCCGGCGCACAGTCGACCATCGCAATAACAGCACCACCCCGCCCAGCAGCGAGCCCTGCCGTCTCTCAAGCTGGCGTCCAGACTCCGGCCCGTGCGGTCCGCCCAACTCTGCGTCTGTCCCGGCACCGGCTCTTCCCTCGAATCCCCGGGCACTTCGTGCAGCCCGGATCCGACGTGTAAAGAGCCGTGGTGGAATGTGATGCACCGCAAATCGGTCCCGCCTACTCTCCGTCTCAAGACCCCTTCTTTTACCGCGCCCTCGACCCGCTCCTCCACCCGATCCTCCTCGCCATCCGAAGACGAAAAAGACGTGAAGGGAGGATTCAAGATGTCAGCTCATGAGTATGTATCAACCACAACAACCGCCTCACGGCCCCTCTCCGTCGCAATACCAAGGGGATATGCTCAAGGTCCCTACTGTCCCAGGCGCCCGAACCTCTCCGAAATCCTTGCCAACACCGCCTCGCCACCATGGACCTTGAGCGCCTTCATGGCCTATCTCTCGCAGAACCACTGCTTGGAGACTCTTGAGTTCACGATGGATGCCTCCCGCTACAGGAAGCATTACAACAAGATGGTGGGCCAGAAGCCCGATTCGCCCGTCTCGCCAGACAGCGAAGAGTGCAACTACGTCAAGATGCTCTGGCAACGCCTGCTGGATGCCTACATCGCGCCGAACGGACCCAGGGAAGTCAACCTGCCGTCGGACGTGCGGGACAGCCTCCTGGCTCTGTCCAACCCTTATTCCCCCCCTCACCCCTCGACATTAGACACCGCTGTCGCTAAAATCTACGAGCTGATGGAGGAGTCCGTCCTGGTTCCCTTCCTGAACAGCCTCTCCCCCCAGAGCGCTGCCGGCTACAACACAAGCGAGGAAAACCTGTCACACTCGCACACGCGGTCCTACGACGAACGTGCACTCCGTCGTGAGGTCACCCAGTCCAGCACTGAGGGCCCTTCGAGGCACCGCGCGTCGGCTCCTTCATCCCTGACCACCAGCTTCACCAATGTCACCCGCAACTTCGGCGCCGCGGCGCACGCCCGTTTCGCCAGCTCCTCGCACCACCGTCACCCGCACTCCGTGGCCTCCTCCGCCGCCGCATCGCCATCAGATCGCGATGGTCTCACGGATGACTCGGGTAGCGCTAGCAGCCCTAGCGCCCTCGGCGATCCTATGACTCCACCAACGACGCCACCCATGAGCGACTACGGATATCCGCCGAGCGCTAATGGCACCCCGAGCCCGAGGAACAGCCGACATGAGCGTGAGGGCAGCGGGTGGAAGAGGATGAGCAGCAAGCTGGGTTGGAAAAAGAGGAGCAGTGGCCAGATTAGGGAAGAGCACGCGCAGCACCAGCAGATGGAGGGAGGAATGTTCTGAGGAATTAGGCCGAAGGGGGCGGCGGCCTGCCGTTCGCATCCCTCACGGTCTTCCTTCCAGACCCTTTCTTTTCGTGGGCCCTCATCACACGATGGAGTCGGACCCTCATCGGCTTCGTTAATCTCCCCGGGGACCAGGGTCCTGTGCCCCACGGCTCAAAGTCTATTATTTGGGCCCAGTAGCCCCCCGCAGCGCATTCCGGATAAGACCGGCAGCGCCGGGGCGACTCACTCGCCATCACTCACATTTACGACATGACTCAGGCATCTCAACCTCTCGTCACCTTGAACAATTCTTCACCGGCACTGCCGCTCCCGTCGAGGGCATTGGGATGGGCCTAGACGGCCGCCCACGTCCACACCACCCGTAACGACCTTCAAATTGCGAAACACGACCAGCATCATTAGCATTTGCACCGGCGTTAGAAAGCGGTATCTTGGCCATGACAACATTCGATCATTAAAGGTGCCATGGATTCAAGACGCCGGATCAATGGGTCTCGGTTCATCAGCATCATCGCCATCGCATCACGATCATCACTTATCGTCGTCATCATTGTCATCACAGCGCATTTCCTCTCATCATGGTCTTTTATGGTCGTCCGAGCCCCATCGAGGATGGGCCTGGCACACAGAAGCGTCCTTTCCTTTGCTTGTTCATTTCTGCACCGCGACACGACCTTGTGAAGATGAACGGTAACACGTCCTCTTCATTCATTGCACTGGCGTTGGAATCCAAAACAAGTCATGGCTCGACATGACTGCAACGGGTTATTTTCCGCTCTTGGGGTGTCAAATTCTCTCTCATGACTTATGGATACTCTTACTTGTTATTGTTATTTCATTATACGGCCGAGGGCGTAATGGTAGGGGCGGCAGCCTCATCAGCTTGCAGTTTGATTTTCTTGTTACCCAACTGAGTGGAGGAAAGGTGTGGGAAGCGAGGAGATGAGGCTGAGGGTGTGAAAGCCTAACCTTTTTTCTTCTTCGTGCTCCTATTGCCGCTACCTGTACGAAACGAAAGTACTCCGGAATTTTTTTTTCCTTATGTCGTCTTCATGCATAGATAGAGCTTCCTTCTGTCCTACTTTTCCACACTGAGAGCGAGCACGGCTGGATGAGCTGGGGTAACACCGACTTCGTGGCGCTTGTTCGTCTCTTGGTATCCGGGGGGGAAAGGAGCTCTCTGATTACTAGACAAATTTCTGAAATGGGATTGGTTCGCCGAACCAGTCAGCTTTCTCACTGCATACCACCTGCCTTTTTCCGACGCTTCAGCTATGAGACCATAATTTTGATTTCTCAGCCAATCACAATGCTGCTACCTACGTGGCTACCCACCATTGTCTTGACGCGGCGTTTGCCAAGGACGCTTCCCGTATTCTAGGTCCTCAGCTTGCCTTTGATCTGACTGTCGTGCGAGGCAGGTGAGAAGAGCACACGTACACGCTCTCTTTCGCGTATCTCCGAACGATACAGAGACAAAAAGAGAAAGAGGGTCAGCAAGATGCCAAGGAGTGCTAGTAGCTAAGCATGATTACTATGTAGTCGTCTCTTGGCCACCACACCCCGCATTTCTAACATGCGCCTATCCTTTTGCGAAATAGGCGGGGTACGCACGACAAAGACGACGGAATGGCTTAGAAATGTGCTGGAGATCGCAGAGAAGCGGCGACACTGCTTGGGATTCATGATTACTTGGTGTCGCGTAATGCTTGCTAAGGAGCTTGATCCTGCTAGCAGCAGATTGGCGAGAGGATTCTGAGATACGGCCCTTCTTTTCCACAGGGCTGAAGGCGAAACAGAAATAGACGCGACTTAGGGTTGTCGCGGTAGCCGGAAACGGCACGCATGGGCATGACGCGAAGGCTTCGCGGCCGCCTTTTTTTGGATTGATGCGCCGTCCTAAACATTCCGGTCCCCGGGACGGACAACGTTGCGCGCTCCCTTCCTTTTTCGTGCCAAGTAGCCATCCTTCAGTGGTTCTCGGGAACTATGCACATCCACGACGGTCCGATCGGCAGCGCCACATATCTCACTCCTTCTCCCCGAGTCATCCGGGCCGTGTTCGCCGGAAAAGCCGAGGACGGCCCTCGGTGGTCGGTGGCTTGAGCATTATTTTCCTTCACCTCGTCCGCCTCTGCGCCCCGCGTAGTAGCGCGCGTGTACGTGGCGCAACGGAAGAGAGGACGAAATTGCGCAACCAGCGAATGGCGCGCGACATCTTCGGTAAACGCTGAAAAATTCACCAACACCAAGCCCGTCTCGGATCGGACGTCGCCGCCAATCGTCGCCCGTTCTCGAACAAATGAAGTTTTTCCCTCCCCCTTTTTTTAGAACAACCGGGCGCCTCGTACCTCGCCAATGCAATTGCATGGTGCACGGTGGGCGCCGATGGCCGACGGGGCGACAATGGCGAAAACGGCGACCATAACGTCACTTTTCTCGGCAACGCCAGTGGTGTGGTGAACGTTTCTTTTTCTCTGCCATTGATGACTGGCTGTGTGGTTCTACAAAAACGGCCCGAACCACGGGAAAAGACACGCCGAACCGTGGTACGGGAATGCTGCGGTGGACCCCGAAGTGGGTGAGGTGGTGAGAGCAACGGTGAGGGGGAAGGAATGAAGCACAATTGCTTCAACGCTCCAACCAAAGAAAAAAAAAGTAAAAAAATAAACGTACGACGACGGTGATCGGTCCGAGGGAAGGCCCGTGTTTTCCGTTGTCTCGTGCGCGCTCGCTCGCGTCTGTGTGCGCGTGTGCATGGTCATCAATATCGCGTGGTTGTGGCGGTCGTCCTCGGGAGAGTGACAAGCGAAGGAGGACCATGCGGTTGCAAGCCACTCCGCCCGGGTCGCGCGTGCGCATGGGAACTAGCTGGTGGCTTTCGGAGCCGAACGAAAGGCCAGGAATGAAAGGCGTGGTCTAGAATCACCAGGGCGTTTTTTCGCTTTCGTGTTGCCGTCTCGGCTCCTCCTCTTAGTTCCGGGTCGTGGACTCGGGTTCTCGCTCGTGGTTCTTCGGGATTTCCGCTCTTTTACTCTTTTGGCTTTCGAAAAGGTTATAGGCGCCGTTCTATCGCGTCGCGTCCAACGGTTGCGAACCATTGGTAGAGCACATCACATGCTACAGGCGTACCGGAATTTACCCTCGACAACTGACTCGCACGCAGCTGAGTGCAAGACGACGCAAAGGTCTGGAAGAGTCGACTCTGCTCTTTATTAAAAGCTACAAGGCGGGTTCGCTTAGCATTGCACTTCCACTCTTAACGTTTTGATTACTACATGGACCTATTGATTGGCGCTTCGCCAGCCGCATCCTACAGTAATTAGAGATATCAAGTAAACTGGTCTTATACGTAGCCTTAGTGTGCTCTACATTGCTCTAATTAGCAGCAGAGCCAAGATTCTACTGTCTTTCCCCCCTCCTTTCGTTACCTTTTGCGCTTAAACAACAGCATTACTAAATGCTTTTTGCTTTGCTGATAACTACTTTAATAGGCGTCAGGCATGAGCCGCACATAGTTTTTACCCAGAATAGAAGGCCTAATTTGGCTTAGTCCCACCTCTAAGTATACATAGTTTCTGCTAGTCGCGAGCCCTTTAGAAGGTCAATCCATTATGATTTCAATAAAACCGGGATTGGTGGTCACCACAAGCTCTCAGCCTGAGCGATATACCAGTAATACGCGCGCCGGATACTGCGGGCGGCGGCTTTGTTCCAAACGTTATACCTCCCTTATTCGTGCAACTGTTATATCCGCACAGTTTCCAGAGGCGCAATCCAAACTTAATCCAAGACCTGGCTGAGACATACAGCACAAACGCACGACATAAGATCCCAGACACCCACCTCTCAACAAAAGTTTAAGTCCAGCCCGACCGTAACCTGCCGCGCATCTGCACGCAAATATCTCAAGAGATCGAAAAGATAATTCACGGCGAACGTGCAAAGAGATAGGGCAGCATCCTCGCTACAGAAGCTAGCTGAGTGAAGGTCAACCGCCACAACGCTGGCTAATTCTCTTGACCCCTTCCCTCCCCACCGCGAGCCACTAGCATGAACATCAGCACACCACCGGTTGAGCGGAAGAACGGAGACAGCTACAATACATTGGCCGGGTTGATGAAACAAGTCCAAGAACCATCCCCACTTGTGTGTGACGTTCACTCCCAAGGTCCCCACAGTACTTCTTTAGGAAGGCGGCAAAATGGATAAAACTGGGGAAGCGATCGTGATCGATCGCCCTCCTTTCTAGACAAAGCGTAAATCCCTCGATTATCAGTGATTTGCACATCGGCGAAAAAAGCTCTGCGGCGCGCCTGACGATAAAAATCTAGTCATAGGAAACCAGCCCGTTGCAATCGAAAAGGTTCCAACTGGACTGAACTTTTGCTTCTTTCGACGTTATCTGAGTATCGTCAACCATTAACCAGGCCAGTTCACCTATGATTGCGATAACTGGAGCTTTCGTGTAGACTCTTTTGTTCAATACATATGTCGTGCGTTTGTGATTCAACTACTTCAGTCGTTCATCTTACGCTTGTAATAATGAGCGACTTCACTCCGTCCTTCACTTGTATTGCGTTTAGATTCACGTAACTGGCAGACATGTTCTTGAGATTTTGTTTCATAGTTCTTGCTTTTCTTTCCTAACGTCACCTAGTCCAACTATGCTTACTCCAGGCTGGCCAATTGCCTTTGAACCAACATAACCCATGAGTGACCACACTGCCATAATGCCCATCTTCGCTGACTCCATTCATCTCAGCTCCTCCGCCCACTGCCTTTCTGGCATCTATTACAAAATATGAGAGAAATGGGAAAATGTAAAAGAAGACGAAGAGGTATGATACAAAAATCAACAAGATGCGCAAAGATTTTGCTCAAACCTGGTGAACAATGGTCCAAACCAAGTGAATGAGCCACGGGCGCAAAAGGCAAAAAGGATTGCCGAGACCGTCTCCCGCATTGCTCACCTGAGCAACAAACCGTCCGCGGGGAATCCAAGACGGTAACGTGCGGATCGCTCACTAGCGAAAGCATCGACATCTCCCCTCAGTCTTGCGCACCACCTATGCGCCATCAGATATCTCCCCACCTCTCATCAAGGAAAAATTTTCTTCGCCAGTGACACAGCAGCAAGGCGACACGAGATCCAGACGCAAGCAGAAAGTGAGGAGGCAAAAAGAAAGCAAGACCGGCGACCGTACGACGCTCCTCCACGTGGCGTCGGTGCGTCCAAAGAGAAGAACGGCGGTGCTAACGAAACGCACCGGTCTCGCCTCCCCGTGTGTGGTTCCAGATCGGGCGATGTGCATGCCGAAGAAGAAATGAGGGGTCGAACGTCAGAGCATATGCACGCACGGCCCGCGGGGCAGCTCCGCTAGTAGCAGCGGGTCGGCTGGTCGGCACAGGCGCGCGCTAATGCAATCGGGATGGTGTAGTCCGACAGGGCACCAGGACGACCGTCGTAGTTGGAGAGTGAGGGGTCGAGTGCCGGTCTCGTCCTCGTGATTTATTTGTTGGCCGGCGACTCAGAGCCCCCGACCGGGTTGTGGCCAGAGGGGAACTTGGAGTCGGAGGCCAGAGTCTCTGCGGGGTTGTCTGCGAGGCCTTGCGTTAGCTTGAATGATCTATTATTTCTCGGCAATGATGTAAGACTTCACAGCCAATGCCTCGGAAATGTAGACCTGCTGGTCCGTGGGGAAAATTTCTGGCCGGGGTAACTCTGTCCTTCCTCGCACGACGGTGGTGTGTGCTTGGTGCATTGCAGTAGCACTGCGAGGTGCAGCACACCGGCTGTTCGTGTTACAGTAACACCAGGAAGCACTGCTACCGCGTGTACACTAATGCAGTGCACCCGGCACCTCAAGCCATTGTCGTGCAAGATAGGAAGAAGCGAGGCAAAGGCGTTCCAGATCATGGAAAGGTGAAGTTGGACGAAAAAGGAACGGGATTACTCACCATGCCTAGCATAAAGACCATACTCCTCGTCGACGTACTTACCAACCTTGCCCTGCTCAACGTCCTTGCGGGTCAAGTTGAGCTTTCCCTTGGGAAGACCCATGCTGCCGAGGAAAGTGACGGCATCCCGCCACTCGCGATCTTGCCTCTTCTTGTCCCAGCCAAGCTCAGCTGACATAATGTCAATGACGTTGGGCAGAGCCTCAAGAGCAGCCTGGGCATTCAGGAAAGCCAGACGGGTGCGTCTTGCGATGACATCGACGGCGTTCTGAGCGTACTCGTGACGGACGGCATAGCGGACCTCACCATCAATGAAGGGGTAGAGCGGGGAGATGCGCTTGCCGCGAACAGGGTAGCGCTGCTCAGTGGGGCCAGCGAGGGCGCAGACAGTCCAGGCGCGATCGCCGTAAGCGGTGCAGAGGTGCTTAGCAACGTCGGTGTCAACGCCGAAGTGCTGGATCAAGTTGATGAACAAGGTCTTGCTGTATCCATGAGCGCCAATCAGACGGACCCTATGAGTCTGGCAGGTTCCGTCAAGAATAGCCTTTTCGTCGATAACGTCGGTACCAGAAACACGCGGGGGGTTGGCGAGGGGCTTAGGCTGCAGGTTGAATTCCTTGATAGCCTCGTCGACAGTTTGTTCAGCCATTTCACGGTACGTAGTCCACTTGCCACCAGCGCAGGTCAACAGTCCCGCGTCGGAGATGGTGATCAGATGGTTGCGAACGAGTCCCTCAGTCTTCTTTGCCTTGGGGTCACGGACCAGAGGACGAATACCAGACCAAGCAGCAAGTACATCACCGCGGCGCACGTTGATATCGGGAGCGAGGTAACCACTGATCTCGTTCAGAATCCAGCTGATCTCCTCCTCGCCAGCAACGGGGTTCTGCTTGACTTCGGTGGGAGCGTCGGTAGTGCCAGCAATCGTGTTGCCGTGCCAGGGCAGGAAGAAGATAACGCGGCCGTCAGAGGTAGAGGGATCAATCAGGCCCATGTTCGAAGGACTGAAGTAACCAGGGAGGATGACATGGACACCAGAGCTGGGAGCAACGATTTCTTTGGTCTGGGGATCGTCCATTTTGCGGATGGAGTCGGTGAACGGACCAGTAGCGTTGATGATACCCTTGGCGCGAATGGTGAACTCCTGGGGAACCTTGCCGTTAGACTCGTCAATGCAGTCCTTGACACGAGCGCCGTTCAGTCTGCCATTGGCGTCCTTTTCCAAGCCCGTGACCTCAATGTGGTTGACAACGGTGGCGCCGTACAGAGCAGCCGTCATAGCGAGCGAAACGTTCATGCGGGAATCATTGTGAGCACCATCTGCGACGAATTAGCGGCGGACCATTTGCCGGAAGCGTGGGGCGCGTACCGTAGTAAACCAGAGCACCGACGAGGTCGGACTTCTTCAACATGGGGAAGGCGTCGATAGCCTTGCTCTTGGTGAGGAAGTACGAGGTCTCGATGTTCTCAGAGCCAGCCAGGAAGTCGTAGAACTTGGTTCCGGCCCAGAAGTACGGGGCCTTCCACCACTTGTCGATAGGAATCATGATCGGGAGCCATTGAGAGAGATGCGGGGCCGTGTCCAAGAAGTAGCGTCTTTCGCGGAGAGCTTCGACGACGAGCTTGTACCTGGGAGCGGGGTCAATTGAAATGGCGCGCGGAGAGATGGGGCGGGCAAGACTTACTGCGAGTAGTCCAATTCCCAAACAGCCTTTTCCAGATACCTGACACCACCGTGCACGAGCTTGGTGCTCTTGCTGCTCGTGCCGGAAGAGAAATCATCGCGTTCGACCAATGCAACCTTCAGACCGCGGGTGGCGGCGTCAAGGGCAATACCAGTACCAGTGGCGCCACCGCCGATGACCAGAAGGTCGTAGGGGTCGTCGCCGTTCGCGTCGCGAGTGGAAGCCGAGTCGTTAGAACCAATAAAACCAGAGATGCCCTTCTTCGCCTTGTCCAGGGCGTGGGTCAAGTTGCGGGCGCAGCTGCTCTTCAGGTCGGCGATCTGCTCCTCGCGCGACTTGACCTTGGGGAAGTTCGGGGGACTGAAGACGCCGCCGGGGCCGTAGGTAGGCGGGGGGACGACGGCGGCTTCATTGCCGGGGATTTCGCGGGGTCGCAGGGAGGCGTAGAGGACACCACCACCGACGGTGGCAGCTCCCAGGGAGTAGAGGGCCGGCTTCAAAAAGCGCCGGGCGCCTTTGGAAGCCATTGCAGCGGAGGGGGAGGGGCGAGGGATGGGGAGAAGAGGAGAAGGAGCAGAGCCCGGGGCGGGCGGGTAGATATTGGCAGCGCGCTGGAGCTGGGTGTTGGTGGGCTGGCGGGCGCACGCGTCAGGGAGCTTGGGCGCAGGCGCACGTCACTGCTGCCCGGCGCCGCAGCCAGAGAGGCAACAGGGGCCCACGAAATTTTCCCGATGGCTCTCAGCGTCTCGCAGCTGGCAACAATTGGTGGTCGCAATGACGCAGGCAGCGTCCGGTATGAAGGCCGAGCGCCACCCGAGAGCCAGCCAAGCGCCCTCGACTCCACAGTTATGAGCTCAGGCGCCAGCTGCCCCTTGGGGAGCTCAATCCGCCGTCGAGATCCTTCCGTCTTTGTCATGCCCCCGCTCGCCAAACCTGCCTTCCGCCAGCGCTCCGCCCGCCGCCCGCCCATGTGACTCCGTGTCCGCGCAGCTCTCCAGGTCTCGCCTCATCTCGCAACTCCTTTTGACGGTCCAGAACGGACCCAATGCTGACGCCCCTGAGTCTCGCGGAGCCCGACTTCGTTCAACAACCCCGTGTTGGGCGCCCCAAGCTCCACCAAGCTCCACGCTGCTCCCCGCTGCCCGGAGCGCCGTGCCGCGATCGGCACCAGGGTCCCTCCAGACACCTGGAGGACAGGTCTCCAGTTCTTCCAAGATTCCCATGCCTGGAGAATAGCGGGGACTCCAACTCGACATTACACCTTCCAACGTCATACATCGTGGAATAGCCATTGCCGCCCGCTGCCCGCTGCCCACTGCCAGAATTCGACCCGGTCCGACTGCGCTGCTGCTCATCATCTGCGTCTCGCCTCCTGTTCGATATGCTACCTGGGGCTGAGAAGGATGCTGCTGGAAGAACCAACACCAGCCATCGATGCTCGCTTGGGCCCCATCCTCCAATTGCGCCAGCAGAAAAACGTGTGAGATAGAGCATCAAGCAAGAACAGACTACGAGCATGACGTGCATCTCTATCCCCACAGGAGGTGCGCCAGGCATCCCATCATGGAGAACCTGGCATTATCGACGATCTGAGTGGATACACTCCCGATTTTGACCAATTTCTAGCAGAACTGGGTCTGCCATTCGACTTTCCGATGCTTCTTTCCCGGAAATCCGCGTCCTCGTGCCCGCAAATCGTCAGTCTGGTACCGGCAATCGAGTAGCAAGTGTCCTCCTGCATAACGACAACGGTCCTATTCTGTTTGACGCTAAGAAAACATCTGATTCCCCTTTCCGCGCCGGACTCTTCTCCGCTATAAAGTTGTTTCTACTATCAGGTCCTCGATTTGCCCCTGGACCCTACTCCTCTCCCGGCTGCCAGACCCAGCATCGAATTATAGTCAGTAAACGCCACGGCCTCTCCAACGACCACCAAGCAAAGCAGCTTGGTCCCGTAACAGTCCAGTTTCTGAACTGTACAGGCCGCGTGGCCCAATGGCAAGGCGCTTGACTACGAATCAAGAGATTCCAGGTTCGACCCCTGGCGTGGTCACATCTTTTTGCCCATTTGCAACGGGTGTGTTGTCAGAGTCTGCGTTCATGTGAACATAAGATGGGCGCGAAATTTTTTTAACGGCGCTGGTGGCGTCCGGGCGCGGGCCACTGGGCAACATAGCCGATTGGCACGTACCCCGGCGCGTGCAGCCCCAACAAGCGGACAGCCGAGCAGAGCCTCTTGCAAGTCATGGGAAATCCCATTGTATTTTTCCGTCGCCAGCCACATGGAAGGATGATTGGACTTCAACAGCTCTGATCAGGAGAGCTGTAGTTTTTGCCGCCTGTCTGTTGTCCGACTTCGGGCCAGAACCTGCCGAACCAGAGAGACGACCTTACCTTCTTTCTCCCCCTTACCCCTATCTCTTTTGTTGCTGGCAATAAGTCTACTGCGTGTCACATTACTCGTGGTTTTCGAGAACCCCCCACTTATTGTTTCTCGAGAAAGGTGTTCTGTGCTGCCAACACTCAGCGCGGTCTGAATCGCCAACTCCCTTCAAAAGCAGATCATTGAACTATTGTCTATCACGAAATGTAACTCTAGGTACATCCTTCGAATATTGACACCAGCATACCGTCTCCTGAGCCAGCAAAATACCATGCAGGATGCCGATACCGTGGCCTACTATGGCAGTATGTCCTCGAGACGTTGGTTGCCGCCGCGGCATACATGGCATAGTTGACGGACAAGAGCGCGACGCCGAAAATGGTGGAGATATACCAACTAGCCTCTGCCAGGCGATCGAATTGGTCTCGCGATAACATACGTGATCCCCTGAGCCGCGGCATAGGTCAGTCTCTCACGAACGTACCACATGTCCCGGGTTAGGCAAACGTGATTGAGCATATTTGAACATGTTTACGCCGATTTTCTCGTCAACACCCCGGTGGTTTTGCTGCGATGCTGACATGCCCCTCATCGCATCCCATTACTGACGGAAAATGCGGTGCAGAAGAGACCACAAAAGCAGCAAAGGAAAACCAGAAGGAGGAGCGGAGGAACAGGGAACTTACCGCAGGCCCCGCAAGCGTCTTTGCCTGTCTCGTCGCTATAATGTCTTGCTCAATCGCTACCTCCAGTACTGTCTATGGCGTATTATCTAGTTTCTTCCACTCAGATGCCTGTGTTGTGAAAACGTCAGCTTAGAAGAGCAAAAGCGGCCGCTCGACGAGTGTAGTGTTGCTGCTGCTGAGATTAGCGCTCACAATCTCGGCATACTCGAGCCATGGAACGCGCGGTACGCCTCCAGCGACCACGTTGAATATGTTCTATGTACTGGGGAGACTACGGTGAATTAAGAGTAGTATTAAAAATTAGATAGAAGAGGAAATGACAGAGAGAGACGCACAAACATTGCAACTAATTATAAGAAAAAGACTTGATCATCAAACTCATTCCTAACTTTGAACGCATTCCTTTCCCATCTTCTCCTCAAGAGCGCGCCGCACATCACATACCTCCAATACCGTCTGCGCCATCCCAATTTATCCATAACAGAGGTTCGATATCGGGATAATCTTGAGCGATTCGATGAAGGCGGGACTCAACGTCAATGCGTCTAGTTGATCGGCGTCCGGGGCGGAGCAGCTTGCGATAAGCGCGGTGGAGGTCTGCGTTTGTTTGCCAGGTCGCTACATTTCGCATGGACGAAGGTGTGCCGGTGGAGGTAAGGTTTTGGAGGAGGGCATTGGTGGATACATGGGAATATGCGGACTATCAGCCTATCCCAACCTGCATTATTTCTGAGAATGTGGAACTGCCGCATTGTCTTCTGAGGCTGGTAGGGGGGCAGAAGCAATCGTGGGAATACGCCTGCAACATAATCGCCTCTTGAAATTTCTTGTGAGTCGGATATTTGGCATCAGGCCGCTCCCCATATCTCCCCTATTTTCCAACTTCTCTAACTTTGTCCATTTTGCCCGGAGTAGGGGAAAGGGAACTCATCGATTTCTGCACTACAGAAATAATGCCTCTTGTTGGCGATTCTATCCGTAATCTCGCGCCTTCCAAGTTGCTCCAACAAGCGTAGGACAAATGGCGTTGGTAGTTTCTGTCTCTGCGCTTGTTCGGCTTCATCGTCGAAGTCAGGTTGCCAAAGAGATCCGTACAAGTCGACAAAGAACTCACATAGCTTGGAGTCATGCGGAAGATGTTCGAAAGCGAAGATAATGACATCGTAAGAGGGTAAGAGACCTCGGCTTCCGGATCTCACGAATTTGTCGTAGAGGGTTGCAACGATATCACGCTGCAGTTCTGGTATGTCGTTGCGGTATGCAAATAGATAGCCTCGAGCAAGAGCCATGTATCGTAGATCTTTTCTCACTCGTCCAGTGTGAAGCCAATCCATCAATAAGTCTTGAAATATCCATGGGTCTTCCTGATTGGGGATGATGATTTCTCTAAATGTATCCAATCGGTCGTTCTTGAAGGATGTCTGAAAAGAGGGCCAACGCTGATAGAGGATCCATTTGCTGATGTGAAGAATCTTTCCACTGGAGCCAATAATTAGTGCAACGATATCCTGATCCATGCTAATGTTATGCAAGTCAGCGCGTTAAGAATAGCATCCAGATTCTCAGTGGAGTATTTACCTAGGATCAGGTCCTCGCGATGAGATCTTGCTTGTGTATTATTCTCATGTAAGTAGAAAATGGGAGAATCTCTCTGATGCTTTTTTTGGTGGGAAAGTTTTTGGTGGGGAGATCTATGGAACGGAAGAAAGGCGTACCACAGGTCCATGTCTTAAGGCACATGGTTGGGCCTCATCAAGTTCACTCATAGGGAGGGTTAAGAAAGTCTCTCTAAGTTGTATTGTTGAAGCGTGGAAACAGTATTCTATAGGGTTGTAGATTTCGTCTGAAGAGATTTGCCTTGTTCCCTTTCTCCTCGAAGCACACACAGCTGTCGAGTTGAGGTACAGCCAAGGTACAGCCAGAAACCCCGAGGATAACGTTCTAGCGTGAGCAGACCGGGCGAGACCTCTCAAGAGATTTGCAACATTATACTTCCACGGCGAAATGGAAACATGTGCCCCTCAGACGGATGTTGTCGGAGCCACTGCTTCGACTCGTTGAGTTTATCGGCGCGGTACGGGTCAGCCTGCCCACGAAAACATTAAAGTGCGGGGAAAATCTTATTCTAATGCACGAATATCGATCACGAAAATGACAACGCAGAGTTGGAGTCAGGCGGGGAAATGGAAACTCGGGGGCGCAAAGTAAGATGCACTGATCTCTCTATTACGCATTCTTCCGCGTAGCTTGGAAAGAGACAACCCTATACAAAAACTGTTCTAACAAGCTGATATGAAGACGGACTTTGATGGCCTTAGATCGTTCCAGGAGCGATGCAGGGTATATGCAATATCATGTCGTTTTTACAACTTGGCCTTTGCCTGCTTGAGCATGGCATCGGCAACATTCCTCCTCTGAATCTTGCCTGTTGCCGTCTTCGGCATGATATCGGTGAAGAAGACCCTCTTGGGCAGCTTGAATTTAGCCACGCGGTCCTTGAGCCAATCCTTCAGCTCGCCCGCAGTGAGCTGCTGGCCTTCCTTTAGCACGACGGCAATGCCAACATCCTGGCCGTACATCTCATCAGCGATGGCGAAGCTGACAGCCTCGGAAATGGCCGGGTGCTGTGCCAGGACGTTGTCGAGTTCGATAGGAGAGATTTTCTCGCCACCCTTGTTGATGAGCTCCTTGATGCGGCCCGTGATAATGACATAGCCATCCTCATCAAGCTTGCCCTGGTCGCCGGTGCGGAAGAAGCCTTCCTTGGTGAAGCTCGACTTGTTGGCCTCCGGATTGTTGATGTAGCCCTTGGTCACGTTCTCGCCGCGGATGCAGATTTCGGCCTCCTTGCCCTGCGGCACCTCTTTACCGTCTTGGTCAAGGATCTTGACCTCGACGCCCTGGCCGACACCGACACTGCCAGGCTTGCGAGGGCCGTTCTGCGGCAGAGGGTTGGAGGTCATCTGGTGGGCTGCTTCAGTCATGGCGTAGGCCTCAAGAACGGGCGCACCGAATGTCTTCTCAAGCTCGTGGAAAACCTTGGGCGAGAGAGGGGAAGAGCAAGAACGGATGAAGCGGATGTTGGGCTTAGGGTTAGGAGGCGGGTTCTTGAGCAGAATTTGGTGGATGGTAGGCACAGCAGTGTACCAATTGGCTTTGTGCTCGGTGAAGTCGTGCCAAAACTCGGAGGCAGAGAACTTAGGAGGGACAATGACGGAGCCTGCGGAATGCAGCGGGGCAAGGAAACCTGCCAGCAGGCCGTGGACGTGGAACAGCGGCATGACCAGCATAGTGCGGTCCTGAGGAGAGAGTTGGTAAGTCTTCTGGATGTTTTCTGCACATATGTTAGCACGTAATTTTGAAGTGTTGGGCATGCGGAGATGACTCGTGAGCAAGCCGTCCCGTTCCATGTCTTTCTTCGGGAAGAAGGTAACGTACTCATGGTCCTGGTGAGGTTACGGTGGGTCAATGGCACTGCCTTGGGCCGGCCAGTGGTGCCACTGGTGTGGAGCACAAGGGCGACATCCTCGGGCTGAGCCTGCTCAACTCTCTGATTCCCCTTTCCCTTCAGCTTTCCCTGTTCCTTGACGTCCAGCACGACTTCCTTTCCATTCCAGTAGCACTCGGCAATAGCAGCTTGATATTTCCTAGCGGCCCTGACAGCAGGTGAGTCCTGGGCAAACTGTCCCCTGGGAACGAGGGCAACGGCGGAGCTGAGGTCATCAATGTAGAATTCAAACTCGCTCTGCTTGTAGGCGGGGTTCAGAGGCGCGGCAATGGCTCTCTGCCACGAGGCGGCGAGGAAGGAAACGATAAACTCATAGCTGTTCGGCAGGGCAATGGAGACAGCCGACGCGGGGGAGATTCCAAGTGCAGCGAGTTTCTTCTGGAATGAGGCGATGTCGGCGCTCAGCTGCTGGTAGGAGACGGTCAAGGCCGGCTTTCCAGGGACTATGACGGCAGTCGACTGTGACTGGGCCGAGAAGGCGTTGGCAAGAGTGGTGGCCATGGCGGCGGACGCGGACAAGTAGTGGAATGCAGAACGGAAAAGAGACGGACGGGTGGACGCGAAGATAGAAATCGGATAGGCGGCAGGGAGAAATTAAGTATTCACACGAAGCACGTACGGAACGGTTGATCGGACGGGAAGTCGGCAGAGGGAGAAGTCGGGATAGCGAGCCGTGAGCGTGTCGCGGCCGATTACGCCATTGCCATGCGGGACGTGCTTGCGCGCACAGACCCGAGATGCTGGAGCCCGAGCGCGCAGCCTGTCCCGCAACGAACCAAGCTTCGTGCGCGCATCTATCAGCTGCGACAATATCCACTCCGCACCCCAAACCTGTCGCCCGCCATGGCTCAGGACAACGCAGACAACCCCCCGCCGCGGGGCTTGTCTTCATTCGCCAACCTGCTCGGTTCCAATGCCGGCACCATCTCCAGCGCGCCCGTCATGTACAATCAGCAGCCCGGCGCCGACGACCAGCAGCAGGACGCCACGCCCGCTAAGAAGCAACAGATCAACTCAGGTACCTATTGCGCGCCTCTCGCGTCTGCTTTCGAAAAGATGTAGAATAGTGACTTATGCAGCGCCGTGTTAACCCGAGCAGCAGCGCTCCGCTTCCAGCCTACAAAGCGCCCGCAGATCCAGTCGCAAAAGAAGACCAAGCCTGCCTTCCCCAAGCCTGCCACCCCAGCCCAGAGCTCGAGCTCTCCCGACCCGCAGGCCGTAGCAGCCAAGTCTACAGCAGCGCCCGGCATCGTTGCGCTGGCTGCAAACCCGCCCTCCAAAGCCTCGCTGGCCGACTTCATTGGCGATGACGACGACAACGGCTTCTACGCCGCCTCGCAGCCCAGGGAGCGCGGCGGCCGTAAGAACAAGAAGAAAAAGAAGAAGAACTACGAGGCGCAGGAACAGAACTGGGACGACATCTACGACCCGTCGCGCCCCAATGACTACAACCAGTACAAGGGCAGCGAGGAGCAGATGCGCGAGATCGCAGAGTGGAAAGACCTGCTCTATCGCCACAAGTCTCTTAGGGAGCTTTCCAACGAGAACCCTGAGAGTGACGATGAGGACTACCAGCGCTCGCGCGTGAAGCGTAGGCTGCCCCCAAGCCTGAGACTGTATAAACGCCTGGCTGACACCATCCTAGCTCAATTTGCCCCGCCTAAGAGTTACAACTTTGCTCCACCTTCCAATCTCAATACACCCACACCTCCTGCTCCTGCAGTTCCCGCTGAAGTACCTGACGACCCGACCGGCGAAGATGCATACGCCCGCCGCATGCGCTTGAGCGGCTTGGACGCTCCAAATCCGCCGCCTCCGCCTGAGGAGCATGCTGGTCCGCCGCCACCACCTCCTGCAGAAGCGCCACCTCCGCCTCCGCCTGCTGGGACCATCTCTCGTGCAGCTGTGCGCTACAATGTCCCGCCACCCGAGCAGTTGTCAGAGGAACTTTCCGGGGAGATCGCCGCTGAGGAAGAAGTAGCAGTGGGCAAGGACGCGGAGGATGCACCGCGCTCGAGAACGCCAGGTCAGAAGGGCTTCGCTCAGCGCATGATGGAGAAGTATGGCTGGGAGAAGGGTAAGGGTCTCGGTGCTAACGAGAACGGTATTATCACGCCCCTCCGGGCGCAGACAGAGAAACGCCTGAGGCTGTCCGATGCTCAAGGCGGTGGCTGGGCAGGCCCTGCTGGCATGGGCAAGATCACCGGTGGTAAGAAGGCGAAGAGCAGCGAGGAGGAGGGCAAGCACGGAAAGATGAGTGCTGTTATCGTCATGACCAACATGCTAGTGGGCTTGGACGTGCAGCAGGAGCTCGATGAGGGTAACCTGGTGCAAGAGATTGGCGATGAGCTTGACAAGGCAGTAAGTCTTCATGTTTTGGTTCTGCACTAATGAGCCCCTATGATGGTTAACAGCTCCCATAGGGTGGCCGAGTTGAACGCGTCTTCGTTGATCGATACGCCTCGGGCGACGATATTCCGGTATTTGCGAAGTTCACGAATGAGTTGTCGGCATTGCGCGCCGTCAACGCAATGGACGGTAGGCGGTTCAATGGCAACACGATCAGCGCCCGCTACTTTGATGTTGACAAGTTCGAGAAAGGCGATTACACGCTATAATCGCCAAAAACTGGGGCGCGGCGTAGGGTGTGGTGGTATGCAAGCGATGAATAATCTTGGCGTTTTTACGGGACATTGGGCAGGTAGGCAAGGGTTGGCACCTGAATGTATTAGTACGATTCCTAGCGATGCTATTCAGAAGAAAAAAAAAATCCAGAGCGACATAATCCAAATACGAAACCTGCCGAGGGCGAAGTCGTTCGAGCGGTGAATGAAAATGCTGGAGCTCAAAAGCGTGCATATCATCTGTCTATCAGGCCAGCCGGAAGCTTTCGATCCGGATCGGGACGATTGGATGCAGGGCCATGTGGGTCGACACGTGGAGCAGGGCAAGTGCCGCAGTGGCGGCTCTGATAATTAAGCAGCTCAGGCCAGAGTCACCCTACGCCTATCGATACGTGCCCCGGCCGTGAATTTCACTCCACGTCTTTCCTCCGCACCTCCCTCCACTCGCTCAGTGGACTTTTTGTTTTTCGTTTCTTCATTCCTTTTCCGTCGTCATCCATCATGCCGTCTTCAGTCACGACCACCACGACTGTCGAGCCCAAGACGAAGAATGCAGAGCCCGATTTCTTCTGGACCTATACCGAGGAGCCGCACCGAACACGGCGCATGGCCATTATCAAGGCGCACCCAGAGGCAAGCCCGCCCCCACGCAGCCCGCGCCATTGAGCTCTCCGAACTAACCTGCTCCTTCGCGTAGGTCACGAAGCTCTGCGGTCCCGAGCCATTGACCAAGTATGTCGTCGCCGGCGTCGTTGCGCTGCAAGTAACCTGCGCCTACCTCCTCCGCAACACGCCCATCCTGTCCTGGCCCTTCTTCCTTACCGCCTACATTATCGGAGCCACGGCAAACCAGAACATTTTCCTCGCCATCCATGAGATCTCGCATAACCTGGCCTTCCGGTCGCCCTTGGCGAACCGCGTCTTCGCCTGCTTCGCGAACTTGCCCATAGGCATTCCGTACAGTGCTTCGTTCCGGGTGCGTATATACATGGTCACATTCGCGTTTCGATAGGGCATCGGCTAATGACAGCAACCAGCCCTACCACCTCACGCACCACAAATCGCTCGGCGTCGATGGGCTGGACACGGACCTGCCGACAGCCTTTGAGGCCGTTGTGCTCGACTCGGTGCTTGGAAAGGCCTTCTTCGCGACCTTCCAGATCTTCTTCTACGCGCTGCGGCCCATGTTCGTCTACCAGCTGCCCATCTCCAAGATCCACCTCTTCAACATCGCCTTCCAGCTCGCCTTCGACTACGCCCTCGTCACCATGGCCGGCTGGCACGCCTTCGTCTACCTGCTCGCGTCCTCCTTCCTCGCGGGCTCGCTGCACCCCTGCGCCGGCCACTTCATCGCCGAGCACTACGTCTTCGAGGGCAACAAGGACAAGCCGTCGGCCGGAGCCCATGGCCCTGCGAACAGCCTCGCGTGCCCCCCGCCCGAAACCTACTCGTACTACGGCCCGCTCAACTTCTTCACCTACAACGTCGGCCTGCACAACGAGCACCACGACTTCCCCGCCGTGCCATGGAGCCGCCTGTGGGAGCTGAACCGCATCGCCAAGGAGTTCTACGACCCCCTCCCCCAGCACCGCAGCTGGGTTGGCGTCATCTGGCAGTTCATCTGGGACAAGGACGTTGGCATGTGGTGCCGTGTCAAGAGGGCTGAGGGTGGTAGGAAGGTCGGCGGTGGAAATGGACCGGCCGCCAAGGTCAGCGTCTCGGCTGGCTGGAAGGAGGAAGAGCTGGGTGCGAACGAGGCATCTTCGATTCCCGGGGTGAAATAAATGTGGGCTGTTGAAGGTGGTCTTATTGACACGGTAGCTTGACGAAATGGAGGTTTATGAACGGTCATGATTAGAGAAAAAAGAACAAAAAAACTGTGATGACGGCATGTATGTACATAAGAAAAAGCAGGGATTGACATTGTTAGGCAATATCGTAAAGTAGCATCTTGATAAAGTGAGAAGGAACCGGATAGGCTAGGACAAGGGACACATGTATCACTTAATCTCACTTGAGGTGCATGTAGGAGAGTGTAGTGTTCACTTTATCATTCGTATCATGGTGCGAGGTCAACCATTCTGACGATCCATGCCGAATCTAACAAAAACTATATTCTTGATTTGTTGGATGATTGTGTTCCTTCACTGAGTCACAAAGGCTTCCTGATGGCGCTCTTGAACGGGTAAATCTGGACCTGTGTGTTTGAGCTTGGAGTTAGCATTCGTTCATGGCTCGAGTCAAAATCGGAGGAGAAAGGCCGATCCCGCCCACCGCTCGGACAAACTCCAAGACAACCACCCCTTAGGATACAATCTTGAGAGTCCTGTCTCCGCCTTTCTCCGCTTCCAGCAGACCAACGTCAAGTAATGAGAAGGGCCAAAATCAGGATCGAGAACAGAATCGAATGAAAAAAAAAAAAAAGAGGGAAAGGAAACGTACCTTGCTCCAGTCCCAGACTTGGTTCTCAGTGTAGACGTCCTTCTTGAGCTTCTCCAGCACCTCCTCCTTGCTGGCGGCCCAGGCCAGCATTGCACTGCCCAGCATCTTCATCGGCTCGCCTTCCTTGGGCACGTCCTCCAAGAAACCACCACCCCAGAGCCAGAAGTCGGGTGGGTAGGTCTGCAGGTTGGCCAGGTGTTGTCTGTGAAAATATGATTGGTTAGCCTGTGCCTGTCCTCTGGATTCATTTTTTTTTATCTCTATCGTGTCTCTTTAAGTGTTGAGAGGAGCGGGTTAGGGTTCTTTAGCTCCGAGGAACAGGAATAAGACAGGATGTGGGGTAATATCTTGATTGATGATGAAAAGAATTTTTTGTGGCCGAAAGTGGGGGAGATGAGGAACTTGTCGGAGCTTTCAGACTTACTGCCTAACTTCCATACGGCGGGCCAGGGCACCGGCCTGGTCGGGCAGGATGACGAGCCACTCGTACTTCTGGGGTTCGGACGACATGGTTCTGATGGTGGTTTTGTTGAAGCGGTTGCGTGAGATATGGGTTGCAGGCGAGGAGGAAGAAGAAGAAACAGCCAGCGGGAGAGCTCGATAGAGGGTGACAGGATTAGGGCGTGCAGTAATCAACGGCGAGAATCGGCGGACGGCAGCGGCAACAACCATAGAGATCTTGCGGCAGTAACCGGGAAGAGAAGGAGCTTACTCTTTTCCTGCTTGCAGGAAAAGCTGAGATCTCAGATGGAAAGAGGAAGAGGAAGGAGGCGTGACGGCAGAGAGGCCGAGGGTGAGGGATGGGCTATATATCTTGTAGGATGGTGGTTCCCAAGATAGACGAGACAGGATGATCAAGCCAGCCGAGTCAGGAAGGAATGCAAATGGGGCAAGTCGCGCGTGACGTTGCGTGGATCCTTCTCTTGACAAAGCCAATTGACGAGTTACGATTTCGTACGAGGAAAAGTCGGCGGAAGAATATTCCCGCGTGTCTCCGGTTAATGCACTCCGTAGGGCGCGACTTGTGGATGGTGGGAAAGAAAAGGTGCCATCGATTGCCCCACCCTCCAGGGCGGTACCATGCCCCCCGCTGCAAGCCCCGAGGCTCGGCGCAACGCCCCCGGCGGGGTCATGGAACCATCCCGCCCTTGCCTGCTTCTAGCCATCACCGTTGTCTTAAGCATCTTGCTCCGCTGACGGCGACTGCCGGTCATTACTCATTGACCCTTCCTATCTGCTCTAATCGCCATCTCAAGCCCACTACTATCACCCGTCTCAGCATCCCACTCGCCGCGTGTGCATATCCTGAAACTGCATCTTCCGAGCTGTTTCAGCAGGGCTGCATCATCACGACACACACATATCTCTGCCCACCCAACCGCAGGGAGCAGAGACGAACGAAAATTATCCCGCCAACCATTTAAAAGCACAACCACGCACGACAGCCCTATATGGGAGGCGATAACGACGATTTTTTCCCTGACCATGACGCCGCCGGCCGTGATCGTGGTGGTGGGGCCATCAGCGACGAGTACAGCGCCGACTTTCAGCTGCCCCTGCCGCCGCTGGCCGAGGAAGACGTTGCATTCCTCCGAGCTGTGGCTGCGAGAGCTGGGAACGCAGCGTCATCAAGGGGTACTGGTGGTCAGCCCATTCTTCGCAGCTTGATTGCGGCGTACAATGCCGAGGCCTCGGAGCGGGGCATGCAGCGAGGGTTGGCGCCCATCTATCAAGGCTATTTGCTGCGGATGTCTGATGGTGTGAGTGTTGACGAACTGGTTAGTGGAAGCAGCAGCAGCAGCAGCAAAGGAAAACCCGGGGATAAGAGAATAAGTCAGAAGTTATAGCGGATGATGTTCAATATGCCAATCGCCTTTGCAATGCTGCTCTTTACTTGGAATGTTTGATTTTTGGTTGTCCGTCCGTCCATCTGCCCACACATGAAATACATTCTTCGTCAAGTTGGTAGCTCGGCATATCCTGTGAATTTCCAAAGCAAATGCCGGGGTTTTTATAGTGATACAAAAGTTTTCAGTAATCGTCACCCCGACTGATGACCTCCTTGACATTGGGACGAAGAAGGATGGTCTATAGGAAGGGTTAACTGGAGTCAAGCGAATGGCCATTGGAGTTGAGCGGGTTCTTACGTGCTCGAATTGTGCAGTGTAGGAGCCCTTGACATCGCACAGAGGAGGGTACGCCTCCACGATGCCACTCTGAACGAGGTTGTTGAGACCAAGGAGGTACTTCTCATGGCCAAGACGGTCCAGGTACCTGCGGCAGAAAGGCAGGGTACCGAAGTTCTTGTTAATAGAGGTGAGAAGCGTCTTGGCCGACGAGACGCGCAGCGCCACCTTGGGAGCGTCGACACGCCTGGCGTAGTGCGAGGTCTCCATCTGCGGGGGTAGTGAGTTTCAGCCTTCTTCGCGTAGAAATGTAAAGCATATGGAGGAACACGCACATCGTCCCGGACGTAACCCTTTCCGGTACTTCCGAACGTTTCGATGGCAAAGGTTTCACCCTCTTCCATCTTGGTCTGGTCGGAGCCCTTGACGATCGGCACGCTCTTTCCACCGTGGATCTCAAATTGGTTGATGTTGTGGCCGTTAAGGTTGCGGATGCACTTGACCTGGTGTGTTTGGCCATCAAGCTCGACTTCGTAGCTCTCCATGACCTCCTGGATAGCAGCACCGATGTCAGACATACGAACGTCAATACCGGCTTCCTAGTCAAAAGTTAGTCAACACGACCCTGCCTATACAGTCGTTGATGCTTGCCTTGACGCCAGTGTTGGTCGCCTCCTTCACGGCCTGAAGCAGCGGGTCGTACTTGTGGTCGAAAGCCACAGTAAAAGCACTATCGACAATTCTGCCGTTGATCTGGGCACCGAAATCGACCTTCATGACATCCTCGTGCTGCAGAACGATCTTGTTGCCGGCATTGGGTGTGTAGTGCGCAGCGCAGTGGTTCAAGCTGAGACCGCAAGGGAAGCCCATTCCACCCTTCAAGTTATCACCCTCCTCAAGACCTTGGTGGCCAGTCAGGTAGCGCACACCGTCCTCGATGCCTTCGGCAATCTCTGTGAGGGTCATGCCAGGTTTGATGTTCTTCTGAGCCCACTGGCGTACCTGGCGGTGGACCTCAGCGCCCTGGCGGTACTCGTTGAGAAAGTCATTGTTCATGCGGTCCAGGTGACGCTTCTCCTCGTTGGTGGTACGGTACAGATTCTCGTCGCGGTATTCTTCGATCTGGCCCTCAGGGTAGATGCCATTGGGGAACAGCTGCGACACGGGCACGCGCGGCGGGTCTGACTGTTTGGATGCACTACCGCCGGCGCCTCCCTTCTTCTTCTTCTTTCTCGGCTTCTTCTTCTTCTTTTTCGCATCTGTGGTAGACGTGACATTGTCAGCAATGCGCGGATCGAGCAGGATGTTGGAAGGGAGCGAATAAATGGGAACGCAGACCTCCAGTAGGGGCGCCGTCGGCGGGAGCGTCGCCCTCATCATCGTCGTCGCTCTCAGCGTCGCCATTCACCGGCGCGCCGTTGGCTGCGGCGCCCTCGGCGACCTTGCCGTTGGCCTCCTCCACTACGTCATATCAGCATAGGGTACTTTTCTCGAGCCAGAAAAGCCATCGCGGAGGGGCATACACTTGAGGTCCTTGATTCCCTCTGTTGCTGCTGCTGCCATTGTGTTTGGTGTGAGAGGGCTGTCGGCTCTGGAAACGGTGGGGCAGCGGGTTAAGAGGCGAGCAGCACATCTTGATAGTGGCCCGTGCGAAGCGGCGTTCAAACGGACTTCCGGCGTCCGCCTGAGTTGTAAGGCTGAGCATCTCCGAGCTCGACCGTTTTTATATCTTGCCGGAAATCGGACAGGTTACCATGAGGAAACAGAGACGCGTCTGCCTGGTAGCCGACAACGGACTGTCTATCTCCATCGACTCGAATGGGTCATGGCGAGACACGGCCACCACAACGAAATAAGTTGTTGCCAGCGCTTTCCGCCGCTCTCCGCCGACCAGACAGGAACGAAACCCTTACCAGGACCATCATCTTTTCAACAAGACTATGCACTTTTGGATAGAGTTATAGAAACGTTTAGAAAATTTACCACAGTAAATAGAGCTTCTAGGTGGTATGTTCGAACTCCGATCATCTTCATCAGATAAGTTGAGCGGCCACATTTAGATAAGGTGCTTTTTTACCAGTGCTCTGGGCCCGCTTTGCTTGGCGCGAGCGCCGCCCGCAATACCCTCGTGCACTTCCGCTGTCGGAGACGTCATCATGGACATACAACTACTCCCACCCTTTTCTCGCCCACCTTGAACAACAATCACTTTCCCACTAAACTCCCCCGAGCATCCTATCCAAGAATGAGGCATGCCACGCCTTGCGCTGTCTCCGCGGACCCCTCATCAGCTGCTCGCCGCGCGCCGGCGGCAACAATGCAGCAACACCACCAGCACGCGCCAATTCCACGCTTCAACCTGCCAGCACAACAACGCTGAGGCGCAGAGCCATTACGAAGCGCTCGAACTCCCCTTCACGGCGAGCGCAGCGGAAATCAAGCGGTAAGAATCAAACACAAAATCCCCTCCAAATTAATGGAGTCACAGCTCCGTCACCACCTCCAACCAACCAACTAACAAACGCGCCACTCCCTAAAAGCCAATTCTACTCTCTCTCCAAACGCCACCACCCCGACCGCAATAAGGGCGACCCCGCCGCCTCCTCACGCTTTGTCCGCATCAGCGAAGCCTATCACGTCTTGGGATCGCCGGAAAAGCGCAGCCGCTACGACCGGGACCTAGCACGTCTGCACCCGAACCGCCACCACGGCCACCACCATGCCTCGCCCTCTTACGCCGGCCCGGCTGGCTCACGACCACCCTCCGGCCTGAGCAGGCGGCGCACGCAATTCCGCGGCCCCCCGCCGTCCTTCTACCGCAACGGCGCCTGGGGCGCACACGGCGCGAAGCGCGCCGCGGCGGGCGGCTTCGACGGAACGAACCCCCACGAGCATACGACGGACCACCACAACTATGCGGGCGAGTCGACCTCGTCGGCGGCCGGCGGCGACAACTCGTACACGGGCGCATTCTACGCGTCTCCGGGAGGCGGCTTCGGCCCGGGCCAGGCGGAGCGCGGGTGGGACAACGCGATCCCGCACTGGGACCGCGTTGCGCACCGGCGCACGCAGGAGGGCATCGCGGCCCAGCTGAGCCGGCGCGCGCGCATGCGCGGCGAGTCGGTGGAAGAGATGAAGAATGGTGGCGGCCCGTGGAGCTTGCTGATCAACTTCTTCGTCGTGAGCGGGGCAATCGCGATTGTGGCGAGCATACCGAGTTGGATGAATTACAAGAAGAGAGAAAAGGTACCTGGCAAGTAAGATGGTTGACTTTAGAAAGCTGCGTAGCGGCTGACTGGTGATGGGTGATTTGGCTTTGATATTTGGCATCACAGGGCATTGGGATGGGCGGCGAAACCTTTTGGCAATAGATCGCAGGCGTTATACTTGCTTTGTCGCTGCTGGTACTGTACATTGATCATTGAGACTGAGCACTGCGAATAGCGTAATTAAGCATGCACATTTTCCTCGATTGTATATCCTCTTTGGAACCCAAGCTGCTCTAGCGTTACAGAACCTCACCAACAAAGAGAGGAAAGCTAAAGCTACAGGGAAAGTGAAATCCACATCTTTGATCCTCCCCAATTCTATGTCTCCACCCGAAAATGCTTTTGGATCGTTTAACCCTCGAAGGTGAAGGAAGCGCCAATCTGTACATGCTCTTGTAAGCACATGCCCTTCGTACCCTATGAATTGTAGGAGCGGGAACAAGCGATTTACCTTGTGGCCAGCCTCGTTGAGCTTCTGGGTGTCGAGAGACGCGCCGATGCCGAAGGTGAAGCCCTGGTTGATCTTGGTGTTGTAGGCAAGGGAAGCAATGCCGCGGTCGTTGATCTTGGCCTATTTTCAGAGAACATGTGTTAGACATGTTGTTAAACCATGCTCCAGGAGTACTCACCTTGGCGAAGGACAGGGGGTCGAGCTTGTACTTGCTGGCAAGCTCGATGCCGACGGCGGAGCCGGCCTTGGCGTCCCAGGAAGCCTTGGCGCCGGTCTCAACGGCGGCGTTGACCTTCTGGTAGTAGGAGGCGGTGAAAACGTTCAGGTTGTTGGTGGCGGTGATGGCGGCGCTGTAGAGAGGGGTCTGGTAGCCGACGGCAGCCGAGTAGCGGGTGATGGCGGCCTTCTGGACATCGTAGCCAGCCTCACCACCGACGAGGAAGCCCTCGTGGCCGACGACACCGTCGACGACGGCAGTCAGGTTGCCGGCGGCCGAGTAGTCGAAGAAGGCGCGGGTCTGGAAGGCGGGCTGCTTGAAGGTCAGGTTGAGCTTCTGGCCCTTGTTGCCCGAGCTGGGCGCGAAGACCGAGGAGAGCTCCGCCTTCAGGCCCTTGGTGAAGGTGTTGTCCAGCTCGACCTTGGTGTTCAGGACGTTGGCGGTGTTCCAGGACTCGGTAACGGTGATGCCTGTATTCGTCGAGATGCGCATTAGCCCCGATAGTCCTAAGCCATGGGCCTCTGGCGGGCCCGGCACCCCCAGGAGTATGAAATTGCAGCTGATGCCGTTTTTTTTTCTGATGGGTGCCATTAAAGAGAGGTGTCGGATGGATATACCGTTAGAAAGAGCCTTCTTTCCCTCGACCTGTTTGTGTGCGCAAGCGCCGTCAGCAGCTGCTCCAAAGCGCGCAAGAGTGCGATAAGACTTACGGAGCCGTTGATGGGGCCATCGTGGGCCGAGGTGCCCTTGGTGGTGACGGCGACGCCGTTGGGGGACTTGAGCTTGACCTCAAGGACCGCTGTCGCAGGACGTCAGTGAGTGTGCCCATGCAGGAGGTGCGCGTCGCGAAGCTCACCAGCAGCGGCGTGGTAGAAGTCCTTGTTCAGGAGCTGCAGCACGCAGAGTTAGCGTTGCCAGGGCAGGCGGGCGTGAGCAATTGCGCGAGCAAGCGGCGCAACGCAGACGTACGTCGTTGGCCGACTTGGGGATGTCGCTGAAGGCCGGAACGGACATGATGATGGTGATGCGGAGGAGAGGATGAAAACTGGAGGCCGGGTCAGCGAGCGGGCGCGTTGAGATGGAGCGATGCAGTCCTTACCGATGATGTGCTTGGGTGAGGGTGTTGCGCTTGGGGGGAAGTCAGTCCGGCGGCGTCGCGAAAACAAAAGAGAGCTTGGGGTCGGCGTCGGCAACCCGCCGCGGAGCAATTCGGGGCACCACGTGCCCACGCCCTCCTGCACGCACTGGCTCCTCGCGGTGAACATCCCGGTCGCTGCGTCCGCGCCTTTCTGTTGGGATTCCCTGTGTTTGATCCTCCCAGAACTGGCATCGCGCCCCTGCTGACTTGTCACCTCGAGGCCATGACGCCTGGCCATTGGCCGCGCCCCATCCATGCGTTGTCTCCTTGAGCACGAGGGAAGCAAAGCTCCAGCTTGTTTCCTCAGCTTCGTGACTCTGGCTGTTCACCTTCACAGCGAAGCTATGACTCCTCGTCCGACCCACTTGGCCGTCGTGATAGCCAGGCTATCATTTACTCCTTTCGTCCGCGTCCGGGTCCGGCAAGATCAGGAGAACACGCGCTTGTGTCATATCACAGGTCCATCGTTCGTAGTCGTCTGCTTGATCTACAGAGGGGTACTGCAGCCGGTGGCTAGCGCGGAGAATGGCAAGTCCCTGGAACATAGCATAACTATGCCTCAGTTCCTTTTTTTTTTATTTTTTTTTAAAAGAAAGAACATGTCATGGGTAGTTGAAGCTATCATCCAGATGTAAATGTAGAATCAATAATCATACGTTCACGTCCAGACGAGAACTTCAACTACCCATGGCATGAGCGAAACCCGAAAAAATAAATTCACTCTAGCCGTCGGCTGCAACACACCCCTAGCAGTTGGAAGCTATCAAGCTCTGATTGGTGAAAACACATGCAGAGCATCCCACGTCGGACGTAGACCGTAGTCAAGTCGACCGGTGCGGGTGTGAGCAGCTTTACTAAGATATTTCGTACAGCCACACCCACCTCCCCGGGCCAGTTCGTCCGCCCGTCAGATAGATTAGTACGCCGGCGGCGCCTTTTCGATGTGCTCCATCTTGTCCCATTCCCCGATCATAGCAGCCCCATAATCAGTCCCAAACTTCTTCTTGAGCTTCTCGATCAACTGTTTTTCAAGAATCTGTAGGGTACAAATGCGGTTCGCATAGAACCTCTGATCGACATAATTCCTTTTCGAAATGTGGAGATGGGCTCGTTGTAGCGTGGTGTAAGCGTTGTGAGGTGCGTCAAGTTTCTTCTTCCATACGAGACGGGCATAACATGTGACCGGACGGGCATGAGTTGATCCTTTTGCCCCCAGGAGAATACTATACTCGATATCCAGGTTGCCAGTAGGCCACAGAAGCTGAGCCATGCCTGTTTAGCACGATTAGGGAGTCCAACAAGCGATGAAGTGGGACTACAGTAGAATTACTGAAAATGCTCTGCTCCCAGTGGCCAAGAACTTCTGCTGAGTATTCATTGTCGACAGATCTCGTGCGCTTCAATTCTAACTTAGAGGAGGCGACCCTACCGTTCGTCATTAGTGCAATGCTCAAATGAGACAAAAAAAACACTCACACTCCAGCCCACCCTAAACACCTGGCTTCAACACTATTCAGAAAAGAGTGCCATCGAGAGGGTTTTCCCTTGGCCATTGTGAACGATTTGATCGGCCTGGGTGGACGAGTACTGGACACAAAGGAGAATATGGCTTAATCTATTTACTTATAGATATACCCCGCGCCGTTTTGGCACCAAGTTCCTCAACACTAAAATCTGGTACGACGAAATTAGGGTCCTCCCGACTTTAACCCCACAGAGCCGTACTAGTCGTATAAGCTATACCAGAGAGTACACTAGTAAAGGTTAGGAACCCCGTTTTTCCTTCTCCCCGAAAGCATTTCTAGGATGAGCTCGTACCGGATAATAATATATAAAAGGAGAATAGCTGCATGAGGGTACCCAGGTACAAGCCTTTTAGGGTTACCTTTCAGGGTCCTTTAGCCGACCAGTTCTAGGTGTAGGAAGACCTTAATAGACGCCTTTAAAGTTATTCCAGCATTACTTGCGTTTTATATGCTCAAGCTTACGAAGAATCTCTTTCCCGGGTGATGTAACACGCGATTTATCGCAGGTAACCGTAAATAGGCCATTCAACTTCTTAAATATCTCGCGAGTATTGGTATAAAGTGCTCTAACAGTGAAAAATCAAGTCGAGTATAAGCAGGTAAACTTCCAGAAGGTACCAAGCAAGAGAAAGCTAAGTCTATAGAAGACCGGCAGACAGCAAGGATACAATCACTATGCGATCGTTTCGACTCTAACTGGTGCGGTGACAGTGTGAGTTCATTGTCTAATCCAGTTAGTGAGGGGTATGAGTAGGAATTACAGGTAAATGTAAGCAAGCTGGGCTGTATTCTTGCTGCTCTTATTGAGGCACTAGATCAAGAAGCCAGACTCGATATTTTCAGGACGTATTGGATCACTCCCCTCCAAGATAAGGGGACCAGCACGGATTTCATATTCAGAAGTCAGTTACAGCATACGTGCTGAGAAAATTTCATCACCATGAGCTCTTCAGTTTGGCAGACCACTTGAACGGGTTCTTTCTTGTGCTAGGGAGGGCTGCTTAATACATAGATCAGCAATAGGTGGCCACTGTTGTTCACGCGGCAGGGTTGCATATATGAATCATGTGCTCGAGGAAGGGATCTCGTTGAGCCCCCAACCACTGCTCTAAAATACGTAAACGTATCCGAAACTAACAGTCGGCAACACTGACGCAAGAACAAGGTAAACTGATGCTTTAGTGAGCCGTTCGATTGCATCTAGTCTACCCTAGACCGCGGTGAGCTATGCCCATGTGAAACTAATAGCCGCGACCGGAATGCCAGCCTGTGAATCAATTTCTTGCTTTTGCCCCGCCCAAAGACCCGAAAGATAGTAAGACCCTAACACCGTCGCTTGATGCGAATATGTGATAGCCCCAACGCCCCGCAAAGAAATGCAAGATCATTCAATCATGAAACCCGCGAACGGTGAACATTGCCGTCCACACCTATTTGTCATCGCCGCTCTTGTTCTTGGTGTAGTTGGGCATCTTCTCGTAAGCATTTGGGCTTCTCTTCCGTGCCTTCTTCGGACCGCTGCCGCCATTGCCGTGATGGTGGTGGGCGCGGCCGCGGCCGCTGTTAGTGGGACGCGCGGTGCTGTTGTCGGGCTCGCTGTCGGAGTCGTCATCAGAGGAAGAAGAGTCGTCGGACGAGGATTCGTCAGAGGATTCGCCGAATTCGCGCTGCTTGTGGTAGATGCAACACACTGTGCAAGCATTGTCAGCCTTGTGATCCCACACGCGGTGACCCGAAGCCAAAGGGCCGGGAAATGCCCGCGCGTACCTTTCGACGACTTCTTGCCCATTCCCTCGTTGTCCACGACGTCCTCGGCCCATTGGATGTGGCGGCGCTGCACGGGCTCGGCGCGTAGGCGCAGGGTGCCTGACGGCAGGTTCAGCGGCGACTCTCCGGACTCGGTGGTGACGATGGAGCCGTTTGAGGCTGAGGCCTCGGCGGTGCGCAGGGCGGACGAGACAGGGGTATTGGCCATGGTGGGTGGTGTCGAAAGGTGGGTGATCAACGGGTGCGCACAGGAGGGGATGATTGCGGCGTGCGGAAGAGGCGAAACGACAGGAGCGCGGCGCCGAATGGAATTTCGCGAGTGGTGGGCGGACCAGAGATGCGACAGAGACGCGCCTGCTATTGGAGGGCGTTGGCGAGGGCACGCGTTGTATATGTACGGCTTCGTTGTCCCGTGATGATTTGCTTGTCTGGGGCGGGAGTGAGGTGACAGGCATGCATGCGCTGCGCTGCTTTAGCGCCGCTTGGCTCAGGGAAGCTTCTCCATCTCTGCCCAACTGCGGTAGCCGACGTCATACCGCCTTTCCAAGTAAGTTGATATGCACTGCATCAACACCTGCACGCTTCTGAAACGACGTGCGATGCATTTTCGCTTTCGATTGCAGGGGCGCACGCCGATTTTTGAAGCGCGAAGACCCTGAGATTGATGCTGAAAGGGTCTGCAGGCTTCCGATCTCTCAAGTGCAATCGATCGCGCTTGGATACTCTTCTCCCTGCATCTGCCCGACGTCCTGCTAATCTGCTAGACAAGCGCCCCCGAACACGCTAGAACAGCTGGCAAACCAGCTGGCCACCAGCAGGCCTTCCGCCATGCCCACGTGCCATGAGTTCTTTCACTAGTCCTGTGGCTATAATTGACTCTGCACAAGGCGGTGGCGGCCCGCTATTACAAAGCGCGGGGACGCCACGAAGTTACTTATCCCCGCGGCAGCGCCATTACCTACCTTGTTGGCTGCCGAAGGAAGCAGTCTTGAACGCCAATGGATTGGCCAATGTGAAAGACTGGTGGACGAGTTTAATGTGCGGCTTGATGCTGAAAGTAGAGCGCATTGCGTCATTTCCTCTCGGAGGTAATTCTTTAGCTAAGAGCTTCGAAGTGCAGAAGCTCATCGGCATGTGTGACTCTTCACGGTAGCAAAGCCAAATTCAGAAAAATACATTGGTGCAGAGTTGTGCAGGGCAGAGGTTTATGCATGATGCATGTATCCGCCAATGGGACTACTCGGCGCCACGTCAATGAACCAGCAGACGATAAGCTCAGCGTTCAAGGGAGTTCTTTGCCGCATCCGATGCAAGCGCAAGCCACGTCGTTCCCGGTGGATAAACGACAACACCATAGCATCATCACGAAACCACCGGTTCTGACAGCTCGCGATGTCTTCATCACAAGGGAAGTTGCATAATAATTCGGGACACGGGTGCGATGCGGCTGCTTCCGAAGTCTCATGATATCTCCGAGTGTGGCACAGTGATGGTGGCCTGAGTGGGCAGCCGTGATAGAAACTACAGAGAACAAAGGAGCATACCTATAAGCCATAGAACAGTCCAGCCTGCACATGGGGCGTACCCCGCGCCGCCAACGTCCCACCGCCAGGTTGGCATATGGCGCGGGGCGGGTTCTGGAAGGGACGTGTCGCATGTGTGGTACAGTACATATATATCAAGAAGTACTGGTGATGGGCCGGGCGGGCGCGCGGGCGGGCGGAGAGCGCTCGGGTTTTCTGTGGGAGCAAGGGCGGAGACATGAAGCAGGTGAGAAGGCTGGCGATGGGGAGTGGAGCTTTCCAGCAAATCTTGTAGCTCAGCTGGCAGCCGCCGGCGTCCGGATAATCCTCAAACCGGAGTTGCTGTCCCGCCGCGTGAAGCAGAGGCGCCGCTGCTGCACGTCCTTCTTATCCGCCGTCACCTTTTCGCGTGCATCTGCCTCTCTCTGTTGCCACGTCGAGGTCTCCTCCTCTCCGAGCACCGCCCGCGCCCGTCGCTGCCCCAATTTTCCACGCGCTTCGCGGTTCCTCAAGGCAGCCTGCGCCCGCGCGTCCAACCCTGCCCCGCCATCCCGTCGCGTTACGTCCCGCGCCGAGCAAACCTACCTCAACCACACCTCCGCGCATGACCACGAAGCCTCGGCATTGAGCGCGCGCCACTCCACACACATAGCCTCGTCGTTCTCACTTCAAGTCGAGCCGCATCTTCTCTGTCCAGCTCTCAAGATGTCCATGTCAATCGAGGAGCTGGACGCGACCGTCCGCGCCTTTTATGAGGGTCGAGGCGACACTGTATGTGATCCTACGCATGTAGCCTTGTCTCCGACGCAATTACGCTAACACCACCCGCTCTACAGCAAAAGCAAGCGCAAGCCTCGCTGAACCAGGTACGACTGCACCCCCTCACCACAACCTCGATGGCGCTGACTGATGGGCCTTAGTTCAAAGAGAACCCCGACGCATGGCTCCTGGTCGATAAGATATTACAAGATGCCCAGTACCCACAGACGAAGTGCAAGTATCACGGTTCCATATTGGCGGCAATGAAGCTGACTGTTGGGGTAGACCTGGGCCTGCAGGTTCTGGACAACGTGATCATGACGAGGTGGAAAGTTCTTCCCAGGGACCAATGCCAAGGTACGAATACCGTGGTTTGTGGCCGCTCTTGGGTTTCTCTGACGAAGTGCAGGTATCCGCAACTTCGTTGTCAACTTCATCATTCAGACCTCCAGCACGGAAGAGAGCCTCAGAAACCAGCGCACCCTCCTCAACAAGCTGAACCTTGTTCTTGTTTCCATCTTGAAGCAGGAATGGCCCCACAACTGGCCCACCTTCATCAACGAGATCATCTCCTCATGCCACAGTAGCCTTCCCATCTGCGAAAACAACATGGTCATCCTGAGGCTACTGTCCGAGGAGGTCTTCGATTACTCAGCGGACCAGATGACTTCCACCAAGACCAAGGAGCTCAAGCAGAGCATGTGCGACGAGTTCACCTCCATCTACCAGCTGTGCTCTGAAGTCTTGAGGACCGCCGAGCAGGCTTCCCTAATCAAGGCCACCCTGGAAACACTATTGCGTTTCTTGAACTGGATCCCGCTTGGATACATCTTCGAGACCCCGCTCAGTGGCGTCAGCCTGATCGAGACTCTCCGCAGCCGATTCCTGGAGGTTCCCGAGTTCCGCAACATCACGCTCAAGTGCTTGACTGAGATCGCAGGCCTGCACACTGAGCCGGCATACAACGAGAAACTTGTCCAGATGTTCACTGAGACGCTCACGGAAATTTCCAAGATCATCCCGCTTTCCATGGACCTGAAGAGCACTTACGCGCAGAGTAACAGCAGGGACCAGGAATTTGTTCAGAATCTGGCCTTGTTCCTGTGTAACTTCTTCTCGATGCACTTGAGCATTATCGAGAACCTGCCGAACCGCGATTTCCTGATTCACGGCCACTTTTACCTCATCCGTATCAGCCAGATTGAGGATCGCGAGATTTTCAAGATTTGCTTAGAGTACTGGACAAAGCTTGTTTCGGAGCTGTACGATGAGATGCAGCAGCTTCCCATTGGTGACATCAACCCGCTTATCAACATGGGTCTCGGCGGCATGGCGAACGGCGGCGCGCGGGACCCTGCGCTTCTTGCCAACTATCCTCTTCGCAAGCACAAGTACGCCGAGATCCTCTCCAACTTGCGCCAGGTCATGATCGAGAAGATGGTCAGGCCCGAGGAAGTCTTGATCGTGGAGAACGATGAGGGTGAGATTGTCCGCGAGTTCGTCAAGGAGAGTGACACCATCCAGCTCTACAAATCAACGAGGGAATGTCTGGTGTTTTTGACGCATCTGGACGTCAACGATACGGAGCAAATCATGTCCGAGAAGCTCGCCAGACAAGTCGATGGCTCGGAATGGTCATGGGCCAACTGCAACACTCTGTGCTGGGCCATTGGATCGATTTCCGGCGCAATGAACGAGGAAACCGAGAAGAGGTTCTTGGTTACCGTCATCAAGGATCTGCTCGGTCTGACGGAGATGAAGCGCGGCAAAGACAACAAGGCCGTTGTCGCATCCAACATTATGTACATTGTCGGCCAATACCCCAGGTTCTTGAAGGCGCACTGGAAGTTCCTGAAGACTGTTGTCAACAAGCTTTTTGAGTTCATGCACGAGACTCACGAGGGTAAGTTCGAAGAATTTCCCCTGGTTTGAAAGCCGTAGCTAATATTTCATAGGTGTCCAGGACATGGCTTGCGATACTTTCATCAAGATTGCCAACAAGTGTCGGCGTCACTTTGTTGCTTTGCAGCCCGGAGAGACGGAGCCCTTCATCGATGAAATTGTCCGCAACCTCCGCAAAATTACCATGGATCTCTCGCCCCAGCAAATCCACACCTTCTACGAAGCCTGTGGTTACATGATCAGTGCACAAGGCCAGAAGAGTATCCAGGAACGTCTCATTCAAGAGCTTATGTCGCTCCCCAACGCTGCGTGGGACTCCATCATCCAGTCGGCAAACAACGATCCGAGCATTCTCCAGGACGGCGAGACGATCAAGATCATCGGCAATATCATGAAGACGAACGTCGCTGCTTGCACTTCAATTGGCAGCTATTTCTACCCTCAGATCGGCCGGATTTACCTTGATATGCTCACCATGTACCGCGCAGCTAGCGGTCTGATTGACGAAGCTGTGCAGCGCGATGGCAACATTGCAACCAAAATGCCCAAGGTCCGCGGTCTTCGTACCATCAAGAAGGAAATCTTGAAGCTCATCAACACGTACGTTGAAAGAGCGGATGATCTGGAGATGGTCCACAACACTTTGGTGCCTGGCTTGTTGGAGGCCGTGCTCCTCGACTACAAGCGCAACGTACCTGATGCTCGTGAAGCCGAGGTGCTGAACGTCATGACGACGATCATTAACAAGCTACATGTACGTTGGAGACCCAATCTCAGCCGTTTCATGCAAACATTTGTATTTGCATTCCCCTAACACGTAGAGAATTCTCTGCTAACTGTTCACAGAGCTTGATGGAAGATCAGATCATGAACATCATGGACGCCGTCTTCGAGTGCACCCTGGACATGATCAACAAGGACTTCTCCGAGTACCCGGACCACCGCGTGGAGTTCTTCAAGCTTCTCCGCACCATCAACCTTCGCTGTTTCCCCGCCCTCCTCAAGCTCGATGCGCGCTCTTTCAAGTTCGTCATCGACTCGTGCATGTGGGCTAGTAAGCACGACAACCGTGAGGTCGAGGGTGCTGGCCTCATGATGTGCTACGAGCTCATCTCCAACATGTCGGACACGGACCCGACGACGTGCAACACGTTCTTCCAGAGCTTCTACACGACGATTCTGCAGGACGTGTTCTTTGTGCTCACAGACAGCGATCACAAGGCTGGCTTCAAGCACCAGTCGATGCTGCTTGCCAAGATGTTCTGGCTCGTCGAGTCTGGCAAGATCGGGGGCCCCATCTACACTCCAGACATGGCTCCTGGTGGCACGTCGAATCGGGACTTCCTCAAGAACTTCACTGGCAATCTCCTGGCGAACGCGTTCCCTAACCTGCAGACGTAAGTGAAGGCCCATTACCGATGACGTAGCGATGCTGACGCGTAGCCAGGTTGCAAATCTCGAACTTCATTGACGGCCTGCTCGCGAACAACTCGGACCTGAACCGCTTCAAGCTCATTCTCCGTGACTTCCTCATCTCGTTGAAGGAATTTGCGGGCGACAACGCGGAGCTGTTTGCAGAAGAGCGCGAGCAGGCGGCCAAGGCTGCCAAGGACCAGGAGCGCGAGCGTGCCATGAAGGTGGGTGGTCTGCTGAAGCCGTCGGAGTTGGACGATGACGAGCTGTGACTTGACCAAGAGCTGGGAACGGGCGCCGCCGTCCGAACACAGTTTGACCGGTCAGAGGGCACGACGAGTGGTTCCAAGGTCCGGCGCGGCAGTGTAGACCTCGACGGGTGGGACGCTTACGGGCTCTGAGCGAGCTTCTTCTCGACGCCTAATTGCAGCGTTTGGCGTCCAGGATGATTTTCCGATTTGCAAGCGAAGGAAGGATACCAGCTCTCATTTGTTGTCTCAACATAAGTTTCAAGCAAAACACAGCAGAAACAGGCAGCGGTGGGGAGAGGCAGTTGGCTGAGTTGGGGGGTTTTTGTGGAAGAGCATGCGCGGGAATAGCCCCATAAAAAATACAGATGAAAGAGCTCTCAAGACGCAAGGTGGGGGCTTCGTATAGAATAGCTTGCTGGAAACTCTCCGCTGCGACTGGTGGTGCAATGTGCGGCGATCGTCGCAGGCGACATGTGAGGTGACGTCATGCCGGCGCTTCTTTTTCTGCAGCGAGTCGTGGGCGTGAGGCGCGCTTCGCGAGAATTTGGTGTTTGTTTAACTGGCGCCTCTGGGCTGCCGTACAGTTTGGGCATAGCGCACTGCAGACTTGGCCACGTTCTCGAGCGGGCGCCTTCATTGGCTGACTACACCACCGGCGCGAGGCCTCTCTGCCCTCAGAACGCCGGCCGACAGGCCGACAGGTGCTCCAACGCTCCTGCTGCATGCCACCGCAATTTGATTTTTGCAGCCGCCGCGTGACTCTCACATGCGCCTCGCCATCGCCCGTCCAATTGCTGAGTCGCCGTAGCTCGACTCAAGAGTCAGGTTGGACGTCTTCCGTTTTTGACTTCTGCAGCCGCCAGCGCCCTCTTGACCACGGAACTGTCGCCCTTCGGTCCCGCATCGCTCCTGGACGGGCTCGCGCACTTCCGTCAGCTCTTCTCCCGTGGCCTTGACCGGCCCGCCCGCAAGGCCGCGGCACGCTCTCCGACCTGACGACTCCAGCTTGATCTTCGTGCACCATGTGAGTCGTCCTCTCCGCGCACGTACGACCGTTGGCCAGCACCATAAGCGGAATGGCGCTGATTCGCTGCCCTGCCCTGCCCCAGGAAGTTCGGCAAGCACATCCAGAAGCGACAGCTCGACTTTCCAGAGTACGCCGCAAGCTTTGTCGATTACAAGGCCCTCAAGAAGGTTTGATCCCGCCCGCCTCCCGCCGCCCTCGTCGCTGTCTGACCTGCTTTCTAGCTCATCAAGAAACTGAGCGCCACCCCTGTGATCCATGCCCAAAATGAGCCTAGTTTGGCGGACCCACAGACCTCTCTCCAGGCGAACAAGGCCACCTTCTTCTTCCGGCTCGAACGAGAGCTTGAGAAGGTCAACAAGCTTTATCTCCAGAAAGAGGCTGAGCTGAAGCTACGTCTGAACACGCTGCTAGAGAAGAAGAGGTCGCTGCAGTCCCAGCCCATCCCCATCTCCAAGCTATCATCCAAATACGTCATTCTGGAGGAAGCCTTCCGTCTTTTCAGCAATGACCTCAACAAGCTGCAGCAATTTGTCGAGATCAACGCCACTGCCTTCTCCAAAATCCTCAAGAAGGTACGGACTCCTCCATCTAATGCGTAGAGGCATTGCTGACAACTTTCTAGTGGGACAAAACATCAAAGGTCAGCTCTCATGTCCTTCCCCTTCTCACTAGACTAACGTGGCCAAGTCCCGCACAAAAGAACTTTACATCTCGCGCGCTGTTGAGGTGCAGCCATGTTTCAACCGCGAGGTCATCAGCGATCTCTCCGACCAGGCGACCACCAACCTCCTTGATTTTGCCGCGTGGGCGGAGGGTGAGCAGATGCAGTACGCCACATCGGTGCCATCCGAGTTCCCCACCAGGATACACGACGCCGACACCGATGCCGATCCTCAAATCCTGCAGACCATCACATCTGGCAATATCTCAGGTGTTGAGGAGTGGATTAGCCGCGTTGTTGTCTTGCCCGATGCAAGAGATCGCATTACGAGAGCATTCCTTGCTACTGCCTACGATGCGCCAGAGGTTGCTCTGAAAGTCATGCTCGATACTAACCTCGTTGATCTCGATCAAGGCGACGATGTCAATGCGAGAAATTGCCTACACAAGGCTGCCATCTCTGGTCGGTCGTTGGTCCTAAAGATTGGACTTGAGGGAAATGCCGATGTCAGAGCCTCGGACGTGTACGGCAGGATCCCTCTCCACTATGCCTGCATGCACGGTCACGTCGGCATGATTCAAGACCTCGTCACCGCAGCACCAGACACAGTTGATTTCAAGGATCACGACGGCTTCACCCCTCTTATCCACAGCATTGTCCATAACCACCTCTCGTGCGTCCAGAGCTTGCTCCAACATAACGCCCGTATTGACCCCGCCGGAGAGTCAGATCACATCCCCCTCAATCTTGCCTGTCAACATGGGCTGCAACCCATAGTCGAGCTTCTGTTGCACGCAAATCCGCAGATCCTGCCCGATGCTGAAGGCTTGTACCCCCAACACCTGGTAGCGCGGTCTGGCAAAACCCCACAAATATGCCTGTTACTTAGGGATTACGGGGTGAACCTGGACCAGCCTGACAAGCTTTACCAATGGACACCACTATTCCATGCAGCAAGCGAAGGGCATGTGGTCTGCATGAAAACGCTTCTAGACTGCGGTGTCAGCGTGCATGTCAAGGATGAAAAGGGCCTCACGGCAATGTACTACGCTACGTGGGAAGGCCATCTGGAGTGCATGAAGCTGCTGGCGCCTGTTGCCCAAGATACTCCGATGCCGCCGCCGGCGAAACCGGCGCCTCCAATGCTTGCTGCGGGCCCTCCACCATCCAGCACCCCACAACCAATGGCAATGGAGGTGGACGGAATCCCCGATCTGTCCCTGCCTCCTCCCATCATCCCTATCAGGAGGTACGGCCACAACTTCCTTGAGAACAAGACATTTGTCGTCATCAGTTTCGGCGATCTGAATTCAGAGCCTATACGTTTCTACGAGGACAGCAAGTATCCTGCTGCGCGGTTGACTATCGCATCAAAGTCGTCCGACTTGATCCCGCGAAATATCCCACTCCCAATGTCAGAAGAGAACAAGGTCATTTCCTTCCAAGTCGATAATCTCGACACTTTCAGTATCGATTTCGACGTCTACCCGACTTTTGGGGCGAAGGTTATCGCGAGAACTGAAGCTTCGTCGACGGTGTTTAGGAACAGGGAATCCAGCTCCGGCTTCTGCAACCTTGGTCTGTTTGATCCAAGACTACGAACAATTGGCCGCATCAAGTTCAAGTTCAACATCGTTACTCCCTTCCCAGGACCTCCTCTGGAGATCACTCATTTCGCCACATACTGGAAAGCTACCAGCCAGTTTGACGAGTCACCAAGTGCTCTTATTACTGGCTCTAGCTTGTCAGGCAACTACGTAAGGCTCTTTGTGCAGATGACCTGCGATGGCGTTCCAGTCTTGTGCCCGCAGTGGAAGGTGAAGTACGGCAGACTTGACATGCCTGTCACACGTCTGACATACGAAGAATTCCTGTATATCGGGGCTGAGAATGGCGGGGGTGATCCTGCGCTAGCCGCGTTGTCTAGTACCCCAGCCCATGACAGTAAGTACTGGACACACTAGCCACAATAAAGTCATCTGACCGTCTATAGTCCCGAAGATCCATAAGATCCTCGCAAACTCATACATCAGCTTGAAAGACGCCATTCAGCGCTTGCCTGTCGATGTGCGCCTCGAACTACACATACTCTATCCTAACCGTATCGAGGAAGAGACTTTGAGGCTCGGACCCACTCCGAACATCAACACTTTTGCAGACACGCTTTTGAACATCGTGTTCGATGATGCTCGTCATCTGCGCGAGCAGGCAGGGGCAGCGGCAAGGTCGATTGTATTCTCCAGTTTCAATGCGGACATGTGCACGGCATTGAACTGGAAACAGCCAAACTGTTCGTAATGCTCCTCCCAGAAAAGTGGTTGATGCTAACGTGAATATAGACCCCGTCCTCCTCGGAAACGAGCTCGGCGCAGACCCGATTGAAGCCGCAGCCGATCCACAAAAGGTGCACAGCAGTGGGCGCACGACAATCTCGGTAAAGGAGGCGGTGCAGGTTGCACAAAACAACAATTTGATGGGCCTTATTTGCAGTTCGCGCTTGTTGGTGAGTTTGGTCCATCTTTCTCACGCCTTAGAGCAAGGTTCTGATGCTTACATGGCGAACAACAGGATCTTGCTCCCGCGCTCATCGAGTCTGTCAAGACGGCCAGCCTTGTTCTCATCGCAGATCTCTCGACACAGCCACTGTCCTTAGCGAGCCAGAGTTCGACCGATCGCACCGATGGGTACTTTGATCGCGAAGGCGTTCTTCACTTCAACGAAACCGTGGATATTTGAGAAGCGACTCTCGCAAGAGCTTCCGGAAAGTGTTGAAGGCAGGCCTGTATTGAAGGGATCATCCGTAGTTATTCATTACTTCGAGGGATAGAAGATTGTTCAAGTTTGCTCGCTAACTTAGCTTGTTTCCTTGGGCTGCATTTATGCCGGAAAAGATCATGTTTCTCACCCTCTCTCTATCGCTTAGCCTCTCTTCTCTTCGCGATTTGGACACGATTTATGTATTTGTGATGAGATGAGCATTGCATTCGATGATTGGGCGGCTGTCTGATATTCCCTCAAGAGCGAGCACATTAGATTGTTTTTCTTTGGCGTTATCCCATGTTCTAACGCGATCACTCAATCCAACTATGGAAACATGAAGACTGGTAGAGAGCAAGAATGCAATCACTATGCGATCTTTTCGACTCAGTAGGACCAATATCACCTAAACGAATGTAAGAAGCTCAAATTGGCTACACTTGCCCTGCACACCCTGTTCGATGCTAATTCCCCTTGGGTAGCAGGCGTTTGACAGGTCAAACTTTCTCCGGTGCTCAAGTCCTTAACTTCTTCTCGACATACCGCAGCACACTTCCGAACCTGTTTCTGGCACGATTGGGGGGCATATTCGCCCCACTCGCTTCTTGGTCTATTTCTTTCTCTCTCTTATTCTCTAAGTCCCTCTTTGAGCTTGCAATAGCCGTGCCTCTCAGTGCGGTAGCCTCTTCGGCTTTTTTCTTCGAGATTCGCTTTTCAGCCTGCAGCGCTTCGTCATATGAGAGGAAAACATCGCACAATCCGTCGGCATCCCTCAACTTCTTGGTAGACTTGCCAAATCCAGTATGCACCCGCGAGTCGAACACATCGGCCGCAGCTCGCCATTTCGAATCGTCAGGCGCGCGGAAGGAGCCCAGATTCCGATAAAACCAGATGCCCAGTTGTGTCCCTTCTCTGAGGTTGAGCGGGTCGATATTAGACAGCATCACGGCATAGTCTGTGTAGCAGAACTCGCAGCAGCTCCAACCCAGGTGCCACTTCTGCTTGCCGACCACCCCCATGCGTGGCAGGTTTTTCAGTAGCGACTTCTCCAGCGTCTCGAGGTGGCTGCCAGCCTGCCCGTGGTCCGACTTCGCAATCCGCAACCCCGCGCAGACACGCTGATGCGGGCAGATACGCCACCTGCGCCGCTCGAGCTCCTCCGTCACGCCAGACCCGTACTTGCCAGCGGCGCAGAATGGTCCAATGGCATTAGGATACTCCCAACCCCGAAAGCGGTAGCAGCCGGACAGAAGGAGTTCGCCGTTGACGATACGTGCTTCAAGCGTTTGGTGCACCTCCATGCTGTAATGCAGCTTGATCGTGTCGTCGCGCGCGAATTCCGACAATGGGATGATACCACTGCTATTGCTACTTTCGCCAGGCGTTGCGTACAGCCTCGGTCAGAGCGCCAGTTGCACGTGGTACGAGCGGATCACGTAGTTATTATAGGAGCACACGGCCTCACCGGATCCACGGCTCTTGCACGTCTCTCGGTACTAGTCTTTGATGTTAGTGTAGTTCCGCGGAGTGTCCTGCGGTCTATGCGGATGGTAGACCGCGCAGGGGTGGCAGAGAAAGTAGTCTTGCTGCTGCTTATTCCCGAGAGTTCTTTTTTGGCTCCGTATGAAGCGGTTGATGCCGCCATCCCTCTCGAGCAGCTGGAGAAACCGCAACCGGACCGCTTTATCCATCCCTATCTTCGACCAAGTACCCTGGCGGAGGGTGGAGGCGTAGAGCGCGCGGCAAGCCAGCGTCAGCGCCGCGACGGACTCGGGTGGGAGGTGGCTGAGGATTTGGACGAAGACCGTGGTGGGGAGGGAGAGGAGAGGGGAGGCGGAGAAGCCGATGTGGGGAGGGGCGATGGCCATGCGATGGAGCATCTCCTCTGCGGTGAGCTTTCGTGTGCCAGGCGACGCGCGCCACGCCATCGTCGTAGAGGCGTATGGTTGTGCCATGTTGGTTTGACTTGGAGTTAACGAGGAAGCAGCTCGAATATGCAAAGAGACACCTAAGATCGTTAAATAGGCGCAAGATATTGTTATACTGTACCGTGGTACGCGGAGACCCTTGAAAAAAAAAAATAGTAAGGGAATCGGTTCCGCTGATGTCCATTAAAGGAGTTCACACCACTCTTAAGAATGTTGACGAACTAGCAGAGCCTCAGGCCAAGAAGCTTAGCAGCGTCCGAGAAGTATGTCCAGGAGCAAGACTCTTATCCGTCCAAGACGAGGCTTAATTACTTCACTTGGCACCAATCTTGAGCGAACTGGAAGGGACCTTCTTGGTCAGCCAAAGCAATCAGTCTAGGGAAGGTAGATAACCTTGGAGTGGCTGAAGCTCTGCGCATGCTATATTTCTTCTAGCTCTCTCAACTTAAGGAATAACTGCTATATTCTGTACTTTTAATGAACAAAAAATTCCAGTCTGCACGTCCTTATTTGAACCACAAATCTCCAATGGAAGCAGAACAGAGGCATAATCAGGAGGAGGTGATCAATAACCACAGATCTTCTCTGATCCACTGCGGCGAGGAGTATTAATTTGTTTCGCCAAAAGTGAACCACCACTCATGGAGTAAGCGCAAGTCAATCCAGTGTTGGTTTTTGTAGGCGACCAATCAGCGCGGCGCATGAGCCGCTGCCCAAGCGTCTAGTCTGCGGCACGGTTAGTATTATCTACCGTGGATCTCGCTGGACAAGTAGATTCGCTGTAACATGCGGCACAGCAGTCGCAATCAGATAAGAAAAGAGGAAGAGAAATTCAGAACAAACCGTATGAATCAAGGTGTCCCTTTCCTGCCAGTTGCAAATCAACACTCGTTGCACAAGTTGTGAACCCCCACACGACAAACCTGTCTTTGCCTACTCTTTTCTCAAATCTTGTTTCCGGTTCCCACTCCTGTTCGAATCAGACTAGAGAATAATCACGACGAGGCTCGCTTTTCTCTACTTCGAAGGTCGTGGCATCTGTCTGAGTTCTATCTCTCTGCCACTCCCTTTTCGGTTAGCCCGGTTTCCAGCGTCGCAGTGTCTTCTCCGAAGAACGATTCCTTATCAGCAGCACATTTCGGCATTCCAAACACCTGTCATCAGCAACGATAACGAGTGCACCTTTGATGTAGTTCGCGGCCTCCTCCGTGTTTGCGACATCATTATTCTGATCAACATCGACCAAAATCACCACTAACCCCACCAAGAATGGCCTCCTCTTCGAATCCTTCAGCCTCTCCTGAAACTACGTCGTGATTCGCTCTCCCCCTGGGGCACCCCCGGCACCACCTTCGTCCTTTTCCTGTTCTTCCCGTTTTCCTCCAACGCCTCCGACGTCGTTGGCACCAAGCACGGTGACAGCCGCGACCGGCGATAGCGACAATAATCCTAGAGCTGCCTTACCTCCCGCAGCGGCAGGTATCTCGATAACGAACTGCCACGCCTCGCAGACGAGTTCGTGCACGCGCGACAAAGACAACGACAACGATGATGACGGCGAAGAGGAACAGTGTGCAGCTACTACTGCGATTTCCCCCCTCTCTTTTCTTTTTCTTTCAACGTTAATACCCAGTATTTTCTCCATGTTTCAGTGGTAGCATGGTTAAGAAAAGAGTGCGAGGATTAGAGACTCATCACGTGCCCTTGGAGGGGGTTCGGTAGGTCGTCAATGGAGGCCAGTCAGTAAACAGTCGATGTTCTGCAGCCATTCCATTTTCGTCTTCGTATTCCGCACCCTCAAGAACGATTATATGAAATATGAAGGAAAAAGTGGGAAAGAGCTAGGGAGACTGTTTTTAAGACTTTACAAGGAAAGGCAGAATGCAAAGAGTGACTGGATATCGTGGGGTTCATACTGGCCATCTGGAAACTGGACATCACCAGCCCCGTGAGTTATACGGGGTGCTCGAACTTGGACTGACGCGGACCTCCCTTTGGATGCCAACGAGAACCCAGGATCACCATCGTACCATCTGGCCATGGAAAAAGGCGGGGTTTGCGTCCGGAGATATGTCGGGGTGCAAAAAAGCAACAGCCGGTGGCCTCATGGCCAAAAAGCAAAACGTACAACAGCCGGGATTCCCCAATGGTCACCCACTTGAGTACTAATCGGCCGGTTCGCAGCTTAAGTACGGCTGAGCGGACGGGAAGCCCTGCATTCTGCGACCTATGGTCGTACGTGGTGGTGAGCGTAGCTAAAAGTGTTTATGAGGAGGAAGATCTTGGCGACGTCCACTCGAATCGCACCCTTGGAAGGAAAGCCACCCGAATTATTGCTGAGAAGAAGCAACAAGACCTGAAGACGGGGAATCTGCGCGCATTCTCGTCGTGCGGAAAAACCCGCACGCCCATTCGTTGGACCCACAAGCCGCTCGGAAGAGAAAGAAAAAAAATTCAAGCCCACCACGGGTATAACGCGGTTTCCTGCCGACCACTTCCGATCTGCCGGGGCGGAGTGCCGTCAGCATTTGCCTACTTTCTTCTTCAGCTGAGGAAGGGTGGGCTAGGCGTTGGGCTAGAAAGGCGAAACAGCGACCTTCCCAATGCGTTTTGCCATCAGTGGTTCCGGATAGCAGGTAGCTCCCACTGGTGCAGATTTCCGCTTTCGATCACTTCCACGATTCTGCCGCGTGGGACCGACCGTCCAGAACGCACCATGCTCTTTCTACGCCGTAACCGCAGTATTTTGGAAAAAATCGGCTGGGAATGACATAATACATGAATCATCTTCGGGCTTCAAGGGATGGATTCTTCAGCCGACCCTTGCGCCACGTGCTCACCACAGGTCGAGAATGTGGGATGGCGTCTTATCGGCGTCCTTTCCGTTTGACAGTCTCCTGGGTCACCGAAAAAGTGAGCAGATGGCGCATGAGCTGTGGGATATTCGTGCCAGGGCAGCGCACGAACACAGAGCTGTCGTTGTGCTTGAGACACCGACCTGCCAAGTTTCGCTACCTTTGCATCGAAAAGTTTAGCCCCGTCGGACAGCAGGACCAGCAAATGGTGCCGGAAACCATTTCGGAGAAGTTCCAAGCGCCATGAATGGAGGCGGGTGCCAGTGACGGTCTGGTCCGAGTTGAAGTATCTGGAGAACCCGGTCCCAGCATGTCGAGCATCGAGGCAATATTGCATCCATTTTCAGTGCGCGAGTGGTTGGCTTGTTGAGCGTGGTGTCGTCCTACTGCTACGAGATGGGCGGCGGCTACTGAAAAAGGAATGATTGGATGCAGTGAGGGTAGAGGTGCATGAAGTAACCGAAGGTCACACCGCTTGCTGCCTTGTCAAGCATGAGCAGTCTTCCATATGAGGCCACCATTGGATCCACGGATATCAAAAGTTAAACAGATGACCCGAGTCATTATACAACAGTGACGGCCTGAATCTCGCGGGCTTGGCTGCACCTCAACTAGAACTGCAAACCTTGCCACCCAGGCCGTTGGTCCTTGGCGGTTGTGGTGGAACAATCAATCACACCGATGCAGCCGCGTTGTGTCGGCTGGAATATCGACATGCAGGCGTGTAGACAAGGACGTCCAATGGCTTTTTTGACCAGTTGGTCCGCGTGATGTTGGCAACAAAAGCAATAACTACAGACATGAAACGACCATATTTCCAGGAGGACGTTGTGCAACAAGCTTCGTTGCGCTAAAACATGCGTCTCTAGAGAGAATGGAATGTCTCTCGGTCCAGCCCCTCTGATGGCCTAACGTCGACTAAGCTGTAGTACTCTCGATGTCATGAGAGTCACGATCAGGCGGCCCTCGGACGATCCACGGCCGTTTGGAGTAACCCGGAAGCTCAATAGGCCTTACTTCTGTCCGACGCTTCTCCTGCAGAGATCAGCAAGGCCAGTCCGGTGGGCCGGAGTGGTTGGAGGATTGCATGAGACAGCCACAGGCGTTTAGAGCGAGATGTCTTCAGCAGGGACGCGCCAGCCGGACGGAAAACAGCCGCGTGCCGCGCCGATAGGCACAGCGATCGTCGAGGTCTAGAAAGTCAAAGTGACGTCCCGGTGGGGTGGCAGGGCAAAAGTTGCGTGGTCCAATGAGCCGTCAGACCGGATTCGGAAGATGGTGCATGTCCGCTCAACGCTCTGCAAAGTCCTCAAAAGTTTCTGCAGCAACCCCGCACGTGAGGAGCAGACGTAAGTGTGGGCGGTGGCTTGCAGAGTTTAGCGGTTGGCACGAGTCTGATACAAGCCGTCAGCCCTGGCTACCACGGGCACCAGCGGCGGAGGGCGCTCGGGAGCTTGAGGGCCGGCAGTTCGCAGGCCCGGCCCAACCTCGTGCGAGGATTTTTGGCGTGCTAGCCAGGCACATCAGCGGGTTCCAGAAAGGTCTGCAGAGGAGGTTGTGGGGTATCGATAACCCAACGGATAACCTTACTGGGCGCTCGGGTTGCCGCTCCGCATGCATCCATGAAAAAATCTTGCGGGCGGCCGCCAGTCACGGCGCAGCACGCGCTGGACAGGCTCCACTAGGGCTAATTTCTCGCTGTCGTCATGAGAAAACGCATGGGGGCTGACGGTCACAAATCGCGCAGCGGAAGGAAGAGAGTGGGTGTGTCGCACGCTCTCAGGCACGCGATTCGCCCGGCGTCGCATCCAATGGAACACGGCCTGGCATTGCCGCGGTGGGTCGCACGGACCCGCTTCCATGAGCATGGCGGTCCAGAAGCCTGAGGCCGTTGCGGATCGATGACCGCAGGACGACCGTCACTGTCGCCCGGCGTCTGCGAAATTGTCGGTCTTAGATGGAAGGCTATACTCCAATACGGCCGCCTCAGCCACTGGCGGCGGGCTGTGTGCCGCGCACTGAGGTCTCGGTGAACACCGCAGGCAGCCAGCCATCCCGGGACGAGCGTGGATTTTCAGGTACGGTCGGAGCGCATCCGTCGATCCACCCCCCTGTGGCGCACGCTTCCACATGGACCCCCGCCTATAGGCGTCGCGCGTTTGGCCAAGCTGCATTTCCCGAGTCAGGCATGCGGCTGCAGGCCACGGCAGCAGGCACACCGGAATAGCAAGGCGTGAAACAGCGTAAGCTGCGCTGCATATGGCCCGAAGCGCTGCGCGGGCGCCGCGCCAGGCACGCTGCGGCTGGCCGCGGAGGATCACGGCCGCGATGCAGAAGCGCGAGCGGCAGGCGGCAGCGGAACCAGCGCTGCCACTTGGTGACGTGCCGGGAGCTGCTTGGGCCTGACGTGGCCGAGCGCAGGGCTGGGCAGCCATACGAGGCACAACGGCGCGTTGACGAAGACTGGCCAGCTCCCCGGTGGGGCGCGTGCGTCTGTTTCCCCGAACCGGCCGGCGCTGGGCTGACAAGCCGCGCTGCCTAGTCCTGCAGCCCGCCGACGCGTTAGCTCAGCTCAATGAAAACCCCCGGCACGCCCTCGTGTCTCTGCAGTCCTTCAAATACCCCCCCGAGTCCTCACCCTCGTTCTCTCATTATCCAGGCTCGGTCCACCGCTTCGTTCCTTAGTTGAACTCACACTCCTTCGAGATCCCGCATCTCACCACTGTCCTTTTTTCCGGCGCTCCAGCAGCAGCCCCAGCCTCGATCACTCAAACCCCCTGCTCAGGTCCCATATCAGAACTGCCAGCCAGTTCCTCCAGCCCCTCAGCCGCCAATTGAATATCCACCAGCTTCTACAGCACTCTCAATTCCGCAAACATGAAGGCCACCGGAATCGTCGCCCTCTCCCTCCTCGGCCTCACCGCCGCTGCGCCGCACAAGCACTTCCAGCACGCCAAGCGTGATCTCGTCTGGATCACCGAGACCGCCGAGGTTGTCGAGACCATCGTCCAGACCACCACCGTGTGGGTTGACGCCACTGGGCCCGCGAACGAGTACACTCCTACTCCCACCCCGGAGCCTACCACTACCACTGAGGAGATCCCTGTCTACACCCCGGAGCCCACGACCTCTTCTTCTTCTTCCTCGTCGGTCTACACTCCCCCGGCTCCCAGCACCACCGAGACTCCCACCTCGACCTCCACGCCTCCGGCTCCTACTACTACTGAGACTCCCACCTCGACCTACACGCCTCCGGCCCCTTCCACCACCGAGACTCCCACTTCGACCTACACTCCCCCGCCTGCCACTACCACCGAGACTCCTGCCCCGAGCACCTCGGCTGTCGTTGCCGCTGAGACCGCTTCTTCCGGCTCCTCTTCTTCCTCGGGAACCACCTTCTCGCCCTCCAGGATCACCTACTACAGCCCCAGCGTTGGTCTTAGCTCTTGCGGTGAGGTCTACAGTGATGACAGCAACGTCGTTGCCCTCGCCGCCGGCAACATGAACTCGGGTCTCTGCAACAAGAAGCTCACCATCGAGGTCAACGGCAAGACCTTCGGTGCCTTCGTTGGTGACACTTGCCCCGGCTGCCCCAGCGACGGCTCCCTCGACATCACCCCCACCCTCTTCACCAAGATGATGGGCTCGACCGACGCTGGTGTCATCACCGACGCCAAGTGGTGGTGGGACGAGTAAGCGTCTCGCAACAACGCCGCTGCCCAGCACCTTCCTTATTTCCCTCTGGGCAATGGATACATAGCGCGGCCAGTCCTGCGCTACTTACGAGTTACGAACACGGATTGGATATACCTCGGCTTTTGGGCGCAATCAAGGCATCTTCATTGGGTCCCCTGGCGAGGGGAAACGGTGCATTTGGTCCAAAACCAGGTGGTCTTTTGCTTCTTGATTTCATCTTCTTCAGGCGAGCTGTTGTCGGATGCGGGACAACACCTACAAGGACAATGCCCCATCGGCCTGCGTACATACCCGCACGCTGTGCATAGCTAGCATTTTCCCATCCCTCGGCAAGCCTGGCCTTGCTGCTTCGTTCGCTGTAGATATTAGACCCCTTTCCTCGGTTTACCGAGGGCCAAAAAACGAAAATTTGTTCCAAACCCTCCCTGTCCATTCTGTGTTTCGTGATGCCCGTTGGTATGTAGTCAACATTGGCTGTTGCTGAGCCGCCTCGCAATGTTTGCCAATGTGCCAATGCTTGTAAGCCCCCTTGTCAACGATCACCGTCACTCATGCACAACGAACAGTTAGCAATGAAGCTATTCCTCTGCACGAAGCTTAAAGCGCAACCACGGTCGAGTCTCCAAATTTTCAGTAAAAATCATTGTCGCATAATTCTCGAACGACACATCGTATTATTCATTGATCACCGGCTTCAAGAAGCGAGCGAACCGAGAATTTTCCCGAAAGATCGACGAGCCCCGAGCACGCTTCAAGACAATGGCAGCCGAGCAACAACGAGCGGTCAAGTCGAGGGAGCACTGGCCCATCAAGGAGAGTGGCCAGAATCAGAGGCGGGCGATGTGAGTGCTCTCATTCATCTGGGGTGCTCATTTCCTCGCCCTTGTTTTTTTCTTTTTTAGTGATTCCTCTCAAAATATTGTTTGGCGCATGGCGCCAGCGGCGCCCTTCACGTGCGTTTCTCCTGCGTTTCGTGCCTGGCGCCGCGGCCCACGCCGGCCATGACCTGAGGATCTGGCGCTCCTACGTATGTCTACGCTTTGTTATGCACGGCAAGTGCTTGTGGCACACCAACCTTTTTCCTTTACTTTTTTCTCTGGGGCATGCTTCCCTGTCGCACCAACGCTCGCGGCGGCAATTTTTGTCCCTTTCCCCTGTCTCAGTCCCCACCTGACCTTTCTTGTTTTCTCGTGAAACCCGAGACTTAGGCCGGGGCAGCTGAAACAAAAAGAAGCTGACATGCCAGGGGCTGGGGTGGCTGAGCTTGACCAGCGGAACAGATTGGGAATGTAGTCACCACGCAGGAAGAGGCTGAGGAGGCTGGCGTGAAGAATCCGCCCAAGGTGAGTTGTTGGTTGGGGTCGTACAAATTTGAAGCCTCCCGCGTTGGCTTTCTTACGTTGCTTTTTTCTGCTTGCCTTTCGGCCCCCCGCAACGGCTGTCAAACACAGGGCCACCATGCCGTCATCAAGGGTGAGTGTCATCTTTGTTGGAGTCCAAGATGACAGTCATGCGGCTCTTCTCTTTTGGTTCACGGAGGCTTTCTGCATCACGGTTCTCGCCCTCGAAGGATGACGACGCTGCTCCTTCCTACCCAAGCTGGAGCGTTGGTTGGACACAGTCTGATGCGGTCATGGTTCTAGATCCCCTTCAACGCGGAATAATCTGACTAAGAAGTTAAGGTGAGCTGGACTGCTCGGTTTGATCCGCCGGACAATCATTGGTGGCAGCTTTTCGGCCTGGGATGCAATTGAGAGGTGTTTGGTTGCAGTACTGCTATATGCGTAGGCGCAGTGACTGAGCCACACCGCCACAAGTCGCCGAGCCTAAAGCTTATTGAGCACGCGGCAGCGAGGAAGCAATTTCGACGAACCTAAAAAGTTTAATGAAGTGGAGCCTGATGATGGGCATATCACAGAGAATTAACGGCCCGCTTCTCAAATGAAGATGCAGCTTTCCGATGCCATTGGGCTTCTCTATACATCTATCTAGAGGAATGGAAAGTTACGTGGAGGATCCCCAACAGATAACTGGCTACCAGGGAAATCTCACCAAGCGGCCAATGGCCGCATCTCTGGGCGGGAGCGAGAGAGATTTGTTGGCCACGCAGCGGCAAACAGCAAGATAGCCGTAGTTGGATCGGCCAGCTCAATTCCCAGATGTGTAAGTACGAACGAGTCGTTGGTTCACTCACGCGGATGTCCAACGCGGGCAAGCTCGTGACAACAGACCTGCCAGCGGCTCCTCCAGATGCGGTGACTTGGGTGTGGAGAGCGAGCGCACCGACCTGCCTTTTCCAATAGAAACGATCTCCTAGGGCTGGGGCGATTGTTGCCGAGGACGGATAAGCTGATCCCACCTCTCCCCACCCAGCGTGGCCGACCAGCCGTGCGCAAAGGCCAGCCGGGCCTCAGTGGGCAGGGCGGATGGGTACGGCGCACGTCAGCGGCCACGACCTCGGGCCTGCTGGGAGGGTGCAGCCGGGATTGCGACTGCGATCGCGCACGGCTACGGTAGCAGCAACAAGCCGTCTCGCATGTCACCCCGGCACAGCGGGCGGCAGGGCGGGAGCGGTGTCGCCGAGGCGCTGGTGCGGGGACAGTCTCGTCATGTCCACCGTCACGAGCGAGGACGACTGGCAGAGGCGGGCTTTACGAAGTCTGCGGCGTTGCAGTGTGCGCAGAGTAGCATTCGCGCCGCGCTTTCGTGTCCGTTTTTAGAGTGGCTAATCAGCGCGCGCGCCAAGCTAGCGCGGCTGCCGGGGGGCGCTCAACAGCCGCGGGAGCGCTGTGCTGGGCTGCTGCCTCACGTGCGGAGAAGCGAGATTGCGACCGCGTAGGTCGGTCTGCGCAGCAACTCTGTCAGCAGCGGTAGTACTGTGTACTGTGTCCTCGGACCCAGCGGGGTCGGCGCGCGGTGGGACAGCTGCGACGGGCGGTATTGTATCGCGCAGGGCACGCGCTGATCGCAGTTTGCCGGGCGGGCCTCAGCCTCCAGCGGCGCGCTAGGCCCGCTGGCCCAGGAGATCTCTGCCGGCGAATCAAGGGCCCCTTGGGCTGCGGCGGGCTGGCGACGGCGTCTGGCAGCCTGCTAAAAACGCTGAGAGCAAGCGCAGAGAAAACGGGCGTCACTTTACTTATCTGACAGCTGTCTCACCTCTGCGCGCACGCCTAGACAGGACCCTCGCCCGCGCATATCGTTTAGCAGCACGCAAAATTGCCGGCATCCCGATCTAGTATAACGCCGTCGTCACGAAACAGGACGCACCAAGCCGGCGCTTCTGGCCGACTTCCAAGCCCACGCCCTGCTCCCTCCCGGCTCCTCAGGCCCAAATCCGCCAGCGACGAACATCTCCAATCCTCTCCATCACCCGACCTACCGCGCAGCATACCCGTCTCCTTTTCGTGTAAATACATTGCTGCCACCTAATTCTCGCGCCCCTTCATTCCATTCCGCATGCCCATGAGGCTCGGACGGCCGTGAGCGACTTCTACCCCCGTAGCTGGCCCCGATCCGCCTCTCTCCACGCACTCGCCCGGCCTGAGTGTCGTCGCCCACCATGGCCACCCGTGAGTGCCCCCCCGCTCCAACTAGCTTTTTGCATGCGCTCATCACCCCTCAGCCAACCCATCCACCCCCGTGTCAAGCGCGGCCAACGACGCAGCAACCTCGGCCATCGAATCCGCGACGTCGGAAATCTCGTCCATCATTTCCTCCGTCACGTCGTCCGTGGTTCCGTCGTCGTCGTCGGCGGTTAGTAGCTCTTCCTCCGCTGCTGCTGCTACTACCAGCAGTGCTCCTTCTTCTTCTTCCTCTTCCTCCTCCTCTTCCGTAGAACCCTCCTCATCAGAGGCGCAGACTTCTTCCGCTGCCCCGAGCTCGTCCCAGGCCGCAACAACGAGCTCTGCGGCCCCTACCACCACATCCCAACCTCCCTCAACCACTTCTTCCCCCTCTTCAACCGAAGCTGCACAGACAACAACTTCCGAACCAGCTTCCACCACCAGATCAAGCGAATCTTCCGAGAGCTCGACTTCCCGGACCACCACGAGAACTCCGAGCACTACCGTCTACACCTCTGTAGTTACGAAGTCTGCTTCCGGCACCGGTGCCAGCGCTAGCCCTGTCGTTATCACTGTCACTGCTACCAGCGTTTCTGACCCCTCCGGCACGGCCGGCAGCGACTCGGCTGCTGCAACCAACTCCGAAGGCGCGTCGCTCCAGTCCAGTGGCAGTAGTTCGGATGATAGCGGCGGCCTCACGACGGGCGGAAAGACCGCCGTTGCTGTCGTTGTCCCGGTTGTTGTCGTCGCTCTGCTCGTTGCGGCCGGTATATTTTTCTGGAGGAAGCGAAAGCAAAGGAAGATTGCCGAGGAGGACCGGAGGAAGGAGGTCGAGGAGTATGGCTTCAACCCGAACCATGACCCCACGCTTCCCGCTGTCGGTGGTTACGGTTCGGAAATGGCGGAGGATTCCAGCGGGTACCGTGGTTGGGGCAACACCACCAACGCGTCGAACCGCAAGGCTTCCACGACCATTTCCGGCGGATTGACTGCCTTCTCCGACTCGGGCAGCCAGCCTGGAGGATACCACAGCCCCGGCTCGCCCACGAACCCCAGCGCAGCGGATTCTGGAGACCCATTGATGCACCGCCGGGAAACGATGGATTCGGAGGGCATTGGCGCGCTTGGCGGAGCGCCCGTCAGCAACAAACGTGCGTCGGACATTCATCGTGGACCTTCCAACGCCTCCTCGTCCTACTCGGGCGCAGGGCGGTCGGACAGCTCGGAAAACGGCCACATGCAGAACAACCCCCAGGACTACTATGCCGACAACGGCTATTATCAAGCGTACAACCCGCACTACGACGGCCAACCCGTCGTGCAGAATGTAGCAGCCAGGCGGAACACGCGGATTGAGAACCCAGCCCACTACCCTCCAGCAGGCAACTCGGGCATCGCACAAAACTTCTGATCTGGGATACCCTTTTTGTGTTTTCTGCTCGTTCGCTGGTCCTTCTGCAACCATCTGTTACTACTACCCAACCCCGTTGCGGGTTCACGGCGTTATTTTCTTTTCTCTCTCGACACATAGGTCTTGTTTATGGGCTGGGGTTGCCTCACCGGCTCCTAGCGTCGCTCGTCGTTGTGCATGAACTGCTACAGTTCCCGAACCATCATAAAAGGCGCATACCACATTCGTACCCATCCTTCCACTTTGCTATTCGTTTGCAGGCGGAACTCTGATCCGATATCGATTGTATTTGTTTTTATTTCCCTTTTCAGTTGCTCGTTACCCATTTCTTTTTGAACTGCACAGTACTACATCTTACCTAATGCTGCCACCGACATACGCCGCACACACATTCTTCAAGTTTTACAATCACTACACACCAAACCGACGGCAACACAATCCACGCGCCTAGCTGAATTAACAGCTAGGCTGCTGGCCATTTGTATGAATCATCCTCCTACTCTCTTGACGAGAGCGAGTCGAGAGAATTACGGGCGGATGGGAATGAGGGGGGATTAGCAGTTGCGAAAGGCCGTTTTGTTTTTGGACGATTGAAAGGGCGGGAAACGTGAAGAATGGCCACACATAGAGGAGCGAAGCGAACATGAACAAGATTCCTTTTTTCAGGCTCTGCTTAACTGTTCTCTCAGTTACTTCCCATCATGATTTTCTCTGCGCCAAGTCTCTCACTCCCTTCTTCACTCGTCTTATCGAGCAATTGGGACGGACCTCGGTGTGTTTCGTGAAGAATTGTGCGGTTTGCTCACTCACCCCCACACGACAGATGTCATCATCGGGCGATTGACGCAATATCGCGAGGATCTTTTATCTCGTCTTGCTTGATTTTCAACCGGTCGACAACAAGAGTGGCCACCGGGCGGGAAACATGGTCCATCTCCCGGCGGGCGAGGGCGATCGAGTCGGTGCGATAGGATCAATCCGTCGGACCTTCTTCTCGGCTCATCACTATACCACAAAGTCTATTATTACTCTTTCGATTTGACGTCACCCGCGTGGCGAACTTCATTCGCTTCGTACGCAACGAAGGGGCCCTGATCCTGAGTCCCCGGCGCGGGTCTTTTCCTCGATCAGGGCTGATTGACATGGACCAGGGTCTCTGTGGGGATCGCTTGTGGGGGGCCCTGTGTCGCAGAGCAGCGTCATCGTCTTCGCTGTCAACGTTCGCGGAGACGGCACCGGCCGTACAGATGTCAGTGGCGTGGACGGATCAAGTAGTGGCTTTTCTTTTCCGGCTTCTTTTCCTTGGTCCACTTGGGGTGCCTGTCGGATGAGTTGTACTGATTGGGACGGTGATTTTAAAATCTGCAAACCCCAGGGTCGTCGGCAGGTGGGATTGCGGGCGGGGGGTTGAAACTAATGAACATGGATTACCAGCCAGAGTATTAGCACGTATCTCTCGTTAGGTGCGGCGGCACGGGATCCGCATCCATATTCGTGTGGTTTATGAATGGCTTTGACAGGATGAATGTGCCTATAAATAGCGAGTGAAAACGCGCGGCTCCTAAATATAGTCCTGACAATAGTCGATGGTTATCTATCGAGAGATGCCCTTGAGACAAAGTTGATGTAAAGTAGTCGTATACCTACTCATGCCCGAGAAGTTCGCTCCAACGAAGACTCACGGCCTAACTGGTTTTGTTTCTTTGCTAGCGCTGTCTTGAAAGTTAGGATACAACCTCTAGTGGGCCCTAATACCTAGCCCCGAGCCAGGTAGCTAGTTCTTTCCAAATCAGTCAATGGTACAACGCAAGATCATTCTCTTCAAAGTTTACGCTAGTCCGTTTATTCTATCGTGTTATGCGGGTTGTTTAGTGGAATCTGCTGCATATTCGCGTCTTATAAAGCATCGGGTGTATTGTTGGCAAAGCTCAATGAGCTTGCAGGTTTCACTATAACATTTTGTTACTGCACATCGTCGTACACCTCAACAACGAAGAAGAGGGTTCCATTTTGACTCAGGTGCCTACGTGCAGTAAACACGCCAAGAAATGTCAATCTTTTTCTGTTTCTTTCGCTGGTATGGAGATGCATGACCTCGTATCTCCAAATCGATAACGGGGATCTATCCTCCCTTAGACTTCCATGGGGTTATCGTATCACGAATTCGCCTTCAGCGGCTTGCGGCCATATACCACGGACCTGTACAATTACCATCAACGCCGCTCCTTTCAAAAAAAGAAAAAATATGAATCACACTCACATGTCTTGGTACGCATGCACCTTTTTGTCCCTAAGCATCGTCCTCATTTTACCCAAGTACACCATGACCTCATCCTTGGTCCAGGCCAGGTAATTCGTCAGTAAAAACATGCACCATCCCTCTATACCATGCTCCCAGTGCAGTCTGTTCCATAAAGTCAGTCCAACCAATGCAAAAGACGAGCTTGATCAGGGGAGGAACAAGTAAAAGAAAAAGACACAATCAGAAAGGAAAGGAGTAAAAAGCAAACAAAAACAAACGCACCGATTATACACCCCAATCTCCTTCAACTTCTCGTCCTTGCTCCACCCTCCAATGGGCCACTTGAACCTCTGCTCTGTCACGTCGACAAAGCCCGCATCCAGCAGGCCCTGTTTAGACTCATCAACCGTGCGCAGGCTCTTTCCGAAGGCATCGCCCGCGGCCAGCGAGACCTCGCCCCACTTGGCGAAGATGCTGTCGGGCGCGACGCTGCCGTCATCAGACTTGGGCACCACTCCCATCTCAACCTGCTCGATCCAGCCTCCGGGCTTAAGGGCTCTGTTGAAGCGGGCTGCGGGTTAGTCGTGGTCTCTTCCAGCGGAAAAAAAAAAGATCACAGGATGGTATTTATTGAAAGAGGGACAGCGGACTTTAAGCATTCCATGTAAAAAGAAGGCCAATCAGCAATACTGCCGTACAGAGAGCGGATGTGGATGAAATCGAAGCTCTCTGGGGCGAAGGTCCAGGGCTGGGTGCAGTCGTCGATCTCGAAGTGGAGGTTCGGCGGCACACTGTGCGGCTGGATGGGCGATAGGTCGGTACCGACGACGTCGGTGGAGGGGTGCTGATCGGCAAAGTCCACGGCCCAGAGGCCGGTACCAGCGCCGACGTCCAAGACGCGTTTTCGCGGTTCTTTGCTGTCGAGGTCATCGAGGGGCGCGAGGAAGAGACGGCCGTCCATGGTCAGATTGCAGATGTGATGGCAGATGTCGAGCTGGTCGGCTTGTTGCTCGTCGTTGGGACCCCTGCGGTGGAGATGCTGAGTACGAGAGCCGTTTTATTGTGAAGATGCTATACCAGTACTGGCCTTGCTTGTAGACGCTGTATCTTCTACCATTTTCGTAATGATAGTTCATGATGGACGACTTGAGCGACGTGGTGGCGCTGAGGCATCGCGGTCAGAGAGGCTGCATCGCTTTGCATTCTCCAAGCAACTCACGAGTCCACATCACTGTCACCATACGAATCGTCATCTCTGGTGTCGTCCTTTGAAAGGCACGTGAGCCGAAGTTCGAGAGGAACTCGGAATGAAACTCACCACCGGAATGTGGTCGCCGGTCTGCATGGTTTGGGCTAGAAACTAAGAAAAGCAAATCCCACAGTGTAGGGAAAGAGGAGAACATTCCATGAGCTCACAACTAGGCGGGGCTCAAGATGGGGTTGAGTAAGCGATAGAGTAGTGTTTAGGTAGCATCAGGGCCGGGCCGGACGGAAAGCGTTCGTTCCCGTCCGGGGCGAACGACGAAATCGGCGAATGGGAAGCACTCGCGGCAGGTGGGCGGGCCGTTGGACGGGTGGAGATCATCGTGAGAGAGGTAAGGCGGAAGGTGTCGCGAAGAGGAGAAGGGCAGGCGACTTCCCTTTTTAGCGCGGTCTGGGCCCATCTGCTCCAACCGCGCCCGCCTCAACGTCCCCCACCTCAGCTGGCCCTTCTCTCTCCTTGCATCCACTCATTTCTGTCTCCAGCCCCGGAGTCCATTCCGTGCCGCGGCAACATCCGTCAAGGTGGATGCGGCGCAGCGACATGTCGAAACGCGCGCGCACTTTCAGCAAACAGTGGGCTGATCGCTCCAGCCCACTGCTGCGCATGGAACATTTCCCGCTATTGAATGGATCCATGTCTGACTTGCGGACCTCGGCATGCATAGACGCCCGATGGGCTGAGTAGTAGTGGGCTGCGGGGAAAACAGGCCAGGAAACACCCGCTCCAAACTCAAGCATCTCCGTGCACCCCGACGCATGCACTGTCCCCTTGCAGCTGAACATCTGACTTTCTCTTTGGGCTCGCGGCGACACCCAAGGCGAGAAATGCTCGTCGAGCCGGGTTTCAGCGACACGAAAAGAGAGCGGACAAGCCTCTCCTCAACATAGTGCCGTGAGAGACGCAGAAAACGAAGGCGCGACTCTCGACCGTTTAGTTTGGATGAAAGAGCCTGGGGTTTTTAGGTTGATGTATAGGGACCCGGGGCTCTAGACCCAAGCCACCACCTCTCCGGGACCACGCTCCTAGCTCAATCAGGATAGGCTGCAATCGTCCACCAAACCAACATCGAACGTCTGGGATCGGGATCGGCACCAGAACGAACGCTGTCTCTTGCGTATGATGTGCGCACGATCTGCTGCTAGTCGTTGCTGTCGTGTTCCGGACTGTGGGGGGGAGGGGCCTCGAGCTGTTGAGCCGGGATGGACACATCGGTAGACGTGCAGTGGTTGCGTCAGATGTGCTTCATGAAACTGTGGCCCCCGACCCGCTGGGTAGTTGCAGGGCTGCGTGCGGCTCGAACCTGCTGAAGAATGACCACGATCTTGGGCCCAAAAGGGTGTGACTTTTCTAATCCGTCAGCTCGAGGTCGTTGACTCGTCAGTCCATCATTCAGCAAGTTGCTGCTCTATATCACTCGGTCCCAGTTATTTGACTCCGCACAAGAGCCGAAATCAAGATCTGCCGGCTACTGCCTACCTCCCCACACTAAACCAACGCACCTATAAATCTTCTTAGAGAAGCCAACATCTGAGTCGTTGAAGCAAAGGTAAATTCAGATTACTGCAACCACCATAGATCTCCGTCTCTGGTGATGCGCCTGTCAATGTCATTATGCCGTTTTCACGCCCTTTCCGTGACCGTCACATGGGTTGGGCTGACTGACCTATGGCTCAGCTTTGCTCAAGTCGCGTTGTACTTCAACAACTGGTTCTTCGAAGCTTGTGATCGGAATTCTTGACCTTTATTTTTTCTTGGAGAAAGTAGGCCTTGTAATACTGTGAGCTTTTCGTGTTCACTGAACGTAAATAATGATGAATGAAACGCCTATTGATACTAAATAGCAATATGAAAAAGGATTATCAAGAATCCCTATTTGCACAAACCTTAGCCGAAGTTAAATCAGTAAGTATAGGGAGTGAACTCTCTCATTGATATGGCTTCATTGATCAGCAGCAAATTCATTCCATGCTACCGCTCTGCCTCACCCCAATCTGAATAGTGTACCCCTTGTGTGCATATACGCGCAGAAGAGAGACAACCGAGTTTTCTCAGCGAAGTTTTCCGGACCTAAGCGCAGTTTCCCGTACCGAATGACTGCGGTGGTCAAGTAACGAGAGAAGCACTACCTCAATACCTTTATAAGCTCGTTTGCAAGAGCGTATCACGCGGTCGCTCCCCCTCTCCGCTGATTTCAGCTGCTCTCGTAACTGTGCGGACCTGGCCACAGCCTCTAACCTGAATGTCCAGCTGCATGGGGCCTTGAACAAGGCTTCTTTCTTTTTAAAGCGCCTCAATCTCCGGGTCATTTATGAGAAGAATAGCCGAATATCACCTAAATTTACGAGACTCCTGCAGATCGAACATGGTCGGGAGTCTATCCGTCCGCGTGATTTCTCTTATAGCATTCTCGTAGCTATCCATTCGGTCTATACTGTAAACACTCAAAACATAGATCACTACCAATCAATCAATCACACCAATGAAGCACAGCATCACAGAACGAATACTGAAGAGCATTATCGACAAGTTTCACTGGGCAGCGAGTGCATGCCTATACCTAGCAAATCCAATGGAGGAACAGTGCCTGGCTTTGGTCTGACGCTGAGCAACCGCTGGGTTCACGACTTTAGTGGTCTCACTATGTGCAATGTCACATAAAGCATGACGAACCTCCTAAGACAAAGTTCACTTTATACGAGTCCACAGAGATACTTCAAAGTCGCTCACCGTACTTAAGAGAGCTGTTGACATCTCAGCCGCAATCCATCAATTAGTACCATCCTGGTGCCATCCTTTCGAAGTGGAAAGAGAAGTCCACTAGAAACGCCGACGCTATGCATGAAAACCAACAGTTACCTCACCTTCCTTCTTCGCTCACTTCTTATTCCTCTTTCCGCCGGCGCCGCTCCCTTGACTAGCCACGCTAGCACTCCTACCACCGCCTTCAGCCAAGGGAGCAGGGCTAGCAATCTCCTCCTTCACGCCGTTCATCCCGGCTCCATCCTCCTCGGCCGCATCAGCGGGAGAAGCATCCATCATCTCCGTATCCCCCTGCTCTGTCTTCGTCTTTCGCTCCCCAGACGCCGCAGCGGCTGATGACTGAGCCTGCTGCGAATCGTCCACCTCGCCGTCGGCGTCTTCCGCCTCGCCGTCAGCATCAGCGTCCGCATCCGCATCTGCATCGGCGCCGCTGTCCATAGTAATATCCCTCTGGCCTTCTCCACTTCCCTCAGCTCCTTCTTGTTCTTGCTGCTGCTGCGAGCTTTCTTCCTCTTCTTCCGGCTCCGGCTCTCCCCTCTCCGCCCTCTCCCTCCTTTCTCTCTCCTTTCTCACATTCTCCGCAACCGCAACCTCGCTCTCTTCCTTATCCAACAACTTCCGCAAATCCAACAACCGGTGAATCTTGTTGATCAGCACCTCGAACTCGTCGCACACTGTCGATGTCGGTAGTGCGATAATCTCCGGAATACGCAGCTCCGCCAGTGCCTGCTGGATCTTCTGCGTCTGGATCGTCGACTTGGCCATCCGCAACTTGTGCAGCCGGTCGCTCTTGAAGGTCACTCCGGATGATAGCCGGTCGTGGTGCGTCACGCCTAGCCGCTGCATCGCCCGCGGCGTTAGCGTGCGGGGTGGCTGCGACGGGTGGTGCTGCTGGGCCGAGGAGCCCGATGCACCGCCCGAGCCTTGCTGATTGCCGCTGGCCCCGGGCGTGTTTATGGATTGACGACCGCTCTTGTTCATGCTGTTGGCCGATGCGAGACCGCCGTCGCCGCGGTTGCCTCCAGCCGTCATGGGTGTCTGTTGGCCGGACGGGGTTGAGATTTGGTCGGCGGTGTTGAGTGACAGGCGGCCGTTGCGCTTCTTGCTGCGGTCCTGCTGCAGAAGCTGGTTGAAAAGCTGCGAGAGCGCGTGGCTGGACTGGAACTGCGAGGCCGTGCTGGTGCTGCCCTGCGTCGGCGGTGCGAACAGCCGCTGCCGCACTTCATCTCGCTCCGTTGATAGCTTCTCGTAGTTCGTGTTGATCCGCTGCAGTTCGCCCAGCAGATACTGCTCCTCCTTGATCTCGTCCGCTGTTCGCTCCAGCAGCGCCGCCGCCACCTTCTTCCGCTGCTTCTCCCGGTCTGGGTCGAACCTAGTTAGAATCTCGTGGAGCCCGAATTCGGCGTTCGTCATGGAGGCTATTGGTGTCTTGAGCTCCATCAGCTTTGCGCTGATCTGATAGTACCGCGCCTTTAAATCCTCCATCGTCCTCGGCTTCGGCACGATCGCCGGCGCCGCAACCGCTCCTCCCTCAGCGGCGTCCGGTTCCACCTTCGGCTGTGCCGGCTGCCAGTCGTAGCGATCCGCAATGATGGCCCAGCGGTGATAATAATCCTTAACCGTCTCGACCAGGTAGTCCGTCTCTTCCTTGCTCCACTCCTCGCTACGCAGGTGCGCCTCGTACGTCTCATCATCGTACTCCGGTCCTTCGGGTTGGATGTTAAACTTCGCATACTCGTAGTTCGTCTCGAGTCGAGGTTCCGTCGCAGCCGTGGCGGCGGCAGCAGCGCCGCCGTCCTGATTCTCCGCATCTCCCATGGCTACGTCTCCGTTGACATCGTTGGGTTGCAAGCGCCGCCAATGCCTGAGTATCAAGTCGTCTGTTCGTGCCGGGTTCGTGAAAGGTGTGAGAGCCCTGCCCGCCGTAAAATCAACTCCATCGTCAGCCCCAGTCTCCTTGATTTCGCCAAATTCTTTCTCCCAAAAGAAACTCTAAAGCCCAAGCTTATACGCACCACTTCGCCGCCGGACCCTTATTAGCGCCCCATCTCCTCTTCGGCTGATAGCTCTTCCCTGCCTCAACCACCGCCACGGGCGGCGCGCGCTCGCCATACAGAGCTTGTACTTCGCGGTTGATACCAGCTGTAAAGATTTCCCTCAAGCGTTAGTCCTCTAATTGTCCAGGAAGAAACCCGCACACGTTTCCCAAGCAACCTGAAAGCAACGTACTTATCCGCGGCTTGGGCTGCGCCGTCTTCTGCTTTTTCGCGGGCGGCGGTTTTGGGAGCGCCTCGCCGGGCTGAAGGCCCATGATGTCGCGGGCGTCGTTCATGGACGCCATAGTGGTTTTGATGGTGGTGGGGGTGGGTCGTTAAGCTGAGGCGCACGCGCGATTCACTCGGCGTCGGTCTAGTTGCGCATGCGTCGTGTCTGCAGGAGCGAATCGATGTAGGGCGAGAGTATATTCGAGGGCGCACTTGTCCGATTCGAACGCGTTTGGGTTGGTGAAGCGGCCGGCGAGGCGTTGTCGTCGTCGCGTCGGTGATGGGTGAATGATGGGAAAGTCGAAAGGTGTCGGAGACTCGGAGAATGGACGAAGGTTGCGACGAAATGGCCATCACATAATCACTCACCGCCTTTGCATGCTCACCTTCAACACGACCCTGCGTTTCTGATATTTATTCAGTGGCACAGTCTCGAGACACGAGTGGCTTCTATAGCTGACATCTTAACATCCATGATTTCACACTTGACATCTCAAAAAGATCAACTGTTTCTCGCCTGCTTCGTGAAACACAGGGAAACGTTTGAATGCTCACTTAGGGAGTATCTGATATAAAACGTACAATACGCAAGACTAGACCACAAGATCGAGGGGCCAGATGGAATGGATTGTGGTGACTCCCATGCGCCATGGCAAAAGGTAGGGAAAAAGACTGGTTGAAAAGGGTAAAAGCGAAAAACGGTCCTGAACTCATGCGAGTAAGTCATGCTACACGGCGGCAAACATCCAGTGCGCTTCCACGAGACAACTTTGAAAAAAGAAAAGAAAAAAAAAACTTTCCGGCCGCCCTCCACAACCACCAGCGCCTCTGATAACAGCCCTAGATAATGATAAACCCGTCGAACCATAATGCCGATGACACGTCGATCCCAGAATAAATGCCTTGAAATCCGACATTTCCCGATCAAGAAAAGACGACCAACGCATTCCGCAGACCATTAATTATGTGTTCCGGTAACCTTTACGCCCATCTCAAATTGATTTGGGCCCACTACGCGTTCCCGGGCTTTTCCTCGGTGTCAATGTGCCAGACGACGTAGTTTGGAAGACCGTAGACCTTGTAACCGGCACGCTTGGCCATCTTCGCGAATCCTTCCGTCTCGGCCTGATTTTCGAAAGCGTAGCAAGGGAAGTTGATACCTTGATTGTTGTCAGTTTTTCGTCAATGAACCCCGTTTGTTTGGAGCAACATACCTGAGCGATGGACATCCGCCTTAACCATGATGTTGACGCCACCGATTCCATCGAGCTCAATTTCTTCATCCTTGTTCTCGCGCCAGTCACCCATTGTGGCCATGTAGGTACGCTCGGTCTTGTACTCCTTGTAACCTGCAGATAGTCAGAACGGAAACCACGAATTTTGGGATAAACTCCGTACCTTCAGCCAAGACAACATCCTTATCCAAGGAAGCCGCAAGCTTTCTGCCCTTGTCCGACTCGACCCACGAATTATAATCGAATCTGCCTTCGATATCGACCATCTTGCCGTCTCTCTCCTGGTAGCGGTGGAACCAGATGTTGGGGACCAGAATGTCCCTGTCGTGGGCGACGAAGTCTTCAATGATCTTTTTCGGGCTGTCGACAATGTCCACATCGCGCCAATACACCCACGAGTGCTCCGGCTTCAAAGCGGCGGAGAGCAAGTAGTTTCTGGCGCGGCCCATAACCTTGCGGCGAGGCCCCTGCGCTTCGAAGCTATGCCTGTACTCAACATCCTGGCTGGTCTCGACGCCGAAATCCTTCTCCACAATCATGGTGCTACGGAAAGCAACATTCTCATTCTTCTGTACACGCTCGAGCTCCTTGGCCAGCACTGCCAATGTATCATCGCTAGTGTCAGAAACAAGGAAGGCGAGATCGATGAGGTGATGCGGATAGGTAAGCTGCGACAGGAGGTCAAAGTGTTGGTTGATGTAGTAAGCAGCATCGCGAAGCGGTGTCAGGATGAGGACACGCTCCTCGTTCTGGAGAGCCTTAGGAGAAGACTTGACAGGATTGAGGTCGATGCGCTCTATTGTGGTGGAATTGACCTCGATAGGCGTGTGGTGGTTGAATATGACGGGTGTGGTGAGGTGGGCCATCCATTTCTCGCGTTCGTTGGCCGACATATCCATAGGGGACTTCGAGGGGCCCCAACAGACGAATCTGGCGAGATAGCAAGTAAGCCACCGCTGCACGCACAATCGTGCTCAGTTGTTTCCTGCATACCTTTGCATCTCGCCTGCAGTGTCGCTTAAACCCCTCCATATTAATACTATGATGCCGGCAACGGCGACGAAGAGAAGAAAGCGTGTGCGGGTTATGAAGTGCCAGACAGCTCGTGAGGGTGGCAATCGAGCTTTGGCAGCCTTCCAGTTCACTCCGCCCTTGGGGAGAAGCATGGTGACTATTCAAGTGGTCCGGGGCGCTCGCAGAGGCTGGGGGAGAAGAAAGCAATCGCCCGCGCCGGTCAGAGCGATGCGAAGAGAAGCGAAGGTAACGAGCGTGGGCGCGTGGTGCGTTGTGGCGGGAGAGGGGGTTGAGATCGCGGATCTGACGGTGCAGGTCGCCTGTCGCTTCGAGGCAACGTTGGCAATGGTCAGGGACTCGACGCTTCGGCGCAGGGTGGAATTGCGATCGACGGCGGGCCGGGGAGTGCCTGTGGTGAGAGCGTGAGGATGCGCTGGATCGTGGTTACTGGAGGTGAGCACCGGCGGGCCAGCGCAGCATCATCGGAGTCGCTTATCGCTAACGTTGCGATGCGCAGCAGGAGCGACGGAGTGCTGCGCGCCGGTCGCGAAGGAGGTCCGGCTGATCACGTGCGGCCCGCTGACGTGCCTCCCACCTCCTTTTCTTCTGCACCCCCAAAGGTCAGCGTGGCGGTTGGGCGTGAGCGTGTCTTGCGGCCCGGCAATTTCATGTTTCCACAACGGTTGCTGCCTCCGATCCACGACAAACGAAAGATCCATAGCACGTCCCTTGCTCCCCCACACGGGCTGCGTATCCAACGGTCCGGTAGTGCGCGTAGATCATGTATTTAAGCCCATGCTCTCGTATCCCCAGTATAGCTACTCTAGACCCGCATCGCAAGCCGCGGTTCGTGCGGGCGGAGGAGCATCTTCATGAGCAGTGAGCGCACTGCCGCAACCAGTCTCTTGGGAGGTTGGCATGGCCGCTTCCTGCCGTGGTCGCCGGGCACCTGCGTGGTGCGAGGTACTCCATGTGCAACCCGTTGTTTAAGCCCGTATATCGCCGCTAGCCTCCACCATACTACGGCCCAGCCCTCAAGCCCGTGCATCATCTCGTCTCGGAATGAAAGGATTGCGGTTCGCATCGTACATCGTGTTATGCTCCCGCCACCGAGCGCTCAATGTCGTCATTGCTACTGACAGTTGGGTAGGACTTGGCATCAGCCCACCCGCATAAATCTTATCGTCACCAACATACGTGAAGCGCCTTTTTTTTTTTTTTCAGTCAATTCAATTTGATTTCTCAGGGAGGCTGTTTCGCACTCCCAACGCTATCTTTTACAGATCTCCCTACCCGAAAATAAGAAGAAAATTACCACCATTAAGCGCCAGCCTTGTTAGCGCGGATCCTTTGAAATAGCACCACACCACACACACAACAAACCCGAAATTCAACAAGGCCGTCCCGATCGTTACCGAAAATTGTTAAGGTCCAAGCTGAGAGAATAGGCATCGTTCAGTCCGAACCTTTGGTTTCTTTTCCTCCCGAGCTCTTTCACCGTATGACTTGACAAGTGGAAAGCGACGTTAAATGCTAGAAATGGAGGAGAGGGGGAGGAAGAGTATGATGCGCTCTCAGGTGAATTTAGGAACTACAGCCGGAAAGATGATGCTCGATGTTCGCTGATGCCGCCATGGTAGATGAAACACTAGACAAGGAAGATGCATGCCAGAAGAGACAGAGAGAAAACCATGCATGTCGCTCCAAGTTGATGAAATGCAAAAAGCAAAAACGACGTATCCAAAGCGCAATGCGTAACGGAGATATGATATATTACACGAAAGCAAAAAACACCACCCGAACTTTTCCGATGCCAGTGGGTGACCATTCCCATTTTAAGCCGTGCCGATAGTGCGCCGTTTGCATGATGATTGAAGAAAATTCAAGACACGTGGGTGTCTCTTGGGATATTCTGGACTAAGCAGGCCCAAGTGACCAGCAGGAAGGGTCGAGGCGGAGGTCATCGTGGGCGAAGAAGCGAAGTCGAAATCCAAGGTATCTAAGGTCGTGAAAAAGGCTGGAGCCGCAGTCTAGAAGTGGAAACATGTGCTTCGAACGGTAGGGACCGTGTTTTGTTGCGACCAGACGGGCAAAGCAAAGCCGTCTTGCATTCAGTAGGGTGGATACGTCGGAGTCGGGCTGGGTGACGTCGACGAAGACAACGGGGTTGGATACCGACCGTTCTTCCGATCCTTGGCTAGAGCTTCTGCCTCTTTCCGCATCTCATTCTCGAAGTACTTTTCGATGGCAGTGTCCTCATCCTCCAAAGCCTTGATCAGCTTCTTCGAGTTTGCCTCAAGTTCGAGCTCCAGATCCCTCATCCAGGCAATGTTGGCCGCGGTCAGATCCGATTGGCTTTGCAAGAGTTGCAGCATGCGTTGCTGGTTGTTGTACTGCTTCAGCAGCAAAAGGTCATTGCTCCGCGCCTCCTGGTTCGTCTGCTGAAGGATCTCAAGTTTCTTGCCATCCAGACCCGAGTTCTTCTTGTTGTTTGTGTTGAGGTCCGTGGTTGCAAACCACCCCCGGGCCTGCTGACGAATCTCCATCTTCTTGTGTTCATGGCGGAGAGCGCGCCGGGAACATTTCTCCCTGTCGGCCTTGTTGTGCTTCTGAAGCTCCTGCTGAAAGGATGACTTTCTCGACGCCACCACCGATCTCCGACGGGAGGTGGGCTTGGTGACGCCGGGATAAGCCACACACGAGCCACGACGAGAGGGCGGGTTAGATCCGCAGGAGAAGGAATCGAAGGAGCTCCGGGCACCGCTTCCACGACGAGACGTGGAGCCCGGTTGGAAAGTGTCGTCATAGCCGGCGCCGAGGTGTCTTGCATGAGGCTGGAACGGATGAATGAAGCGGAAGTGGCCGCACGAGGAGCACTCGGCTTGCGCCGAGCTCAGGGGTGCGCCACAGCGGGTACACTCGTCTTTGATCTGCGCCGAGGGGAAGGATGGCGTTGCGGGAGTGTGGAGGGCGCCCTGGGTGGGGGATGGCGCGGCCGACTCGAGAGCACCACGGTCCTTCTGCTCGAAGGAGTCCGAGGGCAGGCGGGGACGGGCGCCAAAGGACTGAGAGGGAGGGAGGTGATGGAGGGCGGGGCGGGAGGGAGCAGCAGTTGAGAGGTGAGTGGCGAAGCCTCTGGCGGCGAAAGCAGGCTGAGCGGCAGCCATCTCAGCGCCCAGATTCAGGTCGTGGATGGAGGGCAGGCTGAAGGCGGACAGGCGGGGCGGCATCTGCTGGCCGCCGTCTGCAGGAGGAGCAGTGGCACGAGTCACCATGATCGGTGGGTGTGGTGGCAGGAGAGCACAAGAGTAGACAAACAACGCTAGTTGAAGAGAGTGGAGGAGCAGCGCGGGTGCAACGAGCGCGGCAACGATTAGACGAGCTCCCGGAACGCTCGAGAGGATAGATGGAAAGACTCAGACTGGACTACGGACTACAAGGAAGCGGCTGCTTGGTCTTTTAAACGCCGGTGCGGGCGGTTTGGGGGTGCTTGGACATGGATGCTCTCTGGACAGCAAGGCGAAGCGAAGGCCCGGCTGCATCATCTGGCCGCGTTGAGATGCGCCATTCAGCAGGTCGAGGTTGCAGTGGGGAAAGGCAGGCGGCCAGATCAGACGCGGGCGGGCGGACAGCTTCTGCCAGGCGGGCTGTATACGGCACCGGGGTGTCACTGGGCAGGCAGCTGTGCAGCTCCAGCTTGGTGGGGGCGCGGCACATCGATTGGCAGCTCTCTCGCAGTCTGCGCGCCCTTGCGTGAGGCAGGCCTCTGGCGCCCTTCGGTCAGACATGAGACAGCGCGGTGGATGACACCAGCTCTCATGCAAGTCACTCGCCGCCCGTCTCCCCGCGCCGGCCGGGGCGGCCATGACGAATGGCAGGCGCTCCGCGGCCCATAGCGCGACGCAGGCACACATCGCCTGCTGGCCGATCTGCCGCGCGCAAGAGAGCAGCAGCTCACCGCTCGGTGTGCGACCCCCGCGCGCGCTGCAGCAGCTTAACGGCGACTGGGGTGCACGGCAGCATGGGTCCAACGGTCGAGCAGAAGGGCCCGTAGCGGCCATGAACGTGCAGCCGGCAAGCGGAGCCTGAAGTCCTGCAAAATACGAGCGATCCCATCTCACATCCCCAGCTCGACCACCAGCCGGGCTCCAGGCGCTGCTGGGCGAGCGCGCGCAAGCCGGCGCGGCCCAAAGAGGACGAGATGCCGTCTCGGGTATCGGATCGTGCTGCACGTCACCCCAGAAGCGATGGAACAGGTAGCTTCAGAGCTCGCCGGGCGATGCGGCGCCGTGCTCCTGATCGATGCTGAGGGCCAGATGCGGCCGAGCCACCGCGCAGCCGCCCGATAATGACAGGTTCCACCGGCGGCGGACGTTGCACAGAGAGCCTGATATGACCGCCGGCAGCTGCTCCGCCCAGGTCCCCGCCTGCCTCCAGATGCGCGCCGGCATGTGCAGACCCTGGTCACCACCCTAAGATCAGCAGGCATCGCATGTCAGGGAGAAATGATGCGAAAGATCCCGTACGCGGACGAACGCGCCCTAAATGCCCGCCGCCGGGCGTACGTGGCGTGTAGGCTCGAGGTACTGCGCTAATTTTGCAGGGGAAAAAGAAAAAAAAATAAGATGCAGAGGGAAAGGAATGGGAAAAGATACCTGGAGCCGGGTTGCTCGAGTCAGTCGAGCCCGCGCGCGCGCTTTGAGCCCAGTACGCGCCCGCTTGGTGTTGAGGTCGTTGTGCTCCCGTCCGCCAAATATTGCCCGCGGACCGGCCTCGCCAGCCCGCACCGCGGCATGTGCAGACCCTTGTCACACCCACCTGATCAGCAGCCGTCACGTCAGGCAGCGAACGATGCTTTTCTGCGCGACAACATAGACGAAACGAGCCTTTGCACATTGAAAGAAGCATTAGGGACTGATTATGAATAGATAACAAAAACACCCACCGCCGATGCGAAAGAACGAAATCCCATGTGCACCCAGAAACGATGAAATCAGAAAAATCCCCCGAGGGCTTTTGTGTACTGCGGCGGCTTGGACGCTCCGAACGAGTAAAATTTTGCTAAAGCACCATATTACTTCAAGCCCGCCTCCGCTTCCCCGCGTCCCCTGAACCTCTGCTAGACCCATGCGCGTACGCATGCGCTTCATTGAACCAAATTCCCGAACAGACGTTGTGCGCGACCAGGAGTCTCGTAAGAAATGCCCAACATAGACTGTCGAAGGGAATTGAACATTCCCTGAATTAAGTGTAGTCTATTCAAATCGAGAACATGAAAAAGAAAAACGCCAGCACCCGCTTCACCTGGTCACCTTTAGAAGAAGCCGAGCATGGCAGCGAGGACACCAGCGGCACCGAGACCAGCGGCGTTGGTGACATCGAGGTGGCCAGCAGCACCAGTGCTGGTGGACTTGGAGGAAGAGCTGGAGCCAGTGGGGGTAGTGTCGGCACCACCGGGGTTGGACTGGCTGCCGGCGCACTGGAACTTGCCCTTGATGACGTTGCTGTTGCCAGAGAGGGACTTGAAGTGCGAGCAGACGTCATCAATGTTGCTCTCAGACTGGATGTTGAAGGCACCACGGACGTCCTTGAGGCTCTCAAGGGAGACGCTGAATATCAGTTAGCATCAATCTCGTTTCTTACTTTCTGAGGGAAAACTTACTCAGTCAGGTTGCCGGAGAAGTCAAGAGCACCACCAACGGTCTCAAGAGCAGGGAAGGAAGCGTTGTGGAGCTTCGGGTTGTCGGCGATCTGGAAGCCACCGCTGACCTTCTCGAGAGCGTCGAGCGAGATGTTGGTGAGCTGGCCGTTGCCAACGAAGGAGAGCGAGCCACCGACGGTGGTGAGGTTGGCAGCCTCGTAGGACTTGATGCTGTCGCCGTAGAAGCCGAGGGAGCCGTTCAGGGAAGCCAGCGAGGGGGTAGAGATGGTGCTGACGTTACGGAAAGTCATGTTGTAGGCCCACTCGAGGTTGGGGAAAGAGGCCTGGAGGTCATCGGCGTTGGCGGACAGAGTAAGAGCGTCCTTGATGCTCGTGAACTGGACGGTGATATCCTTGAGGTACTTGTTGTTGGCAATGAAGAAGGTCGAAACCTCCTTGAGCGCAATGCCGTCAAGAGAGCTCAGGAAAGTGTTCTGAATGTTGACGGTGTCGGCCTCCTTGACACCGCTGGTGAAGGAAAGCTCGGAAAGAGCGGGCAGACTGCTCCACTCGATGGCGCCGACCTTGGTGAGCTTGGGGAAGGTAAGCGAGCCCAGGACAGTGAGCTGGTCGAGGTGGAAAGTGTCGACCTCCTCGAGGCTGTCGGCGCTGAAGCTGGTCAGCGCGGTGGCGTTGGTGGCGATCAGGTCGCCGTCAATCTTCTGAACACCGTCGAGCGAGACCGTGGTGGCATCCGTGGCAATGGCAATGGAACCGGTGAAGGTGGAGCAAGAGGAGAGGCCGGTGGCACCAGTGGAGATGGTGGTGGTGGCCGAAATGCTACAGGAGGCGGCTGTGGGCGGAACGCCGTTAGCACAGAGCGCAGAAAGAGCACTTGCGAGGGCGAAAAGGGGAGCAGATATGGGAGGTTGCTGGCGAGGGAGAACGTACCCTGGGCACCGGCGGCCGCCGCGACGACGGGGAGAGCGTACTTCGCGAACATTATCGTTGACAGGCGAGCGAAGATCTGGTCTGGAGAGCGGAGAAGAGTCAGCTACTGCGACAGCGCGTGGTATATGTAGCGATCGGGGGGCACGGTGGAGTACGCACGGTAGTCGATTGGGGTGGCTGACGACGCCTCGGGGATAAATGGGATGACGGGTGTGAAGATGTATGGGTGAGCGAGCGTCAAGAAGTTGGAAGAGGAAACGAGGGAGAAATAGGCGCAGCTGGGCAACCGACGAGGATGGAAGGCTCGCTGGAGACGTGGCTGAGCGAAACGAGGAGGTGGGAAGAGTAGTGTTTTGTTGAAAGGAAGGCGAAGGAGGCCGGGAAAATAGGGAGGTTCGCGCAGCAGCGCGCTCAGGAGCGAGCGGCGGCGCTAGGACGGCGGCGCTGGCCCGAGCTCGAGCGGCCTGGCGTGGCTTGATTCGAGGTTGATTCATTAGCGCGGCCGGTGCCCGCCTCTGGCGATCGCGCTTGCATGGAGCATTCGAGATGGAAAGTCTCGTCCAGGGCAGCGAATTCGCGCGTCGGCGAGCGCGGCGACCGCCTGCCAGCACACAATGGTTGACGTCGCCCTGGCGCCTCTCCCAGCCTCCGCCCCGCGCGATGTGGGCGAGGAGGCGGGAGCCAGCACGAACGAGCGTCGCCATTATTACGAGGCCCTCCACTCTGCCCGCCGGCTGTGGCACTCCGTCAGCTTGCCGTCGCCTCACCGATGACCCCTCGCTCAGCTCTGTCTCTGCACCACCCAGACGGTTGGCCCGGGCAGCCGCCGCGCGATTGGCCAATTCGACCAGCTTGAGCATCGCATGGGGGCCCGGCGGGCGAATCATGGAAGGGCGCGCTAGGTGCTGTCATGGGTCTCCGCCAACGAGAGGCTCTCACAGCCAAGTTTCGGCACCGTTGCAGAGCTCCAATTGGCGCCCGGCTTGCTATCAGAATTACCATCGCCCCAAACCGCGATGCCGCGTGTGCCGTGGGCGAGACAAACCCACTCAGCTCGCCCACGATGACGCTGCTCGCCGTCCCTCATGGCCGCTAACGCTTGCGGCCAGGCCCTGGACGGTGCTGTCAATGCGCAGAGCTATTTATCGTTTATGAAAACGGATCACGGGCCCCCGGGGGCGCCTGCTGGAGTCCTGGCACCGCTAATTTCGGATGCTGCGCGAGCCAGGCCGACCATCCTCGCCGGCGTCGATTTTTCTATGTATCTGGCGCAAGTTGCAACGGTAGGAGCGAGCCTCTTCATCTCCGCCTTTCTGCGCGGACGTCAATCATACCATCCTCCGCCGTCGCCGCTGGCCGCCCTTGCGGGCGGCCATATCATGATCTCCATCGCTTGGCGCCAGCTCCGGTCGAGCGTCGCAAATTGCACGAGAGTGAAGCATTGTTGCGTGCCCTGGCTCCAACGGCTCGCAGTACGCACCCTGCCGAGCCTCCTCGCCGCAACCGGTGCGTGACGCTTCCCCGATCGGGTCACCACGCCTCCAAAACGTGGGTGGCACGGACAGGGCCAACGAGCATTCGCTCGTGTGCGTTGATGAGATCGCGACAGGGCGGTTCGAGACTGCGGAAGCCGCCCGCAAGCGCTCGGCGACGGCCAGAGGCTGCTCCTCCGCGACAGCAGCAACAACAACAACAACACTGAGGGCAGCAGCAGCGAGCGACCAGCACGGCGCCCCACTCCTATTTCCGCTATCACGATGGCCTCGGCTCAGCTGCACCACTGCTCCCGCCAGCCAATCATCGCCGATTCGGTGAACGGGTTTTACCAAGATGACCAAGAGGGCCGCTGTCGATCTCCTCTCCGGCTCCGGGCAGATGCATGCCGCGATACTCGAACAGGCAAGCAGTAGCACGGGGAAGCAGGCGACGAACAGCCGCGCGAGGGGCTACGCGGCCACTCGACGCCTCCCTTTCGCTGCGGCGGCTTCACGTGCGCTGCAGCCGAACCTCCAAGGCGACTCAAGGCATGATGAATCTGTAACCAGGTTTCGGTCGTCCGTTTCATGTCCAGTCATGCAAGGCCGCGAAAAAAGCAAGAAAAAGAAGACGCTGGCCAAGCCTTCTCGTCACCGGCAGTCTCAGAGTCGACCCGGTCCCCACAGGGCTGGCGAAGGTCGCCACATGCGCGCCTCGCTCCCTGCGCCCCGTATGGCGCCCGGTGCTTGCGGCTGAGCCGTCCGAGCACTCGACGCGATATGAAGATATCACTGATACCAAGCCGACAAGCTCTGGACGGTCACTCCTGTTTCCCGCGAAGGGTAAGTCGATGGACTCCTTTGGGCTCCACCCGTAGGGCGACGGCGGACACGACCAGTCTCCAGCCACGCCGTCGAGCAAGCTGTTCCCTCCAGCCAATCCTTTGCGCACGACCTCCAAACGGCCATTGCTGACGGCGAGCAGCCGCCCATCACTGCCCCAGCGTCATAGGCCTCCCTACCGTGTTTTAGCCGCCGTCTGAAGGCACCAAACAGCGGCAAAAAGGTGGAGCCACAACGCCGGCGTGCAAGTGGCGTCGACAAGTCCACTGGTGCCACAGAGAGGAAGTGAGGAGCTGCAATTGATCTCCACGCCAATTCCACCATCAGACGTCAGTCTGTTCATCAGCAACATCACAAGGCCGGCACACGTGCATCTGGCTTCCTGGAGCGAAGTTGGCTCTCACGTGGTCGTCCACACAACTATCCAGATCTGGAATCGCTTACTTCCGGGATAGGTACACCGCACTTCATTTCGTGCATTCCAGGGGTTTCGCCATACCCTTGATGCGCTGCCAACCGGCGGGCCCGCTCCAGCATGAACTCTCCGGCACTGCTGCTCCAGGATGCCGCAGCTGCCTCGCATTTTGCAAGGCAACGGGACACAGCGATATGTGCGACAGCGGCAGAAGATGCTTGCGCCGGATTACATGCGTGTCAGAACCTTAAACGCGCCGACCCGGGGAGTGGAGAGCGGCTGGAGGGGATTCAACGACCCTAAGGTACTGGCTTCAGACCCTTGTCCGCACCACCTTGCAATCCCATACGCGCCCTGCTTTCAGGTCCAGCGGCTTCGTAGCGTTGTGCTCTGGCCTGAACGAACGATCGACTGCAAGTCCGAATTTGCGAACGGCGTTGTTGTGTGACGTGCTGTTGGGAGCAATCATTGGGCTGCGTTGAAACTCCCGCTCGTTGCCCAGGCGTTGATTGCCGCTGCTTCCTCGGTTCATGAGACGGCCGATCTCACTTCAGACCCTGCCAACACATCGAGGCAGAAGCAGCGGTAAGATCTACTCTCTTAGGCCTCGCCGCCGGGTCCACGCTTCCCTAGATTACGCCGTTTCTTACCGTTGTCGACATTTCTCTTACTCGCCGCTTGCTGCAAGATTTCGGAACGGCAAGAGTATGACATGCAGCAATCGCTGGTGGAGCCCACTCCCATCATCCGCGTATCACCCTTGTTGCAGCGATACTACTGTGTAGGCAATGCTATGCCGATGATGATGACCTGCGCATATGCTTACTTGCTTGCAACCGCCCGACCTCGTCAGGTCCCGGTTTTGCCCGCGCATACATACATGTTCACTATTAAGGTGCTGACATCAGTTGCACCACACGCAAGAGAAAAAAAAAGGCAGGGAAGATTCTGTTGTGAAAGGTGAGTCGGGAGCGCAGGGAAGAGGCGCCGGTGAGCAGCAAGAGAACAGAGCACCTCAGGCAGACATAACGGATGAGGGGTAGTACGCATAGTCTCGTACGCCTGCAGCACCCTGCGAAGTAACAGATTCGACCAGAGCCGCATCAGCGCTAAGCAATTAAGGACGACGCGCGCACCATCGCTGTGCCAAGCATGCGCAGAATTGGTGTAGCGCCCGGCTTGCAGCTTTTTCGACAACCTCTTTTCGCCTTTGTCCTTTCCTTGTCTGTTGTGCCCTGCTTGCTCATCGCCATTGCTTGCATGGTTATCCTTTCAATCCTTCCCGTGAAGCCCCAGTCAGCCCTGCAGTAGTTCAGATCTGCACGCCATCCACAGGGACTGCGGATGCTGGTTCCGCTCTTCCCCGCAAGGCCGGCCCCATCGTGAACGGAGGTAAACTAAGGCACGTCATAACGAGCGGCAGTACCGCCCCGCTCACAAGATGGGGGGAAGATAAAGAGCGGTGTCCAATCGATACATCCCACACTGACCGTGATGTATCGCATGGGTGACACGCTTCGAGGGGCTAAGTTTAGAACAATCTGGAAGGAGACAGTCGTGCAGGGTTGAAAGCTGCCGGTGGTGTTGCTCATGAAGCGCCCATCCACCAGCCTCTGAGCGTTGATATGCTTGTTTGGAGAGAATCTTGGGCAGCAGTGGCGTGAGATGAACGAGGGCGCTTAAAGGAAGGGAGACCGAGTGACCTATTGCCTTTCAGAGAGGTGGGGGAAGGAACCTCTATATTTCTCACGCAGTGATGCTTCTAACTCTCGGCTCCTGAACCAGCGTACTCCTCTAGAGCAGCAAAAAATACCGGAACCTCAACACGTACTCAGAGGCAATGTCATCCATTTGCCAGTCGCACGATCAAAGGAGGGGATACATTTTTTTTTTGTTATGCGGCAAGTCTCTGTGCCGTGTTATGGTTACACGAAACTGCCACCATCCTCCCTCTCTCCCGCCTTCACCCATGTCCCGCCTCCCCTCCCTTCCTTCCTTCCCGCTTCCCCCTCCCCTCATCCCGCTCCGCTCTGCACTACGTACATACATACATCAATGGATTTTGTGTTCGATAAGACATGCATGTTGGCACGGGCCCGTTTGCATAGATGAAAGATACCCTGCTCTCCAAGTACCTGACATTTTGTACGACACCGAGTTGTCCGGCTACTGTTGCCACTGCTGCTAATGCTGTTGCTGCCGCTGCTCTTCCCGGGGTGCATCCCCGACGGTGTTTCCGTCGGCCTCACCCCAGGGTAATCATCAGCCAGCCAGTCAGCCTACCCAGCCCCGGCCAGCAACCTAAGCATGTAACACCAATCCCATTCAGCCTTTACAGAACACAGACCACCGGCTAATGTTACCAGACCTTTCACCACGTTAGTCAGAGGTTGTCGCGCAGCAGCGAGGACACCGTTTCCCTTTTTCCAGATCGATCCATTGCCAGAGTAATACGCAATATGCTACATGGTCGAGAGCTGTTCCTCACTGCCACCTCGCGATCGATCTAGTCTTCAATTAATAAAAAAACAAATAAAAATCATCAAGTAGCGGTGAACGTGAGCATGAGCACATTGATTAAAATAAAGACCCCTGTGGCGGCTGGCGGCTCGTCCCATGATCGCCACGCCACTTCGATCCCACGCGCCAATGCCGTCGCCTTTCGCCCCGCGCGTATATTGATTGTACTTGTGACCCTGCGTACTAGACATCGTTTTTCCGCTCGGGAATAAAGGAGAAAAAAAACTAACGGGCAATTTGGCTGTATGTTTTTCTTTTTCCTCCTCGAGCACATCCAATTTGATGTGGAGATCTCTAATGCGAGTGCGTTTGTGGATCACGGATCAAGTGGCAAAGAGAAACATTCAACCTGGACAAATGAAAACAGACAAGGAAAAGGACACAGTGGCAAGGATCCCTGGTTCGTATGCGCTGGGAGATCTGGTCATTGACGGGGGACGGTGGGTTCCCGGCTGCCGCTGTGGATTTTTCTCCTGCTTGCCAGGGCAGGGGTGGGAGGGAAGGGGGAGGGGCGGAGGCGGACAGGGCTGTTTGTATGTCGTGCATGTGTAGAATGTTGGAACAGCAAGAATAAACGAGAAAGCAGGCGAACAGGGATTGTAGGGGGAGAGAGAATGGAGTTGCCAAACATTAGTGATGACGTTTCTTGCGTGATGATCAGACAACTCTCCGGTCACATTGGAAACATTGTAAGGGACGGGGCAGCAGGTTGTGTCAGCGGCAACCTACGGGCGCGTGCGCATGCGCACGGGAGCGGGTAAGATGCTTGCTTTTTCTTTTCTTTTTTTCATTTCCGAGGAAGAGAAGGAGATCTATGCTACATGTATCATTCATTCCAGATCTGCTCCGGTATCGGGATGCGGGCCGTCACTGTCTCGAGCTCTGAACCTAAACATGATCTACGCTCTGCGTCTGGGGTGTTTGCGCAATTCGTAGCATTTCCGTGTGGGACTTGGTCTGACTCAACGGCCAGAGTGGGCGTAAGACTCAGGCTGTGAGGGCGTCGATATCGACGTCTTCGACCCTCCACATGTACCACATGAAAAGACTCCTGTGTTATAGAGATTCCTAGTTAGCAAAAAGAGATCTTCAGATGTCTCGCCTTGTCCACTTTTCGAGCAAGACAACGCCTCACTTGTGATCTTCGGCTCGTGACAAATAATTGCTCCAGAATTTCATGTAAAATGCAGAAACATAGAATGTGAATGTGCAACCAAATGAGGGCTAAATTAAGGCAGCGCGTATGTGGAGGACCGGTGTATCATCTGCAAAATAATGCAAAGCACCAACGAAGTCGGGCTGATACGGTCCAGTGATCCAAATTCTCCAACAAGATACTTTGTAGCAATATTCGGTGCACTCATATGATAAGGAAGAAGAAAAGAGTGTACTCACCGATAAGGTGCAAATTTTGCGGAATGCTCCAACATCTCCTTTTCGCTCAAATATTTCCATTTCCCTCCCTTGCCGTTAGACTTTAGCTTCGCGACATCTTTACCCAACCATGCGGCCATGCCTCTCTGGACACCGAGATCCCCGGTGCTAAACACGTCCATGCGCTTCAGCGCGAAGCAAGCAAACATCTCGACGCTCCAGCGACCAAGACCTCGCACGGCGACGAGCCGCTCGAGGACCTCAGCATCAGATGCTTCTACTAGCATCTGAGCGGATAGCTCTCCAGACGCGAACTTTTCGGCCAAACCTTTCACGTACTCGGCTTTGCGGCCGGAGAGGCCAGCGGTACGCAGGAGAGAGAGGTCTGCGGCTGCAACTGAGACGGGATCAGGGAAGAAGGATGGGGAGTTAGTAGAGTTAGGAAACAGCGCGATAAACCTATTCCTAATGGATTTGGCTGCCGCACCAGATACCTAAGTATTTAGCTATGTCAGCGCTCAACTTTTCTTTTCTCTTTATCCTTAATATATGCCCTTGGGGAAGTCAAATAGTGAGGAGCATGCGGGAACGGGAATCATTCACAATGTGCAAATCAAGCTATCCCAATGCTTCTTCACCTAACAACCCTTGCGAGGGCTCCATATATTTGTGGAAGATGATGCAAGAGACGGTAGCAACTTACCTGCTGCGCCAGAATCCCACTCACCAAGCTCTTGAACGGATCCACCTCTTCCTGCAGCCCCTCGGGCGAAAAGTGCTTACACGGATGCTTTTCGATAACCGCCTTTAGCCTCGGGTCGACCTTAATCAAATGCGCACACGCCATCTCAAGCAAGTTCTCTGTCGTCGTCTCGGGCAGAAGCGTCGCGCCCGCCGCCTCTGCTGGGGCAACCTCGCTCGCCTCAGGCACACCGGCCGTGTACGCGACCACGCGCGATCCGCCCGGCGTTGACAACGGCGCGTTGGTGGCGTGTGGCTCCGCGAGGCGCGCCTTCCGACTACGCTTGGGGGGAACTGCATCGGTGTCTGCGGTGCTGAGTGGCGAGGACGATGCTATCAGTCCTACAGCCGAGGGCGTGGGGGTGAACGGTGGAGGCTTGGATGGAGATGGGCCATCATTGACGGGTTTGCGTCGCTTAGTGGTGGGAGTTAGAGGTGTGACGAAGACATTGGCATCCGCTTTGTCAGTTGCGGTTGGACCAGAGAGAGTGGGCTCTGCGGTCGAGTCGACGCTCTTCGAGGGTCGGCCGCGCTTCTTGCTTGGGGGCCGGACAACGGTATCGAGCCCATTGGTCTTCTTGCTCGCTTTAGATTTCGAAATAGGAGCCTGGATATCAGGCTGACTGGCCTGGATGCGGGCAGATCTTCTGACGGACGACATGGTGGCGAAAGGAGCTGGATAATTTTGCTGATTGAAAAGCAAGGGCGCAGCTACCGTTGATTGGCGAACGAGATTGAGGCGCAAAAAGACTGACGACTTGGAAGTGGCAAGGCGTAAGCGTCGAGACATGAAAGAGCGCTTGACGCGGTAAGGTTGGAGTCGCGACGGAAATGACGTGGTCGCGGGGAACCGGTTCTCGCGAAGTCACATGCTCCGCTGCTGCCTGAAATTAGATCCGTAAGCTGCCTCATCCTTGGCGCATTATTAATTGCCGACTCTGCGATGGGTGATTGGACGACGCTGCCTATTCGCGGGCGTACGGAACCTAGAGGGTGATGGGGGATGGGAATCGACTATATTTATCCGGACCGGTGACCGCCGACGCCAGTAAATGGCAAGTACATCAACGTAAACGTAATTTCAAGATACGTGCTCAGTAATGGTAATCTGTCTTTGGATTGGCGACTGCAACAATTACATGACTTGCCGCGACAACACTTGCCTGACCATACACTTGCTCTTTCCGAGGACTGGCTCCGCTGAGGAACACATCTGCATGTTCGCGTAACAGCGTAGATCCATAGGAGACGAAAACCTTCCATTCGCCGTTTCTCTTTGGTAGTGTACAGTCTAAAGCACAAGGGACTGCGGCGACACCTGTTCTGGCCAGCACCTTCTGTCTATACATGTGTGCTTTTCTCCATGCTCCCTTCTTGCGCGCTTGGTATCTACGACCTCTTCGCCGGCTTCTTGACGACCATGGCCTCCAGATCCTCACGCTCCTTGATCTCGGCCTCGATCTCGGCGATGATGGGGCTCAGGTAGGGAGTGTCCTGTGAGACGTCAGCGAGCCGCGCCTTCTTCCCAATGGCAGGTCGGATCCATTGCGTACCTCCTCGGGCTTGGTCTGCTGCTCCTTGGGCAGAAGCTGGTGCGCCAGCGAGCACTTTGTTCCTATTAGCCGATATTCTTCACCCGCTGTCTCCATGCTGCTCATCGTACCTGGAAAGCGCGGCGCATGCGGAAGACACGGTCGTAGGCCTCCTTGGGGGGGAGGCGCTTGAGAGCCAGCTGAACAGTCTCAGACTCCTCGGGGATCAGGTCGTCGGCTCTGCGGAGAGAAAGGCGTTAGACATGGTCGGACGTGGCGTTCGCGGCGGGACGTGGAGGGCTAGCAGCAGGCCATTGGTCGCTACGGAGGGGGGCCATACCTCAGGCCGAGCTTGCGGTAGCCGGCGAGCTGCGATGCGAGATGGGTCAGCGTGCGGTGCTGGCGGAGCCGGTGCGGACGACGGGACATACGTCGGTGTACCAGTTGGAGAGCGGCTGGAACCACCCGCGCAACCAGGGGCGCTTGACGATGAAGCTGGAGAGAGAAGGGGTGCTCATTGTGACGATGCGGCGCGGGCGGGCGTGGGAGTGGAGATGCGGGCGTGCTCGAGGCTCTGCGGCTGGTAGCAAATGCTCATCAGAAGTTCGACGTCGACACCGGGCGAGGAAGGGCTTGGCGTCAGGGCTTCGCGCGCGCCCTCATTGGACGAGGCCGTCGGCCGATTTCGCCGGTTCTAAGCGTGTGGCTCTCGGTGCCATGGAGCTCGTGGCCGGTGTCCTGCAGCACGCGTCGTACATGCCCCGGCCACCAGCATGGTCCATTTTCCTCTAGCTCCAATCAACCCCCCCACCCACCCACCGAACCCAGGCGCTTCTGACGTCCGCCGCCCGCGCGCTCATTGTCCGCAACCCACGACAGGACGCGATATTCCGCCAAACCGCCTCCTTTCACGTCGCTCATCCGCAGTGTGCCCCGCGCTGCCAGAACCGCCCGCCGCCGCCATCCTCCCACCATCCCGCCGACCTCGCTATCCACAAATCTCCGAAGATTGTCAATGGATACCACCGTCAACCGCTGACCCTCAAGTGCCGCGGGGCCGCACACTGCGGAGGCGCCTACACCGGGAGGTGCGGCTCCATCTACTTGAGAGTGCATGAAAATAAGAGCGCCGCCCACTTACCAAATCGCAGGCGCGCTTGCCAAAATGACGACTCCAACTTCCACCGCGCCAGCGACCACCACCGCCCACAATGGCCGCACGATGCCGAAAAGCGTGGCCGCCTATTTCGCCCGCCTACCGCCTTCATCCATCAACAGCTTCTGCGGCGCCATGGCTGGCGTAGCTTCTGGCATCGTAACCTGTCCGCTCGACGTCATCAAGACGAAGCTGCAAGCACAGGGGGCTTTCCGCCGCCCGAACAACGGCGCAAAACTCTCTCCCTCGAAAGCACTATATCACGGCCTCTTCGGAACAGCGAGAGTCATTTGGCGTGAGGATGGCGTGCGTGGCATGTATCGAGGTCTCGGGCCCATGCTGCTCGGCTACCTCCCAACATGGGCTGTGTATATGAGCGTATACGAAGGGTCCAAAGACCTCTACTACAACAACATAGGTGCGTCATCGGCCGCCCTACATGGCTGTGTATCTGACTGACACTCGTGGAGACAACAAGTGGGTCGCCCGCATCTGCGCGTCCATCACAGCCGGTGCCTGCTCCACCATAACAACAAACCCCATATGGGTCATCAAGACCCGCCTAATGTCGCAGGTCAGTTCACGCGCTTCTGAGGATGTGCGGCCTCCTTGGCACTACAAAGGGACTCTCGATGCGGCTCGCAAGATGTACCGTACCGAGGGCATTCTGGCTTTCTACTCTGGTCTGGGACCGGCTTTGCTTGGATTGACACACGTTGCGATCCAATTTCCTTTATACGAATACTTCAAGACACAGTTCACAGGACTGGAGATGGGCCAGAATACAGCTGGCGAGAGCGACACCCATACTGTTGGCATTTTGGCCGCCACTTTCCTCAGTAAGATCTGTGCGACATCTGCAACATACCCACACGAGGTCCTCAGAACACGTCTGCAGACACAGCAGCGCACCCTACCATCACACTCACACGAAGAAATCACCTTCAGAGGCGCGCTGGATGCGCACAATGTCAAAAGACATCCGCAAGGAGCCGCGTCGTCCGACGGCATGGTTAACATACCCCGGTACCGCGGCCTCATAAAGACGTGCAAAACAATTCTCCGGGAGGAGGGTTGGCAGGCATTTTACAACGGCATGGGAACAAACATGGTCCGTGCTGTCCCAGCAGCAATGACCACAATGTTGACGTTCGAGATGTTGAAGAAAGCATGCTATGAGCTGCAGAAAGCAGGCTCGGCGTCATTAGACGAGGATTGAGCACCAGATTACCAAGTGGTGAGAACTTGCAATGCAGATACCCACAAACTGTGGTTTCATTCAAGCGCGCGATATCCGGCAGGCCCCGCATGTTGGTTGTTCGTATGTCTGTATATATACTGCATTGCGAACCTGCTTGACCCTTAACGTATTTGTCTGGGGCCACTGGAGTTTCGAGCGCTTCAAAGACCTGAGAGCCACGGAACAGCTCTTTGCGCCCCCTTTAGCAGCGCCCTGTTGTTGTTTTTTCTTTTCTTTTGATTTCTATCCTGATTCCCTTCCAGACTGGGACATGTGGGGCCTCACCAGGAGCAAATCTTTGTTTTTTGTTATTTTCCAAGGACGGCGGCAAGTCTGAACATTGGCACACGAGCGGTCTCGTTCTAAAGCAGGCAATCAAAGCGTTCCGATATTCCATCTTCTGCTCCTGTTGGACTCATTATTTTTCTTATTTGTAATATGGAACTGTGAACATGCATGGCTGACAAAATAGATGGCGCTTGTCCCACAATATATGTCTAGGACCTATGCTCAACTGCGCGAGAGGTCACGCGCGGACCGGTGTCGCATGAGGTAACTACTGAACGAGCGGCACACACCATGAAATATCAAAACAGGTTACAGACTTTGAAAAAAAAAAACACCATAACTCGCTTTACTTGCATCCACCACGCGACACACGTCGAGTAATCCTATTATGGTGCGAACGAGCAAGGTGTGACCCGCCTTAGTTCCCACCGATTACCCGTTCGGCAGCTCACCCAGCGCACCGCCGCAGTCTTGGTATGAGCGTGACCATGACCGATCGCGAGAACGATTCTACGTACGGCACGAGAAGGCGACGTTCGCGCCCTTCTAACGTGCCGGTAGAGGGAGGCAAAGTTTTGGCGTCAGTGCCGACGCTATTGAAGATCAGGCCGAAGAGAGAGCTGTGGAGCAAGTACAGGTTCCGTGATAGCGACGAGGAAGACGAGGGATATGACGAGGAGGACGGCAGGAGCGACAAAGAAAACCAAGTCCGCTCACCTGCAGCAGCATTGCAATACGACAACAGCAACGATACCCGCGTTGAAGAACCAATCCTTCCGGCTCCCATAACCGTCACCAACATCACACATCCAACGCCGCGCACCCTCTCCACCACTTACAATGAAGGCAACCTGCGTAACCACCCCACCTACTGGCGGGCCCACTTGCCTGGCTTCTCCCCAACTCAAGGCCAAAGTCAAGTCCTTCTTCCACACCGAGACCCCGCTGACCAGCACCGAAATTTGCCTTCAGGAGGCTCCGTGAGAAACAAAGATCGGAACTCCTCGTCACTACCGCACGAAGGCAGTTATGATACAGTTTCGACTACGATAGTGACTGGTAAGCAAAGGCGTCCGGCGGCAGAAACAGCAACGCGCGCCGGAACCGATATCGGCACTGTCGCGCGTCTGCGTCGCTTCTTTTCGACGCGGGCTAAAGTGATGAAGGCAGACCAGAGGAGGGAAAGGGCAGCAGCACTGATCAAGGATGAGGGCGAAGGGCAACCGTCAATGGAGGCAATGGGGGCGGTAATTGCTGGGGCGGAGAAGAGGGAGCAGTCGGTGATCGAGAGGGTTGTTGGCAGTGGCGGTGATATTGCTGCATCACCGCCGTTGAGCAGTGCTAATCGCGGATCGATCGGCTCACAGAGCAGCGGGGACAGCATCGCAGATGTGATGGACTGTGCAAGCAGCTTGGTGGCCGAGGTGAGCGGGATAACAGCGGATATGAGTGCGGAGGTGGGTGGAGGGGAAGAAGGGGCACCGCCACTGATCATGACGCCGGATGCCGAGAAGCTGCGAAGGCAACAACAACGACAACAGGGCATGCTGCGGACTTCTCGCCGATTACAGAGAAAGAGCATTGATCCATGGCAAGGTCGTTCAACAAGATTCAACATTCCGGGGAATGCGTTGCGCGTGCCAGCGGACTCGTTGGTTGGCCACGCTGTGAGAGTCTTGACGCGCTCAGGGACATGGCGTAAGAGCGGCAGAGACTCGCTGTTCAACGCGTGCAAGCGGTACAAGAGCGAGCCCGATTTGTCTCGCTCAGAGGGTCCGGCGGTGAAGGCAATTGCGCAGATGTGGGCGATGAGGAAGGGCCCGAGCGGCCCCAGTCCGCTAGCGTTGAGGGTGCTGCAATGGGTGGTGGAGAATGAAGGCTACGGTGCTGCCGCTCTTGGGAGGACGTGGGAGGGGGAGCACATTGATGATCTACCGTTGGTGAAAGCTGGGTGGTTCAGTGCGGTCACTGTTCGAGAGCAGATCAGGTTGATGGCAGTCAAGGAGCAGATGCAGGATGAATGGGAGGAGAGAGTGTGGGCGGAGACACTGGGGAAGGAGAAGAAGGATGGTGGAGATGAGGAAGAGACGAGAAGTGTGTGGAGTACAGAGTCGGTTTCCGACTCGGTGCTTTACAGGATGCGAGGGAGTAACGGGTCCAGACAAGGCATCTTCCTTAAGGACTTTGACGATCCAACGATGAGGTTCAAAATTGAGGAGTATCAGGCGCAGGTGGAGGCGTTGAGAGCAGAGAGGGAAGACCGTGTGAGTCTGGATGCTATGGGTAATGACGATTGACCCAAGATTGTGGGTTTTACTTGGAAATATTGCATGCAGTTTTCCTGTCGCTTCTGTTCCGAGATCGCACTAGGGCAGGGATATGTTGGACCCCCTGCAGCCGTTACATGGATGATTATCCACTTCGACAGGGATGTTATCAACGTTCTAAAATGACTTCATCAACCGACAGTGATAACATTTGCCAATCAGGAAGTTTGTCAACATGATGATTGCCCGCCTCGCAAAGCCACCGTATTTGCCGGGGAAGACAGCATTCTGCGTCGCATTTGAAGATGATATAATCGCTCGGTCTCTTCGACGGTAGGACATGTGGAACTTTGTCGATGGTAGTCGCGACAAAAATTTTGGTAGCGCCGAAGGATATAAGAGGCGTTGACCGGCGCGGCGTCACTCTGCACCGACCTCGCACCTCTACCCCACGTCCCCCGCCATGGCCGACGACGACGGCTTCCTCGCCAGCTTCTCGGAAGACTTTGTGCAGCTGCCGCAGTACAAAGCCGCGGGCACGTCGAGCATCGACTTCGACGGGCTGCTCAGCTCGCCACTGAAGCTGCATGAAGATTTGAAAGGAGGATGCGGCGGCCAGCTGTGGCCCGCCGGAATGGTGCTGTCGCGCTACCTGCTGCGCCAGCACAAGCACGATCTCAACGGCCGCTCAATGTTTGTACGCCTCAAAAAGCCCGTTCCGCACGTCCCCGCCCACTGACAGCACAGAATTGAGCTCGGTGCCGGCGGCGGACTCGTTGGCCTGGCCGTCGCCCTCGGCTGCGACCTCTCTGCCAGCGAGAAGCACCCGCTGTACATCACAGACCAGGAGCCCATGTTCGCCCTCATGCAGCAGAACACCGCCCTCAACGACCTCTCCGCCCGCGTCAAGCCGCTTATCTACGATTGGGGCTCCGCTCCGCCCGCCCTTCTTCCCGTGCCGCCCGACGTCATATTGGCTGCTGACTGTGTATACTTTGAGCCCGCCTTTCCGCTGCTGCAGAAGACGCTGGAGGATCTGATTGGTCCGGATACCGTTTGCTACTTCTGCTTCAAGAAGAGGAGGAGGGCGGATATGCACTTTGTCAAGGCCATAAAGAAGACGTTTGACGTGCAGGTTGTCGAGGACGATCCGGATAAAGACGTCTACGGGAGGGAAAACATCTTCCTGTGAGGATTACCGGAACGATTTCCAGTCTGGGCGTGCTGACGCAAATACAGGTTCAAAATCACACAGCGCAAGAACTGAACGAACTAATGATGCATGCTTTCCCCAAGTGTTTTATTTCTATTTTGAAGCCCGCAAATGGAGTCTTTAGAAAGAGATGGGAAGATCAACTTTAGAAAGAAGAAAAATATGGGCTCGCTAGCCTGATGAACAATAGAGATTACAAGAGAAGACCCAAAACTTCACCAGTGAAACTATCTACATGATGGAGCCGGCCCTGGATGCTGAAACACTGAGCAGAAAGACCAGAAGAGCAAGAAGCTGTGACGACCCCCATCGCGCTTTCGAGAAGTCCCCAGAGCGCGACCGATGATGCTCAAATGGTCTATCCCGGTGATGAGATGTGGCCTTCGAATTCGCCGGCGATTCCTTCACTTCTAAAGTCAGATATACGGGTCGACGTACATGGAACCAAGCCGAAGGATTCCCCGCGGTAGCTTCACGGGATATCGTCGAGGAGCTGTCGGCTGTTAGGAGGCCGACCGCGTTGCCTGCATCAACATATAACCGTTACGCGACTTGGACGCGTTCTCTCCCACAAGCCGTCGCGTCTCACGTTCTCACCTTTGCCTAACACTTCTCGTTCCACATCGTCCCCGAGGTCCACAGACCCTACGCTCTTCTCACCATCACTTCAAAACGTAAGACTTTACGTCTCAGCTTCCACGGCACCGTTCTGTCCAGAAGCCATGCCGGACAAGCCTGTCACACGCACGCTGCGGTCGTCTGCACGCAGCAGCGACGCCAACAACATGGAATCTTCCACGCCCATCGCGTCACCAAGCGACACACCCGTACCGCGGTCTTTGCGCTCCTCCATGCGCAACAATGGAAACACGACTTCATCCACTCCCACGGTGGCTAGCGGTTCCACTTCTACGCCAGCAACCGCGACTCCCGTCACCCGCTCCTCTGGCTGGAAGCGTAAGGTAGCAGCAAACGCGCAAAAGGACGAGCAGCTCGGCACGCCGACAACTAGTGTCACGAAGAAGAGCAAGACTACGAACTCCAGCTCCAAAATTGGCCAGTCTTTGCCAGGCAGTACTACAGCGACCCCAGCCGCTTCTGCTCCGCGCACATCGAGCCGCCTCGCGGCTATGCAGTCCGCCGTTGAGCCCGACACGCCCATTGCAGATGATGACGTAGACAAGCAGAATAAGGCTGTGCCGACCGGCAGCAGCGCTAAGTCAACTCCCGCTTCCGTTCCGCAGCGCACTTCGCGCCGCATCGCTGGCCTTGGTGTGATGCAGTCCAGTGTTGACACCAATCAAAAGGCGGCCGCGGATGTCGACGAAGGATCAACGCTCGCTTCGAGCAGCTCAGGCAGGAAGAAGGATAGGACTGCCACGGTGTCCGATAACACTCAAGTCACGCCCGCCACTGGTCCTAGCAGCAGCCTCCGTGCTTCAAGCCGCATCAAAGGGCTCGCTGCTGCCGCCGCGTCTGAGGGGAAGGCTGTCGACACACCCACTGCCAGCCGCACCAAATCAACCCCGACCGCGACTGGTACGGAGAACAAAAACAAGCCTATCGCTGCGTCTAGCAGCATGTCGAAGAATGCACCCAAGGACAACAACAAGAAGGCCGCTGACGCGGTCACCACCATCAGCGACCAGCATACCGCGCCCAAGAAACCAGCCACGCGCCGCAACACTGTCGCCACATCCTTCTCTCCCCGGCCCTCCGCCATTGCAAGCAGCCCCTCCACTCCCGAGAGCAGTGATGATGACGTCGAAGACGCGCGAGGACAGCTCACGCCCACCGCCAACATCAAGACCCCGGGCGCCCCGGCCTCCTGGTCCGCCCCGATGTTCAGGCACAATGACTTGCACAAGTGGCTCATCATCAGCGACTTTGATAATCTCGCAGATGCTACTGCTGCTTTGGCCATGAGTTATATGGACAGTGTTGGCGGTGAGAACGGTGATGGCAATAGTGTGAAAGACAGCAGCAACAGCAGTAACGCACTGCTGCCATTGCCGCGGAGGGTAGAGTTCCTGCTCGCGTTTGATAAACCGCATGTGGCTCGTGCAGTGAAGAGTCTGAGGGCGATGTGCGAGGCTGCAACGGGGGACGTGGAGAAGCTACTTCGGGAATTGAAGGAGCTTGAGGATGTTGGCGGTGTGGATGACGAGAAGAAGGATGAGGACGTGGTGATGTCTGGAACCAATGGTGCTGGTTCTGGAGATGATGGTTTGGATGTTGTTCCGGGTGCTGCGGGAGAAGAAGCGGCTACGACGGACGGTGACGGAGGTGCTGAACCTTCTGAGGCGGGAGATGACCATGGCCGCCGCAGCGTCGGTGAGCGTGAGATCAGGGCATATATCCACGGGTAAATTCCTTCCCATTGTAATCGCCTTTTTTTCACATTCTCCCCTTTCGATGTTTTTCCCCTCCCTCAAAGTCTAAGCTAAACCTTACCAGTGTCGTGTACAACTTCAAGCACCCTTCCCAGCTCAAACCTGCCCGCGACGCCTATATCGCCGCCAAGAAGGTCGCTGGAACGACGGAGAGGCAGGCGCACGCCGCAGTGGAAGAGGCAGCAGGTAAGGCGCTGGCACAGCTGACTGCCGAAGTCGAGGCGCATAGCGAGGCGGCAGATAGGGTCGACGTGGTTGGGCAGGGTCCATCTTCTTCTTCGATAGAAGCAGTTGCTACTTCGTCTACTTCTACCACTACCACTACAGCAGAGGAAAGCACAGGTGCGGCCGAAGAGCGTTCGTCGATCACTGCACATCGCCGCCTGTCGTCCCGTAGGGCTACCGCGCCCGCCAACAACTCTTCCCCGTCGATCGTTCCGCAACACCCCAGCTCATCTCCCGGCGCGGTCGGTAACGAAGACGAGCAGCAGAAGCAGACGGTTAGCGCTGATGACGGTGACGTGGACATGACGGACCCTTTCATTGAGCAAACGGTCTCTACGTTGGCGGATAACTTGCACGCTAAGCGCGGTAAAGATGCTGAGCACAAAATCCCGCTCCCTTCGTCCGTCGCGGAGCTTGTGAAGCAGCACCGAAGCAAGCCAGTCACGAAGATGAGTGCGCGGCAGATGCGCAACGAGATTATGCGGAAGTGTTCGTTGAGAGAGAGGTTGGTTGTGGAAGGATGGAGGCTAAGGGCTTTGGTGGCGGCGGCGAGAACGAGGAGAGATGAGCAGAATGAGCAAAGGGAGCCTGAGAGTGAATTGAGCGGGGAGGATCATTCTGATGGTCCGTCGGCGCAGCTCAGGGACGGAATGACGACGAGCGAGGAGAGAGGTGTGGATAAGGAGCTGTTGGCGTTGGTGGAGAGTGTGGTTGGTGGACAGAGCGACGAAGACCAGGACATGACGGATGTTGATTAGGGGTTTGAGAACTGTGTTCATACCCTAACAGGCCTGTTGTCTGCGATAAGAGGGTAAAGTGGTGATTACAGTATCACCATCACATGATTCGACTTAGGTTTCGGGAATGCTGGCGCTGGATACCCCGGATGGTTTTACGGATGTTACCATGCACCTCTTGTGGTGCTTATCGGATGGGCAAGACCGCTCAACAAATGCGAGCGGAACTCAGTATACAGGTCAAATAGAAATGGAATTCGAGCTTGTTAACTCGAAGATACTTTTAGTTATGGCTTCTCACACAATCGCAACATCAAACCCCATGGTAACTAAGCTGATCAGTTGACAGGAAGCAAAAATTGGACATGCCAGCCATAATCGTCATACATGATTGTCTACGAGTGCGCTCTAGCGCTAAATACAGTGAGGTTGCCTTATCGCGTTACCGACGTTTTATCATCAACATTTACATGAAGCTCATGGAGTGTAAAAGCACTAGTCAACTCTCAGCTTTCTCACTTCTTCCCTGAGTTCGGCATTTTCGTGCTCAAGAGTCTCAATCTGCTCTTTCAGGCGTTCCAGTTGCTCCTTTGCGCCAGCGGTGAGCTCTTCGATGATCTTGAAGACACGCCACAAACGAAGAACGATAACGAGGGTGGCGACTTCTTCAAGCGGGCCGCGAAGTAGTAGGTCGACTATGAACGAGGCGATGATGACAACAGCATCGAGGCAGTGGAACTTGGAGTTGAAGTAACTATGACGAAAAGCGAAGGTAAGCAACTGACATGCATGAACAAAGATAGATTTCAACGTACGAAAGACCGAAAGCCCAGATGGAAGCAAGCAATTCTGCCATGAAGAGACACGAGAAGACCAGACTGACGATGCCAAGAGCCTCGAGAGCGTCGTTCCAGCCGGTATTCGCCTTGTGGCTTTCGCACACAAAAAGCTGGATGACAAAGTCTGGTACAATGCGGGTTAGCGGGTTGCCCGGAAGATTTGATGGGACCGAGCCTACCTATGAAGATACAGGTCACATCGGCAGCAACCAGCGCCAAGACAGCATAGTGTCCTGTTTTGGAAGTCAAAAAGCGCTGAGTCTGGCGGCGGCTCTTGTCGATGGAAGAATCGGATGATGGCGAGATCAAGCCACAGGGGTTCTGGTCGGCGAACGAGCTGAACGTGCGCCTGCTTCCGAGAAGCGGCTGCGTCTGGTCTTCTTCATCCATGGCGGTGAAGGGCTATAACGACGTCGAATGAGGTCTTGGCACCGGAAAATTTCGGTGGCTGAATGGAACGATACTGTTGGGAGCAAGAGAAAATTCAGGGTCGCAGTGCCAGCGAGTGATGATAAAGAGCGGTGGCCCGCGTTGGTGTTGAGGCGGACCAGGTGTTCGCATGTGCGCTAACACGGCTAGCGCCCAGACGAGCGGGTCGGTCCCGGCGGGCCCAAGCTTTCGACGCGACTTCCCAATTCCACCCCAGACGCCGCGCCCGTCCCCCAGAGCTGGCTGCCTACCTCCAACATCTCTTCTTCTGCGCAGCTGCCCTCCACTCGCACCCACCCACCCCGCGCGCCTAATTTGAGCTTGCACCCTTCTCCCTGCCCTTTCACCTGACGTGAGTTTTGCCTTCTGCCCACTCGTTTATTTACTCCAACAGCCTCAACGCCTTGCGCCTGCTCGCCGCTAACGATGACGCCAGATCAGGTCAACGAGTACCTTAAGAAGCAAGCCGCCTACGAGGCACCTTCACCCAGAATGGCCGACAACGAACCCACCCGTGAGGAGGAGCCCCGTCCTGACCTCCACGATGACGACAACAACGATGAGGTTAGACCTTCCCGAATGCGCGCCACCGCGCCGCGTCCCCTACCCTTGGCCTTGCTCTCCGAAGCAGCCGGTCCTTGCGCATGCGCACGCCGCTGAAGACACCACCATGCTGATTCCACTCACAGGAGGAGATCACCGCCATGAAGAAGCGCGTCCAGGAAATGGAGGCTGAGGCTGCCAAGCTTCGCGAGATGCAGGCCTCCCTCGACTCCCAGACCGAGACTCTTCGCGAGAACAAGGAGGACATCGACGCTCGCAGCGTCTTTGTCGGAAACGTTGACTACGGCGCCTCTCCCGAAGAGATCCAGGCTCACTTCCAGAGCTGTGGATCTATCAACCGCGTCACCATCCTGCTGGACAAGTTCACTGGACATCCCAAGGGGTTAGTCATACCAAGAGTTGGGTTTTCTTGAATTTCCCGTGCCGATGGAAGTCTTGCGCAATTCCACAGGGCTTTCCATGTCTCGCCGCGCTAGATCTTCCAGCTCACGCCAGCTCTCCTCACTGTGACATCTTTGCCCCTCAAGACATCCTCGCTACCTGGCAAGAGCTGCGCAGCAAGAGACGGACGCTGACGGGGCGTATGCAGGTACGCGTATGTCGAGTTCACTGAGCCTAGTCTCGTCGCTCAGGCCCTCGTCCTCAACGAGAGCGTTTTCCGCGGCCGCAACATCAAGGTAAGTCATCATTTTCCCGTCATAATCCGACGGTCTAACAAGATCCAGGTCGTTCCTAAGCGTACCAATCTGCCTGGCTTGTCCCGTGGTCGCGGTCGCGGTGGACCTCCCCGTGGCGGCCGTGGCGGTTGGGGTGGACGTGGTGGCTACGGCCCTCCTCCCCCTCGTGGCGGGTGAGTTAACACCAAGCCGAACACCTCCCCACGAAGGCATGGTTATATACTGATAAAGTCTTTACCACTAGTTACCGAGGCGGTTACCGTGGTCGTGGGAGAGGGTACTCGCCCTACTGAGTTGTTTCTTGCCGAAGCCGTTTCCAGCGTCCATGCAGGACCGGCTCTTCTTGGTTACTCTTAACGAACAGCTTCTCCGAGATGCAACCCAGGGAGGGTGCATACATCGGCTCACTCAAACGACGCGCGGACGACACGCACATTCGGTAAATGGGTAGCAAACACAGATAACTCAAGGATTGGGAAGGGTTGCATAAAGTCGAAGAAGAAACATCAGAGAGGGCCCATAATTTTGGTCTTCATTACGGTACCAAAAGTCTTGGGGACATATAGTCTGCTTGAGCTTCTTGAGTTGATTGAAGATCAAGAAGGCGCAAGGCCGTTCGGCCACGCGATCATCTTGCAGTGAAAAAAGAAAGAAACTATGCAGGAGGTGGTCTCACTTAAGGTGTTCTTGGTCCCTTTTCGAAAGAACCGAGGGTAGTCGCACCGTTCGGGAGCCTCTACTCTCTTTGTTTTCGTTTTCGTTTTCTTTTCGTTCCTTACGATTTTCTGTTCTCTTTCTCTTTCTTTCCTTCTTACCCGCTTCGGGGACATTAATACCCCTCTCATTTCCCTCGAAAACAAGAAGAAAAAAGAAGGCACTATCACACATCTTACATCACCCGCAACAAGAGAAGAAAAGAAAAATTGCTGTGGAGCGAGAAAGATTGGCTCGCGGTGCAAGAAGAAAACATTTAACACGAAAGGTGCAGCTGGTTAAAGAAAAATTATTGAGCAGGTAAGAGCATGGCTCCAGCGGACAGCACCATCTTGAACTCCCGAAAAGGTAAGTGTTTCCACCAAATGAAGGACAGCATGACGCAAGATAATCCTTACGCGAACTGCTACTTTCGCCGCCCTACCTAGGTTGTGGACTTGAAGATTCTCAACTCTTAGAAGCTGATTTTGGGTCGTGCACTACTAATGCTTGGTTCTCAAGCGTACACCGGCGGAGCTGTAGGCCCCTAATGGGTTGTTGAGGGATCGTGGGTAATATTGGAAGGGGTGGATGGGCACGTCTTGGGTGATTTTTGTAGGCCTGGCATCATTCTGGTCTTGCCATGTAGTGCACAATGCGCAGGAACCTGGTCTTTGTGACATGCTGTGCAGTCTTCGCCCAGAAGAGTCTAAGAAGAGAGGATGAAGGAAGAAGCGTGCATACCAGTGGCGCCAGACTGGACAGCCAAGCGTTGTGTTGTTCGGTTGACGTTTATAACCGACTTCCATGCATGCCTGTTGACTCGAATCGACAAGAGCATCTTCTTTGACTAGATAGCGGCGTTCGTTCCGGGTCAGGGGTATGTTGAAGGGGTGCTTTTTTCGTGTGCTAAGATTAGGCGTACCTATTTGCTTTTCGACGGCACTAGTTTCCGAGGCGAGCGACAGCTTTGGTTGAGATGGATGACGGAAGCGCAGCTAGATAGGCTACTGTGACCTCTCGCATTTATGTTGTAGGATCACTTTACATATTGATATTTTGTGGCACAGATGACGCAAAGGCGTATGTAATTGCGCGTCATGATTCACGCGCCTGCATGAATGCATTCTTCATCCGAGTCTCTTTTCTGTAGTACAAAAAAGCGGAAAATCGGAAAAGGGAGAGCGATTTATTGGGAAGCATTCGCAGACACAAAATGAAAGAAAAGGAAGAGAGCAAGATATCTCCTCTCCAAACTCCGGGTATACATGACAAACGTGAGGTAGGCCGCAGCTGCTGCTGTAGCAGAAAAAGAAAGGACGATGAGATACAGACGAAGACCAAACCTCTCCAGGGGGTTCACCGAACCCCAGATGATGCTACGGGGTGCTTGTTACAGCAGAGTCCATCAAGGAAGGACGAAAGAGGATGCAAGGAAAAGTCTATGAAGTAAGAGCGACAAGGGCATTTAACCCAAGACGACGGCCAAGATGATGATAGTCAGTACGACAGCGAGGATGAGCAGCAGGCAGCAGGCCTTGTTGCGGGCGGCCTTCTGGTGCCTGCTGGCCGCGGTGAGTTCGACATGGGCGCCGCGGGTGTCGGTGCGCACGCCCTCGACGTTCTCGCTGATAATATCGAGCTGCTCACCCTGCTCATGCACCATGTGGGCGACGTCACGGAACAGCTCGTTCAGCTCGCCAACTGACTGCTCGATGTTGCGGATCTCGGACTCGCGCTCGATGATGAGAGATTCCTGGAAGTCGACCTCATCCTGCGACGCGAGGCGCAGCTGCTCCTGCTCTTGGAGTTGCTGTTGTTGGTGGGATTGATGCTGCGCGCCGCCGGGGCTGGTAGCGTTCTCATCAAGGGCGGCACGCGCGGCGGCGGCGGAGCTGCGCTCTTTTTCGATGGCGCGACGTTGTAGAACTTGGAATTCGGTGAGGGACGCTTTGAATTCCCGGTTCAGTTTCCCCTGGGTGAATTTTTGGGATGGCTAGCGAGGAGATATGTTAGTGTTTGATCTACGCAAAACGTCTGGTGCCGGAGAATCTATTAAAAGAAACACAAGAGAACGCAATGTCCCCTTTTATTGCTGCAGCAAGAGAGAGACTGCGCTGCTGTGTTCACGTACCCCGAGATCAGGCCATTGCTGAACCTTCTTCAGACCCTCGCCAACTTCCTTGAACCCAGAACTCGTCTCTTCAATCAGGTCGCGGACCCGCTCGCGGACCCGTTCCGTCTCGCGCTTGGTGCCCAGGAGTGCGATCTGGTTGGAAAGGCGGGTGACGTTCGAGGTCAAGCTGAACAGCTGGTCGGAAAGCTGGGTGGTGAAGCGCTTGAACTCTGGGTCGTCGGCATACTCGGGATCGTCCTGCCGCCGCCAGGTCGTTGGCTGAGATTCCAGCCGGGACGAGTCGTCGAAAGACATGGTTGGGTGGGGTATAAGATGCGCTGGACGGTCGCGATACGGGCCAAGCGGGGGCAGGCGGGGTATATATCGACGTGGAATGCGGGTGCCTGGCGGTGGTGGTGGTTGGTTATCGGCGGTGATGCGGCGGTCGGAGGACGCAGCTGCCGGTCGGCAGATGACATCGTCCTGGGTGGCCCCTGCGCAGGCGCCTTCTTGGCAAGTGTTTTGCTTTCCCGCGCGAAAGTCAACACCAGCCCGAGCTTCTGCACGCGCTCATCTGAGCTGCCACCATCCACCTCCAACCCGCGCCGCTCCATTCGCTTCCGCCAAGTCTGTGCCGTGTCATGGACTGATCCCGGCCCTCGCTCCTTTCCATCGCCCAATCTCGCCCTCCGTAAACCGAACTCGTCGAGTAGCAAGCAACAACACTGGCATCATGGCGGCGAAGGCGCGTCCTTATCGGGGGTTCATGTCACCCTTTTTGCATCGCCAGTTTGGCTATGTGATGGGGTTGACGCTGGCCATCTGCTACGCCTATGCGCTATGGCAAGGCCAATTCAATAGCTGTGCGTCTCCGTTCGAGCAGCCGCAAAAGGCTCAGCTAATAACATGTTTCACAGGGATCTGGGTGTGGTTCTTCGCTGGTATCCGCGCCCTATTTCTTTTCATCGGCTTCTTGTTCACTCTGTGTCTTACCATGGCACACACCCATTGTGAGTCCCGCCCCATCGTCTAGCTCTCACACACGGCTAACCATTGCACAGCTGGCGAGCGAACAAACCCCTCCGAACTGCAAACCTTCACCCAATACCTCTACAGCTTCTCTACACTCAGCACGTTCGTGTGCTATGCCGGCTCTGCATACTGGTTTGCCATGGTCTACATCCTCTCGCAACCCGAGAAATCTAATCTGGGCATAGTCGACCCGGGGAAGTGAGTGGATGAGCAACGGATGCAGCAGAAATAACCGCTAACGATGGATGTGCAGGACTTATGAAAGATCGAGGATGAACGAGCGCCCACTTTATCTCTATACTATGTTCCTGCAGCTCGCTGCCGTTCAGGCCGTCTTCCATCTCTACAGAGACTACGGTCGCCTCCGCCTCCCTTTCAACAATCCTGCCTCGGCAGAAGGCGTGCCATCTCGCTCGCGCCAAGTCGCTCTAAAGAAGAGTCTTCTTCCTATACTCCACGACTCCATCTCCCGCGTCGGCCTCTTCCTCATCTTCGGAAATGTCACGTACTTCCTCTTTCTTAGACGTCTGGTTTGGAGTATCGGTTATCCTTTCGCCAAGGTTCGCGATAGCACCATCTTGGGCAACAAGCCGCGCCCGGGATTCAACCCATTCGAGCTTACCGGTCGTCTGGCTGTCGAAGGCATCATGTTGACCTACCTCTGGGAGTTTGCAACCACGGCCATGACCATCTACTTGTCCAAAGAGCCTGTCAAGAAGGATGCGGAACACAAGCCCATGCCAATCACCAACGACTCGAAGGATCCAAATGGCAGCTTGCTCTCCGGTCTGAGGGCCAAGAAGGACTTGCTCAGGGTAAGTAATGCGGACTTCAGACTACCAGGCTATTTCTGACACTTATCCGTAGACATATGCATTCTGGGAGCTTGCCATTATATCCCAGCGCTTCCCAGATCGCCGCGCTGCCATATACAAGGAGATTGATACTAAAACATTCAAAGCTGTTCTCGAAGCGTGCTTGGCTGAGATTACAGCAGTCAAAGGACGTATCGAAGCTGTTAGCGCTCCTCCGCCTCCACCTCCACCAACGGAGGTGGAGATGGCACAGCAGCGCCTCCAGCATGGCTACGCTCACAGGCCTCTTATTGCCGAACCCCTCAAGGCCGACGATATCTTCGCACCCGTCGATGCACCTGTAGGACGCGCAGCGAAAGAATTCCGCCGCGCCAAAGACTTCGCTAAGGCTCAAGGAAAGCACCCGGGCCCCCACCCGTTCGCGCCGATTGTGCAGGAGGAGATCCCCCGTCTGATCGAGAACACGACACAGAAGCTGCCGCAGGCGAGCGCGGTCCAAGCGTCGCTACAGCAGCTGCTGCGCTCTCCCTTCGGCGCACCCTTCCGCCAGACATTTGCGCGCCGCGCCGCCGTCATCGCGCTCGGCTCGCCGCACAGTCGCGCCACGACCGTGGTGAACGCTGTGACGGCTCTTACGCAGTTGGCACTGCGTAGTATCAAGGAAGACGTTTACGGCGTCGTCAACCGCGATGTCGTCGTCATCATCCGTACTTTCATCGCCGTCTTGACGTCGCTCGACAGCTTTGTCAAGACTGGTCTGGATGTGCATTGGAGTGATGTCGCGTATGATGAGAAGGAGAGCAGAAGGTATAAGAACATGGGCGAGGTGGGCGAGGTGGTGGCCGCACTGCGAACGGGCTTGAAGGAGGTGTTGGGACAGTTTGAGATGTACTTGAGGGGGATGGAGATGAGCGAGAAGGAGTTGCGGGAGGCGAAGGAATTATTGGCGGCGGTGAAGGTGGGAGCGGATGATCAATAAGGATGAAAGTAAGGGAGGTTGCGAAAAAGTTAGCGGGCTTATGAATGGGGATGATAGCTTGCTGAGAGGTAAGGTAGAGATGAGGGCTTTTTGTCTAGTCACCTTGCTCCCAGCGTTCCTTTGCATTAACCAGGATTCGGATCGGTTGGGTTAGGAATCCATACTACTGTTAAATATGAGCGAGGCGTTGGTGAGCTGTATTGATTCGAGACGATGTTGCTGTGGCAGCAACTTGGTCTGTCGCTGGTGTTGTTATCTGCAAAAGGGTGGAGTCGAGGGTTTGGGAGCGAAAGTTGAGGTCCATTGATGATTTTGCTACGAGAAGTGGTACTATCCCGGACATAAGATGTATACACTGCACACGCCAAATGAACTCTCATTTAGGAGTTCGTGCTGGTAGGGGCTATTTGGAAGTAAATTCAGTCAGCTCAAAAGTATGCGGTTGGTGTAATATTCATACTCTTAAGAAATCAGCTCAGGCATTTAGCGTCCAGCCGATGAGCTACTCAATCATCCCTCAATCACGAGTAAACTTTGCTTGAACCAGTATAAAAGGTAGCCCACGACCTAATGCTTAACTATCAGCAGCAATTGACCAATCGTTACATCATAGGCACACCATGCACACAGACTGGGTGTCTTTCTCTTCGGCTCTGACGGAACACATCTTCTACCCATTTCTCCTTTATCTTGTCATCTAACGGCGGAGTAAGATCACGACTTCCAGAACTCATCATTATCTCGTCCTTATAAATAGCACTAGCATCTCTTGATGACGAGCTAGTTCATTCTCCCAAGCCCACGAGCTTAGCGTCTGGACTTCTCGCTTAAACGAAAGTCATTTATGAAACGGTACTTCGAACCTCGAGCAGCGTTGGCAAAAGAAAAGTATGATGGACCCATGTGCTGGATTTGTGGTAGATTTCTGATTTGCGTATAATACGTTTCACTTGTCCCTGCAAATCTACCATGGGAAGAAGACAGAGACCGAAAAGTAGGAACTGCTTTATAAAGATTTACCAGCGCGGTCATCTATTCAGGTCAGCTGATCGCAAGTCTCCAGAATATGTGCATTCTCACGTAAGGTGAGGGCTGGCCGTCGGCCTCAATAGAAGCCACTCACTTTGCAAGACTCAGTATGTGAGTGAGAACTTAAGCCACTGAAGAACAAGCGCATGCCCAAGGCATTCCTCCCCTCAACCTTTTCTTTCACCAGCCCCTCCTATCACTCTTCCAAAAAGAGAATTCTGTTTCCGACTCAACTCCGTAGGAGGTATATAGCGAGGAAAGAAAAACAAAGAACAAGTCAAATGTATGCCGGATGCAAGCTGCTACCTATGCCTCGAAACCGGACCGCATTCTGCACCAGAGAGGAAGAAAAGAGGAAAAAGTAGGTATGAAGATGACACCGTAAATCATGCCCCTGAGTGCCAAATGCCATGCTATGCCATGCCCATGCTATGCTGCGAGAAGACGGTGTGTGGCTCCCAGCGATCAAACTTGACACACTCCAAAACGCCGTTAAGTGAGGGGATACCAAAGCCGTGCATCCGTCTGCCTCCAAATTATGTTCATGCTGTTTCCCATCGCGTCACTGCAGCCAGCGCCTTTTTCTTTTTTCCCCGCTACCAATGCATTCATCACTTCAGCTCCCCAGGAACATTCCTCCCCACTTTGAAGATCTTCTTCGCACGAGGCATCCTCCCATCTAGCCCCATCGTCCCATCTCGAAACGCCAGACGGCCTTCGTACAGAGTTGGCACGAAATTGGGTGGCAAGCCTAAAAGCTCCTCCAGCGTGTCGAACATCTCCGGCTTCTCCGAATCTAAATCATCGTTTTCGCCATTCGATGCTTCTCCGATGCCAGCCGGTGTCCCTCCTACCGTCGTGGCCTGCGTCGGCGCATCCGGCATATCCGTGTCATTGAAGTCGGAGTTCCACGGATCGTCGACGTCCAGATTCAAACGAGCACCATTCACCCTCGCTGTCTTGGCAGGACTAAGATTGCTATACCCGCTCCCTGGACGATTGGGTGGAGGGGCCTTGTATCCCTTGGGCTCGGGGCGGTCGAGCTCGACGTACAAGGCATTGGGCGGCCGATCGCGTCGTGCGTATGCAAGGTTCTTTGAGAAGCGCGCCTTGCGGCTCGGACGAGCTTTGATCTCCGCGATCTTCGCCTCGCGATCCCAAAGATCGTTGGTCGGGTCGTACTCTGGTGCTGCGGCCCAAAGGTCTCTGGTGTCGTGCTTTGCGTTATCTCGGTCCATTTGGATGATAGCACGGATTGCCGCTTGCTCTTCGGGCGTGACTTCTGTCTTTTGCCTCTTCGTAGGCCTTTCGGTGATGGGCGTGGGGGCGCTCCGGCGCCCTTGTGATTTCTGGTCTGTCATCCTGTGCTCTCGCTCGTCTGCTGTTTCCGCCATTGGTCCATCCGTGGGTGATGGTGTGAAAAGCTGTCGCTCTAAGTCGGCGTTCCGGACCGAGTCTGGCTCAGATTGGCCGATGGAGATGCCAGTACGAGGTGATTCCGGTGATGCGCTGGATCCAGCCTTGCGAGAAAACACGAGATGTGAGGAGCTCAAAGAGTTTGAGGGTGACTGTTGCCTGGGTATCTCATCCGGATCCATGGTGAGCTTGGTTCGTAGGGCGACCTCAGTTTTGGTAGTATCTTCGTGGTTTTGAAGATTGTCAATCTGGTGTGAAGGACCCGGTGGGCTCTCTTCTAACTGGTCCAAGGCAGGTGCAGTATCTTCAGCTCCGCTGTCTTCCTCGTCCAAGGAGTGAGATCCAAATGCAATGCCAGTTCTTGGACCACGACCCTCCTTCAAGTAGAGCCGCCATTTGTCTGTGTCTAGATCGAAGAACAAGGTCGGGATGATCTGGTGCTTGGCTTCCTCGGCATCGATCTTTTCTTGCTCAGCGACAAAATCTGAGGTGAGGATGTCCCAGACAGTGGCTGGCACATAGATGCCAGGTCTTTCATCCTTTGGCCAGAGTGATTTGACCTGTCGGCACTTCCACCAATCCGCAGCCTCTTTCGTGAGAAACCATTGCACAAGGATAGCGTAGCCGGGTCCGTCGCGCCGTTGTCTAATTTCCTCAATTTGAGCCATGGTATGTACCAGGGGTTTATGAGTATAATCAGCGAATCTGAAGCGATTGGGAAGAGGAGCCTTGATAAAGTCTCCAACGAAAAACCTCAGGTCGTGTCTTCTGAAGGATTGGACTTCAGCAAGCTGTGTCCACCTCTCAATTGGGATGTCTTTGAACCCAGCAACGATGTCACGCCCATCAGCATCGTACGCGACTCTGTGCCGCTTAATGAACATGGGTGTCTCCTCTGCGTGCGTGGATGATTTCGAGCCCTCCTTCTGCGCATGCGCTTGCTTTGAAACGGACGTGTTAGCTGCGGCACGAGCACCTTTCGGTGCATCATGGAACTCTTTTCGGCGTTGCGTCGAGCTGCTGCGCCCGGCTTGCAACGTCTTCTTGTGCAGCTTTTCTCGCTCGGTTTCGAGGTTTGCTTTGAACTCAACCACCCAGTCGGGTGAGATTTTCCAGCGCGAGAGGTGTCTGGCACCTTCCATGATGGGCTCAGCCTTGGGGAACTTCACCTTCTGCTGGCTTAGGGTGGCGGCTATGCTGCTTCTCTGGGTGGTATTGTTGATGTCGTAATTTTCGACGTTGTTCGCAATCCACTGATGGACTTGAGCTGCAGTCATGCGATGATCGCTCGCTTCCGCCAGGGCAAATCCTATCAGGTCTGGCCAGCTGAAACATCCGGGCAATTTGGCAGAAGGCTCAGTGGCATTGGCGACTTTGCGGCCGACGTTCGGCCGCTCCCCTGACACTGCATCGCTGCGACTATCTCTTGCACCTTCGGATCCGATGGTAGAAAGTGCATTGTCGGATTCCATGCCCGCGTCGTCGTCATTGTTGATGGTTTTGTTGACAGGAGACCACGATCGGCGCCGCTCTAATCCGTTCGCCTCGGCGCTCGGGCCTCGCGGCACCGTCTCCGGCGTCGCTGCATCCTCCTGTCTCTCGACTTCTTTAGGTGATGCTATGCTCTCATAACGACGTTCAGGAGTATCGGTCATTTCTCGACTACAGCCCGCAGACTCGCTCTCTGCAATGGACTGCAGCGACGATAAATCATCAGCTAGCGTCGGCTGTCTGCTAACATCGGCCTCGAGATCTCTCTGCGGTTGCTTGGCAATTGAATGCTCGCTCTTAAACTGAGGAGCTTTCGCATCTTGGGACGCTGATTTCGTTGGCGAGGCAACACCATTCGCATGGTACTTCTCCGGCTGTAACCTCCGCCGCCAAATTTCTTCGGCCGTCACAGATGACGGAGGGACGGGGGTGCCATCTTCTTCGCCTACTTGTTCCTTTTTGCAACGGGCGCTTGTGGAGGTGTCAGCTTTGTTTGGCCTCAAATCGATGGAAGAGCATCAACTGACCATGTTGCCTCCTCTGCAATTCCCAGCTTGGAGAACAATGTCTTTCCACACATACTGCACCGTGATCGTGAATTGCGTTTCTTGTCCTGTGGAGATTTTGGCGCTTCTGGACTACCCTCAATAAGCTCTTCGGAGCCCTTGCTCAAAACAGGCACGGTCTTATCGTCCGGTTTTTCTGTTCTGTCTACCTCGGCAATATCGAGAGAAAGGTCTGGTATTTCCGGTTGAAGATCCGCTTGTTGAACGTCCCAGGGCACTGCGTGGTCCGCATCACCCTCTGCCGGTTTCTTAGGAGCTTGGACTTTTTCAAATGCTGCAGATCTGGGTTTTGCTATTGCTGCATTTGCTGTATGGTGCTTTCCATGCGTTTTCGGGCCCGATTCATCCAGATCGATTTGCGTATCGGGATGAGATTGCATGTTGTGCAAAATTTCAGTGGCCCTCGGCTTTTCCACATCGTAGTTGTGCTTTTGTGTAGGATGCCTGCCTGAGGAATGCTTGTGCACTTCTACAGCCGCGGCAAGCCCATTCTGTAACACAAATTAGCCGTTGAGTCATGCCCAAGAAAAAAAAAGGGGGTGCATACAGCTCCTGTAGCCCTGCCTCGAAGTCGTGGATCGGTGGCAATCATCTTGTTTCGCAGTCGGGGATCCAGAATTTCGCTTTCGCTCTGGGGATTCAAACTTTTGCTCGTAGATGGTTCCGATGCTCCGTTCAGAATTGCTTGTGCAACTCCACCCATTCGAAGCTGCCCAGCTGGCTGCTTCCCCCCGTCTTGTGTATCATTCTCTAGCGGTGCAGGCGCAAGTATCGTTCGCCCCGAGCCTTCTGTTTGCGTATTCTGCTGAGCGGGGCGTGGTTTTGGCCTCCCTTTCTTGATGCAATAATTGCACTGCCATGTAGCTCTACAAATATGTTAGCCTTTTGCGTCTTGTCTGGGAACTTATACTCTCTTACAAATCCTCCTTCGGGCGCGGTTGTGGTTTTCTGCATTCTGCATGGTAGTGTCGAGGACATGTCCTGCAGGCAATCTTTGAATTGTAAGTTGGAAAATGATTGCCTTTACACTCAGCGCAGTGCGTTTTCGCCCTTGTCGTCGCAGAAGAGATCTCGGACGGGGTTATGGAAATTTCATCATCAGCTTTCGCTCGCAGATGTGATGCAGAAGGACCATCGACTGGTAACGGCAGGCTCTCAAATCTGCTTTCAGAATTTTCGAGCGGCGCTCCCGTCTTCTGAAATCCCCTCTCATCATTATTCAGCGGCCGCTTGGGTGGCACGCCGCCATCGATGCGGAGTTCCATGTGCAACGTATACTCGCCAAACAATGTTGACATATTGGTGAGCTCATAACATCTTTGCAGCTCCTTCCGACCAAATACGTCGTCAGAAGAGAATATGTAATATCCGTTCACCTCCGCCTTGACAGAGAAGTTATGGAAGTCTTTCTTAAAGAATTTGCGCAAATGCGGGATAGTGTGGCGCATGAACGGCAGATAGGAGCTGGAAATGAAGATGTGGGGCCTCTCCTTCAGACGGGGGAGATCCTTGTATTGTATGACATCGGGATTTTTCTCGTCCACTGCGGTATCATATGCTTTCTGCTGGGCAGTGTGGTTTTGCCGACGGAGTCGATTCTGATGTTTTGGTCCACGAGGGACCCCCGAAAAGTCATTGTTTATACCCACGGGGCCTGGGTGGTTTTGCGTCTTGTGATCTCCGTTGAGCCTTTTTGGCCCAGCATTAGAGATCTCGCGTGGCCTGGATTGACCTGTCGCCGAGGAGTTCATCTGCCGCAGCTGCTGCATTGGCCGCCTAGGCTTGTCAAGACGGTTATCATACTTTGATGTAACTACGCCATTGTGCATGTCTCGGCCTGGAGAGGTGGAGGGCCTCCGGAGACTCGAATGCTCGGCGTTTTGTTTTGTTTTAGTCGACGGCAAAGCATTAGGCCGATGGTGGTCATAGTTGGGCCTGTATGTATCTCCTCGCCCCAGCGCCGACGCATTATTTTCCAGATGACGTCTTTCCGACCATAGCGACGATTCAAGCAGGTCGTCTCTCGGCTTTTTCGACATTGAGCCTGGTATTTTCGACGACGCTGCTCGAACCGTCCTGTCAAGAGCCGTGCTGACGAATTCGATATCTTCAATTATCCAGTCTTTCTTGTTGCGAGCTTGGTTGAAGGGCGCCTTTCCACGAAGTCTGTGGGTGCAGGCAATGTCACACGCCGTCTCGAAAGCTTGAGGATCTGTAATGTACCACACCTTCTCAAATGGTCTTGCTTCAAGCTCTTGAAGTTTCTCACTATGAAGAATATCACAATGCGTGCCGAAGAGATCCTCCACGTCGATGTTTGGCCCGGTCTTATCGACGACGAATGTCGACGCGTTGTTGTCACGATTGAAGCGGATGATCCAGTACGAGCCTGTATTGTCGAGACCAAGAAGCGCCTTTTCAGAAGACTGACTCATGAATGTCAGTGCTCAGACATCGCAGCACTAGCAAGTCGTGATTACGAGTCGAAAGAGCACGTTAGCGCCTGTTGTAGTTCGCTCAGTAAGCCTCTCCTAGAAGTCCTGAAAGTTAGCCAAATTTCTGCCAGCTGATTCATCTGTCAAACTCGAAAAAGTATTCGACGTCTCAGATCTTTTCAGTTTGTTTTTGATTGATCATTTCGCGTCCTACGAGGTTCCGGAAGTTCTTCGCCCGTCGACAACAGGCACCTCGGCTACTCAAGCGAACATGCGAGCCCATGAAATCCAGGACTGGTTGTTTGTCTCCTAGAACCCGAGAGCAAGGTGCTAGCGGTTCATAGGTGTCCGCGACTGCCATTAGTCTGGACCCATTGAGGTTCCTCTAGAGCCAAGACTCCAATAAGTCGCACATTCTTGGCGTTGATATCCTCTTCTAGATTTGGACCCGAATGTCACTGGTGACATGCGAGGTCGGTTGAAGAGTCCACTCGAGGACCATTTAGGCTGCAGAATGGCCATGAGAGCGTCCTAAGCAACCTGCTGTCGGACAGACGAGTCCGCCCGGAACCATCGATAGGAGTATGCGATCGGACCTTTTACCTAGACATCATCGACGGAGGCCATCTGGCTGCGTAGCTTCTTGAGAAGCAGCACAGATCAAGGGAAAGAGGAAAGGAAACAGAGAAAATGTCGCCATACCTAACGTTCTTTCGGTCGCCAGTAGAGCTGCGAAGTGTCGATAGTAAAGGCTGCCCTAGACGAACTCTTCCGGCGACCGAATCAAAGACCTTGACAGGAACAGTCACGGGCATTTAGCATCGGCAGTAGAATGCGTAGTGAGAAAGTGAAGAGCAGCTCAAAGAGGGCGTCATGGGGCCAAACGATGCCACGCGCGTGTGCGAGCACTGACTAGCGTGACGTTTGGCCGAAGAAAAGTTGAAGACGGAGGCAGTGGCGCTGCAGATCGGACAATTGAAGTAGCGGCGGCCTCGACTGTTGTTGCGACGGGAATACCCAGAGCCACCGGACGAAAAGTCGATCGGTCAGCTTGGAGGGGGAAGATGAAAAGAAGAAGAGAGGCGCGGGCGACGGCGGGCGTCCGACGTGCACGAGAGAAGGCGCGCGCGGATCACTGAGCGCTACTCCCAAAGAAGGAAAGCGCACCGGTTATCGATAAGGGCAGCATCACAACTCGTGTCCGCGTCGTGGGGCCGTCATGCCCGTCACTGTCCCCTTGCCTGACGATCGTCTCTGGGTAAGCCTCCAATCCGGTCGCCAAGCGTCGCGATGGACTTCCTCAAGTCTGCAGTCGCCTCCGCCATCTCCAAGGGCCCTGCGTTTGGCTATTCTTTCGGCGACAGAGTCGACATCGATCAGTCAATATGGACTCTCCATAATGGCACGAAGCGAGTACGGCCCTGGGACCCCTTGCGCGTGCACACGGGATGCTAACACGCGGCGCACAGGAGGATGGCTCGAAATGCAGTATCTTCTCCTTCGACGTTGCCTCGAACAAGTCTCGCCTACCTCTTGCGAAGAACGCGCTGCGTAAACTGCGCACCATTAGGCACCCTGGCGTTATAAAGGTACTGGACACGGTGGAGACAGAGACATATATCTACATCGCAACTGAGCGTCTCGTCCCGCTGAGCTGGCACACGCGCCGCAAAGCGCTTGCCGAGGAGACGATCAAATGGGGCCTGCATAATGTTGCCAAAACACTCAAGTTCCTGAATGGAGAGGCTAGCTCGGTACACGGTTGCGTACGCGTCGCGTCTATATTTACGAGCGAGAGCGGCGAATGGAAGCTCGGTGGCTTCGACATTCTAAGCTCCATGAAGGAGGACGATGCTGTCATTTACAGCTTTGGTGGCCTAGTGCCTGACGCGAACCGCTACGCACCGCCCGAGATTTCAAAGGGAGGCTGGGACGTGATTAAGAGCAACCCCATTACCGCCATAGATGCATACGGGTTTGGCACAGTGGTTTTCGAGACTTTCAATGGCAGCTTCCAGGGAACAGACCAGCTTGGACAAATCAAGAGCATTCCGCCCACGATGCAACAAAGTTACAGGCGGCTGATCAACCCCAGCCCTAAAGCTCGATCGAGCGTTGGTCAGTTCCTGGATCAAGGGCAGCGAGCGGGTGGATTCTTCCAGACGCCCTTGATCTCCTTGACGGATGGTATTGAGAGCCTTGGTTTGAAGGGCGAATATGAGAGGGATGAGCTGCTCAGCCAGCTCGAAGATGTAGCAGACGACTTTCCCGAGGACTTCTTCAAGATGAAGGTTCTCCCAGAACTGCTGAAATCAGTAGAGTTCGGTGGCGGTGGACCCAAGGTTTTCGGCCTAGTCATGAAGATTGCCTCGAAGCTGTCGGATGAAGAATACGACGCTCAGATTACTCCTGTCATTGTTAGGCTCTTCCAGAGCCCGGACCGAGCAATACGCGTTTGCCTTCTTGACAACCTTCCACTGATGATCGACCACTTATCCAACAAGATCGTCAATGACAAGATCTTCCCCCAGATGGTACGCTGAGTGCTCTAAAAGCGCACTATGCTTGACTAACAACTGCACAGGTCACCGGCTTCTCCGATACCGCACCAGTCCTCCGAGAGCAGACGGTCAAAGCAGTTCTCACAGTGGTACCTAAGCTCTCTGATCGGACCGTCAACGGAGAACTCCTTAGACATCTTGCCAAAACGGCCAACGACGAGCAACCAGGCATTAGAACCAACACTACAATCTGCCTAGGAAAAATTGCGCGGAATCTTGGAGCAAGCTCTCGTACCAAGGTCCTAACTGCTGCCTTCGGCCGTGCTCTACGCGACCCTTTCGTTCACGCAAGAAATGCCGCTCTGCTGGCACTCGCCGCAACAGCCGACCTCTACAGTGAAGAAGACTGCGCATCGAAACTCCTTCCAGGCATCTGCCCGTCATTAGTCGACAAGGAGAAGTTAGTTGTCCCAATTTGAAGCATCAGCCTACCTCGTACTAACATCCACTCCAGACTCATCCGCGACCAAGCGAACAAAACCATGGACATCTACGTTGCCCGCATCCGCAAGCACCAAACCACCATGCCCGAGACCGTCTTGCCCCCTACCCCCGCCGCCGGGCCTGCCGGCGCCGGCATCCCGCGCATGTCGACCCCGCAGCAAGACAATTCCTGGGCCGGCTGGGCCATCTCGTCCTTCACGAACAAGCTCGCGGCCGCTACGGGCGACATCCAGACCTCTACCAATGGCGGTGGCCTCAAACCCGATGCAGCAGCAGCGCCGCGCTCCTCTTCGACTCCACCTACAACGACCTCAACCACACGCCCTACCTCTTCCACCAGCACCGCCTCCACCCTCCACCGCCAAACCCTCAACAAATCTCACACGACAACCTCAACATCTGCCACCTCGCCCGCGCCCTCCGAGGCCGAAGCCGAAGACTTCGGCGCCGCATGGGGCGACGACTTCAACGACAACACCGGCAACGATGACGATGATGGCTGGGGCAATGCAGCAGATGACCACGATCCCTTTTCCCCCGCGCCAACGAAGAAGGAAGCACCCGCCGTTCCCTTCGACGATAACGGCGAGCCCGACTTTGCTGGCTGGCTCACCGCGCAGGCGCAGGCGAAAGCAGCGTTCAAGAAGCCTCTGCCTAAGGGGCTGGCATCAGCGAAGTCGTCGGCGAGCGCTGGTAGTAGACCCGGTGCCGGACCGCGGGCGAGTTCGATGGGTAGCGCCGGTACCGCAGCTGGGGCGAGGAAGTCGGTCGTTACGGGGCAAGCAAGGAAAACGGCGGCGACGACGAAGGCGGAAGAGGAGAAGAAGAGGAAGGAAGAGGAAGCTAAGAAGAAGGCTGAGGAGGAGGAGATGGATGAGGGATGGGGTGATGCGTGGGATTGAGGTGAGCACTGAACAATTTGGCATTTTGGGCGTTTGCGAGGATATCCTTTTGATGTGGAGGTAGAGAGGCTGGGGGAAAGACAGTAGGTTGCTGGGCAGGTGGATTGTTGTTGGGGATTCGAGGCAACCCTAGTGATATCATTTTGGGTAATCTGTTTCCCTTTGTAGTGTCATAATCTTTTTTACCCTACTTATTGAATAACTCAGTGGCTGCACTAGACGGAGGGAAAATCCACCATCGAATGCACAAGGTCTTTCGCTCGTCCTGGTTTCAAGCAGCAGACCACCCATCATTCCCTTATGTAAAGTAAAGACCCATTTCACCACTCCCCATTGCAACCCCGAAATTGACTCCAGACCGAAATTCGAAAACCAAAGTGTCTTTCTGACGCCGGATAGCGCCAGAACGCCATTGAAGGGGATAATAGGAGTGCATATGCACGCCTCAACTCGCAGCTGCGCTCCACCGTTCTTTTGGTCGATCGTTCCCGATGGAAGTCGGCCGGAGAACAAATCATTGGTCGACTACCACGATGGCACACCATCGGCGATGGTGCTTCAACCACAGATCCCCCATCGCCCATAGCGCTTTACCGTGCGGGATCTCGATCGGGCCGTTCGCAACAACGCTCACCGTCGCAAGGCGGCGCTAGTGACCGGAGTTCTCCTTGACGATCTGCTTCACCTTCTTCTCGTAGGCGGCGCGATCCTTCTTGAACAGGTTGAAGGCGTCGGCCTGGGCGGGCGACTCAGGGTTTGGCTCGTCCAGCAGCGACTGGATGCCCAACAGGATCTCCTTGACCGTGATAGCTGGACGCCAGCCCTCCTCCTCGTTCAGGATGGACAGGCAGACGGTGCCGGACGGGTAGACGTTGGGGTGGAATAGCGGCGGGACGAACTTGCCTGAAAGTGCGCGCCAGATGTTAGCCAGATTCTTGTAGTATGCGGGCTGGACAGAATGTGGTTGTTGTTTTGTTCGAGCGAGGTGTCTTACACTTCGGAGGCTTGGTAGGATACTCTGCAACAGTTGTGGCGTGGTCAGCATGGCGCGCGAGATCGAAGAGAGCGGGCAATGTCTTACCCTCGGGGAAGGTCACTTCCAACTTGAAGACGCCGCCCTCCCAGATGGTGCGGTCCTTGCCGGGAATGGCGCATTCCCACTTCCTGAGGTCGAGGACGCCTTGAGCGTTCTTCATGGGACGGGCGACGAAGCCGAAGGGGTGGTCCTTCCGCCACTGCTTACTGTTATCAATGAGATCAGGATTGTAATGAATCGCGGGGAGCAGCTTGGTCGACGGGCGGGAGAGTGGAGGACAGAGGGTTCATCGTGTTGGAGCTGTGGCAGCGGAGCGGTGAGGCGCTTACCGTTCCTCCGCGAGGCGGGTCGTGGCGAGCGACATGGCGGCGGTGTTTGGTTGCTGAAGCGCTGGCCGGCAAGGCTGTGTGAAGTTCCGAGCGAGCGAAGGCGAGGTGAGTCTGCGAATGCGGTCAGTGGATGGCTGGGAGGTGAAAAATAGGCATTGTTTCGCGGGGCTACTCACCAAGCGCGGGTGCACGTAGCAACAGAAAAAGGAAGGTGTAGAGGCGCTTGTTGGCTTGCGATTGTGAGGGTCAAAAGACGACGCAGCGGGTCGAGAAGGCGGCCAGCCTTAACGAGGGCCCGTGCCCTGCGGCGTGCCCGACACGGCTCCACGGCTCTTCCCGAGCCTTTCTTCAAACGTCGCAAGCAACAATTAGATCGGGTGGATATAAACTTAGAAACATTGCTGCACCAACCCTTTGCAGATCAGACCCCATGCTCGGAAGTTTATGGCTGACACCAACTGAAATTAACCATTAGAACGCTCTGAGAATCCGCACTCCATGGGTGAGCGGCTTGATGGTTTTCTACTATGAAGATGTTCAAACGGCAAACCCTTGCTTGCTCGGGAGCTCACGATCAACAATCAAGTCATACATCGACCCCTCGACTATCCGCGACCGAGATTCAGACCCTCCATTCTGAGACACACGCCCTGAGTTCGAAACACAACTCTAAGACCCATGTCTCGATACATTCTCCCTTCCTCGCTCCCTCCAGTCTGGCGATGTGCTTCATGCCTGTTTAAAGCCCTTTATTAGCGATTGCTTTGTCAGCACGCTCAGCCCTGCGGGACAGTGTGGCAGACTGCCTTTATTAAGATCCTCGAGTGTATTGACAGCCAGTTGTGAGCCAGGGGTATGATACGTTGTGCATCAAGCGGGGTTGGAGCAATAAATACTGGAGACCAGCATTGGCGATTTCTAAGAGGGCGCCGCGACTTTGATTTCAAGGTCTACTTGTCGGAAATTGATTGTTATGCCGGAGGGCATTTGTAAGACAGAGTTGAGGCTTCAAAGCAGGGATGGAAGAGCTAGACCAGTGAATACCCGTGAAATTGGAGGCTTGGTCGCACAGGCAGATAGGGAAGCGGAAAAGCAGAGCCAGTTCCCGAAACATTCATCTAAGAGCCCTGCGATGCGGGAAGCCGTCGCTAATGTGAGACACGGCCCTGGCAGTCATTGGAGTTGACGTGTCGAGGTGCGATTCAGCTTTCCCCCTCACCCAACGCCTTTCCCCACACCGCCTTGCAACTTGGCCCGCACGCAGCTGTGCCCCGCGGGTGTGCCGCAGAGCAGCCGGTCTCGGTCCCGCCATCGACGCAAGGTCCTCGGCATCTTGCCGCTCGCACCAACACCAACCCAAAGCCTCGAGCAATCTCGAACCAACGCCCTCACCATGGCAGACCAAAAAGAAGCCGCGAAGCAAAGCGGCGCCACGGAATCCGTGCCAACGCAGCCTCCGGCGCAACAGCGCGTCGAGGATATTCCCGACCCAGACGAAGATGATTTGGACGACCTCGACGGTTCGTAGCACCTACTCCAAAACATCACACATCTACCAAAAACAAGCGCGCTACTATACTTTGCATATCTAATACCAACCGCGTTGACAACAGACGTCCTCGACGAATTCTCTGCTACCAAGCTCGACGACTCCGCCGCGGACAAGCAAGTTCCCGCAACCCACGATGCGCAAACTGCGCCTGCAGCAACAGCGAACCCGCTAGCCCCTGGTGCTGCTGGTGAGGATGAGATTGACGAAGAGGAATTTGCCAGGCAGCTGCAGGCGGGTATGGCGGAGCTGCTGGGCGGGTTGGGCGACTCGCCGGAGATGACGCAACAGCTGGAGAGTCTGGTGAAGGAGCTGGGCAGCGGCGCCGCCTCATCCACCACGTCGACGCCAGCGGCTAGTGGCAGTGGTAGTGGTGCGAAGGCGACGCCGGGTGCGACAGCAGGAAACAAGGCCGGCGAGGACAAGTTCCAAGAGCAGATTCGGCGCACCATGGAACGGATGCAAGCATCAGGCGAGCAGGCCAGCGCGGCTGCAGCCTCGTCAAGCGGCAACCCAGACGACATTCTCGCGCAGATGCTCGCCGAGATGGAGAAGGGCGACTTTGGCGGCGACTTCGGGTCGGACGAGGACTTTAGCAAGATGCTGATGGGCATGATGGAGCAGCTAACGAACAAGGAGATCCTGTACGAGCCCATGAAGGAGCTGCATGACAAGTTTCCGGACTGGATGGCGAAGAATAGGGACAAGACGGACAAGGCAGACTTGGAGAGGTATGAGGAGCAACAGAGATGCGTCAAAGATATCGTGGAGAGGTTTGAGAGACCTGGCTATACGGACGACAGTACGGCGGATAGAGAATACATTGTGGAGAGGATGCAGAAGGTATGCCAACTTACCAGCGTTGTAGGATCATTGACTGACATCGGCGTAGATGCAAGCGGCGGGATCACCGCCGCAGGACTTGGTTGGCGACATGAGCTCAGCACAAGAGGCTCTGGGCGAGCTAGATCAGGGCTGCGCGACACAATAATAATTACGCGTTCGCGATCTATGCTTATGTATCCATGACTGCGTGAAGCACGCGAGCCCCTCTGATCCCAATGCGCCGTACGCCAAGCTGGATGGACAAATGCTACAAACATACAGAACCGCTCAACTCACGCCTGAAAAATGCAAGGTCCTAAGCAAAGTTTGGACAATTGCGTCCGCAACATGGTGTTCTCAGCCGGTCATATCCATGGCGTCGTAGTCATGGTCATCGATCATGTAGTCGTCCTGCGCTGGCTGGGACGATTGCTGTGCAGCAAGATACTCCGAGAAGATGTTGTCGTACTCATCGTCGTCGCTACCAAAGTGCTGGCTCGCAGCACCCTCGCCGTAGGCATTTGCGCGCCGCTCATCCTCCTCCATCATCGCCAACAAGGCGTCCAGCTCCTCATCTTCTTGCTGCGCAACCGCTTCGACCTCAGCCTCCGAGTTCTGGCTCCAAACAGTCTGAAGTGGTGATGAGCGCACATAGTTGTTGAACACGTTCGGCACACCGGTCACCGTCGTTTGGCTGCTGCCGAGCATCGGATCACGGTTCTCGACATCCTCGTCGGGCTCCTCTTCATCGTCGTCCGACGGTTCTGAAATTTGGGGCGCCGACCGCTCAAGTCGCTGCTGCCAGCGCTTTTGCTGCTTCATATGGTCCAGACGCTCAATCTAGAAGCAGCATCAGCAAAGGGGTCTTCGACGCGTCTTTCCGCGACGGGCAGGGGTAAGTTATTGCATGTCTTACCTGTTCAGCCCTTCCAGCCCATCGCCGTTCGTCCCGGTCGTTGGCGACCTTCTTCAGGAACATGCCGCGCCGCCTCTCTCTACCTGCGTCGCCAGCCGTTCGCTGGATCAATGGGTTTGGCTTCACGGAGCGTTGCGGTGGAGCTGCAGCTGAAGGCTTCGACGGCGGATCCATGGTGAACGCAAAGATGTTGTGGCTGGTGTTCGTAGTGGGAGCGAGGGGCGGGCGCACGACATTGGAGTGTCGGGGGGCGAGGGGCGAAGAGCGCGACGGCATGTAGGCGTGCGGAGATTGCGAAGCTGAAGGTGTCCAGGCGAGCATAGTGGTCTTGCGGTAATTGTAGGGTTGTACGCAGTGTGTGAGGTAAAGGGGGAGGTGGCTGTTTGTGGGGTGGACGTGGGGAAGGAATGAAGATGTAAGACGCGTGCCGGTGATGATGTTGTTGGAGGGACGCGTTTGCGCGTTAGCGCGTTAATGGCGCCGAGCCTTCGGCGATCTGGTAGCTTATCGTGTTATCTCCGTGTGGCTCGTGCACAAACGCTCTCTCCCGTCGCCGTCCGCTCGCTGCGACGCCTCTCTCTTCTATCCACGGCTCCGCCAGAACTCGGCCTTGATTGTGTTGTTTCACCCGCATCTGGTGCTTGGTGCTGCTTGTCTTCGATTGGGACCACGAAAGTACGACAGGGCGCCAAGCCGCAGCATTTCTTTTTTAAAACCTACACAGCATGCTGCAGTACACAAGCGCCCGCGTTACCACCTTGTGGAACGCGAGGGTTCAGCGGAGAAAATTTCTACGGACGCGCCAGACCTGAGGCCGCTTTCCCACCCGCCTGGCCTGTTCTGCGGCCTTCTATAGTTAATGATCTCTGTCACCAGCAACAAGAACCTACCTAATTCGGACCACGGTTATCCTATGCGCCAGAACCGACAGACATGGACGGTCTTGCCGCGTCATGTGCTCACATTGCGGATCTGGGGCTCAAGCTTGCCCACGAGGCAAACGACTATTCCGAGGCCATCGCCGACGCGGACAGCCGAATCAAGGACCTTGCAAAAGACGTTGAATTGACCTCGGAAGTGTTCCAAGAAGCGAGCGCAATTTTTGGTGATGTACACATCAAAGCCGTGCTGAACAAAAATGCCGAAACCACGGTGCGGACTCTACTTGAGGCCTGCCGTGGCATATTCGGAGACCTTGACGCAATCTTGGAAGATGGGCGAATGAACAAGCAGGCCTGGCCCTTTGAGCCACACAAGTTTGAAATGTTCAATGCCGACCTCGACATGAAGAACGACACATTGCGGCTTCTTCTACTGACGCTGCAACTCGCTTGTCACGGGATACCTGTGGATTGCCCCAGTCCGAAGGACGACGACCAGCTGCAAAAAATGGAGAAGCTGATCTCTGCCGTTGAAGCATCCGGAAGGAGATTCGAGGCGATTCGCGCCAATGTGATTTCCGTGGATGAGATATCGATAACGTATGTCTCGAGGATACTTGTTGAGCATGCGCTTGGGCTAACACTACACGTAAGCGCACAATCTGAAAGAGCCATGTGCATGCCTGATCCAATGGGCAGCACGGAATTCACGTACATTGACGACAGTCCACCGTCTCCTGTCCAACCAGCAGCACAAATGTCTGCGTTCACTGACTCCGACAACACGACCCCGGATGACGAACATGTCGAAGCATTGAGCACAGAAGATCCACATGAGACATCAGCTCTGACACACGACCTGAAGACTTGCATCGAACACGTGCAAGGAGTCCTGCACCACATTGAGGAGGTGAAGACCTCCGGCAACGACGCCGTCGTGAACCAAACAGAGGCCTGGGATCTCATGCATGCATTCACCCGCACATCAGCGTTGCTCGAAGAAATCATGACCGGCAAGAGGAGGTCGGCTAGACCAAGCGGATCGTTCGAACAAGAGTCACATCAAGCATCACTAATTGTAAGTACAGGGTTTGGTAGCTATTGCCCCCCGGGTCACAAAGGAATGAAGAAACGTTGGGCGAAGATTGAGCGAAAAGTCACCGAAGAGGTAAAGGAAGTGCAAACGCAGATTGATCTTTCTGTCCGATGGGTCCGCGCACATTTTCAGCAACGATTTCGAACCACCTCTTGCTTTCAAAAGCTTGAAAAACTCCCAGTCGAATTTGTGGACGTCCTTGGCCGAAAGTTCAACTTTCCCTGGAAATCATGTTGTTCATGGAAGGTACGTCGGTAAAGCGATCCGTTCGATGCCATCCGGGTACGCTGACACTCATAAGGGCATGGAGGATCTTGTCAAACAAGCTTTTGCCTTTGACCCTTCCGCTTGCCAGTACGTGTACAGGGGTCAATACGACCTTGTCGGCCCCGACGGAGCGGTTATCCTACCGATGCTTTGGGCGACGACCGTCCAGCCCGGTTGGACGGTCACTATGCAAATCTCGCACTTTGACATCCATACTCTCAATAAATCACCATCACCTCGTCAACGCGTCCCATCCTTTCGCGATCCATGGTCCGGCGCCGACATTGATCGAGGTCGTTCTTTGACTCGCCGGCGCAGCCCTTCTCCAATCATCATTGATGTTGTGGAAGGTCCGACTGGTGTTGAGATTGTCAAGCCTGGCAAAGAAGCTAGACTCTGCCGTCCATTGTCAACAAGAGTTAAGTCAGAACCGATTCTTCAATCCCGTCGGACCGCCATAAGTGTTCCTCGTCAAGTTCGAGGCAAAGAAGGATGTGCGGAGATTCCCCCCTTACCAATTCTGATCGATGTGTTACCAAGGCCACGCACAAGGGGCAAAGACAGGGGATGTCTGAGTAGAATGCAGCGCAGCATGTCCCCCGTACCACCTCCGCCTCCGCCACCTCCACCACTTCCAGCTGCCATGAAGATGGACGAGGACATGACTGAAGTGCGAGTACTCTCCCCGGATAGTTATTATTCCGACGCACACACCGAAAGTTATTGCAGTTCGGACACTGGCGGATCTATCTTGGATCCTCTTCAAGCCTGCAAAGTACCCAGCACTGCCGAGGAAGCGTTGAGGAGATGGACGAATATCTTGGGCTAAAAGTTTCCGTACGTTGTTTACCTGTAATGGCACCCTCCTTTTGTATTGCTTCGTGTTTCCTTGCTTATTGGAGCGCCTTTACTCCAGCCACGGCCCCGTACAAAATATTTCCTAATTCTATGAGATAATTGCTTTCTGATGGAATGACTTTGACACACATTCGTATAGTTCAAAGAGTCTTGACACGGCTACTTTGTGGCACATTTCGGATATCACTTCAAAATTGCTCTCCAGAGCAGCCAACTACACACATACTAAAGCTCACAACTGAGTGTATTGATACTGGTGTTATATGCCCACACCACCTGGCAGACGCTCGGTCTATATAACTTGCAAGTTGCTGTGCGGCGTTTCCGTCCAAAGAGTGTTCTACGCTACCGCCAGGCAGGACAAAGCGTTTAGAGATCGGTATAATGAAGCCGTCGGAAAAAGAAGTGCCTGGTAATATTACCAAAAGGGCCGAATGTTCAGACAAGGTATTTATCTTTTACGAAGGTGGCGGCAGCGGCGACGGTGACGAAGGCCGCCCTTACGATGAGGTAAATCGACTGCTGATGGCCGGTCAAGAATTTGACGTAGTCCATGGATATGTCCGATCGACATGTTTACAACGATGTGTGATGAGTTAGAGGGCCTGGTGGGGAGATTGCTGCCAAGAAGCACAAGACGCTTCAGCTTAGCAAGTGAGTGATGAGTATTGAAGTCCTGCTAAGGAGGCGCAGCAGGAGTAGCGCGGAGAAAAGCTAGCGTGGACCGTCAGATTGTTGGACCACCTTCAGACAAATACTGATCATATTAGCATCGGTCATTTCTGTATCCTTGGACTTTATCTTCCTGACTTCCCCCAGCCCTTCGCAGCCATCCACCTTGTCGAGTCATCGATCGGCCCGTCAGGCAAGTCCTTGTAGCGGACTTTGAGAGCAGAATCTTCCAGCAAATGTTCTCGAACACGCGAAGCTGAATATTGGTTAACGTTAGTGCTAGCTTGAACCATTATTGAAGGCTGTGGGCCATACCTTTGATTGGGAGCACTAAATCCTCAGCTTTTTGCAGGCGTCCGGTCTCAACCTCATCGACGATGGTCTCAACGAAGTCCTCTTGTACAGCCGACTCCTCCCGGATCGACTCTATTGTGTCTTCTTTTGTATCCAAAAAGACGGATTCTGTAGGAGTATTCGGAGAATGGTCGATAATCGGCTCCTGACTTGAACGATAGGCTGGTTGGTGCAGATTATCACGGGACAGTTCCTGCGATGCAATCCCTATCGGTGCGGCGAGAGTTTTGGTGGAGGAGTTCGTAGCGACGAGAACGAGCGCTGCTGACACCAAACTCGACGGCCTCATCTCGGAACGTGATCGCAAATAACGAGGGCGTCAAGAGAAAATTGTCGCAAAAATGGCCAGGGAAGAAGAGAGGGGGTGGAGCTGAGCAGATATATCACCATAACTCGCTCATATTATTGTGTTAAATACGGGCATTCGCGTTCCAGAACCACCCTGGTGGCGCCGCAGTGACGAGTGCGCCGTGTTGCCCCACGTGGGCTAAGCCCCCGGTCGTATAGGCACTGCTACATTGCCGTTTCCGGTAAACGAAATGTAGCGCCCCCCGCTCGGCGAAAAGTGTGACGGGGCAAAATTAGGCGGCGCTCGGTACGCTCTGCAATGGCTGCGCGCTAAGCTATCAAGAGGGTGCGCGAAAGGGAAGGAGGTAATTGACGGCTGTGTCGAGGAATTCGAAACATTTCCCCCGTCCTTCTGCGTTGTTGCCAGGTATATTGTCAGCCCTTGCAACTTCAGCTTGCACGCGGCTTTCGGGGGAATGCGGAGCACGTGCGCATTGAAAGCAAACTCTATCGCTTTACGAATAGAACGATATGCAGGTAACCTTTATATAGTACCATATCGTAGTTTTGTACTATGTATGGATCATAATGAGTCTTTGTAAGATTTAGGGAGCATATCGTATTGCCGCGCGGCTGTTCTCTCGCAGGCCGCCAACTCACTTTATCGTAATACCAGGCTATACATCTTCTAAGGAAATTTGTATCCATTCCGTGCCCGAGCGGTGACTTCAACATGATATACACCTCTTCTTATCGAGTATTTTGAAACCTTACAACGAGACGGTCACAATTCCCTTTTGTCCCACCTGTTAAGTACAGAAGAACGTGCTCCTTCATAGGAAACACAATTGTTTCGTTTTCTTTCCTTAAAAAAAAAGAAAATGTATAACTATTTTCTTTCCATACTCCAGTCCACTCGCTCGTCACCATTGTGTTCACCGTGCTGTGGCCGCCATAAGCAGCAACCTGTTCACCCAGAACCATCCCATCGCTGATCTCGAGTCCTGCAACCAACCTAGTTCACTACTTCCCCACTCCTAGAGCACATCCCGCATCCCTTTCCTGTCTCCGCAATAAATACGCGCCTCGTCCCCTGCGGGCAGGCTTTAGGAAGCGGTATTGGCACCGGCAGCATTCGCAGGAACGACGACGACGGTTCTCGTCCGCTTTCGGCGTGCACTGTTGCCCCCATCATCATCCTTGTCTCTGTCGTTGCGGTTGTGGTTGTTGGTGTCTTCGCTCTCTCACAAAGTACATAGTACGGTTCGCACGGATAGGGCGGGCATCCGCAGGATGGGTGGAGGAAGGTGAGGTGGCACATGATTATTCCGCCGTTATTTCTGTCTTGCTTTCCCTCCTCCAAGCCCGTGTGATGGTCGACAGCAGAATAAGGCGTTTCGTCGATAGGTGGACAGAGTGGGAGAACTTCGCATTGACGTTCTAAAAGTGACTCCCGACTTCTGTTGAATATCGTTTGCGAGAGATGTATTTCCTCGTTTTCCAAGGTCGAGTTGCTGTTGTCCCTAAGATGAAATAATGGCCTATAGTCTTGCGTTCCCAGCGGATGGCTGCGCGGTGAATGGCTAGAATCGAGATTACGTCGGGATAGAGAAGAAGTGCGGATTTAGCTACGACAGGTGTCATAGTAACGACTTCAATAGAGTTATAGTCAAAAATGCATACTAAGCGCTAACCCATATGCATAATCTGCAGCGTACTACACAGCAAATAAAATCAACTGCAGGTTGGCTGCCGGCAGAACAAAGTCAAAACTACAGCACAAGCATCAGCAGCCACCCGTCAATCTATCCATCTCCTCTCCGATTTAGTTAAAGCTAGCGTCTCACGTCTCGAGAGTTTTTCTTTCTTTTTTTTTTAAAAAAAAAAGGCAAAAACATTAGAAGTACAACTGATGGAAAAGGGAGCTTCATAAGACCGGTAAGAAGCCAGGTATGAAACCGATACTACAACCTCGATTTCAACTATTCCGTCGCAGTTCTCACAATTGATATTACTTTTCCATTACTCCCAAGCGGCTACTGGCATAATATACTAAATCGTCCATGCCACTCTTTGCCCCTTTCTCCCCCCATAGATACACCGTGGAATAATGAAGGCGATATAATCTCACAAACATTGGAAGGAAACCAAGAAAAGAAAATAATAGACACAACTTTACAACCTGACTTTAAATGCACATCACAGAGCCGAGAGAAACAAACCAATTTCCGAGAGAGAAAAAAGCAAATAGCCCCCACCACCTAAACGAGACCACACCAAGAGACCAGAAAAGCCCAAGGGAAAAAATCTTTTGTTTCTTTTCGTTTGTCCAGTCTATGTAAGGAAAAAAGGTGAAGGAGTAAAACAACAAGCGTTAAGCAGAAGCTCTTATCCACAACGTACCGAGAGCAGAAGAAGCCCCGTTCTTTAAACATTTCCCGACCCTGCCTGCCCCTCAAGGCAGCCTCTTATTTTTAACGCCGCGACCCCACTTCACTACTGGTTTTCCCGTTCCTCCGTGACGACTCGTTACCAACGGGGCTCCTGGGGCTTCTTTCACCGGAGCTCTCCGGTTCGCTATCGCCTGGGCTGTTAGGGTCGCTTTCACGCAGATTCCGACGGTTACGTGCCATCTGTTTTCCTAGTTAGCGGGGCAAACTTTCAATGACAGCTGATGCGGGTGGACAGGTGGGGGGAACAAGGGCACGAAAAAAAAAAAAAACTGGAGCACGAACCCATCCTCTGACGCTGCTGATCAGGCCCAGATTGTATCCAGCAGCAAAATCATTCGCACGCTCATTGTTCGAGCCTCTCAAGCCGCCTGTGGTGTCCAGGTGACTGAGGTGCCGCTTGAGAGTCGGCGGCGTCTCCCGACTCGGCGTAGCGGCCGGGCTGCGGGCGGGGCTGGCGGGTCTGCTTCCGCTGATGTTGGTCTGCCAGAATTGGCGCAGCTCCTTGCCCAACTCCTGCCCCGTTGTTGTCCAATTGGTCTTGATGCTGTCCCGCAGCTCCGTCATGTTGCGCTTGAAGTCCAGCTCGTTCTTCTTCAGCCACGACACGTTCAGCTCCTGGCGCGACGCGCCCCGCTTAAATTGCCGCTGGATGTACTGGTCGTAGTCGCGGACGATCCTACCGGTGGTATGAGAATCATGCTCTCTTCCTCCACGGCCCATCGAAACTTTGCGAGAGGGGACACTTACTTTGTGATTATGCCAGTGGTGCTAAGACCCTCAGTGCGCTGCGTAACAAGAAACTTACCCTCCTTCTTGATAGGAGCATAGATATCGTCGCCCTCATCCGCACCGTACGGGATATCGTCGTGCGCGACGTAGTCAATCTGGTACTTCTCCAGGAATTCAGGCGACACCACCCACGGGCAGTCCTCAACGACCTCGTCCACCCACTTGCAGTGCCTGACGCTGTCAGCCCGCTCGCGCGCCGACATGACCGTGAGTCCTTTTCTCTTGTGGGTCTCCTTGTCGCCTGTGACACCGACGAGCAGATACGTGTTAGGGAAGGCCTGCTTAGCTTGCTGGAGCTGTCGCATGTGTCTGCATCACCCGCCGCAATCAGCATCCGGTCGGATCGCAAACAAAGAGGAAGCGGAAGATCCGTGTGAACATACCCCAGATGAAACAGGTCAAAAACACCATCCGCATAAACACGAACCGCACGGCCCTCGGGCGGCGGGTTGGTCTTGTAGCCCACCGGGTCGACCAGGCCAGCGCGCGGCGGGTCGGGCATCCTCATGGTGCCCTTCTCGCCGTTCTCACCCTCGGCGACCTTCTCCTCGCTGGTGCGCTCCTTCTCGGTGCGGGCGGCCTTAACGGCCCGGGCGTTATCGGCGTCGTCGTCTGCGTCGTCGGCATCGGGCTTGCTGCTCGAGCGGGCGCGCTTCGTCGAGGCAGAAGTCGCGTCTGTCTGCTGGCGCTGCTTCAGCTCCTGGAGGACCGGGTCCTCAGTGTCTTCGCCGGAGGCATCGCGGGATGAGGGCTGGGGGACGTCGACGGCGGCGGCGGCGGCGGCGCCTGTAGCTGCGGACGACGTAGACACGGTGTTGGTGCGCTTGCGTTTCGGTGCCATTACGGTGGTGTGGGGGGAAAGCAGACCTCGCTACGTGCGATTTGAGGAAAAGATGGGTTGAGGGAGGAGGAGGGCGCGCCGTTGCTGACACAATGTAGGTTGAAGTGACTGCGGGCACCAGGCGGTCAGTTCGTGGTCCGTTCGGTGTGGAGCAGCAGGCATGGAAAACCGCGCATGCGGGGTGGCCTTTGAGACTTACAGGACGGACCACGTGCAATTGCAGATGGATTCGGGGAATAGGTAGCGGATGAAAGGCGGGCAGAGGTGCGGGCGCGTCGAGGTTCCTTTAGTGGAGTCCCGCGTCCGACGGACGATTCTCGAGTGGCTTGTGACGACAATCCGACCGCAACGTCCAACCGGCTTAGCGCCAAGCTCTCCCCGACCCTGTCTGTGCTGCCTGCAGAGCCGCAAGGCGTCCAGAACCTGATAACGATGCGAGCAGCACTGACCGCACGTCATTCTTACCTATGTCGCACACCTGCGCAGTTCAGGAGCCACCAATCACTCGAGGGAGCGCCGCGCCGTCATTCACACACACATGATGACGAGGGAAAAAGTACTTAATTGTATGGAAGGTGGCACCTACGAAAGGACGAGGGGGAATTTGAGAAACAGCAGACAGGGGGCCGAAAAAGAGAAGCCGGGTGCTTGAATGCGAGGTATCGAAAGCCGCAGAGTCTGATGCAAATCCCACACAAAGGAAGAAGCCCGCTCGCCCGCTTTCTCTGTGAGCCCTATTCCGTCATCCTCGCGAGTGGTGCCAGAAGAGCCCGCCGGCCGGCGCATAAACCAACATCAATTCCCAGCCACAGGCCGCGGGCTCCTCGCTGAAGCCGTTTCTAACCGTTGGATATCAAAAGACGTGACCATGACTGGACCACACGCTTCCGTTTCTTCAACATGGTCCTGTTCTTACTTGCTCTTCTCGGCGCTGTTGTCGGCCGGTTTGCTGTCTGCCGCCTGCTTGATCGAGACCTTCGAGACCGGTGCGCTTTCCGACTTCTCCGTCTTGTCCGAGGCAGGCGAGTCCTGCGAGGCTGAGGGCGCCTGGCCCTTCGACGACGGCGTACCTGCCTCCGAGGCAGCGGTCGGGGCGGGCGTTTCCTCCCGCTGGTTCTTGTTGACTTGCGACTCGAGGTCCTTGTCCTCTTCATCATGGTCAAACATCTCGCTCTCGGCTGAGTCACTGGAGAGCTCCGTACCATCTCCGAGCAGAATAATGCGCCCGCCCAATCCCTGTCCAATCCTCGTGCCGCGGCCCATGTCCATGTCGTAGTCGTCGGGGCTGTCATCATAGCGGTGATGGATGCCCGGTCCCCGGAACTCGGCTACACAGAGAAGAATGTCAGGATCAAATTCCACGGCTAAGAGTATCTATGAGGGCGGAGACTTAAGACTTGCCATACTCTGGTGGGGCACACGGACCATCGCCGTTCGCGACCCTCTCAGCAATCGTCTTGTACCACTCTTCCTTGGTCCTGCCCTTGAGCAGACCAACGATGGTAATGGTCATGTTGTCGCAGCCAACGCCGCCCGTGTCGCTGTTCGACGCCAGGCAGTTGTCCATCATGTTCTCGCAGATGTCCTGCAACTCCTGCTTGGCCGCGATGCCACGCCTCACGAACTCAATGACGGCCTGCGAGGACTGGCAGTCCCAGATGCCTGTGGCCAAAGTGTCAGCGTGCCCGCTCGCAATCTAGATCCGGCACGCACGTACCGTCGCAAGCAATGACCAAGAACTCGTCATCGTCAGTGATCTCGTGCACGGTGACGTCGGGGAATGCAGTCACAATCTGCTGCTCCGGGGGAAGGTCGGCGCTCTTCTTGAACTCGAAGTCGCCAATGGCTCGGGAGAGGGCCAGGTTGCCGTTGACACGGCCGAAATCGACGAAGCCACCTGCCGCCGTGATTCTCGCCTTCTCGCCTACGCACCGTATCAGTATCGTTGCTGCAGTGACGTGAATCGGGCGAAGCGGCGGTACCTTCATTCTGCGGCTTGTGGTCGAAGGAGAGCGGCTTCGCCCTGCCCTTGATGCCAAGAACGCTTCTGGAGTCGCCAGAGTTGGCCTGTTCCTGTCAGCCAAAAAAACGTGGCAGAGGCCATTGCGGCACATACCACATAGATCTTGTCGCTAGAGATGACGCCGACCGAGGCCGTGCAGCCGGAGACTTCCTCTTCATACTTGGGATCTGCCAATTGTTGTCAGCCTCACGTCTGCGGCGCAGCCGGCCCGCAGCGGGGAGTAATCACCGCTGAGAATGGCACGATCGGTGGCGAGGAAGCCGTCCTTCAGAGCCTGCTCTATGTTGCCCTCCTTGAACGCGTCCTGCTTTGCTATGATCTTGTGGAGGTTCTCGCCGGCGTAGATGGCCACCTTGTCGCCGCCGTGGCCGTCGTAGACGCCGAAGAAGCTCAGGCGGAGGTCGGCGGCGGTGGGCTTGTCGGAGTCGCTGTCTGCGCCCTCGGGCTTGAGGTCGAGGACGCAGGCGTGCGCATCCTCCATGCTGATGCGCCATCCTTGCATGGACGAGACGCCGAAGATGACGCGGTCATCCTGGCCGGAGGCCGATTTCTGTTGGCAGCAGAGCGAGTGGTTAGCACGGGCGGGCGGTAGGCAGAATGGCGGCGGCGGCGGCCAAGGCAGCTGGTTGGGGGGAGGTGGTGCAGGTCGCGCGCCCTCGCAGCGCGGCGCAGAAACACACCTTATCGACGACCGGCTCTGACAATGTTTGACCCATGGCGGGCGGGGTTGGGGGGTGGTGTGCGGAAAAGGGAGGCGGAGGGCGGCGGTGGGTAGCGGAGACAGCGTGTTCGGTGGCTATTGAGTGAGCATAAAGGTTGAAAACTCGCTGGCGGGGCGGGGTTGGAAGCGGAAGGTGGAGTGGGCTAAACAAAAGGCAGTGAAAGAAGAGCGCGGTCTTGCTGGGGCGGGCGCAGCGGAGCGTGCAGGGCGGGTCGGGCACAGAGAGTCCGCGAAATAGGTGCGGGAACCTGTGCGAGGTGATCGCGTGGAGTGCAGGTTGCGCTTTGGGCTGGCTCGGTTGCTGGATGACGAAGAGTCAGCCCAGGTGTTGCTGCTCTGGGCCGAGAGCCACTCAGCGCCTTCTTGCTAGCCGCCGTCCGCACTGCAGAGATTTCGGACACGCGCCCACCTGACGGCCCTGCGAAGCTGCGGTGCACGCTGGCCGCTCCTCCCTCGCGCCGCCTGCCCGCCCGTCCTGCTTGATTGCTGCGCTGGCGGGCCCGCGCCCCCTAGGTTGGCGCGCGAAAGCACACCACCGCGCGACCTGGCCGCCAGCTCCAGTCTAGCTCCAGCTCCAGCTCCAGCTCCAGACGCGCCTATTCTTAGCTGTGCCAATTTGCGCGCTTCAATTTCCCTTCATTCTGCACGCTGTGGCTGAGCCGGACTTCACTTCGCTACGCCGTAAGGCTGTCTCTTTATTCTTGTGCTCCCGCGCACATCCTCACTTAAAGCAGACATTCCCCCCTACCACCCGCCTTCATTTCGTACTCGTACGCAACCCAGCTATCTCCTGCACTGCAAATCTAATTCTGTAGCTTTGCTTTCCCATCCCGGCTGGAAGCTCTCTGTCAAGGGTCAGCTACGCGACCTCGCCGACGGACGACGCGGCACACTCACCTGATGCGCTCTTCTCAATCCGACTTATGTCCTGGAAGCCGGCGACGTTCAGCAGAATGTCAAAGCCGGCCAGCAGGCTCTTCATGACATGACGCGCCCCCATGATGGAAAGACCCCACACCCACAGCCTCGAACTTTGCCCCGAGCGCTAGCGCCTTGGACACGCCGCGGACTCCGGAGTAAAACATTATATAAATCTTGTCTCCGACCGCTGATTAAAGTGACAGATGCGTCCGCTTGGCATTCTTCCCGCTTAGAACGAAGGGAGAAAACCAAAAACTCGCCGTCCACAATGCCTTCACAATGCCGTCAACTCCGGGATCCACCGCCTTCCGCGCATTGTTGACGTCCTGGATACAGAACAGCTTTCCGTCCGAGATTTCCTCCCACGTCTTGATGAGCCATCCCATCTTCCCCACGAGTATGCCCTCCCGTGTCCCGCGTTATCGGCGCCCGCCTCGTTCGGTTCACTACCGTCCCCGGCCAGCCTCGTTTGGAAAACCGGGTCACTGGGACCCAGGTCCGCGCCGATGCCGTGATAGAAGGCGTAATTGCTATGCCGCCAGCCGAGTCGCCTAGCACAAATTCTCAGCCCTCGTCCGTTCAAGCGTGGCTTTGTCTCAGCTTACCATCAACAGTCAATATGCACGCCGAAAAGCCCGACTCGTACGCGCGTCTCAGCAGCGAGACCGTCAGCCCATCATCGTGGGGGATGCACAGCTGGAAGAAGCGTGGGCCCTCGCCGTTGGCCTCGGCCACAGCCTTGATGGGCTGAGAGCCAGTAGGGCAGGATGAGCTCCTTGGCGACCTTCGCAACAGGCAGCTCATCCGCCGCATTGCAGATCTTGTTGATGCCGATAGGCGCGAAGCCGATGGGTGCCGAGACCTTGCGCCCCAAGATCTCAGCAGCCGTGTCGCGCGTGTTCGTGTCGACGAGCATGCGTGGCACTATGCGGTGCCGGTAGAAGGCCTGCCGGCGTGTACGACTGCCCAGCGTGGGACGAGGCGTAGTACCACCCATTCTGAGTCAGCTTCTCGTTGACCAGCTCTTCCATACTACCCGAGTCTGTTTGGCATTAGTTGGGTGTCGTGAATGCTTGCGAGGAGAGGTTTAGATAGGGACTTTGCTCTCGTTGCTTGCTCAGAAATAATCGCATTGGTACATTGCGGCGTGGTTCTGGTGTTCTCGTTCGGACCGTTGGCGTCCATCGTTGCACAGAAAGCAAGTCTACAGAATAGGGTCTCAGTGGCGTTCTGCAGTCAACAGGCCGCGACCGGTAGTGATGTAGCAGCAGCACTCCTGCCCAAGACGACAGCTCATATAGAGATGCAATGTGTCAATCCTCTTGCGTAAATTATCATCATTAATCCGCATCCCGTCTCTACCATTTCATTAGCCCCTGATAAAAGCATGTGCATGAAAATGCGGTGCCGGATAACGAGAGGCGAGAGTGATATCATACCCCCCCGGAAGATAACCGCGCTAGCGAAAGCTTGACGTGAGCAAGAAACGTACCTCTCCACCGACGTCAGACCCTGAACTACGGTCATTTGCGTCTGCAAGTAGAGGCCTAGCAGGAAAATATTTTGCTGTCGCGGAAAACTTCGCCCAGCGACTTGCTCCATTAAGAAAAGAAAAGAGCATGAAGACTAGTTTGAGTCGATTGCCACTGTCCCGTTGGGTTCTGCTTGCTTTCTTTTTCTTATTTTTACTTGGCCAGCACTGCGGGAAATAAACTTAGGCGAGATTCTTGAGCTGCTGCAGTGGTAGATTTCTCTGGCTATGTCCTCGCTTCTGTACATAAACACACCCATTGGCCTCTATTTCCCCAGGTCCTGGTATCTCTACTGCCTTTGGTGTACCAGACGCTATATATAATGCATCGTATGCTCCTATTTGCCAGAGTCCATCATGCTCCTCTATGTCATGCAGAACGTCATAATCCGTGAAAACGTGTCGTCGGAAGCATCTTTGCACCACCTTGGTCACACCTTCGGTACAGCTGGAAAATCTTGAAGTCAGATGGCACTGTTGCTGCAAGCTCCTCTACTGGACCATTAGATCTCTCATGATCCTTTATTACGCCAGCTTTTCAAGGCAGGGTCCAAAGCTTGACCTCTCCATCGTCACCTGTGCTGATAATGACTTCTTCATCCTCCGACTTCCTTCCTTTATCCCTCCGCGGCGCCCATGTAACGTGGTTGATCTCGAAGACGTCGTGTGCACCTTCAGCCTCTGCGATGACAACCCATTCGGTCAAGGACTGAGCCTTCTGCTCGTCGCCATCAACAGGCGCCGTGTTGTTTCTCCACTGCTCCTTGTACACAACGATTTTCCCATCGCTGCCCGTGCTGGCGATGAGGCCCGACTGCTTACTCCAGCTGACCGAGTAAATGGCACGATCATGCCTCTTGGGCAGTATAGCCTCCTGCACCCAGTCCTCCTCGATGCTGTTTGTGCGTAGAATGCTCGGCATCCCATTCCTACCCGCCTCCTGCCCGGCGCCGTCCTTGGGCACCTTCTTCCACACCCTAACGGTCAAGTCGTCCGAACAAGATGCCAGCCTGCTCCCAGACATAACTCTCTCCTGCAACAGCTTTGCTCTCTCAGCCTTCACTTCCTCCTGCGGCTCTCCTTCTTCAATCTGCAACCCCGAGACCTCCACCGCCTCGAAATCCACGCACCAAACCGTCGCCTCATGACCAACGAGACACGCCACGGCCGTCCAATCGTCTACATCCTCGCGATACAACCTAACGGTATCATCATAGCTGGAGCTGGCCAGGAGATCCTCCGAGGGGTGCCACACGACGCACTTGACATCGGCCTCGTGCTCCTGCAGCACCGCAATCGTCTCGAAATTGTCGTCCTCGACCTCCTCCCATACCCACACGCTCTTGTCCCTGCTGCACGTCGCCAGAAACTGCCCGCTGGCTGACCACGCGACGCTCTTGATCTCGCTCTCGTGGCCGTCGAGGATCACGCTGAACCTCCAGTCCTCATCGTCCTCTTCCTCCTCGTTCTCCCCGGCAGCGACATCCACCTCGGCCCGCACGACCCCGGACATGCCGCCGCCCTCCCACTTCCGCCAGATGCCCGCGCTCGCGTCGAAGCTGCCCGTCGCCAGGACGCTCTCTCCCGCTCCGTTGTTGGGCTTCCACGCGCACGCCCGCACCGACCGCTTGTGCCCGCCCGCCACCGTCGACGCCAGCGCGAACGACGTCAGGCTGTACACCCGCACCGTCTTGTCCGACGACGCCGTCGCGACGACCGGCAGCGACGGGTGCGGCGCCGTCATCCACGTGCGCGCCGAGCTGGCGGGCGTGAGCGTCGCGAGGGGTTGGAGCATTGGCGGAGGAGTGATATCCGTCGTGGAGGAAGGCATTGCTGTGGTTGTCGTTGTGGCAGTGGTGGCGGTCCGTCGTGCCGATACACACGCAAGGGTCGAGGGAGGTGTGGAGAGTCGTGCGGACGAACGGATGAGGAAGGGGAAAAAAGACTTCGAGTGTGTACGAAACCTGAGCGGTCGTGTGTCGCTGTCTTCGGCCGCTGGCGTCGGCGGAGGTTCGAACGTTCGGGTTGGGTGGAAGGTAGGTTTGTATCGCGCTCTTGTCTCGAATACGCCCCGCTTGAGGAAAGAAAAGAACTCAAAGCCAGTCGAAAGGCGGGGGACAAGCTACGAGGAGCACGCGGTCAATTGCTCTTTCGTACAACAGCTGAGTTCGTCCGGAGAAGTGACTACCAAAAACCTTGTTGCTGCAGTCGCAAAGAGGTGGCGAGAGTTGTGGCTCGAGGTTGACGGGTAGCGGGCAACAGGACGCGGGGCAGAGTTGTTGTTGCGCGAACGATAAATAAATTGAACGACGTCGATTACCTAGCGCGTACCTAAGCGTCATTGCGCGAAAAAAAGCCGAAAGGCAGAGCGGAAGGCGGCGCATCGGCTTCGCGGCGCCCACTGCGTCCTTTTGCCAATCAGGCCTGACTCGCGCCTAGATAAGGCTAAAACAGAGTCAATTCGCACCTCCCCGCCTTTCTCATTATCCTCCGAAATGGCAACTCCTCTCAGCATCCTATGCTGCGTGACAATCGATCGTTGGTCTGGCAACACGCACTAATGGGCACAACACATGACGTGGAAAGCTCGAGCTCAGCCCTGATTTGGTCAATATTATCCATTAGAAAGACGTACCACTGTTCATTGTAGAAGATTGATTCTTATTTCTGAAGCTAAAGGAGCAGCAGCTATCTTTATGCATGCAATGATGGGTATCCGTTTCATCGATGAAGGCCGAGAACTTTCTTTTCTCCAGTTATCCCCCCGGTTTTGAAAAAGAGAACATAAAAAAGGGCAGCACCCTGTTCCTGTCCCAAAATGAACCTGTACGCCCATATTCCATCCACACCTAATTTTCTTTGCAAATCGTAATATTAAAAACCAGAGAAAACGAGAAAGTCGAAGCTACTATAGCAATCGAAGAGGAAGAAGAAAGACTGGGGAAAATGGACCGAACCGACCCTTGCTATACGCGAGAAGAAAAGAAAGCCACGTCATCTCTGGTGGCTGAAGACCGGTTGACCCAGCCGGAATAAATAGGTTATCGAACGGATCAGACCTGCAAATAAAGAAGAAAAACGAAACGCAGTAGCTCTATCAAGACGTGAGCGCAGAGATAGCAAGTTGGTGATTTCGAGAACAGAAGAAAGAAGAGGTGCGTAGGCTCATGTCCGGAGTGATAAGAACCTAGCTCCTAGAGGATTACACCTCCAGCGGCATGACCCAGAGCATTGGCTTAACAAGCTAGGGACAAGCCAGGATGGAGGTCGGAGAGCACGCATGGTTCTACGGGCGCCTCCACCGGGCGCTCGTAATTTCGTACAGCTCATCCGCGAATGTCTCCTCCTCCTTGCCTCCCTGGCCAGCCTCGGACCGGATTCCCAGCTCTGTCAGCTCCATAACTGAATCTTCTTTCCCGCCGTCGTCGATGCGAATGTCCTGGCTAACCATAATGCCGCCGAGACCGCCGCCATGATTACCAGAGGGGACACTGAGGCTGTGGTTGCGGTGGCGATCGCGCTCGCAGGTCTCAGCAGAAACGCGCTTGAGCATGTCGTCCATTGAGACCAGCTCGCGCTCAGACGCGCTGTCAGGCTGGAGCCCGCTGTCCCTTCGTGAGTTCGCCCCGGACATGCCTCCCAACCACGACTTTAAGCCGCCCGACTTTGACTTGTTCCCTCCGCCTGGACTGCTGCGGCCACTACGATTACCAAAGCGGGGCATGCCACTGCTTTGGCGCGACAGAGGGAGCGATGAGCCAATCGAAGTGACTTTGTTGACCTTATGCCCGTTATCTTTCTGTTGCTGGGCACGAATCTCATTGAACTCGCGGTGGATGCTGTGTGCAAGGACGGCGTGATCGGGCGAACCACGGTGAACGTGTTGACGGCAGCGGAAGAAGCTAAGTGGGGTGTACATGAGGTTTGCAGACTTGATCGAAGATATGTGTACGTCCGGAATAATGCAGAAAGCGAAGATGGTCCCGGGACGTGGAGTGCCAACTGTGTAGTCTCGAAGGGGACGTGCTGAGAAAAGCGCTGACCGGAAGAATTGCTCTGGGACTAGTTGTTGTAACTGATTGATTCCATCGCGAACTTTTTCGGCGAATGCAGCCTGCTCGTCGTTCCAAAAATTTCCCTTCTTCTGCGTGTTGAGACCACTGTTCAGGAGGCGTGAACAGTCGGCAATCGAGAAATTGTCCATACGAGCAAAGAATGAAAGCATAAAATCGTGGGGCGGGTCCCCCGAGATATTGACCTTGGGAAGATGATACGGCTCCTCCTTTGGTACCAGAACGTCCCAGCTGCCGGTCGATGGTTTCAATGCCGGCCTCATCGCGAAGAAAGCCAGCCAAGTTCCAGGGTTCGCCAGTCCATCCTGGCGGGAGTTGTACTTTCGAAGGCGCTCCACCGTCCTGTTAAGCTCTAAGCGCGACACCTGCATGCTTCGAGAAAGCATGTCACCGACTTGGTCAATCGTTGCCCATCTGTAGCCGCTAGCGATGAGGTCCGCGCACTCCTCTTTCTTTTGTAATTGGCGGACAACAAACATCAATTGGCCTCGTCCGAACAATGCAGGAGCAGGAATCGTCAGACCTACAGCTGCCTCGACATCTTCAGACGGTGACTTGGAAGACCGCCGAATTGTCTTTGTTTTCACCTCGGCAGCCGTAGTTCCAGTCATTAGTATGTCTTCCCAGAGAATACCGAGATTTTGGATGTTGGTCCCCATGTTGGACGCCAGCTCTGCTGCAGCAACACAGAAGTGCTCACGGAAGATGACAGAGTAGTCGACTTCAGGCAGTGGTCCATCTTTTTCCTGGGGCGAGCCCTTTCCGCGGCTGGCCGGGGTTGAAGGGTCTCTCAAGCTTCCTACAGCGCGAAGGTGTTGTCTCATGATACCGACAAGCTCCGCTACGCTATCCCAGTTGTGTGTTACGCGGAAAATCCATTGGAAAACGGGATGGGCCACGTTGAACTCGTCGTTGAAAGACTGGAAGAACTGTTAACAATCGAGGATACTCTTGTTCGATAAAGCAGATGACCAGAGCACTTACGCGTTGGTTATACTTTCTGGTGATCTTCTGGCATGGGAGAAGGCCCTCCTGCGTCACCAGGATCTTGCCGTCTGGATCGAATGTAGCTGACGCGAGCACGACATGCTGAGCGCGATCCGCCAGTTGCTTGCGGCGACGGGAAGTCAACCACAAGAGAAGGAAGCATACGAACAAGGCAGCAACACACTAGGCTTTGTCAGCACAAGGTCCATTCCCCGTCCAATACTGTACTCACCAGGAAGATTGCAACAATCATGTTGTTATTCCTGAACCGCTCATCTCCGCGGTAGAACTGCTTGAGCTTGTACTTGGTACCAGCAGCAGCCGTCCAGTGCATGCCGCAGACGGCAGTGGCGAGGATCGCAGCGACCGGAATGCGCCGGGCCCAGGTGTTGATCCATTGCTCCTTCTGATGGAAGAACAGGGTGATAGCAACGTAGCAGGAGAATGTTGCAATGAGCGCAGCACCGATGATGTGCCGATAATCGTTCTGCAAGCTGTAGGTGGTGGTTCCGAGGTTTCCGATGTAGTGCATGCCCACAATGGCCAGACCGGCGAATATGCCAGTGATGCCAAGCGAGAGGTACAGACTACGCGCGGTTCGATTGAAGCGCTCGGCAACAGCGAAACCAAGGAAAAGGAAGATAACGGGAAGGAAGACAGAGAGCGCAGTGAAGCCCGGGCTGTAGTATAGTTGAATCTCCTTGGAGCCGTCACCCAGCTCAATTGCACGGTTGCCGACGAAGTGCATACACCAGATACCGACCGCGCCGAATGAGATAGAACAAGCTCCGAGCTGTAACCTGAACTCAGCATCAGCAGCCGTTCCATCCAGAGTGATCTTTATGCATGCGGAAAGAAAGAGTGTCGCACGTACCAGTTGCGCCAGCCTTGGCCAGAGCCGCGACGATGAAGCAGCTCAACGGTGGCAGTCGAGCCCACGAAACTGACGAACCAAGATGCCACGATGATCCATGGGTCGACATGGAACGGAATCATGTCGCCGACGACATAGCCGGAATGCTCCATGGTGTGTCCAGGGACCTTGTATCCAGGGCGTAGTTATACGGACGAGGATAGCGGATGTCAAGGAAAGTTGGTGTAGGGTAAGGTCAGAGTGCGTCCATAAGGTGAGTTTCAGGAAAACCCAGCTTGGGAGGTTCTCGGATCACGTCTTTGTCGGTGGGTCTAGCGAAGATGAAATGCCGGAGAGGTCGGAAGGTGAAGTGAAGTGAAAGACCGGTCTTGCCCCCACTTTTCGCCCGCCGACAAGGGTTGGTGTAATCCTGAATGACTGTCTAGGTAATGCTTCTCACTATGGTGAAGATAAGCACGGCGAGCTGCAGTTGTGCGTAAGATGCGTGGCGGACGGTGGTGATATTCGTTTGTCGGCCCCCGTTTGTGCTACACACGTGCTCTTGCCCGCAGCCAGAACCAGTGGCGCTAGAATTGGCAGGCGCCCAGAAACGCTTGCAAGCGAGACGCGAGACTAGCTGGTGTCGATGGTGGATCCACAAACTGGTAGAGGTTGAAAACAGAGGGTGAGGGCGGCGGCGGCGCGTTGCGCAGGTGAGTCCGGGGGTTCGCAGACGGCAATGATCGAGAATAACTTCCTGCAGGGCGGAGCCGAAGGGAAAACGAAGTGAGTGAGCGGCGAGGTGGTGCGAATTAAAACAGGCGGAGACGGTTGGTCACACAACGGGACGTATGGGTGGAGCAGAGCGGTCCAGGGTGGGTACAGCCCAGTCAGCCAGCGCGCTTCTTGCGCCCTTGCACAGCAGGGAAATGCTCACAGCAGCGGATGCGCCGTATCGATGCAGACAGAGGTGTGCTACATAGAGCGGCGAGAGGAAGAGGCAGTCAGCGCGTGATGAGCGAGCTGCCCATAACTCGGACTGGGCGGGCAGTGCAGCTGGTCGTCCTTGCATTGCATTTGAGCCACCGCTGCGCTGGGCATGGGTAAGTGGTACCGCAGGGCTCGCTGCGAAATTGAGGCACATACTTGGACACTGACGTTTGCGCCGGTGGTCCTGGTCCTAGTCCGCTGCGGCGCCGGCTTGCCATGGGCTCTCGCTGCTTGCGTGCCTGGCCAACACTCGTCCCCACAACGGAGGTGATGGATCAGCGGCTGGGGCCGCGGCGCTCAGCTGGCTCCCCGGCGCCCGCCGTCGAGGCTGCGCCTGGCGGCTGGCTGGTAGGCCCCGGCGCAGGCTGCAGGCGCGTTGGAAGGGGAAGTGCCTCCGCACATCTCGGCTTGTGCGAAGGGGCGGCCGCAGAGGTGCGCGTTGCACAACGTCGCACACGGCTCCCAGAGCCCTGCTTGGGATTGCCAGACACGCCTGCAGGGCACCGCCAGGAATGGCCGCTGCCCGCCCAAGTTGTCTTGCTCCTTCGGATCGCCAGTTGTGGCAGAGCGCGCTCTGCCAGGTCCGGCTATGAAGTGCTTTCTGGGCTGAGGCCCTGGCGCCGACCCGCCCGGCACGACGCGCGACCGGGAACTCTGCCAGCGATCCCGCCGATCCGGCAGCCATCAATCTGACGTGCAGCCCAAGCGAGCGCACTGGCGGCTGCCTGGCCCGGCGCGCAGCTCCTCCATGCAACCCTGCTCGATACTACGGCGTTCCACTGGCTGGCCTCTCCCGTCTCTCGGCAACTCATTCCTGTCCGGCCATTGGCGCTGGCGAGATGTGGCACTCAGCCATCCAAGCTGCCAGATGAACTGTGGATCTCCCGTCTCTAACTTCATCTGGCGCTCTCTCCCGTCAAAGCTTCAGTGGAAATACGCCCGACGGCCCTGCGGTTTCTAGGCGCTCAAAAGCCGATGGAGAAATCCGGCCCCAACATTATCAACACCTCGCCTAATTGCTGCAATATCGTCTTTTGCCGTGCCGTCCTTCAGGAACGCACTTCAAGCCAGCCTCTTCCGCTTCCATCAATCGTGGCGGCTGTGCGGACCTGACCGGGTCATCCTGTATGCCTTGCCGTTCCGTGCCGCCATCACCAGTGGTAATGACTGTTTACTTTCGTACACCAAAATCTTGTTGGACCGAATCTGAGCCCTATCGTTCCGCTGTCGGAGCTGGCTCCATACTGCTTGCTTTCGGAAAATATCCTCTTTTCTTCTTCTTTGCTCTGTTGTCTTTATTTTTGCCACTTCGAGCGCCACACCCTGTCACAATCCCCTCGATGAGTCAAGGATCACAGAGGTCGCTCGCTTTTCCAGTAGTGACCGACGTGGGACAATGAATCCAGAAAGTATGAAACATGAGGCTGCTGTATCAGGGGTCAGTCCGTCGAAATGTAATGCGAGACGATGTCGTTTGCAGCCTAGGTTCAATTCTCTTTCCCTTAAAGGTCTACGTCGAATAACATCTCCGGATCTGCAAGTGAGCGGTCGTGTGCGTCTGCGGGCACTGGTGTTTCAATCCGTTCTGCGGTCTCATATATCAAATTTTCCTCGGTTGCACTCTCCTCACTGACCGCTGAAACTTGATGTCTTGACCTTGCATGTAAACTATGCGCCTCAGGCACAGTTTCGGATGCAACACCATGGCCTAATTCGACCAAATCTCCCGCATCGAGAAGCATTTGCTCGGCGGTATCATTCTCTTCGAATATGGATGGTAGTTGGCCATTTCGTCGAGGCGTTCCCAAAGGTTCGGGAGAAGAGTGCCTGTCCATTTCCTCATACTCACCGTCACATTCCCAGAGCAACTTATCCCCGGGCAGCTGGTCTAGAGGTGGATGCTGCGAACTGTCTGAACCACCATGGTCCGCAAACGGATGAGAGTCTCCTTGCCATGCGCCGGATATTTCGAAAAGCATGTCGTCCGCTTCGCCCAATCCTTTGGCGGTAATATTGCTTGACGGCATCATAAGCGGCTTTAGCCGCTGATAAGCTCCTGAGTCGAAGTGGCTTCGTTGTAGAAGGTTCCACAACCCAATTGATGCAGCCTCGTAAACTGAGTTTGGACCCTTGCACTGTTGTACGTCTCCCGGGGAAGTCGGGCCGGGGCGGAAAGTAGCAGGAGGATAGCGGCCTAGCAGCTCTGTGGCTTTCCGTTTGAGCGAAGCTGACCTTGCATTGGAGAGAAGTGAGCGAGAAAGCGCATGTGCAATGGTGGGCAAGAACGGTGCCCTTTCCGAAACTGGCTGTCACGAGGCGGTTAGCTGGATGTAGATCACGACAGCAAGTGAACGTTACTTTAAGGTGATTAGGCCGCCACAAGGCGGGAGAAACGGTGGCAAGCCTAGCAACGTCGTCGCGGTTAATTTTGACGCTAGGCGGAAGCTTGGGCGGCTTCTCGCATATTGCTAGCCGAAGTGCAGAGTCAATCAGTTCCAGTATCGGTTGTTTGAGCTCGTGCTGCTCTGCGCCTCCCTTGCTTATTTGGTCATCCGCGGATGCTGTGCCACTGTCGATACGTTGGAGAATTACGGAGGAAGGATTTAGATGCAGTAGCTCATGCCTGATTGGGAAGGGTGCAGTAGCCGTCATTCCTTGTAGGAGTATGGCCTCCTCTTGCGCTATCGCCGACCGAGGGTCATCTGCCGCGAGAACATCCCTATCTTCTGGTTGATCGAGCATGTGCGGTGAACTCTGCAAACGCATGACTCTTTTGTCCCGCTTTGCTTCGTTCTTCTGGTCATCGCGTGAGAGATTCAAGGTCAGGTTGATTGATGTCAGGCGTACGACCTCAACTCCGAGCGGAGGCTGAACATCTTGAACGGAAACCGCGGTGGGCAGACGGTGACGCGGACTGAGGGGAATATCTTGATTGAGGTATGTAAGGTGGATCAGGATTCCTGCTGTCGTGGGTGAGTGGTCTCCATCGAGCGGAGGCTCTTGTGCGATGGCGGCTTGAAGGTTGAGCTGTTTCCAGAACTGAAGAGTCTTGTTAGAATCTCGGTTGAGCCCTACGGGAAGCTACTTGCATCTGCATTGCATATGCTGTGAGCCAGATATCGCTGAAGATGGCCATGTAATTGGTATCCATCCAGAGAGATGTGCAGTGCTAGGTGGAAGCCTTGACCGCGACAAAGCCATGCATGAGGAGCGGTGAGTGCTGCTGAAAGATCAGCAGTGGAAGTTTCCCCCGTGTATGTGAGAGGCGAAGATGCAGTCAAGGCGACATCAGCGATCAGCTGCATTTTGGCGCGGGAATGGCTCAAGCAAAGGCGCCCAAGTTCGGCCGTAGCGGCCATCGGGGTGCCGCGGGTGGGCGAATGCCCGCAGTGAGATGCAATGCGTTTGTTGCGCTCGTAGAGATCATGTACGGGGTGGTGGACCCGTCCGGCAAGGATGGAGTATTCCGGCCTCGGCAAATGAGGGAGGGACGATCGGCGCTGACATCGGGAAGGCAGCGCGGGTGAAGACGGATGAGCGCGCGGGCCGACCACTCTGTCATCGTGCCGTCAGCCTCCCCTGCTCCAACACAACACCATCGCCTAGCATGTCTGCAGTATCACGGTCAGCCCTGCGGGCGCTGAGGTTCTCGCCGAGAGTGCCTCAATACCGCAGATTCAGCCTCACCTCTCACAAAGCCACCGATGGTGTCTTCCGCGCCTTAACCGAATCGCGCGTCCAAACACCATGGATAGAGGCATTGCGCAGAAAACAGCGCAAGGGCGAGGACCCGTCGCAGCCATCAGGGAAATCCCAAGTCCCTGCTGATCGGAAGCTTGAGCCCAAGAAAATGTCTGACAGCTATCACCGAGTTGTCAGTGCACCACCGGGCCATGGCTTGAGAACAGCTTGACTGACCTAGCGCCAGATTCTTCCGCTTGCCCAAGATCCATGGTTGTTGGACACTTATTTGAACTCGTCGGGGCATATCAGGTACAAAAGCCGCGCCGTATGTGATCACGGCAGCTGACACGCATAAGACTTGGCACCATCTTCATGGACCTCGATGCCCTATCCGGCGTTGTTGCTTATAAGCACACTGGCGATGATGTCACTACCGTCACTGCAGCTTGCGACAGAATTACGATCCGAAACCCTCTCACCGAGATTTGTGACCTCGAATATAGCGGCCGAGTCACCTATGCAACGGGTCGAAGTAGCATGGAAATCACCCTACAGGTAGCAAAGGCCCCTAAGGAGGGCGAGAAGGTTAAGGACGAAGACGTTCTGTTGCATTGTAGCTTCACCATGGTCTCACTAGACCCAGGTACCAAGAAGTTAGTGCCAATGCTTCCCCGAACCAACTTGGTGCTAACAAGGGGCCAGGCCCGTCAACGTCAACCCCATCGTTCCCGAAACAGAAGAGGAAAAACGGCTCTTTGCTCTAGGAGAACAAAACTCCAAGCATCGCAAAGAGCTGAAGACAAAGTCCCTAATCAAACACACCCCCAACGATCTCGAGAGTGACTTGATTCATGCACTTTGGCAGAAACAGCTGCAGTACCATGGTAAGCTCTTCCGATTTGCATGCGATTTATGCAGACTGTTTCAATATCCGCTCTTTCAATATCCCGCAATGCCCCGATCTACCGCCTTTTTGAGCGGTGCATCTCGTGCTGTCAATGTCCAGAGGGATTAATGTCGAAGAATTCCTGACAGTCGGGCATTGCGCAGTCCCCGCTCTGCTCTAACTCGACTTACCTTGGCTGCATCATGTTTACAAACATCATGGTACCGTCGTAGCACATTCTTCACTCTTTCACATCTCCAGTTGTCCTTTTCTTCTTCATATAGCTGATCAACGTGCCAGACCCCAATGATTCGCTGCGGAGACCCTCAAACGTGTACCTCATGAAGGACACCAAGCTCCAAACAGCCAGTATCATGCAACCGCAATACCGCAATCGCCACCACTTCATGATCTTCGGCGGCTTCCTTCTGAAACAAACGTTCGAGCTCGCCTTCTGCTGTGCCGCATCATTTGCGCACGCCCGGCCGACGTTCGTGTCTCTGGACCCGAGCACGTTCCTCAACCCGGTTCCGGTCGGCAGCGTCTTGTACCTTACGGCGACAGTTGTGTACACCGACCCGCCGATCGTGTCGGCGCCGGATGACAAGGAACAAGCGAACAGCAAGTACACGCGAATCCAAGTCAGGGTCGACTCGAAGGTGCGGGACGTGGAGCACGGCGTGGCGAAACCCACCGGCCAGTTCAACTACACTTTCACCGTGGACAAGGACATCAAGGTCATGCCCGAGACGTATACGGAGTTTATGATGTACATCGACGCGCGTCGTCGCGTGAAGCAGGTGGAAGCCAGCTTCGCCGATACCGGGCCTGTAAATGGTGAACACGTCGATCCTGGAGAGACGGAAAGAGTAACAGAATAGATGTGAGGTAGCTTTACACGAAAAACTTTGTAGATCTGTCACTTTTCGTCCCACATGCAACGTGTTTCGATAATATCTTGTCTCGCATTCAATTCCAAGCGTTCTAAAACATCGGTCTGTGGATATCTGAAGTATTGTAGCAAATGCAAACGTCTCCAAGAAAAAAAAAAAAAAAGCGAAGCTGAAAATGGACAAGTCTTTCAACTGGGGGATAATGGTCTTGCCAATCAAATCGAAACCCAGCCAAATGCGAAACGCCAAGTGCGCACATGCTAATGGAGCCACGCAGAGAAGAAAAAATCGATGCGGATGTGGCTAAAAGCCGCGCGAATTGTAATGCGTAGGAGACCGCCAAAATGCTTGAATCAAAGGGAAGAACCCCGCAGGCGTAGGCTCCGAATGGGAACAAAAAGGTAGTTGGGTTTAAAAATGAGCCGGGATTCGCCGCTGCCAAGAAATATTCAGGGTCCATCCAAACAAAGGGAGCGAGTGGCGGAGGCGGAGGGGACGGGTCGTCTCCGGTTCACGCCGATAGGGGAGATAGGCGGCCGCTGCTCCCCTTGATCGGTCAATTGTCGGTTTCTTTCTTCTGGCCGTTTTCCGGGGTCGTTGTGTCTTGTCTAAGTCTTTGTCTGTCTCGGATAGTGTTTTGTTGCTCGTTTCTCGTTTCGTTGGATAACAGAAAAGTTTACATCTCGTCCAGCTCGTACTCGAGGGCGACGTCCTCGGAGCAGTCGGAGCAGTAGTAGTTGGAGAAGCCGCCGCACTTGACGGTCATGTTCTTGCACATGTCGATGCTCCAGGCGTCGTAGGAGTAGCCGCTGAGCAGGCGGTTGGGGCAGATTTCGATGCTGTTGGCCCAGATGTAGTAGTCGTGGTTGCAGTAGTACCAGCTATAGGTATAGGAGCACATGGTTGCGGTTGTTTAAAGTGAGTGTTGTGCGCGAAAGCGATTGACTTTTATAATAGCAAGAGAGAGCGAACTGCAGTTGTTGTTAGTCAAATGTCGTTGGTGCATGCACGCAGGGGGCAGAACTCACTCTTCGGACGAAGAAGCGTCGAGCGACGATCTAAAGATTGACCGGTGGAAAAGAGGGTTGGTGTATGGACAAGACGCAGCAGGTCGTATTATATGCGTCGGGCGTATACCGGTGTGCGTTCTGGACCCACAGTGGCCTTCCCTTTGCAAGCTGAGGGGGCGTTTCTTTGTGCGATTGGGGAATGACTTCTAGAGCTCACGCGGACGCCGAGAGGGGACAAGAGTCGTATTTATATATGCATTGTCAGACGCGTCGGAGGTAAAGAGAGCAGAGCAGCGCCGCCGCCGCCGCCGCCGTCCGGTGCGCTTCGGAATGCTCACCAGGCGGCGTGACTCCGCCCAGCCGGGGGGTGAAGGAACAGTGCTGGAGCTGCGACCCATGCTTCATGCAGGGTCCAACAGGCCGGGGCGGTGCGAAAGGGTAGTGGTCAGCAGCGGCGGTGGCCCCGGTTGGTCGGTTGGTCAGGGGGCCCGAGCGGAGGCTGCAGGCGGATTGATGGCTCTGTCCGCCTGGCGTCTGTCCTAGGCCGCCGACGATCCGCCATTAGCGGCAGAAGAGATAACAACGCTCGGCGATTGGCAAGTGTGGATAGCCGGTCGCTTCAGCTGCAAATCACTCTCGGTGGGGAGGGCGAGAGCAACGTGGACAGGGTCTGACTGGGGCTCTCTTCGCGTGCACGCCCTGGACCCTTATCTTACCCACACCTGCTCTTTCGTCCGAGACTAACATCTGAGACGTCCGCTGAAAAGCTTACTAAAAGCCCCAGCTGATTTGCGCCATCAGCCCTCAGCCTCATGAGAGGAAAAATGCGCAAGCGTTGCCACGAGACACATGGCAAATAAGCACAGTACACCGGTCCATCCTCAGCTACCGTCTAAGCGCGCGGCACGAGGGCGCTGCTCGCGGGGAGAAGCGCGAGTGCAGCGAAATGTTTCCCTTCGCCGTTAGGACAGATTTTTCCTAGGGCCGACCCCAGCAGATTAACAAACCCCAACCCTTCCGAGGCAGCAAATCAACGGCTCTCCGTCTCTGTCCCCCTGCATTCGCGAACAATTCACCACATCGCGGCACCGGCAAGCCGCCAGGTTGGTGCATGCAGGGCGCTGGCGCGTGCATTGCTCTCTCATGCAGCACGCTCAGTCTCTGCACATCGATCCCAAAAATGTTCCGGCTGACTTGGGCTTCGTCTGGCCGCGTGGCGAGGCCGTGTCTGTCAATCTCTGACTGATTGCGTGCTCGCTGATGAAAGGTGGTGGTGCTGGGTGTGGGGAGGTGGAAACGGTGGCGGGACGAGACCGCATCCGTGCGCTTCCCAATGCACACCGACATCCGTGTCCCATCTCCCTTCCCATTTCTGCAGGTTGCGGGGTGCATCTTGATAGGCTAGTCATGTCCATCCCAAGTAGCTTTGGGGGCGCTGCTTTCGACGCGACCGGTCAACCGACGCCTTTTGCTTTTATCAATTGATTCAACTGTGTGTATCGGCGCCAAGGTGGGCGTGTGAGGCACGACGCACAAAACACCAATCACCCCATCTCACGGGTTTTGGTGCGCAACTTTTTTTTTTCTCTTGGTCTCGCCTTCTCCGAGCTCGTCCGTTCCATCCCGCGCTCATCTGACTGCACTCGTCTGGTCCTACGATGGTCCGACATCGGCCCGTGTCTTGGCTCGGCCGTTGACAAAAACCTCTCACGAACAGATCTCCCGAGTCTCCGAAGCGGAGTCACAATTTCGGGGCACCATGATGGCCCCAGCCAAGAACGCTTGCTCCTTCCCTTCCCCCGACAATAATGCGCACGAAACATGAACGGCTGTTTTGCGGCGCTTGCATGATAGCTGTACTACTACTCAGCGCAATGCTTATATTATGTGACCCGTCCCGCAGCATGCATCTTCACCGCCACTGCACCCTTTGCTGCAAATAGCAGAATGAGCAGACGGCTCAGCCTGGCCAGATCCCGCCAATGCTTCACAGGAGTAATTTCGCTCTCATTCCCGTGCCAGAAGGTAGAGTGAGTGCACGTGGTTTTCACCGTTGCGCGAGCTGCGGCCGAGATATCCGTTCCCAGCAAAATATTCAGGAATTATCGCCGGGTCGAGCCCAAGCGGTGAGCCATCAACGGCGCTGATACTAAATCCATAGTATAGACTCACGATTCATTGCCTAGGGTACCATGGAAATGTGGATAGCACTATTCTTCTGCTTTTCTCCCTTCCTTTCTTTTTTTGTCCTCGTTTCCACGCCTCTCCGAGCCGAACCATGGTTCGTGCTAATATTGAGAAACCGCAACAGTAGCATATTCCCCCACGAAGACAAGCTACGCCGAGCCCGATAACTATCAAATGCTTATCGCAGGGATGACTCACTTTTTCACACTACTACCTGCATGACACACTGCCAAATTTGGCAATTTCGTTCCCCCACGTCATTATTCTCCGACCATCACCAGGTTCAAGGCAATTGGTATGCCGTCGCTGCTGATACAGCAAGCCCCTCCAAAATCTAGGAGAGATTTTTTTTTTTTAGAAAAAGACGAGAGAGGGCTGCTTTAAATACGTATTTGCAATGATCAAAATTGCCTAAGATCTCTATTTCTCTCCCGTTAGCCGCTATCTCTCAGACCCCATTCCTCACTCTCCTCCGTCACCGGGGAGGGGGATACAGAGACTTGAAAAGCGAATTGCTTCTTCACAGTACCGATTTCGCGGATTTCGCGCTTCCCAGATATCTCGACTTGACTTGAATGTAAGCTCAGATTGAAATATTGGTCATCCACAGGCCTGGCAATTGCTTGCTGGGTGCTTCTGGAGGTTTGCTTGTTTGCGCGCTGCTTGATTTTCAAGTTATCGCCTTCACGGCTAGGAGCGATCACACTATATTTTTCATATTCTCACAGTAATCTCAAACTTGCAAAGCAAATCTCTGGAATCGTTGTGGTGACACATACTCTTTCAGAAGTAGCACCAAAAGCAAGAGAAGCAGCGCTTCTACCACACGCCCGCACGACCCCGCCATCACCTGGCCGCCGCACCCCACCGTCGCAGCAGCAGCATGTACATATGTATGTGATGGCACAGCGGCCCGGACCGTCGCGCAGTATCACTTCGCATTGCATGACAGGGGGAGGCTGTCAATGAAGAATGGCAAAAGATCACCCACGCCCCGCTCTTTGTTCAAATCAAGCATAGAAGAATGCGAAAAGTCATTGCACCCTGTCTTCACTGTCCAATCGAAAAAAAGATCTTTCAAACACATCACAACCCCAAAGTTTTGCATGAGTACCCTCTGCATTTCCCATGAACCCCATTGGACTGCCTCCGCTTGTTCAATGTGCATACTACTCTTCCCTGCCGTAAAAACGCTCCTTTCCCCCCCTGGTTAAAAGGTGGAGAAAGGACCCGCTTCAAATGTACATACACGGAAACTTTCCTTTTGAAACGATTCCCGTTTCCCGCAGTCTCCCTTTGATAACCACGCCTAATAAAACCGTTCAATAAAATGAGAAGAAGAAAACCCCCAGTCCACATCGCTTAACCATCCCGAAAATTGAGTAAAGAAAAAGAAGAGAACAGGAATCCCCCGCAAAATCATTTGTGCCTGGTGAATCTGCCCATTATCTTCCTCTCCCTCTGGAAAATGAGGAGGAAATTCCAGGAAGCCCCTCAGAAAGAGCCTCTCTTAACTGCTGTGTGCGAACCCAAATCTCGTGCAAGGTCGCCTCTCCCTTGAATAATATGCCGATACGTAAAGTCGGTCTCGGTCTACTTTCCGTGGGCGCGGAGAAGCTCCTCATCGTAGTCCAAGCGGTTGATGCGCTTCTTGATGAGCTCGAATGCCGAAAAGAAGATGGCATTGACGACGCAGGAACGGCTCATGGAAACTCCGAGGCCTGGAAACAACTGTCAGCACAAGAGGTATTCTACCTCGGTATAATTCATGGATGACTTACCCTTGTACATGCGGGGATTAAAGAACTGGATCTTTTGCTTCTGGGTGCGATCCTTATGCTGAGTGAAGCAGTTGCGCTGGTAGATACTCTTCGCCGTGTCAATGGGGTAAATCTGCACACGACTGTTAGATCAGAAGCTCTTCGATGGACGTGGGTATCCTAGACGTACGCAAGCCCAGCTGACGAGACCGCAAAGGCCTCCAGCGACAACGACGGCGAGGGGAGAGGTTGGAGAGTTTCCACGAGCGTTGGCGAGCAGCTGCTTGGAGCTCTCGTAGGTCATGAAGTAGATGCCGGTACCGATGGTGTCGCGGACTATAGCGCCGTCAGCACCACACTACCATATTAAAACTGCTCAGACCGCCACATGTCCTACTTACGCAAATGATAATGGACTCCGGCGTAAAGGCCTCCAAGACCCCTGTGCTTGACGACCATCTGCGCGGTACGAAAGGTGCCAAGCTCGGCGTAACTCTGGACGATAGGATTGGGCTTTGCGCCACTCTCCTTAGATTGAGCGAGAACGGAGATCTGAGCGCTCATCTTGGTCAATTCGAAGGGGCCTAGAAATCTGCCGGTTATCATTGCCATTCCCACAATAGTATCAGTTCAACAAGGGCTGCGTACAAGCAATGAAGGTTATGACTGCGCCCGCTGTAGCTCCTGCCGTGAAGAAACACGACATGGTATTGAGATTGGGCCGCGCCCCCCTCGTGTTCGCGATCTCCAGAGGAGAGTTTCCCGTTGCGTGGGTCATCCATGTGTCGTACGTGTACTTAGCGCGTTGGTAGACGGAGAACGAGACGGTGCGGACCAGAGTGATGCTCGCCAGCGGGGACAGTACGCCTACAGCTCAACGGTCAGCGAGTTTCAGGGCCAATGGCAGAAGGGGGCCGCCAGACTTACCGCGCCAGAAGCCCTTGGTGCCCTCGGTCCTATAGGTTTGCTGGACGCAGTCGACGACACCAGTGAACCTGTTGCTATACCTGTGCGGCCGTCAGCGGCCGGTTGCAGGGCATCAGGGCAAGGTGGAAGGTTACGTTTGCATGCGCGTCTTCACAGAGTCGAGAGGATACTGGGGTTGGGTCAGCGATGGCTGCGGCGGGCAGTGCGAAGCCGCTACTCACAGCCGTGACGGTGGAAAGCAGACTGCTGGTGCTTGCGGCAATCTCGGTGCGGTAGCGCTTGCACCAGCGGCGGTATTCATGACTGGCGAGCAGGGCCTGCGAGACCGTGCGCGGAGTGGCTATGGGTGCGCTGCGGTCGTCCTGGGGTGTGGAAGGCATGCTGGCTATCGCTAGCTTTTGAAGACCTGTTGCAGGTCTTCAAGGCAATCGCGATAAGGCCAGCAGCCACTCGTGATCCATCAAGACGTGTGCCAGTGGGTGGGGAGGACGGGCGGTGCCGGGGTGCACGACTTGGGTGAATTGGGCGTGTGTCGGTGCTGGGCGTGGTTGAGCTCGCGCGGGAGTGTTGCGGGGTCGGGGTGGCGAAGTGACAGGAGGGAAGCACGAGGGGCAGGCCGGCGCGTGGTTGGCGGTGCGGAGTCAGATGTGACCTGAGCAGATGCGTGGTTGACGTTGTTTAAGCATGGGCGATGATGTGGGGGGCGCGAGGGTCGGCTAACGCTGATCTGCGCTTCTCTTCATCGTGTGTGGATACCAGCAGCATGTGAGCTCCAGGCGATCAGCTCACCCTCGTTCCATCGTCCCAGCATGCCGATGGCTATATCTCAACGCTACACGATGCGATTGACCTCTTCCCGCCGCTCTGCCCTCGCGCCCCTTAAACCGCGCAGCACCCGCCCATCACCAGATCTCAGCCTGACATCCCTGCCGCTGTGCGACGCCAGGTTGAGCTTCGCGCCGCCATCCAGCAATTGCTTCACGCACGCAAATTATATTATTGTCTATATGCTCATTCCACTCGTAAATCGTTCTCACAGGGCCAGCATCGCGACGCCGCTGCCCCACGCCACAAACGCGAGCAGCCACCCCCAGACCTGCACATCTGGGGCCGCGCTAGGAGCCACCTTTTGCACCGCACTCGCCGACGCCGTGCCGGTCGCCGTGTACGTGCAGCTGCTTCCGCAGCCGTATCCGCTGGGGCAGCATCCACCACCCAAGCTGGCGGCGCAGCTCGACCAACCAGTAGCGCAAGAGCCGCTCTCAGTGGCAAACGAAGCTCCCGTTTGTGCAACGATTGTAATGCCGTTGCTCACCAAGCCCGTCGTCGAAACAGCGGGGCAGGACGTCTTCTGGCAGTCGCGACCGACACGGCAGCAGCCTCCCTGATAGTAGGCAGAGCAGGCATAGAACCCGGTGGGGCAGCCGTCGTAAGACGTTGACGATGGCTCAGATGTGACGCTGTCGCCAGTGCCGGTTGGACGGACCGGAGGCAGAGCGCCGGTAGCACTGCTAGAAGTCGAGGATGCCGGGCATTCTGCAGATCCACATGCTCTGTCGGTGGGACAGCATCCTCCACCCAAGCTCGCAGGGCAAGACCTGAAGCCTGTGCTGCAAGTAAGCGTGCCCTGCGGGGTCGTGCTAGTGCTTGCTCTGCTGGTGGTGGTGCTGTCCTCGGTGCTCGTCGAGGCTGTCGACTCTTCTGTTGTTGTTGTTGTCGTCGTCTCTTCGCTGCTTGTGGTGGTTGTTGGGTTTGCGCGGGAAGTGGATGTCGTTCGTGTGCTACTGATAGTGGACGTGGCTGGGGAGAGGGTCGTGGTCATGGTGACGGTATTACTGATTATGCCTACATCTGGTCAGCGGTGCGATAGGAACTGTCAAGGCGCGAACTTACAGCCTACATCCTGGCAGCTGTACCCGGGGATACAGCAGCCGCCGTTGTCACTTTCTGGGCAACTGGTATAGCCAGCGCCGCTGTTGCATTGCGATACTGAGCCCGAGCAACTGCTTCCCGCTGGACAGCATCCCACATCTCCCAGACCAGTATCCTCGACAATAACGCAGGTTTCGTCGGTAGGACAGCAACTGTTGGGCCGGCTGATGCTCGCGCAGCTGCTTGTTCCGGTCGGACACTGATAGTCCCGCTTTTCGAACAGATTACGCTGGAAAAACCTGAGTAGGCTCCGCTCAGAGTCGGAATGTAGAAGGAGTGGTGGAAGTAAATTCTCCGCCAGCGAAGAATTGGAGTACTGCTCGTCGGTGTCGGCATCCAACGCTTGAGCCCTTCGTCTGAAATTCCCTGCCGTTTGGTCCACTCCACCATTGAGCTCCTCAAACTGCCAGTAGTCGAGATAGAACTTCTCGCCGGGGTCATGGCTCATCTTCTGCACTCCCGCGGGAGGCTGTCGTGCCACGCGTTCTCGTATGTGTGCATCCCGTTTGACAAACTCCTCGTGCTCGGGCCAGTATTTCTCGTGCTTCGGTAGATTGTAGGGCCAAGGTTCCGCGGCAGCAAGGTAATTGGAAAGAGAGAGCAAGAGCAGCGACGACGGGAGGGAGAAAAGAGAGCTCGGCATGGGGGAGGAGGAGGTTGGAGCCAGGTATGCAGGTCGCGATAAGCGATGCAAAGAGAACCAGCGGTAAGGGTAAGAATATGGTACAGGAAAGGCAAGGTTGGGACGGGTATGCAACGGAGCGGAAGCGGCGAGAGCTTCTGAAGAATAGCTGCGGGTGATGTCAGCAGCCGGATGGCTGGTGACAGCGCATCGGCCATTTCCTGATTTTAATGGCGAGGTTGGGCGCTGCTGAGGCTGGTCGCCTCGCTTTACGGCGAGCAGTGGCCCCCGCTTACTGGTCTGGCGCCATGCATGCAACTGCCAGATGCCTCGATCGTTCAGGCACCGCGAGTTGCAGTCAGGCTTGGCCAGATGATGTGCGGAGGGATGAGCAGTGTGCAGAGCCCTCTCCCCGCAACTCGGCCCGCCCGAGCACGGGCCCTGGCTCGACACGTTTTATACCCTGTCTTTCCTCCAACCTACAACAATCACTCAACGCATCCATTTTGATCCAGAGACATGTTTCATCCAACACTGGTTCCGACACCGTATACGCTGAAGGTCCAATCACCCATGACCACGACTTGTATCAGCAAGAACAACAGCACAGTACATTAATACGAGACTCTCGTGCATCAATCGCCACTGCTATCTCATGATATGCTATCTGGACGTCCCCCGTTCCAACCACTGGAGTATCTCCAATATTTCAACCATGACTTTGGAAACTACGACATCATGCTTTGAAGAACCGAAACTGGCCACCACTGCAAGAAAATGCGTAAAGAGAAGCGTAAATCAAACAGGATATTTGAAAGTTCTTACACACATAAGTAATAGAAAACAACTTTATTATTCCATGCCCCCTCTATTGGTCGTAAAGAGCACTGGCGAGATTATCGACTCATGGTCAATTGTAGGCTGAGCTTCACATGCACCTTGTCCGGAAGATTATGAGAATCCAATTTTCAATACAAATACATCTCCTCAGGCTGTACGCCTACAATCTCCTGTTGAAATTTCATTCCTTCGTAATTTGAAAGCCTTGCCAGCCCAATTCTCTTGAAAGTCCGATGACCCTCATCTTCTCCCGTAAGCTGCAGCAGAAGGCAAATGAAGTCAGGCAGAGGCTGGGCCATCGTTCCATCGTCCGTTGCAGCAGGCATGCAATAGATCCTCGAGCCAGGCTCAAAAATATTGCTATCGCTCGCAGGGCTGTCCAGGTATATGTCGGTGTACATGTCTCGGAGCGGCGGTTCATTGCTGCTGTTGACCCACCATCCGTACGGCGTAATAAACTTCGGCTCTATCTCCCGCAGTTGAATCTGGATGGCACGGGCACTAAGCAAGAGCCGACACCTGGCACCCTTGAGGAGACCAAACTTGTTCTTGTTGTCCTCATACTCCATGTGAACATCTTCGACCTGGAAGAGCAGATCATGATCCTTGTACTCGCCATATGCAATACCGTGCGGCACATCCAGTGCGGCCCATGAGAAAGAGGGCGCTCGTAAGGGGTGGCGTCGAGCACTGTTGTGTGTCCAGCCATCCTCAAAATACGGCTCGACACGCCATAAGAGCTGGCTTTCCAAGTGTTCTCGCCACATCCCAGCAACGTACGAGTGCTGTCCTTGTTGCGCGACTGGTCGCCCTAGGCCAAGCTTCGTATCGAAAAAGAATTTCGCAATGCCGGCAAGTGCAATCAGCTTGTCGCCCTTCTTGGAAAGTTCCTTTTGCGAATAGAGTTCAACTACTCTCTTCCAAAGTTCGTACGCGTGAAGCTTAGGCAGGTATTTCTCCGGGTCTTCGAATCCGTCCGCACTGGTACTTTGGAACATCTCCCCTTCTCTTTCAGGATCTACGTCCTTCAGTCTGTCCTCGCTCACGATGACCCCGGATTTTAGCTGAAGCCTAGGAACGCCTCCAGGATAGCGTTCAGTGCAACAACGCTCGGAACATTCCCATGCAACCTGGTCGCTGCAGAAATGGACGACCCTTGGAGCCAAAAGCCTTTCCTGATAGGCCCAAGCCCTTTTGTTGAGAGGGGCATCTTCGACCAGATCATCCCACAAAGAGACATCGACAACGGAGCATTTCTTCACATGCTTCTTCCGTCTGACCTGTTGCAAACATCTGAAGACTGTCCCCACACCGGCTCTTACGCACTTTTTCAGAGACCCCTCTCTTTCCTCGTCCTCATCTTCGTCAAGTTCAAGCAAACCTTGTACGTTCAACTTGACTTCATCTTCCTGCAACAAGTCCGGATTCCTGGATCGAAACAAGCCCCCAGCGGGGTTTGACGCGGACGTGGCAGAGATATTCAGGTACGACTCGTGGTACACCTTATCCATGAGTGCGGATTGCGTCTTCCAGTCCTCGGCGTGAAGGCCATCGTCATCCTCTTCATTTTCCTGTATGATGCACAATGCGTCGATCCAGATGTACCGAACACCTTCTAGACGGCTCGCGAATACGACGGCATCACGGAAAGTTGGTGGTAAATCTTCCAACGCGATTCCACGAACCATCATCTCCTTGCGGTTGCTACTGAGAAGCCGGAGAGGCATCTCATCGCCCCAACAGTGGCTCAACGTCACATACCGGTTATCTTTAGCTTTTTCTGTCTCTTCAACTTTCCAGTCCGCTGAGTTCTCTAGAAGACGGATCCTAGTTTTAGAGGTGGCTTCATCGCCAGATCCGATAGCGCACTTGACTTCTTCCAGGTCGAGAAGTCGGTCCGGGTACCATTCTTGCTTCAAGTTGGCGCATTTGCATCTTGAGACCCAGTTTTGCGTAAGCTTGAAGACCTCTTTGGATCGCATGTGCGCTGAATGCTGTCCTTTTTTCCTGAGGCCCCACCGCCGCGCTATGACATAGATTAGCACTTGTGCATACAATACTCTCACAGGCCACAATTTAGCCAAAAACTCACTTCGCGGTCTCAGAGCAAAGGTCCGCATCCACCTCCCATCCAGCAGAAAATCCAAAGAGTAGTATCCGCGCTTCCATTCTCGTCCACATATCGAGGCCAGGGCCGCCTGCAGATCGATGGGTTGGTCTTCTTCTAGCGCAAAGCGATCGCGCTTTAATTGCCTCGCCAGTGCGGAGCACACCGAGCAACCGTTCTCCGCGGCCTGCCAGAGAGCCTTGGTCCGTTGGTGGTGATCAAAGCGCAGCTCGACTCTGCGATTCTCTCGCAGGCCTGCTTGATGACGTAGCATGCGGGAGCAAGTGTCGCAGAGCATGGTTTAGACAGTAAAATATTTCGCAGCTAAAGAATGAAATGGATGAGTAAAGCAGAAGACGAGAGTTGTGTAGCGGAGGATCTGTTCAATATCATTGCGCAAACTTATATTCATGATGGTTCTTGGAGCGCAGAGCCCTAAGCGCCGCGCAGCGTGGAGATCGTGGTGGGGGCTCAACGGGCGGCACAGTTGCGGCGGCTGATCGACACGAGCCCGCGTTTACCACTGTCAGCCGATTGGATGGCTCCTGGCCGGTGAAATAAAAATAAAATAGAGACCAACCGCTCATTCGACGCACAGGAGAAAAGCAACTGGGGAACCCGTTGGGGTTTGCGCAAAGGGGATAGGCGTTTCGATTTCCCCACCAGCCTTTGAGAGTCTGGACCGTACAAGTTGGCGATATCGATTCAGAACTCCCTTGCCAGGCCCCCAGTGACGCAATCCGTATGAGTTCCCTTTCTATTTGAGGCCTTTATGGGTGATGTGCCGGGAGAGCTGCCGGTGCCGCGCGTAAGCACTGCTCACGCGTTCGACAAGCGCTTCGGCACTGCACTGGGGGCCGTAAGGTGATCGTACCACTTGTTGTCTGTCTCGGCTTCCAGGCATCGGAGGTTGCGAGTAGCCGCGCATGTATGCTCCTGCTTTCAAGTCGGTGCACATGGTAACGTAGCCCATGATGGCGTTATCTTGGGCTGTATCGGTATGTTGAGAATTCGAATGCAGATCGCACCCTACACGGGCTTTAGGGACCGGTCTCGGTAGCAGCGGCGTCCGATGCTTGCAATAACCCTCAGCCGCGATTCCCAGGTATCACTTTGAATCTGTGGAATCAGCCAGTAGCAAAAGTGTCCTCGCAGCTCTTCATTGATCAGTTCATCGTCCGCTTAACTTCAGCATGGCTTCAATCTGCACAACGTGCGAGAGAGTTGGTAGCATGTCGATACATTCTACCACTGCCGACTCAAGTCACCTCAATTAGCTCGCGTTCAGGACCTCATGATGCCTTTGGTGGGTTTATCTGCAATGTTTATGAGCGCATATAGCTAACCCTGTATTAGAGGTGTTGTTTCTGGTATAAGTGGTGATTTATTGTCATGGACCGGTGAGGCATTCATCATTTTCTTTGTTTACCTTGTGGCATGCCAACAGCCTCTCTGCTATGCATACTTGACGTCTTGAATAGAGCTGGCCCTGTGCATTAACCTCTGAAGCCGCATTTTCTTCCAATCAGACTCGGTATACCACAATAGGTACCGGTGACGATTATGGAAACTGGTAACGAAGTTGGGAGATCCGATTTATCCGAAGACGCTCACGAGCGATCAGCGACCAGTACCAAATTTGTTTGGAAAAGGAGTGGGAAAGCGAAAGGCAGCGGTCGGAGTTTTGGGGCTCTCAAGGCTATGACAATTTGGGACTAGTGCGGGGCGGGCTCCCGTCAGAGCGGCGGGGAATTTGGAGCTGAGTCACTTGTCTGCCGGCGACTTTTGTGAGCCCATCTTCGACACCACCACATTCAGTCTCCACCCTTCCACCATGGCCGCCTCCCAGCCCATTCTGCCGCAGGATGGCAAGCGAAATATCCTGATCACTAGCGCTCTGCCCTACGTCAACAACATCCCCCACTTGGGCAACATCATCGGCTCTGTCCTCTCCGCCGATGTCTTTTCACGTTACTGCAAGGCGCGCGGCTACCCTACCCTCTACGTCTGCGGCTCCGACGAGTACGGCACTGCCACCGAGACCAAGGCCATCGACGAGGGTCTCACCCCACAGGAGCTGTGCGACAAGTACCACAAGATCCACGCCGATGTCTACAAGTGGTTCAACATCGGCTTTGACAAGTTCGGCCGCACCCCCACCCAGCAGCAGACCGATATCGCTCAGGACATATTCCTGAAGCTTCACAAGAACGGATACTTGGAGGAGAAGACGACCGTCCAGCCCTACTGCGAGAAGCACGGCTCTTTCTTGGCCGATCGCTTCGTCGAGGGCGAGTGCAGCATTTGCGGCGACCCTGGCGCACGTGGCGACCAGTGCGACAAGTGCGGTAACCTTCTCGACCCGCTCGAGCCCGAGCCCGAGACAAAGGCTCCCACCTCCTCGGACGAGCCCGAGCCGGTCGGCGAGGCCAAGGCCACCGGTTTCCTCATCAATCCTCGCTGCAAGCTGGACGGCGCTGCCCCGGTGAAGAGGGAGACAAAGCACGTGTACATTCGGCTAGACGCATTGAAGGACCAGATTGTCGAGTGGTTCAAGGAGGCTAGTGTCGATGGCAAGTGGTCGTCCAACTGCATCCAGATCACCCAGTCGTGGATCGACAAGGGCTTGAAGCCTCGTGGTATCACGCGTGACCTGAAATGGGGCACCGCTGTTCCTCTCCCCGGCTATGAGGACAAGGTCATGTATGTGTGGTTTGATGCTTGTATCGGTTACGTCTCCATAACTGCCACCTACACTGACGAGTGGGAGAAGTGGTGGAGGAACCCGGAGAATGTCCAGCTCTACCAATTCATGGGCAAGGACAACGTTCAGTTCCACACCATCATCTTCCCTGGCTCGCAGCTTGGCACCGGCGACAAGTGGACCAAGATCCACCACTTGTCTACCACCGAGTACTTGAACTATGAGGACACCAAGTTCTCGAAGTCCAAGGGCGTCGGTGTCTTCGGTAACAACGCCAAGGATACCGGTATTCCTTCTGATGTCTGGAGATACTACCTGCTCTCGAGACGGCCAGAGACCAGCGATTCCGAGTTCAAATGGAAGGACTTCATTGACGCAAACAACAACGATCTGCTGAAGAACCTTGGCAACTTCGTCAACCGCGTGGTCAAGTTCGTGGCTGCGAAGTACGACTCCGGTAAGTTCCCCCCACGCGTCGTTGTCGATGGATGGAAGTGCTGACTCTGGGCCCGGCAGTTGTTCCCGATTATACCAAGTACAAGGACGAGGACCAGTACCTCAAGAAGCATGAGGAGGCGGTTAATGAGCTGCTGAAGACTTACACTGGCCACCTCGAGAATGTCAAGCTGAAGGCTGGTCTCGCGACAGTGCTGCACATCTCGGCCCTCGGCAACAAGCTGCTGCAGGATAACAAGCTGGACAACACACTGTTCTCTGAGGAACCGGAGCGCTGCGCCGCTGTCGTTGGTATGGCTTTGAACCACATCTACCTTCTCGCCAGCGTCCTGGAGCCTTACATGCCTGCGACGGCACGCGGTGGCGTCACTGACAAGGGCGAGCCCATCTCTGGTATCTTCCAGCAGTTGAACGTTGACCCCGTTCCTCAAATCCCTGAGCAGTGGGCCACTGGTACCATCAAGCCTGGTCACAAGATCGGCAAGGCGGCGTACCTGTTCAGCCAGATCAAGGCTGAGAAGGAGCAGGAGTGGAGAGAAGCATATGGTGGCGAGGAGGCCAGAAAAGCTAAGCAGCTTGAGGCCGAGAAGCGGGCCGCAAAGAAGGCCCAGAAGGAAAAGGACAAGGCCAAGAAGGCGGCTAAGAAGGCCGCCGCCGCCGCCGCAGGTGGTGTTGAGGCAGCGGAGAAGAAGCAGGAGGCTGATCCCGCTATTGAGAAGGTCACGGAGGCTATGAAGAACGCGGATGTGCACACTTCGTAGAGTTTCGTGCTTTTTGTTTTCCTTCTGTTGGGAGTTAGAAGAGGCAAAAGACATGTGTGATGAGCATTTAAGATGAGACGAGACGAGACGATATGGCAATTCAACATAGAGATGCCAATGGATACCCTTGAACTGCAAGTGTGCACTGTGGTGTCGTGTAGCCCCGGATTTCGGTCGGGGATTGTGGGGATCTGCCAATAGCGATGTCGCAATTTGTCGGGCAGTCTTTACGCGCCTCCGCTTTCGCTCGCCCCATCGTGAATTTTTGGCCGCCATCACCTGCACTGCTGCTCGCGCTCCCAGCTCCCAATGGCAGGCCAGGCAATTACTATGCGGGCTAATGCCCTCAGGGCTGCCCGTATCGCACAAGCCAAGGTAATTTTGGACCCCGCTTCCCCGGGTTGCCGTCATCTTTCGCGACCAGACTCTGACACATTACCAGTCATCGGCCAGCGTGCCACTTCGCCCGCTGCTGCAAAGCAGACGGCACCTGGCAACCGCTCAGTCTCCCACGCCGCCGCCGAACTTCGACGTCGCTTCTCGCACCCCTCCTTACCCGAAGCTGCTCAAGAAGCTGTCCGAAGTCCGCAGCGTGCTGGGCTCTGAACGCAAGCTCACGCTCGCTGAGAAGATCCTCTACTCCCATCTGGATAACCCCGAGGAGTCGCTCCTGACCGGCACGAACAATGGAAAGGATGTCCGCGGTGCGGCCAACCTCAAGCTCAAGCCCGACCGGGTTGCTATGCAGGATGCCTCGGCGCAGATGGCCCTGTTGCAGTTCATGTCCTGTGGCCTCCCCACCACTGCCGTCCCTGCAAGCATCCACTGCGACCACATGATCGTTGGTGAGAAGGGTGCCGACACCGATCTCCCGCGGTCCATCCAGGGCAACAAGGAGGTCTTCGACTTCCTCGAGAGCGCTGCTAAGAAATATGGTATCGAGTTCTGGCCGCCGGGCGCTGGTATCATCCACCAGACCGTCCTGGAGAACTACAGTGCGCCGGGTCTTATGATGCTTGGAACGGATAGCCACACGCCTAACGCCGGCGGTCTTGGTGCCATTGCCATTGGTGTTGGTGGTGCGGATGCGGTCGACGCCCTGGTCGATGCGCCTTGGGAGTTGAAGGCCCCCAAGATTTTGGGTGTTAGGCTCGAGGGAAAGCTCAGCGGCTGGGCTAGCCCTAAGGACGTTATCCTGACTCTTGCTGGCAAGCTGACTGTGCGTGGTGGCACTAACCACATCATCGAGTACTTCGGCCCCGGTGTCGATTCTCTCAGCTGTACTGGTATGGCTACTATCTGCAACATGGGCGCAGAAGTTGGTGCTACTACGTCGCTATTCCCCTTCTCCTCTGGACACGTCCCTTACCTTGGCGCTACCTACCGTGAGTCGATTGCCAACGCTGCCAGCGCCATTGCGTCTTCTCCCGAACAGCAGAACCTCCTTCGTGCCGACTCCGGCGCCCAGTACGACCAGATCATCACCATAAACCTTTCGGAGCTGGAGCCTCACATCAACGGGCCCTTCACTCCGGATCTTTCGACGCCTCTCAGCAAGTTCAAGGACACCGTTGAGGAGAAGGGCTGGCCCAAGACTTTCGGCGCTGGTCTCATCGGCAGCTGTACCAATTCAAGCTACCAGGATATGACGAGAGCGGAGGAGCTTGTCAAGCAGGCTCAAGCAGCTGGTCTGAAGCCCAAGGCGAACTTCTTCATTACCCCTGGCAGTGAGCAAATTAGAGCCACGCTCGAGAGAGACGAGACTCTGGACACTTTCTCCTCTGCTGGCGGCACCGTTCTGGCCAACGCTTGCGGTATGGTCTGATTCTTCTACCTGCTAGATGCTGATTGCTAACTTCAACGAAGGACCTTGCATTGGACAGTGGAAGCGTACTGACGAAGTCGCGAAGGGTGAGGCGAATGCCATTTTCACCAGCTACAACCGTAACTTCCCTGCCAGAAACGATGGTAACAGACAAACGATGAACTTCCTGGCCTCGCCCGAGCTGGTCACCGCTCTCAGCTATGCCGGCAGCACTACCTTCAACCCCATGACCGACTCTATTCCCACTGCCTCTGGCACTCCTTTCAAGTTCGCTCCTCCTAAGGGCCAGGATCTTCCCTCCGCCGGTTTCGAGATCGGCAACCCCGACTTCCTTCCCACCCCCGGCAAGCCTGACCCCAGCGTTGAGGTTAAGGTTGACCCTAAGTCCTCGCGTCTCGCTCTTCTCGAGCCTTTTGCACCTTTCCCCGACTCTGAGCTTACTGGTCTCCGCGTTCTCTACAAGGTCAAGGGCCAGTGCACAACGGACACGATCAGTGCTGCCGGCCCATGGCTCAAGTACAAGGGCCACCTGCCCAACATTGCCGAGAACACCCTCATCGGTGCCGTGAACGCTGCGACCGGCGAGACTAATGTTGCTTACGACACTGACGGCAGCTCGTGCGGTATCCCCGAATTGGCTAAGCGGTGGAAGGACCAGGGTCTGGAGTGGATCGTTGTCGCCGAGCACAACTACGGCGAGGGTAGCGCCAGAGAACACGCAGCCCTTCAACCCAGATACCTGGGTGGCCGCGTGATCCTCTCCAAGTCGTTCGCCCGTATTCACGAGACCAACCTCAAGAAGCAGGGTGTCGTCCCGCTCACGTTTGTCAACGAGAATGACTACGACCTCATTGACGCGTGCGACGAGATCAGCACCGAGGGTCTGTACGACGTGCTCAAGGCCGGTGGTAAGGGCGAGATCAAGCTTAAGCTGAAGAAGAGGAACGGCGAAGAGAAGCTCATCAGCACGAAGCACACGCTGAGCCGAGACCAGTGTGGTTTCATCCTGGCCGGCAGCGCGCTCAACCTGCTGGCCCGCATGGGTAGGGAGAGTCAGGAAGAGATCACGAGACAGGCGGAGCTCTCTGATTAAGTGTGACGAAAAGAAAACCGGGGGTGCGTTGGTGGTGGTCTGATCCAAAAATTCACTGATATCTTAGTTGGAGTCCGCGCAGATGGTGCAAGAACATGTAAATGCTGGGATGGGCTGGATTTCCAGGCGCAATAATTGAAGAAAGTATTTTAAGCATTTGCTCAAGTGCATCGATTTTGATCCAGCTCGGCACGTTCTCGAATTTGAGGCTGCGACTTGAACAGTTATTTGTTGATGCTGCGACGACTGTCTGTAGGTTAACGTGAACACGTACGATGTCGATTTGCTCAGTATTGCGACAGTGAATTTAATGGGAGTTGAAGCGTCTATCTGGACGTGAATGCACGGTATCCATATGAACAACATCATCCAGATAAAAGCTCAAGTACATACCTCGACTTGCAAGCAAACAGACCTCTTACGTGTTCGCCTCGCTTACCAAGTGCATGAGTCGTCGTGCTCGCCGATTACGAAATGCACCCTGTCCATTGGCGGCCCTCACCGGCAAAGAGTGGGTCAGAACGTTCAAGAAGACCGTCATCCGTCATGACCCCTGCATCTTCTCCGCACATGTAGCTTGGCGAGACGACGCCCGCGGAATGTGTCTCGCGATCAGAGCACCGCTGTCCATTGCTTCGAGCATGCGGTACGAACGAATGCAAGTCACGGAATTATGACGGGAGCCACTAAGAGCTTGTTAGTTATTTGAGTTTGGTTTGTCAGAGAGGACGGTGCGCGAGAAGAAGTGAGGGTCCAGCCAACTGCTTACGGAATACGGCGGTAGAGCGGAGCGGGTCGCCGGCCACGCTTTTTTGTCTCGGACACGAAGTCCACATGGACAAACGAGTCGCACAGAACCGCGGGCTACGCAGGGACGAATGCGGGAACCAACCAAGGGAACAGGAGGCGAACCGCTCCAGAAAGCTTTTTGCCGGGATGAAGTGCGGAAGCTAGCTAACAGGATCAAAACGGGCCAGCTTTCCTCAGGGTCCTGGCAACCGCACGCGACCCGGCCGGGAGTCCGTCTCTGCGCGGCGCGTCCGACCAACCAGGCGGGGCTCACGCCCCCTCTTCTGGGATGGGACGGCAACGGCTGGCACGCTGCTGCTGCGTAATGCGGCTCTGCACGCGGTACCCAGTAAAGACGGCTGCTGACGCTAAGCCCGAGATCCCCCTGTCCGAATTTTGTTCGCCGAACTGACGGAGGCTTTGTGATGGCAATGGCAACGGCAATGTGTAGGTGGCTACGACGTGGCCCCTGCCCGGGAGTCAGCTAGGCTTGGGTAAGCTGGTAGGGGCTGGAATCGGCCCTCATCGCATCATCCGGCACGTGTTTTCATAATGGCGACGCGGCGATTGGTGCCCAGATGAAGCCAAAGGACCCACAGCGGTCGATCTGAGGACAGCCCGAGGGTATCGCGACGCGTTCCCGCCCGTCGAGGTGCCCTGAGCTTTCTAATCAGCAAGCTCCTAGATATAAGCTGGCCACCGCCCTCGCTGCCCTCACGCCTACCAATTTTCTGTCCCTTTCCTTCGTTGTCCGGGCCTTTGTTACGCAAGATATACCCGACCATTTCACTGCCCTCTTATCTCTGAGCTCTTTTCTCCCACAACAGCTGCTTATCGCCCGCTGTCACACCACTTCCCGCACTCCCGTACACAATGGCCTCCGCCGCCAGGTCCGTTTTTGCCCGCAACGCGCTCTTGCGCTCCGCTCCGGCGTCTGTCAGGTCGAGCGCTGCCCGCTCTTCTCGCTTTGCCGTCCCGGCTCAGACATTCCGCCACCAATCCCGCCGCGGATACTCTTCCGAGGCCGGCAAGTCGAGCGGCCCCAACCCCGCCGTCTGGGTCGGCGCTCTCGCAGTCCTCGGTGGAGCTGGATACTACGCATACAGCTCGATCCAGGGCGTGCAAGCCGAGTCCAAGGGGCCGTTCACTCCCAAGTTCGAGGACTACCAGAAGGTTTACAACGTCATTGCCAAGGCTCTGGAGGAGAACGACAACTACGATGATGGAAGCTATGGTCCCGTCTTGTTGAGATTGGCGTGGCACGCCAGTGGAACGTGAGTTAACCATACTCCCACATCAACACCTCTTACTTGCCAGCCATTGAACGGTCGTACTGACGCAGCACTCCTGCAGTTACGACAAGGAAACCGGAACCGGCGGCTCCAACGGAGCGACCATGCGCTTCGACCCCGAAGCCGACCACGGCGCCAACGCCGGCCTGAAGGCGGCGCGCGACTTCCTCGAGCCGATCAAGCAGCAGTTCCCGTGGATCTCGTACTCGGACCTGTGGACGCTGGCGGGCGTGTGCGCGATCCAGGAGATGCAGGGACCGAAGGTTGCATGGCGGCCGGGTCGCAACGACCGCGACGTGTCGTTCTGCACGCCCGACGGCCGGCTGCCGGACGCGTCCAAGGAGCAGAACCACCTGCGCGCCATCTTCGGCCGCATGGGCTTCAACGACCAGGAGATCGTCGCGCTGTCGGGCGCGCACGCGCTGGGCCGCTGCCACACGGATCGCTCCGGCTTCGATGGCCCGTGGACCTTCTCGCCGACGACGCTGACCAACGACTACTTCCGCTTGCTGCTCGACGAGAAGTGGCAGTGGCGGAAGTGGAGCGGGCCGAAGCAGTTCGAGGACGCGAAGACGAAGAGCCTGATGATGCTGCCGACTGATTATGCGCTCATCAAGGACAAGAAGTTCAAGCCGTTTGTCGAGAAGTATGCAAAGGACCAGGATGCGTTCTTCAAGGACTTCTCCGACGTTGTCATGAGGCTGTTCGAGCTCGGCGTGCCGTTCACGACGAGCGAGGATAGCAGGTTTACTTTCAAGAGCAGCTTCGACTAGACGGTTTGGTCTCGTTTGGTGAGTGTGAAAATATGATATAGACTTCTGCGACTCTTTTCATTGTACAGATAGAAGATGAGAACAAGACAAGAAGATGAAGAAGGTCGCGGCGTCTAGAAATTGCTGTTGGCTTAGATCAGTTAGATATCAGGATACAAATGATTGCTGCTTCGCGCTTTAACGCGCTTTACCTATGAATGGTGTTCCAATGGTTGACTGCGATTGTGAAGGTGGTGTCCTTGTTGACCAGATGTATACCGTCAGGTGCGGGGTGAATGTGCGGGGCTGCGAAATTGGCAGCCGCAGGCGTCAGACCCTGACCCGAAAAATGCAGTTGCAGGCATGTAAGATGGCAACACTTGCATTCGCCAAAGCTTATCGAGCGCTGGAACAGTGGGATCGGTGATGCAGTAGGTCTGGCAGTACGCTTTGAATGAAGATCAACCTTCAGGCAAGTCTTCACCTCACCAAACTATGAAGGCTGTTCGCCCCGTGGTGAGAGCAAACACAATTTCCACAGGAGCTACCCGATCCCTAAGCCTGTGCACGGACACTCCTGAGAAGCTGAGCCGCATGTTGTAGGTACAAATGTGTTCATAGCAGGCGACGTGAGCAAGAGTAAGGATGGATGGATGGATTAGCTAGGAATGTTTGCAAGCAGGGTGCTCCTTTGTGTTGGGTGGTGGCCGCCTCCTATAACAATAAGAATTACGGAGAAGCGTATATTTAACCGTGATCGTCCAAATGCGAAATGGGAAATCTAAATATACGAACATGCCAAGATTTACATCATCGCACCACACAACTGATTGTGCAAACAAGACGTGTTTTTGGGCCCCAAACGAACGGCGACTACAGATCAAGGCACGCATGAGGCCATGAAGTGCAGAGAGTGAACGATTGGGCGAGCAGCAAGTGAAGATCCTCCGCTGCTGCGCTGATCAAACAACGAGCCGGCCCCGCCAAGCCCTATGAGGCAGCGCTAGTCCTGATTGGCCCAACTGGCGCGCGAGCCCTGCAGCCGCCCGTCGCGTCCGCTGTTCCATTAAAGCCCCCAGAAACACCAGACCTTGGTACCTTTCCTGGTCCTCACCACACTCCTTTGGTTCGCCGATCGCCGACTCACAACCGACCCTATTCTTTGCCAGCTACCTAGCGCCTCACTCTAGTCATTCCCTAAGTTTGTCTGCAAGATACCCGGCACAATGTTCTCAGCCAAGCTTCTCGTCTGCTTCTTCGTCGCCCTCCTGGGCTTCGTCAACTTCGCTGCCGCCGCGACCCCGCCCGCCTGCCTTATCGCCATCATCGGCGAAGAGCCCAACCCCAACGATGTCGCGACCATCTGTAAGAAGGACAGCATCGTCTCTGACATCTCTTCCAACTGCGGCTCTGAGAAGTCCGACGCCATGACCGCCTACGCCTCAGTCTGCAAGGAAGCCGGTGTCACCGTTTGTGAGTTGCCTACGCTCTGTTTCGATGTGCGCAAAGAGCTAACCACCTGCTCGCCATAGCTACGTCTGTCTCCGCCTCGGCTACCAAGACCGGCACCTCCAGCGCTTCTGCTACCGGCTCTGCCTCCGCCACCTCGGGCTCTTCGAGCACCGCCAGCGCCTCCTCCGGCTCCTCTGCGGCCGCCTCGACCTCTGGCGCCACCACCACGCCCGCTCCCAGCAGCGATGCCCCCAACAAGATCCAGAACGTCGGCTTGATGGCCCTCTGCGCCGGTCTCTTCGGTGTCAGTGCTGTCGGTCTCTTGTAAGATCTTGCTCTTTGGTGCTCCCCAAGTTGGCGCTTGCTCTCCCCTTCCGTGTGAGAAGCCTTAGATTACGGAGGGCGAACTCTGCATGGATCCTTGGAAACGCGCTACTTGGCCCCGGAAACGCCTGTGTTCTAGACGGCAGTCCCTTAGACTTTGCATTCACTTCGACTATCTAAATCCCACGGGATGCAGATAGCGTCCGGCTGGGCAGCAGGTTCCGGGAACATCAGTCGAGACAAGAGATTATTTCGTGCATGGGGCGATTTGCACACCATATGGACCAAAGCGATGATTGTCTGCCTGGCAGCCTCTACTCATAGCCCGCGTTTATACCCCCCAAATATGCATATGCTCAATCATATACCTAATATGGCAAACGTGCGTTCGTGCTGCTGGTCCGCCTCTCGCGGGCCAGAACTGGTTTCTGCCTATAGCTTGTCAACACTGTCGAGTCGTCGCTGATACCGCGACTGACCCTCGGCGTTGGTCCCATGTGATCCCTCCGCAGAATGAGTGCTGCTCGACTCATGGCGGAAGCATTTCCATCCTCGGAATATTCTGTGAGGTAGCCTGTAAGCGAGGCGGCAGTCCTGCAACATGATGTTCTGGCGCTGTGGGAGCTGTTGGCTGCGAGGATGTGGGGGTATGACCTCGACAAGTTATGCTCTGCTCGGCTCGTCTCCTCCCACGAGCACGATTGGCTTGTAATCTTCGTTCTTCAACGCCCACAACTCTCAAGATCGAAGCCCTTTCATCGGGCCTCCAAAGTCTTCCATGCTTCTTTCCTCGCCCCGCCCTTCCTTCTTCTGCACCATCTTCACCCCGATCCGCTTCGGACCCTTGGCCACTGCCCCTGCGTTGCTGCTACTGGTCGCGCGTCTAGCAGAACCTTCCGCCACACTAGCAGTAACGGTGGCGGCCGCGGCATCGACATCAGCACTGCTCAGCTCGCTCACGTCCTGGCCCTCGCCCACAAGCTTTTCGACGATCTTGGCCTTTGCCTGGGCGCGCTTGAATCGGTCATCGAAGTCGGCCACGCCGTCCTCGTCGTTCTGCGTCGACAGGCTCGCCGGCTCGGACAACGCGTGCAGGGTGGTTATGTGCTTGGCCAAGCGGGGGTTGCTGCCGGACGACAGCAGAGGTAAAGCATTACTTGCAGCAGGAGCGGCCTTTTCCGGGTCCTGATCCTGAGACTCTTGCGGCTCGGGGTGGCGAGTGGTGGAAGATGATGATGGCGGCAACCTGGCGGCCCAGACGGCGGCCTTGCCGTGCAGAGCGCCCATCGCGACGAACTTTTCGAACCCTTTTTCGAGACCGAAGACGCGACCCTCGATGCGGCCGGCGCGCGAGCCGTCGGCGACACCGAGAGCGTGGCCTTCGGCGTAGTATTGGTCCTCGAGGGAGAGGACCGTGTCGAAGGGATCGATGTCGATGTCGGTGGTGGGGTCCATTTTGGGCTTTCCTCAAGTCCTTTGGTTCTTGACACGGTCTTTCTGTCCTCCACGTCTGCAGGATGAGCTGTGTTTTGAGGCTTGCAGGTGCGTTTTTCCTTGGTTCAACGGCGGGCGGACGTGAGCGGCAGGGCATCCGTCAAACGGCGAAATGTTCCCATGTGCCCCACGTTGGCCGCAGGGCTGGCCCTTGTCGGGGAAAAATTCTAGACGAGCGGCGCGCAGGCTGCGTAATATTAATCAGCTTAGTGCACACAGCAATTCTGAAGCTTAACCCCCACACTCGCTTTTGTAGTGAGATTGCTTGTGTTCTTGCAATTCGACACTGTGCTTCAACAGCAACCTGTCAACTTACCTTCGACATTACTACCAATTGATGCTCAATACCGCAGTGCTCAACTTGGAACAGGCTGATGATGGTTCTGATCGCCGTATTGTGATTTGTGGCGCATCGCGAAGGTCGGTGTGTCAAAGTGCCGATGCGGCTCGACAGTTGTGCTGTCAGCCGGGTTCCGCAAATACGTCCCGACAAGCCCGTTTCGGAAAGCCCATGCAGAAAGGACGCTGATCTACTTGCCCGTCTGAGAGCAAACGTCCTCTATCCCGGTCGTACCGCTTCTTGTTTCAACGATGGTGTTGACGGCCGGTTTGACCAGGGGCGCTGCTCACACGGGGCTCACTGACGCAGCGCAGATACTCCACCAGGCCAAGGGGGGCCTACACGAAGATCGGCTTCGTCATGCACTCAAAACCGGGCCCGTCAGCAGGCTTGCTGCAAGAAAAGCAGGTGTATGCAGGTGTTGCTCTGGATGCGGGGGGCGGCGCTCAGCTCGAGCTGCAACCGTGTACCAAGGCTCTCACTAACTCAGAGCAAACACGACGCGTGGGCGGCGAGAACCAGCCGCCAAGGCCCGTCAGCGCGCAAGAAGGCCGCAGCGCCAGCGGCAAAATGTGTGGACCTGCACCTCCTGGGAGTAGTGCTGGCGGCCGAGGGCGTGTCACGTTGGAGTGCCTTTTCCAAGTACCGCACCCCCTCTGTTCCCAGTTTCCAGCCCGCCGCATGCCCCGTCCGGAACCTGCGCTTCCTCATGACAAACCTCATCTCGTCCTTCATTATCGAGCCCGTCGTCCGTCACGCTCGCAGGTTCTCCGAAGCCACGGCCTCGCAATGGCCAGCCCGCCATGGCGAATCAACGACGATCCCTGACGAGTCCCGCCGCCCATCACGTGCGAGCGGGAGCTACGCATCAACGCGCAAACGAGCACCGCGCCGCGAAACGACGAGCATCTCGGCTGGCGACCAGGACGGCCAGCCTCGACCCGTAGCAGGCGCCGCCGACAGCGCTGCCTCTGCCTCTGCGACCGCGCTCCAGGAGCCCTCCGACTTCGCCACTGTCGACACCCCCGAGCGCGCCCACGAGTCGCCCGAAGATCCTCCTAGGTCCACCGCTGCCGCTGGTCATGCTCGGCTCACGCAATTGCCAGCGAGCACGCCCGCTCCCTCTTCTAGCACTGCAAGCCTGCCCCTCGAGGACGAGCGCTCAAGCAACCCCGCCCACGGCATCCCCGCGCCCTTTCGCCCAGTAGCTGCGGAAACCCCCGACCCCGGCCGCCCTCCGCGGGGTAGTAGCGCAACCACTATAATTCAGCCCGGCCGAGACCCTGCCCGCGCAATGAGCTACCCTCCGGCGGGCGTGAACTCTGCAGAGGTCAAGATGTCCGACTCTCTGCCTGCCGACGATGGCATGCACCCCCTGCGCCTGCGCATACACGAGATCCGCAAACTGGGCGTCTCGAGCGACGAAAAGGCCAGGCGCATGCACTCCTTGATGACTGAGGGATACCATGCCTGCCATGGCCATGTCCCGCGCCCGCCGTCGCCGTCAAGCATCATGTCGCACGAGCGCCCATTCACTCCAAGCTCGACGCGCTCTGAGATGCACATTTCGTCTCCAAACTCCGTATACTCCTTGTACGACGGCGACAATCCTTACAACCTCGCGCCCGAGGACCTGCTGCCTACATTCTATCCCGAAGAGGAACATGGCGCGCACGGTCATGCTGGCATGGATGAGGATGAGGAGGACGATGGGCCCACCTATGGCTGCAAGCATTACAAGAGGAACGTCAAGATCCAATGCTTCGACTGCAACCACTGGCACACTTGCCGCCATTGTCATGATGAACGAGAAAACCACCATCTCAACCGGAAAAAGACAAGAAGCATGCTATGCATGCTTTGCGCAACTCCGCAACCGGCGGCAGAGTTTTGCAGGTCATGTCAGGTGCGGACCGCCTGGTATTACTGTGACATTTGCAAGCTCTGGGACAACGACAGCGCCAAGAGCATCTATCACTGCCCTGACTGTGGCATATGCAGGCGCGGAGAAGGACTTGGGAAGGACTTCATCCATTGCAAGGTATGCTCAAGACTTTGAACTCCGTAGGCGCGGCGCTAACCAGGGCCAGAAATGCAACGTCTGCATCAGTATCAAGTTCGCCGAAGACCACCGGTGCATTGAACGGGCCACAGATGCCGACTGTCCCATATGCAAAGACTACATGTTCACATCCTCTACCGACGTCGTCTCGATGAAATGTGGCCACTACATGCATCGCAACTGCTACGACGCTTACATGCAGACTGACTACAAGTGTCCGATGTGCAAGAAGAGTGCCGTTAACATGGAGCTGCAATGGCGGAAGGTCCGCGATGCCATCGAAAGTCAACCGATGCCCGTGCAGTTTGCCGACACCAAAGTCGTCATTAATTGCAACGATTGCTCCGTGAAGTCTACATCGCAGTATCACTGGCTTGGTAACCAATGCGCTCATTGCGAGTCGTTCAACACCAATGAGCTACGCCTCCTTTCCGGCAACGAGACCGAGCAAGACGCTGACCCTTCAACCGTACCATCTTCTCCTCGTTCGTGTCTTGCACCAGGTGCACACATCGAGCGCAGGACGTCCGGATCTTACTTCCTGCTTGCAGAACGTGAAGAGCGCGAGGCACGCGAACGGGAGGCGGCCATGCGGCCTTCGTCGGCGGATGGGTCGCACTTCTCGCCTTTCGAGATGCTGCAACGCGTGAGGTCCTTGTCGCCCGTCCGCCGGTTGTTGGGTGGGTCGGATGATGAGATGGACGATGCAGATGATGACGACGAAGAAGAGGAAGACAGTGACGACAGCATGGATGAAGATGAAGACGATGACGAAGAAGAGCTCGAAGACGCTGAAGCAGGTGATATTCTCGATGGAATTGACCTCATTGGACATCGTTAGGCATATTTTGGCAATCGGCATCTGTCGGCGAAGGAGGGGAAGGGGTTCATCAGCACGTCCCTTTCATGTTCATTACGATACTCGAACGGCTTGATGGATGGGGACTATGATTTCAGGCGCTTTGCATTTACGATGTACTGATATGGCGTACTTGATGGGGCATTGGACCGGGTTTGGGGGAGTTGGGTAAATTGCAGCTTGCATTGAGGGTCTTGAGGACTGTACGCTTCGGGTTCGAGATGCGCGGAGTTTGAGGGCTTCTTTTCAGCTTGTGGGCGTAGGACGTCCTCTCGCAGGGTAGTCCGGGATGGGCGCATAAACATGTACTTTATTCCAATTAGCCGCATTCTTGTTTGACTAGTGCAAAGATGCTTTTGTGAACTGAGGGCGTGCCGTTGTTCTAGCTGCTGAGGCGCCGGTGAACCGTGACGGGAAGTATAGGAGCGCATGACCGTCTTCCGTGCTCATTCAGGCGCCCCTATCGTACGTGACTGATCGTAATCAAAAGTGGTATATAAAGCGAGAGGTGCAGACCGTGCCTGGTACTGTAATGCGCTGGCAGAGCAAGAGTTGCAAGGGTATTTCAAACGAAGTTTAGCCGCGGCTCGCTTACGAGACGCCCACACCACCTCAATTCTGCGCATACCCCCGAGAGCGAACTTTTCGACCTCCGCGACGACCAACCTCGACAACCCTCCCAACAGCACCCCTCCTCCTCCCCGCAGTAAGCTCGCCCTTTCTCGGCTGCGTTCATTGAGTTCGCAAACACAGGAAATCTGCGCCATCGCCCTTTCTACTCCGGCCGCTAACGAGTACCTGCTTCACCGCTAGAAAATGTCCACCAAGACCAAGACCGCTGGCAAGCAGCGCAGCGCCATCGCCGACGTCGTCGCGCGCGAGTACACCATCCACCTCCACAAGCGTGTACGTTCTTGAACAAAAATCAGTTTGGTGAAGTCCAAATCATGGTCACACCGACATTTGTGGCATTGGGCGGAAGACTGATTCGGATATTGTTGCGCTATGAATAGGTCCACGGTGTCTCCTTCAAGAAGAGGGCTCCCCGCGCCATCAAGGAGATCCGCGCTTTCGCTCAGAAGGCTATGGTACGTCATTCAATGGTTGCTTGGAGATGGTGAGAGGGGCTTGGCAAGCTGACTGGGTTTTGCGCACAGGGCACCTCCGACGTCCGCCTCGACCCCCAGCTGAACAAGAAGGTTTGGGAGGCCGGCATCAAGGGCGTCCCGTTCCGTCTCCGCGTCCGCATCAGCCGCAAGCGTAACGACGAGGAGGGCGCCAAGGAGAAGCTGTACTCGTACGTCCAGGCCGTCAACGTCAAGAACCCCAAGGGTCTCAACACCACCGTCGTCGAGGACGCTTAGATGGAATATTCTAAGAAAATGGTGGAATGATTGGCGCGGGTTTTCGGTGTCGGGATAAAAAAGGAATCTCTTATACCAAAATGGAACGGCCATCGAAACGTTTCCTGGGTCGATACGGAGGGGGGCGTCAAACGGTCTGGCTAGAGGACTGGGCAGGGATTTTTGCTTGGACCTCTTTTTTTCGCTAGCATGAAGGTGAATGAAGAGACCGTCTGAAGGTCGTGTTTGGCGCTCCCGCTTCTTTAAATCCTGGTATGCTATTGTGACACTGCGTCGAATGAAACTGGAGTCAGTTGGACATGAAAAGCTGCCTCGGCCTGTCCTCGCTTTGAGAACAAATGCAGGACGTATAGAATGGTTTTGCACGTCTTAACAGGCTTCGTCTGAAAGCTTGTTCTACCCAGCTTTGGAAAGATTTCAGTAGATTAAACGTCCAATCAAAAAACTATGTTGGAATACTACCAGGGTCGACGCCAATTCGCAATGCATCTATTTCATATCATTTTCTCGTGTCTCGTTTTTTTCAGTCGAATGATGCAAATCTAGTAGACCCCCGCACATCTGCGATTGATCCGATGCCTTGGGGTATGTCAAGTGTATAGCCAGCATATCACCATATCCACAACGCCAAAGCCTTAAAAAGCACAAAGGCAGCTTCCCTTTTTCTTTCTTCCTTCCTTCCCGCCTTTCACAAATCCATCTCGTCGTCATCGTAGTAACCCCCGCCGGAGCCTCCACCTCCACTGCCGCCGACGCCATTCTCGGCCTCCTCCCTCTCGCGCTCCCTCCGGGCCTGCTCCCTGCTCGCGCCGATCTTGCGCAGGCCGTCGACGACGCCGCCGATGAAGCCGCGGCCCTCGGCCACCTCCATGCCGCCGACGCCGTTCATCTTGATGCCGCCGCCGCCGTCCAGCTCGTCGACGCCGGCGCGCAGCTTGGCCAGGCGCACCTCGCGCAGGTCGCGCATCAGGCGGCGCACCGTGTCGCCGTTGCCGTTGCCGTCGCCGCCGAAGTCGTCGGGCGCGGCGTCGAGCAGGATCTCGCCCAGCTCGAGCCAGTGGTAGGGCAGCGCGGTCGCGGGCGAGGTCGAGGTGGCGCTGGGCAGGAAGGGCGGGGATGTGGTGGTCGTCGCGGCGGGGAGCGGCGGTGGTGGAGAGAAGGTTTCGGGGGCGTGCTCGGTTTCGAACTCGAGGATTGCGGTTAGGGCGGCGGGCTGGAGCCAGGGCGGGGGCAGGATGTTGGCGCGGCGTTGGCGTTTGAGGAGGAGGGCGAGCCAGAGGGGAATGTCCGCGCGGTGGGGTGGGTTGAGGGCGGGTGTAGGACCCTGTCGCAAAGCAATTGGTCAGCGATGATTATGTTTTAGTTTTTCTCTTTCTTCTCTCTCTTCCTCGAGGCAAATTCCGTGGGTGAAGGACGTACTACAGGTTGGAAATCTATGTGAAATATAAAGCTGCATTTTTTTGGCGGGGTTAGCTACTCACTCCTAGCAGGTCGAGACTCTCGAGGCGTTGGCGTGGTATCACGGTCACGAGCTCCATTTCGCATAGAAAGGTGACTTCGGCGGGCGTCAGGCCCGGTGGCAGAGGAAGCGCCATGGTGTGTAAATGTTGTAAAAGTAAAGAAAGGTAGAACAGTAGCGCGGGGCGCGTCCGTTGCGCGCAGACGTCAATGGCGACGCGACTGAAAAAGCCGGACCGAGATTCAGCCGGGCGAACGGGTTTCGTGGACCCGTCTGCTGAGGTCGTCGGCGTCCACCCTTCCACCCCCTTGGGCCATCTTTGCGCACGTGGCTTGGCGGTAGTCTCAATTGACTAGCAACCATGGACCCGTCCGCCAGCTTCAAGGTCCTGGCCCTGGGCTTCACCTTGCTTCTCATTCCGTCTTGGGAATGGCTCTCGAAAACTTCCGACGTCGTCCTGGAGCCATATCTTGTGAGTCTTTGTGAATTAGTGAAGTATGCGAATACTAACAGAGACTTTAGGACGAGGTCTTCCATGTTGGCCAAGCGCAGGTCTACTGCGCCGGGGATTTCACCAACTGGGATCCTAAGATTACCACTCCTCCTGGACTGTATGCAAAGAACACTGACTGGGATACTGACCTGCTGCTAATACATATGCTAGCTACCTTCTCTCATATCTCGTATTCCGAATCACCGGCCGCTGCGACATCTACGTCCTTCGTGCCCTCAATTGCTCGCTCGCCCTCTTCATCGCTCAAGTCTCATTTTCCATTCTCGCTAGACTATATGGTCTTCTTAAGCAGAAGAGCACAGCCGAGATCACTGCCCCATCCGATCGAAGGAAGACTGCCCTTTTCACCAATGCGGTGCACACTGCACTTAACATTTGTCTCTTTCCGCCGCTGTTTTTCTTCTTCGGACTCTACTACACCGATGTTCCGTCAACCTTCTTCGTCCTGCTAAGCTACTTCTTTGCGCTCCGAACTCAGCAAGAACGCGGCAAATTCATGAAGTTCCCATCAGTAGTCAACACCGTTGTGCTCGGTGTTGCAGCGCTGTTTTTCAGGCAAACCAATATCTTCTGGGTTGCCGTTTTCCCTGCTGGCCTTGCTGTCGTCCAGGCGCTCAAGAAGTCTGCGCGTCCTCCTCCTGAAGACGCGAGGGAAGATACGGTTTCAGACGTGCTTAGGAACAGCTTGATGTACATGTCTGTGTACGACAAGCCGGTGCGCTATGCATCCATTGAAGGTAACGAGCTCTTACGGTACTGGCGCAGTTGGCAAAGTGCTAACTCATCAACTTCAGATTATCTCAAGATGGTCATCTCCCTTGCCGTGGCCGCGTTGCGAAACCCAGTCACAGTGATATACTCCGTTGCTCCTTACGCAGTCCTCATCTTCTTGTTCGGCGGCTTCGTAGCCTGGAATGGGGGCGTCGTCCTGGGTATGTTCTCAATGGCCCCAACTTCCGCTCAGAACCCTTCGTTAATCTTCTATACCCGCTACAGGCGATAAATCAAACCACATCGCAACCCTCCACACGCCGCAAATGCTCTACATCTGGCCCTATATCCTCTTCTTCTCCTTTCCCATCCTTCTCCCCTCCATCCTCTCCACACTCCTCTCCCTCCTCCCAACCTCCTTGGTCCCGGCCCCGCTCAGCGCATTCGTCAAGCCCGGCCAGAAGCAGCTTCTGCCCCGCCTGTGGGTCCTGGCTGCCTGGACACTCGTTGCCTCGGCGTCAGTCTACTTCAACACCATCATCCATCCCTTCACCCTCGCCGACAACCGCCACTACGTCTTTTACGTCTTCCGCATCCTGCGTCTACACCCGGCCATCAAGTATGTCGCCGTACCGGTGTATGTGCTAGGCGCGTGGGCTTGTCTGCAGGCGCTGGGATCGGGATCGCGGCTGGCGGTTGCGGAACGGATCAAAGCCGTTCCTGCCGCGGTGGAAGAGGAGAAAAAGGACGCGGGTAAAAATGAAGAGAAGGAAGGAAAGAAGGAAGAGAAGCTCGAGCTTCCGGAGGGCGTGAAGAGCGAGGACTTGGTCGAGGAGGGGTGTCAGGCCAGCTTTGTGCTGGTGTGGTTGGCGACGACAACCTTGAACTTGATCACGGCGCCGTTGGTTGAGCCGAGATATGTCATCGTGCCGTGGATCATGTGGAGGTTGCATTTCCCGATCAACTCGGCGGGCAAAGATGTGGTGCTGGGACCTGCGGCAAAGAAGGAACATGACAACCAGAAGGAAGACGTGAAGGAGCAAGGCGAGGTGCATAATCAGGCTTTGTGGGTGGAGACAGCGTGGTTTTTGGTCGTGAATGCGGTCACGGGGTATATTTTCTTGCATTGGGGGTTCACGTGGGCTCAGGAGCCAGGAAGGGTGCAGAGGTTTATGTGGTAGAGGTGTTTGCCCTAGGGCTCTTAAACTGACATTGAAAATATAATCCAGCCAGAGCATTCAGTCGCAAGACGCCATACCCACAGTAGGTAGAGGTCTCCTCTTCCCCCTTTGATATCGATCATGAAAGCTTGTTCACGGAAAGCCACTTCATTTCCTGCTTCAGCGGCGCAATCACATTCTCCAGCAGTCCCATCCTCGTTTCCTGATCATCCAGTCCAGCTCCACGCCCCGCCGGTATCCAGTCCAGATCCAAGCATGCTTCAATAGCTTCGCGCGAAGGCGATTGGTCCATCTTCTTGACCACCCGATCCGCCACCATCCACGCCGTCGTCGCTGCTGCTACTGCAGGGTCCTTGCGCTCCCGCGGGGTTCGCCACTTCTCGATCGGCTTCTCGTTGAAAATCTCGATCAGCAGGATGCCGAGGGCTAGAATACTCGGGTTGCGGTGGAGGCTGGCATTCCGAAACGGGTCTTTGCGGGTAATCGAGGCGTTATCGAAGCGCGCGGAGAGGAAAGGGTGGGCGACATCCGGTTCGTCCTCGGTCTGGAAGAAGAAGCAAATGTCGTCTTTGGCCCAGCCTCCACCATTCGCCGACATCCAGGCGCTGTCGTGATAGAGGAGGAGCGACTCGGCGAAGATGAGCGCGAGCGTGCGCTTCTCCCGCGGGTCGAGCTTTGTCGAGCCGTCGAGTAGTTCGCTGAGGGTGATGGGCGGGAAGGATTCTTGAAATCGGAGCTTCCGTAGATCGGCGCCGCGTCGCTTGATGCGCTGCTGGGTGCTGGTGTCTTCGAATACGAGAGCGAGGCTGTAATTGCCGAGGTCAGAATCGCAGGCCTCGCACAATGTTGAGAGAGGTTTGAGCTGGTTAGCATTGCTCGAACTGTGCGAAGTTATTATTCCTCGAATCTTGGGTCTTGCGTTCGATGAGCATACCACTGGGAAGTAATGAAGACGTTGGCCTCTTGCCATCTGATGTCTCGTGTGGAACCGGTATCGAAATTCCCAGATAGAAGAAGGTCGATCTTCAAACACGGATACAGGTCGGCGCTCTCATATGAGTCTTTAAGGCAGAGCTTAATCTCATGTTGTTCCGAACAAGAGCAATTGGAGTGTTCTCGCAAGGCCGGGTGAAGATTCGCAATGAGGTCACGCAGTTCTTTAGATAACGGAGGTTTTCTCGGTTTGACTGGGTCAAATTTAGGCTTCGTGTTGTTCCTGGTGGTTTGCGCATATTCAGATGGTGATTTTTCGGCTTGTTTTGTGAGCTTCTCGAGGTTTTTGACCCAAGTCGCGAGCTTCTTTATGCATTGTTCGCGTTTTTCGCGGTGACGGAAGAAGGCGAATCTCTCGAGAAAAGAGCTGCTGGTTGAGCCCAGCTCTCTTGCAATGGCAAGCTCCTTAAGCTTCCCGAACATTGCTTGATCGCTCTATCGTGAAATTTGTCAGCCACTTGAGTAGATTTAATAATAAAGTGCTCTGAGGAAAAAGAAGAGTGATAGTTAACCGCCCAATTACTTTAGATATGTCACAGCAGAGGGTTTCGCACTAGTCGGTGCGGCAGTGCCTGCGCTTTATCAAGGGAAAGACACGACTTGAGGATGTTACGAGGTTGTTAGTGCGCCTTACCCGATCTTGAGTGGTAACCCGATTTGTCTTGTCTTTGACAAGTTGCTGCAGGAGCGTCATGATCTTCTTGCTAATTATGGTGAAAGCGTTGAATCTGTCGTTGGATCCGAAATACTGCCTTAAGGCTTCTGTCATATCTGTGTCGTACTGCCAGTTCGAAAGCAGCTTTAATTGTTGCTTCTTGTCTCCCGTCTGGAAAAGCCCAGGTCCAAGCGCATCGCGAAGTCTCTGTAATGCTTCATCCAAGTAAAGCAGTTGCATGTAAAAGTCGAGGTAGAACTCCTCTAAGCGCTCGTCCCATCTGCTCTTCACCACGACGTCAGCTATGGCCTCGATTCCATCCGAATAGACCTTGGCAGCCTCGATAAACAAAGGGACTACCGCAAGTGCGAGGCCGACAACCTCCACTCCAGATGCCATCTCGCAGAGTAGCAGAGAACACAATAGAGCTGCGCTCGTCCTTGTGGAGAATCATGAACAAAGACTCCCTGACTGTGAACGTTGGAAGGCTAGAGAAGAGGAAGCGTTGCTGATTCTACAGTGCACGGCCCCAGACTCCGGCGCTTGAAGCGGGGTTATTCAATTTTGTTTGCTTCCAGGGGCGGAGCTGGAACTTTGTGTAACCAGCGTGATACTCGAAGCAAACTTGAGGCTTAGTGAAACCGTGCAGTCGCTTCCCCGCTCCTGTGTCTCTAACAGTTTCCAGAATTCTTCCTCAAACAACGGAACCCACCACCTGATCGAACGAGATTGTATCATATTTCCGAGTATAAAGCAGTATTAGCAACAGACTTTCTATCAGGGCCTCCGTTTATGCTAACCGACCCCCCCCCCCCCCCCCCCCCGGCTCAACTCTACCTCGTCGCCACTGGCAAAGAGCAATTCCACGAACAGTCGCCCGACAGAACGTACATGTGTTTCATTACCGAAGGAGGAAACACCAGCAACTGATTTTTCAACCGGATAGATGGGCTCCACAAGTAGCGGAGACCGTCCGGAGCCGGAAGAGGTCCTGGTTCTCCCTGATATCAGCACTTCCGCTCGCCGGTGCGCTGAAGCGTTGATACGCCACAGCAATACTCTTGAACCTCACAGTAGTCTGCCTGAGAGAGAAAGATCCGAACACTCGAAGAGCACGACCCTAAAAGGTCTGCAGGATGAGCTGGGGCGTTTCAAAATCTGGGCAGGGAACCTCGGTGTCTTTGCCGCTGGACATGCTTCTGCAGATCATCGTCTTCGTTATGAGCCTGACATTAAGGACGTTATCATAAGGCTTCTGAAACGCCTTGAAAATCATTTGGTGACAATTCAGTCAGCCGAAGAGTCACATCCAGTTGGGGACAGGCAGTGCAAAGAAGATTCAGCCTCTACATATTCGTCAGACTCATCCCTGGGAATCAGCGATGCAAGTTCTCAGGAAGCAAATCAGGACTTGAACGATGAGGCAGCATCCGAGGACCCAGTTCTGGAGAGCATCAGTGACACGATAACTCATCTTTACCGAATCACCGCGATTATCAAGAAGCCACGCTCCACCAAAGAAGAAGACAGGGTCAGGGTTTGGCTTGCAAGGGAAGCGCCGCGGCTGGATGAGCAATTCCGGGATCTGGAGTCCTACGTCAGGTGGTCTATCAACAGGACACTGCCGAGGTTGAAACATTCCCCAACTCTCGTGGACCGCCTGGTACAGAGTGTCTTGTTCCGGCGCCAGAGGTTTCTCTACCGAGCCAGCCACCGCATGAAATTACAGCGAGGATTGGATGAGCTTTTTATCCAATCCCAACCAATTGCCCCAGCTCAGCAGACCACCGATACCGACACTGACCCGAACAAGGAAATAGCCCTTCCACAGCCTCAAGAGCCCAGGGGTAAACACAAAGCGGTCACTTTCGTTGACACTGTGGCCTCGTCAGTCCAACGGAAAGGATTTTCCACGTATGCCAAATCCACCGTCCTTTCAGCCATCAGCCCCTCAGTCAGAGAGGGACTTGACCAGATGGACTTCCCACCACCCCCAAAGTCAGACACAGGCTTGATTGAAACAATCTGTCCATATTGCAGTCTACCCTTGAGCCAACAGGTGGTGGGAAGACAGAGCACACGTCAATGGAAGTAAGTGATACTGGCGCATTTTCAAATGTTCCATACTCATTTATGCTTACTTTAGACGCCATGTTCTACTGGATCTTGAGCCTTATATCTGTCTTTTCGAAGATTGTTCCTCAAAAGTGTACAAGACTAAGGAAGAGTGGGTAAATCACATGGCTTATCAACACACCAAGGTATGGTCATGCCAGGCTGAAGGTCATGAGGACCAGTTTTTCCAGAGCGCAGATGCACTTATTTCTCATCTCCAAGGGGATCATACTTCCGAAATCATTCCTGAGCAGATATCTTTCATGGTCGATAAATGCACAAAGCCGGCGCCGGATGTGTTTGCTGCTCTTGCTTCAAGAAGTCAGCAGTCAAATATCCTCCTCGCCTGTCCATTCTGCGAAGAAGACGAAACGCGTGTCGAGGTCGTTGGAGACAGCGTTGGGGCTTCTTTCCCAAAGAACTCGTACAAGCGGATTCGAGACCATATATGCGGACATCTCGAAACACTGGCGCTGCTTTCTCTCCCAGAAAGGGAAGACGTCGACAGGACTGGATCAATCACACGGGGGTTGAGCAATAGCAGTGTTAGGATTACCAGCCAGGATCCAGGTCTCGAGGATTTGCCCTTGCCTACTTTTGAGGACCATGGATGTAATGCCGCAATGGAAGATGACCAGCAGCCCGAGACAGAAGAATACTGGCAATTCATCAGAGATGATCCTACGAAGCTGCCGAAGTTGTTCCCTGGTCTGGATGACGATGATACGATCAAGAAACTCAGAAGTGCCTCCAGAGCAAAGCTTTGCCGCTCAGACAATACCGGCTCTCCGGAAGTACTGGAGCTGGCACGGTCTTGGATAAGGAGGTGCAGATGCATAAATCAGCGCAACGTACCACAGTACCCAACGCGTTTGATTGACCTTCAAGAACTGAAAGACGGCGGTGAACACGTCAAGTTGGTCCTGGGACACGATCTCAAACATCCAAACCCAGTGTATCAATATGTCACGCTGACACATTGTTTGGAGACGGTGGACATCACACTTTCAAGGCAGTCCATGGCTCAAGCTCTCAGCGGGGTAAAGATTAAGTTACTACCTCTGATGTTTAGGGAAGCAATGGAGTTTGCTTGTACCTTGGAGAATGTGCGATTTATCTGGATCGATGTCCTTTGCATCATGCAAGACGACCCGAACGATTGGGTTTCGGAATCACAAAAGCTGTGTGATGTGTGGAGCAACTCGTTCCTGAATATTACCGCAGCGGCAGCCACAGACAGCCGAGACGGACTTTTTGTCAATCGAGATCCAATCCCATTTTCAGAAGAATTGCAGGACCCTAGTCTTCAAGGACAATTGTCTCCTGAACAGCTTTTCTGGGAGGCGTCTGTTTATGAAGCTCCAGTGAACATGCGGGGCTGGGCAATGCAAGAGACTCTTATGAACCGGAGAAAGCTCTACTTTTGCAAGAAACAAATAGCCTGGGAGTGTCATGAAGGGCAGAGAATGGAGTGCCATCCGACGGAGTATGCATCCTACGATATCGGACCGCCGCGAACTGCTCTTTTCTCCCGGGAACACAGGCTTGATATCCTTGATCTACTCCAGGAAGGCGCCAACTGGAGAACCGTTTACAGATGTTGGGCGACAGTCGTGAATAATTTCGCCAAGATGCATCACACATATGACGGGGACAAGCTCCTCGCTCTTTCAAGTCTCGCGCGGCGATTTCATTCCCTCGTCCGGTATGACTACGTCGCTGGCATGTGGGCGCGGGATCTCGAGTTTCAACTTCTGTGGCAGGTGAAGAAACGATGGGACTCAAATGGTCAAATGTGGGTCCACCAATGGAGCCGTCGTCCTCGGGAATACCGCGCCCCGTCCTTCTCATGGGCAGCTGTGGACACAGACTGGGGCATTGAGTACGGTGCTCTTAGGGGTGAAGGCGGGGTCTCATTCGAGGCAAATGGATTTGTCAAACGTTCCAGAGGGTTCAATCGCAGGGACCCTTTTGGGATACTTTTAAGTGCTTCCATGGCACTCATTGGCGACTTTCCTCTGAAGAGGGTTCAAGTGCGGCGGAACGAGGCGGTTGAAGACCCCTTCAACACGGATTATGTGGGTGTAAATTGGCAAAATCCCGCCGAACAAATTGGAAACCCCACCCTTGACAGCGCTGAAGGCGATGTGGACATCTTTGGGCCAGACGGGCAGCTTTACTACCTGGCCGCTACGCCCGCTGTGAGAGTTGGTGAAGCGGTACACTATACTTGTCTCTTACTGCAGTCATATCCATCTGTTTTTGGAACCTTCAGGAGAGTTGGGTTGATAACAATAATTGGAAGAGGAGGCAAAGATCATGTCCGTGAGGTTTCGGGTGACGAAGAAAGTATGCCATGTCTTGATTGGAACCCTCGTGCAGGAGAGTTTGGGAAGCACACGATTCGCATTGTCTAAGCAGTGAAGTAGGATGATTATCCAGCACTATTTTAAATTTCAATGTAGCCTGTCTCGTAAAAGTCCGTGAAGTGAATCCGTACGGCACGCCGGCAACGGCACGGACCGCAGCGTTGCCGAGCACCGATGTCTTGCATACCCGCTCTATCCGTTGACCAACAGGAGAACAGGAAAGCAGATCTCGAAAAAGCCCAGCATCTGTTTGAATCCCGTATTACGGTACGATTGATCCACAGCGCTTCCAGTGTTCCCAATAAAACACTGCCACGGGCTGCTCACCTCTTGGCGCGCGATCAACCCTTAGCCACAGCGGGCACTTTGCGCTCTATTTAGCTTCTTGATATTTCTGGCATACTTCCACATTGTAAATTCTGAGCACCACGGACTTCTCACCCATCTCAGCGACCAGTACACCAAAAACAAAATCCGCAATGGCCACCACCATCCACCCCCAGGTCCAACAAGACCAGCCGCAAACCTCGTGCGCCTCTGCCTCATCCAAAGCTCGCCCTGCACACCCTTAACTAATACCGCAGCCGCCGGCCGCACAGCCCCTACGCCAGCCCGCTCATCCACCTCACCTTCGGCAACTCGCCGCAACGCTGGCCCATCCACTCGGCCTTCCTCTCCCGGCACCCGAAGCTCTACTCGCTGCTCCAAACCCAGCAGCCACCACCACCTCCCTCCAGCAGCAACAACAACACGCACGCCAATGATTACGACGCCAACAACACCCTCCACCTGCCCCACGCCGACCCGCTGACCGCCCACACCCTCCTCCACTACCTCACCACCACCCGCTACCAGACGCTCCGCACCACCGACGCCACGACCGCGTACGCCCTCGCCCTGCACGTCTACGCCGCCGCGGGCTGGTACGACCTGCGCGGCCTGCGCGACCTGGCCGCCGGCGAAATCGAGCGGCTGGGTGGCAGCAGCAGTAGTGGCAGCAAAAGCAGCAGCAGTTCCAGCTCGACGGCTGCTGTTAAGGGTCCTGAAGTGCCTCTCGAAGACGCGCTGGTGGAGCTGGGGAAGGCGGTGGAGCGGGCGTGCGGGAGGGACCAGGAGTGGTTGCTGGAAAGGGTCGAGGAGCGGTTGCGGGATGAGTTCAAGAAGGATAAGGGAGTGTTGGCGGAGAAGAAGACGTGGAGGGGGTTCAATCCGTTTGTGAGGACGCTGGTGATGGTTGTGGTCGGGTTGCAGGGGGGTGCGGGTGGGAAGAAGGGGAAGAAGTCGGATGAGGACGGGGAGGCGGAGGATGCTGTCGAGGGGGAGGAAGAGGAGGAGGAGGCGGAGGAGGAAGAAGAGTGAGGGGGACAGATACATTTCATAGGTGCGATATTCTCTTGTGAGGAAAAAAAAGAATTCAGTAGTGTGCACGAATTCATCTCACGAAGCTCACACCAACACGATCTCCTTCCACTCAGAAGATCCCCCAAGCTCGTTTTCGAAGGCAGTCGAGAAGACCTTGCCGAGCGCCACGCGGCTCCACGTGCCGTTCCTCTTCTCGGTCAGGAGGACAAAGTACAAATCCCACTCTGACTGTTTCCGCTCCAGCGGCAGGTAGTACGTCCACGCGCCGCACTCCTCCTCGGTGAACTTCTTCGCCTCTGATAGCGCGAGGAACTCGTACTGCGCACTGTCCCAGTTGAGCCCCTCGTTTTTCTGCCGCGCTTCCTCCGCTTCGACCCAATTCTCCGAAAGCTGAATCGTGCCGCACCAGTCGTTCGACACGTCTGTGATGCTGAACCGGACGAGTCCGTTCTTTCTATCATGCTCTGAGGGATACAGGCGCAGGAAAGCCGAGTGTGTCCAGAACTGCAGGATAGGCGAATCCGGGTACTCCATGTCCTTATCCGGAGTGTATTCCGTCATGTTGACTTTGTAGGGGCTCTCTGGGATAGTCCGCTGGAAATACATTCTCTCACCCATGTGGTGGTGGTGCAGACCAATGACGCGGCCGTATTGGTCGTGCGCCGTGTCGGTTGCAGTGCGGCGTGCCGCAGCTTTCTTTCTCTTCAACCTCTCCATCTCCTTCATCTCCTTCAGCTCCCACATTCTTCTTTCTTCTTCAGCCTTCAACCTCTCTATCTCCTTCAGCTCCCGCATTCTTCTTTCTTCCGCTGCCTTCTTCTCCCGCATTCTTCTTTCCTCTTCAGCCTCCATCTCCCGCTTCCTTCTTTCTTCCTCCACCTTTCTCTCGTACATCTTTCTTTCTTCCTCAACCTTTCTCTCATACATCTTTCTTTCTTCCGCAACCTTCCTTTCCTCGAGGATATCAGTAGGCTGCCATCTACCCTTCCGAGCAATGGGTGCAAGCCTACTAAAGACCTGAAGATCGTCCGACTCGGAGCTGTACCCGCGCCACCGTTTCTCGGTGAATCTCGGCTCTCGAGCCGAGGTGGAATCCCATAACGGACGTAATCGGCCGCGACCATCGCGGATGTGCCATTGGATCCAGGTGTGATGGGTCAGCCATTCGTTGACATCCTCCAGGCAGTCGTCGATCATGCTGTTTGTCAAATAATCCATGGTGCATCCTTGCCAGCCGCACCATGACCAGCTCGGAAAATTCGTCTCTCGCGTGTGTCCGCTGTTTCTGCGTCGGGACGGCTCGTCGTCGAAGCGTTCATCCTCGGACTCGTCTCCCATCCGCCGCTGTGATGATCCAAGAGGAATCCAGAGTAGAGCAAGGTCGAAATGAGATGTTGGAAGACCAAAAGTCAAGGGAGAGCTCAAAGTGTCCTCGATATGGTTCGAAACACCGTTGAAAGCTGCTAAGATGTCGCCCGATTTGGTGAGGTCTCTGGCCGAGTAGAGCTGAACACAGTTCATGTAAAACCAGATGGGTCGCGGGGCTAGGGAGTTCAGCAGTTGAAGTGGGGACTGCAGCAGATCCAAAGACCATCTGGAGGCATTTTCCACGCTTCCAGGAGCCGTGACTATATCCTCGGACATGGCAGAGGATCGACACTGGAACATGACGCGCCCTTCGGTGAATATCAGGCACCGTCTGGACAGAAGCCGTTCTTGAAATGTCCATCCTCGGGTGTTCCATTTGGATTTCTTGATGCTCGCTTCGGCCAAGCGGCAGACCATTAGTCGCAACCCGGGTGCACACTCCACAATGATCTGTGAGTGTGTTGGCTTGCTTAAGGCTTTCAGACCGGCTGTGGCGTCGACTCCATCCGCAGCGCATATCGTCAGGTCAGCGTTGCGATAGATCATGTTCATGATTTCCGCATTGAGCTTCCATGAACGAGCACTGTTCTGAACGATGCATATGGCGTCGATCCACAGGTAGCGGTAACCGAGACGGCGAACGAGCTTGACCGTATCCTGGATGACCTTGGGCATTTTCTTGAACGGCTCTTCCAGCCCACCATGAAGCAGCCGTGTAAGGACATTGTTATGGACCGTCTTCTCCGCATTGTTTCCGCCCCATACATAGCTCAAGGCGACGTAACGGTCGTGTGTTTCTTGTCCCATCTCGCTATGATCCGAAGCATCTGAATATCTGTCGTCGTCGTCGCCATCGCTTTCAAACCGTCTCCCGGGATTCTGTGGAAGAGTGGTCAAGCACATTTGTTCAACATCGATGACGCCAAAGTACGACTGGCCAGTCACCTCTTGAAAGGCTGCTTTCTCTCTTGCGGAATGCCAACAATCCCTTCCATGGTTATCGAGGCAGTCATCCAGCCAGCTTTTGACTAGCGTTTCTCGACTTGCTTCGGACGACACCTTCCGTGCCAGAAAGTGCGAATTTTCCTGCCACATGTGTCTCGCGTCGGAATTGATCAGGTTGTAACGATTCTGTGTGACCAAGACTAGGTACGCATCTTCAAGCATGCCATTTTCCCATTGAAGATGGAGCCTTCGAGTACGAGCCTTGACACGCTCGTGGCTGTTACCCGCACTGCGACCATCAATTTCCCAAGTCACATAACATGTGGCGCGTTGTTGTTCTTCGGTCCAGGCCGTCTCTTCTCCGGTCCCGACAGATCTCGTGACAAGCTCGCAGAACTTGCAATAGTAGCTTCGACTCGAAATTTCCTCAAAGGTTCCAAGAGGATATTTTGTATTCGCCTGCTTCGGCGAAAAAGCGGTTGGAGACTCCTTGGTGAAGTATTGGCCCTTTTCCACGTTATGTGCATTATTGATGAGGAATCTATCCATAGAAAGACCCAAGTTTGAGCATTTTGCACAGACCCACTGCGGATGTCAGTCTCTAAAGCGATGCGACTAGACTTTTGAGAAGCCCTACAGCGGCATTGCTCCTGTCCTGTTTCCTCGGGTTTGCGCCTCCGTTATCCGGTTGGCCATTTGCTTCAAGCCCTGGATATTCTTCCTTCTCCACAGAATTCGTTTCGACCCATTTTAGCTTTTCGCTCGATGACATCGTAGAGTGCTTGCGGAGAAATTCAAGTCTTGGTTGTGAGGCGCAGACGAAGCAGAAAAATAATCAGGCCAGGTTTCAACTTCCTGCAAATTCGGCCCCCGCACCAAGCAAGACAGCCACATGCATATATCAAGCCACCAGATTGGCTAGTTGACCGCCACTGACATAGCTACCTGCTTATACAAACTGTGAGCTTACGTACCCACGGATGAGTAACCATTTCGTGGTATAAGTAGGTACTGGATTCCTCCGCCATATCAAATATCATACGCTTAATCATAGACCTTGGTCCACTCATTTAGTAGCGCAACGACCACGCCATCATTTTGTCTGAATTCCAGCGTACTGCTTTGTGATCGGGGTATCGCAGGAAGACTCTCTCCATCCCTACTTTCGACAACTGACATGTTGCTGGGAAGATTGCCGCGAGGGCCGCAATCTTGGACGCTCTGACGGGAAACAAAGGTTCGTTTTTTCGTGACTTGGTGACATCATCTTCAATTTCCTTGGACACGCCAGCGTACTTGCACACCGTCATCCGAGCGGTAGCGACGGCGCTTTCTTTGCGCAACGCGACCATCTCTGGTTCATCGAAGGTGAGGCCGGACTCCTAGATTACGGCATGTGAGCACCTGTGCACGGACCACCTATGCCTATATATACCCTGCCATCCTTCGACCGAGCCACCCTTTCTTGCTCTTCAGCTCTCTTTGCCTTTTGGCTTAGATTAAGCCAGAAACTTTTGGGTGACGACTACTCTTCACAAAAAGGTCGGGGCAGGACGGGAGGGGCTGGATGCCTGGGTGACGACTACCCTTCAAAAAGGTCGGGGTTTGGGCGAGGGCATAGGAGGTGACGACTACCTCCTCTAAATCCAAAGGTCGGGGCAGGACGGGTGGGCTGGTGCCCGGGTGACGACTACCCTTAAAGGTCGGGGTGGGAAAGGGCTGATGTAGAGGTGACGACTACCTGGAAAGGTCGGGGCGGGTGGGAATGCAGCATCTAGTGCTGGGTAAAGAAGGTAGGGAGTGCACTTGAAATTGGTGATTGCTTGAAGCTACTGTTGATGAGCTTTGTGACGACACCTTGGTGGTTAATCTGAAGCAGTTTTCAATTAAAAAAATGTTCATCTGATGAGTGGTGTGCAACTGAAGTGAAGTGAAACATGTCTTGATGTGTGCCTCACCTCTAAGCTCGACTTTGGAAGCGATGTCACTAACGCGCCGGTCGGCCTTTGAGACGGTCTCAATGTAGCTGTAGAGGCTGGAGGATAGTTGCACGCCGAAGTTGGCCACTTGGATGGCCGAGGCAACAACACCGAGAGTCTCTGCCATTGATCAATTCGCAATATTGAGGTACCCACAAGAAACTCAGCAGATCGATATCTCTTGAAACTCAACCTCTTCTCTTTTCCAGCCACAGCCTTTGATGCCCCGGATCTTAACTTTGGACCCATCCTCGACTCTGTGAAGCCGACTTCTTTGCGGATGCAAGGGCTGTGTCTCCAGCAACCAACAAGGTCCGACGAACCGGTAGCCGTCCTCTCCAGGCCTCAGGACCACCAGGTGTCTTGCTCCAACGACAGAAAAAATCATGTCTTCGGGCTGGCAATCTAGCGGACCAATGCCGATGCTATCTTCTGTCAAGAAGAGACTACGGCCATTTGAACGTTCGTGCATCGTGCTCTTGAACCATGTCATTTGTTGAAGGCACTCATTGCATTGCGCTCCACCAGCCGGGCCCCGGAGCTCCTTATTGCGCCCGAATATCTTCTTAACGTCAAAGCATATATCCTTTTTCCATGACGGAGTCATGCTGGGGCAAGAAGGGAATCCGTGGAGGCGTACGGTGGCAGGCAAGGGCGAACCAAAGATTTTCCCGATATTCCTGTCCTGCCATACTCTCTTCTCGGACTCCATACTTTCTTTTTCGAGACAAGCTGGCTCTACTGCCTCTCTCCATGATCGAAGGTTGTCTCTCTGCGCATCAGTTAGGCCAATCAATCCGCGGTCGACAAGGACATCCTTAAGCTCATTGAATATCTTCGTGCAACTACCATCCATCTCCAGGTCGGGCTCGGAAGGGATAGGAATATAAAGCGAGAATATTCCAGGCTGTATATGTTCCCGTTCGACCGTGCGGCACCATGAAATTCTGTAATGCAAACATCGAGCGAGGGCTGCCAATAACGAACGTAGCGGAATGGGCGCTTTGCTCCGTGCGGCCCAAATGAATGACCTAAGTTGCGGACGGTTCGATAGCAACTTATCTCCTTGGAGGCAGATAAGCCAATCAAAGGAATCGACAATCTCATTGAAGGTCATGCCATACCGCGTCTGTGGAGAATTCGACGTGTCCAACAGAGATAGCAGATCTGAATGAGAGTCCACATGTCCGAGACGCTCAATCAGACCCATGCGTGCTCCATACACCTTTAGAATCGGATGTGCTGGTCTCTCTATACTGGAATGGATCGAAGCGAGCGCTCCGAGGTTCTGGAAAGCTTTGTCATGGTCGATGTTGATGTGATTATCCACAGAGGCATCCGATGCCAAATCAGGAATCCAGGAAGCTCTCTCGGAACAAGGACGGGGTTCGCGTAAGAAGAGTACATTGGGTGACTGTTGATCCTGGACCAAGAAAGTCGCCACATCTGTGTAGACTTGGTTGACGGTCTTGGAGTAATCGGGTATCAGCTTGTCCGGCGGAATGTCAGACGCAAGGCCACGCAAGGCGTAAACTCGGTCTCTCGGATCCTCACATTGAAATCCGCACGATATTTGCAGCAGATCCCCAAGTCTCAGCTTGCTTTGTGAGGCTGACCTGAGCTTCAAGAAGGGAGGGATCTGCCTTGAAACGTCAAGTTTAAGCCACCGCGGGGTTTCTGAACAGAGCAGGTTCAAATTGAGAGTGGCCGACCCTGTGACCCAGTATCCACGGCGAGCAAGTACGTATTCCTGAATTACCCATATGCGCTTGAACCACGGTTGTTCCATAAGTGCACAAAATACTTTGCGCTTATCCAACAAGGGCCACCAGTCTGGAACTTCGGTGTCGAATACCACTCCACCATAGTGAAGGAAATTTCCACTCAAATAGTCAAATAGTGGATTGGCGAAGGGTAAACTAGCATTTGAGGCATTTGAGGATGGTTCGCCAACGAAAACCAGGACTCTGGAAGCGCGTCGGTATATATCTGCCATTTGGCGCACCTGATGATTCCGCTCTTCGGTAGAGGACTGATTGATGCAGATGGCATCTATCCACACTAAACGTTTGGCGTGCGGAAGCCGTATTCGCCTGAGGAGCATTTCGCAATTCCGGGTGATGGGTATAAGTCGTTTTTCTTTGCCGCAGACGATGTGTGAGGTTTTATCCTTGAGACCTCGTTTATCCGCCCAGGTATAGGAAGTTGCCTCAAACAGTGGAAGATTATCAAAGCGTACGTTGACCAGAGCACACTGAAGTTCTTGATCATATTCTCCAGGATCGAGGGCGACTAGGCGGATCTCTGCCTCGGATAGAGAGGTATAACAGTGGTTTTCGGATGGGTTGACTGTTGACTTTTTCTGGATTGTGTGCGCCAATCTTGCACAGACTTTGCCAGCGAATGCAGCTCTGTAGTCGGTAACAAGTCTTCCACAGTTGTCGCAATACGGACTGCCCCGAACAACCGAGAACGGAGACGTTTGGCATTCGCAGAGTTTTATCGTTTTGCTGTCGGAAACGAAGTTCCCACACCTTTCGCAATAATCAGGGCCGTGGATTACGGCGAGATCGCCGCAGTAACAGACACTTTCCATGCTGCAAGCTTTGGAACCGAGTACTCGAACTGAAGAACACAAGCTGTCTCGAAGAAAGAGGTGGACTGTATCAATAACGACAAGGCATCGAGGCTGAGTCTACGGCTGCGCCTCATCGTTATGCTTGGTATTGCTGTGGCGTCCTTGCGGCGTTTCCTGTGACCTATCAGCCTTCTTCCTACACTCGCGCTATCCGCGATTGCATCTGCGATATCTTTGCGGCTGACAGCCAGCGCATCGTGAGCAGACGTGCTCGTTTCTCTGCATCAAATCCCTGTCGCCCATCAAAGATAGACGAGCCCAGCCCATGTAGCTGACCATATACTACTCGAATGGACACAGCAGTCCTCTCTCCAGAACCACATGACTTATGCGCCAGTAGCCGCCAGCCGCAGGACGGTGACCGGACACATCCGTTAGCCTTACACCCGCAGGGCCGACCTTAATTCCCACCGAGGCTGCTCACCTAATAAGGCGCCCGCCACGAGGCTGAGACGCAGCAGCATCCGGTGGACCGCGACCATCATCACGCGTGTTTGTCGTCGTTAGGCTCATCGGCGCTCAGACACTTTCACATGCCTCCGCAGCCCCCGCGCGCGCGTGTCGTGAACGCCGTACGTGCGCAGCGAGTCCCCCAGACCCGAAACAGAAAAGGTCCGATCTCGGGGATTTGTGACAGAAGCTCTGCCGACGCCCCACCGCCAGGCCGCTTCCCCGCTAACCGGGGAAAGGCAAACCATCAGATAAGATGGGACACGCGGACACCATGGTGATTCATCGATCCCGTGTGTGTGAGGTCATTTTCACATGCTAGACATGGCGTGTGGAAATAACTTTTTTTTCCTGGCTGGACGAAAGGAACCAAAAAAAGGGCCAAACACTGGCTGGACAAGCACATGCAAATTACAGACGATAACTTTCAAGACAAAGACATCTAGGGCGTTATATTCTTCTTTGGTCTATCTCTGGTCATGTATAGGCTCAAGTAGCCACAAATATGTCCCAATGTGCAAACAATATGCACTGAAAAAGTTGTACAAGGTCATCAAAAATATAAACCGCTAGCCCAAAGAAGACATCTCACAACTTGCTCTTGTACTCCTGGCTCTTGTTCTCCTTGAACAGCACGGGTGAATCAGGGTACGGGTCGAACGTAATGCTGTTCAGCGGGTTCAGCTCGCTAGCGCGGTGGAACATGTCCTCATAGACCTTGCCATCCGCCCGGCCGAGCGAGCTGTCAAGCTGCCAATCAGGGAAGTCCCACGCGTCGACAAGGCGCACCGCGTGCGGCCGGATCTCGCCGAGCAGCTTCATGACGGCGTTGGTGCGCGCGAGCTGGATCTGGCGCACCGTGACGGCGCTGGACGTGTAGAACTCGGAGGCCTCGCTCTCGAGCGTGTGGAGCGCGTAGAGGCGGAAGAGCTTGTACATGAGCGTCTGCGTCTCGGGGTCGAGCTCGCGGTTGAACTCGGTGGCCTGGAGCGACTCGTAGAAGTTCTTCACCACCAGGTATTGCGAGTGCGCCTTGCTCAGGCGGTAGAAATCGACCAGGAGGTCGTTCCACGGCCGCTTCTGCTCGTCGCGGTGCTTCAGCGCCTCAAAAGTCAGGAACGACGCACGCCATGCGAAGGCGGCGACAATGTCCTCATCCTTGCCCAGCACGTCGAATGCCGCGCCCATGTCAGACTTGTCGAGGTAGTTCTTGAGGATCGCCGTGGTGTCGTTGGTGGCCTTCTCGCCCCTGAGAACGCTGCGCGCCGACTTCAGGAGGTACCGCGCAACCTGCTGCGTGATCATGTAGTTGTCACCCTCCCAGGTGACGGTAGGAAGGTAGTCAGCATACCACGTGCCGATGCCAGAGAAGTTGCTGTATCCGTGACCACCGCATGCACGACGGCAGACCTCGAGACCCTCGGCAGCAGTCGAACTAGCCAGAGACTTCAAGCCGCAAGAGGTGGCGTGCAGGTCTGCAAGCAGGTCGCTGCCGGAATGCGTCTCCTCGGGGCCTGCACCACGCTCGGTGCTCCCTGCCTTGCCCACATCCTGGTTCATCCTCTTCTGGTTCTCCGTGTAGAGCGCCATCATGCTCTTACCGGTGAAGTGGAGAGCATAAGTGGCAGCCAGGAGCGTCAAGAGACGGATCTGCACCATGGTGTAGTCCAGGACCTGCGTCTCACCAGCCTTCTTGTCCGTCGCATCCTTGTCCTGGAATTGTCTCCTGACAGCGCAGTATCTCGTTGCAATCGTGACTCCGCGTGCAAGAGTGCCACCAGCTTGCATAACAATGTTACTCCGGACCCAGGTCAGAGTGCCGTAGACGAGCGCCGGTCTCTCGGGGCGAATGTATTTGCTAGTATTGGGGTCGACCTTGGAGAATCTGGAAAGCATGTTGACGTGGGGGATCTTGACCTTGTTAAAGAGCAAGAAACCATTGTCCATGGTGCTACAGGCGATGCATGTCAGCAGGTTGCCGTTTGGGGTAATGGCAGGGATGGTTGCAGGGGTGCTCACTTGTAACCGAACTTGGGTCCGATATCGCCGATGTGGATGTTCGGCAGCGGCTGATGCGTCTTGAGATCCCTGATGGGCACAACGAAGGGATGGGGGCCGTAGGGCTTGTTGTTGATGATGAGCTGAGCCATGACCACGGCATGGTTTGCCGTGCGTCCCAAAGAGCCGATCCACCATTTCGCAGCCGTCAAGTGTGGGGAGTGGATGATGAAGGTCTTGTCGTCGGGGTTCCAGATGGCGAGCGTCTCGAGGCCGCGCACGTTGGAACCGTGGCCCAGTTCCGTCTGTGCATAGCAGCCCATGTACTCGTAGTTTGCCGCCTTCTCGTAAAAGAGCTTCTGCTGCTCGGGGGTGCTCTGGTCGCGGAGAGTGACCTGTGTCCGGGTCAGCAAAAAGCTTGGGGAACGAACGGGGGGAGAATTACAAGGAACATGCTCTCGTGCAGGCCATAGGGGGTGGGCTCGCTGATCAAGTCAACGGCGGCGCGGAACTCGTCTTCGCTCCACCCATGCTGGACAGTCAACTGGCGCAGGCGCTTCGCTCTCGCCAAAGACGTCTCGATGCGATCAATGCGGCCCTGGAAGTAGTTCTGCGACTTGTCGAAGACCTTTTCGGCCTCGAGAATCTGCAGAATCCTCCGCTTGCGCTCCAAAGCTTCCTTGGAAAAGAGGAACTCGGAAAGCTTCTCGACGGGGATGTTGCTCTGGGCGCGTTCCTTGGCAAGGAGTTCGGAGCCTTGGGGGCCCGAGGGCTTGAGGGCCTTCACCCAGTCTGGAGTCGGTACTATGGGGGCCATTTCTGTGGGGAAGGGGGAGGGAGCGGAGGGAGTGGAGGGGGAAGCGGAGCGGGCATGGTTGGAGGTTAAAGTACGTATCGGCCGGTGGATGATGCCATGAATCGGGAAAGTACCTCGGCTGCTGCGGGATCACTATTTTTCCCTTCGCCGAGAGCCGCGCACCGACGCCGCTTCACCGTCACTCTCACCAGTCACGCCCGTACGCCACCGCCACGTCGCCCACGGGGTCCCCATCGTTGCCGGTTGGCCTCCGCATCACGCCCATGACTCGCTATCAGATGAATCAGCTCAAGCAGCCCGTGCATCTCGCCGCGACACATCAGTCGGAGCGGATCGGGAGTGCCGGACTCTGACAGGAACGCTTATTTGAACGCGCAATCAACCAAATTTCAACTCTACAAAAACTCTTTGCGGACCGAGGTTCTGCAGTCTGATGAGATCCGAGTGGCTGGTCTGCAAGGGAAAGACCGAGCGGAGACATCTCCCGTTGTTCTAATCCCTCACTTCCATTCAAGCGTGTACCACCCCCGATATTCAGCTCCCGCATTCCTTCCCCATATGCATCGAAGATCAACAAGCGTGGCGCTGGGACGATCCTCGATCTCATTCGCTATCCCTTCCCGGTTGATCTGGTTCTAGACCCAAAGAAGTAGAACCGTGTTGCTTCAACACCAAAATGTCTGGTGAGATCGCTCTTCTCTGCTCGATGATTTTTTATCGACTCTTCAGGCTGTGGTGATCTTGGATGGCTACTGCACTGTCTTTCGTATACTACATATAACCATTGATCTCGATCTGAAACATCACGTTTCCTCAGCGCCGAGCAATCCATTTTCCCGATCACAGCGTCCCGGGAACATTCTTCATGCGAGTCTTGCCAACTGTAGTCCTACTCCAATAAACGGAATATGGGTATTACACCTCTCCCCTTCAATGATAACGTGTCGACTCGCGTTGAGAGGTGTAGAGGAATCCTCCTCTCACCAGTGCTTGATACTGGTCAGCTTGGGCCGAAGAACATCTCTGGAGCTCGGTTTTGGTTGCAGTGAAGCATCACCCTGTTGCCACACTTCTCGTCAGCCTCATTCTTGTATCGTCTAACCATTGTTTGATCTGCTGTGGCTTGGTATTGAGAATGTTGGCTGTCCGTTCATTCTTGACTGCTTCTGGACTTGCCCAGGCTCCCGAAGTACCTCTTGCATTGGCACAGCCAGTCGTCGAGATCGCCAAGTCAGAAATACCAACACGAACGGCATTCCTCGAACCCGTCGCGTGCTTTCAGAAAAGTATAATTTGAGGATCTCATTGCCGTTGCTCCGTCACCAAGTTGCTGCAGTGACTTTTCCATATCTCAATCATTCTCCGTGGCTCGTTGCTCGGACAAGATGCACCTCTCCACGTTCTTCACGGCCTTTTGTTTTCTCTCCCTTTCGCCAGCATACGGTGCCCTGCTGCCAGAAGAGTTCCTCGTTGAGCGAAGAACAAACAGGGAAGCCGAAAAACGAGCGTCCAATCCCATCCAAGTATTACAGGCGAGTACACCGTGTGGATTAGTCGTGTAAGAGAGAGGCTGACGCCCCGATTTAAGTCGCTCGGTGCCACTTGCGGGAACTCTGACCACAGCTGTGCTCTCGAACTTAGCACTGGACTCCAGTGTATCCTCCAAGCAACATGCGAGCAGAGATTCACAACTCTCCAAGTATGCCAGGCTTCGAGCAACCCGCTAGACTTGAGGGCTTGCGAGCCAGCTAGGTCAGCTTTCAATTCATGCTATTCTTCTACGTGAGTTTCCCCTCAACACCCAAAGGATTACTTACTAACCAAACGACAGCTTGGATGCCTTCCAGACATGTCTCACAAACAACGCGCGGACGGCTACTCAACTCAACACTTGTGCTGCTGGTGCTCTTGGCGTCGTCAAGAAGTGCGTCCGCAGTCCGTCTGTCTCTAATATCCTAGGTGGTGCGGCTTCGATCCTGTCGGGTGCGTCCATCGACCTACCAACAGTCTTTCCTACTCTTCCAACACTTGATAAGAGGCAATTTCTTCCTCTCCCCCCACTCATTCTTCTACCTACTTCCTCGAGCTCGAATGTCCTTACCACCAGTGTAGCAGCTCCTGTAGCTGTCAGTGCTTCGGCTGCTGTGTCGGTTCAAGCCTCCGTTGCTGCTGGTGTCGGCGTATCTGTCGCATCGCTCTCGCCCTTATCCGCATCGCTCCCGCAGACCGATCTGATCTTGTCGTCTGTTGCAGGGTTGCGGTCAGCCTCAGGATCGCCTTCGGCTTCGTCTCTGTCCCGCGGAGCATCGGCTCCTGCACTCGTTTCAGCCCCTACTGTCGGACCCTCAGCGACAGTCTCAGTTGCTCCTGGGGCCACTTCTCCGGCCTTCCAGTGTCCTCGAGATAATGACCAAGTTGTCACAGTAGCTGGCCAAACGTTCCAGATCCGCTGCGGTGTCAGCATCGGTCTTCGCCTTGCCGTGCCTCGCCTCTTCGGCAGTGGTGACAATGATATTGGTCTTTGCCTGGGTACTTGCGTGCTCCTCGGCTACGGTGGTGCGGGTCTTAATCTCGATCTTACCAACCAGAACAACTGCCAGTGCTACACTCAATCTACAGATCTGGTTGTCGACCCCAGCGCTGTCGCAGCCGTCCTCATTCCGAGCGGGGCAGTCCCGTCATTGGGCGTGGCCGCGACGGTCACTCTGGCTCTTCCAACTGGATTACCTTCGTTCAGTGGCATTGGTGGTCAGACCGTATCTGGCCTGGGATCCTTACCCACTCTGTTGCCTCCCCTTTCTCTGGGGTCTCTCTTACTACCCTCTCTGAGCTTGCAACTGCCAAGCGGCCTCCCTTCGATTTCTGGCGTGTCGGTCCCCACCGCATTACCCTCACTGGGTCTCCCTGGCCTGAGTTTGCCGGGTATTTCTGTGCCTACCGCCCTTCTGTCACTGGGACTGCCGAGCGTTTCGATTCCCGGGTTGAGCCTTCCGAGCGCTTCTGTCCCAAGCCTTGCACTGCCATCGCTGAGCATACCCGGCCTCTCCGTCCCGCCGTTGAGCATGCCGAGTGTTTCTCTTCCAAGCATTTTGGTACCTCTGCCCAGTGTATCTCTTCCTAGAGACCTCCCGACCCTCTCTCTCCCGTCTGTCGGCCTGCCTTCTCTAAGCATACCGAGTTTGGGCCTGCCAAGTCTGAGCTTGCCCACTCTCTCACTTCCAACAGCGCTACCCTCAGTGCCGCTGCCATCTGTCAGCTTGCCGTCGCTGAACCCCCCAGGCCTTAGTGTCCCAATTTTGTCTCTACCGACTGAGCTTCCTTCGCTTTCACCGCCAAGCGTTAGCTTGCCATTATTAAGTCTTCCGGGTCTCAGCGCGTTGTTGCCCAGTGTGCCACCGCTTAGTCTGCCACCTCCAAACATACCAACATTGGGTGTGCCGAGCCTGAGCGAGCAATCCCTGAACGTACCCAGCTTCAGTGTGCCCGCCCTCAGCGTACCATCACTGGCTGCTCCTTCGGCCGTCATTCCCTCGTTTGGTGTTCCTTCACTTTCCCTGGAACTTCCATCATTAAGCATGCCATCACTAAGCTTTCCTTCTCTGAGCATTCCCTCACTCGGTATTCCTTCTCTTTCGCTGAACATTCCCTCACTCAGTGTTCCTTCACCCGGTATCCCTTCACTTTCTCTAAACGCCCCTTCGCTCGGTATTCCTTCTCTTTCATTGAACATTCCTCCACTGTCATTGAATATTCCATCACTGAGCCTTTCTTCCCTGAGTGTGCCTTCTCTGAGTGCACCATCCTTGGATATACCGGCTCTGAGCGTCCAGCCCCTCAACATTCCGCCGCTGTCAGTTCCGAGCCTGGCTATACCATCATTCTCTCAGCCATCCATTGATGGTTCGGCCCCGCAAATTAGTATTCCCTCTGTCAGCATAGACTCCATCGCAAGGCCGTCCATTCCGCTCACAGTCCCCGACCTTTTGAGCCTCCCGAATACCAACATCCTCACGGAGCTTGCCATACCACCCCTCAGTGCCCTTGGAATCCCTACACTTCCTGTTCCTTCTCTGCCAGTACCACCTATTGCAGTTCCGCCCTTAAGTCTCCCGTCCGGTCTCAGCCTTCCGAGCGTTGGCCTTCCAACATTGTCTCTCCCAACCGTGGTTGCACCAAGTCTGGCCGCCCCGAGCATTGCGCTCCCGACATTCATTCCTCCAATCGCACCACTCCTCTCTGCGGACTTGGAATCCCTTTCACTCCCCAGCTTCCAGATCCTCACACCATCGATCCCCACTCCATCGATACCAGGTGCTTCTCTCCCGGGCTTATCTTTACCTAGCATCCGGCTTCCAAGCATTTCGGTGCCGAGTTTGCAACTTCCAAGTATACCTGTACCAACAATTGCTGTCCCGAATCTTTCGTTGCCGTTGCTAGGCTTGCCTACTTTGAGTGTCGATATGCCGAGCATGCCGAATCCGACCCTATCTGTTCCAAATCTATCAGCACCCGCATTTTCGGTCCCAAGTCTGGCAATCCCGAGTGTGTTAGTTCCGTCACTTTCAATGCCGTCGCTCTCGGTTCCGGATCTCAACATGCCCACGCTTTCCGCACCGACACTCCAGCTCCCAAGCTTATCGGTCCCTTCAGTCCCGATCACAACCCTCTCTGTACCTAGCCTGCAGGTGCCTAGCATCTCAGTGCCTAACCTCCCGATTCCACACTTCTCAATCCTCGGTCTCCCCATCCCGATTCCACCGGTGGCTATACCAAGTCCATCTTTGCCCACATTGTCTGTCCCAACCCTCTCTCTTCCAAATCCCTCAGTGCCGACATTGGCAATTCCGAGCGTGCCGATTCCGATACCGTCTATACCAAGCCTGTCAGTGCCCACCTTGGAGGCCCCAAGCCTGAGCATTCCCGGCTTAAATGTGCCAAGTCTTAGCTTCAGTGTCCCTAGCATAAGCCTTCCAAGCCTGAGCGCTCCCAGCCTGGGCCTTTCGATTTTAGGTGTGCCAAGTCTGAATATCCCGACTTTGCCAGTTCCAAGCTTGTCGGTTCCGAGTCTGGCAGCCCCCAGCTTGATACTTCCCACAACACTCATCACTGTTCCGACCGGTCTTCCAACCATTATCCTGCCGAGTGGGATTTCTCTCCCTTCCGCATCTCTACCTTCAGTGTCGGTCCCCAGCATTTCGGTGCCTCCAATTACCACTCCGGATGTGAGCTTGCCCTCGATCCCAAGTCTTTCAGTACCAAGTCTTTCCATCCCTCCAGTCAGCTTGCCTACTGAACTCCCGCTCACCACCGGTGTGGGGACAGGAATTAGTGGAATTCCTCCGCTCGGTACTTCACTCCCAGTCGCAGTGGATGTTAGCCTTGGGGCAACTATCGATGCGTCAATTGGAGCAGGCGTAAGCGTTGCCGTCAATCTTCCAACAATAACAGGCCTACCTGGTGCTGTCATTCAGACGGCAGGATACACGCCTGGATCGCGCGACATCATTGTCACTCTGAATGGAGCTGCTCCGCTGAGGCGCAGGGACGTCGAATTACCCACAGTCTTCTTCTTGACTCCTACTAGTCTGACCGCACCCGTCACCGCGCCGATGGTAACAAAGACTGCCCCGGTCGACGGGACAGCCACTTCTATTTTCACCATTTTTCCAACGGGTACCAGTCCGCCAACAGTGGTCATTGGGACACCATCACTCAACCAGCTGGGCCAGCTCTCGCCTCCCTTAAACTCAAATACCCCTACTGGCACTCCGGTCATCCTGGGCGGCGCATCTTCATCGTCCGAGATTGATCCCCTCGTGACATCGTCTCCTGAAGGTGACATTGTAAGCATCCTCACGTTGTTCCAGACTTCCGGCTCCCTTCCTTTCACGAGTCTCACTTGGACCATGGTCAGCCACTTGGTCTCGACAACAATCGTGATTGTGAATGTTCCCACTGGCTTGGTTGAGACGGATGAACTTTCCACAACGCTACCGGCTATTGCCACACCCTCTCCTTTGTTGTCTACTGTTTCCCTCACCAGCGTGTCCCTACGCCCTGCTTCTGTACCCAGCGCTTCCTTGCCCTCCATTTCCCTGTCGGCGTTATCTGCACCGACAGGTCTCCTGCCTTCTTCAGCCCTTCCCAGTGTTAGTCCGCCTTCACTGTCTGCGCCAACACTATCTCTTCCTTCCCTATCCATCCAAACGCCTCGAGTCCCCACCTTAACTGTGTCTTCACCTACACTTCCGACTATTTCAGCTTTGTCTGCACCAAGCCTATCTATCCCCACCATTTCAGCACCAAATTTGTCAGCACCAACTCTATCACCACCAACTCTATCACCACCAACGCTCTCAGCACCAAGTCTCTCAGCACCAGGTCTGTCAGCACCAAGTCTCTCAGTGCCGAGCCTGTCAGCGCCGAGTCTCTCAGTGCCGACACTCTCACTATCAACACTTTCAGCACCAACATTGTCAGCTCCTAGACTCATAACTTCGACACCTACACTTTCAATATCCGCCGTAACATCGGTCCTAACAACCCTCATGACCGACATCAGGGAAGCCAATCTGATCACGTCGCTGGTACCCGACCCGGCGGCGTGTGTGCCGGGATATAAGCAAGTAGTAGGCACGTATGGGCCAGGCGGGGTATTCGTGACTATTACGACGATTAGAACGATGCCATAAGTGTAAGCAGTGTTGTTTGGTTGCGCAACTTTCGTGTTTGGGAGTTGGAAATTTGTCGAAGCGCGTTTAGGAACCGGACTAGGATGTTGGACGGTTATTCTTTCAGTATCTCTCTTTCTACCTTTTTCGTGCTGTGGGTGAGGGCGGTTCCATTCCCCGGCTCTCTCATTTTACTTCTCTCTTGCGTGGAGTGTCTACGGCGTTGAAACAATTATGGACTTTGAGGTGTGTGTGATTTGTGATGGTGTCTGAAGTCTTCCTCGCCTGGGGCGAAGAGTAGGGGTGCTAGTCTATTGTCTTCTTTAGTTTTTGCCTCCTCGTGTTCGTTTGACCTGAGTTTTTGAAGCAACATCCTCGATGTTACAGATTGAAGTCCTTGAAGTTAGCTTTTCTTGAACACAAGAAGTAACACGAAGACATGTTCCAATAGTGGCCTTTTAAGCAAAATTATTTGTTAATGACTCTAAAAAGCCTGATTACTAAAAGCATCGTAATGCGTTCACTACCTCAGAGAAGGCTCAGCCTCCTCTTTCCTGACCGTATTCATCTCCCTCGAGACTATGTTACCGCATCGGATCCAGCACCAATCCAACATCGTGTCGACTTCTCATTAGAACCCCAAGAAACGCTTGACCGCCGCAAGCTTCGATCCTGCACCCTCCGGCTTCCTAGCAGCTTCAGCGGCCCCCTTCTCCTCGGCAGCTCCCTCGGCAGCCGCATCGGTCTCAGCAGCGCCATCCGCGGCAGCACCATCACCGGCAGCACCATCACCGGCAGCACCATCACCGGCAGCACCATCCGCGGCCTGGTCCTCCGCTCCGGCCTCATCCTGAGCAGCGCCATCATCCTGGGCAGCGCCATCTCCCTTCGCAGCGCCAGCATCTTCGGCCGCACCATCACCTTCAGCAGCAGCGCCCTCAGCAGCAGCGCCTTCAGCACCAGCACCCTTCTCCTGGTCAGCCTCGCCCTCTGCCGCGGCAGCACCTTCAGCGCCAGCGTTCTCCTGTCCAGCTGCATCGTCGGCAGCAGCAGCGTCGCCGCCCTCGGCGTCAGCAGCACCCTTGCCATCTGCCTTTGCAGCATCATCGGCGGCGCCTGCGTCAGCGGCACCCGCGTCGGCAGCTCCAGCATCGGCAGCACCAGCATCAGCGGCACCATCCTTTGCGGCATCGCCTTCGGCACCGGCAGCTTCACCGTCCGCCGAAGCAGCATCACCGGCTCCTGCACCTTCAGCACCAGCATCGGCCGCACCGGCATCGGCTGCTCCTGCGTCTTCGGCACCGGCATCAGCGGCACCGGCATCAGCGTCAGCAGCTCCAGCATCAGCAGCTCCAGCGTCTGCGGCACCAGCGTCCGCAGCCGCAGCATCCTGCTGCTGCTTCTGCAACTCATCCACCTGCTTCTGCAACTCCTCAGCCTTGGCCTCGGCGGCCTGCTGGGCCTGCTTCGCCGCGTCGATCTGTGCCTGTGCGTCCTGCGCAGCGGCGGCGGCGTCTTGTTGTCCCTGGGCATCCTCCGCTGCGGCCGCCTGGTCTGCCTCGGCATCACCAGCAGCGGCCGCGGGATCAGCTTCGGCATCGGCAGAGTCAGCGGCCTGGTCGGCGGCGGCCGGGTCCTCGGCTGCTGCTGCTTGCTCGTCGGCGGCCGCCATCATCTCGGCCATGGCAGCAGCTGCTGCTGCCGCTGCGTCGGGAGCGGTTGCGTTCGACGCTGCTACTGCCGGTGTCGCTGCGGCGGGAGTGGCTGCAGCGGGTGTGGCAGCAGCAGCGGCGGCGGCAGCATCAGGGGTAGCAGCGGCTGCAGCGGGTGTAGCTGTGGTGAAGTCAGTCAGTACGGGTCGGGTGGTAGGAGAGTTGGGTTGTGACGACATACCTGCGGCTTGTTGCGCGGCGGCTTGCTTGGACTGTTCGGCAATCGCGGCATCTTGCGCGGCTTGAGCTTCCGCTTGGGCCTGTGGAATTCGTTAGTTAATATCTCCATGGGCAAAAAAGGGGGGTTGGTAAAAATTGTTGCTGACCTTCGCGTCGGCTGCGGCGTGCTCCTCTTCGATCTGCTTTTGCTTGTCTATCGCTTCTTGCTGGGCCTGGAGACACCGTGTTAGACAATTCCTGAAGCAAGCTTGCTCGAGTGCGAATGGTTTACCTGCGCGTTTGCGGCAGCGGCAGCATCTGCGCTTTCGGTGCCGGCGTCTGCCGCCGCAGGCGTGGCTGCAGGTGTGGCCACAGCACCAGCCGCAGCAGCATCACCACCTGGCTGCGGGATGGCCGCACCGGAAACAAACGTGGCGGCGAGGAAAAAGGAAGCGGCAGTCGCGAAACGCATTTTGGAGGAGGGGGAAAAACGTAAGGGAGGAGAGAGAGAGAGATGATTAAGAACTTGGGAAAACTTTGGCCGTCACAGACGTATTCGGTCTTCTGGCTCTTTGAATCTCGGCAGCGAAAGCGCTTATATATGGACCTCTCTGCTTTATGGCCATTATTGACAAGCTTTTTCTGGGGGTTCCTGAGCTGGTGGATGCAAGCGCGCTTGGTGACGCGACTCTTCCGGTCGGAGAATGTTCCTGCCTCCCCCACATCCGCGTGGCAAGGCCACTGTGTATTCTGGATGGGGGACTCTCCGGATGTTAGAGAAAGCAGTTCCGCATGAAGGGCCCAAGACTCCGATCACCTTATGGCGACATCGAGCAAGCTGCCACGATCCAATCAGGGAGCCGAAAGGCCAATACGTCTTGTGTTTGCGTGAGCACCATTGGGGCGCTCTTCAAAACCAGCCAAGAGGGAAAGTTCTTGGCTGGCAGGGCCTTAAATCGCTTGGCTTCGTCTCCTTCTCCACAGTCGCTGTCATCGAATGGAAAAGACGGAACGTAGTGGGTCGCGTCCTTTGCTAATCACCGATCGACGCGGGACGCCGTGGAACGGATCCATTTCTGGACGTGGTTGATCCTGAATGTTGCGACATGCCCAGCCGTTCGGGTAGCGGCACGCGAGACGTGGTCGGTTTTGGTCGATGCAACGGGGAGCGACCCGCCATTACCGAAAACGGTTAGAGATCTGCTTAGCGAGACACCATGCGTGTTGTTTAAGCCGACAACACGGATCTCGACTTCTTTCTTTGTGCAGATGGAATCCTGTTCCTCTCGTCGGCCTGGCAAATGTGTCAATGTTGCTCATTTCACCATTCAGTCAGCACCACCGAGGCCTGTCGTGTCTTCGTCATGAAATAAACCTGAAGACATCTATCCTGGTGCACCATTGCTTGCTCATGGTTGCTTCCATTGTCTCTATAGAGTCCTCCACATTCCGTACGAGATAATAAAAGCCCCTCTCCATATAGAGCCAGGTCCCTGAATTAGTATCAATGCACTCATACTAAAATGGGTTAACAAGCATTCGCACTGCCACATCTGTCTCTGATTCTACGGCCGCAATCTAGTGCTGAGAGTCCATTGGATTCTCGTCTTTGCTTCAAACTCGTCCCTTGTAATTCCTAATAGGAAAGTCGAAGGACGGCATATTCAAATCATCTCATCACAAATTGCTTGAGAGCCATTGACAAAACTGTGCCCCAAATGTACCAAAGCATCAGATTTTGCCGAGAGCGTTCGATGTCCGAAAACTATTGGTCAAAGCCCACTCTCTTGCCGCTGGAGAGGATGACGCGTAAGATGAGGCTGAAACCCAGCGGGAAAGTTCCTTCCGGCCCAGCGAGTGGCTGTGGTCGGAGCTTCGTACCCACGACACTGGCCCTACAATGTTCGTCTCCCCCGTCACATTGATTTTTCTCTGAAAAAACACAAACTACCTCCAGTACCTTTCCTTCTAATATGAAATACTTATGTTCCAATCAACACCAAAGCCCTGCTCCCTGATCATGCCTACAAGACTTTTAAGAGCTGAGATACAAAACAAATGAGAGCGATTGTGGCAAAAGGCGCAGCTAGGCCTGTTGGGAGTTCAACATAATGAGGTAAATTTCTGTCTCTCGCCTAGGATAACGCGCTGTACTAACCATAAGAATAGAGCCTTCAGTATCGCGCAAAGGGTGTCTAAGGCGAGGGATGGCACTCAATTGATACCCATCGAATGAAGGAATAAAGAATAAAAGCGTTACTGAGAGGCCGTCACATCATCCATGCTAAATACAAAAGCACCTATCCTCCCGTTTACGCAGTCTCCCACACTTTCTTATATCTGCACGCTGGAATGTCCGGAACCGACGTGTAGTCCCCATCCTCGTCCCTTCTCGTCTCGAGCACACTGACGAACAGCAGGGCCAAAGACAGAACCACCAGCAGCCACGTGTACGCCTTATACCAGCGCGCGTTCTGGCACGGGAGGATCGGCGATGCTGTCTGCCCGGTAACAATGTACAGGTAGAACAGGGTTGTCTTGCCGATGATGATGGCGAGGAATACGATCTGCCGTAGGAACGCCGTGCTGCTGCGGCAGACGGGGCACAGCGGGCCGGGGCAGAACCAGAACAGGATATTGAGCGCGAGCGAGCACGTGTTCCAGAGCAAGAAGTAGGCGCGCAGGACGAGCGCTCCGCGCGAGCTCTGCGGGCGCAGCGGCGACGACGACGGCGGTGACGGAGGCGCAATAGGATCCGATTGTTGCCAGCAGGAGTTTTCTGAGTCTTGCTTTGACGTGTTGCAGTAGCCGAACTCTTCTGTCAGCCACGGTGCGGCTGGGAGCCGGAGCAGACTGATGAAGGAGATTGCGAAGAATATCGACCGGATTGAGATCTGGAAGGTGCGTTCCAACAAGGCGAGCATGCACAGGTATACTATCTGGAAGCCCTGAAGCGTGACGATCAATGTCTTCGCGGCGGAGGACGAGATCCAGGGAATAGCTGTACCGCTCGGAAGCTTGGTGCATATTATGTTCGGGTTCTCCTCCAGGTAGTCGCATCCGCGCCAGCCGGAATCGGTCCAAAAAACGGCATTGATGTCGGCCATGCTCCTCGGAGTCCAGTTTGTTGCCCGCATACGGCGGTCAACGATGATGAAGTATCTCCAAGTTATTGTCATTGGATTCCAGAGGTAGAGCCGGTCCGACCAATGGGGCGGATCATCGGTCAGGACAATGGGCTCCGGAGCGCCACTCATGATGTGAGCCAGAAGAGGAGCAAGGCAAACGGTGAGAAGGGAGATCCAATCAGAGAAGGGTATGTTTTGAGATTGATAGGCGAAGGTAACAGTGAATTCGCTAGGGGAAAACATGGTGTAAGGCGATTTGGGATTGCATAACACCAGTGGCAACGGCACGACTGAGAATCGAGGTAGACGGAATACTCCAGAGGCAAGTGAGCGAAGTAAATAAATGCAGTGCACTTGAGTCACCCGATATTGTATTTTCTACACATGCTACCTACGCAGCAGACAAGTACATTAGAGTAGGAACGTGGGGGGCTTGTAACACAGCTTTCAATTCGACGAAAGTTAGTTGCAGAACGGGGTTGCCGATGACATCTGACGTGCAGAAGTTCAATAAGCAAGCACTAGCCCAGCTCGGCTGTTGCGCCATAGGTTCTGCTGCGGTCAAAATGCCGAGAGTAAGCGCCGCGGGCTAGCACATCACCACCAGCCTCAATCTTATCTGCGCCACCTACCTTGCAGTCGCACAGCCTCAATTATGTCGCACCTTCTTCTTGAATCATCTGTATCGGCCCACCTTCACTATCCTATCTCTGCCAAGTTGTTGAAAAATGCAATGAGTTTTTCAAAGTTGCAGTCATACAAAGAGATCGCTGCCACCACGGCGCGCAATATAACCTATTCAGTGTTGATAGTAATCAAGAGTCTAATAATAGAGAAAATGATCCCATACTCTTTGGCCTTGCATTCTTATTAGATATTAGTACTAATATTCTTTACTCGATACTTGTAAACATTACTAGTATACTAGTATACTGGGGACAAGAACCCTAGGCTTGTTATTCTCGCCACGCTATGCGAAAGAAGTTATAGTTAATTCTATAGAATTTTACGAGTCGTAGATAACTTTATAATATTGAAAATTTCCTAACGTGCTGAGTATACCGAAGGTCCTAAAGGACTAGACCCTTACAAGGTATATATTGTCAAGACCTACTAGCCTACATAGGCAGTTGACGAAGTGGAACACATATCTAGACTTAAGGCACCCTCGTAAGGATATAAAGTCGTATAAGTTATAGTAGTAAAATTCGAGAGAACACCATTGCAAGAATCAATCACATCTCAAGGATCAGAATTTTTGTGCTGAGACCATCGCCATTCGCCAATGGGCGAACAACGGTTTAATATTTACTAATGTCTAGCACCAAGGCTCAATAAGTGAGCGCTTCATTCGTGCCGCAGCTGTAACGGCGAGAAAACGACGGAAGACCGCAAGTGCTTCCAGGATCTGGCTCTGGCTGTATGCTTTTCCGTCCAGAGAATCAAGCAAAAACGCCGGTGCCATGGACTCCACTTTCCTTTTCTTCGCCTTCTCCCCCGGCTTTTCTGATCCATCAAAGCAATCGAAGAACAAAAAGACCAGAAGATAACAGGTGCTCCCCCGCCAAAAGACTGAACACTTTCCAAGACCCGAAAAGCAGCAAGTATGGAAAAGAAAGAAAGTGGTTGGCAAGGAACACCCAATCAAACACACTGAAATCAAACCATGAGCCGGTCTCGTCCCTTTCTTGCCCCCGCTCCGTATATTCTAGACAACATGAGATCCCATAACCGGCATGAATAGAGATCCCATTCCTTAAAAACCGTCCGTACTGTAGAAAGGCAGAAAAGCAGAAAACGCTGGAGAGGTATCAAGTACAGAAAGTAGGAAAGCAAATCGTAAGCACCTGCTGTAGCATAGAAACATAAGAAAAGGTCGTAAAACCCCTGTGATATACAGCCTTCCTGAGTCCGGGGTTGGGAATGAGGAAGTAATGACAAGGAAAGTGAAACAGCCGAAAAAGAAAAAAAAAACACCGAATTGCGCCGCTGATGATTGAGCATTGTCGCTGAAACCGGGACAGCAATGCCAGAAGAGGATTTGAGCGTCTTAATGATGTTAAGCCATCACAAACTGCCCCTCGGAGTCGCACTGTGTTCAGAGGACGATTTGAATGTTGACAGAGCGTTCAAAAAGTCGAACCGCTCTCTCGTACTCCCGTTGAATTGCCTCACACTGTCGTTGTCGGAAATCGGGCTGTGTTGCTTGGGTTCTCTGGGCTCTAGTAGGAGTGACCGGCGGTAATAGTTCTGCACGTTGCTTTGGTCGCTGTCGCGAACACGCTCGATTTGCGACTGCATCCACTCTTGCATCTCCGGAACAGGAGCAAGGGGGTACGGGACTTGGAAGCGCTGTAGTTGACCAATAATCTTTGCCGTCCGCATGTGTTTGTCGAAGTTGATGACGCTGATGCCCGAGTCAGCACCTCCGTCACCAGGGATCTGGCGTGTCGTCTGGTTGCCAACGTCGACAAAAGTCAGATCCGTGAGGTAAATGCCAACGAAGGGAATGCAGGGAGCGACGTGGTTTTCCAGGCGCTTCCGAAGGACGGCGTAGTTGCGGCCGACATTGACAATTGCACGAAGCTCCTCGAGGCGACCCTTAGTCTTGGCCGAGACAGCGTCCCAGGTTCGCTTCAACCGCATGACCATCGAAGAGTTCAGAGAGCAAATGATGGCCATGAGCGAGTCGTAATTGTTGAGCTCCAGGCATTTCACCGCGATCTTTACCCACTGCTTGATGATAACAGCGCGCTTCTTAGGATCCTCCAACTGAAGAATAGTGTCGGCCACGAGATTGGCGAGATCGGTCGAGAGCTTCGACATGGCGCGAACATTGACAGCCCTTCCGTTCTTCTTGGTCCACTCAGATGCAAGCAATTCCTCGGGTTGGATCGTGCAAAACAACTTGGACTCAATAAGCGTGAATTGCCTGGCCAGCTCCAGCGGGTCGAAGTCCAGAATGCTCAGGGTGATAGAGGCTCCGTTGCGAATGTTCCGCAAGGCATTCATCTGGCTTTTGGTGATGATTGGGTTAGGCACATTCGGGTCTGCCGCAGTGTACACGGTTGCGGAAGTGTTCGTCTTGCCCTGGGACGACATCAAGCGGGGGGTGGTGCTTCCCGCGCGGATTTGGCTGACTTTCGTCACCAGCTCGGCCAGACGCTTTCCAGCCGAGGGCAGGGCAGTCCTAAGCTTCCCAGTCGCAAAGGTTAAGATGAGACCGAGCGCCTCGGCATCAGTATCCGCTTGCCAGTGGCCCTCCATCCAACCCTTGAAAACGTTGTGGACACGCAACCGGACGGGGACAGCGATCTCGCTGCTGTCTCCAACGTAGTTGAACCGATCAATCAAACATTGAGCAAGCTCAACTGGCGTTGTAAACAGGCGGAAAGTGAGATAGAATGTGGTCACGAATGTCGCATCCGGAGTCGCTTCATGGGTGGTGAGTTGCTCAATCAGCGCAGGCAGAGATCCGCCCGCAATCTGACCGTCTTTGTAAACGAGTTCATGTACGTATGTCTTCTCCAACATCTGCGCCTCAACGCCATACGCATCTTCGCTGGTCGTCGAACGCAGTTCCGAAATGCTGGGGTAGCTGTTGATCATGTCATTGGCCTTGGGGCTGGATGGAGCATCGTCAGGGGTCGTCGCCCGGGTGGAAGTGTGCGAGATGATGCTAGCCGCATCGCCGCGAACGCTGTTGGGGTACGTGCTGGTCGAGTCCGAAGCGTTGACGCCTTCCAAGCCCAAACCGACGTTGTTTCCAGCAAAACGGAAGTTGACGCTGTTGGTACTGGGAGAGTCGTCTGCGGTGCTACCCGAGGGAGCAGGCAGATGTGGAATGGGGAGCTTAGCCAGAGAGGGCAGAGAATCCTTGGAAGAGCGGAAGGAGGACACAGTGGGGCTCTGGAGGCTTGCGACTTGCGTAGTGGTAGAAGGAGAAGGGAGAGAAGCGGGTGGTTCGGGCAAGGGTTTCTCATCAAGTGAAGCAGGGCGGCTCGTATCCTTTGGAGGAGCCGGCAAGGGTTTGGCGATATTTTCCTCGGAAGCACGCTCGTTGGTCGCGTCTGAAACACCAGTGAGGTCAAGGCTCTCGAAGATGGTGTCAGAAATTCCAGCTCCTGTGCGCTCGAACTCGAAGTCGCCGATTCTTTCGATGACGATTTTAGCCTTCGTCACACAGTCGCCGGCGGCGCGGACACAGTTGGTGGCAGCGATGACGATTTCCTTGCCTTGTGCAGGCATGAACTCCTCGTTGTGGGCCTCGGAGTGCGCAAACATGTCTTTCGTCGCTTGCACGAGCTCAGACAGCTTCTCATGCATCGCGTCCCTTGCTTGCGAAAGTGGTTCCGAGCGACGAGCGTCGCGTTCCCATACCTCTTCCACGACACTCAGAAGTTGGCGACACGCAATGACAGATTGTTGGGTAGTGGAGAGGAGCTCGCTGGACGAGCGTGACTGGAGGTGTAACCCAATGAACGAGCCAATCGAGCCCAGAAACGAGTCCTGGGCGGCAGAAAGTCGTTCCGACGCAAGGTTGTATCTGCGCTGGCCGCTCACCTGACTTGTGTACGACGCTCGATGGGAGATCGAGACGCGCTTCGACGGGGTGGATTTCGAGGGAGACAGCGCTGGCAGAGACTGCACTGGTACAGGATCTGTGATGCTGGTGTTGGTGCGAGGAGTGTTAATACCGCTCAGGCCGGCTCGTTCGTCGCTCGTTCTCGCCGCGTCGCTGGGTGACACAGCAGTAACGCTTTCGGGTGGTTCGGTTGCACCATCCTCGGCTGACTGCGATTGCTCAACGTTGCTTTCGGGAACATCATGCGGCGGCGTGGGTGGCCTCTCTGCGTCGTCCATTGGGCCATCGACGAGCGCTTGCAGCGGGGGCTGGAGTTCCTGCGCAAAGACATCAAGAAAACGAACGGCTCGGACAACCACTTTGAATGCCTTCAAAACAAGCTCGTCGAGGAGGTCGTAGATAGGCTCCTCGGCGGGGTCGCCCTGGGACACGACCTGCTGCAGGTGCTTCGCTGTTTTCACGAGTGAGGACAGGTCACCTAACAGGCCTTTCCGCATCCGTCGGATACCGATGTGAGCTTGTACGTTCTGCGATTCCCTCGTCAAGCAATCGGACCTCTCCTATAATGGAGTTAGCGTAGATCCACCAAAACGTTTCCCCCGACCCAGGGGCTATCCTCGCTCGAGACTAACCAAGAGAAAACGGACGCCTGCAATCATCGACCTAACGTAGTCCTGCTTTGCAAATACCATCGTGTTCCCGCTCTCTCCACTCCTCACGAGGTCCCAGAGGTGAGTAAGGGCGTTCAGAAGGCTGTTGATTGACGGATGATCGAAAGGTTCGCAGTAATTGGTAGGGAGCCAGCCGCGGGCTCCAGAAATAAGGAGGGTGCCGTCCGCCCAGCCATTAGGGTGTATCGAGTGGACCAGGATGACATCTCCTTGGTTGATGGGAACCGTGATAGAGCACTCGTCCCCGACGGAGGATATTGTGGAGGAGGGGTGAAAGTGGTAGAATGCACGGAGGTAGTTGGGAAAGGATTCGGGCTCCGCCGTGGGCATCTCGGCCTCGAGGTTGGCGCGAGGCGTTAATGGTGGTGACATTTGAAACTGCGACGTGGACCCTGTTGTCCGCCGGCTTCTTGGCGAGGACTGCACACTCCGGGGGCCATCGTTGTTCCATGTTGTTGAGGGCTTCTTCTTGATGGTGAGCGGCGCAACACACGCGCTGGTGCGGTCCATGCCCTCTCTGAGCGCGATATCGGACATCTTGGAGTCCTTCTTCGCGTGCTTGGCGTCCCGTCTGCGAGTATTCCTGGAGCCAGAGTCTTCCAGAAGAATACTTGACACGGACAGCGAGGACAGTAACATAAAGGCAGAGTGCGCCGCGACGTTACGAGAGGGTCAGCATTAGATGGGCCGCTGGTTTAGACGACGTGGATATGGAGCGGCGGGATTAGAAGCAATTGGAAGGCCGGGGCCGGCGAATCTCGAGCGGCGAGGTGGCGGCGATTGAGTCTGCAGTTGTCATGTTGTCAGCTGTCTGTGTTGATGTTGTTGTTGTTTGGTGGGTGAGGTCCTGTGGTGGCGAGGAATGCGCCTACCCAACAGTGAGAGAAACGGCCGAAGAATGCAGCTATGCGCTCCTGACAACGGAAAGACACATAGCTACGGGTGGGGAAAAGATGGCAGGTGCAGTAGCAAGAGAGGGGACCGAGACGGAGCCTCTGGGGTTTTAGGGCTTGTCTTGACTGCAGCGCGCAGGCAGGTGGTGCTCGTGTGGGCGAGACTGGGGAACGGAGGAGCGTACAGTGATTAAGGCGTGACCGCGCAGGCAGATCGGCAATGGTGCGGGAGCGCGCGGCGAGGCGGAGGCGGAATGCTCGTCGCAGAGAAGGGCCTCGGGGCGTGTCCAGACACTGCGGGTTTCTGGGGGAGCAGGACTGAGGCGGCGGGAAGGTGCTCGGCGCGCGCAAATGGTGTTGCAATGGTGCAAGGTGGAGGGGAGCTTTAATGGCTTGCTGGCGACGCAAGGGTCTGGGGGCAGTTTGGCCGGGCAGGCAGGGCAGTCAAGGGCTAGCAAAGCTCAAGCGGCATCGTCGCCTCGAATCGCCGTCAGCCCACTTTTCCGCCGTCGAGGAATTGGCCCAGGCGATCAGATATAGCAGGAGCGATATTGGAGCGGGCAGCCGCGCGGGCACGATTCGCCTTTGGGAACTGACCAGGGTCCGCAGACGCAGCATGGGGTGCAGCCCGAGCACGCGCGCCGTTCTCGTCCTGTCGAATCCGCGTGGCGCACATCAAGCATCCACGCCGGCGGCCGCAGACGCGACCGCGCGAGACCCATTGCCCGGCCCAGCCGCCGCGAGGCCAGCTGCAGCTCATGCGGCATCGGCGGGCGCGCAGGTCGCGAGAGCGGCCGGCCTGAGGCTTGGGCTTGAGTCAGCCCGACGACGCTGTACGGACGACGTCTCGCAAATGTGCCTGCGCCCTCGGCAGCGCTATGCCCGAAGCGCAGCGGGCGGACGCGCCCCCGTCACAGTGCCGGCGTGCGCGCGGCGTGCAGGCTGCATTGGATGCCCTGCCCGGCAGCGCGCAGCCATGGCAGAGACCCCATAAGAGGCGCCGGCCCAGGTCCCCGCGACGGCGCACAGGTGCGTGACCCGCGCGCGGCCCAGGGGCAGGGCACCCGCGGAGCTTTCTGGCCCTGTGGGTGTTGCAGAGCGCGACGGAGCGGCGTCATTTCGCAGCGCCCGCGCAGTCACGGATCGACCGCCACGCCCGTCCTTTTGGGAAATCGCCAAGCCAGACGTGCAGCGGCGGTGCACCACGCGAGTCGTCACCGCACGCCAGGCCTGCCAACGGCCGCCGTTCCCCGCGCGCGCCGCCGGCACCTTCGCTTCGTCTTCATCATCTCCAATTTCCTCACCGCGCCCCTTTGCCTACCAGCCCGACCCAGCGCCCTGACCATCCTGCCCACGGCATGCCATCGACCCCTAGCTGCTTTCGGCAGCGATGGTCTCCGCGCCCCCCACCCGCACGAGCCCACCTCCAGAGCTCCGCGTCGTCAAGCTTCTGTGCCTGCGCCAGCAGCCTGGTTCTGCCCGCCCCATCGCTGTCGCAGCGAGCCCACATGTCCGGTGGGAAGTCGAAACGCTGAGCTCAACGCCGGCTTGCCACCAGCCGTTCGCTCTCTCGCTGGCCGGTCATGATGCCACAAACGTAGCCTGTCCGCCTCGGGCTGCATTGCAGGGCGACCGGTGACGCGCCGTTTTCGCCCTGCTCTTTTTTTTTTCTCCGGCCTTGCTCAGCTCAGCATTGGAAATCGTCATCATCTCTCTATTCTCGCGCTCAGCTTGGTGGAGACACTACTGGAAGCGGGCTCCACCATGGCCTTTCCCTCGGGATGCCTGGGTCGATCACCAAGGGGTGGCGATGTCGGCCGCCTGCAGGTCCCACTGCAGCAACGAGCGAGAATGGGTCCATTATCCAACACCCCCGGGTTTAGTCATAGCTGAAAAGCCGTCTCCCGTTTGGCGCTGCCATCGGGGTGGAGACTGCCAGCCGCAGCCGTTGTGGCCCAGATCTATGACACCACTTCGAATCTCGCTCACCGGCCGTTGGCAGACCCAGTTGTCTATCCAAGTACGACGAGTCAGCCAGCTTGCATTAGCCGACCCCCGCCCAAGTTGGCAAGCTGTCTCGTCTGTGCTGCGCCTGACGTGCTGCTCAAATTGGACATGTAGATTGCCTGCGACGGATAGCTGTGGCCGAGTACACTCTATCCCACTCGTTGACTTCTGGCACAGCCATCCGCACCCAGAACCCGCATTAGCACAAATTCTGCGACGAACGGCCGGCATGACACCATTGTCCATTCATCACAATTATCGCCGCTTGTCCGGATGAGGGCTTCAACTATGCGGGGTGACAAGGCGGAGTGAGGATGCTCAAGCCCGAATGGGTCCCGCACTATCATGATTGCTCCAAGGACCACCCTGGCTTTGACCGCGCACACATGGATGTTGCTGTTCGTATCATGTGCTAGGCCTCGGCTTGGACCAGGCCGGGTCCTACTGGAAAACCCTGTCAGCACGCGCCAGCAGATCGGAAGGTCAAGCCTTGCGAATCGAAAGGAGCATTTTGAACCTGCTGAGAAAAGATACTAAAGACATCGCGTCCAGTAGCTGCGATTGCGTTGCGCCTCCCGAACACGCACAGAGCACTGGCTGTGCCGGTGCGTCGTCCGGCACTTGGCTGATCGTCATATCACCGTGCAATGCTCAAGCCGCCGCGCACACCGTTCTCTCCTGGACACTGCCCGTCATCGCTTCCTTGCATCACCCCCAGATGGGAAGACTGTTGCTTGTCGCTCGACGCTGCCGGACTCCGACATGCGATGATCCTCAGCGCGACGCTCGACGCACGTGGCACTTGTGCATCCCAATTCGTCTCCCCACGAGCACCGTACATTGACAACATCTGCGGAGACGCGATCATCATCTCCGCAGTCAATACATGGAGTAAGGTCCAGAAAGTGCGCAATGAGACGTTTTGCCTGTTTTTGTAGCACGTCGGGTCGCGCGCGCGCCGTCGTTGTCTAGTCGTCCTAGTGGGGAAATTGAGCGTCCGGCGACTGCTCGAGCTAGCCTGTCAGGAGAAGGAGATCGTCAGTCGCCTATGCGAGTTTTTCCCTGAATCGAGACCACCGAATGAGCTGTTTTGGGTTCCCTCAAAGCACGTAGGGCTTATACACACGAGATACTTTCTAGTGTTTGAGAACGCGGGAAGCTAACATGCCGCAGCGTTCCTGTCACGACTCTCAGCCCTGTACCGCTCCTGACACCGGCAGGGGCTTCCGGCGCAACTAAGCCAGCTTTCGTCAGGTCAGTGTGTCATGTAGCTTGAGAACTAGTCTGACGAGCATCTGGCGCCTCTCCCGCTCTTGACAAGATACTGCGACTTGCCGATGCATGCAATCTTCCTTCCGCTGGCCCTGCCATGGTCCTCAGGCTCCCCCGCTGTGCAGCTGTCGCACTGCCAGTTGCTGCCCCGACTCCTCAATCGACGTCTCTCCCACGTGGATGCAAGGATCAGCGGCCCAGCATCCCCACAACTATTGAGAGCAGCAATTGACCAGTTCGGCGTGGACGTGGCCGAACTCGGTCGTTCACGGCGCAGAGCTCGTGCCATGCGGAGTACAGTTCACGGCGTGGCTCGTATCTGTTGTCGTGCGCGGATCTTGCTTCTACCACGTTGCCCTTTCTGGCGCAAGTCTGCCCAGGCGCCCCTGACCCAGCAGTGTAAATCTGTATAACGTTATCCAAAGATGCGATTAGTGATTGCCCGGCCCAGCACATGATCAATGAAAGACGTCGCCGGTGTTGGGCCGACACCTAGCGTTCACAGCACCAGGCACATGCTTGAATCGTGATGGTGAAAGCTCCCGAGATATCACCAGCGGTTTCCCCGGAGTGCCTGACCACCGGGGATGTTCAACCCATTAGTGTCAGCAACTCCACCACGGCGTCAAACCGGTGACGACCCACCGTCGAGCAGCCAACGATGCGGCTCTATAACCGTTCTCTCTCCAGGGTCCCGCTGCCAGGGGTCGGCGATCGACGTTGTGTGGAGAACAGAGTCTGCCTTTTCTTTTACCCGCTCGGCGTACTCCGGGCCACGTACGGCGAAATATCTACTCGAGCCTATGTGCGTCGCAATCACCTACCTAGGTGATGACGTTTTGTCAGTGCGATCGGGAGCTTGCCGAGAAAAGGATCGAAGGTTAATCCTATACCACCGCACAGCGGCCATGCATAGGGCGGGAAAGCTTGAGAGAAATTCGGCCGTTTCCCCAGTAATCGTTCCTTCGATGACGAAAAGTTAACGCGCTCGGTGCTTGCCGATCGATAGGGCATTCCGCCGAACGGCCTCATCCAGGGCCCATTCCACATGCCGGGGACCCCAACTGCCAGAAATCCGATGCCAACCAGGCCTCTGTCGCTTCGTGTCAACAACGACGCTGTCTTTCGCGCGGTTACGGGCGTACAGCGCGCTTGGCGCTTGTGCGCACTCTGCGAACCAGTCGAATCACGGCAACTTCGTTTCATGAAACTGCCATTCACACAGCTACGGCCGCTGGCAGAACACACCGTCGCCACCGCCACACAGCCTACACGATGAATACGCATCGCTTCTCAGAATCGGCGCCAGCGGAAAGCATCGTTGGATGCCGCACCGAGATAGGATCTGAAGCGGCCCGCGCGTCTCCGGAACACGGATTGACCAAGCCGCATTCGTGCAAAGGCGACGGAGCCCGATAAGCACATCAGGGCGGATATCTTCGGGCTGCATCAGCCATGTCAAAACCGCGAGCCCGGACACGTGCGCTTCGTGCGGCAATCTCGCTTTCCCACCAGTCAACCTCGAGTGTGGAACTCATGTGCATTTGTTGCCCTTGGCGCAAATGCTGGGGCCGTCAACAATTTGACTTTTGATCACAAATCCCCACGCTGGCTTCTGCCTACGTCCATTGGACGAGGGCCTAGACCCACGTGGGGAAACCAAGGCGCGAAGCGCCCTCACTCCACGGCGAAGGCAGATGCCGTCCTTCACCAACGACACCCACCGTCCATCCCCAAGTGACAATCAAGATTTTACGACTACCAGCACATAATCGTCACCGCTTTGGTGTTGGATCTCTGAAGATTTGGACGTGGTAGGCGGCTATGAAGATGAAGATCTCCAGCAGGCGCGAAGACAGCCAATGAGATGGCGCAAATTAGCTGGACAACAACAGTCACGCACACTCTGTGATATGGCTCCACTGACCGGTGAGGCGAGCAAAAATCTTTCTTGGGCAACGAAGATACCCTGCAGAAGACGAGAGGATTCTGCGAGGCTCATGTGGTCTGTCGGTAACTGCGCCAAAGGGAAAAATCCAGGGCTCGCGATGTCGCGGAAGCCTCTCGCACGCAGAAGAGGACTGACCGGCAAGTGTCCTCCCGTCATTGCAGGCTGACGCGTCTGTGAGGTAGGATGCGGGAAGGTGAAGAACGGGCTACTACTCGAACACCAGCTACGTTGCATCTGCTTTCCAACTGCAACATCCATTTCGCTTGGTCGCGATAGAGCCTCATTGATACCTTTACTCCATATTCGTGAGAGAATATTCCTCTTTATAGCTCATTTCAGGACCTCGCGTCTCTTCTCAAGTTCTTCAAGCACTGTTGTCCTAATCTTGACCAGACGTCCCTCGTCAACATCGCGCATAGACATACGAGTCGTTGCTGGAGTACGCGTCACTGCAAACGGCAGTATGCGACACTCGGGAAGGCGTTGCACGTTGAAACGGCTGAATAGTTCAACGACTGTTGGCTGTATCTTCCCGTTGACTTAGTACGCGCATCGGCCCGCCACCTTTGCCTCTAAAGGCAGCAACGCTATGCGCAACTGCCTCTGAAGATAGTCCGCTAATGCACCATGCGATTTACCTTCCCGTCTTTCCGCTCGCCCACCACGCCTCTCCGCCCGACTCCGGACTCAAGCTGAAACACACAGCGCGCCGATCTACGCGTCGGAGCCCAGAACAGATCGTCATCGTGCCATTGCCGAATGAGTATAGCAGGAGTACCCATTATCTCAGCCGCAATATAGGATCCGTGTGTATGGTCCCGAACTCCGTCCATGATTTGTGCAGTTGCTGCAGACTGTGGGCCCAATGTTGGGAGTCGCTTTCTTCTGTTCTTTATTGAGGTTTACGCTTTTTTTCTTTTTAGCTCTTAACCTTGTCTCTTCCCCTTTCCAGGTCGGCATCCACATCCCACAGTTCCCCGCCGCGCCGTTGTCGTATCTGCAAGCCTCTGTTCGCAGTTCGTTGTCTACCCGAACGAGTATTCCGGGATGCCGCGCGGGCCTGGGTAGGTAGGGGGCCGCACTCGCTTACGCGGGAACGCCGCGTCCGCATCCCGATATGCTGCTGTTTAGGTACAGCCCGCAGTAAGCTGAGCTTCGGACGTATCTTTGAAAGTCTTCGTTGCCCTCGGGCCCCTGCACATGGCGTTCCCAATACTTGTCAGGGTGACGTTGCAAGGACGGCTTCAGAAAGAATGAAAGGAGAGCACTGACGTCGCCGCGAGGTACGGAGATTTCCAGCGCGGGTTGGGTTGGGTTGGCAGAAAAGAAAGCGACTGCTCGTGCTCTTGGCCAGCCGCCCGCACGTACTCGCTCGCAACACGGTCCTTTGGTGTTTGATACAGATTGGAGATTGGCACCGCAGGCTGGCTTCTAGAGCTTCTAAATCGAACTTTCGATCAAGCCATTAATCTCCCCTCTCCTTTCTTTCTCTCTTTTAGCCTCGCGCACCTTACGCACTGCGCCGCTCAGCCAAGAGGCCTCGTGCGGAAGCGGTAGCTATCCCTTGGCGATAAGCTACCTGCGGAATCCCACGCCGGCGCGGGATCTGCTTTCTAGCTGGTGCCGATCGAGAATATCGAAAGGAAAAAAAAATCACTTCTAGGGGCTCCTGGGATGGCCGCCACGGGGCGGCGTTGTGGCGCGGCCGTCACATCAGGGTCTCTCTACGTTTTGGGCGGGTGCGAGATTCTCGCCATCTCGCTTTCTCGCACGCATTTCGCAACCGGGCCCAACCGAACGAGCGAGCGATGCGAAACGACGAACCCCGACCGCGACGTCGCATAGCGTCTTGTCGCACCTTCTTTTCTCTGTCCCCTTCTTTCCGCGGCGCCTTCCTCCTGTTGCTCTTGTTTTCGTGTGGCGTTCAGTCGGTCCCATCCGCTAGATCGCACCGGACCCAGCGCTAAGAGAACGCATCGTTGGAAAATACGAAGCCCGAAAAAAGGGTCCGCGGCGGGGAGGCGCGGCAGCTAGGAAACAGGGAAGTAGAAAAGATTAAGGGCTAAAAGGGCAAGGAGAACGGGAAGGAAGAGGAAAGGAAGGGAACTAGTCATCCGGCTCCGTCGTTGCTGGTTGCCTGGCCTGGCACCCATCGCCTCGGGATGATCGACGCCCCTAGCATATTAAATCATCCGACACAGTGGGAAGGAAGAAGTTCCTAAGTGAGAGACTAGCCTGAGGTTCCCGGCGAGATTGGAGGGTAGGCTGCGCCTTTGTCGCGACATTTGGTGGTCCACAGGGCTGGTGGGTACCGGGGGTGTTCGGTACCATCGTGATCGCATGCCGAAGACCTTCTTTCTCATGCACTTATTTTCGATTTCCCGGGGCAGCGGAGAAAAGGAAGAAGACGAGTTACCAGAGGTGGAACGTGTGATAAGCAAACCGCCACGAGAAAGGAGGTTGTCTTGAAGCCAGGTGCCAGCTCCGACAAGCACAGGCGTTTGTCTTCGAATAGAGCGCGGCCAATGGCAGTGCAACACCGTATTCTTTAGTCTATTTTCGGCTCTTTTTTAGAAGACGAGAGCTAATTGTTACTATACATGATATGAGTGTAATGTGATCCGGTCTCGTTGGAGTGTGCTTTTTTTTTTTTGCCCATCGAGACCTCGGGCCAAGACAAAGCAAACGAAGAGGCAAAAGACAAATTTACTGTTGCCGCGGCAGCAGGCATCGTTGGTACCCGTCATTGCCGCGACACGGCTGGAGTAGCGTCAAGTCAGGGACGGCTCGAGCGCCGCGCCGTCCACAATGGTGCGAAGACGAGTCGTTCGTCATAACCATCGTCATTGAGCTGGATCATCACTTCATGCAGGACCTCTGAGCGGGCAGGCGGAACCCCTGAAGGCCGATGATGTGCTTCCGTCCTACTTCTCTCCGCAGGGTTCGGGTCGGCCGGCAGGCCTTCCGGCATTGCTGATCAAAAAAGGCAGCAGAAACCAGAGATGGTGCTTGGGGATCTCTCGCCAAGCCTTCTCCTACCGCCTGAATCAAGACCTAAATGTGGGACTGTGCCGCGGCTCAGGAGACACGGCTCAAATACCAGCTGCGGGCCATCTGCATGCTTTTGCTTGGTGAAAAAACCGGGTCCACGTACATTTAAACCAAAGTTTGCTGGTCATTCACCCGTTTCACAGTACGGCAGGCTGGCTTCTAGAGCTTGATTGGGAAAGATGTGACCTCGTAAAAGTGGGAGTCGTTCATGATCGAGTTGCGGTTGAAAGTCTTTCACTTCCTGCGAATCCAGGAGGAATTCAGCTGCTGGTTTGCTTGCCCTCGGCCGGCGCTTTTCCATTCGAGTCGGAGGTGCTCCCAGCACCAGTCCACCGGGCAGCGTCCTGTTCTTCTCGGATCGCCTCCTCTCGATCCTCCTCCTCGATCTCCTTCAGGACCGATGGTTCCTCCTCGTAGTCGTCTGGAACTATATGATCCTCCTGGTAGTCGTCCGGAACCAAATAATCCTGCTCTTCCTCCGCTTGGCTGCGTTGCTGCGCGCCGAGCTCCTGTAGACCCTGGGCTAGCCTGTCGTTCTCCCGCATCCTACTAAGAGCGCGTAAAGAGGACAGATCCAGCTCGACCTCCTGGAGCTGCATCTTTCGTATCGTATCCAGAGCTCTATCGACCTCCTGTAGTCGGGCGTACCCTCTAACAAGAGAATTCCAAGTGACATCATTTGGTTCCTGATTGTACTTGCGCATGATTTCAAGCACCCGTTCTGCGGCTTCGGGCTGCTTATGCCGCATGAATGCATTAACCAAAATATCCCATGTATACTTTGAAGTAAGTGGAACTGCATGGACACGCTTGTCAGTCATCTGACGCAAAATTGTGGGTACCATCTGGAGGGTATTGGCATTCTGCCCCAGGGCGAAGAGGAAGGCATTGAAGAAGTGGTCGGTTCGTCCAAGTGAAGACATGACCGGATTGTCAGGGCGCTCGATCTGGCGCTGAAAAACATGATAGAGGCGGACCACCTCCTCCGGGCTCTGTCGAGAGACGAGTTTAAGGTAAGCTGTCAACACGATGGCGATAGCATGAGGGGATGGGCTCATGGTCGTAGCAACGGTTTTACCGAAGAAATGAGGCGGCACACCCAATGCGATCGGAATTGAAGGGTCGAAATATTCATGGTAGGTCTTTGCCAGATCGGCAAAAGTGGTTGCTGTACTGGCTGGTTCAAAATGCTGGAGGTAGATGCAATGGATGATGTCTGTGGCAACGACTCGGGGTCTTTCGAGGTTTGGTAGAGCCTTTCCTGCGTCCCCTACGATTGATTGGAGCATTTCGGGGTGTTTCCCGTCCTTAAGGCCCTTCAACAAGACAGTGTACGTATAATCGTTCGGCTCGATCCCGTTTTGCTGCAAGAGTCGATATACGGTGAAAGCCGCCTGCAGATCGCCATGGTCAACAGCATTGTGCATGACCACTGTGTAGAGGTAAATGTTGAGCTTGACACCCATGGTAGTCAATTCCGACAGAATCTCGGCTGTAGCAGGATAGTCGTTTGCTTTGGTAGCGCTGCTTCGAAGTATTTGCGTGCAGACGGACGCGAAAATCTCGTCTCGGGGAGGTGCTCCCAGCTCAATACGCCTCCGTAGTTCTCTTACGGCCATTTTATACTCGCCGTGTTTGCCAAAGAAATATGCGAGGTGGTATGTTGTGAACCTCGCGGGTTTAAAAGCAGTTCCACGAAGCATCTTCCACAGCTGAGCACCCTCCTCAAGGGAACTGTGGGTCAAGACAAGGTGCACAAATTTTTGAGATAGTGCACGGCCGAGGGTCCTCTTTTGTTGCAGGAGGAATTCTAGAGTGTAAAGGAATCCAGGAGGTAATCTAAGCTCGTCGCTTTCAGCACGCTGGAGGTGGCTACTCATGAAATGCTCCAGAATATCAGCAACAGCGTAGCTAGGTGCTTTCTTTCCTCCACTTATAGCTTCCAGGGTCGGCAAAACTGCATCGTGATCATGATGGAGCAGCCATAACATCATCTCGCCCCAGATGTTCTTTTTCCCTTCGGCCGAGTAGTCTTCGCGCATGCGAATGATCCATGCCTTCCTAATAGCGGCTGAATCTCGCCCCAGACGTAGAAGTCTCTTCACTGCCTGTTCTGTCAAGGCGTTAACTTCTAGCTGAGACGATCGCAGTTCTACAGGTAGCCTGACGTCGTAGATGGCATTAAGCTGTGCGAACTTTTTGATCCACCATGCATCCTGTTGTGGGAAGTCATCGAGGGGAGGGAGAGAAGCAGCTTTCTGGAGCCTCCGCTCGAGGTTCTCAGTAAGTGTGCCGCTATAAGAGCTGATCATGAAATCTAGCCGGCGCGCTTCTCTGAATCTTGAATTCATCAGGTAGAGAATTTGTTTTTCGTCGTCCAATGGGATTGCCTCCAGGAGAGCCTTCTCTTCCTCCTCTTCAACCAAATAGTCGTCTTCTTCAGATGTAGAGTAGGAGCGGCGTTCCTGGCGGGAAAATAACGCCAATGTTTTGAAATATTGCAGTCGCGATCGAGCCGGTGCGAGTGGTGTATGCGAGGCGGTTGTTATAAAATGTCGTTGTGATGTCCTCTTCTGTAAAGAGGTGTGGGATCTCGCGCGGCCATTGTCGATGTAACACCGTTGGCATGGGTGCTGTTCCCCTTGACCGGCATGCTGCCCGGGCATTTCCTCGTTGTCATTTGATCCAGCGATGTTCGCTACGCGTATCGTTCTCGGTATTCCAGCGCAACGACTCGAAGGGACGGCAGCGACTTCGGCGGTCATCCATCTCCGGGTATGCTGCAGCGGCGCGGCTCTCTCGAGGGCATACGGGGCGGAAAAGTGCAGCACAGGCGGCGCATTGCCTCTGATGGTCCGCGCATGGTGGATGATCGGATTGCTGGACATGGAGCGAGGTTATCTGGGCATGGCTGGGAATGTCGCGGAGGACTGGAAGAAGCTCGAGCAGGCGGCGGCGACGGTCCGAAATTTTGGAGCTCCAATCCATCTCTCCTCCGCCGCCCGCCGACACCACCATCTAATCGCCTGTTTAGCCCCGCCACTTACCGCCTGCCTTACCTTTGCCGAGCTCAAATACTGCCCTGCGATTCGTGTGCTACGCGTTTGAACAACAGAAACGCCTCCACGCAACACTTTACTGCTTCGCGTCAACCTCTAGCCCGCGACAAAGCTCCCGGCATACAAGCCTCATCGCACCCATGTCCTCCCACGCCTCTCTCAGCGCCGCCGCTGACGAGCGCAAGGCACGCCTCGCCAAGCTCAAATCGCTGAAGCGCAAAGCGCCCGACGAGCCGTCCGACATCGAACCTGGCACCGCCGAGACGCAAGCAGACGATCGCGAAGGCTCCTCCACCCCCGATGTCTCCAGGCTTTACCTCTCTGGCCGCAACTTCGATGTCGAAACAAAGGGACCCAAGCTGGGCTTCGAGAGCAATCCGGCCGAAAACCAGGTGACGCTAGAGGCCAAGGCGGCCGAGCTGGCCGAGCGCACCAAAGCTGAAGCTGCGGCTGACGAGGCTGCGGACAAGCCGCTGGATCTGTTCAAGCTGCAGCCGAAGAAGCCGAATTGGGATCTGAAACGTGATCTGGACAAGAAGCTGGAGGTGCTGAATGTGAGGACGGAGAACGCGATTGCGCGGTTGGTGAGGGAGAGGATTGAAAATGCTCAGAAGGAGGCAAAGAAGAAGGCTGGAGCGGGCACCGGCGAACTTGAGCCTAAGGACAAGGATGGTGAGGCGGTCGGCATGGACGGCGCGATGCTGGCGGAGGCCATGCGTGAAAGGGAGAGGGAAGATGAGGCCGAGAGAGAGAGGGAAAAGGGAGATGAAGAGCTGGTATGAACCAAGAGGCGGGATATCACGGCGTTATGGCGCTAAGTAAAGCCTTGGAGGGCTGGTTGACTGAGCTTCTTCATGCATCAACGGAGCACGGGGTCTGGGTTCGTTTAGAAGACTCTGCATGATGATTCCTCGTCGCCGAAAAACTACATTCAGACCCTGCGCGCAAGACCATGAGGATCTGGCGGTGCTGGTTTCAGGGAATGGCAGATGAATTCTAGACCAAGCAAATGAGAGGCCAAGAAGTCTGGGGCAAATTTTGGACATTGCCTAGCCTCCATTTGCAGCAGAGCAAGGTACAACAAGCGGGAACAAAAAGGAAGTAGTTGCATCTACTCTGAAGCAAGTATGTGCTGCGTTAGACGTCCTAGAGGCGAAGAGACATTCAAGCCGCCTTCATTTAAGACAGGCTCATAGTATTACTGATTCACAACACTTTCGACTCTTGATCAGCACTTGGAAAGCTTTGATTTGTTGTATTCTCTTCATAAAAGTCTGTACGGCAGATTTGGCGTGGCTAACCTTTACATCAGTCAGTATATCGCAGTGACTTCTCACCTTTAGCTGTTACGAGGAGCATTTTTATATATAAAGCTGTAATACAACGAATGCCAATGGGTATCTAGAAGAACACCTCGGAGCTTCTGTGAACCGAATCCTCTCGGACCTTACTGCATAGCTCCTAATTCAGCAGGTTTACGCTGATAGGCGATTCCGGAGATCAGGAAGGAGAAATCACGCGCAACTTTTGAGGGAATGGCCTTCCAACCATTCTTTAGGGCCGCCCGTAAGGACATGCTCGAAAAGGTTGCCATTCCCGCGCGGCAAATGATAAAGGCCCAGTGTTAAGTCCCGCCACTCCGTTTCCACACCAATTTATCTTCCGCCCATATTCATTGCTTGAGTCATGGCGAGGCGCTTGCTGTAAGGACTTAAGCTTCTTTCCCTAAAGCTTGCTGGCGGGGGGCCAGCGTTGCCCGGTGGTGGCCGCTGAGGCCTGTCGGAACGTCCGTTACGCTCTCTGTATTGGGGGCTGGCCCGCCTTCGCGGGCTACGTGACCGACGGCGAGGAGGGCTGAGGCGAGGAACTCTTGCGCGTTGGCTGTATGGAGAAATCGATCTTTCAAAATCACGGCTGCGGCTTCTGTGACGGCTTCTGCTTCTCGAGACGTCATTCTGGGGAGACACGAATGATCGACTTCGTGGCCTGCCACGCTCTCCAGGGCTGAATGAGCTCCGCCTCCTCCTGGTATTCCGCTCTTTCGCGCGTGGTCTGTCGTCTTTGTCGGAGTGGTAAGAGCCTGCTGACGAGCTCACGGAGCGACGCCTACGCTTGCGGTCGTCGCCGGCCGGTGAGTGCTTGGAGCGCTTGGGCGCTTCCTGTCGGTGTGAAGGCGAGCGCGAGGGTGAGCGGTTCGTCGAGATGGTTGATACGGATGAGGAGGAGTAGGATGATACAGAACGGGAGCGCTTCCGCGGGCGGGACTGCAGGTCGTCATCGTCGCGGCTATGCTTGCGGCCCCTCTCGTCGGCCTTTTTTGCTAGGGTTTCGTCTGCGACGCCCTTCCTGGCAACATGTCAGCGCCATTCGGCCATGACCAGGGGCTGGAATGAACGTACTTTCGGAGCAGGTCGTTGGGCACATCGCTCGTGAGTTGCGGCTTAAGCTTCGGGTTGAACAGCTGTTGGGTACGGCTGGGCCGGCTCACGTACGGGCGCTCCTGAGTAGAGGCTTTGCACTCGTAGCTGTAGTGACGTAGGGAAGTGTCAGTTGGATCTGGTCGGCGAAAGCGGGCGGGGATTCGCATATCTTTTTTCAGGCACTTCTGGCAGGTGGTGCTCGGCGTGGCCTTGGAGCGGCCGGTGTATGCAGGGCCGCGGTACATGGCTGGAGCGAGCGGGAGAAGCTCGAGCGGGGGTTGTTGTCGCAAGGAGAAGCGCGGAGGAGGGGCGGTGCGGCTCTGGACGCAGGTCGTTGCGCGATGGCATGCGGCTCGCACTCAGGCAGAATGACGACGCTGGGCGCGCAATCCAATGCGATCGCGCGCTGGCTTGCCCCAGGCAGACAGACCGCACTTCACAACGGCTCGACGTTTTTCCCGCGCTGCACCGACGGGAGTGCGAATAAATTACACCCCCGGCGCCCCCTCAACGCGGAGTCTTTCAGCGGACGCCTCTTCAAGCAGCCGCACAATTGTACCGGCCTTCTCAATCCGGCTTTGCGAATAGCGGCATTGTTACTCGAAGACTGGATCAAACATCCGGACATTCACGTAGACTTACAAAGCCCAATTGATGTCTCGATGGAGACTGCAATTGCCTACGCAAGAAGAGTGCAGCATTGCCTCGCAACATGTTGGGAAAAAGAAAAAACCGGTTCGCACCATGCCGGGCAAGTGGATTGTCCCTCCACCGGAGCAGTCATTTTAGCCTCGTCGAAGCTGCGGACGGCCGAGGAGTTTCTGTGGGCGGCTGTACTGGCTGTCCCCAAACGGGAATATTACGGCACTCGTGGGGACCTCCTGCCAAGGCTCGGGGGTGGTTTTGCTGCATCCGCTGGGCTGGGCGCCCGACAGACGAAGAGCCCTCACCACGCCTGCTTGGCCAACAAGCATCTCCCGACGCAGCTCTCCAGCAAGCAAGCCGTCCACGCTCGCGCTGGCGCATCTTCCCCGCCCGCCGCTCCGTGCTTCAGCTGCGCGCCTTGTGTCCAAGCACCACTCCCGGGCTCCCGCGTCGGCGCTCCTGACTCCTCGAGCCTCGCCGACCTGAGGACCCACTCGTCGCTGCGTGCGCCCACTTCAACTGCCCTGTCGCACCGCGATGAAATCACCGCCAACCTTCTGAGCCGAGCCCGCCAAATGCACGATGTCCAGCCTTATGGTCCTGGCTTTCACGACTTTCCTTGAGCATTCCGGTTCCTGAGATCACCTGGCTTTCGACATTTCCATTTCCCTTTGCGAGCGAGCACGCCCGGGTACCCACCGCGCTTCCAAGCCCCGGATTGCGACCACCCTTCTCTGCATTCTACTGTCATCATACCCCGCATAGCTCGCCCCACGCTGGCTGGAGAGAATGTCCTCTCAAGGCCCCGCCGTCAGCGAGACCTCCAACCTGAAGCCGTCGTTTGCAAAGGTATAGTTTGCGCCGCTTTTCAGTTCCCAGAGACGCCCTGTTGCTCCGACCCGCTGCCATCTCACTTTGCTTGCTCAAAATTTCCTGCCCTTACCGCCCCGCAACATCACGCCCACCCAGAACCATAACTGACGATTCGCAGGTTGCAGCTTCAGCTTACATGCCTCATAATTCTAAAAACGTTGCTTCTGGCACCAAGTCTGCCGAAGGCCAGCAAGCTCCTGTTATCCTACAGACACCGTCTGAAGCCCCGGAAGCGCAAATAACGCATGCCCCGGTTGAGAATGGAGAAAAAGACGAGAGCTCCAATCAGGAGCATGCTCCAGACACCAATGGCTCCTCCAAGGATGCCCATGCGCAGAATGGCGTAAGCCCGGACTCCAATGCCGAGCATTCATTGCACTCGGTAGGCGGCGCAGTGAAGCCCGTGGTTGCTGATGACGATGCAACCCAGGTGTCTTCCTCCAACAGCTCGGCAAAGCCGCCGAGCGTGGATGGCAAGAGTGTCGCGTCCGGAACGACTTTCGCGCTCGACGAGAAGGAAAGCATTCGCCCAGACGATAGTGCCAGCATCCGTGCCGTGGAAGAGGATCGCGAAGATGTATTCACGCCCCCTGATTCCATCGCAGCCGGATCCAGGGTTGGCTCGGAGAACGGCATTGGTCGAGCTTTCCGTGACCAACTTAACGAGATTTCCGTCATGGGGGCCTCTTCTCAGCGCGGTGTTCCACCTGGCCGGAATGTCCAGATCCTAGGAAGCAGTGATGCTCCTCAGGGCGGTTCCGGTCGCGCTATATCACTACCTCTCGGTGCCATCAAGGAAAACGACGGCGCTTCCCAGCCGCAACCGGCCCCTGATGAAAAACTTTTGGAGGCTCTACAGTCTCCCAGAGACAGATTGTTTGTGCTCAAGCTAGAGCAAGACGTGCTCGATTTTCTAAGAAATGCAGGGTACGTTGTATCTTCCGAACCATCATTATTAAGAGACTGACGAACTGTGAAGCGAGAAGGAGTTGGATGTTCCAAACTGCAATGCGTTCTACCGCATGCTTGCGCATCGATTTGCTGATTACTATCTTCTCGGCCATGTTGTCGATCCGGTCACAAGTGCCGTGAAGATTACCAAGACTCCCTATAGTAGAATGTAAGCAGTCTGTTTAAGGATCAGTGATGTCCGCTAATAAGTTTGTAGGCCCCCGCCACTCTCGAGCCTTCCGAGCTCCCTATCATCGGGTCCCGAAACTCCTCCAATCATAGTGCCTGCTCGAAAGATTATGCGCCGAGGAGAGAGTGGAGGTACCCCATCAGGCACTAACACAACGGCCAATTCCGAAGGTCCTTCGAAGACAACGTCTGAGGCTGGTGCCGATAGTGGAAGTGATGCTGGGCAAGGTCCTAGGAAGCTGACTAGAGAAGAACGTGAGGCCAAATACAAAGAAGCCCGACAGCGCATCTTTGGAAGTGCCGAGGATGGTGACCTTGGAGAAGCGGCCAACAATGAGAGCAAAGACATGTCGCGATCAAGTTCCGCTGCTGGGAAAAAGAACAAAAAGAAGAATCGCAACAATGACGACGACGGATTTGAGGCGAGGTCCCAATTCAGCCCCTACTATCCCGGACAGTATGGAGCCCCAGGGTATCCGAGCGATGGGCCCCCTATGTACTATGGCCCGTACACCAACATGGTTCCTCCGTCAACCAACATGAACCCCAATGGAACGCCGCCCATGCAGTACAACAACGGCTATCCGGTCATGGTCCAGCAGGATCCTCAGCAGCAGTTTTCTTGGCAATACCAACAGTTTGGAGCCGGCAATGGGGCCATGAATGCAGGGCCTTATGGATCTCCGGTGCCGATGAACTATGACCTCTCGCAGGACTTTCAGCGCATGTCCTTCCAGCCTGGAAATGCATCTAACCAGACACCAAAGATGTCGAACCCTACGCTGGCTAGTTTTCCGGACGGATATAGGCCGCAGTCGCAGGGCATGAACCAGCCATGGCAGATGTCGGGCCAGGTGCCATATCAATTTGCTCAGCAAAGCTATGACAACCGACCGATGTCGGCGGGCCAAAATCCCTATCCTTATGGCCAGTTGCCCAACCCGCAGTTCGGCAACAACCGCAACCAACACCCCCTTCCCGGTAGCTTCAACCGGCAGCAGTTCAACCCGCAGAGCCAGACATTTGTCCCCAGCTTCCCTGGTCCCGGGATGCGCGGAGGAGCACCGTTTGGCATGCCGGGGCAGTCGCCGCAGATGGGAGTGGTCGCTCCAAACATGGTCAACTTCCCTAACTTCAACATGCCCATGCACCAGCAGCAACCCCCGCGCCCAAGTCAGCCCACTTCGCAGCCGCAGTTCAACCGCCCGCCGGGAAACCCAGCGTTTGTGAAGAATCAGGGCCAGGGTATGGCCCATCCTCTGCCGCAGCCGGTATCGGCCGCACACAATCAGGCACAGAGATCTGCCTCGGGCGGTAGTCAAAGCAGCATCGCCAAATGGGGTACTCCGGCGCACCTGCCGCCTAAACCCCCACCTCCGGCCTCAATGCAGCCCAGCCAGAAGTTCGTAAATGGGCCACCCAACCGGGTTCCGTCCGGACCGCCGCCGCAGCAGAACCCGAACGGCACGTACCCTATCCCTAGCATAATCGGGACGGGCAATGGAGCGCGTGCTGCCAAATAGAGGTTTTGCACCTGCGCTTCCAGCCATGATCGCTCTGCATTTCCAGGAGTTGGTCGATGTCGGCGAGGGAGCTTGCTTGCAACAAAATGCTTTTTTGGTATGTGCGAGTTGTGAGGTCTTATTTATTCCCAATTCACGGCGAGGAGTCTAGATGTCGGCCCGGTATGTCGGCGATTCACGGTCAATCGATGCATCTTCAAGGCGTAAACGGCAAGGATGGATAAATTTTTGAGGCCTGGATGATGTGCAAGGTTGGCGATGAAGTAAAAGTTGAGTCGTGGGATTTCTCTCTACTCGGTGATTGAGCGGGCGGGGTTAGGCTTCTTAATTAGATAATTCACGAAGGTTTTGCTCTTGTCAATGGACGGTGAAAGTTAAAAGGGCCGGGAATATGGCAGGACGTTGTTGCGGGGCGCGGCGGATGTGGGTAGTACGGCGGGCTCAGCGGCCACCTGCGCAACCGCCGCGACGTCGACCAGAAAAGTCACAGGTCGCGGCACGTCGATCAGCAACAGCCGTTCCCGCACCTCCACACAACCGCCAGTCATGCCAGCAAGACCGCAAGTCAGGCTAGGGCAATTAGCCCTGCCTTTGCGGCCCCGGCCAACCGCCTCGCCGCTCAATGCCTCGTCCTCGCCTCGCCATGCGGTCCTCGCCGCAGCACGACAACCACAGCAGCTCCAGCAGCAGACCCGAGGCATCAGGTCCATCGTCGCGCACCCGTCGCCCACCGACCGCTTCAACCGCGGGCCCAACATGCGCGTGCTGGGCGCCTCGTCGACGGCGGCGCTGGCGCGCAAGGAATACACGACGCCGCTGCGGACGGGGGCGCTGGCGGTCAAGAAGGGCATGACGGCGCTGTACGACCCGGAGACGGGCGTGCGCACGCCGTGCACGGTGCTGCAGCTCGACCGCTGCCAGGTCGTCGCGCACAAGACGCGCGACCGCCACGGCTACTGGGCCGTCGCCATCGGCGCCGGCTGGAAGCACCCCAGCAACGTCACGCGCCCGCTGCTGGGCCACTTCGCGGCGCAGGGCGTCAGCCCCAAGCGGTGGGTCCGCGAGTTCCGCGTCCGCGACGAGAAGGGCCTCCTGGCCGTCGGCGAGGTCGTCGGCGCCGAGTGGTTCAAGGAGGGCCAGTTTATAGATGCTAGGGCGGATAGCAGGGGTATGGGTTTCGCGGGTGTAAGTGACGGCCCTTTTTGTTTTCTCTGAGACTACCGGGAAATGGTGAGCAAGGGCATATGATGAGGTGCTAATGCTTTGTCCGTTAAACAGGGTATGAAGCGTTGGGGCTTCAGTGGTCAGCCCGCCTCCCATGGTCAGTCGCTCACTCACCGTGTGATGGGTTCGTCCGGTGGTTCGCAGGGCTCTGGTTCGAGAGTGTTGCCTGGCAAGCGCATGCCTGGTCGTATGGGAGGCGAGCGTGTTACCGTGCAGAACCTCAAGGTCCTGAAGGTTGATCCCGAGAATGGAATCGTCGTTGTCAACGGTATAGTTTCATCTCCTTCAACGTGAAAGATTTGCCTTTTGCTGACTGAGTACGCAGGTGCCGTTTCTGGCCCGAAGGGATGCATTGTCCAGATCCAGGATGCCATCAAGAAGCCGTGGCCCGATGTTCCTCTTATCACTTCGACAAAGCCAACGGAGCAATCTGCTACCGCCTAAACGGCATAGAGCAAAAGGCTCCTTGGCAGGAACGGACAGGTTTCCCTGTACAAATCAGACTCTGTACGATTTTAAGCAGTTCAAGAGGCAAGCATGCAACTGTGGGGGGAAGGGATATAACTGGGTTGGACTCGACCCAGAGGGCGCATCTGTGGGATAACAAAATTAACATACAGTCATATTTGTCAAAGCTTAACAATGAGTTGCTTGCCTACCTGTCTGCATTTGTTGACCGGACATCTGCTCGTAGAGGGACCTCCACAGTCAGTTGCGAATGACCGCTCCCCTATACGCCAGACTATCGGTCCTTTCTTACAGCCCCGTGATGCTCTTCATCCAGACTAAAGAATTATCCAGCTTACCTTCCGCCTAACTTCGAGACGTCACATCTCTCCAGCTCTGGCTTGAGTTCCATGCAGCAGCAGTAGACTTCCATATCAAGCTTTTAGATAGCGATATCCATACGGCATGCAGTCTTTTGCAGTCAACTAATGGCAGCCATAGTTATTTATGGTCATTGTTTTGCCCTTTGCTTATCCCCCAGAGCGAGTGTGCATGTGTGCGTCAAATCCAGATGGCGGCAGTTCCCCGCTATCATCATTCCTGCGACTGGTATCAGTGCATAGGGGGGCGTTGCAACAAAAGGCTAGCGTACATTTACTTCTCTGTATATCAGGCACTCATTATCTCGCTATCGGTTGCTGCGTTCAGTATTCAGGTGTAGATAGGCTATAGGTCTCTATCAATGATTACAGATGATGCCGAGGATTAGTAGCTAGCAGCAGTGGAAGAGTTTAATTCTGAGTCTTTCGAGATGCAAATCAGAATGACCACACATTTCCAGCGGTGACTTTGGTAGGTGGAGGGTTTCGTCAGACTCAAGCGGTAGACCACCATCGTAAGGAACCAATAATTTGTTTTTGCAAAAGACTGATTCAAAAGGAATGTTGAAGCTGTGACATGGAAACCTACCAGTTTCACGCAGTCTATGAACCGTCGCGTGCGCAGCACTTGTCGTGGGTTCCACAAATGGTGCCTTCACGCCATGAAGGGTGCAGCGATAAAATCACGCTTGCTCGAGTACATATGTCGAGTGCTTTGATGCATTCAACCTTAGGCGAATAGCTTGCTCATGTTGTGTGTGCAGCACTGGCCCAAGTCGCATTGATGAGTAAGCTACCTTGTCCGTCATGCACACAAGACAACATAGTAGTGGAGTCATTATCATTTGTTTTTCTATTATTCTCCGATAGATACACATCTTCTTTTCTGCTGTATTCCATGTCAAATATTCATCCTCTCGTAACCGCAACCGTCATAGCAACCAAGCCATCAACTCTTTTGTGCAACCCACTTTCCGGAGTTGAGCTTTGACCTTCCTTCGTATCACTACTATGAAAATTCGAGCTGGCTACCTAGCTCGTGAAGACTCGCAATTCCAGCTCGAGCCAGGATGTGGGCCATACGCTGAGAAGCTCAATGATGGTTTTTTTAGACCATGCCCTAAAGGTCAAGGCGCCGATGATCAGCAATTCCCAAAATTTTCGATGTCATGTTCTCAGTGTATCTCAACTGGAGGCCTGATGTTGGATATGTCGATCTCTCTGTTAGCCCTAAAAACATGTCGCATTCTTACTGGATTCGGCGATCGATGGCGTCGGCGAACGAGGATCCTGTCAAGATAATCAAGATAATGCACTCGGGCCCGCTCAGGCAGCCATCAAGCGTCTCAGAGCCCGAATCGCCTCCAGGACGAGTCAATGGCACCATTACAAGCTTGCCTGCGGACCCAGAAGGGATGGTAGGTGGAATAGTCTGTACAGGCGTGTCAGCAAACAAACAGGATCAGCGGCACGGCGCCTTTTACCTCGCTCGCCATCCAGTCCCAGCTGAGAAGCAACATTGACATAGCCTTCGGCATTCTTCTCGCCCGCCTTGACAACCTTCTTCAGCATGTCCTCATCCCCAGTCCAAGGCGTGCGGCAGTATGGGCAAGTCACATTGTGACCTCCCTTGGTAGCAGCCCACTGCTCGAAGCATGACTTGTGCACATTGTTGCCGCAGGCAGCTTTACACCACACAATCTCTTCGCTATCGTCGAATTCCTCACAGCAGATAGGGCAGTCGCCTTCTACAGCTTTCCGTCCGCTATCCTTGTCGCCGGTATCGCCCGAGGGGATCGGCGGTGCTGCAGAGAAGATATCTCTGAGCTCGGATGAGACGAAAGCAAGCTGGTACTGAAGTTGCGGGGGGGCCTTGAGCACGCGGATAAGCACCTATAGTGCATTAGTAGGCATCCCAGCACCTACGTAACTTACCAAAAACACACATAGATGATGTGCTTGCACTGATGGCCTTTGGCTGCGTGCGGGCACGTGCAGCTAGGGAGGAGCGAGATGTTGACGTTGTAAACGTTGCCAGTTGTCCCCGCGATTTCGACGTTCTCTTCCGGGCAATCGTCTGTTCCGCCACGAGAGCGTTCGATGACGAACATGCTATTGTTGATCAGTATTATTACACGTGAGGGCTTGCGAGCCGGGCTCACCGCTGTGTCAGTGCTCGCTCTTTTACAGCATTGAACGACTGAGGCGCCTTGTCGCGGAATCTGTTGATCGTCAGCTCAACTACGTCATGTGCAAAAATAGGTGCTGAGATCTTGCCGTCTGAGCCGTTTCTCAGCCACCGGAGCCGGCTTTGTCTTGGCCTGCTTTGCAGGCGCGGAAGCACCGGCATTGTCGACGGTTGCAGTGGGCAGTTTCTGCGCAGCAGCTTTGCTGCGCCGCTTCTTAACTGGAGACTCGGCACCTTCGGACGGCTGGTCTTCGGCGTACGAAACAGGCTTGCGTTTACGTCCACTCGAGCGTGGCTGTGAAAGAGGTTGGTCGTGTGCTGCCACACCGCTCATGTTCACAGTGGGGTCCGGTACGCCCATGACTGGCGTGGTTTCTCGTATGCGGCTGAGGATGACGCGGCTGAAGAGGTGACTTGGAGCGATGAAGTGGCGGGTGGATGCCGTGGAGGTGCGTGGGGACGGGCGGATTTAGGTTAGAACGGTTAGGTATCGATAACCTGGGGAGGCGCCAAAGCTTGACATGGGAACCGCGACCGGGACCCAAGCAAGCGCGCTTGCACGTGATGGGCCGAAGCTTAATGGATCTACCGTTCCTTGGGCTCGTTCCACAAAAGGATTGCGTCCTGCTTACGTGGGTAGCTGGGTCCTATGTTAGGATATTGTGAGATCTGCATTTGGTTGCGGCATTTCACTTCAACTGCCCACATAGGTATTGCAGTCCATTGTAGCAAACGGAAGGTCAAATGCTCCGCTACCTCCGGGACGGGACCGCTGCTCGCCATTGGTGCCGGCGCCTTGGGGTGATAGGGGACCCCCTTTGTGACCCGACCTCTGCTGATCCAGTGGGACGAATTTCAACCGACGATTCGCGTTGCCCCTTGGCGAATCCCGGCCCAGCGTCGTGCCATGTTTTGAGGCGCACCGCCGCTCCGTAGCGAAGCGTCCCTGATCGTCCGACATCATTTAAGTGGGCTTGGATCTGCATTGCATCTGGTAATCAACTCCGGACGGATTAATGCTGTGCGATTTGTTGCTTCTATCTAGAAATTAAGAGGATTTTTGGTGATGACCAGTGTGCATGTACTCTAGGAACGGAAAACCCAACCACCTGTAGCCCAAACGCCCGCTGCCCTACCCAACGCTTTTTTCGCAAATCCGACCGATGCCTGCCTCCGCTCTGAAGGCTCGCTAAATGTTCTGCAGACTGGGAGATTCGTTACCACATGAGATTATGCCTTGTTCCGGCCAAAGCCGAGCCGCTGCTTTAAGGTCTGCTTCTCCGGGTCGCCATCCGGCGGCATGGTGTAAGCCTTCTTGCTGCCAAGCTTCCTGCCCGTTCGGACATCCCTCCGACTGGCGCAGCAGCAGCAGAGGCCAGACTGGATGATGAAGGCAATCAGGATGCAACCAGCCGACGTCCACATGAAGCCGAACATCTGGGCACCAAGAACTGCTTTGATGTTGAGATCCTCGACTTGGGTCAGGGCGATCTTGAAAACAATGAAGATGGCCGTGGCGATGATGCAGGCCACGAAAATGCACAGCAGGGTGAACAACGACAAGATTGCAATTGGGCCAGCAGCCCATCTTGTGTAAACGGACAGAGGCGTCAGGAAAATCAGCAGGGTGGACAAGCAAGTTCCCGTCAGGAACAAGCCAAACATCCACTGCGAGGCCACCTTGAGAATGTCAAGGTAGGTCAATGCTTCCTCGGGAATAGCAACTGTGTTATAGGTTAGCATTTGACATCATCGGTGGCAATGGCTTCGGCCACTTACTGGTTGCGCCGGCGAACAACTCATTGAGCAGGATCTCCACGGGATTGAACCAGTAGAGGGTTTCGGGGTGAGAGCATTCCGTCACACCCTCGTTGATGTAACCCTCGCAGAAATTCCAGAGGCCGACCTGGTAGAAATCGTGGAGACCGAGGGTCTGGGCTATGCTGTTGAGCAGGGTGGCGTTGGGGATGGAGGTCGGCACAATATGACTGAGATCGAGCTTCATGAACCAGGTGTCGCGGAGGACGGGCTTGTTGTGCGTGTTGCCGATCTCGACAAGCAGGAGGAAAAGAGCAGACAGGAAGAAGAAAAAGGATGAGATAACGGCAAAGATTTTGCGGGTGCGGGTTGCCCGTTTCATCTGTTTCTTAGAGAGCGTGGTGTTGGAACGCTTCAGGCCGCCGCCGGGCGTTGTGTTCCATGGCGTTTCCTCGAAGTGCGGGCCGCGGGGAGCATCTTGGGCGTTAGTGGCGGTGGCCGAAGTCCTTCCAGAGGCAACGGGGCCGTTGGAGCGTGAAGAGGGCGTGCGAGACGGCGGCGAGGACGGCATTGCGATGCCTGGGGAAGGAGGATGGAAGCGGGAGAGAAAGCTCTGCTGGTGTCGAGCCAGAAGAAGACCAGGCTGTGAATGGACGGGCGGGCCGGGGTGCTGGGCAACGCCTGGAGCGCTGCGGTGGAAAGGACCGACATTATGAGACGGGCGGGCAGCTCACCGTGCTATGATCTCAGGCCGGTGTTTGCGACGCGTCAGGGCTGCTGCGGCTGGGCAGCGCCTGCAGGCTGGCGTTGATGCAAGAGGCGCAAAGCGGGTCTGGAAAGCGGCGCGGCGCCGTGATTGGCGACGATCAAGGCGCCGCCACGAAACAGCCTCCCTGCCGTGAGAGCGGCCAGGCACCCGACCGCTGCCTTCCAGGCCCTCGCGAGCCCCGTCTTCGGCGCGCCCATGCCGTGAAGATGTCAGAGAGCTGCGCTAGGCGGGAGCGCGCACTGGTTAGCAGGCTGCCGGTCCGCCAGCCTGGCGCCGGGTGCAGCGGTTATCCCTCCTGACGGCCCTGCTATTTACTGCGTCTCAGACGTCATCCTGGCCTGTCTCTCAGCTGCCATTCTTTTCTCCACCGCCCGTGGTCCCATGCGTTGCTCTTTCCCCGTAGCTCGCCTTGGCCTGTCTCTGTTTTCCTCCCCAGTCGAGCGTCGAGCTTTCTTCCTCTCCACCCTCCGCCCGCTCTGCTGCTGATCGCGCCAGCATGCGTCTCTCCACCTGCTGGCTTGCCGCTCTTTTGTCCGCCGGCGTCCTCGCCCAAGATGACAACGACAACTCCCGCTCCGCTTCTGCCAGCGCTAGCACGGTTGTGCTCACCGGCACAAACACGAGGCCCAGCGCAACGGTGCCCACCGGCACCTACATCTCCTACACGTCCACCGTTCGCGTGAGCACTGGCGACGACGACGACGGGCCAGGCACCAAGACCAGGACTCCCACCGCAGGCGCCTCGTCCGAGGCCAGCGTCAGCGAAGAGAAGACGGTCACTGTGAAGACGCAGCACACCATCACCTTGCTCACTGGCGCCGACGGCACCCGCACGTACACCGGCGGCCCTCTAACTCCGACCCCTGGAAATTCCACGGCCACCGAGACCAGCAGCTCAGCCGCTCCCACTAACACTCAGCCATGCAACGGCTACACGGAACTCTGCGCACGCAAGTATTCCAACGTCACAGAGGTCTGCGCGCATAACTCGCCCTTCACCGTCAAGAACAATGCCGCGGCCAACCAGAACTACGACGTGACCACGCAGCTGAATGATGGCATCCGCATGCGTAGGTGGCATTGAAGCCCCGAAAAATGACTTTGATACTGATTTGACGTAGTCCAAGCACAGGCCCACTACAACGGCACTGGGCAATTCAACCTGTGCCACACCTCTTGCGACATTCTTAACGCCGGCACCCTGGTCGACTATCTCAAGAAGGTAGCCAGCTGGGTGCAGCAGCATCCTTACGACATTGTTACCATCCTTATTGGAAACGCCGACTATGTCACGGCCACCAATTTCACCACTCCGATCGAGGAATCCGGCCTCAAGCCGTATGCGTACGAGCCATCGGTGATTCCCATGGCCGTCGATGATTGGCCAACCTATTCCGAGATGATCCTCACGTCGAAGCGCGTCGTTTTCTTCTTGGACTACCAGGCGAACCAAACGGCGGTCCCCTACCTCATGGACGAATTTAGCCAGCTGTGGGAGACGCCTTTTGATCCGACCGACCAGGCGTTCCCCTGCACCGTCCAGCGGCCCCCGGAGCTTCCTCAGGACCAGGCCAAAAACCGCATGTACATGATCAACCACAATCTCAACGCGGAGATCTCGATTCTCGGCAACTCAATCCTGGTACCAAACAAAGTCAATCTGACTCTAACAAACGCCAACACTACTGACTACGGCGCCCTGGGCCTTTCGGTCAATCAGTGCACGAGTAAGTCTGACCCTGCGGCTCTAACATGAAACCTCGGCGTACACCCGAGAAACCTTGAAACGCGGAAGGGGCGCTAACCTTGTCACAGACATGTGGGGCAGGCCCCCGAACCGCCTGAACGTGGATTATTACAACATTGGCAACATCAACGGAAGCGTGTTCGCTGCAGCTGCAGCCGCCAACAATGTCACGTACAACGGCAAATGCTGCGGACTTGATAGCACTTCGGACGGCGTGACGGACTCGGCGGCCCGGCCGCTGCTGGCCCTGGCCATCTCCGTCTTTGTCGGGGTCGCCCTTTTGTAAAGCTCCTTAATCATTCTGAAAAGCGCATTGGGCGGATTCTCATTCTGGAAACTTCTCGGCCGGCGGTCACGTATATTACGACACTTGGGTTCTCAGCATTGGCGACGGCGTTTTTGAGGGGTTTGAAGGCGGGATTAGCGACAGCGATCATAGACACACGGTCGGCCCTCAGAGGCATCAATGCATTGCTATAGCAGCATCCTAATCTTAAAATCATCTCGCTTTCCCTCCTCGCTCATTTTGCGGGAGAAACCTCGCATCTCCGAATTTATTGACGACTGTGCGCTTCTCCAGGCCCTCCACCATGGGAACGCCCCCAGCTGCTATTTGCGGTGACGGTTGCAGGCGGTAAAGACCGGGCTCGTATCCTCCGTATTCTTCGGCACCTGCTTCCGTGGTGCCGCAGGGTGTTCCCGCGCATCGCGTCGCCTTGCCTTCCTTGGCTGGTCGTTACTCGCCGCGTGCAGACAGAAGCTAAGCACTAGCTACAGCTCAGCCACCTCCCTCAGGGCCTGCTCTTCCAACCCGACCAACGCACGTCGATTGCCCTCCCACTGCGCCCACGCGGCCGCTTGCAAGAGGCAGTCGGCCAAGTCGTCCAGTTTCTTAGGATCGATTGGCGGTGGTGCGCTGGCGGCTGCGGCTGCGGCCGGCACTTCTGACGCGTCGTCGTCCTTAGCACGCTTTTTCCTGCTGCTGCTGCTGCCTCCTCCACCAGTCCTTTTCGCGGCTCTCGCCAACTTGGATAAGAAGACATCACGCATACCGCGGGCCCCGGCCGTGCCGAAGTGGAGCTGCACGTCGCAGTCCGGGCGGGCAGATGCGGATCCACTGGCGTTCGTCAGCAGCCATTGCTCGACCAGCTTGATTTTGACCTTCTTCTCGATCTTCGTCTTGCTCAGCCTCTTCTTCTTCTCCCCCTTACTCGCTCGTGCCACGTCTTCCGCCGTGCCTTCCTCCTCCTCCGCAACAGCCTCGGCCCCGACGTCCTCCTCTTCGGCCTTGGAAGCCCTCGCGCGCGAGCGGGGAGAGGATCGTTTGACGGAAGCGCCATTAGCTGACGCTTCGGCCAGAATCGCCCGGCCAGTTTCCGAGTTATCCATCCAGAAGGAGGCAACGCGCGCCGGGCTGACGGGGAAGACGCTGGGAAACGAGGGCGCTTCTGCTGGGGCAGCGGTTGGCAGGCGCCCGGAAGCCGCGGCCCCCTCCTGCCTGAGGGTCTCGAGGATGGCCCAGATCATGCCCTCGAGCATGTTGACGTGGTAGGTCCACTCTTGGATGGCGGACGAGGCGTTGGTGCGGTAGCGCTGCTGCTCGATCAGGATCGTCTGCGGCGCGTAGGGGAGCAGCTTCCGCTTGAGCAGCGCGTAGGCGGCGCGCGAGAGGATGGACGGCCGGAACGACTCTTTGGCCGCTTGCGTGAGCTGGCTGCTCAGCTGGACCGCAGGGTCTGTGGAGGACGCCTGCTCTTCCTCCTGCCGGGCCAGGTCGCTGACGGAGATGGGCTCCCACGCCACCACCTCGAGCTTCACGCGGGGGCTGGCCGACGAGAGGGCTTTGCTGCTGGGCGGTTGGACAGATACATCGCACACGCAGAAAGCCATGTTGCGGATGCCCATGTCCACGCTGAGGATGCGGCTCGTGCTGCTGCTGCCATTTTGGAGTTTGGGGACGTTGAGGTCCGAGTGGAAACGTCCTGTAAGTTCTGGTTTCGTGCCGCTAACGCCGCTGCCGATGCGTGAGAGAAGCGTTTTGAGGTGGGCCGTTGTGATGGCGCCTCTACCGCGCTTCGACATGAGAAGAGCGTCTCAACTATTGCACCGGACCAATCCGTCCACAGTGAAAGAAAAGCAATAATCCGTGTTGCGTAGAAGCATTGATGACGCGTGCTGTCTTTCTGCTTTCGGCTGTGTTCTTCACAGTCTCATGGTTAAGTGTGGAGAGTGCATACCTTTGGGGTGCTCACGCAGTGGAAGACGCGACAGAAAATCGAGACGCGCAAGGGTTCGCCGGGTAAATCACGGGGGCCGGATGATGAACCGGAGGATACCCAGGCACGTGATGACTTCCTTCATTGGACTGGGGAACAGCTCGAACGTATAAATGGCCTTTAATCGAAGACTGGGGTCCGTAGAATGATACTATTACCGCTGATTGAATGCTGCTTGAACATACAAATATTAATATATAAACGCCAGGATTGGTGCAGAAATATCGAGCATTTGTTACTTGAATCAGTGAACAACTCTTGTCAAAAAAGTAGCGGACCAAGTAAAGCCAATATTAGTTGACAGCGAAAAGGCCGCCGATGGTACACCCTAAATATATTGGCGGAGAGTGCTACGTTCATAAGTAGTAAGACAGGCTCCCACCTCATGACAGGTTCACTTTCCCTACGTCGGTGCTAATCCGCATTACTGAAGCATTGGTGCCCAGAGGTCCTCCAAGGTGACAGGACCAGTTTTATTACGGCTCCGGTGAGCGTCAGACATTGTTTATGTTAATCTTGCATGTGGACGCGCTGCATATCTAGGTGGCATAGTAAGCGCAGCCACCTTGGCTGGATGGTTCTAGAGGCTGCTTATAGGCGACAGAATAAGACTTCGGAGATGATGTAGATAACTTACTAGCTAGCTCTAGTACGGCTATGTTTCCTCGAACATCGAAGTTTGCTGGAATGTAGCAACGCTTAGTAGCATATGATTGCATTGCCTATGCTATCACTTTATCAACAACAATGCTCCATAGCCATTGCCTCGCACCAAATGTTTGCGCCGCATACTAGACACTGTCACCTGTGGTCTCGAAAATTAGCAAGGCTGGCCACTAAAACTCTGTTTATATATTCAGCAAGTCCGCCTTCACTTCATAGACCCGGCCAAGAATACCAGTAACGAGTGTGGAGTTGACGCAGACGCCCTCCCTGCTTAAGCTGTGACTTGGTCGCCGCACGCGAGGGTGGGGTACGGTCGGTTGGGTGTAACGGGAAAAAACAGGCGGTCCTCGAAGAGCCTGTTTCTGTGCCGACAGGCATAGTTTTTTGCCTCCCCACAATGTGAACCAGTGTAGATATTTGTCTCTCCAAGGCGGGCGGTGGTGGTGCTTCTTCCTCGACAGATGGTAATCAGAATGCTTTTTTTGGTGGTGAAGAATAAGTGGCGTCGAGGCGAGTTTTAAATTGTAGTCGCGACGCGCCTGACTGCCTAATGCGGTGATCATAATAAATGCTGCGCTTTCAACCTCTCTAAGCCTGGGCGAAGGAAGCCAACTCGCCGATGCATTATGGTAGATAAATAAAGAAGAAGCTGAGCATAGATAGAAAGAAATGCTCATCAATACCTTCTCCGGAGTTTGGAAGATGGTGCCTACGGGAGCTCTTTCTTACTTTACAACACATAAAATGATTGGACCGCTTTAGCTACGCGAAATTTAAACTGCATGTCGGGACTTGTTTTTAGCAGCTCAAAAAATTGGCTAGACAGAGGTGAGTAAGAGTCCGGTAGATACTTCAAATCAGCGATGGATAGCGTTTGAGTGATTCTAATTGGTTCATGTAGACCAATCGCTTTGGTTTGATCACCCGTTTCGAAAGGACACCTAGGCAGGATCTCTGGATCCCACGTAGGGGCCATACTTCGATTGGCTATATGTCCAGGATCCCGTATCTTTCGTGTAGGAAAGTGATCGAACGCAAAAGTTGAGAATGAGTCAACAGGTGAAGGAACAGGTGGCCGAATAGAAATACCAGGCAGCAAAGCGGAATAAATTGGACGCGCAGCTTGGCCGGCCTTTTCTACCTCTACGCATTCTCTTACACACACACAATTAATTCCTTTGGCCTTTTATCCGATGGTGAGGTCGCTGGCCCGAGGAGCTGATGGTCCGGCGGTGAAGATGTCACTCCAGGAAGGGACCAGACATGGAGGCCCCAAGTAGCCGAGAGCCTTGGAGGAGGGTTGCACATGAACAGCGGAGCAACCATCTTTGAGGAATTGTTTGACGTTGGAGAGAAGGTGGACGATCCCCACTCTCCAGACTGGAGCTTGGGCGCGGACGGCGGTCGGTGGTGTGGCTCGTGCAAGGGAGGCTCGGCTGCGCTAGCGATTCCAGAAGCGTGGCCTTAATCGGAGCGCGACTCTAGACACGCAGCGCTTCAACTCACCACCACCACTCCCTACCCACCCTCTTCCAGCTTTCGAGATACCCCGGTCTTTCCCGCCTAATACGCCTCACGACTAGCACTATGGTACGTCCGCCCCGCCGTGTTTCTCCGTCTGCGGCTTCAATGGTTGCACCAGCATCTTGCGCTCGAGGCGACGGGGGAAGATCAGCTCCGCGCGAGCCTTAGACTTCATTGAATTTGCGCGCGGACTTTCCGCCGTGTCTACTCCCACGGCTTTCTCGAGAGCGCACTGTCACTCTTCTAAGCGCCGACGGCATCATTCGCTCGCCTTTGCCTGCCTGCCACGGATCACCTTTTGCTTGCGCATCAAGCTGACTCTCGACCTCCCGCAGTCTTCCCCTCGCTCCAGCTCCCCCGTCAACTCGCCGCCGGCGACCGGCTCCACCACTGCCCGCCCCTCGTCTCCCAAGCCCCCGGGTGGCCCTGCCGTGGCCATCAGGAGGAAGGCTGCCGCCGACCGCGCCGACAAGGCCGCCAATGCTCGCCCCAGCAGCACCCGCGCCGCCGGCGCTGGCGGTAGCAGCAGCACCATGCTGAGTACGTACTCCCTTGTATATCTCCAGCCGCTTGAGATTTTGGCGATGGGCCTTTTTGGGCGCATCGATGAGGAGGATTCCGGAATGGCATGCTACAAGCGCGCTCTGCTGCCTCAATGGTCTCACAAAAGGAAAAAGGGATTATGGACAAGCTAACAACCTCAAAGGGCTTTACACCGACGAGTCTCCCGGCCTCAAGGTCGACCCCGTCGTCGTTCTCGTCCTGTCCGTTGGCTTCATCATCAGCGTTGTCGCTCTGCACGGTAAGCTCGACATTCGATAAAAACGCCATGCAGCGTAAGCTGACAAGTCCCCCACAGTCATCGCCAAGATCACCAAGAAGTTCTCCGCATAAAGGGCCGCATGCTACTACAATTCGGTTCTGATGAACCAGAGTTCTCTTCAAGACCGGGCTAGCTCGAGAATGGGCAAGAACGATATTGCGGCAAGGCAATGTGACTGGACGTCGAGAGGAGGAGCTTTCCTCGCATTCTAAAAAAAAGCTGGCTACGGCTGTAGATACAGCCGCTTTAAACTCGTTCTCGAAAGCAAAGGCTGCAACTGTGATGTATCATACCACATGGGTTTGGGGGAATTGGGAATATTAAAGTTCTTTTTATGGCGCATCAACATGGTCGATGATTACTTTTGTAACAGTGGCATACATAGCTATTCCACAATCTGCATCGTGGAACCCTTTCAAGGTACGTTGTTATTGGCTGACAGTTTACCCATACATCCATGTCCCAACAGTGCACTAGTACAAGCTGCATTGCCGGGGTATTCGCCTTGACGCTAAGACCGCTCGAAAAGTCCGACTTTGAGCCTTATAGTAACCCTTGAAGCCTACCAAGGCCTAGAACCAGGAGTAACCGAGAGAAAACACAGAAAAGAAAGTCGGCCGTATGTCGTGTCTTAACACTAACTTTTGTTTGCGTGATTCATGGACCAGACTCGTAACAACATCTCAAAGACGTACAATCATGCACGACATAAGCCTCCGGGGTTATGCGTGAGTGAAGCGGATGGAGAACCTCCGAAATAGGCTGGACGTAAAGGAAAAGGAATCACGAGAGAAAAGAAAAAAGGAGCCTCCATCCGCTGCTGTGGGAAAGTTCAGTTTCATCGTGAGGCGGGATGGTACCAGATTTACACCACCTCACGCATTATCCGTTCGTTTTTTTCTTGCATCCCGATCGTGCTCTTTTAACTTTTTACGAGGGGAGACCACGCCGAGCGTTGTCTCACCCCAGGTATCACCCCAAAAGATTGCCACCCCACCATCACTTCAAAGCCTCAGCCTTCATCATTACTTCATTTTTTTCGCCAGTCCTACCACACCGCCGCCACGCGAGAATTTGAGGACCGAATGAGCTGGTTCATAATGGCCCATCGGGTAGGAATGAAAAGCAAGCAGGCTGCGCGTGTATCAAACACCTTTTCTTTGGAAGGAAGGGGGAGGGTAGGTAGACCCGGCATGGTGGCAAACAAACATTACTCTGCATCAAGACGGAAAGCCGCGACGCCGTCCTAAAAACCCCTCACCTCGGACATGCGCTGCGCCTTCCGCCATCAGGCGTCCGAAACAAGGCCAATGGAAGACGGACTTCACACCCACACATATTATTGCTTTTCTTTCCCTTTTGCCCCTCCTCTTTCTTACCTCATCTCATCGTGCTATTTCCTTCTTTTGGATTTTGTCCGTCTGCTGCCTTAACTCCCCTCTTTTTTTTTTTTTTTTTTGCTGTTGCCTATCCTCCTCGTCTGGTACAAGAGAAACATGTGGAACTTCAAAGAGAATTATACAACTGTCCCGACCAACCGGTGTGAACTCTGTCGGACACCTGCATGATATGTTATGCAGCCTGCCTTGGTAATCATCGCTTCTTCCTTCCTAGGCTCACATTAAGTCTCCGATATATGGCATATGTTTTTCCCTCGAAAGATCCCCCAAAGAAATTCCCAACCCCAAGCCTTTCCCCTTCGACTTCCGACATGCTACATCAAAGAAAATTTTCCAAAATAGTTCAAAGATCCAACTCTCCGGCAAACTCATCGTCATCCAGTTCCCTGTCTCTCCTATATTTCTCTTCTCGTTGCCTGACCAGCCTTTCCGTCTCCGAGTCGGCATCCTCTTCGTCCTCTTCTCTGAGCGGCTGCTCTGGAGGTACTGAGCTGGACTTGCTTTTCTTCTTTTTGCCCCCCTTCTCACTCTGTGCTTTTTCCCTCTCCGCCATCCGTCTCGCGAAGTTTAGCGCCATATACGATTCGCCCAGACTGGTACCTCGAAGCACGCTTCCATAGCTGTTGGATGCGCTGTCGCTGCTGAATCCTCCAACCGGAAGCGGTACATCAACAGCGCTAAGGGACGCTTCGTTGGGCCTCAAAGAACTCGGAGGTGGCCTTTCGCGGGTCGGATAGAAGATACCGGTGTTGTTGGCGTCGACAAAACTACTTGACAAAAGAGAGGTAGACGTATTTGGGGGAGAGGACTGATATGCGGGCGCAATGCTACGGGCGGAGGAAGCGCTGATCTCAGGTGCGGTCGAGGAAAGGGCTGTCGTCGTGGTTGCTCGCACAGGCGTGTATGTCGGCAAGCCAGTGGCCGGTTGTGTCTTGACCTTCTTCTTCTTTTTCTTCTTCGGCTCCTTTGGCGCTGACTTGGCTTCTTCGGTGAGTGACGATCTCCTTCCCAGGCTGGCAGTTGGACGTTGAGGAATTTCTTCCTTGTTGAAATTGATCGGACTTTCCGCGTAGTTTGGCTTACTCTGGGGAGGAGACTGCTGCTTCTCCAGGCCCGCACTCTCATTGACACCGTCACTGATGGCGGCTTGAGCTTTTGCTTTCCCTTTGTCGGGGGACACCGATGCCGGTGTATCGACCGGATTGCGGGCGGTATTTTCCACAGCATAGTTGCGGTCGTGGTCAGACGATGCTGACATCAAGTCTTCAGTAGGAATCTCTTCGGTATAGACTTTCTCCGGTTCTGACTTCCACCGCTCTGCCTCCTCAATCTCTCTTTGAATTGATCGAAGCGTCTCTTCGGAGAGCGATGATTCGGCGGAGGTCTCAATGGAGCTCAAAGGTCGATCATCCGGCGGCGATTGGGTCGGCGTTACGATTCTAGGCCCCAGGCTCAGACGGACGGCCTTACGCGCGCTTCCAGGACGATCTCCATTGGACTGCTTGAGCGAGGAACGGCGCGGAGCCGGGCTGTGCTTGAGGACGGGCGGCATGGTGGAGGAGCGCACAAGCTCAGCGCGAGGATCCCTGGAAGGCCTGCTACTTCCTCCGTTCGCAGCAGGGGCGGAGCTGCTCAGCTGCTCCTGGTCCTCGAGCAAGGGCAGAAAACCGGGTAGCAGCTGAAGGATTTCCGAATCTCTTTCACGGACGCTGCCCAAAGAATCCGGTTGAACGGCGGCGGAGTCGGAATGCCTAGCCCCGGAGGTCGCAACCTCTTCCGACACTGCCTCGGCCCTTTTGCGCGCGTCTTCCTCGCGCTGCTTTGTGAACCACTTCGCCTCATTGTCGTCGTCCATGATATGGGGCGCCGGGGCGTGGTCGTCGGCCATTGCCTGCTCGTGGTCGCGCTCCTGCTGGGCAGCGCGGCGCTTCTGGCGTTCGTCGGCGCGCAGGTCATAGCGGCGGTTCTTCTCGGCGACATAGTCGTTGAATTGCCCCTGTTTCTTCGCAATGTAGCGGGCGACCTTGGCGTCGAGCTCCTGGCGTTTCTGCTCGAGGCTCTGCAGCAATGCGTCGTCGAACTCGGGGGGGTCGCGATGGCGGATCCACGAGGTGTCGGGCATGTGAATGTAGCGGTAGTTGTTGCGGTACGGGTCGTGGATGTGCTCGGGCGGCGACGGGGCCCGCGGATGGGTGGCCGCCATTGTGCGTGGAGTGGTCGGCGGCGTGAAGCTGGATGCCGGGTGACATCAGCGGACAGCCGGGCGGTGCGATGGCGACGAGGACGGCGGGAGCGCGGGCAGCTTGGGGAGGAGGATCGGGCTGGGGCGTGGTGCGAAGATCGCGTGGAGTTTGGTGTGAAGATCTCGAGGGGCAGGCTGGGCGATGTTCCAGCCGGCGGGCGCGCGCACGAGGCGGTCAACGGCGCTGGTCTTGCGGTGGGACGGCGTCAGAAGGCGTCTCCCGGGCGCAGATAGGGTGCATCAGCAGCATGGGCGCTCTGGCATGTGCTCGACGAGGCGGCAGGCGAGGACGAAGCGAAGAAGCTGGTCTGGCCCTGGCATGGCTCCCGGAGCCCACCACGGCCGCAGCGCGGTGCGGCGCTTCTCCGTCTTCGGCGATCGCGGTAAGGCTGAGCGCTGAGGGAGTTTTCGACTGTTCCATTGTGCCGCCGTCGTTTTGATCATCCAGATCCGGCAGTCCCGGGCAGCGCCGTCTGCCCTAACAGCAGTAAGCGAGCTCCAGCTGAAGCCGCCGCCTGCCACAGCCAACGGCGCGCTCCCCCCGCCCAGGCATGTAACACCACTGCTCTCCGCCTGACCATGCCGCCCTGCGCCGAGCCTCGACGACTCGAACACCCTCTGCGGCTTGACCGTTTTGCAGATTCCGCACTCCGCAAGGACTTCCCTGTGCAGTACCCGACTGTCCGCCAATCAGCTGCCCGGGCGCCAATCCGCCATCGACATGCAGTTTCTGCCCGCACTCGTGATAGCGACAAGGCGTTTGATACGCCTGCTGACGGCGCCGTGGACGGCACGCTAGGCAACTAGAGGCTGTTCTCCGGGTCGAAGTACTGAGCCGCTGCTATCCCACTCCAGCTGATGCTCCACACGGCCATGACTAAAGCCGTGTGCGCTAGCCAGAGAGCTGCATGCATGGAAGCAAGGCATGACGCACAGCTTCCATCTGGCATCGTCCGTCTGCACGCTGACACGGCACCCGAGGGCGTGCTACCAGGACGGCTGTAGCAACAGCTTTACGCGGTTGGCCAATGACTTGTATGCGCGCTAATATCACCTTGCTTTTATTTTGACTCCACCACAAAAGCTTGGCGAGTCTTTGATAAACAAGCTTGGTGCTTGCCTTCACCAACACCAGCCCTTCTGTTGATCAGTATCTACCCTCGTATCCTATGCGGCGGCTGTGGAACTTGGCAAGGCGGATGTTCCGTGTGGCTGCAGCAAGATATCTACTGTTGCCCATTTCTGGCTCGCCTATCCACGTGTTGATCACATGGCGCATCCACGTGCATGAGTCCTCTTTGGGTCAATGGTATCCCGTCCCGTTCAGTTTTGACTCCGGAAAGAGGTAAGCGTCGATTGGCTGACTGATGTGGTGACTTCCAATTGTGAGTCAGGTGTCTGCCTAACCAAACATCACATCATTCATTCACGCCGTGGAATGTGGCTCAGCCAGAGCCGGCAGTTCAGCGCGTATACTACAGCGGATTGGCCAAACGTTTGTGGCCAGGCTTTGCGACTTGTTCCTCTAGCCGAAGATCATCCCTCGATGCAGCCATGCAAGGGGTGGGCATGTCGCTTTGTCCAACAAATAGCAGCGATTATACCCACAAAGAAACCTGATCATCTTCATCCAAGTTGAGAGCCTATGCAGCTTCGCAGCGCGGCGCAGTGTCTGGCTTCTGGATCGCTTCTTGAAGCACACTGTAAGGCTGTGCGAGAATTAAGGTGCGTCGAATTTGAATTCTCACCACCGGGCGGGAATGCGGCACGGAAGATTCAAAAACAAGCTTTGAGGGGGATGCCCCAAAAATAGGGCAGTGCAAGCACAGCCAGTATTGGATGCCGACTATGGATGCGGCACTTCGTATAAATCCAGGCAACAACTTCTCGCTTGGCCCCCAGCAGCTGCAAGCTGCGCCCCAGACACCAACAGCAACCTTAACACTCCAGCTAAATTGAACAGCAACGGTAACAACCGCTCATGTCACTTGGACCTGTACCACTCTCTAGTGATATCACTTTCATACATTGGAATGCGGTGGCACAGGCAACAGCGCGGTTGTATGCAGGGGCAACAATCCGCCACACAGCCTTTGCCGTCACACGATTACCCGCCCGATCTAGCCGTGTGCTGGGTACTGATCCACTGCAAGCCTGCCGTTTCGGTTGAGCAAGGCTGTTCTGGTGTCTGCGGCCGGGATGCCTGCATGTGCTGTAACTGAGGAGCCGCCGTTGCCTGATATTTGAAGCATTGCCTGCGAAGGATTCAAGCCAATTTTATCCATTCCCAACTGTTTGGGAGTGCTTGTCCTCCCATATAGTCTTGCGACGTCCTTCTGCCACCTGAAGTGTCCGCTGCTCTTCTCAATTCCATTCTGCGCCAGCCGCTTCCAACCCAGCTGCTCCCTCTACCAGGTCTCCTCTCCTCACTGCGCCTCTCTGAACACAACATTCAACCCACGAACCATCTACTCTGACTACACCCCAACGTGTAATTGTTGAGCGGACAAGCTCTCCAGCGCATCCTGGATAACTCCTTTCCCGCTACATCGCTATTACCGCAGAGGCGATCCGCATCCGTTGCTTCACTTCTCGACCACATAAAGTCCTGTTGTACCTCAACAGAGCTTCCCCATTGAAGAACATTCCCTGAAGATGGCGCTTAAAATCATCAATGCGGTCGCCAGAGTGTTTCAGCTCCTGTGTGCTGCAGTTGTCCTCGGCCTCTCCATCACCTTAATCAAAAGCCAAGTCTATGGCTCCGTTGCGGCCAACAACTATGCGGCATTCACAGGAGGTTTCGGCTTGCTCGTTGGCCTGCTGGGAATCGCCGCCGTCTTCATTGAGCCGCTTGCTGGTCTCGTCATGGTCGCCGCCGACGCTCTGGCTGCGCTGTTCCTCCTTGCGGGCGGCATTGTAAGCCCTTCCTCCCCAACCAAGCCACAAGCTTCACTACTGCGGCACACATGAGAGGACTGCAAAGTCAACAGCAGCTAATTCGCATTTACAGGCCGTCGCAGTCAAGCTCCGAAACGTTTCTTGCAGCTCCAAGAGCGATTCAAACAAGTACTACCTGGGCAAGAACGAGCTCACCAACGGCGGCTGCATGAAGGATAACAAGGGAAACTTGCGCGACTGCGGTTCCCACTCGGTCGACTCGGCGCTCGATCGCTGTGTCAAAAACAGCGCGGACGCCGCCTTCATGATCATCACGGCCGTCTTTTGCATCGGCACGCTTGCCATGACTCTGCTGGCGATGAAGAGAGGCGGTGGCATTGGAAGGAAGGGTGTTGTTGTTTAAGAGAGCAACAGTGGTATCAGACATCCTCTGAAGGAAGAAGATAGGAACGTGCACGTCCCTGTCGCGGACTGGGGAGGGATCGGATACAGAGTGCGTACTATAGCGAGGAGGACATAAGATTATGGAGGATACCCCCTGGTCTCTACGGTTTGCTCGGAAGTTTCCTTTTTCTTTCCCTTAAACCATTACCCGTCTATGAACTCACACATCTTCTTCAACAATTCACAATGGGGTATGATGTCTCATCGATGCGAAAGTGCCACGATCTAAGGAAGTTTATCTCATTTATCGTGGGATACGTCTTTGATTATTATTGTTGAAGTACACACCCGGTCATTCCCATGTCTTCGACCGACGCTGCTCGTATCTACAGAAAATTGGGAACCATCGTTCTCCGCTCGCGTGGCTTTTTTTTTTTTTTTTTGCTCTTCTCCCGACCCTGGAGGTTTCAAAAACGCCCTTCACTGCTACGAGCCCCTTCTAATAAAAAATATTCACTCTTCCTTTTTTTTTTTCAGAAGTAGCCATCTATGCCAGTCACACACGTAAATTGTGGATGCGCATGATTCAGTGTTGACAAGGAAATACAGGACATAAGCCATGGTGTTGGATCAAGATGGGTGAAAAATACAGACACTGAGGGGGTGGTAGTTTACAGGTGCCATGGCCGAGGAGAAGGTTGTTAGTGTGCGGCTCGAGGTTGGAGATCCTCAAGAGAATAGCCGGTTTTAACGGGTGCAACGAGTAGCAGAAACCAGGCGAGAGAGGAGCTCAAGCCTTGGGGGGAAACCGAGGAGGCTTAGGGGGTCGTGTAATAGTAATTACTTGCATTCGTGTATGGTGAAGTGTAGCGTTGCATAGATCTTCAACCGGTTCAAAGTAGTTTGGCGCTATTTTAGATGTTGGTTTAGAATATTTGGGTGGATTGGGCCATCAGTCTTCTAGTTGATTATTTTTCTTGGTAGTTCCATCTCGCAAGAGGTATGCTTACCGATGACGTGTGGTGTTACAATGAATTCGAATAGCTCCATCATTTCTTATTTAGTAGGGGATATACTAAGTCACAGTTGTTCAGTTTTCTTCAATGACTGCAATGAGTTTTTTTTTTTTTTTTGAATTTGCTTCATTAGGGGTCATCATGCAAGGATACTGGGTACGTAAATGATGGCGGGCTTAGCTCGCTGTAGCCGAACTCCAGCTCTGGTCAAGGATATGAGCCCAAAATCTGGGGTTAAGGACTGATGCAAAATTAGTTAAGTTTCTAGGACTTGAAGGACATCCGAAGCGCGGTCCGTTACTCGGATGATGGCCGTTCGTTGATGGAGTCCAGGCGTGGCAAGAGGCATTGACAAGCGCGGCCATTTGCAGCATACCTCACTATTGGAAGTCGCCCAGGACGAGGAGGAAGATCGCACAGTATCTGGATGTGGACGTAATTCTGCTTCTTGAAACCTGGTGTGTCATTTGAGAGAATTTTCCAGACTGCATGTCCACGTGCGAGTGACGATCGGATGACAACAGAAGACCAGCGAAGAAGTAGGCGCATAAAATTCTGGGCGAACAATGCTCATTTCCCGCACGAAGAGAATCATCCAACACGATCCGAGAATTTGGAGGAAGATTAAGTGCTCAAAAATTTTGGTATCGGTGAGTAGTCACTTCATTCTTAGCATGGACGGGAGGCCAAGCTGACTTCGCTTCGGAACAGGATATGTGCATGAATCTACTCGCTGGTACTTCAGTAATCTGGTGGCTCGGCGCAACGGCTGGCTAATGGGGTTGGTGACATCAGGATGAGAAGAAGTTGGATGCAAGCCGAGGCTGAGAGCAGTCGCAAATGCCAGGAGCGAAGACGCGGTGCGGAGGGGCGGCATGCAAGAGATTGGAGGAGCTGGAGCGGCGTGGACTTATGAGGTGAGGTGCGTTTAAGGCAAAGAGCCAGTCGGACGCTCTACAGCCACCCACGGACTACACTCCGGCACAGCCAACACGATGGCCCTGTCAATCACGTCGGGGATGCGCACTGGGGCGAGGGCCCCTTAAAGGCGTGGGTCCACCGTGGGTGAAGTGCCAAAACACCGCCAGTGACCTCGACCCGGAGTCTTTTGCGAGCCTCATGTCGTCACTTGCGCCTCAGCGGCTGTTAGCCGTGCTACCAGCACGGTATATTTGAGCCACTCCCCTGACCCATTGTGCACCGAGGGGCCTGTCTCTCCCGTGCCGCAGAAGGCACGGCCCGGAGCCCGCAACCACGACCCGGCCCGGACAACCTCTCGTTGCACCTCATGCGGCTGCCTCGATGCCGGATCCAGAAAGGCGAAGCAGGCAGCGGGCTGGACCAGAAGCTGCAGCATCTCGTGTGCCGCCGCTACAGCTCTTCTGGTATGGTACGGGGCGAGTGGCGGTGGCAGGACGTGGTGACTGGGCGATGCGACTTTTGGTTGACGGCCTCAGTAGAGGAAGGCGGGAGACTCTGCTCGGAGCCGTTTGCGCCGGCGCTGCCATTCGCTCCACTGACGCACAACATCACACTGTCTTGGCACCTCCACCGTGCTGCTCCGTCTCCAGCAAGCGCGCCACTACCGCCGCCGAACCCATCTGGTGGCTACAAGTCTCGATGTGACTGCCTACATGCTCACGCTCCGCGATGGCGCGCCAACTACTGCCGCATTCGACTGCGCCGCCCACCCTTGACCCGCCCGCTGCCCCAGCCAGCGGCCAGAAGCGCAAACGCCCGAACGGCATCCTTGCCGTGGCGTGCCTGGCCTGCCAGAAAAGAAAACAAAAGGTCTTTCCTCCCCCGGACCCGTCTAGCCAAGCCTCTAGCCAGTTAACGCCGCATTCACAGTGCGACGGCGCCCGTCCTGCCTGCCGCTCTTGCGCATCCAAGAAGATTGCCTGCTTCTACGACGTCCCCGAGGGACAGACCAGGCTCGCCGCCCTAAAGAGCAACAACGCCCAGCTCCAAAGCCGCGTGTGGGCTTCAGGCAACCTCCTCTGGGCCCTGAAAACCTCCCCGCCAAACGACGTTGCACAAATTCTAGAGCGCATCAGATCCAGCGACGACCCCTCGCTCATACTCGACGACTTCGACCTCGAGCCCGGAGCCTTGAAACCCCCGCCCTCGCGAGCTGCCTCAGCACCAACCTCTCCTCTGCATTTTTCCTCGGAGCCTGCCTACTACCCGTTGGAGTCCATCTCTATCGATAATTTATACCCATCAAATGAACACTGTCTCTCAGCTTCCGTGCTTGCCCTTCTTAGGTCTCCGGCCAACCGCGAAGCTTTGCAACTTTTCCTTCAATGCACCGGTCTTCTCTTCCACGTCTTCAGCAAGACGCAGGCTGATTCCGTGCTGGAAGAAGTGCTCAGCAATACCGGTACTGCCATTGCCAAAACCTCACTTTGCGAGGTCTGCGCCATGGCCGCTGTGGCCGCTCAATATCTCCAAGGAAGCACGGCCCCTGGCACTGGCCACCACTTCTACAATGTCGCGAGGCAGTACTTGGACGACGCCATAGCAGTCGATCCCTTGCGCGCGATGAAATCCTGTGCCCTGTTGGCCATGTATAACATTGTTACCAAGGCATCTGTTGCATTGGCGTACGTTGGTATGCGTTCTCCGTCTCACTACGATATATCAAATTTCTTGTCGACGTTATTTAGGAACAAACAGAAGCTTAAGTTCTTAGGCTAACCAGATTGGCAAAGAAATGGGTCTTGGTCTAGGGATAAGCCAGAACATGCCCAAGGGAGATCCCCCAGCCCATGTTTCCCTTCAGTTGTGGCATGGCTACATGAACGCTTGGCGAACACTATTTTGTTGTAAAGGGCACGCGATTCAATCCTTTTCAGACTAGACGACCGCTAACTCTTGACAGATGGTTGGTTGTTACTCTAGGTTACCCATTGCGCGATGACTGGATGGAGAGCCTCATCGCAGTATGTCCTGTTTCTACATTCATTCCCTTCGCTAACAAACACAGTCTAGGGATACCCCGTCAGAATCTGTCCCTTTGGTCGCAGACAGTGTTCAGAGGGAAATGACGCGACTCGCCACCATAAAGACGAGAATGGGTCTGACGCCTTTTTCGTTCACCGAGTCCTCAAAGGATGCCATTGAAAGTATCAAGGCAGATTTGCACAGATGGTACGATCAGCTGGATCCTTCAATGCAGCTGGCTCCAACTTCCGGGCAAACGATCGATCGGAATTGCAGGCGCGGTATTTATCTCATGCACTGTCTTCACTTGGGGACAATGATGTTCCTTCAACGCCAAATTCTCCAGGAATACGTCTCAACCGCAAATTTCGATCCCAAATTAGCCGACGAAACTATCCGAAACCTTTCTGATTCGGTCGAGGAGGGGTTTACTGCATCGACGACCAGCGCAAGAATCCTTGGCCTCATTCATGCAGATGGCGGCATCTTTCAACGCTGTTGGCTGTGCATGTAAGTAAAGTGGCATACTCCTTGAACATAGGTGTCTTGATTAACGCAGCATTGGCAGTTACCAGTCATATATGGCTACAACGGAGATACTGTTCATGACGACGCAGAAACTCCTACACGGCTTTCCGGGGATACAATGTCGTCCGGATCTAGCTGTGGCGACCCAATCACTGGCAGTGCTGGAGTTCTGTGCTAATGTGGACCATCTCGCCAAGGAACTCCTGAGTTCCGTCCAGAACCACTACGAGTACCTCGATTCCCTAACCAAGGACGACGTGGATAGCATTGAGCAGATGTATTGCTTCAGCCCGCCTCAAGAACCAGCCGTGGCCCATTTGAGCCTGCCATGGGAAGCCCTGCTGAAGCTTCCCACAGGAGAATCTAAGCTTCACAAGCTATCGCAACATCTGATGGCCAAAATCTGCTCTCCGCTTGCGGATATCAAGGTAATTGGGCAGCATGGCTTCAGAGGTCCTGTGGCATCGTCCAGTATCCCTATGCCCTTGAGCAGCGCCGAGGAGGCTGCCATCGGTGCACATTTAGATTGGTCAGCCGACGCAGGACTTTGTGGACCAGATACACCAACGGACTCTATGGGAAATTTGATTTTCATGAAGCTCGGAAATGATGTTTTGGACCATTCGAACGATACCTAAGGATGGACTAGCAAGGAAAACTCTCTTGGTTCTTGATTGGAATCGAATTGGTTTTCGGATGCATAGGTTTGTTACTACTCACAACTTTACGCTTAACATTTCCTCTTCTTTTCAGGACTTCTGGAGTTATCGTAATCAAACCACGTTTGGTTTACGAGAGCTCACCTACTTTGCTCTGGCACACAGCAAGGTCTGAGTTACGGGCTATTCGGAGTTGCCTATGTCTTACTGCCGATATTCTTCGAGTGCCATATTTTCAGTATATTTTTGAAGTCAGTGTTGACCCTTCGCAATACCTCTTATGTCAAAGTTTTACTATCCAGCATAAATAGAATGAATACTCTTTCCGTGATCTCTCGTATTCGCTCCTTGGACCACTCTGCTTTCCGAATGCTAATTCTGTGTCCATCTAGCCGAGGGAATGACAGCTTGCCCTGCAGCAGATCCATGCAACAATCCTAGACTATTTAGGAAGCAGCTAAATGACCACCTTCCACTTTTGCATTCTACTGACGTAGTTGGAAAACCTGCCCGTTCGAAGGGCTCCAAGGGCCTGCTGCGAGGCTGTATCCCAACAGCTCGACAGAAGCCCGAAACATACAGAAAGAAAAGAAAAATGGGGGAGAACGAAGCTGGCCATGAGCGTGAGCGACGAAGTCAAACAGCACATATGTAAAATAGAGGGAGCGCTCGACGTGTACTGGGCTTGTCACAGGGATGAGGGATTTCAGTCGCGTCTCCTTGCATTTTAGCCGTCCGCATACGTTCATGATTACCAAAAGAAGGACCTGTTCCGCTGCGAGATATTAACGAATATGTAGATCTGGTTGATCTTGCGGTATGCATCCTTCCCTTGCTTTGTGGACGTGGCTGCCACTGAATGCTTGGAACCGAGCGGAAAATACTCCGTTTAAGCGTGAATGGTGGATTTTTGACACACCGAAGGCTTAAACATAGTCATCCTTGTATTGCAGGCAAGAAGGGGGGTGGTTTAGCTGGATTACATGGGTTGTTGGAATATTCAACGTACTCAAAGTTTGCAACCGAATACGACAGACAGCCAGGTATTGGAAGAACTATGCAAATGCTTCTTTACGAGTATTGTACAGAGGGGGGCATCGCAGCTAAAGGCCAGCGTGAAGGATAGTAAGGCTTCAGGCGTAATGCCTCAGCCCGTTTTTAGAAAAATAACACATGTGGGTAATTGAAGCTATCGTCCGGACGTGTATGTAGAATTTTTAATTCCACATTTTCGTCCGGACGATAGCTTCAACTACCCATGGCATGGACGAAAAACAAATCCACGCTAACCATAGACCGCGAGAGGGGGCTGTACGTGACAAAGCATTCGCTGCTGTGAGGGCACGTTTGCCACGACATGACGTGGAGTGGCTGCGGTGCTGCTCTAGACTCACGGTGCACATACCAGCTTACCAGTATAAGCCGCAGCAATCTGAAGGATGCAGTATTGCGCCAAGTAGTCTACAGCGCGGCAATTATATTTTCGATCCAAATCAGTTTGTTGCGATTACTGTTGAAGTGAAGTTCTACATATACATCTACTCTCCCATGAATTAACAGTCTTTTTTTTTTTTTCACTATTATCCGTGTCTTCCGTAAGGTTGTCTTTACTAGGGAACCAGCATTTGACATGGTCCAATGTAAATTGCAAGACGAATGGGCTGGGCACTAGCAGCCACACTTGGTTTAGATGGGTTTGTAAGCACCAATAGCGGCCATGCGACAACAACCAAAGGAACCAAGGTGGACTGATGTGGGCAGCGATGGCACCCCGCGTGGTGGCGAGGCTTCCGGCTGCTGTCTCGACTAGCCGTTTCGGCTTCCGGTTCCGTTCGTCAAGCCGAGGTTGTCGTGGTGGAACGATGTCAGTTGTACAGCCGAGAGGGGGCTTGGTGGAGTCTTGCATATGCAGTCGAGGTAAAGTCAATGGTAACACAGCAAAGGCCGGATGTATTTCCTTTCTCGTTGAAATGTGTGGAGCGGTGTGCGGATAATTCGCATGTGGCTTTTCTTGAATATGCGATGCTGTCACATAGAAGGATTTGAAAATAGAGATCGGGTAATGATTTGTTTCGCAGCATAAGGAATATGAAAGGGCATCGGATGCGGGACAGATACCCATGTAACCACCTACCATGTTCGACGAAGAGCCGTGATTATCGCGAGCCTCGAAAAACGCGATGTCGGAAGAGGCCACGAAAGCGAATCCGAATTACCAGGTAAACCACAATCATGTAGGAATGCGACGGGAAATAGCTACGTGCTCAGTCTTGCCAGGGGGGGACGGAAAACGGCACAGATACCACGAGCGGTATGCAGAAATTCCCGGCCTGAGCAGCCCTACGACGATCAATGCATGACCTCGGATGAGAGTTGAAGTGCGCTGATTGGAGCTTTGCAAGAATCTGCTGGATCTGTGTGAGCTGTGAAAGTCGCTTATGTTGTTGTACTATTTCCGTCGGAGAGAAATCTGCAAGGAGCGCGTCCAATAGAGATGTCGACATGCTGAGCGGGGTGCCCCGATACCCCGGTCGAGCGCATCATCCGATATGCAATGCAGCGGCGTCCAATGGGTCGGCTACACATGTGTGGAAAAATCTCAGCAGGAGCCGGACGTCCATCCGCCGTCGGAGCTGCTCCGAGACATGGACCGCTGGTCCAGTCGCATTGCCAGCTGTGGGACGACCAAAGTTAAACTTGCACATTTTCCTGTGGAAGCTGTTCGTGGGCCTTGTGCTCCGTCTTTGGAATGTGTGCCGTCGCGGGCCTAAAGCTGGCTGTGCAGGCATAAGTCCGTGGCTAAATCCGCCAAGTCGAGGCCGTGGCGTGCTCCTTTGCTCATCGTTTTGGAACCATCAGGCGTCAATGGCCATGCAACAATGGTGGGAGATAAGGGTGATCTTATACTTGTGCTGATGCGAGTTGGGAGGCGAGTTACCCCGTTAAGCCAGACTCCAGCAAAAGTCTCCGCCGCATTGGAGTCACGGGATCGGGGAGGGACGGGACGCGTGTGAGGCGGCTGGATCGGGCCGAAGGCGCGCGGCTTGGGGATGCATATATTAGCAGCCGGCCAAGCCGGCTTGGTGGTGTTTCAAAACGAGAGGCTCCCCAATTTGCGGCGGGAACTTCCAACGTCATTGCAAGGCGCGGCGAGACCCAGCCGCCGTGCGCGTCGATCAGTTGTGGGCGGCCCTGAGCAGAATAGACAGACTTGGGGTGAAACGAGAAGGTGGTGGCGCAGATCGGTTGCGCAGCCCCCCTGACCACACGAACGCACAGAAGACCGTCTGGTCAACGCTACCATTGCCTTGAGACAGCGTGGGCCACCAGTGAGACACGTATTTTGGCCCCGTTATGAGCTCAAGGCGCCGGGCTAACACGAAGCCCTATATAAGGCCGACCTCCTACCTCTCCCCGTGCTACAACACCCTTCTTTTCTACCCCGCATTATTCCTGTTTCAAACCGACATTCCTTACAGCCGATCCGCGCTCTTTCAGTCACTATGCGTGTTTCTTCCGCCACTGCCCTCGCGGCCCTCGTCCTTGCCGCCAACGCCGCCCCGGCCGAGCTGCCCACCCACAAGACCTCCAAGGCCGGCGTCGTCGAGCTCACCGGCAGCCGCGTCCAGGAGCGCTCGCCCTTCGACTGGGCTGATGTTGCCAAGCCTTTCCAAAAAGTGGGAGATTTCCTGACCGGCAAGACGGATGAGAGCTCCAACGAGAAGCGCTCTCCCATCGACTGGGACGATGTGAAACGTCCTTTCGAGTCTGTTGGAGATGCGATTACCGGCAACACCGAGAAGAACGAGAAGAGGGAAGCCGCTCCCTTTGAGTGGTCAGATATGGCTACTCCGTTCGTTAAGGCTGGGGATTTTGTCACTGGCAACACCAAGGACGACAACTAAATTTCGACGGCGGAATGGAAACCACGCGAGCACGGGCAATTGAATGAGAGCCGTGCAGGCAGATACCGGACATGAGAACGCATCTTACTGGAACCGATTCTACTGTTGATATTTTTTCCTTTTCTTTGTCATTTTTTTCTTTCTGTCTCCAGTCAGCCGAGACGTCATTTGCTGCGTAAAGAACCAAGACAATCGAGTACAACAGAAGCAAATTCAATTCTTACTCTCCATTTCTCGGATGCCAGGAACAAGTGCGAGGTCAGGACGCGGTCAAATTGCCAGATTCGTCAGTTCGTCGGCGTGCATGCAGCTGACCCTTGACGGTGATCCGCAACCGGTGTGAATTTGGCTCGGACGGGGGCCGGGAGCACGGAAGGTCGATTCCACTATTGTGGAGTCGGAGATCCCTATCAGGCGTGAGGGTGCACGGCGACAGTAGATATGTACGTGGACCGGCAAGGCTGAGAACCCCCCGTCAGCCCTTTCTTATTGTAACCGTCGATCACTGGCGCTAACGTCCCCCTCGTGCGGAGGCGCTGAGCCGTGTGTGTAAGCCGGCGTGTGCATTTCAATGTTGGTGGGTAGTATAGCCTCCGTGTATGCCCTCGACCAAAACGCATGGCAACGGCTTAGCGGCGAAGTAAAATGGATCGGCTGCGGCTGCGCTTGCGGCTCGACCACCAGCCACTGCCGCCGGCTGCCTACAAGTGCTTTCTTTTTTTCCCTTGCAATAGGACGCCGTGCATTGACCCTGGCCAACCACCTACGCCGGACTGGTCCGGCCAGCCCCCCTGTGAGCGGCTCACATCCTTTGCTCCCCACTCCCATCCTGGAGCTGACCCGCACTGAATTTCCTGTTTCGCGGTCCGGTGGACGGCTTGACGGCTGGTCGGCCGGGCGGCTGGGATTGCTGCAGCGGAACCACAGCTCCCAATACGCCCGCTCCGACGGCCTTACGGAGGTCGACGTCCAAGTGGCAAAATTCTAACTAGTGATAATGCGCTGATCTGCTCCAGATTGTCGGGTTTAAGGGTGGATCTATGGGAAGTCAAGTGCCGGTCCGTACCCTTGCAAGCCGGACGGTGGCTTGCTTTGGCCGCGGGCCGGCAGTTGTAAACCACGCGCAAGAGAGGCCTTTTCCGGTTACTGCGTCCAAAGTGCTGCAAAAGCTGATGGCCGCATCGGTGGGAAAAGGAGCACGATATGTATGCTTAGATGCTTGGCGCTATGCGCCCCCTTCTGCCTTGATCTGCTTACACGCTGCCCTGTCGCTGTTGGTGGAGGCACTTTGAGCTGGGCCCCGCTCTGCCCCGTTCTCCCTCCTGTGCTGCCTTGTCCCAGACGCTCACGCGGCCACGGACCGCCCGTCAGCGGGTCCAGGCGCCTCTGCCGTCGATCTGAGCTCCGGATCCTTGAAGTATGATAGCTGACGGCGGCCGAGTATATGGTCGCTTACGGCCACATGCCAGCCCCCGGGCCAATGACGCGGTATCAACCCACTCGGTCGTCCTTTGTCCTTCGTAACTCCGACTGCGAGCAGCTGCTTCGGGCACAGTCCCCCACGGGCAGCGCCACCCGGGGCATGAGACCGCCATGGCTAGGCCCGAGATTGCCGTCGGAATTTGACGGTTGATCCGGGATACTCAGAGTGGAGCTCCGCCATCCGAGTGCTGCCTGATGTCTGATTGCTCGGCGTGGGGATGCACACAGGGCCCTGGATACGACGGGCGAGCTTCCGGTCCGCCTGGAGGGATTCGCGCTGGCACCAGAGCACGCTGCGGGTGCGCCATCGTACCGAACCTTGTTCAAGCCTTCTAGTTTCATAACAGCAAGGATCAGCATGGGCTCCTCTCCGCCGCCGTGGACTGAGAAGCTTTCACGTCTTCGCTGGCTGATGACTTGTCGCCACTCCCCGCACCTCGCCTGGTCAGTGCAGCTGTTCGGCCTGATCTGGGCCGCTGCCGGTATTTCAGTACCGTATTCTCTCTGCTGCCTTCCCGAACTCGCTTCTCCGGCTCGCCATCTTCGCGACCGACGCTGTGCATGATCTCCGGACCGGGCCCCTGACTAGCAACAATGATGCGGCTCGCGGTGAGCAGATCCAAGGCCGACTTCCTCCAGAGCCTGGGGCTATCCAACGACAATCCGGCAGACCGGCAAGTGTACATTGCCATCAAGGTGAGCCCGGGAGGAGAAGAGCTCCCCCAGCCCACCTGTGTGCGTACTGACGAACCCCCCCAACCCAGCGCGAGGCCATGGAGGGTCGCGCCCGGCTGTGCCAAAACCGCGACAATCTCATGCCCCAATGCCGGGACGACGTGACGGTGCAACCGCCCTTTTCGTCCAGCCAGATGATGGAGACGGCCATGCACCGCGAGGTCCTCCGCATCTACAGCCTGGCCAGCCCGACCACGCGGCCCTACTACCAGCTCGGCCGCTTCATGGACGGCGAGAACGTCGACAACTGGGTCATCCGCTGGATGCTTTGGAACACGTTCCGGTACGGCATGAACAGGAAACGCCATCCAGGTAACTGCCCTCCGCCGCCGCCGCCTTCTCCCGCAACACCACCACCACCACCCGCCCGGCTCTTGAACGCTGACCACGCAGACTCCTCTGACGATTTGCTGAATTCTCCGGAAGGGTCCCCTACTCTTAACACCGTATCGCCCGTCGTGTCACAAGCGCCGCCAGCTGGCACCGACGGACGGACAGGTACGTCTCCGGCTTTTGGATTCCTCGAAACCATGCGTCCTCTGCGCCCGTCGTTTTACAGTGCGGCCTTCATAAGTACTGAAAGATGATGTAGTTCCTTACGATCCTGTGAGGGATGCATGATTGGCACGGCTTTGCTTTGTTTTTGGCGCATTTTTACTGTTTTTTTTCTGGGACCGTGGAATAGAAACATGGATGCGGGACCCGTTCTTGTTTGGCCGTCCTTTTCTCGAGGCCGTGGCTATCGTCATTTTGGCATTGTTTGCGCGAGTTGGGAGGATAGATTGCAATATCGATCGAACTTTCTTGGCAGTTTGCTACTAGCGGTTCCGCGCTTACTACGAGGGGCAGTTCGAGTGGACGGTCGAAGTGATGATGCGGATCAATTAAGATCCGCTTGGGGGAAGCGCGGAGCAAGCTCCGCATCGTGCGCTCTGTGGACGGTGCGGTCAGCCTAATGCATCAAGTCCAACCACCACCTGCAACCAGAGAAAGAGTGTTTGCCGGAAGGGTTGTTTACGATAGCTATGGTAGCAATCTGTTCGAAAGAAGATGGCATTCTTGACATAGACGGCACTATAGAAATTAGATCATGTCAGTACAATAAACGTGGACCACTGCTGCTCTTATAGTGTGGGCTGTCGGGAACATATCTCGCTCATCCTAACCGAAGAGGGTAGATTCCCGTGAACACTTCAACAACGTCAGCCCAAAATGAGTTTTGACAGTCCATTCAGGCTGTATGGAGGCCCTGCGGCTTCTTATGGAGAAAGTGTGCTGGTCAGAGTTCCGCTAAATAAAGGTTAAAAGCACTTTGGAGCCGTGCACAGACCCGGCTCAATATCTCACTTAATACGCGTTTCTGCACAACCTCCACTTCTGTGTCGGTTATGCCTCCGATTGGCGCGTATCGGTACACCCTATCGACTACGGCTCGGGCCACTCTTACGTCAAGCAATTCGTCCATGATGCGGGAAATTCTAAAGACGACAAGGTGCAGAAGAGCAGTGCAGCCGAAAGCTAGTTTGGATTTATTTTCGTATCAGGCGCTTGTCCGAGCTCATTATGGGTAGCTGAAGCAATTGTTTGGACGGAAATGTGGAATGAATAATTATACATTAACGTTTAGACAATAACCTCTACTTCCTATAAATTGAATATCATTGCTCGCAAAGATTGCAGAGGATTATTTCCTCTGCGTGCCCATGGTTTCTGCCTGTTTCCACGTCCTGCCTTTATTCTTCGCGCTAGCCTTCGGCTCTGATAACCATCTGTAGCAGCTAGAGAATACGAGGACGGAGGTCACGGCAGACAACCTTCAGCAAGGGATCGTCGACGCAGGGAAAAATGGGGAGCAGCCGATTGGTTGGATTATATTTCCCCGGATCTAGACGAGCTTATGAAGGGTGCGTCATGTACACTGCTTACACCCTTTGCTCGTTCCTCAACAATCCTCAGATCATCATGTCAACTATTTCATCACATGCGTATTTCCTCATGACCGGGTGGTCCGATGATATGACCCGGCCCATTCCATGTACCACAACATGAACTTAGCGAGCGTATCGGAGATTTCTTTCGTTGACGCGAGTTTCATTTGAGACAGGTGACCGTCAGACTTGTACATGTAGATGGATGTCCGCCGGAGGCTAGAGCGAGGATTAACAGGGCGCTGGGATAACAGAGGGTAATCATGCTCCGTATCACGGGAGGCGAAGAATAATCCTGCAATCTTCCGTAGGCATTGAAGCGATCACCCGGACGTAATGCTGACTTAACAACTATACATTTACGTCTGGACAGTTGCTTCAACTGCCCATCATGGGCTTGAACTTGCCGGCTACGCTTATGCTTGAATCCAGACAGATGGAAGGAAGCCAGTTCATTCTTTTGCTGGCGTCAATTAATGATACATGCTATTGGAGCTTTTTGCCCATGATCCTGCAACGCCACTGCTGCTCGTGCTCATACCATTGATCCCACCATCCCTCTTTTGCGCGAGTAATCTGAAATGGATGAAGTTTGAAAAAAGGGAAAGTAAACAAAGGTAAGGAAAGTTGGGAAGCCAATCTCAGCTGACCATGACCGCCGAGATGTTTTGATTATCATGCCGTGTTGGTTAATTGAGACACATCACTGAGTGTCAGAGATCCTTATCTCCCTAGCGGTTGACGGCGGTAAAGCCAAGGCCTCCAGGCTGGCCTTGCGCATCCTCAGAGGACTGGGCCTCACCCATCTCAGTGTCCTGCGTGTCCGGCTGCGCAGTCCTCCTCTCGCCATTTGCGTCCGACCTGATTTCAGGTCCAGCACTGAGCACCTCGCCCGTGGCGCCAGGAGCAGGAGCTGCCGCAAAGGGACGACCGTAGTCGCCGCTGGCGGCAGATGTGCTGTTCTCTGCGCTGACCGGCCTTTCTCTATCATCATGCCTGCCTTCACCAAACTCTGGTTGCGGTAGAGGCAAGGTGGGTGCAGTACCGCCGGCGGCGGAAACCCCGGGCAGCGGAGCCGACCCGCTGTATGGAGTGGATGACGGAGTTCCATTGAGACCAGTGGGTACGGATGTGTTGCCATAAGGGACCGCGGAACCCGGACGAACTGGATCAGGAGTGGATTGAGCTGACGACATAGCGTGCAAGGGGTGAATGTGTGGCTGCTGGGTAGTGTTGCTGATGGATCCAGGAGAGTGGTGGGGCGGCATGCTGCCGCTTTGGTGGCCTTCGAGCGGGGGGGTCTTTTGGCGGTTGGTGCGCTTACTCCGTGTCGGCTTCTCTTGTGGCTGCGATACGTCAGGCTTCAGAGAGCTTCCAAGTGGAGGAGATGGGTCTTGGCGTACAGTTGGAGGAGGGCTAGTGCTGCGGTCCGAGTCGTCCACGTTGGGAGCCATTCGCTCGGCAAGGCGCTCCAACAAGAAAGCTCTTTCCAGCCGCATTTTCAAGATGGCGCGGTCGAGGCGCACCTTCCGCAGCCGTGCAGCCTCGTTGTTTGCCTCAATCTCATTCAGACGGCGCTTGAGGGCAATGCACTTGCGGTAATAGGCCGCCTCGACCGAGGGAGGTAGTGGTGTAGCGTTATCTGCTTTCTTTGGTCAGCACACTAGGAGATTCCAATGATGGCGCCATCAACGGAGGTGAGTGGAAATGAAAGATGCGATCCCCCGTCGTAACGCAACTGGATTCTTTTGACGTTCCATGGCATCCATCCGTGGCAGTGGTTGTTTCCGAGGCTCTACAGTCATGGCGGAGGGGCGGGCTATGCGTAGATGGAACCCATAACCGGTGTTGATATGCGACGCGCTCTCAGCAGATCAACGACGCCGGGGTATTCAATCCTCGCGCGCTTCTCTCAATATTCTTCCTGGTCGCCCTCACTGACCCATACTCCTCTGCGTCCAGATGTCCATTGTCGCGCTGGGAGTTCGCTCGACCAGGCCTTTATCGTCTTTTGCGCCGAGGTCTCGATGGGCGTGAACAGGGCTGGAGGTCGCTCGGGCTAGCGCTCAGGCTGGAGCACAAGAACGGCGGTCAAGGAGGGGACAGTCGTTCGGATCCAAGCATTGGGCGCGCGGATAAGTCCAGTTGCGGCAGACGGGGGTGAGATCGACAGTGGGAGTGCAAAGGCATTGAGGTGGTGGTGATGAGGGCAAGAGAAGGGCTAATACAGACCTGCAGGCGGCATTTTGGGCTGCTGCGACGCGCAAGGAAGCAGAGGAGGGTTGAAGAAGATGGCGCGACTGCGGCAAGGGTTGGAGGATGGACAGAGAGCGAGGCGCGGAGGTGAGGTTGGTTGAGGAGCTTCGAAGGAGCTCCGGAGTCGTGGCGCGCAAGGCTCCGGCTGACTTTGGGTGGTCCGAGCGCCTGGGGTTGCGGCGCCCGCGCTACGACGCGTCCGCCTCTCACGCGTCACCTAACTTCATCTATCCTCTCATCAACGTTTTACCCATTGGTCTAGACCTGCCGTTGCTCTGTTGGCTCTTGGTCTCGACGGTGTCGCCAATGGTGCTACTGGACTTATTCGCGCAGCAGCAGACCCGATTTTTTTTTTCTACTGCGAGTATTGATGGCAGTGAGGTAGATCCTCTACGAACTTACCAGACTCGGAAGCTATGGCGCAAAGGAGTCAAAATGCCGCAAATGCGCAGTCCCAACAAAGAGTCCAGTCTCAGGCTCTGCGTATGGAATTGCAGCATCTCCGACTGGCACAGATGCAACAGCTGGCACGAATGCAACCACCGGCACAAATACAACAACAACAACATCAACAACAGGCCAAGTCTCAAGCTCTGTATGCGGAAATGCAGCATCTCCAACGGCCCCAGCAGCAACTACAAATAGCCAAGTCTCAAGCTCTGTACACGGAAATGCAGCATCTCCAACCACCCTCGATGCAACCACAAGTACAACTGGCCAAGTCTCAAGTTCTGCGTCAAGAGATGAGTCATCCCCTATTGGGACAACAGTTCATGAAGTCGGAACCAATGAGGGAAGCCATGCGGCAATATCCCCCATCGTCAAACACACCGGCCGCCGATATCTGGACGAGCGAGCCGGAGCATGTTGAAGAAAATACTTTTGGGCATTATGACTTTTCACCATCAACTTCCACGCTATTTTCATCCGCCATTTGGGGCATCGGCTGTGAGGATTACGAGTACGACATTTTGAAAGGACCTCGAGAAATCCGAATTTTGTGCGTCAACCCTGGCCTATCGCCCGATGAACTTGATTGCGACTTGTATCACTGCGAGCTCGACGCAAACCTTGCGTATTCTGCTTTATCCTACGCCTGGGGCACGGATAAAACCCCAACCGTGACAATTTTTTGTAACGGGCGCCGCCTGAGAATCATGCCCAGCCTGTACAGCGCCCTTCAGAGGATTCGCCACCATGCCCATCCCATCTACATCTGGGCTGATGCCGTCTGTATAAATCAACGAAATGAAATCGAAAAGGGCCATCAGGTTCGTTTAATGAGAGCCATATACCAAAGGGCGAGATCAGTCTTGATATGGCTGGGCCACGACGAGCATAATCAAGCTCTAGCAGTATTCGACGCCAGCAGAAATATTTTTGCAGAAGACATGAGCCGTGTTCCACACTCAAGCGACAGCCTGTGGTCGGGATTTGCTGACCTTTTTGATCGGGCTTGGTTCTGGAGGTTATGGTGCCTCCAGGAGATCGTGCTTGCATCCTCTGCTGAATTGATGTGGGGACCTGAGAGTATCAGCTGGGAGTGCCTTGGCTTTGCAGCAGCCTGGATTAGAACCATGGAACATCAGATTGCGCGTAGAATTCCTGGCCTCTACAACGCCTACCTCATGTACGCTCTCTCTATCAGTAGTGATAAGCATGACCCAGTCTCGTTCCTCCATCTTCTCTCCCTCACCCGCCAGTTCAAGGTATCAGATGCGCGAGATCGAATTTACGCCCTCCTGGGGCTGCCGACCACAGATTCCGACCCGGAGAACGGCGAGCTGTACGTAGACCCCGATTATACCAAGACGCTCCCAGAAGTCTACGAGACCTTGGCGAGGAAGACGCTTCTTTCTTCTCAAGGCTTGCGGACCCTCTCGACCGTGCAGCATGGCTTAGAAGTCGAAGAGACTCTGCCGTCTTGGGTTCCCCAATGGGATCGCCTCTTCACATACGCCCTGGCTCAGGGCGGAACTTCTCTCAAGAACTTTGCGGCCTCAGCTACTCTCCCGATCGTCGTGCCGAGGTTTTTCGGCTCGTTGCTGGTTGTTGAAGGCCTGGAGTTTGACGCTGTAACCTGGGTGTCGGATATACTACCTGACGCTGTCGATTCGCACCCTAAGCTCGAATATCTCAATACAGTCTGGGATACAGTAACTTCCTTCATGCATACCTATCCTGATGGAACCGACATCTATACGGCTTTTTGCTGGACCGTTACCGCCGGCAAAGACTGGTATGGCATGCTCGTGGAGGATGAAGTGGAGCATCTTGCGGATTTCGCAGCGTGCCAGGAGGCTTACTTTGCCTCTCCTTTACCCGACGCGGGAATGCGTGAGCGGCTTACACTTTCTCACGTCCACGAGTCAAGGCGCCAGATGGTCATGAATCTGCCGCGGGAACAATTTTACCGTGCGATTGCAGCTTCAGCCCCCACGAATCGCAGAGGCGATGCAGATGCGGACCGATTCGTAACAGCTATGGCGTATGCTTGCCGCTTTCGGCGCTTCTTTATTACCAGAAAGGGTTTCTTTGGCATTGGGCCGCCCTGCCTGAAAAGGGACGATTTGGTGTGCATCCTCAATGGCGGCATTGTGCCGTTTGTGCTCAGGCACAGAGAGGAACATTATAAGCTTGTCGGAGACGCATACATCTACGGGATTATGAATGGCGAAGCTTGCGAGCAGCCGTTTCGAGCAAATCTTCGGACACGTTCATTCGCCTTGAGTTGAACTTGCTACACGGTACACCTAGTAACACGGTAATTAATACCATTATCATGGGGGTAGCTGAAGCTAACGTCCGGATACATTTGTATAATTTTTAAATGAACATTCACGTCCGGACGTTCGCTTCAACTGCACACGTAGGAAGAAATAGTGCCCTTCGCGGGGCGCACTCTTCAATTTGACTATAGACCCAAGCGCCGACTTTGGCGACAACCGGTAACCTTACTGAGCTTCCCCATCATGGATATCAAGGAATAGTGAACCAATCTAGCAACCAGGGTAGGTGTTTCCACAGTGACTTTACAGCGATTTCCGTGTCTTGAACGCCACGACCACACTAGACCTATCCACACATAATACACATCTGGTCAGCCCCCCACTCTTCAATGCGGATATGATGACCGCGATCGCGGCATGTACGAGCCGCCATCAGGCTGTGCCTAATGTCGCGCATCATGCCTCCATCACACACAGACGCGGGAACGGCGACGTTTTACTCACCGAGAGGATGTGGAGCTCGGAGAACTGGTCGGCCGTGATCTGGCGCTGCATCCAGACGCGGTTCGGCAGGGTGATGGTCGCGATGGAGGCGCCCATGTTGGGGTAGTCGGCACACTCCTTGCGCTGCGCCTCCGGGATCAGATCCAGAGCGAGGATCTCAATGTGACGATGACCGCGGGGGATGGCCTTGTGCGACAGGCGGAGAGCCGGGTCTGGTGAAGGGTCAGTGCGTGATTATCAGAAAGGATGATGCGGAGGGTGTAGATGCGGCAGATGGCAGCGGGGGCGTTCAGTGTTGACACAAAGGGTAGCGGTATGGCGATGGTGCTTGAGTATATCGTCTGCTGGGATGTGACGTACTGGCTGACATGTTTTCTTCAAGTTGCGCCTTCGACATCAACAGGACATCCGGAGTCTCGCCGGTGCTGGAGTGCTTGTAGACGACGATCTCCTGCTTAGGACCGCTCATGGTGATAGGTTTGTGATCGTCGTGGAAGAGGCTTTCAAAGTAGCTGAAGGTTCTGGGCTGAAGGAGACTCCTTGGAGTGCTTACGGCGGAATCAATGGTGGTGGTTGGGGAGGGAGGAACTTGAGGATCCAGGGTTGCGGTCTTTGAAGGGAGGACAAGCGGAGCAGATATGAGATAAGAATGCCGTGATTGTAAAAGAAAGGCGGCGGCGGTGGTAGTGTTACTTTCAACGCTGGTGTTAAGTGGACCATGCATGGCCGGAAGAGGCCCGGAATAAAGCAGCACCGGAGGTCCGGAAAGGGAAATGGCCGCCCTTCAGGTGGGCCTTCCTCTCTGCTCTCTTTGTTGGCATGCCAGCACATGAATAAATACCAAGCATCCAATAAAAACCTAGTAGAGCTGATTTTCTTTTCCTGATTGGGTATCATGTGACCTTCCAAGTACTCGCTAACTTTATGCATGCTGGCCTTGCTCGTCGAACGACCGAGTCGCCCAATCGAATGGGATTTCTTCAAGAATTACGACCTTTTCCCAGACAGAACCATTACCAACCATACTTGCTGCCTGCCTCCTTCTTGTTTCTCTTCCCCGTGGCAAAATGCTCCTCCAAGGCGTCTTTCTGAGTGGCAGCATTGTTTATCAACTGCTTCAGAGAGTGCTTGCCTGGTGCAATAGACCTGACCGGGTTGTGCTGGATCGTCTCGCCAGCGGCTCTCAACTGCTCATTGTGAGCATATTCCTGGTCGGTGTTGAAGTTGACGATATTTATGGCCGAAAGGTCCGATCCGCCCTTTCCACGCTGTCGACCGAACAGCTGACGTCGTTGGGCTTCAGTGAGATTGAGATCGGAGGCGATGGTGTCCAAGGATTGCGGCCCAGCTGATTGGGCCACATTTTGGCCAGACGACTGCCCCTGCGTCGTGGTTTCCATATATCCCGTGTCATTGGTCTGCTGCGAGGTGTAGAGCATGGGCTGATATTCTCCTCCTGATGCGCTAGGTACCGGGCTAGACTCCTCCTGCGATATGGAGAAAAGGGAGACTTTGGGCTTTGGCTTTGGAGCAGGGGCTGCCGGAACAGCAGCTTTCTCTGCCTGCGGAGCTTGCTCTGTCGGCTGGGGCTTTGAGGCTTTGGGCACGGTCGGCAACGTCGACGCCGCCTTTTTCTTTTTCTTGGCATTGTTTGAAACAGAAAGCGGTTTGAACATCATGGGCTTCCCAACCAATTTGACTTCCTCGGCGGGCTTGGGCTTGGGCTCGTCGGCAGGAGCCTCGGGTCCATACGCATCCTCATCCGCATCCGCGCCACCATGCTTGCTGTCCTCATCTTGACCCGCCTCGTCGACTGGCTCTCGACTAAAGCCAGGAGCAGCGCTCGTCTTCAAGGAAACACCTTTGCGCAGGCCTTGGTTCTTTGCAGCAGCTCCGCCTGACTTCTTGGGAGCGGGCAGGAATGAGTTGAAGCCACTGAAAGCGCCGCCGCCGCCGCCGCCGGTGCGCGCTCTTTTAGCGGGAGGCTCGTCGGAGGAAGGTTGTGCACCTGCGGAGCCTGAGGCAGCAGCAGACGGGAGGTTTACGCGGATCTTGCCCGGGTTGGAGCGGTCGACGACTTTTTGGAAGGCGGCGGGCTTCGCGGTGGCGGACGAGGTTGCGGCGGGCTTCGGGGCGGGCGGGGCGTCGCTGTCAGAGCCCTCGGAGTCGGAATAGTCGACGAGGCCCATGGCGGAGGTTTGTGAGTTGGTTGAGGTTGGAGCGGTGGTCGATCTTCGCAAGGAATCCAAGCTCCGCGACGGCTGACGCACCGCCGCTGCCCGCGTCGCGCATCTCGCCCCTCCGCATCCGCGCCCGACACCACCACCGAACCGCTCCGCTCCACCGTGCGCCCGCTCTTTCTGCTGTGCTGTGCTGGAGACATGCTACTGTCTCCAGCCTGCCCATTCTTTCCTTAGCACCATGTCGCTTCTCCAGAATGAAGAGTGAGTCCCGCACTGACACCCGCTCCTCCGCTAAGAGCAATCTGCCCTACAGCAACGAGAAGCGCCGTTCCCTGCGTCGCGCTGTCTGCTCGTGCATGGCCCGCTGATCGCGATGCGCAGTTTCGTTCTCTACCAGCTTCGCACTGCCTATCTCTCCAACATCAAGGACGGCGTTGGCGAGCGTCTCATCTCTGTCAACACCTCTGTTTTGAACAATCCCGCCTTTCGCGCCTCCGGTTGGCTGCCGAACACCTCTGATATAAAACGCACTTATTCACCTCCTATACCTACTGCAATCGCCTCGGAATACTTTCAAGCCCCGCGCTCTGCCGGTCTGACCGGTCCCGGCTTTGGTGATGACGATGACGAGGGCGGCATGGTCACGGGCCGGGGCGAAAGCACCGAGACCGTTGGACCTATGCCCATAACACGACGGAGGCGGAGGAAGGAACAGCTGGAGGAGGAGGATAGTAGTGACCTGAGTGACGATAGCGACGAAGATGCGGACGGGCAGAGAGCTGTTCAGCAGATCAAATTCACGAAGATGCCCATGCCTGTCAGGTCGCGCGCTGGTTCGTCGCCCATCCAGAAGACCAGGCTGGCTGAAGCCCCCGAGCTCATCATGGTCACGTCTCCATCCAGGCCCCCGGAGACCAGCGGCGTGCGCAGAGGCTCTCTAAGCGCTCTTGATACCGTTCAGGAAAGGCCACGGAGGGACACAGTTACCAGTAGCGAGATGTCTTCGGAGAACGAGCTGGACCCGTCCGTTTTCAAGAGAAAGCAAATCAACTCGCGAAGAGCGGCCGTGGCCACTAACCTGCTGAGCGAGAAGATAGCAGAGGACGACGAGGATGAAACCGAGGACAGTGATCTCGACTCGGACTTTGCTGGCACCGCCGACTCGAACTCGCTACTCGGAGTGGGAGCTGATGCACTGGACTCCACGCCCCCTCCCAAGCAGATTCAAAACATACCGCCGGCCATCACTCCTCACAACTCGTCGCCAAACAAGCGGACAAAGCAGCAACAGTCCCAGATGACCCTTGCCACTTTGCCTCCGGCCCGCCCGATCAGCGTGGTGCAGCCCGTCAGCGCCCTCACTCAGGCACTGAAGGCCAAGTCCAGCAAACCTGCAGATCCGCTCCAGAGGTTCGGTATCTTGTCGGGACAGAGCGAGTCAAGTCCTCTCTACATTAAGATTTATGCTCCATTCTCCAACAAACCGACCAAGCCTTTCGAAGTCCTGCTCCGCAAGACAGTTGATGAAGGCACAAAGGTCATCGTCGCCGAAGCCATTGGTTACGCTCTCTTCAAATACCAGGAGAATGGCTTGGAGCCGCCCATTCCACCGGAAAAGCGGAATGTCAACAAGTGGGTCCTACGAATGATTGAGGATGAAGAGGTCGATTACGAGTTTCCTCCTTTTGCTCGGACACGGCCCATTCAGGACTTCACTTCCACCAACAATCGCCCAGTTCGGGGACGAGCAAGAGATAAGCCGTGGGACGAGTTCGCCATTGTCGAAGCATCACCGTCAGAATTTGCAGACAACGAAAAAACCACTCCTGAATACAGCCGAGAATTTGCTGAAACAAGCGGTGGCAATGAACTCCAAAAAGTGCCCACGACTTCGGGGTCGGAAGCTGATCCCACTTCGAACCTCCCGCCAGTGACAGCCCCAACACCAGCACCTCTCCTTGCACCCCAGCAGAACCCTATTACTGGGCCGTACTTCTCAACCATTCGGAAAGACAGCACAAGCCTCCTGGATGCTCCAGCCGCCGCTGCGCCTAACTTCACTCCTCGCACAGGTGCACCCAAGACACTCCGCATACACTTCATATCTGACGACTTTACTTCACGTGTTTCGACGCTGGAAGTCACAACCGACACATATCTTGCCGAAGTCTTCGACCGCGCCTGCCGTGACCTGAACGTGGACAAGGCACTTTACGTTCTGAAGGTCAGCGGCACGTCGACCATCGCACCTTCGGATCGCACAGTCGAAGCCCTCGGCGAACGCACCGAGCTCGACCTTGCACGGCGCCGGTTCGTCGGCGACGGCGCCTTCGGGCTCTCTGGCTCTCCAGGATCCTCTTCGCCCAACGCGCCGCTGCTCATCAGCACCGGCGGCACGCCCAAGAAAAAGCAGAAAGGCAACCCAGGCCCCAGCGGCCTCATGCACCCGCTCGCGCAGAAGCAGGATGCGCTGCTCTCGCTGACGACGACCAACACGTCGTACAAGCGGTACACGGTGACGCGCAAGCAGCCCATGTCCTTCACGTCCAGCTCGACGCGCGTGCTCGCGCTCGACGGCGAATACATGCACATCATGCCGGCGGACACGACGGCAGCGACGGCAGCCAACAAGGCCACGGGCATGGGCAAGACGACGACTGTGCACTTCACGAGCGTCGTCGGCAGCAAGGTCAGCAGCAAGCATCCCAAGACGTTCCGCGTCGTCGTGTACCGCGAGCGCGAGAGCAAGCGGTACGACTTCGAGGCTCAGAGCAGGGAGGAGGCGGCCGAGATCGTGAGGGAGATCAGGAAGGGGCTAGAGAGGTTCCAGGAGGGCTATGTATGATGGAGATCTTGAAGCGAGGGGCAAAGGCGAATGGAGTTTTGATGTTTACTGGATTGGATAGCGTGCGGAGTTTTTCAAGGTTGGCGCTCTTCTATCGGCTGGCAATTTAAGTGGAGCATTCGGGATGGCAAGCACATGGAAGTATTTTTTTACGGCTTCTGTCCTTCTAAGTTTCATCTCTGGAGTTAAGAGAAAAGGTCTTTGCGATAGCAGAGATACCCTAAATGAGCGATTTCCATTTGCTTCAGAACACGCATTTCAGCGACAGCTAGCGTGAATTTATTTTTGCCATACTATGGGTAGTTGAAGCTATCATCCGGATGCAAATGTCGAATTAATAATTATGCATTCATGTCCGGACGATAGCTTCAACTACCCGCATGTTTTTTTGTAAAAAATTGCTGAGAAATAATGACCTCGTATTCTGGGTCCATGGCTGCAATACCCCTCTGTAGTATCCTTTGTAGGACATTGAAAGACGAGACTGGGCGCAGTCAACGGTGGATCCTGCAGCGAATGACGCAATGGGAGTTCTGGAATGCGCACGAGCGGTGTGTGACGGAGCAAGCGTGGGCAGGCAGCGTGGCTGTGTGGGAGAGGGTGCGGCCTTTCTGGAGGAGGCAGATGCCACGACGAGTGGAGTGTGGAGAGACGTGTGAGACGGGCTTGCACGGGCTGTGTTCGCTGCAAAACACCCCAGCTCCACCGCTATCTCCGCAGCCCCCAAACAACGCATGTCAGCAGCGGCTGAGCTACCCCCGGCCCGCTTTTAGAACTACCGCAACGAGCCGCATCTGCCCCCAAATCCTCGACCACTTGCTTAAATCCCGCTTGCTGCCCGCAGTTCCCGCTTGCTATGGCCGCCCTCGCCCCACCTTGCCTCTCGGCGCCCCTCTCCGCATTTCGAAGCTAGCAAACCATCATGAGCCCAACGATGGCGCTTTCGAGGACCAACACAGACTTGTTCACTCATGACCTTCTCAAGCTGGCTCCCAAGGCAGAAAGCATCCATGATAAACACGACGAGGCGAAAATCGCCTTCAACAAATTCGTGGATGCCCGCTACAAAGATGGCTCCAGTGGATACTCAGAAGTTGGCGTGCTCCTCGTGCGCTGGAGTGATGACGATTTGGGAGTAGCCGATGAGGTAAGTGGGCAAGCGGCCAAGGTTTCATACATGTGCTAAGACGAATGACAGGTCAATCTGCTCAACGAAGTCTTCGGCGAACAGTTTCGCTTCGACACAGAAGTCTACGAAATCCCCAGAGAAAACTCCGCTTCCGAACTGCAGGCTAAGATGCAGCTTTGGGCCAACCAGTATGAGGGCGCCGATAAGCTAAGCATCATATACTATGCTGGACACGGTAGCCAAGTGAACGGCAATTCAGGCCAGCTGGAGTTGCACGGAACCCGCGAAACTCTCAAAGAGAAGGCCGAGACCTTCTTCAAGTCGTCTTTTAGACCCCTCGACATGACCGACACGGATACCTTGTTAATCCTTGACTGTTGCCACGCCGCTCTGTCCTTTTCTCAGAAGCAAATTGGCCGAAGAAAATTCGAGCTCCTTTGCTCCGTGGCTCCCAGCGAAACTGCCTACGGGCCGAAGAACGCCGCTTCCTTCACCAAGACTCTTTACATGGCGCTGATGGACCTGCTCGCAGAGCGCCCCCTGCAAGGCTTCTCTACGTCAGAACTGTATATGAAACTTTACCATAAATCTCTGATAACCAAGAAGCCCTTTCTCTTTGACCAGTCATCCAAGAACTTTGGCTGGATCTACCTTCGGCCCTTCTACTATGGGCCGGAGCCGAAGCAAGAGAACATAGCGGTCGAGCTGCGCCTGGAAATGTCCAGGATGCCCGAGGAGCCGGAGATGAAGGAGCTGGCAGCTCACATGCAGTATCTTCCGCTCGTGAAGAAACTGAAGTTCCAGCACCTGCACGCCCCAGATCACATCTTGGATGAGTTCTTCAATGACTTGATCAGGCGGCAAAGAATCAGGCCGTTCATCAGGAAACTTCGCCAGCGAGTCGCCATGAAACGGAACGAGAAATCCAACGTTCCCCCAACAAAAGAGAACAAAAAGGTGGCTGTCTCCGATGTCCAAGACATATATGACTGGGGAGCAGAAACCGAGATGTCCCACCCGAATCGCCCGGTTCGCCGCGCAAGCATGCCTTTATACAAAAAGAGCCTGTCCAGGCAGACCACTGCTGTCGACAGCAATGCCAATGACGACAACTGTATCGAGGAGGAGCGTGCCTCTTTGAAGACCGGAAACACTTTATCCTTGGCAATGCTGTTCACTCTCCTCGGCTCTTCCTTGTCAAGGGTAAGATGCAAGTATGCGGAGCTGTCTCCCATCAAATTTCTGCTTGAGCTCTCTGTCACGGTTTTGATCTTTTTCCTGGAAATGATGTTGCGCTGGTGCAATGGATTACACGAATGGACGCGGCAGCCTCGAAAATTGTGATGCTTTGGCCTTTTCATTTTCTTCTCTTTCTATTCTTGAAACCAGGACTGGAACACCCCCGTTAGATACCCCTTTTTGTGTAATATTACCAATTACGCCAATCTACCAATGATACATATGCTTGCGTACCAAAAGCATAGCCTGTATGGTGGTAAGTGTATTTCAGTGGATCGTGGAAGGCGAAGTGTGATGCTAAGGGTAGCCATATGCATGTCTCAGGCACCAAGAGTCTTCTGCATGCTCGTCTTCACATGGCGTGGGATAACGGTAATGCGAGACGCATCCCGTCATCTTGATGTTTCGAAGCAAACGAGGCTGAGTTGCACAGTTGCTTCTCGGTGTTGATCAGGCTGAACGCGCAGCCCGTTGTGAGCGCATCACCGATTCATCCACCAATGCGCAGCGACAACAAAGCAAGCAATGGGCCCTCTTTGCTGACAACACAGTAGATGCCTGATGAAATGTGGGCTGACACGAGTTTGAGCCTCACAACCCCCGCCCGTGGAGCTCGCTCACATGCGAGCCACTTTGCACTTATTGGTTTGTAATGCGCGTTGGGCCAATCGGCAGATGAGAGACTGGAATGATTTTCCTACAGAAGCGAAGCCTGCTGCGCCACTTGGCCTCAATCGTCGGTGGCCTGTGTGACTGCAAATGGTATTGGTTGCATGTCCCGCGCAGAGTGGGGGCCAAGATCGTCGCGAACTGCTGCCTCCCGCAGTTGCACTGCTTGGGGGCTGATGCCAGGCTATCGCTGGCGCCTTTCGAGGCGCCGGTGCTGCCTTTCAGCCTCGTCGACCGACAGGCTATAAGATAAGGCTGCGGCACAGTATCCGGGCGGCATCGTAGGCTCAGTACCAGCCCAGCTCTACCAGAACCAGCCTTCTGCAAAAGACTGCAACCTTTCTTCCAACCAGCCTTTCCAAACAGCATGGTAGGCCTAATCTTTCAGCAGTGACAACCAGAGCTGAATGCGGCTAACACGAGGCAATTCTGCAGGCGCCGCACAGCGAAGCCGACGAGGAACAGCAGCAGCAGCCCGAGGTGATCGGCGCCTCCGAGACCAATGAAAATGTCGTTACCGCTGAAGAGGAAGATGTCCGTTCCAGAGTTAGACGAGGCCAAGACGCAATCGTATGTTATCTAGACTGATTATATTGCCACCGCAGCTAATTCGTGTAGCTGCCTCTCAACTTCGAACAGGGAGACCAAGTCTACGTCGTACCTGACCCACGGAGGCCCAGAACAAGGCAAGGCCCATTCACAATATTGAGTGGTAGGAGGACCGGGGGTGGGCATCCTCCACTTTACAGATTGCAAGGCTATAACGGGGAGGTCTCAGAAATGAACCTCGCCTACTAGCAGGCTGTGGAACAAACATAATTACTTGGAGACGGGCGTTTATTAGTACATGGGTTTCAATTTTTGATCTTGAATAGCCAGAGTGCAGCAAACGTGCCGGATGTGATTAATCGCCCCCCTGAATACGATTGGACGGCTAGCTGCATGTGCCGTGAGACTTATTGATCCGCAAGGAAAGGCAGACGGCGAGGCTGAGCTCTGCGCCACCCGCAGGCATCGGGCTCCGCCTCAGCTCGTGGAACGTGCCACCACAGCCTTGCATTGAAGGGCTGGGCCCGCTTTGCGTTGTCGGCGGCCCCGCCCCGCCCGTCTTTCTCTTAAGCCGCCTCTGCTCCTACACACAGCACACATACACGCATCAGCTTCTATTCCGCGTCATTCCATTCCTGTCCATGCTTTTTTCATCCCATTGCATTTATCCGATACAGCTGCCGTGATGTCTGCGACTCCTCCCCCCGGAACTCAGCCACACACGCAGCCCCCACTTTCACAGCCTTGCTCCTCCACTTCTTCCACGAGCGAGATTCAGGCATCATGTGACCCGGAGAAGGGTGATGTCGAGAAGTGTGACATTGAGAGTAAGCAAACGCAACACTGCGTCACGTGTTTCTCTTTCCTAATATCATCGTATCAGGCGGGATCCAACGGCGCGGTACCGATACCAGCATATTCAGTCGCTTCACACGGGCGATGACAGGTCTCAGCTCAAACTCAAAGAGTGAGGACGAAGATATTGGACAACAGCCCGAGGACATCGACTACCACCCCATGGGTTACCCTCGGCTCGGGGCGTTTATTAACAGCGATGAGAACTTCTTAATGTGCCGCCGGTACGGCCTTCTGCACACTCGTGTCATGCTGTATCGGCAGGACGAGCTGCGCGAGCTCGAGGAGAAACTGCTCGGCCTCGACGCCGAGGATGAGGATGAGAACCCGAGGATGCTGAATTCGCGAGTTCGTGATGATCGAAGAGAAAACCAGGAGCGTAGAAAACTGATCCTCGAGATTGACGAAAAGCTGAAGGAATATGGTTAGCGCTCTCCCAAGTCGTGGAGATGTGTCAACAAGACTGACATCAGACAGACGACTGCGTGCTCCGCGCACGTGCAATGGCGCAGCTGCCCCTAACATCGGACCGCAACTACAAGAGTGTGTCGTCGTACGTGACGAATAACGGTCCGTTGGTGTGTAAAGAGAGTTCAACGTTCACGGATCGTCGGCAGGACTTTGTGGCACTGGTAGACCCCAAGGAGGGCAGTTGGTTTGACGGCGCCATCGAGGACTTGCTGACCGTCATGCCCTCCCCTCTCGCCCGCCTCGTTTTCTCCGATCCGGCCCAGCGCCGCAGCACCCGCGATGGCACCGTCTACTTGTACTCCAAGTTGCGTATTGACTACTTCGCCCGCATCCTCATCGCTCTGCTGGCCGTAGGTCTGCTCATGGCCCCGGTAGTCGTCCTCTTCCTGCACGAGGAGAGCGGCGGGATTAAGATCGCCATCGTCCTCCTCTTCACCCTGTTCTTTGCCGGCGCTCTGTCCGTGTTCACAAAGGCGAAAAGACACGAAGTCTTTGCTGCCACGGCTGCGTAAGTGGTTTTCTCCTAAGTCACTTCTTTGGTGAGCGAGCAAGACTCCGCTGCGTGGGTTCCGCTCTCAATTACGCGATTCCCATACTTAAATTCTCTTAAATACTTAAGTAAAGCCGGTTGCGGCTCTTGGGGCGTGAGTAGCTAGAACTAAGGCCGCGAGGCCGTGAGATACCTGTTTTAATTCCCTTTCTGGCGTCATTTCTATCCCTGTCTCTCTTTAAGTCTATAAGCAAATATGTGTAGCGGTGGCCATACCGTGTTTTAAATGCTGCAACATGCACCATGGCCGGAACCCTTGCTTGCCGCTACCAATCAATGCTTTTCGAGCGCTTGTTTTTCAAACCTCCTGAAAGAACGTTATGCTGAGACAATCTACGATGAGCAGGTACTGCGCCGTCCTCGTCGTCTTTCTGGGCAACTTCCAATAACGGAAGCACACGCCACCGACGGCTGCGCCATTTCATGCTTCTCGCCCCATTCTAGCCGCATCTACGAATGAAGGCCTTCTACCCACGATCTCTTCCATGGTTGGCCATGGAGTGTCTCAGCAGACCAACCAATCTCGCATCGCTCCTGATTCATGGCATTCAGCCTCGTGTTCTCGGCCAGAACCGGGCTTTTGGCGGCTTCGGGAAAGCCTTGCCACCACTTACGTACCCCATGTCCTCGTACAATGCCACCCTTTACGAACCACATAAAAAGACCATCCATTACGCTTATGAAAGACATGAATCGCTATGACTCAACATGCACTACGACAGAGGGACGGCCTGGTATGATTACTTTTACTTGTATGGATACCCCGTAGCGCGATTCCTTCACTTCCTTGTGTATGCTTAATGTAAATCGATCCAATCACTGGGCACAGATTTATGAAATGATATATGGATGTATACGTAGATAGTGTGACATCCTGTCACGGCTCACCTGATACCCGCTGACTACCAAGCACCCAATAATACTCAACGAGGACCCTCTTCACTCACCAACCTTTGTTGAGTGCTTAGTCACGAATATGGGTCACGTTACATAGCTTAAGTAGATGTATATAAACAATACACTAGTCCAGGCGAATCAGTTGCCGCCGAATTGTAATATATTTCCAGTGGGACATGATTGTCAATTCGAAACATTCAGTCCCGGTCTGCCTGAACATAAAAGTGCGAATTAGAAATGCTCTGCGTCGGCAGTTGAATAAACTATGCAGAAGTAAATGTAACTTTAAGATTAGATAAAAGTATCCAGATATCAGTCAACTGCCCGCAATAGATAAATCACGAGCGCAAGAGGGGGAAAGGTCACAACTCGATGTCTGCGCAGGAATGAATGTCTATGTCAATCATATCGATTGATTATCATTATTGATTATCATAAGGATCGTAGTAGGCGGTGTTTTCGCCCAGCCAAGTAAGCCATAGTCTAGCCAGATGGTCTATCCATCCAGCAATTGTCATCAAGGAGTGTCGTGTCGTAACCCATCATTATGCCTTCGCCATTAAATGCCCCCGGAAAAAAAACAAGACAAAAACGCCGCGCCACATGCATCTTTTTTTGGCCCAATGCATAGTTATGAACAAGGATCGGAATATCCAGCTCCGTCATGCCGCCATTTGTACAGTTGGGATGAGCGGAGGAGAGCGGATGTGGTGGTAAGGGCCCGCAAGAGGGAGTTTAAGCAGAGTCGTCAGTGCTGCCGCAGGCGTCGCAGCGCTGGATGAGGAAGGAGGTGGCGTTGCTGTAGTCGACGCCGTTGTAGTCGTCGAACTGGGTGGAGCCGGGGTACTCGAGGAACAGGTCGCCGTGCAGGGTGCATGACTCGGCAGAGTTGGTAACGCGGACACTGTTGTTCTGGTTAGCAAGCTACTCGATAGCAGGTAGAGCAGGTGAGGGAGACTAACAGGTTGCCAGAGTCGGGGATGAAGGTCAGGACATTGCCGTTGTAGGGCTCAGGCAGGACGATGCACTGGTTCGTCGGGTAGGTCTGCTCCAAGCACTCGCCGGTGCTGTCGGGGCCAGTGCAGATCTTGACCTTGCCGACGTCGCGCTTGACAAAGCCGTTGGGCAGGTTGTTTGTGGCGGGAGCGGCAGAGGCGAGGGCGAGGAAGGGCACAATGGCGGCGATGGTGGCGAAGAACTGCATTTTGAAGGTGTGGGTGGTTGTTGAGGAGGTTGGATTAATTAATTAGTGTTGGAATTGTTGATGTGAGTGATGAGCAGCAGTCAGGGCGGCGGACGGAAGCTTTTATATAGCTTGGAGAGACACGAGGCGCATGACGGACAGGGTAGCGCAGAACAGGGTCTTTCCGGTGCGAGGATGTGCGCGAAGATCCGGGATGGCGGCCTAGTTGGGAGTAGTAGCTGCAAGGTACGTTGCTAGGCCAGGGTGGGATCACACGAGAGCGGGTAGCAATGGATCGGACGGACAGGCGTATGACCCAACCACCGATTATTCGCCGCCGGCGCTAGCTAGCTGCCTGTATCTTCGTGCATCGGCATGCCCTCTGGACGTTCCGAGCTGCCGTCTGCAACGGGAATCTGCAACTGCGTCTGGACCCGCCGAGCCGTGCGGGCGTGCATGGTGTTGAGCCGCGCCTCATTTAGCGCGCGTTAGACAGGCACACACACCCACGGTTGAAGCTCCAGCTCGCAGTGTGGCGCAAGCTATGCTTGGAAAAAAAGGTGGGCCCGGCAGGGGAAATATGGAGAACTGCGGCTTGCCATGGCCGCCTGACAGAAACAGAAAGTCCCCGACTGCAAAAGCAACTGGAAGCCTAAGTGTTTGCTGGCACGCTAGCAGCATGCAAGCGCAAGGAACAGGAGGGGATTGACTGACCGGCCGACGGCAAGAAGTGCGTCAGTCGTTGCCATGTCTCAATGATCATCAGGGCGCGTCGTCGCAACCAACATCGGACGCTCGTACCTCTCGTACGTCTGACCTCAGAGGCGGCGGCGTGCGGCGTGGCATAGCGCGCGCGACGGAGTTGCTGGTGTTTTGCGGGCGCCTATCGGAGATCGAGCCTTTTCCTCGCACCAGTCTGGCGATCTGCACAGGCCCCCGCAGGCACGGTCGCCAAAGACGGTGAGGGCGAGAGACAGATGCAGAACACAGCTGCAGCGAATGGCTCCCTGCAGTGTGCATCTCTGTCTTGATGAGCTGTTTTGCGCGGGTGGCCGGACACGGAGGGGAAGATGCCTGCCGGCTGCAGCCACGTTTACTATTCTTAGCAGTCCTCATCGTCAGCGTTGCGAGAACCGGCAAAGCCTGCTTCGGCCAGACCTATGATGCACCGCCGCCCGACCCGTTCTGGCGACTTCGATGAAAGCTTGGTCGTATCTCCGCACTCGTTTGCTGACCTGCATTGCTAGTGGTGCAGCTCCACTTGCGCTCCACCTGCGCCTGACTCGACCTCACAGCCTCCTCGTCCGGCGCCCTTTCCGCTCGCTGCCGACCGACGAGAGCGTGCTACAGCAGATCACCCGAAAGTAAGAGGGTTGCAACGCTTCTTTCTCGTGGCTTTCATCCGAACCCTTCCAGAACCCCCTCCCCGATTCTCGTCCGACCCGTCCGTCATGTTGTGCCCCACAGCAGTGACATCTGCAGATACACCTCCGCTTATGGAAACACAGGCGGCCCTTTTCCCCGACCGCCTTTCCGCTTTCCATCCCCATTCCGTAGATGCGCCGCCGCCGTCACTCTTTCTCCCGCTGGATGGGTAATTCTATCTACTTGAGACTGATACCTACTTGGCTCGTGCTCGTCTTGCAGATAAGGTGAAGGCGGTATGACGCCAGGCCAAGACCGCAGCTAACAGATCCTCTCCACTTCACTACTAAACTTCCACTCGCCTGACCAAGGAGGCGGCATTTATGAGACTCTATGCTTCAGTGCTCCAAGGACGCCATCGTACACTCTCCTTGCCTGCGCAATCAAGGTAAATATAGTCTTGTATTATTTCTGGACTGAAACTTCAAATACCTGTTCCAATCGCGTGCTCTGTTTGTTTTCCCCTTTCTTGAGTTAGACCGTTCTGGAAAGGCTAAATTCTTCTGCGGCCCGTTGCGCCGGCACGCTCCATGCGCCATGTCTTCATTCCGCGTTCCCCTTTGGACACCGCATAACCATACCATCGAATGATCAACACATCCCATCACGCCAATGCACCTTTGACGTATCGAGAAACTTTTGTTCCATCTATTTTGCTCTACCAGTCATGAAATAATATAATTAGAATACTAAAACTCAGTTCATGCGGACGGACTGTAGCGTGACAGCTTCCTGATCCTGGCTCCGTACATGTAGAACAGGATCGGCACTGGGAACAGGGCGACGGCAATGAAGGCCAATAGCGAAGTTGCCCAATCCACACCCAAAGTATGGTACCTGTGATATGTACGATTAGCTCATCGTGCGCTTAACTGGCGTCGGGGCTGAACTCACAGGGCTACCGCGAACAAGGGGAACCCTGCCCCGGCGAAGCTGCGCAGGAACGTGTTCGCAGCAATGGCGCTGTTGGCATTCATCATGTACACGTCGATGATGTAGTTGAGCCCTTGCAAGAAGATCATCAAGATGCCCGCCCCGATCGGCACTCCCGCCACGATCTGAGGCCAGGGATTGATGTTGGGACTGCTCGTCCACGCGAACCAGAACATGCCCGCCGGGAACAAGAAGCCTCCGATGATCATCGGGATCAGCCGCTCCTCAGGGATCACCTTGCCGTGCTTCTCCATCTTGCGCTTGAACCGCGTCTTGGTCGTGAAGGCAATCACCGCTCCTCCGATGACCACACCAACCGTGATGCTGAGGAATGGCAGCGCTCCGACGCCCTCATTCCACCCGCGCGTCTCCTGGAAGGCGATCGGGTACGACTCGAAGAAGAGGTACAGAATTCCGTACACAACTGCCATCTGGAAGCTGTTAATATCATCGCTGCCTTAGATCCATTTCTGGGACGAACTTACGTAAAGTGTAACGAGGAGCAAGATCGGCTCCAAAAAGATCATGGCAAATGGCCTCAGGATGTACTTCCTGCCAATTGACTTCAGGTCGACGCGCAGTTCGTCATGCTTGGAGTGTATCGCCCAATTGCCCGTCTCGTAGCGGAGATTCTTGGCCCGGCGCTGCAACAACACCGGCGCGTACGTCTCGGGAACCACGAAAAGGCCAATCGTCCCGAAGAAGAAGCCCATGATGGCCGTGATGTATTCCGTCCACCGCCAGCCGAGGTGGCTCATGGTGATGAAACCGCCGACGATCGGGCCCGCGACCGGACCAATGAAGGTAGCACCCGCGAAGATGCACACGGCGATGCCGCGGTCAATCGGATCCCAGAAGTCAGCCAAGGCTCCGCCGACGATGGCCAGCGGCGCTGTGTGAAGACGTCAGCCGAGAGCAAACACGTTACACCACGAAGCAAGATCCCCACCCACCTGAACCAAAGAATCCTCCGAAAAAGCGGCAGATCATGATCGTCTGCAAGTTTTGTGCCACCGCCACTGGGATTTGGAAAATGGCAAAGACGAAGAAGCCGAAGAAGAGGGGATATTTCCGACCATAAAGCTCCGAGAATGGTCCCCACATGATTGGTCCGAAGGCGAAGCCCTGGCAGCTGTCAGATACAGTTCCCTCTCGCAGCTTTACTTTTTGCTCATGTCATGGGTAGTTGAAGCTGTCGTCCGGACGAGAGTGTAGAATTTTTAATTCCACATTTTCGTCCAGACGATAGCTTCAGTTACCCACATATGTTTATTTTCTAAGAGCTGAGGCGATGCGTAAACAAGTGGAAATCAACAGAAGGGGACTCACTAGGACAAACAGCGAAGTTCCAAGTGTCATTACCTCGGTTGACACATTAAAAACCTGTGCGGTTACCATCGTTGCGGTACTGAATACACTCGATGCGAAGGTTATGCAGAAAGTCATCATCCCCAATGTACCAGTGATGAGCCACTTATACCATTGGGGCCAGTTCATGGGATTGTCCGGATCTTCAGGGCCATTCCACACGACTAGGTTTGGATCTCGGGCCTCCTGATTTACACCCTCTTTTTGGACACTTCGACCTTGTTCCTGCCTCTCAATATCGTCATCGGTGCTGTCACTTTCGTATGGACCTCGCTGCGTGGGCGGCATTCGGTTGTGGTCGGGTGAGATGTCGTCTTTCTCAGGGTCCTTCTCATCCATGCTTCGCCTGTCCATCGGTATTACAGATTCGAAAGACTCCCTCTCTTCAGGGGCGGGTTGCACCGTCTCCCAAGGGTTGGCCGGAGATGCAGCCATTGTGAATGCAATGTAGAAATTCGGGGTATCAAAGAAGCAAAGAAAAGGTAGAGGTCTTTGTTCGTTACAGGTAGGTATACCGATCACCCTGTACAAAGGGACTGTACCGATTTGATTGAGCAACGCAGCATCCTGGAGAAGGGACAAATAAAATATAGGGAGTTGACGTTGACATTCGAAAAAAACAGATCCCTTAACGCCGGCCTGGGTGCTCGGCACTTTCAACTAAGCGTCGTGGATTAAAAATCATCCATGTGACGCCATTTCAACAAGTCGCATGGGTGACCGCACGCGTTAGGCTCTCTGTGCCGCACACGGTGGGCATTAGGGCCGGTCTACAGAAGCATGCGCCCAATCATGGGAGTCCCTCTGGTGGGTAAACGCCATCCAGGCAAGTGATCAACGTAATGGTGATGGCGGAGGATGGGGCCTACAAAGGGTACCCACTCGGCCGAATCTGGACAATGTCGACAAACGGTGTCGTCCGCGGACGACATCAAAAAAAAAGTTTATCTTGTCTGACGGCAATCTAGAAACAGCCTCGTGGAAGCCACGCGCGGTGCTTAGTAGCCGCACACTGCCGGTTGGTATGCTGAGTCGCTCTCGCTGTTCCGAGTTGGGCGGTGGCGTTGTGCAAGCGAATGACGTATTCTGGTTCAGTGATGTTGAAAGAAGGATGGCTCGGACTGTTCGGCTGATCGTCAAGGGCGAATCCGAGCCCCGAGCTGCGTCTCCACTGTCTCAGTAACTCCTATCTCCATGTTCTCCACCAACCAACGGTCGCGAGGCCGAGGCCGATAAATCCTTTGAAATCGACCGAGGGCTTTCTTTGAGAGGGATGGCGGGATTCCCCGTCCCTGTTAGTCATCTGCTAATGGATCCAGCTCCGAACCGCGAGACAAGCTTTCTCCACATTCGCACTTTATCTCAACCGGAGAACCAGGACGATTTCGTACTCTTGACCAATCCGCTATACTGATCCAGTCCAACATGTGCTCCTTCCCTTGGCGAAGGTCTCGGCCGGACCGGCTTGGTTAAAGTGAGTCATGCGACGTCCATATTGTATGATGGTATAGTAGGGTGATGGAAGAGTTCGATCTCCCTAGGAGTTCCACTAGAAGTGATCATCCTGCACTCATGGGTGGTTGAATTCATTGTCTGGACGCATTTGTTCAATATGGTAATTCTCATCTGCGTCCGGGCAATGGATTCAACTGCCCAAAAGCAAGGTAAGAATCAGCCCATTTGTCACCGAAATCGGAATGCACCTACGAAAGGGACAATTCGAGTAGTCCAAAAGACGCAGACGACCATATCCATATTCAAAGAATTATCCTAACAAGCGATTTAGCTCTCAATCGTGATGCGATACAAAGTGAAATGGTTGGCCTCGGCTTTCATGAGCTGTAGAAGCTCCGGAACAATCCTTTTGAAGTAGCATTACCGGCTATTCCTATATCTTCAGTACCCGTATGGCTTATTCTATCAAATAGACTCTATCCTGCATGTCACTCCGGGAGACCTTTTCCGCAATACTGTGACGACTTATTTTCCTGATCCGGCGCCTAAGGCCTCGTATTCAACCGAGGCAAGGACGAAAGCGGCAGAGCCCAGAACACTGTTGTAAAGGATAGGGCGACCAACATAATACTGCCAGGAGATATTAGTTTCTGTTCGCAAGCACTTGCAGCAACACCAATTGATTCCCGCCGATCCGTGTGTGCACTGTATACGTACCTCGTATGAAGCGGTCGAGTTCAAGCTACAAACGGAAACCGTCCCATTATATCCGAGCGTTCCGTTTCTATGATTCACGACGAAGGTTTCGACCAGGTACTCGTACGCTCGGGTTGCCACATGCGTCCACGCTGAGCCGTGGGCGCCACCGCCATTCTTCTCCTCCGTTGCCGCCGTCACGAGGGTGGAGGCGGGAGATGACTCCGAAAGATATCCTAGACGTGCGCCCTTGAGTAGGGCATACACAAACATGGCACTGCCGCTGCTCTCGATGTAGTTGCCCGCGCGTCCCGGCTGGTCCATCACCTGCCACCATGCGCCGCTCGCGCCGTCGGCCGCGCGCACCACGGCTGCCGCCAGCTCCGCGAACTGCATCATCAGGTGCTGTTGCGGTCCCTCCTTCTTCCCGCCGTTTGCCGCAGCACTAGTGTAGTCGCCGTCGTCGTGGTAGTAGCGGGATAGCAGCTCCAGCGTGTCGACCAGCGCCATGGCGTACCACCCCAGACTCCGCCCCCACACGTGCGGGCTGGCGCCGGTGACGGGATCGGCCCAGACGGCGGTGCGCGAGTCATCGTAGCCGTGGACGAGCAGGGCCGACGACGAATTTAGCCGGCAGTGCTGCCACAGGAGGTCGAGCTGGCGTACCATGTCGTCCGGCACGGCGGAGCTGTTCGCGGCGTCGAAGAGGGCCGTGTAGAGCGTGTAGAAGGGCGCCAGCGAGTACATTCCGTCCAGGTAGCTCCAGTTCGGGTACGTGTAGTACCACAGCCCGCCCTCGGAGTTGCGCGGCTGCAGGTCGATGGACTGGCGCAGCGCTTCGAAGGCGGTCCGGTACGTCTCGTTGTTGCTTTCCTGGTAGAGCGTGATGAGGTTGTTGCCGCTGGAAAGCCGGTCCAGCGACCATGTGTCTATGGTGGCTGCGGCATCGGAGACGGCAGATGTGATGGAATCGGTGCTTTCTTTGATGTACGAGCCGATGAGTTCTGCGTCCGGGTCGTTCGGATAAAGCTCTAGCCAGCGGCGGAAGGCTTTCTGAGTGAATCCCGCTTGGAGCAGTTGCGAGGAATCACCTTCCCCTGAGAGAACACCCTGACCGCGGGATATGATGCTCGTAGCCATCCACGTCGAGTAATTTGTTGCGCCTGCAACAGCAGTCATCGGGCCCGCGAACAAATGCATAGTGAGAAAAAGCACAGGAATGAACATGTTTCGGCTTTCGGATCGAGGCATTCGTATGACAGCATTGAAGTGCTTCATGGCGCTGCTAAGATGCTAACAGAGCAGTGACTCAGATGGCAAGAAAAGGAGATTAACTGGAGAGGATGTTTGCGGAGCTGGTATTAGATTACCCGGCTGCTTATTTTTTTTTTGTCGTCAATGCCGAGGAGTCATGGATCCAACAGGGATCTACATTGCAGAGGGGTAATGCAGCCGATGCCTAGCGCAAAGGATAGCAGAGCCCCAAAACATGGGGTAATACGCCTCGGCTATTTTCCGACGAACAACACATGTAGGTAGTTGAAGCCATCGTCCGGACGATAGATTCAACTGCCCATGGAATGATCAAAAAAATCAATTCCCGCCAGCCTTCGGTAACAATACTCCTCTGTATTGTATAACACGCACGTCACGCCCGTGCTCCCAATCAGTCCATTTTGACGCAATTTTTAGAAAATTAGCAACAGGTAACATTGAGAAACAACAAAAACAAGCTTTGTAATTTCTAAAAGTCGTCCGGTTACATCTGTACACTCGGTGAGCTCCGCGGAAAAGGCAATTCCCGGTTTATTCGGCATATTCGGCACTCTAGACCCTGCGTAAGCATTAGCTTTCCCCACGGAAGGGTCGTGACGTCGTGGCATTACAAACACCCTTGCAACTCGCTGACCAACGGTTGAAATATTTCATCGGTAGAGCATCATTCTTGCTCTTGAGAAACCTATTTAATTCCTGTTTGCTACAGCTTATACTCTCCACAATCAGACCATTTCCTTCACAAAGCACAGCATGTCCGCTACAGACAAGCCATACGGCTGGCACGCCGTGCCCCGAAACCCCGCCATCGCTCTTCAAGGAAAACCCAACCTCACCGATCCAATTCCCTTCTCCACAGCAGACATCCAGTATCCCGACACGGAGCTGGTGCGCCAGAGTCTGGCACGCATGCAGAAGGAGCTCCCAGCTGAGACGCTGAATCACAGCCTTCGCGTCTATTATTACGGCATGTCAATCCTCCAGACTCAGTTCCCTCACTGGCTGTCCGATGGGTGGATCGATGCCGAGACCTGGCTACTCGTATGCCTGTTCCACGACATCGGTACCACGGAACAAAACCTTCGCTCCACTCACATGAGTTTCGATTTCTGGGGCGGCATCGAGGCCCTGCAATCACTGCTGGAGTTTGGCGCCGACAAGAGCCAAGCCGAAAGTGTGGCTGAAGCGATCATACGCCATCAAGACCCCGGTGAGACAGGGGAGATCAGCTCGGTCGGGTTTCTGGTACAAATCGCCACATTATTCGACAATGCCGGCCATTTCAGGGAGCTAGTCCATCCGGAGACTATCAAGAATGTCGTGGAAAAGTATCCGAGGCTCGGGTGGAGTGGGTGCTTCTCCAAGACCATTAGACAGGAAATCAGCCTCAAGCCGTGGGCTCACTCGACTGCGATTGACGGATTCGTAGAGATGGTTGAGAACAATGCCTTGATGAAAGAGTACGAATAGTTTCGAATGTATCTAGATCCGCTACACCCATGACCTTGACCGGTTTCCTGTAACGTTGATGCGAGTGAGACTGGTGCACACACGTCAACGTGGGCATGCCGTCATTTGGTAGGTAGGTAACCACGAGCCGCGTTCTGGGCCCGAGTGCGAGCGATCGATCTTGCCTTACACAGATCCACACGACTCCGGCTGAGGTTCGGCGCCTGTTTAAGACTCATGGGCCGCACTCCAGGAGTCCAATGTGGGGTTGGTTCAACTAATTGCGACATTGAGATTGGGCAGCTGAAGCCTCCATCCGGAAATGAATGCAGGACATGTTTGTGAACGAACTCCCAACTACCTCTAAGGTGTTGCAATTTCAATAGAGCCGTCCTCGTGGTTTCTGCCAATTTCTTTTCCCTGTTTCTTTCAATCCTTGGCCTCATCATCGCTAACTTCCTGCCCTTCTTCTCTGAGCTTCTCCTTCTTCTTATTCTCTCTATCCCGCTTCCTGTCCAACAGCTTCCTGAGATTTTTGGCTTCATTGAATCGCCCTCCCGTACCTGCGCCGCAAGCTGCGCAATTGGGGTTCTTCCTGAATCGCTGCAGTGCACATTTCTCGCAGAAGTAGTGGCCGCAATTTGTGACGACCGGCTGCGTGTAAGGCTTCTTGCAGAGGATGCAGGCGAATGGGATCTTCTCCAGCATCTTGGCTTCTTCTTCGTTCTCCTCGTCTTCAGCCTTGGCGTCCCGATTGGCAGAGGCCATGACCGTGCCCGACGTTTTCTTGCCCTTTGTGTTTATTTCCCACTCCCGATCCAGCTTCCAGCCCGCGGCGTAGTCCTCGCGCGCATGCAGGAACTTGCAGGAATCGCCGAAACCGCAGAAGCCAGTCTGCTTGTAATCCTTGCACACATCTGGGGCATAATCAATCTGAGTGACCATGCGTACGTTTGTGTTAGTAGGCTTGACCGGGCCGACCTTGGGCGCGTCTGGATTCTTTTGGATGAAATTGGAGTAATTCTTCTGGCCTTTGTAGGTACCATCGGTGGCTGATTCCTCATCCGTCCTCGCACGGGTTTTACCTAGCAGATTTTTGGCACTCAGAGCGTCACCTGCGTTCTCATCATACCAATTGGATTGCTTGGTTGCGTCGCTGGAATCGGCGATGGAGGTAGAGGTATCTGCAGCGTACTTTGTGGCACCCTCGACTTCGAACTTGGACTTCTGGGTGGCCGAGGAAGCGTTGACGACGGCGCCCGTCTTACGGCGCTTGACGCTGCGGCCGCCCTCGCGATCGGAGCCTGAGTCTGAATCTGACGTTGCGGAAGGCGAGCGTGGCGGCGGTGCGACTTTGCGCGGGTTGGCCTTGCCCGAGCGCTTCTTGAAGACGACTGGCGCATCCATAGCTGCAATGCGACGCGTCGGAGTAGGCGGGGGCGTCTGTAAGCCAGCAGCGCAAGGGACGGACCAGGGGTGACAGCAGTCGGTGAGGATGAGATGTGCTTGGAGACGCGGGAAACCGCGGCCAAGACATGGCCGGCGCTTAGTCACGGCCGAATGCTCAGGTAAGCGGTGGCGGCTCTCGCGCTTCTAGCGCCTTCGCAACACCAACCCCAGATTTGCATGAACACCGTCAAAGTCAGCCTCGGCCTGCTGACCTTTTACAATTCACACGCCTGCCAACTCTGACATCATGTTCTGGACCCACGTAGTACTGAAGTCTGGAACCATCGCTACCCAAGCTTTTGGCGGCTGAGTGGAGTGCGCTCCGACGACTCACCTTGAGCCTTACTAACCCCCAGCAGGAGCCAATTGGGTCATGTCATGCTAAGCGTCATACCAGCAATGCGCATTGCAGCCGATTTCGGAAAACCGTCTTCAGCAGGTCATCCTTGAGCAACAGCCTCCAGCCGGCATAAATCTCCGATGCCCAACGCTGGTCTAGCGGTGCAAAGGGGTCTCGGAAGATCGCCGCACTGCTGTGGCACGAATCCTGCGCAAAACCTGCTTGGTGGCGCCGCTTGTGGTATAGCATTCAGGGTTGAGCCTTCTGGCCTCGCTCTGCCCCATCGGAAGAAAGGGCGTTGCACTCCACTTGGGGCTTTAGGCTACCGCAGGGCCGAGCTGCCGAGCTGCAGCATATGCAACCCGCTCATGTGCTTGACACTTAGCCCCTGTATGACGGCCGTAGGGCTCAAGTTCGCGGCGTACGGCTCTGTCTCCGTCCAGGAAAGTTCCGATTCGGCGCATATAAAAGAATAAAGACAGCACGGTTGGGTGAATGAATGTAGATATAGAGCAATCCAGACACGCGGGACAGCTGAGTCGATTTGCAACAGCAGACACAATGTACACGAAGAAACCAAACAATGGATTCCATCACGCGATCACTCCGTTTGGGGGGATTCCAGACTTCTCGCTGGCTTCCCTCCTGCCCTCTCCGAATCAGTTAACGAGAGCATTCGATATCATGGACATAAGTCAAACCCGGTTCGTGGGTCCGCCCACACCCACCGAGACACGAGAGAATGCTCGCATGGCCACTCTGCCGGATCTCTTTGTCCTCTTCATTGCTCCAGAGCCAAAGGTAAATCCGCACTACGAGGAGGTGAAACGAGAGTCCGAGGACTGGCTGAGGGAGAACCTCTGGAGAGACCTCCCCGAGCACGAGATCAAGAAGCGCTGTGGTGCCGATTTCTGTTTCTTCAGCGCAGTCATGTGCCCGGATGTCGGTAAAGAGGAGTTCCGCACCGTGTGCGACTGGATATACTGGGTAAACCTCTATTTACTGTCTCTTCCAGTGCGGTTCGGCTGCTAATGAATGTCTTTGTAGGTGTTCGAGTTTGACGACCGTGAGCGACCAGGCCCGACAGACTGTAAGAGTCCTTGCTGACCAATTTCACAGAATTCGACGAGGGTGACCTTGGCAGGGACCGTGACAAAGGGAAATCCGAAGTGTCAGGCATGGTGTCTATACTCGGCGACAACGGCCAACACACGAATCCTTCTGTGCGTCCTCGGCCGAAGGCGAGGGACTGCTCCAGTTTTCTTGCTGCGAACGCATCAAAGAGATTGGCTACGGCCGTCTCTTTGATAAATGAGGCTGGGCCAAGATCCGTGCTCGAACACAAGGCCGGGGTCTCTCAGAAGGAAACGCCATTGCAATTGCTGTTCCTATCGATTTGGGAGAGAGTCCAGAAGGTTCGTGTGCTTCCGGTTGACCTGGACTATTGACTGACGTGGGGTGTAGTCGTCGCCGAAGGGTAAGGTGAACATCCCGATCGCCCTACCACGCTAAAATGAAAACAGCTGTGCGTGAACGCTACGTCAAGTCGAACGTTCATTTCTGCCATAGCGTGGCAGAGCTGCACGGAGAGGAGTTTGATGACATGGTCGTCATGGAAAACATCCGCCGCTATTTGCAGGTCCGTGCACAGAACATTGGCCTGTACCCGCTGCTTGCACTGGAAGAGTAAGAAATTAAAAGCAGAGACTATTGGAGCAAATTATTAACACCGTTGGAGATATGCTTACGGAATCGATCTACCGCAAGAGGTGGTAGAGCACGAGGCGATCCAGGAGATAGAGCGTCTCGTGGCCGAGATCCTTACGCTGTAGATCGCGCACCGCCAGCCAATACTGACAAGAGGGCGACGCTGACCTGAGACAGGCAGAACGACATTCTCTCGTATCACCGCGAGCACGTGAGTGCAGCCTTGCAAGGGCGGGGGCGTAATGTCGCGGAAATGACTGGCTGATTTCGGATAGAGCGTCGGCCATAGCCAGAATTTGATCTCCATCTTCCGCCGGCGGCTCGGCTTTACGCAGCAGCAGAGCTACGACAAGGCGGACGAGCTGCTGCACCGCTGCTACCGGCGATGGTACATTGCGCACGCCGACGTGCCGTGTTGGGGCGAGAAGGTGGACGCGCAGGTGCAGCAGTATCTCAAGGCGTGTCTGGACGTGCTGAAGGCCAACGTCCACTGGAGGTAAGTCCTCATGCGCCACGCCCAAGCCGTATTTGGGGGCACGAGCGTTGCCCGGGCGCCGGGTGCCACGTTGCACACAACACCCCCGCCAGAGTCGAATGCTGGCTAACGCGCGCTGGCTCTGCACACAGCTTCAGGTCCCAGCGGTACTTCGGAGGTGACGTCGAGCGAGTGCGCGCGACGCGGAAGGTGGTGCTGGTGCCTTAGGGCTGCGCGCCAACGGAGCGCCCTCTCCACTGCGGCGGGAGCACGGGCATCGCCGCTGCAGGAACAACACCTCACAGGGCTGCGCGGTGGAGCGCGACCCGTGCGGGCGTGAGGTGTCCGGCATCGTCAGGGGAGGCGGGTGCGGAGAGGGCGACGGTGGGCGCGTATGATATATTGGATTTAGGGAGCGCGGGCGGTTGGGTCGAAAGGGGATCGATTGAGATCGGCGCAACTCACCACGGCATCCGGGACGAGGCGGCTTCTGGCGCACCGTCTAGAAGACACAGGGACGTCATGCTCAACGTCTTGTCCCGCGGCCGTTGCGGGCGCTGAGGAATGCAGACAGCTCCGCGCAGGACGCGTGCAGACAGACAGCAGACAGGTGTAGAAAATGCACGCTTGCAGACAGATCCATGTGTCACAGATAGACGGCTACAGGCCAGGAGAAGGTCGCTTGGCCGCGTAGTGAGCTAGGCCCTCCTCCGACCATGGAGCCATAGCGCCTCGCTCGCCGCCCGCGCCCCCTCTGCTTCTGCTCCTCGCGAAGGCCAACTTCCCATCTGCGCGCGCAACCCAGCGATGCGTAGCTCCCCACGCCCTTAACCCCCTCCAGCGGCAGAGAGACGCGTCGACACGCCCAAGACTGTTGACCGCGCCTCCAGCGCCGCTGCCTTCGCCCCCAGAGCCCTGTTGTTGTCGCCCGACGCGCATCACCCAACACCGGCCTTCGACCGCTGGCGCAACGACAGCCGGCTGCTGCGCGGGCGCTCCCTTTCCCGCTTTTCTTTTCTTTGATTTGTCTTCAGCGGCCTGCATTGCCTACGGCCACCGACACTCTTTTCCACTTCCCTACCAATCTAATAGCTTGAAACAAACAACCGACTTCCCGCCCCGGTCCCGCCGTTGCCCGCGCTGAATCACGCTCCGCCAATCCTCTCAGTCCGCGCCCTCACCGACCGCGACCACACCCGCGACAGCCACAGCGACGCTGACGCTCCGCCCTGTGACCTGCGACGACCATGCCGACCACGGCGGCCTCGCCGCCCAAGGTCGTTGCTGTCGATGTCGACGACACTGATCCCTTCGTGTCTCCCGCTGCCTCCAACACCTCCGACTCGCGGCGCAGATATGCCGGCTTCGACAACCAGCTGTTCTCCATATATGCCGAGGGCTCCCCCTCGGCCGCAAAGCGCGCTCTAGAGGCACACTTGGCAGAGACGGAGCGCAGGCTCCAGGAGGCGTCGCAACTGGGAACCATCCTGGTGCAGCAGCGCAAGGAGCTGAGCGACCGTCTCAAAGATATCGCCCAGCAGCAAGATGCAACGGAAATCGGGCCCGATCTGCGCGCCAAACTCGTCGAGCTGGAGCGCGAGTTCAACGAGGTTGGCAAAGACACGGCGCGCGCCTTCATCCCCAAGACACGGGTGCCCAGCTACCACCAGTCCCTGGACGCCGACGGTAACTCCATTTTCTCGAGCGAAGCCCAGAACTCACCCTCCAAGATCAGTGTGCCTTCGTCTAGAAAACAACGGAACCAGCAACCGAACCGCATCCATGATATCAAACTTGCTACCGAGATCAGCAGCTCTCTGCTCAACCAAGTCAGAGAGCTGCAGGCCGCCTTGGCTGAGAAGGACGAGCAGCTCAAGATGATCAGTAACGAGCGCTCCCGCCTGGAAGTCGAGGTCGAGGGTCTGACACAACGGTTGCGCGTTTTGGACGAAAGCGAGCAGCGCTTCAAAGATGAAAACTGGAGCCTCGAAACGCGAATCCAAGAGCTCACTGCCCAGCAAAAGGAGGCCGCAGACAAGGAGCACCGCCTGAACCAGAACCTGACAACTGTGAACTCGGAGAAGAGCTCGGTCGAGCGTGAACTCGAAGATCTGAAGCAAGCGCATGGCAAACTGCACGATGACTACCAGGCTGCTCACCGACAGCACGAGGCCGAGATCATGGGGCTGCGGCGGAACGTCACCACGGGTGAGGCCGAGAGGAGTGCTCTTCAGCGCAAGATCGAAGATCTGCTGTCGCAGAATGAAGAACTCGCTCGCGCCGTTGCCTACCACCGCAGGCTCGAAGAATCCGGATCTGGAAGAAACTCGAACGAAGAGGGCGACGGCCATGATTCCGACCAGAGCACCCCTGACCATTCGCCGCCTCCATCGCCGAGCAAATTCACCCCTCGCCACAGCCAGCTTGAGACCGAAACCTTGAAGAGCTCTCTGCAGCATGCCCACCGTATGATCCAAAACCTCAAGAACAATATTCACCGTGAAAAGACCGAGAAGATGGAACTCCGGAGATTGCTGCAGGAAGCCAAAGACGAGCTGGATATCGCCCGGCGTGAAGCCGCCAGCGGCGTTGGCGCTTCCGTGAAGAAGCGGAGACCGAACGAAAAGCAAGACCTGTTCAAGAAACCACCGCGTCCGGATAGATTGGGCATGGCAAGAGGCTCCAGGGATGAAATCATCGTCGACGACGGCGACTGGGAGGATAACGACGAGCACGACGTTCCTGAAACACCAAGCAGGAGGCCGAAGCCCACCATTGGTGGCGTTGGCCTCAGCCCCTTCAGCCGTCGTGTGACGTCTGCGTCTTTCAACTCGAGCAATAATGGTTTCCAGACTGCCACCGAAAGCTCCGACGCTTTTGAAACGGCCAACGAGCCCGATACTGCCACGGAAACTGAGGCGTTCCAGACAGGTGTTGAGACCATGGCTGGTTCTAGCACTGAGGAGGACACTGAAACAGAAATGGGCTCTACCCGGGGCCCGCTTCGCAGCCGCCGCTACTCGCATCTGAGCCAGACGCACGACAATTCCTACCTCAGCACTGCATCCACGTCTGGCGATGAGATCGAGATCGACAGCGAGGTTGATATCAGAACTCCTCAGAGGACTGAGCAGCCGCGCTACCGCCTCAAGGTGCCTCGTGGCGCCCGCCGTTCTGCACGCTACTCGAATGAGGCGCTCAACGGAAACACATCTGATGTTACGAAGTCGCCCTCTGCAAGTTTCATGAGCGATGGCAGCCAAGCCGAACCTGACGGTGGAAAGAGCCTGCTGGCTGAACTTGGAAGCTTTAGCGAGCGTGATAGCGACATGGACCCTGAGAGCGAGCCTGGCACCCCTGGCCGTCATTCCATCATCTCGCCTCAGGACTCTCCTGAGCAGCTTCGCAAGACAATCGCCGATCGTGTCCTGATTCGCAAGGCATCGTTGGCCAGGGCGCCTATGGTCGACTCGTCTACGAACACAGAGCCTTGGAGCCCTTCCCACCGCACCGTCTCAAGCACTACCGCGGCTCTCGGTGCTGCAATTGCCGGAGGACTTGGATTTGGTCTGGGCAAGGAGCAGGATGCATCGCCGACCAGTCACAGAGAATCCACGCCCGAGTTGGCCCCGTCGGCGCTTGAGGAGCCGAGCCTCGATTCTCCGGCATCGACTGCGCCATCGACAGGAACTGTTTTGGCACAGACTGATGCGGCATCCGTCCCGGCCAACCTCGGCCTCTCAGAGGTCAACTCGCAGCAGGTCGAGCCTCTCGAGCCTCAAAGCCAGCCGGTCGCCCCGCCAAACCTCCAGGTCTCCTCCATCTCTTCGCTTACATCGGAGCCTGTGGAGCCTGCTGCTCCGGAGGCACCAAAGCTTGCATTCTCTTCTCTCGCATCCTTGCATTCTGAGCCGGTCGAGCCTGCGGCTCCACCTGCGCCAAAGCTTGCTCTTTCGTCTGTTGCTTCCCTGCATTCCGAGCCGATCGAGCCCGAGGCACCAGTCGTGCCTGCTCTTGCTATTTCTTCCGTTTCGTCTTTGCACTCGGAGGAGCCTATTGAACCTGAGGCGCCAGTCGCACCGAAGCTTGGACTGTCCTCCGTCTCCGCCCTGCACTCGGAGGAGCCTATTGAACCGGAGACGCCAGTCGCACCGAAGCTTGGATTGTCCTCCGTCTCTGCCTTGCACTCGGAGCCCATCGAGCCTGAGAAGCCTGCAGCTCCCAAGCTTGGACTGTCGTCCGTCTCTGCCCTGCACTCGGAGCCTGTCGAGCTCGAGACTCCTTCTCCACGCAAGGCTGCACCAGCGCCTCTTGACTTCACTCCTATCTCCTCTCTCCACTCCGAGCCTGTGGAATCGGAGCCTCCGGCGACAGCTGTGCGTGCTCCGGTGGAGCTCTCGCAATTCTCCTCCATCCTCTCCCTTCAATCAGAGCCCGTTGAGGCCGAATTCCCCGCTGCACGAGAGGTCGAGCTTCATGCGTCAAACTCGCAGCTTTCTCAGATTTCGTCCATCGATACTGAGCCGGTCTTGCCTGAGGTGCCTGAGGTCATCCCGCCTTCCTTCCAGTTCTCTTCCATTTCTTCTCTCCACTCGGAACCTGTGGAGCCCGTCAAGCCTGAGATTAAGCCCATCGATCTCAACCTTTCCTCAATTTCTTCTCTGCACTCGGAGCCTGTGGAACCTGTCAAGCCCGAGATCAAGCCCATCGATCTCAAGCTTTCCTCAATTTCTTCTCTGCACTCAGAGCCCATTGCGCCGGCAGAGCCCGAGATCAAGCCTGCCGATCTCCACTTCTCTTCGATTTCGTCTCTTCATTCAGAGCCGGTTGCTGCGGAAGCCCCTGCCCCTCCCAAGGCTATTCCGTCGACGCTTTCTCCCGTTTTTGGCCAGTCTGTTGAACCGGTTTCCTTGCCTCTTCCGGAGATTTTCACGAAGCCAGCGCCGGCGCCGGTCGAACCTGTTGTCACCGAAGAAGAGCAGGCCATTCCTTCCCTGTCCTACGCTAATATCTCAGCGCAAGACGTCGAGCCTGTTGCCCCCGAAGAGACCCAGAAGGCCATTCCTTCTCTGTCCTACGCCAACATCTCAACACAGCACGTTGAGCCAGAGGAGGCCACCATGCCTGGACGCCTTCTGGCAGCAGAGCGCAAGGCGCCCGGCTTTGATGAGGTTTACGAGAATGTCATGTCCAAGGAAACGCATGTGGTTGCTACTCAGGAGCCCGTGGAGCGGAGCCGCTCGATCAAGAAGGTGTCGATGGCTGGCACGCAGACGGTGGTGTCTTCAGCTCAACTTGATGAGCTTCTGGCCTCCAAGGAACGCGGGATCGCCGTTGGTGCGCCCGCAGCCATTTCCCCAAGCAAAGCCTCTTTCTCCAGCTCTAAGAAGGACGCGCCGGCATACAAGACGGTGCGCCGTCCGACAAGCTCGCAGAGCATGCGCAGCGCCCGCTCAGAGCCGGCGCCACCGCTTCCTGCGGACCACCGGGAGCTCATCGCTGCCGCAACGCAAAAGACGCCTGGCTCCATGGGTCCTCCTACGAGGCCCGCGTCTGCCATGAAGAACCAGAACAGCTCGCACTCGTCGCAATTCCGCCCGCGCACTCCCAACGGCAGCGCCCATGGCAGTGTCAGGGCCACCAGCCCGCACTCTGTCAACGGCACTACGCCTCGCCCGCGCCTTCAAGCAGCTCGCAGCGAGGTCTCGTCGCCCATCTCGCGCCGTACTTCGGTGTCGTCGTTTGCCTCGGAAGTCGACAACCGCTTCAACATCTCTGCCAACCCGGTTGCTCGTGACGAGTACGGCCAGGCCATCGACCCAAGGCTCGTGGCTGCGATCACGCAAACAATGATTGGCGAGTTCATGTGGAAGTATACCCGCAAGGCTGGTCGGGAGGAGATGTCCGTCAACAGACACAGACGTTTCTTCTGGGTGCACCCGTACACTCGCACTCTGTACTGGAGTGATCGGGACCCGGCTACGGCAGGAAAGACGCAGCTCAAGGCAAAGAGCGTCCAGATCGAAGACGTTCGCGTCGAGACGGACGACAACCCGTACCCTCCCGGTCTCCATCGCAAGAGTTTGATCGTCATCACCCCTGGCCGCGCTGTCAAGTTTACAGCCACCACGGGTCAGCGTCACGAGACCTGGTTCAACGCGCTCTCATACCTGCTCCTGCGCACCAACAGCGCGAACGAAGACGAGCCGGCCCCGCACGAGAAGGAAATGACTCCGAACTCGGATGAAGCGTCCGAGTTCAACCCTGGCCTTGCCAGGCGTAACTCCCGGCAGACTGCCCATTCCCGCATGTCGCTCTCTTCATACAACAGCCGTGGCACTAGGAACTCGTCTCCTCAGCGCAGCCGCCTCGCCTCAATTGCCAAGCGGCGAGCGGCTGAACAGCGCTCTGCAACGCTCACGCCAACCACGCCGGGCTCCGCATCAGGCCGCTTTAGCTCGCTGAGCGGCCTCTTCCGCCCTCAGACGGCAAACTTCCGTGGATCGTTCTCGAGCCGCAGGAGCAAGACCAGTGGACAAGACGCGTCGATATATGACGCTTCGCTCGCGAACGACTCTGCGGAGGATCTCCGCCGGACCCTTGAGGCTCAGGAAGCGGAGGCTGACAGGTTGGAGAATGTGCGGGCATGCTGCGATGGTGAGTTTGTGCTAAGACAATGGCTGATTGTCTCCCCGGAAAATTCAGTTTCTCCTTACTGACGTGTCCTCTAGGTAAACACGACGTCGGCTCGCTGTCGAAGAAGCCTCACAGTCACCACCACCACCATCACCAGCGCAAGCCGTCGCACACGCGTTCCAGCTCATTTGGCACGAGCATGTTCCTCGGCAGCCAGAGCGAGCTTGATTCCAGGTCACGCAACAGCACTTCGCATTGAAGGACTTGGGAATGATGTAATTTCTCTCGTGGGTATCAGTCATGATATACCAGCCAATCCCTTTACTTTCGTCGATTTTCAGATACCACAGTCCGGACGACCGCTCTCCTCCTTACTAATTTCCTTTTCTTCAGCGTCTCAAAGTTTTTCTCTCTCTATATCAAGCTGGCCGCCTGGCGTTTAGATTTGGGGTTTGGCGGAAATGCGTTGCGTCTTGGCCGGTTTGCATCATGGTGCAGACGTACTTGGTCTTCCTAATCAATGTCCCAATCTGCCAAACGTGCGTGCATTCTCTCCTTTCGGAAGGTTTTCTTTGGACGGGAATCTGAATACTGTGGGTGGCATTATCTGTGTTGGCCAAAACTGTACAAGTCAGAGATCCTATTGCTAGTGAATGGACGAAATTTGAAGATGACTCCCTTGGATGCTACGTGAAGGTGGCTGGCGAATGATTGGTGCGGATCGAAGGCGGTAACGGGGTGCGCGCCAAGACCTGGGGGTTCTGCGGCGAACGCGAGTTTTGGCAACGCGACGTCCCAGCAGTGGAAGCTCCTCGACTTTTCGTACTCCACCGCCCCTCATTCCTACGCCCGGCCAAACCCCAGAACTGTTCCAGGATGTCGCTCTCTATACCCAAGGCCCCTAACGCGGGGCTGTTCAAGCAGGGCTACAACAAGTATGTTGTCCTCGCGCTCAAGCTGCCCCTCCGCCGCCCGCAACCTCCGAGCTCTCACCCCTCCCCCTTGAGTCTCCAAGCCACCCATGACCGGCGCTGACAGGTGCACAGCTACGATGCCGAGGACGGTGCCGTCGTGCGCAACATCGAAGCCTCTCGCGCCATCTCGCAGACGGTGCAGACGTCGCTGGGCCCCTATGGCCGCAACAAGATCGTCATCAACCACCTGCAGAAGATGATCCTCACCTCCGACGCCGCCACCATACTCCGCGAGCTGGAGGTCGTGCACCCCGCCGCCAAGCTGCTGGTCATGGCCTCGCAGCAGCAGGAGGCCGAGATGGGCGACGCCACCAACCTGGTCATCGTGCTGGCCGGCGAGCTGCTGAAGAAGGCCGAAGAGCTGATCCGGATGGGTCTGAAGACGAGCGATATCGTGCAGGGCTACGAGAAGGCACAGAACGAGGCATTGAACGCGCTCGAGCGTATGTGGACACGCAATACCCAAGATTGGCGAACAGATGCTGACACATGGGAATTTAGAGCTGGTGGTCGACAAGGTTGAGGACGTGAGGGACCAGGCGCAGCTCAGCAAGGCCATCCGCACCGTCATCGCCGCTAAGCAAAACGGCTCCGAGGGTGTCCTAGCCGACATGGTCGCCGAGGCCGTGCTGGCCGTCCTGCCCAAGAACCCCGCTAACTTCAACGTCGACAACGTCCGTGTGGTTAAGATCATGGGTGGCAGCTTGGAGCAAAGCAAGGTGGTCAAGGGCATGGTTTTCGGCAACGAGCCCGTAGGAAGCGTCAAGAAGGCTACCAAAGCCAAGGTGGCCGTGTTCACGTCTTCCATCGACATCAGCCAGACGGAGACCAAGGGCACCGTCCTTCTGCACAATGCCAAAGAAATGTTAGACTTCACGAAGGGTGAAGAGTCGCAGGTCGAAACCATGATCAAGGAACTTCATGATTCGGGGGTTAGGGTGGTTGTTGCAGGCTCCAGCGTCGGCGAGTTGGCCCTGCACTACCTCAACCGCTTCGGGATCCTCATCATCAAGGTCCTCTCCAAGTTCGAGCTCCGCCGCCTGTGCCGCGTTGTCGGCGCCACCCCTCTGGCTCGTTTCGGCGCTCCCATGCCGGATGAGATGGGTACCGTCGATGTCGTTGAGACCATCGAGATTGGCGGTGACCGTGTCACCGTCTTCCGCCAGGAGAACGAGCAGACCCGGACCGCTACTCTGGTGCTCCGTGGCGCCACTCAGAACCACCTCGACGATCTGGAGCGTGCCGTCGACGACGGTGTCAACGTCGTCAAGGCCATCACTCGTGACGCACGTCTTGTCCCCGGTGCGGGTGCTACTGAGATGCAGCTTATCGAGCGCGTCGCGGCTGTCGGCGAGAAGACCCCTGGTCTGTCGCAATACTCCATCAAGAAGTACGCCGAGGCCTTCGAGGTCATCCCCAGAACTCTCGCCGAGAGTGCCGGTCTCGATGCTACCGAGGTGCTGTCGCGCCTGTATACCGCACACGCCGCTTCCAAGGCCACCGACGATTCCAAGCCCTACTGGACCGCAGGTGTCGACATCGAGAATGAGGACAAGACGGGCGTTCTTGACGCGGTCGACGAGGGCATCCTCGACCTGATGGTCAGCAAGAGCTGGGCCATCAAGCTCGCCACCGAGGCCGCCCGCACAATCTTGGCCGTCGACCAAATTATCGTAGCCAGGCAGGCCGGTGGCCCGAAGCCGCCGGGCCCCAACCCCAACTGGGATGAGGATTAAATGACGAATAGGGTGTGAGTGCTGGAGGCTACGTATGTATGATAATATGCATGTGGTGGAAGGAATTAGCCTTGGCAATCGAGTCATGATAGAGGAAACCAAAATCAAGTCATGTTTATGTCAAATTAATATTGTTAACTGTGCCTCAGCAATTTTCTCTGTTCATGAGGAACAACAAGTGTGGGCAGTTGAAGCTCTCGTCCGGATGTAAATGTGAAATTAATAATTATACGAGGGGCGGTGGAGTACGAAAAGTCGAGAAGCTTCCACTGCTGGGACGTCACGTTGCCAAAACTCGCGTTCGCCGCAGAACCCTGGCGTGCAGTCCCCTCTTGCAGCCGATGGCTAGCGGGGATTTGTTTTTTGCTCATATCATGGGTAGCTGAAATTGTCGTCCGGACGAGAATGTCGAATTTTTAATTCTACATACACGTCCGGACGACAACTTCAGCTACCCACATGTGTTATTTTTCTAAGGCAGAGCTGGGGCATAGTTACGTTATATTCTAAAGCCCTGCTATTCTTCGCGCTAGCCAATCGGCTGCGAGAGGGGGATGTAAAGAGATGTGACCTGGGAACGAGGAGCGCAAAGTGTCCACCGCCCTAACACAACAGCGACTTGGCTCGTCCCCCAGTCCTGATACGCATTCAAGCGCAGTAGCATTAGCATAGAAATTGGAAGCGCGGAAGCTGCCTGGAAGCAAATTTCAGACGATGCGTAGGCAAAGGCGGGCGTAGAGTGCGGCTTTCATACCCAAATATGGCCTGTCCAAGTACAGTTCGGGATTGAGCGGGATTGAGCGGGGCGACCAAAGGAAGGAAAGAAGTCCCGGGAGGAGAGAACTCCAACGAAGGGTTCCCCGGTCTAATCGCATGGGCGACTGGCGTACCCGCGAGCGACAGAGTGCAAGTGCCCGACAGGAAATACCGATTGTGACCTAGCCTCCACTACACAAGTCCGCGTTGGTCCGGGCTGGTCTGGGCTGCAGTGTATCGAAAGTAGAAATCTTACGAGAGAGCCTGGAGGAGGCATAAAGTCTCGAATTTTCTATGGCACTCTATATTCTCCAGCTGCGTCCTTCCAGACCACCTCCTAGAGCGCTTATCTCGGCTCGTCATCATGGCAAAATGCCCGGTTACCTCGGCCAAAGCTGTCACCCCTCGTGTTGAGTCACCCGTTGCCTTTCCAAGGCGCTATTGGCGAATTCGCTGACTTTAGCATTCAGCTCTCGACGAACGTGGAGGAACTTGACTGTGATGCCATCTTCCTTGAGTTCGCAATCGCTCCCGATGCGGAAGCAGCAGCCGCTATGGGCGAAATGGTGGCGGCCGCCGAGGGTAAGGCTGAGGAGTTGCAGAAGCAGCAGCAGGATGCTGCGGCCGCGGAGGCTGGAGCTGCAGACGCTAGATCATCCAAGTGCTGAAAGAGATCCGCGTTGGCGAGAGGCAAGCCCCTCAAGTTGAGCCATCAGTTGCCTTTCTCAGTGTCGCACTCCGGCTCCAAGAGCGTTGACGCCTCATCGCCCTCGTCGATGGACTCCTGGTGTTGAGACTCCTTCAGTCAGCGTTACCCCTCAGCGCACTACATGTGAGAACATACGACTTAAGTCAATAGCCATGCGCTCCGAACAAGGTTCAGTCGATGCGGTGCGTAATGTCTTTCATCAAGTACTCGGAATCAGTCTTGATAACCACCAGTATGGGCACCAACGATTGTAAAATAAGGCAGAGGCTGGAGCGGGCGTGAGGGGGGACTGTCGATGGCGCAGGATCGAGGTGATGTTGTGCAGAATTCGCGTTGGTTGCCGGCGCATCAGCGCCGGAGAGCTTCAGACCGCATCGCACCTCCACTCGCCCATTGGATCATGGCCGTCGGACTGGCCGCATCGCACCTCCCCTTGTAGGGGTTCAGGGACTGAGACGAGTGGAAACGTAGCCTTTTCCTCGCCTCATCTTGCTCCTCTCATCAGAGCACACCCTCACAAGTACCATTGCTCACAAGCACAAGTGATTGACAGTTTGCGGGCTAGTTCCGCCCAGAGGATGACCGACTTCAGCCTTGGAGTTGATCTTGATGTTGAGCGCGGTCGCATCGTCCATCGAGAATGAGTGTTGGCGACCTTCTCGGCGCCGACTGCGCTGAAAAGACTATGTCAACGAGATTCCTGAGTACGTGCACCTCGTCTTTCAACAACCATCAGTCATGCTAAAGTGTCTTTACAGGGCCGTCATATTTTTGGACCATCTCACACGCGAGACCCCCTCTACCAAGTTTACGTAGATTAAGAAGTCTTTCTTCGCCCGTGGCTAGAGCCGTGTCCCACTCGGCGATTCTGTTGAGGCCTTCACGGGTGTCTTCTCGTCCATGATAGTCGCTATTAGTCTTTACTAACAAACCTTGCTTGACGGTTACGGTCGACGTGGCCAACGGTAATTTCTTCCAGAAGGCGAAGCTTCAAGATGTCGCCCCAAGCCTTGATTGTTAAATACCCTAGCGGCAAGCGCCAGAACCAGAGGTACCCGTTCAAGCTCAACGAGAAGCGGTCTCCAGACAGTCGAAGCATTCACAGAGTCACTTGAATAACAGTTGCGGGACAAGCCATATTTGAAGGTTCCCTGTGACCCCGGATGTCAATGCGGCCAGCCACACAGCCTGGAAAACTCGCACATAGTCTCGGTAGACGGTGCTTGCCGTCGGAGCGGAATGCCTGGTGTCGTGGGTGGGGGCATCATGACTTCCATACTAGGGATGGCCGAATTGGACCTGGGCCGATTTTGCAGAAATGCATAGCAGGAAAGTGAGAAAGAAGGCGAGGTCGTTCCAGTCCTTCCTCTGACGAACTTATTCGTCGGTACCCACGCGCTCTGGGACGAAGTATACATTTTCTTTTCTACACTCTGAGCGATGAGCTGATACATCGATCTAACATCGGAATACACTCTCGCTTAACGTGGGAAAACTAGGGACAAGTAACGTGGCAGTGTGCGATCGCCAAAGTCGAGACCGCAGTTATTTCTAGAAGATATCTAATGTGAGCAACCTCCAATAACCATGACATCATGTGCAACAATCGTGACAAACAAGAAACAAAAACTTAATGCGGAGTGTTCGAGAACGTGACTAAAGAGTGAGGCTAATGTCACCCTGAAAATCCAAATCTCCCATCAAAAGGGCAATTGATAGGGGCTTTCCGATGATCCGACAAAACTCCGAATATAATGCAATAAGTCTAGAATGAGGAAAGAGGAGGTGCAGCCGAGCAGTGCCACCAGAAAGGTGACGTTTGGTTGTGGAACTCGACTTCTTGAAAGAGGACTCCGGAATATGCCAAAGAATACGAACAGGAAGGAGAGAGGGAGAGAGTAAGAGGATGGGTAAACAGGCTCCTTCATCAATGACCGTGAGCTTCTGCTTCAATCTCCTTCATGTACTTAACGAAAGCCTTCTTATGCACAAGGCCAGCATAGCGGCCGTCGCGGAGCACGCAGATATAGCGGAGACCGAGCTTAACGAAGCATTCGTACACCAGGTCCATGGGGGAGCGATATTCCAGAGAGACGGGTGACTGTGGTGGGTGGTCAGCTATCGGGGCCCAATAACAACTCTTTGGAAGACTTACTGGATCGATGTAGGGGGTAAAGTCCGTCGGATCCTCCTCTTGCTCCTCTGGGTGTTCGCGTGCATTCCACCCAACTTCGGGGGACATCAGGCATAGAGTATTCTCTTCGTTTTCAAGCTTGTCCAATGCAAATTCCAAATCGGGTGCAGGAATAAGACCAACGAGGATTCCATCCCGCAGGATTGGCAGGCCACCATCGAGCTCGCCTGCCATGTGAAGGTGCTGCAACTGGAAGCGCAGGTGCTTTGCAGGCACAAGTGGGGAGTTGGTGATGTCAATCACGCGTTCTTCGCGGACGCGCGGGGTGATATCCCCAAGCTGAGACGTGAATACCGGGCGAATTTTGTTGTCCAAGAAAGGGTAAGAGTTCATGTCGGTGAGGAGGTCGTAGATGCTCAACGGCTCAATTGCGTCCGCCACCCATTTGGAGACGAGCACACCGAGTGAAAAAGGCAAGACGTGGTTCAAACTGCCAGTGAGCTCAAACAGGATAACGGCCAAAGTGACCGAAAGACGGGTGACTCCGCACATGGTTGCTCCTGCGGCCACCATGGCGTATACGCCTGGGACAACACAGGCTTCCGGGTTGTCGTCCTTGTGGCATGTCCCGAAAAGACCGGTAGAAGAGTAATTGAGCGCCAAATACTGAACGATGTGCCCGACAATTCTGCCAGCAATGCCTCCAACCACCATGGAAGGGACGTAGATACCGGCCGGGACTTTGATGCCAAAAGTGATGATCGTTAACAGACTTTTGATGACGAAGGCGATGAACAGATACCAGATGATCTCGGGGATCCGATCTCTTGTTGCACACAGTCCGGTTCCAGCCTCGGTAAAGGTGTCGCAGGGAGAAGCTAGCTCGAATAATAGCTCTGCGACGGGCAGCTTGGTGTATCTGTTCCAGAAGCTCACGATACCGGTGAGAAGGGCGACCAGGAACACTTCCAGAAGGGGATTCCCTTTGATAATGGGAATACGACGGAAAGTTTGTGCCCACAGTTTTGAGGCCTTGATGAAGAGAGCACCCAAGACACCTCCGATGGCTCCAACAATGATGTACGCGAACAGCTCGAAGAAATGCCAGTCTGAAAGGTAGCGGACTTCGAACAAAACGATTTTGCCCGTGCCATAGGGATTCAGAAATTTGAGAGTGAGCGCCGATGCCTGTTTCCTAGAATTAGCACTGATTGTGTGATAATGGATTCATAGGTCGTCTCAGCCGGCTTTGCGCCCGCTATGGACCTGATTGTGTGTGGAGTTGGTTGGGGTCAGGGGCCCAGGGTCCGTGCACCGTGCACCGTAGTCCGTGCGCCACGGGGTCCCGCCCACCACCGCCACCATCGTCAGAGGGTCAGAGGGTCAGAAGGAAAACTACTTACAATGCAACAGAAAAAGGTCCTAAACAAAGTCTTTGGTGGGAAGTAGTAGCTGACTTCTTCCAAACTGAAAAGGACACCGCCAATAGGAGCACCGAACGCCACTGCAACACCGCTTGCAGCACTCGCGCTGAGAACCTCTCGCCTCTTCGCATCGTTGCCCGAGTACTTAGCGAATATACGACACGCGATATTGCCTACGCACGTCGCGATGTGAACATACGGTCCTTCTTTGCCCAAGCTGAGTCCCGAAGCCACGCTGAGGATCAGTCCAACGGATTTGATCACGAGAGTCCGGAGACCGAGATAACCGTGGAGAACAAAGCCGCTGAGGATAACTCTGACTTCAGCAACACCGCTGCCGGCCGCGGAGTAGTATACCATGGGAGGATGGGACTCGGATTTTTCGAAGACCTCCTGCGGATTCGTGTTGAGCTTGTTGCCATCTTCATCCCGAATAAGAGGAGTATCAGGGGCCAAATTCTCATCAAGAGTGGTCAGGTTGAATCTTGAGGGGATGACGGTCTTGGTAGTTAGTGTAAGAAGGCATGAAAGCATGGCAAATCCAACAGCGAAAAGGATGAAGAACGAGTATTCGATCCAGATGTCGTCAACCCTCTCGTTGAGAATGATGTTCGACCAGGAATTCCACGCATCGCAACCAGAAGCACCGGCGCAGCACCGCTTTTCACTGTAATACCAGTGAGTGGCGCAGTAGCCGTTTTTGTAGTCGAATAAAAGATTCTCCGTAGTGTTCACGAAGAACGCGATCAAGGCGGTCAAGACGCCGATGATAGCGACCAAAATCCAACCCTGGGCACCATCAAACCACGCCTGTATCCGGCCTCGGATGTCTTTGCGGCTGCGCAGGGCCTTGACGCGGTAGGCATCGGCGATGCTGTCGTGAACCCAGTCGGTCGAGGTAAATTGATCATACCATACACGATCGTCGCGGAAAACGGAATGTCTTGACTCGGCGAGCTCGTTCACTGGCCAAACAGTTAGTATCGCAAGAAGGATCGGGGAGGGCAGACTCACCAAGTGCCTGACGCTGCTCCTGACCCAGCGCAGCCACGAGTCGGTTGCTGAAGGACTGGCGGCGGCTCTGATGATGGGGGCGGCGGACGCTGGCGCTACCCTGGCGGCCATACAGAGGTCTGGGAGTGCCAGGGCCGACGGTGTGGTAGGCGCGGTGGTCTCTGTGCCCCAGGAGACTGGAGCTCTCGTCGGCGGCGCGGTTGGGATGCAGGCGATCTTGCAGGTTGACTTCCGAGAAACGAGCGGAGCGGAGCTTTGATCGAGCTGCCACGGGCGAAGGAGGCGCAGTGCCGTCCAAGTAGCCCGAGTTCTCCAGCAAGGTGTCGTGCTCGGCTGCGGACTGCTCGTCGTCGGAGCCCACGGCGTTATCGTAGTACGAGGAGACGGACTTGGGCATTTTGCCTTGTGTGTGCGTGGGCCGCCCGCTTCGGTTGCATATATGGCAGGAGGATGATGTTGGAGTAAAGAGCAGTCGCGAGGACAATGGAGAGCTAATACTCAGAGCGACAAGAGGATCTCCACAAGGATGCGAGCATGACCCACACCGATGTGGTCATCTGTGCTTGCGCCCAAGTTGGCAACGCAGCAGATTGGGCGAATGAGGGCGCGCGGCCGGCCCAAAGCGACCAGGCCAGAGGAAGCAGGGCGGGGATTACTAGAGCCCCACGAGGCAGCCCATCGCGCAGAACCCGAACCATCGCGCAGCCAGTGATGAGCCGCGCGGGCAGCTGACCGCACGACGAGATTATTGTGCGCTGACGCCATGTTTCATATTCGAGGGTCCGCCGCCGTTCCGCGGTGCTGGCTATCGCGGCTGCCATGCTGCGTCGGGTGCGCCCGGCGACCCTGCGACTCTTAGCCGACCACGGTTGCGTGCGGCCTCGGCCTTACTTGCACCGGCTGCATTCCCTCCGCCCTACCGAATTCCAAGCCCAAATATCTGTCATGCGACGACTTGTTCCTCCGCCGCCTTCGTCTTTGGTCTTGATAGATCGGCACCCGAAGCAGGATTGCCATCGGCCCGCACACCGCCTAAATCATGGTTAGCAAATCGAGCGAATCGCGTGCTGGCGTCAATGCTAACTACCGGCGGGGCAGGCTGCGTTGTATGAGCAGATACTACTCTTCGGAGGTAGGGACATACACGCCGGTGATGTAAACCGCTGACCGCCTCGCAGACTCCATCACCCAAGCTTCTGGTGACGACGACGGCTTTGGATTTGCTGCACCCTTGCAGCAGCGTGCGTTGGAACCCCCGCCGTCTCAGACCAATCGCTGAAAAACCCAGTTTACGCACGCCGCCTTGACGTGATTAACCGTGGATTCAAGTAAGTTTCAGGCTGTCCATACATCCCGCCCGTACATACTCACCGAGTGAAGTGGCTACAACACTACGAAGGCCTTGCAGGTTCTTCCGCGCCTCATGCCCTCGCCCGGTGAGGCCAAAGTCCGCCTAATGGCAAGTGGCCCCACACCCCGCCGCGCCCACTCTTCTGACCAAAGCTCAGACCGTCTTCCTCGGCGCCAACGATGCTTGTGTCAAGGGTGGCAGCAGCAAGCAGCACGTTCCTCTGGAGACGTACATGCAAAACCTCAGGACCATATGCACCCATGAATGTGTCAAGGCGCAGAGCCCACGCCTGATAATCATAACCCCTCCTCCAGTTAATGAATACAAGATGGAGCCAGTTGACATCATGAAAGGCCACAACGGCCTGCAGCGCACCGCCGAGCACACGCGGGCTTACGCCAATGCTGCGCGGAAGGTAGGTGAGGAGTTGCAGCTTCCGGTGTTAGATCTTTGGTCTATTTTCATGCAGAAGGCTGGCTGGGTTGACGGCGAGCCGCTGCCTGGCTGCAGAGGCGTGGAGAGGAACCAGCTGATTGAGGATCTTATGTACGACGGTGAGTACTGCTCGCCAGAGCCGCTGTTTGCTTGCGCTCATGTGTTTAGGGCTGCATTTGACGCCAAAGGCGTACAAGATTGTCATGGAAGAGCTCATGAGTCTGATTGCCTCGGCATATCCGGATCAGCTGCCGGAGAAGCTGCCCTTGGTGCTTCCTGCGTGGAACGACGAGGATGCGTGGAGTCGATTCTAAGATGGTGCTGCGCCGCGTTTCGGTTTGTTCGGTTCCGTCGACTGCATGTGCCACAGCCGCGAAATGCGTTTGTATTATTGGGCAAAGACAATAGACGAGAATTTTAGACTGGAGCTACCGTCTTGTCTCATGTTTGCGAGATGGTGGCAAACCAACGACTGAGATTTAGCGTGTTTGGCGACAACAGGCAGCTGCTTTCCGCTAGTTGGAATTGTGACGCCTGATCTGCACGGGCCGGCCTTCTGCGATAGCACTTTGAACCTCCAACCCCAACTAACCACAGCTTGACACCGACGCCTCCAGCTTTCGCACGCTTCCTTTCCGCCGTGCTCGGCTTGTACGCAACCCAGAGCATCCGCTTCTGTATATCATCCCCCATTTGCCCGCCGTTGCTTCGTCCGTGCCGCCTGCTGTTATCAACGCCTGCCGCCCATCCCTCGCTGCCACCGTCACCGTTCGCCTCGCTCAGCCGCCCTCTCTCACTGCGACCCTCCTCGAGCTTCACTTCCAACCAGCCTCTTCCACCGTCCGCTTACCACACATTTGTTGCGCCATCCGCCCGCTGCGCGCCAACACATTGCATTCCGCGCCGCCGCCAGCTGCTGCTGCATCCGCCTGCTTCCTTCTCTCCCCGACAACGCTCCGGCTTCCCGACCCTCGCCACCGACAACCAAATACCTCCATCCCCAGCGTGACATCCACACTGCCGACACAGACGACGCTACATAGCTTGGGTCGCTGGCGGCTTCGCCGTCCGTTTGGACACTGGTGACGGAGGAGAGGTGCGGAGAGGTGCTGTGCAGCTCCGTTGGGGGATGGTCGCATTCTGTTCGCTCCAGACCTATTCCGCTGTTTGACGGCCGGCGTAGGAACTGTATGCTCTGTGATGGATCCTCAGACCGTCTCCTTCACTCCACGCGGTGACGATCTTTGGCGCATCCACTCCGAGATGCTGCGGGTGCAGCAGACCCAGGCCGAGCACGCCGATCGGCTTTCTCGCTTGGAAAGGAGGCAGGATGAGGATGCTCGCGTGAAGTCTGTCTGGGGAGGCGCGTCTCCTTTCCCAAGTGTGCTGGGCGGCACTCCGCAGCAAGGTCAAATATGAAATTCAGTCAGCCCTCAGCATATGGCTAACGTTTCTCCAGTGCCTCTGCAACAGCCCACTGCCGACGCCTTCTCCAATTTTGACGACCAATCGACTAATCTGCTGTCTAGCTTGCACCTAGATGCGGACGAAGAGCCAAGGCGTCTTGGGACAACGTCCAGAGCAAACAGCGTGAGATTCGATGAGACAGCTAATCAAGGTCACTGGTCCCATGCGTCCCGGTCGTCCATGGACCTAATACCACGTACTGGAAGTAGCCTTGGTGGCCATCCAATGACTGAACGGAGTTACTCGCACAAGTCAGATGGGCGCCAAAGCTCCGCTGCTGCGTCGGTGCATTCAGCCACCTCTGGCCGTGCGAATAGTTTGGGTCTCGAATCTACTTTTCCTGTTGGCACCCCCGCACTGGAGGTTCCGCGTCTTGCCCCCGGCTTGTTCATCCTGGGCTCGGTTCCCGCTATCATTCGATGCTGGCTCAACAGAAACTTCAAGCATGACTCGCTCCTCTATGCCGCTGTGTGCACTGGATCCTATACCTCGTGTTTGGACATGGCCTTGATCACCAAGCTGGGCTTCGAGTCAGAGATCAGATACCCTGAGGATGGTGTTCGCAAGATTAAACTCGAGCTCTATTTGCCCGAAGCGATTCCCTATCCAGCTTCTTCGCGTTCCAGTAGCCCTACACCGCAACTTCCCTCGCTGACCGTTGACTTCACCGTTGTAGAGTCTCAAGCATCGGAGAAGGACTCAAAGGCTATCAAGGTCTTCCTTGGTAGCGACTTGCTACGATCCCATAACGCAGACATTCTGCTGTCGTCGAACACACTGACCTTGTTTGATGACGACAGGAGCAAGCTTTCCATACCATTGGTTCGTCCGGAACATGATGGCGCATTCAAAACGCTTCAAGTTAGCAGCTCTCCTTGGGTCAGACCAGATGAGCAAGGAAATCACCAGGATACATACCAAGAAGCTGCGATAGGCCATGCGGTTGTTTCGGAAAAGCCCATGCCCCAGACTTTGGAGGGACTCAAAGCAGTATCTGTATCACCCGCCCCCACAGGATCTGATAGTGACCGAAATGTCACTGTCCCATCTTCCGAGGACGGAAACACTTCTCAAAGCGATCGAAGGAGTCTTGAACGCCCAGCCTGGGGGTCCAGCAGCCGGAATGGTGCAAAAGAATCCACAGAGGGAGACTCCACTGGACCCGGCCTTTCCCGTACAGGATCATCCCCCGCTATCTGGGGCAACTGGCGGCGCAACGCCGAGAAATCGGAATCCATGGACTGGGCTGGCGCAAGCAAACCACCCAGCAACGACACATATCAACGCCGTGATACTGGGATCAAGGTGCTGAAGCCAATTCGCACTTCGTCCCGCACTCCATCCACGTCGCAAGGCCCGGCTTCTGCATCCACTCCCACCAGCCAGTCGCGTTTTTTCGATGAGGGCCGCCGCCGCGTGACAAGTGTATCTTCCGTGTCGACCGTCGGCGTCGACACACAGCAACAGCCGCAGCCAAAGAGAACCATCTCAACTGACATATCAAAGATGAGCGGATCCTCGAGAGATGGGGGCAAGCCTAGATCTACGAACCCAGTCGGAGGCGCCTCGGCCTTCTCTTGGCTGAAGAATGGACAGAAGTGATTTCCCGGATGTGTGATGGAACATATCGCTTCTGTTTGCTCGGTCTGCTGATGGTTGTGTATTATTAAGGAATTGAAGGTGCACTCTGATGGCTCGACAGTGGGGGCATACTGGTATGGAGACGCATACAGCAATACAATATCTTTATCTTGCCAATTTACATTCATGGCACATGTCCGTTCCTAGTGCATCGGCTCCTCATGCTCTTTAATTAATTACTATCAGCATATAAACTCGTTACGTAGGTAGCTGAAGCTACCATCCGGACGTAAATGTAGAATTATTAAATGTACATTTGCGTCCGGATGATGGCTTCAGCTACCTACGTAAGTCGGGTGCCCTTTCTCGCAAAGATAATTGCGGAAGATCCCTTTTTTTTTTTTTTGGCACCCACGTCAGTTTCACTAAGATGGCTCAGTACTGTTGCGATACTAATAAGATTAGAACCATAGCTCGAATTGTCAGCCTTAGAGAAGTGCGCCCGCCACATGAGTTTATGAAGCAAAATCAGAAGACAGCTGAACGAGTCTCGCGGGTCCAGTGTAGGCCTGCCGCGGCATTTCTGAGGATAATTGGAATACATCAGGAAGTCTTCTTGCTAATCCCAGAAACAGACACAGCAACTGTGGTTCCCGTGTTACCGATATCTGCGATCACAACGCCGAGGATCCACGTATTGATCAAGAAGAAAATGACGCTGGCGGACCAAAGGCCAGGAACGAAACTAGAATTGCCCAAGAACTCCAGCTGGTATCCTTGCTGTAGCCAGAGTGCCTGAGGGGGTAAAAATGTCAGCGAGAACTTCAACAACAGTGGAAAAAGAAAGACCTACCTGTCCAATGATCCATAAGACGAGGGCTGTAACTCCTTTTGAAGTGGACTGGAGAAGAGAGGACGTGGGAAGGTAGAAGGGCAAGAAGATGAGATACCACAAGAAATACTGGATACGAATTCATGAGCGAAGGCTACCACGCAGCTGAGCTGGATATCTTACCTGGCTTGTGCAGACTTTGTTGAAAGTGACAAAAGCAAATGTTTGGGCAAGCATCGTCGAAGGCAAATCTTTCTTACTAAGCACCAGCGGGATTGCGACGGCGCTGAAGAACAGCTGAGGAAAGAATGCTAAAGACTCAAGCTTCACAGTCGGCTCAGCCATCGGGGAAGAGTTTAAGTAGAGCATGGTGTTGTAAGGAGAGAAGTTGTGGCGGTGGTCGAGTCGGATGAGGTGGTAGAAAAAGGTATGCTCGAGGAAAGGCTCTCCATAGCTAGACGACATATTAGCGGCATTGAATGGATGATTTGATCAAAACTCACATGAAAAACATAACAGCATTCAGTGCCATGAAAGCTAGGAAGCTGACGATGGCCAATGTGATACGAGCTCGGTTGAAGAATGCGAAAAGCCCAGACTGTGAGGACGATTTCGGTTTACCAAGATTTTCTTCGTCAAGCCACCAAACGATAGAGGCGGCATAAATGAACGGATAAATCTTGAGATGTACCGCAAGTCCTAGTAAGATTCCGGCGAGCACGATGCGCCTCTGGACAACTGCCCAGAGCATAGCGACGACGACTGCTAGTACCAGGCCTTCCGAGCTTCCCCTGGTGCTTATCTGGGCAACCATGGGGTTCAAGAGCCAGATACTCGCAAATTTGATGGCTCTTTCAGCAGGCATCTTGGCAGTCTGTCGGAGGATTTGGTATATAAACCAGCCGGCAAACATGTCGCCGAGCGCGAAGAGAAGCTTGCCAGAGTGAAACCACAAGCGGGACCACGTGGTAGGATAAATAAGCCAGGCAAGTAACGGCGTGTAGCGGTAGGTATCACGCTTGTAAGGAGAAGCGCCTTGTGAGACGAATCGGGCAGCATCAGTGAAGACAAAGTAGTCGATGTCGGTATATTTCATTGGTGAATAGGCATCCTGGAAGAGGCCGTAGATAAGGAGGGCAGCGCGAAGAGCGAATGCAGCCGAGAAGACATATTGTGGCTTGGCGAACAATTGAGCCATGGCGGGGGGCCAAAGAAACAGAAACAGTGATAGAGGCGATGGACCGGACGCGGCGGAGGTTAGTCAAGTAGTCGGTTGACGCGTGCTGAGATGGCCAGCGGGTGGAAAAGGGGAGGTAAGTCCAGCCGGTGAGAGCGCGTAAAATTGCCCTACTCACTTGTGCGCCTTCCTTTGCGTCAGATGCGCAGCCCGCCATCGCGCCTTCCTCAATGCACCTACCCTAGCAGCACACGCATTTAACATTTTAACACTCCAACTCATGGGCCAGAAGCGCACCTACACCGAAGCCATGGAGGACTCCAGCAAACAGCAGCACACCTCCCCCTTCCTGCCCATGTTCGAGGTCTTCCGTGCCGAACTGGACGAGCATCACGACCGCCGCGAGCGCATCATCAAGGGCTCGCGCGACATTACTGCTGCAAGCAAGAAAATGTGAGCGGCGCAAGATACGCCTATGAGGGGCGCTTACTAACTACGCGCAGTATCTTCTCTCTCCAGAGGTACGCCAGCCCGCCACAGCACGCACCTTCTCGACCGTCGCAACGTCGCCGATTGCCCCAGAAGCCACGTAGGAAACGCGACTAGCTCTCGACTGACGAATTCACAGGATGCGCAAGCTCGGACAACCAATCCCTCCCCACATCACCAAAGCGAATGCACAGTACTGGGACACGATCAAGAAGACGTATGCTGCGGTCTCCAAAGACCTCCAGGGCATCAATGCCTACCGGTATTCACGCAACATCACAGGAGGCCACCAAGAGTTTATGGAGTCTCTAAGCTTCCAACATTACCTCGAAACTCAATCCCTCATCTCGTACGAAGAGTCATGCACGAAGCTGGCAGAGCTGGGCGGCGAGGGCGGCGCCATCCTGCTGACGCCCGAGGACTACATTCTGGGCATCTTTGACATGGTGGGCGAGCTCATGCGGTTTGCGGTCACAGCAATGGCAACAAGCGGAGCGCTGCCGGGTGGAGAGTCTCGGCCCACGCCAGCAGCCTCGGCGGAGCAGAAAGAGGATGCGATGGACGTCGACAAGCCAGCGCAGAAGCCACGGAGCAACGTGTTGGAAGATATGCGGGAATTGCGCACGCACCTTGAGAGTCTAGACATCGGCGACCGGAAGTTCTCGGACGACGTGGACAAGAAGATGGGGGTGATGCGAAACTGCGTGGAAAAGGTCGAGAACGCGCTGTACGGGCTGATCATACGTGGACGAGAGCGGCCAAAGGGCTGGATGCCCGACCTGGGAGGCGAGCGCCGGGGACGCGAGGAGGTCGAGGGCTTCTGAGCAAATGTCGGGAGGTAGATGTAAGTCTTGAAAGCATAAAAATGCGCATTCCACTACCCACGCACGCAGGACTCCGTCTCGACGGAGAGTTTCGGGAGAGTTCAATTCTTTGGTCACCGGCTGGAGCGATTACGCGGTTATGCATGAGGGGCATTAGGCTTGAGGCCGGGGCGAGCGCTCAACACACCCTTGGTCCGATCTATGCGGGTGCGGACAAGGGCAGGGCGACGGCGTGTAGGCGTGCAGGCTGGCGGCCAGGGACATAGAGGAGAGCACATGCAGGATGCATGAAGAAATGGATAGCAATGGCTGGGGCGACGAGGCTCGGCAACGTGTCTGGCTGTGAAGTGAGACCTCAAGTGACTCCGAGTTTAGGGCTGGCTGGCTGGGCGGCAGCCATGGTTAAATCATGGCTCGCCGGCCCAGCGACTCCACGGCGCCCACGCCCGCCACACCTCGACCCGCTCCGACATGCACATCGCTCGCGCACAGCCTTCGACTTCTGACCAACCCACCTCCGGACATGCGCTTGCTGTGAGACTCGGCCGCCGCGTGAGCCCCTCCAGACCAGCCTCGCCCTAGGCCCTTGCAGCGCCGAACCCGCACGGCGATGCCTCGTCGCCCAGCTTAACCGCCCAGCAACGATCCGATCCCCCCAACACCGCCAACCCAAGAGACCCCCAGCCCTGCGAACGCTGCCGCCGCCATCTGCGCCCACGAGTCCTCCGCTCGCACCGCCCACGATGCGCGCAAGCGCCCCGCTCCGCGCGCAGGCCCAGGGCCAGGCCCGGCTGCCCAAGCCCGATGCGCCCGCTCGAAAGATATTCAACTGTATCGTGGACGAGTCAGCCTTCCTGGCCGGCGTTAAGAAAAGCACTCGCGATGGCATTCGCAAGTGGATTAGCAACGGCGCCATGCGCCTCTTCGTCCCTCTCTTCAGTAAGTCGTGCGCCGTCCTTCGTCGAGCCGCCTAACCCGCCACTTAGCCCTCGAACAAGTCGACCGCATGAGGCGGGCTGGCGGCAAACCGGCCACCGACGCCCAGGAGGCCCTCCAGTGGCTCGATGACGTTACTTCGATTCCCGAGGTTCAGGCCGCTGGCCTCGTACAACTGCAGGGAGGCGACGAGATCTTCCCCACCTGGGAGGAGGTAGAGAGGTTCCTCCTGCCCGAGACGCTGCTTTCCATGACCGAGTCGGCGGACGAGGCTGATGACCTCGCCGACGAACTCAACAACTCGCTGGCTTCCCTGGGTAGCAACGGCGACAAGGTGTCGGAGAGCTCTCACGAGGGCGACTCAGAGTCTCCGCGCTCCGCATACTCTGCCACCAGCCCCGGCCTTCTAAACGCTACACCATACAAGATCGAGACGGCCGTGAACAAGAATGGCAAGTCGAGGTCCCGAAACAATTCGCACGCGCACAAGGCCGAGCAGAAGAACAAGTCTGTTGTTCCTGTGCCGCTCCAGCCGTTCTTCAACCATGTCATTTGGCGCATCCACCACGAGCAAAACCCCGACATCTCGCCCGAGTCCTTCATCCTGCTCACCAACGACCCGAGGAAGCAGACCATTGCCCAGCGCTTCAGCGTCCGTGCCAAGCGCCTGGAGCAGATGCGTGACATCATCGGCCGCGAAGAGCGCGACTTCAGAAACAGGCAGGCTTGGATGAAGAAAGAGGAGCAGGAAAACGGCAATGTGGCGAATGAGCAGAAATCAGAGGATGAGGACGAAGTCGTTTTCAAGCGCACGCCTGCGCCAAAGCCTAAGGCCGGACAGCAGCAGGTCTTCGATCCCAACGATTTCGGTCGGTCCCAGCCCGCCGCCCCCTCTCCCCGCGGACGTGGAGGCAGAGGCGGCCACCGCGCGCGCGGAAACTTTGCGCCCTCGTCTACGCCTGTTCCGCGTGCCCCTCCTACGGCCCCCAGGAACGCCGAGCCTGCTGGGCCAATCGATCCCGACTCGTACGCGCGCCCGCCGCCGGCGTCGCGCTCGACTCGCGGCGGCAAACGCAAGCTTTGGGAACCAGCGTAAGGCATCGGGAGCGAGTGACCGACTAGAACGGCGCTCATTACGCTTTTTTCCTACTGGCTTTTCTGGAGCTCCGATCCAACTCCCGGGATTCACTTGTGCGTTTGATTCGACTGCTTCGTCAGAGGCGACTGCTCGTCAGCAATATGCAGTTCGCCCGAGGGTCGGCAGCGCGCGCAGTCAGCTCGAGTTCACAGTTACACGATGTGCGCACGCAACGCTGCATCGTTTACAGCCGACGGCCGCCGTCGGCCAACCACAATTTTGGGCAGTGAACTTGTTCCTGTCTTCACCGTACACAAACGCTCAGAAAACTCATAAAAACATAGCGCAGGAGCCGAGCAGTCGGACTACTGAAGATATTGGGGAGGTGTGTGTAAAAGGCCACAAGTTGGGTGTGCGCGCGGCCTCAAGAGTTGTCAAATTTGTCTATTGCCTTTTCTTTTTTCCCTCTTGGATTTTTTAATTCACTCACTCGGATCGGGACATCTTAAGACGTATGACTTCTGATGTTGCTGGTTTCTTGGTTTAATTTGATTATCTTGCTTCCTCTACGTTTTTTTGGGGGGCGAACATCTCAGCCTATGAGATAGGGCCAAAATCTTTTTGGCTTTTACTATGATTTGAATCCGTAGAAACTTCGATAAAGCTCAGTCCTCCATCATCATGTCATTTCCCGTCTCCTCGTGTCTCCTGTCCCTTATTTGCTCTCCATCACAGCGGGTGACGCAAAGAGTTCGACCCCCCCTCAACCCCCCCTCCGTAAGAGATATCCGACTCTACTTCCGTGGGTAGTTGAAGTAAATGTTTGGATCTCATCCTTGTCTCCGAACATTTACCTCGACCACCCACGTAAGAAGAGGGGAAAGAGGGGTTGTCTCGTTTTTGGCTCCTTCCCCCACCGTCTCTCCTGTGCAGGTCATACATACTTCACATCACATCTATTCTACTTCTCCCCTCCTCCTCCTCCGACGACGACGACACACTTTTTTTTTTTTTCACCACGGAATCGCGTTGCCCCATCTATCTACGAAACAGCCCGAACCCAGACCCTCCTCGACCCCGATCCTATCGATCAGCCTCAACACGTCCGCGACGCTCTCCCCGACCTCGATCGCTCCCTCCTCTTTCGCCCGCACCAGCCCCGTCTGCACCCTACCGGGGTGAACCAGCGCGAAGTCGACCTCGGGCACGTCGTGGCTGAAGCTGCGCACGATGGCGTTCAGGGCGGCCTTGCTGGCGCGGTAGGCGTAGGCCCCGCCTGCCATCGCGTTCGAGGAGCCTCCACCTCGTGCATCGCTGCCGCCGTTGGAGGCGACGCTGCCCATGCGCGACGCCATGATGACGACCTTGGGCTTGGAGTAGTCAGGGGATGAAGAATAGGATGAGCGGAAAGATGGCAACAGTGCTTTGACCAGGGTGAAGGTGGCGACGGCGTTGATCTCGTAGGCGCGCCGCATCGTGGCGGCGTCCATGGCGGCGATGGTCTCGGCGCCGGCCACGTCGTCCGGCCGCGCCGCCTCGTGCGACGGCACCAGCCCGCGGATGCCGGCGCTGTGGATGACGAGGGTGAAGGGGCCGGTGTAGGGAGTAGTAGCGGCGGCTGTGGCTGCGGCAGTGGCTGTCGGGCCGCTGCTGCCGCCGCCGCCGCCGCCGCTGTTGCCATCGTTTTCTGGTGCTGGTGTTGCTGAGGGTGGGGGTGGGGGGGACGAGGTTGCTGATGATGAGGATGGCGGTGGGGTGGGGGCAGCGCTCGACTGGGAGTCGGAAGCGACTGAGAGCTGCTGTTGGCGGGGATTATGGTGGTGTTGGTGGTGATGATGGTGGTGATGACGCTCGCGATAGGTGATGGTGGGGGAGACTGGGGTGCCGGGGTTTGATGCGGACCGCGAGTGCGAGCGCGACTGAGCCGCCGCCGCAGCGCCCGGGACGGTTGCGTTACGGACGAACTTCTGGACGAGGGCCTCGGCGGTGAGGTCGACCTGGTTAAAGCGACCACAGGCGCCGACTTCGCAAGATGAGGCGGTTAGGTGGGTGGGGTAGGGGCGGGCGTCGATGCCGCGGACTTGGTGGGTTGTGGGCGGGAAGGAGGAAAAGTGCTCGAAAAAGGCTCGGCCGAGGCCGGACGAGGCGCCAGTGACGAGGATGTGCGTTTTTTGTGCTGGTGGTGGTTGTGGTGGTGGGGTGGTGGAGGGCGGGATGTCGGTTGTCATTATCGGACTATGTGAACAGTATAGTGGCTCGGATAGCTACAAGTGGTGGTGACGGCACAAGGGAGTTTTTGAGCAGCCGGCGGGAGGGGTTGCTGATTGTTTTACTTTTGGCAGTGACGTCTGAGGGACCTCTTTCGGGGTCCAGGTCCCGGTGATCGGCAGGCGGGCCGAATCTCTCTAGCGGCTGTCGCCATGATGTGCGCGCGCACGCACCCCCGCTCGTAACTGTCGGCTTTCGCTCTCTGACCGGGGTGCGTTGTCGGCAATTGTTGGCATGATAAAACCCTAATCCATACTTAATACTCGCTGTGTCGCCTGCTTGTTCCACCATGGCGTCTGCACCCTTTCCTCAAATTTAGTCAGCATGTTCTACGAGCCAGGCAAGACAGAACATGGCCTCCCCCACGACCCGTTCAAGGTAATAAGCCGGCCAATCCCCACCCATCCGTATCCCTCACCAATAACTTATGCCGATCTTTTCCTGGTCACCAGGCCTGTGTCGTGCCCCGGCCCATCGGCTGGATCAGCAGCGTCTCGCCCGCGGGCGCCCACAACCTCGCGCCCTATTCGCAGTTCAACAACCTGACCTTCGACCCACCGTACGTAATGTTCGCAGCCAACCAGACGCCGTCGAACCGCCGCAAGGACACGGTCGCCAACGTCGAGGCCACGGGGTGCTTCGCCTGGAACCTGGCCACCTGGGACCTGCGCGACGCCGTCAACGTCTCGGCCGAGCAGGTGCCCGCCGACGTCGACGAGTTCGAGCGCGCCGGCCTCGAGAAGGACTTCTCCACCGTGCTGCGGGACCCCCAAGTGCCCATGGTCAAGAAGAGCCCCGTCCGCTTCGAGTGCGAGTATTACAGCACCCTGAGGCTGCCCGGGAACCCGCCCATGGGCACCGTCGATGTGGTCATCGGGAAGGTCGTTGCCGTGCACATCGCCGACGAAGTGCTGACGGATGGCATCTTGGACGTGAGGAAGACGCAGCCGATTGCCCGGTGCGGCTACTATCAGTACGCCGTCATAAGAGAGACCTTTGACATGGTGATTCCTAGTAGTGGTCAGTGGGGCGAAGATATCCTGAGTGGATTGGAGGGGAGCTCGAGCAAGAATAAGGAGATTGGGAAGAGGGGAAAGACAGAGCCTGGAGAAGGCGAGGAGAGAGTAGGTAACAAAGATATTTGAGTTTTACGTAGCTCCCTCGCTAGAAGAAATATAGCGCCCTACTTGAATGGCTAGTTAAGAACAAATCGCAGCCGAGGGTTAGCGTGATTTTTTTTTCTCGCTTATATCATGGGCAGTTGAAGCTATCGTCTAACAATTCGACATCTACCGGATGATAGCCTCAACTACCCACGTAGTGATCTAATAAGCGGATGATTGGAAATTTATTTATTGTTTTTTTTTTCTCGTGGTCATGACATAGACATTACGCTTAAGAACAAATGAAAAATAACCCTCTTTCCCTCCCCTTAATTCCGGCTATACGCCATCCCGACTCCCCCACCATCTCTTGAGCTCCCAGCACTCCGTCTATCCCTAGCCCAACTGATGCTGTCCTCCTCGCCCTCCCTCTCTATCCTCACCACCGTCTTCTTCGAGATGATCATCCTCTTGCTATCGTTGCTCTCCATGCTCAGCTGATCCAACTCGGCCCCGGCTCCAGCCGTACTGCTCCTCGTGGCGCCGGCCTCGTGCTGGCAAAAGTCGGGCCGCAGATCCAGCGATATCTTCACCAGCTCCGACGGCGACGCCGAGCGGGAGAAAGCGCTGCCGCGGTGACCCAGGCTCAACTTATGCTTATGATGATGATGCTGCTGCTGCTTCATCACACTCTTCCCGCCCTCGCCGTACAATCCACCGCCACTGGTCCTCTTGCCGCCGACGACGGGACCCATCTTGATAGCAGTACCGAAGGAAATGGTGTCGTTGAAGGAACGCTCGCCAGCGCCGCCGCCCCCGCTGCGGTGCGAAGGATATTGTTGATGATACGGCTGCTGCTCGGCGTAGTAGCGTCGCCGATAGCTGCTGCCGCCGCCGCCCTCCTTCTCAAAGGGCCGCAGGAAGGGCCCGATGCAGGAGATGGTGCTGGCCATGATGGCCCAGTCGAGCTGGAACTGGCCCGCCACGACCGAGTAGGCGCCGTCCAAGGTCGGATCCGCGGTGATGGCGGCGAGGCCGCGGATGTACTTCATGCGGAAGGCGCAGGCGACGATGACCCTGCGTGCGTGTGTTAGAGAGTACAGAGAGGTAGGACAGGGGTGTGGGATTTGGGGGGGGGGAAAGGGGGGCAACTTACGGGAGGCGGATGCTGAAGGCGAGGATGACGATGACTTTGAGGCGGAAGGCCATGTGGAGGCCGGCGACGAGGTAGATGGCGTTGAAGAAGATGAGAAGCTCCGTGAAGATGTCGAAGACTCCAATGACGAGCCAGCGCCACGTCTGCCCGGGTTGGTTAGTACCTGTGAGTAAGATTTCACCATTGGTTTCACTTACTATATTTCCGCAAACCTCGAGGCCCTGTGTAAAGAAGGCGATGGGATTACAGTTGATCGAAGTCAAGATGAAAGACGTCACGGTCCAAATGGCGCATACGGCAATCGTGATGTATGCGAGCATTGCGTGTTTTCTGCCCGCGGTAAGGCGCAGATACAAAAGAAGGACGACGCATTTGGAGAGGAACAAGGTGAAGAGATAGAGAATCTGTTGTGCGAAGTTGGCCTGGTATAGGTATGCGAGTCAGCATAATGCGTCTGATCCTCTCCCAATACAGCATCGCGCCACTCGAGATTGTCCGAGACGTTTGATGTTGGTGATCTTCTTCGGACCGTTGTTTAACTCACCCTTCCGAGGTGGCTCAGCCTGGATTGGTCGAACTTTTTCAAGCCAAGACCCTCCTCGATTTGAATGTAAACAGTGGCCGCTTGAAAACAGCAGAACAGCTAAAGTTCATGAGCGATAATCCAGAGGAATTGAGATGGAGAAACCGACCGTTGCCAGTGCTAGCAAAGAGTCGTCGCGCTTCCATTCTTTGACTTTTGTTCGGACGTAGATCCTGACTAGCAGACAGGAAATTACGAACGAGACGGTCGTCGTTGTTACGACCATGACAAGGCCGCGCTTGTCATCCGGAGTGATGTGATATGGCGCGGGGACCACATTGCTCGCCATGGCGGGGAATATGGAGAAGTGAAAGGGGGAGGGGCGAAAAGGACTTCGAAACCAGCGATCCGGAAACACCACGATCTTATGAGCGACATGCGAAGATCGCCGGCAAGTTGCGGATCGTCAGGGCTCCCCAAGAGATCTGGCGAGATTCTGCCCTGTCGGGCGGGAAAATTATTGAAGGGCGCCTTGCAGCAGGGCAGCAAGCAGGGTAGGGAGGAGCACGGGCGGCACAACGAGCGTTACAGAAATGGAGAGACAGAAGGTGAGCGGAAATTCCGATGCAAGCGAGAGCAGCGGTAAACGCTTCTGAGAAGGTGTAAGACAGGTGCAATCAAGCCTCCTAGATTTGCGTGGCAGCCTCCACTTCATGACACAGCTGCTGGTCGAGGACAAGGGCCGGACCACTACAACGCGTGATTCTGCGGGCGGCGAGGCCGGCGCCTTGAAGCTGAGGCGACGGCTAGTGCCGGACTGGTGGTGGACTTGAATCAGGACCTGGTGGCCGAACGACTCGATCATTTGCGGGCGCACTGCTTGGCATGTGGAATATTGGCATCATCAGATGCAGGTAATCGGCAGTGGGTCAACGGAAAACGGAGCTCGTCTGCGCTGCTGGGACCAGAAAGCAGCGGGTGCAAAGACTTTGGCTCGTCTCAGCCTTCTGCGGGCCAAGGCCACGCCGTCGGGTCGCTTGCGGCGTTGAAGGTGATTCGATGCGGCTAATAACGCATCGGTTGGATGCACCCACGCGGGCGGACTAGCACTAGCGCTGCCCTGTAAAGGTGGCGCTCTTTTCCATCAAACAATGGACTGGCAGGCAGATTAGAGAGGATCAAGCGAGTGTATAATGGCAGCGGCACGAATACGAACTCCCGCTGCGGAGGTCTGCTCAGGGTGGGTTCTGGGAGGGTTGCTCAGCGATCAGCCGATGGGAACTCCCTTGCACGGCGCATCAGCCGGCTGTGGCGTGGCGGTCCCAGATCTCGACCCCAGCACGAATCGCGGGATTCCCCACTCCGAACAACTAACGGCCGTGCAAGAACCCCCGGATGTGCACGCGCGGCTCGGCCTGTCTGCCTGAAGGGTCGTCGCGGCTCCGGCCTTCGAACTTCCCCTGTCGAGGAACGGGCCTCAAATTTTGCTAGAATGCTGCGCCCAGATGGCGGCCTCGCAGGCGAGCGTCCAGGGTCTTGTGCGCCCATGTATAGGCCCTAGTTTCTCATGCTTGAGTAACTCCCAAGTCCCCGTCACCTTTTTCCCCTGCGCATTCGTCCCCCCGCGCACGTCTCTCTTTCCCTCTTTGCTCATCCAGCATGGCGCGCTCCTCTACCGAGCTAGATGTGCTGCCCGCCGTCTCTTCCGGGAAAGAGTATCACAACATGTCCTCACGCGAGCTGTCTGCCGGCACCGACGATGATCTCCATGAACAGAAGGGCATTACTCGCCATGACCAAGCCGATATGTCGAGAATGGGCAAGGTTCAGGAGCTGAGGGTATGCTGTTGCTGAAACACTTAGCTCTACATCTTGCTGACGCGCGTTCAGAGAAATTATCGCCCGCTGTCCGCCATTGCTTTCACAGTAATTCTCCAGGGCACGTGGGAAGTGCTGATGACTGCGACAACCCAAGGTTTGGTTGATGGCGGTTTGGCTGGCCTGATCTGGAGCTATGTGTGGACCTTTGCTGGCTTTAGCTTTGTTATGGCTTCACTGGCTGAGATGGCTTCCATGTAAGTGAACGCCTCCTTTCACACCACGCCACACCACCTGATCTTTTCTTTGGCGCTAACTCCATGACTCTACAGGGCCCCTACTTCCGGAGGTCAATACCATTGGGTCTCTGAATTTGCGCCTGCAAAGTATCAGCGCTTCCTGAGCTATTTTACGGGTATGTCGATCATCCATGTTAGGAGAAAGCTGCTAACAAAATGCAGGATGGATGTCGACCATGTCATGGCAGGCCGGAACCGCGTCCGGCCCATTCCTTGTCGGCACGCTGATTCAGGGCTGTGCTATCGTTGCTTATCCTGACTACTCTCCGACGAATTACCAAGGCACGCTCATGGTTATTGCCGTGGCCATAATCGTCTGGATATTCAACGTCTACGGTGCTCACGCCATGCCCATTCTTCAAAACCTGATGCTCATCGTCCACGTCCTTGGATTCCTCACCATCATTATCGTGCTGTGGGTTTTGTCGCCGCGCAACACTGCTGAGACAGTCTTCACCGTCTTCACCAACGATGGCGGCTGGAACTCCATGGGCCTGAGTTTGATGGTTGGCCAGATTTCAGGTACTTATCCACCTACCTTTACTTCAGAATTTGATACTCACCATCTATTTCTCTCTAGCCATATATGCTTGTATCTGCTCCGACGCTGCCGCTCATATGTCCGAGGAGATTAAGGATGCCGGTGTCGTCGTTCCCCGTGCCATGGTTTGGTCATACGTCATCAACGGCGGCCTCGGCTTCATCTTCCTCGTGACATACTTGTTTATGATTACCGACGTGGAGGCTGCACTTGAGGACTGGTATCCCCACATCTGGGTAAGTCACCTTGGGTTTAATTCTCGAAACCATGCCTAATTTTAGCACCAGGTCTTCCGCCAGGCCGTCAATGATGCTGGCGTCGTGGGTTTGAACGTGATTCCCACCGTGCTCATCTTCGCCGGCACCGTCTCCTACAACCTGTCCACCTCGCGCCAAACCTGGTCCTTCGCCCGCGACAAGGGCGTCCCGTTCTCCAACTGGATCGCTAAGGTCGACCCGAAGCTGGAAGTCCCCATCAACTCCGTCACCGTCACGACGCTGATCACCATCGCACTGTCGCTCATCAACATCGGCTCCGACGTCGCCTTCAACGCCATCATCTCCCTCAACGTCGTCTCGCTGATGATCACCTACATGACCTCCATCGGTTGCGTCTTGTGGCGCCGCATCTACCACCCGGAGACGCTGCCGACCTGCCGCTGGAGCTTGGGCAAGTGGGGCGTGCCCGTCAACATCTGCGGCTTTCTGTACTCGACTCACGCTTTCTTTTGGTGCTTCTGGCCGAATGCTACGCCCACGGATGCCGAAAACTTCAACTGGGCGTCGGTCATGTTCGTGGCTGTGTTCATTTTGAGCAGTATTTATTATGTCTTTAAGGGCAGGAAGGCGTACGAAGGCCCAGTTGTGTTGACCGAGGGCTGGAAGGGCGAGTGACGGTAATTGTATATGTAATAGTGACCATCGAATTCTTCTGGCGAGCAGCCCGCCGAGCATACCCTGATTGCCACCATCCCTTCGCCTATTCCCGATTAGGTTGGGCTCAACTCGCTTGGCAGTGGTACACTACTGCTACTCGCCGCATTCACTAATCGACCTACTTTTTTCGTTCCTCAAATTATTGTAATCCTCGTGGGTAGTTGAATCCAATGTCCGGATGCATTTGTAGATTTTTGAATGCTACATCTGCGTCCGGATATTCGCTTCAAATACCTACAAAAAATGGTCGCGTCGGCAGAAGGGAAGATGAAAAAATTATCATACATACATACTAGCTATAATCACTTATGATAGTGAGCTGTTGAAGGCTAGGAAGGAGAGCTAAAAATAAACAAGAATTGCAATAATCCTAAGTCTCGCACCTGTGTAGGATTTGCACACTAGCTACAAATCAAGCTCAACGAACCATGCGTGCGGAAACCCTGGTTCCCCACCTCCCACGTGGCCCGTAAACGCCACACACATGGGTATTTAAATCGTTGGCTTGATCTTCCACTCCTTACTTGGCGCCATGGCGGCAAGGAACTGTATAGAGACGTATTGCAGGCGAAGGCTCGCGCGAAGAACAGAGATCAATTTTCTTCACGAGGAAAACAGAAAACGTATGCGGGTAGTTGAAGCCATCATCCGGACGTAAATGTATAATTGTTAATTCGACGTTTGCATCCGGACGAGAGCTTCAACTACCCACGCCATGAACAGATAACAAATTCACGCCAGCCTTCGGCTGCAATACTCATCTGTAGCATCATTCACTAACGGTTAAATCCTTCGACTGAGGTAAGGCTCGCTGTCTCATATCATCACCATCTATTTATTCGGGTATGGAAACTTCGTCACGACGAGTCTACCATACAAAATTAAGTATGTATCATCATCCATGGATTGCCTCTCCCCCACCATCATTAGTTTTCTCTATCGGCACCCGAAAGCAATTACAAAACGAGAAGCATAACTCCCAGTTTTCAAGCGCTCTTTTATTGTTTTTTTTTCTGGCTCTCTGTCTGTGTTTTCATTTTCATTGACTTTGCTAGACCAAAAAAAGAAGTAAACCCTTGTTCTTCCAATCCTGATCCTCTCTAATTTCTTATACCCTCTGAAGAAAAACAGGCAAGAATGCTAAGTTTTTAGGTAAAACAACCGCAATCGGCAAAAAGCTATTCAAAAAGCCACGTTATACCACGGCTCCGGGAAAGGAGAAACGAAGGAAGAATGAAGATCCTGTCGGTGAGGAATGGATTTTGAGATTGAAAATGAGAAATAGTGGGTTCGTCCACCAAAACCGAAGAGAAGGAAAAGAAGAAAGCAGAGTCGCGGGCAACACCAATAAACCGTGGTATCTCGACATGCGGAACAAAGCATAGCGGTAGAAGCAAAAGACAATTAAAGAAGACAAAAGAGAAAAAGAGTAATCGGCCGTCAGGCAACTGGAAGGGAAAAGTGTGAGCGAAGGTGAAGTGGGTAACGGTTTGATGCTGCATCGTGAAGAAAGTTTCCATGTGAATGGATCCTTAGAACATTGAAGGGCAAGAAAGGTCAGGATGAAAAAAGCATTGAAACGAACGCATGGAAGAAGAAAGGATAGTAAAACAGACAAATCCAACCATCTCATCGTGATCGCACCCCGCCAGCACATCGTTGCCTGGAGCAGCAGGCGCGACAGGGGCCTGATAATGGGATCCTCACTAGCGGCTATGCTTGCTGATCACCCATCACAACATCCGCATCCGAATCCTCGTCCGCACGTCGGAGCTCGCCTTCGATAGCAATTCCGCCAACGACCCAGTCCATCTTCTCGATCTCATCGAGTGACTTGCGGCCGCGACTGACTTTCTGCAGCAAGCCCTCAACAACGTACCGTGCGCCTTCCCACTCGCTGGCACCAGGCTTCGTGGGGTCCCAGACGCCATCTTCATCACCAAATTGGCACCACATCCAATCACAACGTGCGATTCTGTGCACCGCCCTGCTGCGTCCGCGGGCTTTTCCAGGTGGGGGGTCAAACGGCAAACGGCCTTCCATGAGCGAGTAGAGCACAACACCGAGGGCCCAGGCGTCGGTCAGACGACCGTCGTACTCTTGGCCAAGAAGGATCTCAGGAGCAGCATAATCTTCACTTCCGCAACGAGTCTGGAGCTTCGGGTTGTTGGGGTCAATGCGGCGGCAGAGGCCGAGGTCCGTGAGGGTTATGAGAGCCGTGCGGTGACGCGAAGGATTCAAGAGTTCACGAAGGGTGGACACGGGGACATTGAGAAGAACGTCTGTTTGATGGTCAACGCACCGGCCAACAGGAGTTGGCACGTCACAACAAAAGGAAGCTTACTCTCAAGTTTGATGTCACGGTGGACGATGAGTTCACTGTGTAGGTATCGTACGGCGCCAACCAGTTCTGCGAAGAGACGCTGCACGACAGGTGCAGTCAACGCATCGCGTCCCCGGTCTGCAAGCTCGTAAAGATCGCCGCCCGGGCAGTAGTTGAGGACGATGAGCGCGCGATGATCGTCGAAATCGAAGGCCTTGAGATGGATGAGCGAAGGATGGCAGATCGACCGGAGAACCTCCACTTCGCGCTTCAATGTCATTTCCACGCGTGCCTCGTCTGCTCCACCGGCCGGCCCATGCTCGACGACCTTGATAGCCACGAGCTTCCTCGGATTGAGTTTCGATTCGTCCAGGACTGCTTTTGGGGCAATCTTTTCCCTTGTGGCCAGGAGGACCTTGCTGAAAGCGCCTTGACCGAGCTGGCGGAGTGGAAGATAGATCTTTTTCTTTCCGGAATCGTGCCTTACCACAAGATACTCTACTCCAGCATCTTCCTCCTTCAATTCCTCCTCTTCACTCTCAATAGAGCCTCGGTTGCTGGGAGGCGGCGTCGGGAGCGTCCGGGTTGGCTCAGCTCCAGGAGCAGGAGCAAGGCCACGCTGCGCGGCAAGGTATTCCTCGCGCCGCAACTGCGACTGCGAGGCTGCCTGCTCCAGAGCGGTCGGCTGCGCGCCAGCGTTAGCAGCAGAAATTGTGACGGTCCTTGGGCGGGTATTCACGAGGTGCTCGGGCACGAACTCGCTCAGACTCCGGTTGCGGCTGTGGTTCGCTTTGTTCTTCTCTATTGCGTGCACGTTGGCGCTGTGCGCCTCGACAGCCGCCGTCATCAGGCCCGAGTATCCCTTGTTCTTCCTGGACGGGGTCCTCGAGGGGGACAGGGTGCCGGTCGACAACATAGCGAGCGAGTCCTCCCGAGACACAGCTGCGGATCCACGCGAGTCCGGTCGGTGTGCTTGTCCTGGAGCGGCAGCGGCACGGCGCCACGGGCCGGGCGAATCGCTCACGATCAGCGGAGACGGGAGAGGTGTGATGTCAGCAAGGGCGCCGAGAGCGGGCGAAGAGATGGCTGAGCTGGGAGAAAGCGAGGAGGTGAGACTGGCGGCCGAGAGGGTGGAGCGGAGGCCTTTGGCGTTCTGTTGGATATCCATGGGGGCCGTTCCCGGGGTCTGTGAAGCCTCTGCAGGGGTGTTGACGATGGAGGGAGTCCGCGATAGCTCCCTGGAGGCGGTGGTCAGCTTGGAGAAGTCGGTCTGGAGTTGCAGGCCGGCGGCGGAGGGCGAGCGGCTGTGCGGCCTGCTGCCGGGGTGAACGGGCAGGTGGGCTGGTGGTGGATAGGCGGGCGCAGCGTCGATCCGCGGCAGCGCAGCGGAGGGAACCGCGTGCTGGGGGGTTGCGAAAGCTGGCGCGTCGCGCGCACCGGCGTCGCGGGCTGGCGGTTGAGATTGAGTCGCCGGCGCAGGCTGAGCGGCTGATGTCGGGTGTTGAGCGGCCGAGACACAGTGCTGACCAGGCGCAGGCGCGGGGGCGTGATGGGGGAGCGAAGGCTGAGGGCCTTCAGGCAGTGCAAGCAAGCTCTCGGGCTCGCCCATAGCGGAGGAGAGGTGAGAGGCGGGCTGTTGGAGTCGTCGCGGAACGTCGAGGTGAACCGATGGCGGCTACTAGGCTGTACCGTGTGGCCTGTGCCCGCGCCCTACACCAATGTTCTCGGCCTTGCCTGAAGCCAGCGCCTGCCCGCTTCGTCCGTACCCAAAAGAACAGGGGCCGTGGCCTGCCCCGGACGGTACGACCTCTGCCTGTGGCTTTGCCGTCTGCTTCCCTCGTTGCGGGAACGCTAGAGGGAACATCCTGGCTCATGCGACTCCTTTGGTGCCGTCTACAGAGGGGTATTGCAGCCGAGCGTGAATTTGTTCATCTCTCATGGGGAGTTGAAGCTATCATCCGGATGCCAATGTCGAATCAATAATTATACATTCACGTCCGGACGATAGCTTCAACTCCCCATGAGAGATGAACAAATTCACGTTCAGCTGCAATACCCCTCTTCTGCCCGGGTGCGACAGAAGGCGCGTCAGCAGGGAACAACACTCTATCAAGGCCCTGCACCTCCACACCCGGCCTGCGCTAGCACCTCAACGCTCATGCACGGCGAGATAGGTGGCCGATGCGGCCGGCTTTAATTCTAAATTGAATTCACAAATGCTCAAGGACGAGTGTCATGTTTTTTTAACGTTTTTTTTTTCTTTTTGTCGTTCTTTCTTCTATCTATGCCTGTTCCGTGATGATTGGGTAAAGTCTAGAAAACAAAAAGCAAATTGAATGAATCGTACTTCCAATTGGGATGCCGACCCGATTCGGCCATTAACTGTCCATACGGTGGAAATTGAGTTCTCGAAATGAATACGAGATGCGACCTAGAACCGAGTTCCGGACCGAACGTAGTTGTACGAGGTGCCGGAATAGTAGCCGTCCTGACCATTGTAGTAGCGACCACCAACATCAGTATACGGCTGGCGGTCCTGCTGTTGACCACCAGTCAACATGTGGTGAGAGGCATCGTAGTTGCCCCACTGCCGCGCAACGCCATCCATGTTGGTCCGGTTCTGACCCTGGCCGTTCCTGTCGGTCGAGCCAACAGCAGGTGGGCTCGTTTCCAACTTCTTCTCGAGTTGGTTGACACGCTCCTCGACACTTGATAGCTTCTTGATCAACTCGCAGTTCTGATTGGTGATCTTCCTCAGGGGCTTGAAGACGTGATCGTCCATGCTGCGAGAGTTGGCATCCAGGGTGCTCTTCAGGTTCTCGGTCTCGCCAATAGCACGGCCCATGTTGTGTTCGATAGCGTTCAGGTGAGAACGAACGTCGGCAAAGTACTCATCCATCGTACTGCGTATCTCACTGAAGAACTTCTCGCTGTTACCAACAATTTCCTCCTTAGTCAGCTTCTGCACATCGCTGAAGGTGCGGAAAGTCTCCTCGATATGGTAGTGGAGCACGTGGAAGTGCGTGAGTAGCTGCTCGTGAGTCGGCATGGTGGGCTGAATGGTAGGAAGGAAAGGTGCAAGAGGCGACGGCACAGCACTGGGGTGGTGGAAGCCGGGGGTGATCGGGTTTGGGTTGTCGCCAAGCTGCTGGGCCAAGTACGGCGTCAATCCGATCGAAGGTTGGAAGGCATGGTCAGAAGACTGGCCGCCGTGCGGCGCGTTGGGGTTGCTGCCGTCGGTCTGGGGCTCGGTACTGCTCGAAGCAGGCTTGCGCTCAGCAGCACCATCGTAGCTGGTGCGCTGCGGGTCGTCGCGCACGTTTGCCATGTTTGATGAAGCTCGGTCTACAATGCGGTTGGGAGAAGTTATTGAGATGTCCGAAGCGGCGAGTGCATGACGGAGCTTAGTTGGGATAAGGGAAAGACGCGCACCAGGCGGCGGCTTCTTCGTCCAATTCAAAGACGAGGTACGAGGCGGACAGGCAATGTGACTCTTCTCGTCCGCGACTTGGGTGCCGTTCTCGTCCTCGATGGCAAACTCACCTTGAGACAGGCGGTACACAACAGGCAGCGACTTCTTTGAGCTGGGGCTATCGTCGGCGTTGGCGCGATCGTTCAACTTCGAGCTGGCGAGGTCGCCGCAGGGTGGTGAAGAGTCGACGATGGTGTGAAGAGCGGGCGTAGCTTTGAACGAATGAGGCCTCTTTCCGCGCTAGAGCTTCGTGTTAGCGAGATATTCTAGCGGACTTTATGCGGAGGCGGGTGAGAGCGTGAAGAGAAGGTGCGCGTGGCTTCCGAATTTGGGAGGCACCCCACGTGATGGGCAGCATGCAGTAGCGTGGAGAATAGCAGCGTAAATATGACCCGGCCTCTGCCTTAGAAAGAAAAATAACGTATGTGGGTAGCTGAAGCTATCGTCCGGACGTGTATGTAGGATTTTTAATTCGACATTCTCGTCCAGACGATAGCTTCACCCACAGTAGTTTGTTTCTAACACATACCTCCTTGAGATCCGGGGTCTTGAACAACGTCGAGTAGACCGAGGGCGAATAGTTGTTGGGCTTATAGGCCATCTGCGGGAGATAGCCTTCCTTTGTCAAGCCGTCCCAGCGAAGACCGTCAGGACGTAGGCCATCGGGACGCGGGGTCTCTCCAGAATACATGTTACTGGTCGGAGAGCCGATGACACTCGCTTGCAAGGACTGCAAGCTTGGAGAGATCTCAATCAGCCTCGCGTATTCAGCTGCTCCATGCTTGAACCATGTTGCTGGGCCCTTCTCGTCCTTCCGTGCCTTTTCACCGAAGTCTATGCTCAATATTTCGTCACACTCATCCGCAGTGTCGATACCCAGACCGCTCATACCACCCCGGTTCTTTCCAGCAAGGGCGTCAAGCGCAGTCCTGATGTGAGGTGGAGTATCCTTGGCAGGCGGTGTGGGAGGAAGGGATGGGTTAGACTCTTGAGGAGCGAACCGGCGGCTGTTGCTGTACGAGTCAATGGCGATACGGACAGTGCTGTCCTCGAAAGCCGTCTTGCGATCAGGCTCTGCCGAAATACTGGCTGGGAAGACAGGAGGCAGTGCCGTAAGGTCCTTGTCGTCCTGCTCAAGAGTAGTTTCGGGGAGAGAACTGGTGGTGTTAGCACGCTTTCGCTGGGCCTTGCGACGATTCAAGTTCAGAGTCCACTTGGACGAGCTGTTGTGAGCATCTGCTGTAGTCGACGTGCCTAGAAACTTTGCGGCCTTGGATGGGATGTCAAGCTCAACCAAAGCGTTACTCTGATTGCCTACGGCTGAAGAGCTGGCGGGAGCCTTGATACCTGGGATGGTGAACGACAGCTTGCCAGGCTTGCGCAAATCTTTGGAAGAGGAGGTCTTAGTGTTTCCTGGCAACGAAACCTTGCGCCGGTGGGCTGGGTGCTTCGCAAAGTGCTGGCGAGGCACGTTGGGCGGCGTATCGTCTCCCGAGCTGGACAGAGAAGCATCCATGGGGCTGTCTGTCCTTTGTGACATCATACGAAAGAGCCTGCCTTCGCTGCGACTCTCGATCAGAGCACGGTCAGTAGCCATCGGCTCGGCCTCACTGTTAGGTACGAGCTTCAACTCTTCATGCTTCGGCGGGGATTGGGGCTGGTTCATCTGCATCATGAACGTAGTGATGGTAGTTGCTGGCGGGGAGTTGATGTCTGGCTCAGGCGGAAGACTCTTCTCCTCTGAACGGATGTCTGTCGACGCAGACTCGGTCTGACCGCGCTGCTGCATCTTGGAGGCATTCTCTCTGTCTACCTGCTCGCGATAGAAGTTATTTCCAATGTAGCGATACGCATGCGAGCGCTGTGTCTCATCGAGAGCGGCGTAGGGCTTCTCGTCTTCCGGGACCTTGGTCGAAGACTTCTTGGGCGACGCGACACGTCGTTTTGTCGGACTATAACAGTTGAGCGACATCTTGGGAAGAAGACTAAGAAGATGCGGACGGATCGGCGAAGAAAAGAGCTGATAGGATTTGCGAGAGCAATGGAAGACAAGAGGTTGAGGGTCAAGGAAGAACGGTCGTCGGGAGGATTTGAGAAGGGCGGGTAATGGTGGAGATGGGGGGTGGTCGCGGAGGGTCAACAAAACAGACCACCTACCAGCAGCAGCGGCGGAGGCAGCGATACCGTGCAGAACAATGGCACCATACTCTTTGCACAAGCAGCCTGTATGCATTGTTCCTCATGATTCCGTTCTTAAAGCAACGGCCAATGCCTAAATGCGCGCTCGCCCTGGGCCGCAGTGCCTGTGCCAAAGGCCCTGCACCAGCAGAGACACTCCGACAACGTCACGCAAATTGACTCAAAATGAAAGTACTGGGAGACGCGCTGGTAGTTGAAAATTTGGAACTGGGGCGTTAAGAAGAGACGTATACTCATCCTGCCGCATCCAGCTCTTGACCGAAGTACAAATTCCTCATAAATGAACATATCCTTGACCTTCCAAAGTCCTTCTCGTGCTACGAACCATCCACCGCCACGATTCCAAAACTAGGAACCGCCGGCGCCCGCCTATCTGACCCCGGATTCGTCCCCCATGTCGTGACCGCGCCAAGTTCCCAACGCACACAGCCGCAACTGTACCGTCACATCATGATCATGGGCAGTTCCGCGGGCCAATGTCAAATGTCTTCAATGTTTGATCTTCCAACTTGAAATCGAAAGCTGCCAAATCTCAGAAGAACTGATATCCGCTACCCAATGCGCCGGGTCTCCACAACAAGGTATCCGGGGAAAACCGACCACGCCCGACCTGAAGAAAACGAGAAGCATGATTGATGGCGATGTTTGCCTAGACTGCGCTATGAGCCTCCGATGGCCGGAGAACTACAAAACCACGCAATGCGAGCGCTTGCCGGGCTTCTTGGTCTGCGGCGGCTCGAGGGCCGCGACGATCGCCTACACACCACAGTCAGCAATCAGCTCTCGCCGGGGGGCAACCTTTCCGCGCTCACTTCATCAAACACGTCTTTCAGGCGGAACTGAGTCAGTGCCGAGCACTCGACGTACTTGACGGCACCGAGCTCCTTCGCCATGCGGTCGCCGTCTTCCTTCCGGACGGGTTGCATCTTCTGCTTGGAAAGCTTGTCACGAACGCTCGGGTCGTCACGGAGATCGACCTGTGTGCCCACGATGAGACACGGGACGCCGGGGCAGTGGTGGTGGACCTCGGGGAACCATTTCTCGCGGACGTTCTCGAAGGATGCGGGCGAAGTCACGGAGAAGCAGACGAGGAAAACGTCGGTCTGGGGGTATGACAGGGGCCGCAGACGGTCGTAATCTTCCTGACCGGCAGTATCGAACAGACCGAGGGTGTAGGGCTCATCACCGATCCTGTAATCATAAAGGTTCAGCGAACGGTGCCAGCGGGGGCCTGAGGCCTTCGAAAAACAGCCTGAGGCAAAGTGCCAAGAGCCAGATACGGCAGGCGTGGCTAGGGCATCGGGGAGATTAGATGCTCACTCACATCACGGTGACAGCATAGTTATCGAAAACCGTCGGGACGTATTCGGAGGGGAATTTGTTGGTCGTGTAGCTGATCAGCAAGCACGTCTTGCCGACAGCACCGTCACCGACGACGACGCATCTATGCGACTCGGTGGTTAGCGGAGGACAGGCGGGTTGGGTGGGCGCTGCAGAGTGGGCAGCACGCACTTAATGGTTGCGACGACCATGATGTTGATGTAATGTGCGGGCTACGAAGCTGCGGGCGGGTGGCAGGCGCCGATCGGAGGCGTGCAGGAGTGAGGTGAGGCTCGTCGGGGCGGCGCGGAGCGAGGGGCGTGGGAAGGGGGCGTGTCGCGTGGTCGGGGCTGGCTGGGCGGCTCAGCACTGGGGTGCTGGGGGCGGTGGTGGTGTTGGGCTGGCGGTGAGGTATCCAAAGGAAGGTGGAGTAGTGGTGAGGAGCCTGGAGAGGTGTCGACTATCAGCAACGCCGACGCGCCGCGCATCGCCAGGGCCGCGCGCAGGGAGGCATACCGTCGCCCCGAGATTGAAACCACCGAGGACGCGTGCAACGCGGAGCGATCTGTGGTTGAAACTCGAAACGTAAGATGGGGGCTCCTTGTCGTGGGTCGGCGTGGTGAGGGCCTGGGCGTGGAGGGCGCTGGTAGGGCGAGAAGGGAGGGGCGGCGCGCGGAGAGTCTAGCAAGCGCTGGGAAACGAACTGGAGCAGGCTGCTCTGATGGCAGGACGAGACGGTGCGATAGGGACGGTCTTTTTGGGGACGGCGGAGATTGTATGGCGCGAACAAGTCTTGCCCCCTTTGATTCGTTCAGCCTCAGCCGCTCGACGCCTCGCAATCAACGCACGCATCATCATCACGGATCCGTTGCACAACACGCGCTCCATGCTGGCTGCCTACGACTACCTACGGCTGGTGCCCGCTGCGGGCGGCGCGGTGCAGGCAGCGCGCGTGGCCGAGCGGCATTCCAATGCTGCACCGCCTGAGCCTGCGCCGTTTCCGGGACGCGCTGCCGGCTTGAGGCGTGCTGCGCCGGCCTGCCGTTGAGGACGACAGGCTCTCTCCGCACAGCACGGAGCACCATCCCAATCCACCGACAATCGAGCCCCGGCTTGTCTCAACCGCCTTTGAAACACCGCCTTAGCAGCCAGAACTCTAAAGCAGCCTCAGCGCCGCAGCACGCCGGCCCACCGCGCACGCGTGCCCGCGGCATCAACACCGTCTGCGCTGCGGCCCGCGTCCGGCGCGGCCTTGTCCCCCCGGCCAATTACATGCCCCTTCGTTTTCTGGTCCATCTACGTCCGTCAGCACCGTCGTCTCAGCCTCGCCCGCCCGCCCGGCTCGTACTCACCTTGTCGAGGCTGTAGTTTTTCATCACCAGACTCAGCGGGATGAGCGGCGCCGACACGCATAGGGCCACCGTTAGTAGCGTGTGCATCGTCTCCTGATATGCCCGGTTGATCGCCATGCGCTCCGGCGTGCCCATGGCCCACCCGGTAGACGCCAGTGTAACGTTTCCGTAGATTAGCGACGCTTGGTCCTTGATGTCTGCCGGGAGGTACATTTCCAGCTTCTTTGGCACGCTGTTCGTCCAAATTGCGCCCGAGATCGCGTTGCCTACCGCCCCGCCAATCTCCAGAATTGTAAGAAACACCGCAGTGGCTGCAGCGACCTGCTGGTGGCTCGCCGATGCCTGGACGCCTAACTGGGCCGGTACGTTGAGCATGCCCCCTCCAATGCCCGTGGCGATCTGACACCCCACGAGCGTGGCCGTTGACGCGCCGTCCACGCGGTATCGAAACATGAGACCCAGCCCCATCATGTAAACACAGGCGCCAAAGGTGACAAAGTACTTGTAATGGCCCGTGTATCGGATCATGAACGAGACGACCACTGACGACACCGTCGAGGAAAAGGTGAAGACCTGTGTTATGTGGCCGGCGGCTGTGATGCCCTTGTTCTGCACAATCATCAAGTAGCTGGAGTAATACGGGTATACGGACAAGTAAAAAGCCACTGCATCTCGTTAGAATACGTGCGACCAAGCAAAGAAAGACTCACTGAAGTAGAAGAAGGCGATAGAGATACCCACCAAAACGGTCCTTTCCTGGAACAAGTCCCGCGGGAAGAACGCTTTCGGAGCCAGCTTCTTACTCCTCTCCCACAACGGGAAGATGAGAAGGCAGACGATGCCAATGACCAGCATGGCAATAATATTACCGCTCGCCCAGCCGTCGCTTTGCCTCGACGCGATGGTCAGAGGTATGAGGATCAGAGATACTGCAGCCGCGAGCAGCAGGAGACCGAAAATATCCAGCTCATACCACAGCGATTTCAGCACGAAGACGACTCCCTTGTCCTTAAACGGAGAAGGCGGCAGGATATCCATTTTGCTCGCCTTCCGCTGATTCAGAAACAAAGAAAGAGCAAGGGGCAGGAAGCAGACGGGTAGAATAATGGCCCACATGCCGTAACCCCAGCGCCAGTTGGGCAGGATGGCTCCGGCAACCTCTGGTCCGATCCAGACAGTTGCCAAGAACGGCAGGTCTGGTATGGTGGAGAAGAGGGCACGGTTCAGCAGGTCTGTCGTATCGGCGATGAAGATCTGTTGCAGAACCTGCAGGCCCTGAGAACCGGCAGCGTAGAAGATCTGAGCCGATGCATAGGTGTTGATGTTGTTGGACGCAGCCTGCTGGATGTAACCAACAGTGTAGACGACCACGGCGAAAGTGAAGGACTCAAATCGGCCGAAGACGTCCGCAATTTTCCCCATTGGTGGCTTGATGACGGAATTCACGATGCCCTGCACCACTGAAACAGTCGCCAGCAGCGAGTGTACTCCATATGACGAAGTAGCAAAAGGCAGCAGGAGGTTGACCGTCTGCTGCTCCAAAGACGTTGCGCAAGCCATGAGGTAGAGACTGCGAGTCAGGAATCATGATCAGCGGTATACCCACAGAGGTGGTTGACAGACGGATTGCTCGGAGCAGGCTGTGGGGCGTACTCGATGCAAATCGAAAAATGTCCGGTACTTACCCCGCGTAGGCCCATATCAGCGACCATTTCGTCCACGAAGTGCTGACGGCCTCGATCCTTTGCACACCGGCCTGCGCGCTGGATTCCGAGCTTGCGTCCGACGAACCGTGGTCGTCGGGAAAACCGTCGGCGGGGTGGGCCTTCTCTTTGTCGAGCACTTCCTGTTTCATGATGGTGGCTGTCTCAGGGTCCAGTTGCTAAGACGCGTACCAAACAACAACAGGCACTAGAATAACAGCTTCGGCGGATTTGGGAGGAGTGCGGGCGCAGGGACGCAGGGCGTGCTGAGGATTGGTAGGTTGATAAGTAGCCGTTGATCGTGACTCGCACGGCAAGGGAGGCGACCTCGTAGCGGTGGTCAACGGGAAGGCCGGCGGAAGGGAGGCTGAGGTGCTACTTGAATCCAGTGCTGAGAGCCTTGCTCCCTTGCCTCTCAGCTGTCTGATTGCCTGCGCCCCACCGCACTCTCTGGAGTTGCCGATTAGGCAAGCAGCGGCGACTGCGAGCGCTTGGCCAGCATGGTGGCTTCCCCCAGCCAACCGTGCGGAGCTCGGCCTGCGCCATGGATGAAGCGCCTTGGACAAGCCGAGTAGTGAAGTGGCCTTTAAGTTTAGCGTTGCGCCGTCCGGGAAGGAGCGTCATCGGATACGCCGTCCAGCTGACTGTTGCCAAGCAAGACGTCAGGCCTTTACGAATCGAAACGCTTTCCGCTGCGAGGCTGTGCGGCGACTCCGAAACCAGAATCCCCGTTTACCGTCGCCACCCAATTAGATTCTTTTTTTTTTTCTTTTCAAAAAGGGCCTACTGTTGGTCGGGTGCTGAACGTATCATCCGCCTGTCCTTTTGAGGTCGGTCCCCTTAGTATTGTAGCAAAGGGCAGCAAAGGGCGGGCTGTTGAACCGTCCATCCGAAAAAATAAATGCATCACATGTATGTGAACAAACAAGTCCGGACAAGAGCTTCAGCTGCCCCGAATTTTTTGTAATACTAAGTGAATCGATTCTTGTACGGTCTCGCCGGCCGTTCGGTGCGCGACAGCGTCGAAACCCCACCGGATTGACGGAAGTGATCGGCTCGAGACTGCGTCATTGCCATGCAGCGGTTCTGATGCTGAAACTGTGCCTGCATCTACTGCGTGACACGCTGCAGCTGTTTAAGCTTACAGCATTGTCCCCGTTGAAGCTGTGCACCGCCTTTCTCCTAAAGTCACACTTTTTTGTGAACGTGGATGGTACTGTGCCCTCTGCTTGCAGCAACAGCACAAATGACGGCTCTGTTCATTATCATTTCCCAGCCATTTCTTGCATCAATGCCTCTTCCACCGACGCGTGCGCATGGGAATGTGGAGATGGTTGTCAATCTATTCCCGTATTTGATTTATTCAATGACCGAGATCGGGCGGCATGGGGTGGATGTGCTCGAACAATTTAAAAAAGCCCCTCAAAGGAGTTTGAAATGAAGAATACAAGATTTATCTGTATTAACATAACTAATAGCGGATAGTAACTAAGCTCGATCACCTCCAAGGGCTTGATATACTCGCCGTAAATTGCTCACTTCGTGTTCCGGCTGCACTGCAACAGACTCTTGCCCCCGTATTACCCGACAGCATATTTGGTTAATAGGAATACCGGCACTCTTCTGAGACAATGGATATGACAATGAAGACTTCGTTACACCGATCTGATGATTCTTTACAGTTGTCTTCTCAATACAATCTCAGCTCCTGACGTGCTCCAGATCTGGTTCGCAATGGAATGCAACATCACGCTATTTCATATTCGACGGTCCTCCGCGTATTGGAGACATATTATAAGAGTTATCGAGGCTTTATTCAAAAGCGGCTCTGTTAGGGTGTTCGGGCTCTTCTGACGTCCCCCGAGTTCGATATGTCCTTAATGGTGAAATGGCGCAATAGCCGTTGTAGGTGGATCGTGACTCGGGAGAAAATACGTTCCTGCCTTCCGATTTTCCGCCTGTCCTATGGTAACATCCGCGGCTTTAGATGTAAAGCTGGTAATCCCAGAGGCGGATGTTTCGAAATTTCTTGAGGACGAACTAATTCGAAAGAAAACCACCAATACTCCAATGGTTTCCTTTATAACCCCCACCTTCCAGGCTCATAGAGGCGCGTATTCGAGAATGAAACCAGGACAACCATGACGGTAGACTAGCGGGAAATTGAGCACCATCTATTAGGGTAGGCCTGCTCGTCTGACAGATGGAGTTGAGATGAGAAGAAAGATGAGATAGAAGAGTTACTCGTGCTGACCCCGACAGTGCTGGATGGCCGTTGCATATCCTGGTGGGAAAGGGCAACGCTTGAAAATTATCAGAGTGAATATCTTGGCCTTATAATCGTGGAAGAGCAGTGTTGCTTAACTCCCTGAAGTAAACTTGGCGGAAACAGTCTTGGCCACACAATAAATTTTCACATTGAATCGGATGCGTTCGTGTATGGTATGCACTGTTTGAATTCGCCTGCGGATTGTATCAGACATCTGTACAGACTATTGTGCAGTGATTAGCTTTCTATCCCACATGGGCGGATGTCAACCAAGGGGTCTTGAAGAGCTCATACATAAGGGTCAATGATATCAAGGGCCAAACATTCATCCACAGGAGGGCGATTCAGAGTCACTAATCCACAGTATAATACATTATATCTACAATGATCCTCAAGGCGGATCACAGAGCTCGTATGCGCCTTGATTCAGCCTTCCTCCGTTCTTTTTCGGCCTTTCTGGCCTGGTTCATACTCGGTTCCTGGCGGTCTCTTGACGCACGATGCTCATTCAGTGCTTCTGGAGTGATGGCATCCAGCATGAAGTGCCCAAGGTGGCCGTTACGCCACCTCTGAATCACCCACAGGGCAGCGGCCTCTGTGTCTGGTACGCCACCTGGCGCAAGCCGCCCAGTTTTCTTAGCCACAGCTTCGAGCAGAGGAACAACGTCGTTGGTTGGCTCGTGGTATTCGGCGTAAAGCCCTGGGTCGACGAGGTTGATGTGATACAGCAAATAATCGGCCAGGGTAACGGGGGAGATAATGGTATCTTTCACACTCCCGCAAAGGGCAAGTTTGAGCATGGCGTCGGCATCGGGAACATAGGGCACGAATACACCTGGAGTGTCAAGCAAGTATACACCTTCGGTGCTTTCCTCACCTTGAAAGATCTTGACGCCCGATCCAATCTTTCGCGTTATGCCTGGCTGCGCGCCAGTGCTCGCGGCCTTGCCCTTGCCCATTCCCGCCAGACGCAGCGCGTTGAGCAGCGAAGACTTGCCCACGTTTGGCATACCTACACACATCATGGTGAAGCCGATCAACGACACGCTGCGGGAGGCGTAGTCTTTGGCAAACTTGAGTATGCGGCGGACGTCGCTCTTGTCGCGGTGGTCGGAGAAGTAGACTGGAGAAGGGGCGTGCCATTGGCGAATGATCTGTTCTCGCTGCAGCGCAATACGCGTTAGGACTTGCGGTGTATGTAGGGAGCGTGCGCGACGAACCTGCTGGTCCTGCTCGGTGCCACAGCGGCCCAAATCTTTCTTGGTGTAGACAATGAGTCGCTCCCGGCCGGCCAGACTCTCCTCGAACAGCGGGTTGGTGGAGGTGAGGGGCACACGATAGTCACGGCACTCGATGATCAGGTCGATGCGCGAGAGCATGGACTTCATCTTCGTCAGGCCGGCGCGATGATGGCCGAGGAAATAGGAGCGCGGCAGCGAGTCGAGGGGCGGGAAGGTGCCCCGCGGGACGAAGCGTGAGACCATGGCCGAGAGATGTTGTCGCGCCGGGCGCTGGGCGGCATGGTAGCTTGTGGACGGACGCGGTGATGCCAAGCGGAGGCGGAGCACATGTGGAGGGAGAAAATGCGTCGCGGCGCCGGAGCGGTCGACGAATCGTTGGGCGCGTCGCGAGTGCGTGGCCGGCCCATGGCCGCGGCGGGCTTAGCGAGGCAAGAACGTCACCGTCGCCCGTTTTTGTCTTTAAGACGTCCTGGTTTCCGGATTCCCAGAGCCGCATCCTTCGACCGGCCCTCTGGCGGCCAATCTGCAACGCCCACCGCACCATGGCCCGAGGAAAAGGCAGCGTTTTCGCCAAAGACGGTGTTCTGAGGCCCTTTCGCCTCTTGCGCCAGGACTGGGGCAACCTAAGCGTTCGCTATGTCTCTGATTGGACCGTCTTCAACCAGCTGATCTTTGCGAGCGCCGTCTATGTCTTCTTCACTAATCTGCTCCCGGGAATCACTTTTGCCAGCGATTTGTACGAGCTCACCGGCGAGAACTGGGGCACTATTGAAGTCGTGTTCAGCACCGGTCTTTGCGGCATTATCTTCTCACTGTATGCATGCAAACCATGGGACTGCGGATCTGCGCTGATACCAAACCAACAGATTCTCCATCCAGCCTCTCACAATATTGGGTGTCACGGGTCCGTTTTCCATCCTAGCCGAGAACATCTACTCGCTATGCACCTCCTCGTTTCATGTGAGTGCCCTTGCCTTGCTTCGGATGCATGCCCCTGACCATCTAGATACCCTTTTTGCCTTTTATGGCCTGGTCGCTCATCCATGCCTGCTGGATGCACTGGCTACTGGCCATCTTCAATGCTCACGACTACACTATGCGATACGTTACCACGTTCTCGACCGAAATTTTCTCCCTGTTGAATAGCATCATCTATTTTCACAAGGCCATCCAGGAGCTCGAGCGTGCCCATTCACGTTTGTCGTTTGCCGCGTTCCTCTATGCCATTATCGGATGCATTGGAACATGCCTGTTGGCTATTTTCCTCGCTTCTGCGGAGAAGTGGAAGCCGCTTTTTCACCGCTATATTCGCATGGGCCTTGCCGAGTATGCCGCAGCCATCAGCATCATCATTTTCATTGGCATTCCTTACGCAGGAGAGCTTGCAAATCTGGACAAGGACACGTTGCACGTAAGCACGTCCTTTCGTCCGAGTAGCCCTGAGCGGTCGGTGTTCTTCGTCAAGTTCTGGGAACTCCCCGTGGCTTGGATTTTCGCGGCTCTGATACCAGGCGCAATAATTACTGCCCTGTTCTTCTTCGACCACGAAGTGAGCAGTATCATCTGCACCATCAACCGCTACGGCACTCGTAAACCAGGGGGGTTCGCCTGGGATATCGTCTTGCTCGGCACTACCACCGCTGTCTGCGGCATCCTCGGCATCCCGCCCGCAAACGGATTGTTGCCGCAAGCCCCACTCCATTCGGAGAGCCTCATGCATGATGATCGCGAAACCATTCAGAGAGCAAGCTCCTCTGGCACGGATACCAGTGAGACTAGAGTATCTCGCCGTGTATACGAACAAAGATGGAGCCATTTCCTTCATGCTGCTGGAATCATGGCATTTGTCAGCCCTCCTCTTATGCATGTTCTGGGCCTGACGCCGACCAGTGTACTTGCAGGTCTTTTTCTGTTTATGGGAGAACAGAGCCTTTCTGTGAAGTGAGTTATTCCATATTCTGGAATACCGAATCAATCTGGCTGACATCGTCTAGTCCCATCCTCTGGCGCACCTTTCATCTACTCACACCGCCCTCAGAGCTACCACAACTCCCTCAAACGATTCGCAACTATGCACCCATCCATCTGTATACCCTAACGCAGATCATCGTTACTGTGATTATATTCATCGTGACGTTGACAAAGGCTGGGCCGGCCTTTCCCATAATCATCATTCTTCTCGTGCCGATCCGGCTGAATTTCATGAATCGGATCTGGAACCGCGAAACACTAAGATACGTCGACGCATGGGCATGCCGAGACGGTACACCAGAGGATGACGAGGATCGGAGAGAAGATGCGCGGAAAGGCCCCACGGATCAGTCTAGAGGGATTTCCACGGACGTAGAAACCGGAGAAGACGAAGAAAATGGCAATGGGTCGATTATGCTCCGGAGACTCGGCTCGGCAGACCGCAAAGAATGACGATACTTGTACAGACTTTAAGACGATAGAAACTTGTTGCCAGACTTTTGGGGATGCTCATCATCACCCTTCTCTCAGTCCCACAAAATAAACGGGAAGCCTCCATAAGCGTCTTATGTATATTTTCTTCACATGGCACACTAGTATCATAGAGGATGAACAAAACAAAATAGATGAATAACTCGTATGACTATCAAGAGCCCAACTTTTCAGTGAATGCCTTGGCCAATCCATCACTAACAAAGCAACAGGTGGGATTCAGAGCATGCACCCGCAAACGCACCCTGGAAAAACATTTTGCCGGCTGTACCGGCCGTCACGACAGCTTGCCCCTCCACAAAGGTGCCAAGCTCAAACAGCATTCGGCGGTGATCGCCCGATTTTCTAAAGCAACCATTCTCAGCCAACCATGATGTTATCGCCGGCAAGATGAGCGATATCGTTCAATCGATAGAAGGGACGGGCGGTGACGCCGCCGCCGCCACTACCAAGAACAGCAACAATGCCCCGGGATGGCAGCGCGGCCCCAAGCCTAAAATGGCGTATCAGTGCGGCAACCTCGACGATGTGCTGTCTGCCATACAGTACGAGATTCAGACGCATTCTCAGAGTCTCATTCCCGAGGAGGCATCTTGTCGGATGCAGCTTATGCTGAGTGCTGCGCTTGAATTTCCAAAGGCGCGGAGCGCGTCCACCCCCAGCGGCGGCAACGACATTTTCGTCGTTGAACAAAGCCACCAATGCCTCAATTGATCCGGACCCATGTCCAGGCTACAGCATCGCGGCTTCATTGTCGAATTTCTGTGATTCGAAAGAGAAGCTGAAGTATCAGCGTGTCGTCGCCAGGGCCATCATCGGGGCGGTTGCCGCAGCGGACGGCTTCAAGTATACCGAGAGGCGCGCAGTGGACACGGCAACGTCAGACGGGTACAGATTTTGGTACGTGTGCCGAGACTCATTGCAGAACAAAGACAGAGTGGCGAACAAACGCCGCGCAGAGGTGCATGAGTATGGTCCAGGTATGGGGCCCCTTCCGCGCTACTTTCTTTAATCTTTTTGTCTCGTGAAAATATCGCATGTGAACGATGTTAAGTTGAACATAGAAGCAAAAGAAACCTTCGATTGTAAGGGCGGGGCCCGAATCACCTTCTCGATATCCAATCTCTGGGTGGATGTGTGGTATCATCATTTGCCCATTCATGACTCGTCTTTTGAACTCGATAGAGTGAAGAGCATCCAGGGAAAGGAAGAACAGCAAGACATGGCAAGGTAAGCCATGGTCCTAGATCTGCCCTTGTACTGACTTCTGATTTCCTCCTTTTTGCCTAACTTCCAATACTGCTTTGCCTGAATCCCATTCCTTTCTATACAGCGAGCGTGACCGCAAGAGCTGGAGTAACTGGCTGATGCTTGAGGATAGTGCTTCGCAGCCACCAATGCAGAATCAGCCAATGTTGCCAGGATATGCCTTTTGGGAAACCCCATCTGGTTCCATCCAAACCACACCGTCTCAGACCAATGCAACCAATGGCAGCTCGTCTAGGAAACGAGGACGCCCAAAGAAGTCTTCGGAAGACGCTAACCCAACATCCCACGGTCCATCCTCCTCCCAAGATACACGCGGTCTTGACACGTTGGTTAACGCCATCACTGTAGATTTGAATGGGGGTGTCAGTGGCACCGACCCAAACCCCACGGCACCAAAAGCAAAACCGAGGAAGAAGGCCAAAACGCAAGCCGCAGAGCAACCACCATCATCGTCGACAGGAGTTCCAACGTTTAACTCCCACACCGCTCCTTCATCGCCGCCGGTGCCTCCTCCAGCTACAAGTTCATCAACGACCTCGGCTTCGGCCTCGGCCTCGGCCACTGAGAAAAAGAGGCGTGATCGGGATGGGAAGAACCGCTGCCTCACCTGCTATTCCCGAAGAATCAAATGCGATGGGCGGCGCCCAACCTGCTCCGGCTGCGAGAAGGGCAAAAGAGAATGCAGCTGGCCAGAGGTCCAGCATTTGCAGACGAACGACAAGTCGGGAATCAGGGAGAAGGTTGTGAAGAAGATCCAGTCTGCGCCATGGCAGAAAAATAACCAGGCTAACAGGAAGAAAACATGAAAAGGATGAAAAATGACCTCAATGTCAGAGCTAGAACTCCCTGAGAATATTCTAGAGGGTCTGGATTTCCGTCGGAGAGCAATATCGGATGTTTCTCGGAGGATGAGGCATAGGGGTGACTGCCAGAGAAGGGGGCCGAAGGGCCGAAACCGCACCAGTAAGTTGCGCATTTCGTCGCTAGATCGATGTCTATTCTGTTCATCCTGAGCTGATTGTCTGGAGAGGTAAGCCACTGTACCATGGCTGCAGTGAGCGGTCGAAGCTGTCCTTGCCATGATCATTGCTCCGGACCGTTCGCCGAAGATGAACATCAATATACCGCGCATACTACTATCCAACGCGTACTCGGTGGTTCGGACTTGCTGCATTGCTTGCTAAAATATCGCTCTTTATGGGTGGTATCGTTTGTTTATGCAATGTCATGTTTTGCTTCTGCGAGGAGGGTTACAGCTCAATGCACTTCCTTGCTTGGAGAGTCGCAGCCAATGACGCTTTATATGGGTTAGCCCAGGAACATAGAATAGCCTGTCAGTAGCAGGTCATCTGGATGGAATTATATGAAGATGCACCCTATTCATGCATCCTGCAGGAAGCGGGACGGCTTAATGTTTATTTTAACGCAGATGATCGACCTGTATGCGGAGATGCGTATGTGGGATACGAGGGAGGAACGTCATGGACGTGGCTGTCGCGCATGCGGAACCCACAATAGACTCTGGACCCTGAAGCTAATGGCAGACGCGTGGAATGAGTCTTATGATCGAGCCTTGGTCTGCCTGTTGCATGGATGAAGCCGGTTGAAGGTTGCATTGGCGGCCTTACTTTACGAGAGCTGAGGCCTAAAAAGCAAAAATCTTGGTTTCGTTTTTCCCTTTCTCCAGGCCCATGGATGCTTGCGTGCTTTTGGGCATCCTTCAGCCGCAGAGCCTCTCAACAGCCACCCGCTCTGCTGTTCCCCTGCACCCGGCGAACGGTGCAAGGTGTATGTACGCACGCCTCACATGCGTTGGGAGGGATTGCCTTCTCCACCTCGGAGCGTCGATGTGCAGCAAGAGTTCTAGACCACGGGACGAAAGGCGGGTCTGCGATCGGCCCTACGATATCAACTCTGCATCAAGTTTTCCTCAACGCGCCGTCTGTATTTCGGCCGTCCTTTTCCCCACCTACAGTAGTGAGGAACGCCAACTCATACACCGCGACCGAGGGTATTTGTGCGCTTCCCCACCACTGACCATGGCAATGCCAAAGCGTTGTGGCACTGAAACCGGACATGGAGATAAGGGGTGACTGTAATGATTGGGGGAACGAAGAACCGGTCAACTGCTGCGTAGTTTTTTTACTTTTCAGGAAGGTGGGCCCCCAGCCCAGGCCCTCTTTTCGCTGCTGGCAAGATTAGGATCCGGGTGGAAATGCAACGGCATGAACCCTCAGTCGCGTGCGTCGCTGACGATTACTGAGACATGCATGAGCAGCTACCCGCTCCAGGCAGCGAACGAGGCGGTATTTCGACGAAAGAGTGTCAAGCCTTCACCCAGCTGGGTAGGAGCACGGCCGGCCGCTAGCCGGCTTGGCATCAAATGGGTGACCGGGGTTTTAGACGGGCGTCACCGCAAATCGCGTGGTTTCGCGTCGATCAAAAGATGGAGCCCACGGCGGCCCCTCCCCTCCCTCAATCACGGGGGCCGGAAAGCGCAGGGATGCGGCGGAAGGCGCGCACGACACGCGCCCGGCGATGGCAGCGCCCGAGATCCGAGCGGGAGCGAACGGGGAAAAGCGAGAAAATCGTGTTGGGTAAGCAGTGGCAGGGGGCTTGGTAAGGGTCTCTGCGGTGTACTCTTCCGGAGTTAAGGGGAGTTAGCTTACTGCTGTTGCGAGGCGGGCTGGCTGACCAAGGCGACGGTGGTGCGTTATACAAGCGACTGCGGGATGATTAGCGGGACTAGAATGAGGGGAAATGGAAACGGGCGCGCCAGCAAACACGCCACGAAGCCGGGGATCACGATCGCAGACGCGTGAGGGATCAGTCGGTGAAAACGGAAGGGTGGTGGAAGTTGGAAGATCCGAGCCGCCGCGAGCATCTCGACCAGCAACATGTGGATGCAGTGAGGTCTGGGAAAATCGAGCGGACGCGCTCGGCTCGCCGGGAGGAGGACGTGCGCTGACGCGACCGCGCACGGTAGCCCATCTGGCGCTGGCCGCCGGACTGCACACTACGAGCTGGCCGGTCACCAGAATGAGGTCATGGCCGGCGACTTGTTGGTGGCTGGCCTGGCATCTTGCACATGCCGGGGCGCGCTAGCTCAACGTCGTCGTTGCGCTGGTTCTGCTGAACCAGCGGGAAGGCGCCGCCGCCCGCTGGGACTCTTGAAGAATCGTCGAAACAGGCGGCCGGCTTCGGGCGGGACTGCAGGCATAGCTGCGGGGGTTGAGCATTGTTGCTCCCGATGCGGTCTCAGGCGCTGCTCTCCGACCCGGACCCGAGGGACGGGGCCCGTGTGCGTGCGTCGGGGCTGCTGGCAGCTGACGGGAAGCAAGGCGGAGATCTGTCGCGGATAGAGGCAGCGAGGGACCGCGTGCGACTCTTTCTTCGTGTTCTTTTCTCTCGCCGCGGGCTCCGCTTCGGGCGCCGGCCGGCGGGGCGGACTCGCAGGGCGGCGACGCTGCGGGAGCGCCGGGTCTGTGCGAGCGAGCCTGGGTGCATTAGGAATGAGTGATGGATCACGATGAGCTCACACCAGGCACCTCCGCCCTTCTTCCGCACTACTTCTACTAATCGCTCCCCTCTCCCCTCCTCCAGCATCTTATCCCAAAAGCTTGCAACCTCCTCCCCCTCCCTGCCCGCGCCAGGAGGAAGCCGCCGCACCACCTCAATTCCGCATCCAGCAGCTCCGGACCAGCCCTGCGGCTGACGCTCCAATCCCACCACCCACCATGGCTCACGGCGACTTCGGAAGACGGTACGTAGCACCAGCAGCTTGCTCCATGCTCGCCTGGAGTCGCGGCCCGCTTGCAAACAATTGTTTCGACTGTGCTAATTCGCTCGCTGCCTGAAACAGTCAAATCACTCTGGCCTTTAGCGCCTTTATGCTCGTCTACAATGCCGCCTTCCTCCTATGCATAGCCTACCTCTACGACGAGCTGCCCTCGGGCATCGGAGAGAGCCTGGTCCTCTACTTTTGCGTCGCTGCCGTCCTTTGCTTGCTAGGCCTGCTAGGCACTCTCAAGGTACATACATACGTCACCACCAGGAGGCCCTTGCTTCGGCCGAGTGAACGGAACCTCCAATACCCAAACTCCACCACGGACGAAAAATGGAAAAAAGAAAAATGCCGCTAACAAACGCGTCCCCGCAGCAATCCCAAACACTTGTGGACATTTTCGCCAACCACGTGCTCCTCGACGCTATCCTCATGACCGTCCCGCGTGTCATCTTCTGTGCCTTCCTGACTAGCCTGCCGGGCACCCTGTGCGAGCCGTCCGACTTTCCCAACCCCTTCCGCCCTCCGACGAGTCCCAGCCTGCCGTCAGCCAGCCACAACGCCAAGCGTGCTACCAGCCCGGATCGCTGCTTCGTCGTTATGAACACAGTGATGGGTGCCGCTGCTTTCCTGGCCGTCGCCAGCGGAGTCGCCCAGTGGAGTGTCGCCTTGAGGGTGCGCGAGTATGCCAAGTCGCTGAGTGCAAGTGGTCAGAACGGTCGCGATGTGGAGAAGTCTGGCGCAGCTGTTAAGGATGAGTCCGTTCCCTTGGCGTGGGGCTACTTGGACGAGAAGAAGACCCCTGTTGTGCTGGCATAAAGGGCTGCTGGAATGCATGCATGCTGGTGCCTGAATCGGAAAGAGTGTTAGGTGCTCGGACGGTGATGACTATACCCCTAGGTTTTTCTTTTTTTTTTCTTTGCATTATGATTAGATGAGCGACGATAGGCTCCTTTGCTTCCGAAATGAAAAAAATTGGTTAAAGCTGACGTTGGCCCCCTTTTTTTTCTATGTCTAAAATTACTCAAAAATGACAGGCACGTCTATCGAAGTGGTCGAGCGGCTGCCATCTGTGATTGGTTAGTCAGTTTGTTGTCCTCATACAAACATTTGAAGAAATAGAGAGAAATTGTGGGGGTAGGTATTATACCATCCAGACCACCACCCGCCACTGTCTCCCTCACCCATAATGTACCCTGGTCGTCCCGCCAGAACACAAACCCTGCACAGCTCCAACCCGGCTCCTCGTACCGGGTGTATGTCCTAGCAGCCCTCAGTCCGCAGCCCTGGCATCGGCATCGGCACGGTCTCCACGCCTGAATCGCCCCACAGTGGGTGCACATCTGCTCCACGCGGCTGACCCACGCCCGCAAAGGCGGCGACTTGGTTGATCCACCGGACACCGCACAACGCGACTGGCTCATGGCTCTGCGACTGCTACTGTTCGCGTCCTTTTCTGTACCGTTGTCATTTGCCACGTCCTTCATCTCTGCATCCTGCTGCTTGGCGACCTTCACCACCCTCGTCAGCCGCCCCACGTGCCAGCAGCACACCCGCTGAGGTAGCTCGATCACGTCCCAGCCCGGCTCGCCTCGTCTCTTTCCGGCAAGAATGTCTTTGCTGTTGGTGGTTTCCCTCGCTGTTCGATCTGGCCTTTCACATGCGCCTGCCTTCGTTTCCATTGCTTCTTTCTCATCTTCTGCTCTTCCCATGAATGCTTGACTCAGGCTGAGTGCCGGGAAATGGTAACGATGCTGGTGGAGAGGGCCGTCGATGGTGTGGACAGGGCTGAGATCCTGCGACGAGCATGCTGGGCTTGCGGCGCTTTTGAAGAGGTGGACCGGGTAGGCATTACCACAGAGGGCGCAGCGCTGTTGTTGCTGCGAAGTTTGATGCTTCAGTGGAGCTAACGTGCCGGTGCCGGCGGTTGAGGAATCGGGGTTGATTGTAGAGTTCCCAGTAGTGGAAGCAGGCGAGAGGTATGGCGCGAGGTAGGTACGGACGGCGACGCGGGCACACTGGTCAAGCTCTCTCACGGACGGCGGCTGAGTGGGTGCAACCAAGGCGTGGTAAAGATAAGGGTGCGTGAGCCGGAGGGAAAGATAGGCTGGAAAAGGAAGGTGAGTGCCGATGAGGAGGTGAAGCTCGAGCGGGAGGGTGAGGAGGGTTGGCGTGTGGGTTGTTGTGGCGGTGGAACTGGCGGCTCCGGAAGGGGTGACACTGGGGACGAATGGACTTGAGGAAGTCATCGCGGTGGTCGAATGACTGGGTGAGCGCTGTTGTCGTTGAAAGTAGGATCGTGTTGAGTGCTGATTTTGACGGTAATAGACGACGTTGGAAGTCGAAAATAGATAGTCGAAAATCACGTCGATCGGGACGTTAAGATTTGATCTACACGAGCGACTAGGACCTAATAGCTGTTAAGGGTCACAGATTCGAATCGAGGCTGATCCTTAATTTTGCTCAAAAGAGCGGCGCACAGTAACAGGCGTTTCGACGGCCCCTGCTCCAATATATTGTGTGTCAGCTGTAGTCAATAGATTACCAGAGCAGGATCCCGAGAGACGTGGCTGGGAAACAAGTAGATCTTTCAAGCGCCTTGTCCAAGTGACTTTCGGTGTGAGGCCGACGATCACATGTAACATGGACGTTTGCTCAAACGAGTACCTTTTTTTGGGCTGTTGTCGCACAGAAACGGGAGTCCAGGGGGGAAAGACTGTGAAGACCGGACAGTGATCTAGTAAAATAAAGAAAGCTCTTGGATCTGAGACCTTCAAGACCACGGCGCTATCAGTAAGCTTAAATCATGCTGCGTGGGAGAGTCACTCCGACATAGCCCTGGTTACGCCGCACGCGCCGCCTCCATGTGTGTACCAGCAAGCGCTCGGTGGGCTTCCATGTTAGAAGGCGAGCGGTTAGATTTCTGGCAATGCAAGGGCCGTCTCAGATCGAGATTCCTACTTCCAAGATTGGGTTGCTTCCTGACAGGACCAACGGACGAGGATGACGTTTGTCGGTGTTGGCGGCACGGCGCACAAACCGGACTTCTTTTCAATCTCTGTCTCCCAGGAATGCGGCACGTGAGTAAACGGCGGCTTGGAAGGTATTGAGTGATGCAATCCGCCAAGCTGGAGAAAGAGGTGCGTCTCCTGACGGAAAAGCAAGACACGTGCTTTTGAGGGCGTGAGACACAAATGACGAACGGCGCAGACGGGCCGTTGCAGCGTATGACACAGGAACCAGGGCATAAACGAGTTCCTGGGTGCAGTTGGAAAGAAGAATGGGGGTTGCACGCGAGAAGGCGGCAGTGCAAGGTTTTTAGCCTGAAAATAGCAGGATGAGAGGAGAAGGAGAAGGAGTAGAAGAGAGAGGCGCATGTGCTTGAGACATGCGGCGCGGATAAGAATGCGGAAAGCGCCATCTACGAAGCCATATCGTCGACACGGCTCTCGCTGGTCTGAAACTGAGGGTCGGATCGGCAACTGAGTCGTCCCTATATTATGAGACGCAGGGTCTGTCTTCGATGGGGGCAGCAGTCGGCTTGTGAAGGGCTAGTCGGGACGGCAGCCACGAGGATGCCGAACACTCTCTGGGCTCGGCAGCTAGATGGTTTGGTGCTAGAGCATGCACGGCGTTCCGTTAATGGGTAGATCCGGGCAGGGTTCGGCCAAGCTCATGATCGAGCGCTCCTGCGCGATCTTCTTGGAGCGCGAGAATTTGGAGGTCATGCACCGAGCGAGGCGCAAGGAATGCAGGTGTTGCTCCCTGCCCAATGCCGTCACATTTGGGCAGCGTGACAGGCGGGGCAGGCGCGCTTTTGTGATGGCTGCGATCGATGCTGTCAGTGTCAAGCCACCGTGACTCCACCGGCTACGAGACGGCGCGTGTGACGGGGCTGCAGTTCAGCGCAGGCGAGCAGCGCTGACGGCAAAAAAGGCCGCGGCAGCAGCTTGGACGCGGGCCGGGCGCGGGGATCGCGCTCGTGCGGGCTGGAGGCTCGAAGATGCGCAGCGGGGAAGTGGTTGGCAGTTCTGGTCCTGCAGCAAGTGGTGCAGCGCGGGAGTCGGTGCTCGTCGGTGCTCGCAGGAGGAAAAGCCTCGGGGTGCCCCCGCGGCGGCGCAAGTGCAGTCGCTCGCTTGCCGCGCCGTTGGCCCACGGCAGCGACCAGCCGCGCCCGGGGAGACGTCATGCATGGGCAGAGTTTTTGCGCGCATCGCAGCGCGACTCGGCCTAGCAAGGCGAGCCAGCCGCCGCTCTGCGCCGCAGCGGGCAGCGTGTAGAAAAGACGCGGCATCGCCCTCTGCTGTTAGGCCTGCGCTCAGGGCTGTCGGAAATGAGCAGCGTCGCCTAGCGCGGACCCATCACGGGCATTAATTAGTACTCTCCTGAGTATTCCTGCGTTGCAGCACTCAACACCCGCTGTGAACAGCGTCTACCATCCTCTCATCCGACCACGCTCCCTCCCCGGACGGTGCGCAGAGCAGAACCGTCACTCCTTTAGTCTCCGCCGCTGCGAGCGCATCCCCGAGCACAGGTGCGTGTGTGCGTGTCTGTGTGCCAGAGCGTGTGCCACGCCTCGGACGCCGCGCGCCCAAAATCTTTTTGCCTTGAGCACCCACTTTCCCCCGTGCGCCCTCCCCCAACACCACGCCTGTACATAGCGCCCGAGGCACACCACCGCCCTCCCAGTGCTCAGCTAATCCCTCCAGTCTGCCATCAGCATTCTGCTTACCCGGCCTCCCTCGCCCAAAATAATCCTCGCTGCCTGCCGAGCCCTTCCAAAGAGCCTGCGCGCCATTCTTCCCTCGAGCCCAAGCTCCGCGCCCCTAACACGCCACCACCATGTCCGCATACTACGGCAATGAACAGGCCTGGCCCGCTGGCCGCCAGCCTTCCTGGGAGGGCCCCGCCCCGCCCTCGCGCTCCGGTAGGCCGCGACCACTGCTGCCGCATCAAGAAGACACATGCTAACTGAAAGCACAGGCACCAGCTCTACCGTCCAGCGCGATGAGCCCGCCGCCTTTGCCTCGCAAATAGAAGGTACGTCGCCGCGCTGCCGCCGCCTGCCCTACCGCTCGACCGATGCGGCTGGATCGTCGCCGTCGCCGCAGTGATGACGATGACGCCGATGCCATCGCGCCGCGGGCCCCATTTTCCATTGAATCGCTGACTGACGGATGGCGTGCAGAGGTCGAGCGTGCCATTGACAATCTGTACAAGAGCGGCAAGATGCCCATGTTCGGCGTGCCCGGCATGCCGCCCGTGCCTGGCGTGCCGCGCCGTGACTCGATGCCACCGATGGGCGGTCGCCCGTACGGCGGTGGTGAGTTCGGTAAGAGTGCGCTGCCCCCGGCTGCTGCTGCTGCGCGCAGGCGGAACTGACTGCTTGCTCCAGACCCGCGCATGGCCGGCGGCCAGCGTCACCACTCGGTAAGCGACTACGATGGCATTCGCTCCAACTCGACCTCGCAGAACCTCCAGGGGTACTACGCCAACCAGCGCTTTGCGCCGCGTCCCAACGAGACCGACCAAATGATGCAGGCGAAGCGGCGCATGGCTGCTCAGCGGGAACGGGATCTACGCAACTATCACCAAGAGCAGCAATACAACCGGAGTAAGGAGATTGAGAATGGACAATAGAATAGGAGAAAGTAGTTAACCCATCAGGTGTTCTTTCAGATATCTCGGGAGCCAAGTCCGACCGTTCAATGTCTCCAAACGCCATGAGTGAGGACGAGCGCCGTGAGCTCATCGCGCGCCAGCACCGTGCCCTGTACGGCGAAAACTCCAACCTTTACGCCGACGGGACCGCCCGCCAGTCGAGCCAGGACGCCCGGGTCGCAACGAGCCTCGCTGGCCGGGGGCCCTCGCCGCTCGCCTTCGACCCCTTCGGCATGCAGAGCAGCGGCGGCGATCCCGCGGTGCAGATGCCGGTCCGTGATGGCAAGGATGCGAACGCCGGGGCCCAGCGCTCTCGCGCCAACAGCACTTCCTCGCCTTCGTCGAACCCGAATGCGTCCTTCAGCCTGTTCGACAATGCTCAGCAGTCGAGCAGGACCTCGACCTCGTCGCCCACGGGCGGCTCTCCTCCTCGCGGCGGCTTGAAGTCGGGAGGATCTACGGGTGTCGCGCCGATCGGTACTCGTCCGACGCAGGCCGCAGGCCAGGCTGCGAACCCGGCGCTCAACAAGCGCTCGACTACGCCGCTGCCGTCGCCGTTGAGCTTCGGCTTCACGGCGAGTGACCAGAACGGCAACGAGCGCTCGGCGTCGACGTCGTCCAACCCCTCCTCGAGCGTCACCGACAAGGGTGGTGTCGCCGGCCTCGGCTGGGGCAGCAACAGCGGCGTGTGGGGCTCCTCCAAGAGCTCCCTCGGCGTCCAGGCCTCGGTCTGGGGCTAAATCATCATGTCAAACCAAGTATCGTATTTGGTTTGGCATTCTTTCTGCTTTCAACAAAAAAGATGCGAAACCTTTATGCATGCGTGGGCGGAGCTTCGGAATTACTGGGTGGCCGGCAGGAACAGGATTTCGGAGTTCAAATCTTTCTTGACGACAAGAGTACTTGCTTTATTCCCTGGGACGGAGTTTTTGCATTTCAGGGTGTTCCTGGGGGGCATAAACTTTGCGCTCTATCCACACACTCTACGTACACGAATTTTTGGTTGATAAAACGGGCAGGGGAGGTGTTTCAGTTGCGTCGGTCGTCCTTCTACTCGCGCTCTCTGGGTCCTTGGTCTGCTTCTTCACATCTTCACCAGAGTCTTCCAGCGCACGAAACGAAACCGGGGAGTGTGGGTGTTTAGCTGGCGGCCACGATTGCTCATGAGGGATGGCATGGATACCTTTTAAGAAAGACGGGTCGGACGGATATGGTTGTTCATCGTTTTTGTCTTGTTTCACGGGCTGGTGGGTCAATGGCGCAATCCTTTTTTCAAACACACATCACACATCACACATCACAAAAAATGTTCTGGCTTCTGCTTTCTCTTGCGCTCTAGGATCCCCCTTCGTTGTCCAGTTGCTCCTTTTAACTTATACCCCTACCTTATACCTCGCAACAGTATCTCCATTACTTTTGCTTTGGAAACTAAATGGGAAGGAGAAGGAGTTCAAATCACTTCATGCTTGGCGGGGTTCCGGATCATTGGAGTGGGGCACGGCGCTGAAAAAGAGTCCGGATGCAGGGAGGATTTCTGGTTTCTTCTCCCTTCTTTCTTAAAAAGCACGGGTTCGGAGCAACAATCATCTGTCGTTTTCTTCTCGCACCTGGGGGAGCCTCCTGCACAAGTTCCGGTGGCTCTTCCCATCTGGTTGGTTTTAGGGCTTTGGGTTCTCTGCTTTTTCTGTATGAGAGGTGCTTTGGCGGTGTACGTCTGTTTTGGCTGTGGACGAGGAGCTGGCTATGCCTCTTTTAGTTGGCTTGCACTGTCATTTTCGGATTGTCTTTGGAAGTGGGTCTTTTGAGGTTCAGGTTGGGCTTAGTGAGGTTGCATCTGCGTGTGCTGTAATATTGTAATGACGGATCTGCTTTCGCGATCCTCAATGGGATGTATATCGGATTGGTATGGTCTGCTTTATGCATTGTGGTAGTTCCTGACTCACGAACGCTATGCTCCCCGCATGGTCCACCTATCTTTAATTGGAAATCTATCGCAAGATGAGCAGTGGGGCTAGGGTTGAAGTGACGTGGTTCAGACCACCTTGATGTCTCACGAAGATGAGGGGATTGGCCCGAAGGGACTCCGTGGCTAAAGGTAAGGACGTTTCCCAAGGGCGAGGGTGTCGGCTTATCCCGTTTACGCAATCTCAACAACACGGAGAGTCGGCAACGAAGGATCCCTTGGTAATGATGAAATCATTTGCGGGGTTAATAAAACCGTTGAGACACGTCTGTGCATTCATCCATATACCTACATTCCTATGTAGCAACTGTAGATGAAAGATTTGTCTAGCTCAACTCGATGGCCATTATTGGCTACTCGGGTTGTCATCGCCTTGTCCAATAGATCGCCCGATCTCCAACCCCATTTCAAATTATTTAGGGGGTCACTTCAACAAGAAGTATGTTGAATGTTCAAACATTCTGTTAAAAAGGAGGATTTAATGCTTGGACACAGTGTATTGGCCTACATGGCGATTTAAAAAGGGAGAGAATGGTAATGAGAGAGGAGATGCATAACATCGTTGTAAAAGATGTCAAGAACTACTAATTAGGCCAAAAGATTGAAGATCATCCAAGTCATCATTCATGAGCTCCTCTGTATGTCTCTCCGATACCACCCCCTACTACGATTCTTGTTTAGTTCCCCGACTGCTGGTCCTCCGACTCGCCCTCCCAGTACCAGTTAGCAGGATCATATGGGAACTTACGCACAACAAAACCACCCGTGTAGTCCTCAACCCCCGAGCGCGCCGCCGTGAGATTGAACATGCCCTCTGGCTCATCGTTCTTCTCATCAGCATCGTCTCCTCCCTCACCACCACCACCGAACCACGTAACGTGCGCCTCGCCACCACCATGATTGATGCGCACCTGCTGACGCGAGGCGCGCGAGGCGTCGCCGGCGGGAAGATAGTTCTGGGGCGCGATGGTCATCCCGGCCTGGGCGAGGGTGGAGACGGTGTTGGGCAGGTCCTGCGTGTCGGGTACGTGGTGCATGCCCAGGTTGAAGTACAGCACCAGGTCCTGCTGGTCCAGCGACTCGCCGTCGGCGAAGAAGCGCCCGAAGTCGACCAGCGGCGCGTACGGGTCCAGCATGTTGAGCCCCGACGCGCTGCGCGGCTCCGTGTCCTTTTGCCGCACCGCGTACAGCGGGTGCGAGGCCCAGGCGACAGAGGGCCCGAGGTTGGACGAGTTGGGGTTGGTGAGGTGGATGGAGCTGCCGGTTGCTGTTTTTGGGGGAGGAGGTGGGTAGTGCGTTAGCTATGTGTTGAAAGAAGGGGAGAGGGGGGAAAGAGGGATGGTTGAGGGGGGGGCTTACTGGGGACGACTTTCCAACCGGGGTACTCGCCATAGGCGTTTTTGGCGTCTTTGTTGACCACGGAGTAGACGGCTGCGCCGTTGGGCGACCAGTGGATCTTGGATTCTTTTTCGCTAGTGATGAAGGATTTTTCGAGTTTCATCGTGTTGCGTTTGCCGCTGGACCATGGATAACTGCTGGGGTCAGCCAGGGGTCTCAAACGCAGGGAATCGTACTGACGTTTCTGCGACAGGAACGAACTCTGTCTTCATCAAGCTATTGGCTGTACCTTTGACATCCAGATCAAGCTTGAAATTTAATACATGATCATGCATCGATCCTGAGAGAGCATCGTGGATTTTGAAGCCATAGTCGCCGTTATGAGCCCAGAAGGCGCTCTGGATGTACCCGGAGGCCCGAACCAGAACCTGGATGGAGCCATCCAAGTAAAATTCATAAGTGAACTGGTAATCGTAGTTTCCGACAGAGCATACTGTGCGAACAACGAACATGATATTTTTCGTTATGCTGACGTAATTTGCGGTCGAATGACGCTGAATCGGATAGTCGCGCTGGAACTCGAACAAGCAGATGCTGTTCGGGTGCCAATGTGTACTCTCTCGTGTGTAGAAAGAGGTATTGAGATAAGTGGAGTAAGACGGACAGTCGTATCCGTTCACCAGCTCAAATGCATACGGCCCAAAGCCGTAATAGGAGTCAAGGTATGAAGTTCCGGACTGATAAGGATCTGACGATGCGTAATGTGCGAGGGCTTCCTGCAGCCCGAGCTCGTAGATGATCCTTTCGCCCTTGAATCGGATGTCGTAAAGACTTAAACCACCATCTCGGCTGAAGGAAATGAAGAAGGAAAAGTCCACTTGGTCGTGTCAGCCTGTGATCCGTTGCCGTCAAAGAGGTACTTACTCCATTCGACGTATTTCTGGTCGATGTCAACTCCATAACGCGGATTATCTGGTTTAATTGCCATCGGTGGGTTGTACTGATCCAGAGGGAGGTTTTCGCCCCGCCTGTCGGTGGTTCCCCACGTGCCGTCAGTTTCGTACGGAACAGGAACAACCTTCCCGCTTTTCCAAGAATTTTGGAAGGCTTCTGTAGAGTTGAAGAAGATTCCATCTGAATCAACATTAGCCACGGAGCTACCAAGTGTGGAACAATAGAAAGCAGATTCAATCTTACCATAGTACCAGCCTAGGGTGCTCCAGCCTTTGGGATCTCGTCCGGTGATATTTAGCTTGAAGTAGAGGCCCTGAGGAAGAAGCGTGCCATCATCAAACTCCAGGGTAGGGCTCCTCCAGTACTGATACCAAGCAATGACGTCTCCATTTTCTCTCCACAAAGGTTCGATTCTCGAAGTAGTCAATGAGCCGTTTCCATCTGTTGCGTTCAGAAGGTCTTGTAAGATGGGAGCAACGTCGGCTTCAAGCTGATCGATGAAATCCCCAACCTTGTCGCTATCCGCATCGTAGATCCGTTGGATGGGGTTCTGCTTGTTGTACATGAAGGTAAGCGGCTGCCAGTCGGTGGAATTATCGACTGGCAAGGGTCCGACCAAGTAGTCCTCGTAATACGGCTGGTCCGTAGCGGCAAACTTAATAGTTGCCCTAGCATATCGCTTCGGTAGTGCTGCTTTTTGGCCGTTGAGGAAAGGCAAGGCAACAGATTTGTTCGGTGGTAGAGTCTCAACTCCAATGATTGTGTTGTCCCAGCTATAGCTGGTTGTCAGCATTTCGGAGTCCCAAAGTCAGGACTAATGTACCTTGTTGCATTCTCCGCAGCTGTCAGATTGAGTTTTGGTTGGTCATGGAGGAATTGAGTAATACTGGCGGCTTCAGGGTCACTTAATGGTAGGAATACGTTTCGGTATGGTGAGGTGATGGGAACGTAGGTGCGCGACTTGTCATCAACATCTAGGCGATGGGATGTACTCTTCTCTTTTGCATCGCGGGGAAATGTACGGTCTTCGGGCCATGGAGACTCCAGTCGAGAACTGGAAGAAGCGCTACATAAGGTGATGAACAGCAATGTAGCAAGAGCTGCAGGAAAGAGACCCGACTTCATTTTGCTCGTGGTTCTCGAGTTGCCAGTTTTTAGGAGCTCAAGGGGCGAACTTGTGACTTTATGTCCGCAAGCAAGACAGTAGAGTCCTCATTCTGCCTTGGCTTCCTATCTGCATTTCCGGTGGCTGGTTCAGGTATATTCCGTCTGATGCGGCGTGGGCTGCAGATGGTGACCCGACAATTTACGGACACGTACTTTTCGTGAGTAACACATACCTCTGCATATGCGTTTACGTGATGCTGTCTTGATCAGGGGGTCGCTTCGGGTGGACGCTCACGGATTGAAGTGTTGGGCAAGGCGAGCACCGGGACGTACGTAAACTCGACGTACATACTTAGTTCCACTACGAGATATATGCCCATTGTTTAGATGAATTGGGGTGAAGCCTGGTTGGAATCAAAACCCCATGGCAAGCTTTTTGGCGTGTAAGCACTAAGACAGTGTACAGATCACAAGTACATCAGCCACGAGTGCACGGCAGGCAGGCCACGTATCACGTCGTTCCCAGCCTCATTGAGGATGCATGCATCGTGCCGTGCCGTGTTGCTCGCGGATAGATTGAGGCTCAAGCAAGACGTACCACCAGCCCTCACCGCCGGCCGAGGTTCTCCCCGGGTCGTAGACTGGGGAGTGTTTGGCCATTTGGCATGTTTCTTTGGTGGATTGGTCTCAGACACGCATGAGTCTTGGCGCATAGCTTCGCAGAAATCTTGTTTTTCGTCTTGCAGCAGGCTGTGTTACAGACGGGCGAGGATATAGGCGCATTGCTAATGGGCAATTGTTCCTACAGTCCTTCGTATAGAGCCAGATTGCAGCGGCCCCACTATTGCATGCAAAAGCCGGCCGTGCTTAGTCTACGGTGCCGGATTTGCCACCGTGGTTAAATTATTGCATGAACTCAGATCATCTGCACTGCCTGATTGGGACTAGCGCAACCACATTCCCCCGCAACACACGATGATCCAGGGGTCTGGGCTAGACCACCTTCAGCTCGCCTCCTGCAACTTGCACACTACATACACTCGCACATTTATCCCATAGCCCCGGATCGGTTTCTGCAAGCGACCACTGACCATTGACCCGACGACCACAACCCCCCGGACCAGGATGCCCAACACGGAATTCAGACTGAACCACAACGCGTGGGTGCTGCTGTCAGCTGACAGCGGGTACTCGATGTGCAACGACCTCAGCCGGTTCACCAGCCTGCGGGCCATCAAGCCGCTGCAGACGTCGGACGTGTCACGGCGGCTGAAGTTCGCCTACGCCATCGGCGACGTCAAGCTCAAGATCAAGACCATCGGCGACGAGACGGGCGAGCTGGTGCTGCGCGGCGTGCTGTACGTGCCCGACCTGGTCTACAACATCATCACCGGCAGCGCCATCATCGGCATCGGCGCCCCCTTCGAGGAGGGCGCCATCGAAACCACCCAGGGCGGCCAGATGGTCTCGGACCGCGACAAGGTCCAGCGCATCCTGTTCCCGTCGAGCCAGGAGCGCTCCAGCGGCCTGTCCTACCTGCAGCTGGCCGACGAGTACTCGGCCCTGTGGCCGGAGGACACGCCGACCGAGGGCCGCCCGCTGCTGCTCTCGCTGACCGTCTCCGCCCGGGGGAACCCTGTCTTTAAAGGGGCGACTTTTCTGCGCCAGGACGAGCTGGGCATCTCGACCGTCATCAATGGCGGCGGCCTCAGCGATGCGTGGAGGAGAAACGGCGCCTTGTCGCCCGTGTCGCCGTCGAGCGAGAAGGACATGTTTGGCACGGCTGCGCTAGTGAATCAGCTGTGGAACAAGCATGCCGCTTTGGAGGCCGAGGTCGCAAGTCTCCGCGAGAAGGTAGACGGGATGCAAAAGTAAATACGTGTGTTTAAAGGTGAGCATCTAACACATAAACTCTATGGCTCAAATCGCTAACGTTCGCGTAGGCGGTAAAGCAACGACGCTTCGGTTTGGCAGTCGTTGGCACTGGCATTTGGAACTTCTGGTCAAGGCATGCATGGTCAGGCGGCGTTACCCATGCAATTTCAGATACCCCCGAGGATATACACACACGGTAGACAAATTTTCCTTTAACATGTATTTGTACGTAATCGCGATCGACTTGTTTTATTAAACGCCAGGAAATGGCCTTTTACTTAATATCGAATCATCTGAGCCGTCGTAAGTAATTTCTAACATTACGTGGGTAGCTGAAGCTATCATCCGGACGTAGATGTAAATTTAATAATTCGACATTTCCGTCTGGATGGTAGCTTCAGCTACCCACGCACGTCGGGTGCCTTCGCTTGCGAAGATCATTGCGCAGGATCATTTCTTTCGTCCTGATCAGAGCTTCCGGGGCTTGATGGGCTGTCAAGAACAGTCAGTCTTCTGCAAAAGTCTATTTTCGTACAGAAGCGGCACTCACCTCTGGCTTCGGAACCGTATCGATATGCGCACAGGTCTTGACGAGGCCGATATCACCGGTGCCCATCCTGTTGTGGTACTTGGCCGCGTCGCCGAACTCGAACAGGAAGTTCATGGGGAAGCCGACGTCGAAGGGCTCGGCCTCCTCGATCTGCTCGATCTCCTGGGGCGAGAGCTCGATGCTCAGGGCCTCGATGTTGCCCTTGAGGTGGTTGATGTTGCGGCCGCCGACGATGGGGAAGACGTAGGGCGACTTGTGCATGACGTAGGCCAGCGCGATGGCGGTGCGGTGCACGCCGCGCGGCTTGGCCAGCTTGTCGAGCGCCGCCGCCACCTTCTTGTCCTTCTCGCGCGGCGGGAACATCTTGCGGCCTTCGTCCTGCGCCGCCAGCTCTTCTTCGGTCTTGAACAGCCCGCCGCCCAGCGCGTTCCACGGCGCCAACGCCATCCCTTGCTGCTGCGCCATCGGGATGATGTCGCGCTCGAAATCCCGGTCGGCTGCGCTCCACTTGCCCTGGTACACGCTGAAGGGCGTGAGGGCGTGGTCACGTGCGTACTGGTTCGCCATCGAGACGACCCAGGCCGGCGTGTCGCTGATGCCTAGGTAGAGGATCTTGCCTGCGGCGACGAGGTGGTGCAGCGATTGCATCAGCTCCGGGATCGAGGTGGAGAAGTCCCACCAGTGGACGTAGAGCTGCGAGATAGTTAGCCTTTGACTCTGTCATGAACTCCTTTTGTTGACAGAGGCCTTTAACGCAGAGAGATCGGATAGAGATGTTCCCGCCTAGCCGTGGCGCTGTTTCGGCATCCGATTCTCAACCCGGAAACTTACCAGATCAATATAGCTCGTCTTGAGTTTCCTCAAGCTAGCTTCCGTGGAGACTCTCAAGCTCTTGCTGTGGTTGCCCTGGAAGTTGCTGTTGATCTTCTCACCGCCCTTGCCAGAGGGGAAGAAGGTGGTGAACTTGGTGGCGAGAACGATCTGGTCACGGTTCTTGCGTTCCTCCATCCAATCGCCGAGCCACTCCTCACTCTCCTCGCCCTGGTCTGCATTGGGAAATTAGCTCCGTAACCCCAACACCGGGCAAGAAAAACGTTACAGTTGTTGGCGGTGTCGATGAAGTTGCCTCCACTCTCGAAGAAAAAGTCGAGAATCTCGTAGGTGGTCTTCTTATCGCATTTCCCCATCATTTTCTCCCTGAAGTGAAGATCAGCAACGGCTCGCAATTGGCAGTATAAAGGTACGGTACCAGGCGGTGCCGAAATTCATAGCCCCGAGACAGAGGGGGGAAACCCTCACGCCCGCAGAGGGCGACAGAATACGGTGATAACCGAGAGCCGTCTTCGGCGTGGGAGCTCCTGGAAATGGCGGCATGTTTGAAGCGTTATTGGGAGTTATCAAGTTCTAATGGGTTGAAGTGAGGAAGGTGTGGCGGATGATGCTGTTCGAGAGGGGTTCGAAGAAGCTCTTAAATATTATGACGTCCGTACACCACGGTACCCATGGCCTATGCTCCCGACGGGGTTAAGAGCTTCAACTCCGCTATAACTGCGTGCGTTCGCCCGGCTATGACCTGACTAGTGCAGGCATCGGCCGAGGGTAATTGTCGGCAGAATTTATTCCAGAGTTTAACATTTGGAACGATTGAGTAGAAGGTGAAAATATGCAGAGTCAGAGCCTTCATATGGCGATTCTTGACTCTACGAAACTTTTCGAAATCAGTCTTCGTTAAATGTTTCCTTTCGCTGTTGCAGTTGCTATCTCCAATTGACCCCGCATTGTGGGCTTCTCAAATGTTGTAATGCTAGTGGGTACTGTTATTAGAAAAGTAAAGCTTAAAGCCTAATTCCAGCTGGCTGGTAAGACTGACGCAATCATCGGATTTAGATGATTCACATGTCTGTTATTGAATTCTCCACTTCCAAGCCGCCGACGTTTAGTTGGTTACCTGAGAAACGGAACATGATCTGTGCACAGCAACATTTTAATTCTCAATGGCGCCTTTTGTCTTTTCAAAATGTTATAAGTGGAGTGTCTGTCGAATGCACGCACTGGTGGAGGATGTCTGCGAAGGATATTCAGGCATCTTCTCGCTTAGCTTGGACAAGCATGCAGGGGGTGCACAAAGCATATCACGAACATCAAAAGTCTTCTCAAAAGCTTGCATTGAATATTTACACAAAATCTGCAATTGACTCTGTCAAAACGATAGTTATGCACATGAAGCGAAAGTCCTCTCCATATCCTTTGCTTAAGCATACTGAGCGAGCGTGTCGGCGTAGTAGGAGTAGGAAGTGCCACTCGGAGGTTCGATGCTGTACATGTAGTCGCCCCAGTATTTCTTTCGTCAGCTAAGCGATTACGAAGGGGAATAATGGGGAGACTTATCCATGGTCCGGCAGCCCACCAGAGGTGGCCGGTCCAGACGTCGCTGTTGTCCTTGAGGTACTGGAGACCGTCCTTGATGGCGGCCATGCACTGGTCGTTGGGGCCGGCGGCGAACTCGCCGAGCAGACCCTTGTTGCCGGTCTCGCGCAGCCATTCGGTGGCGGCCTGGAGGCGCTCGCTGAAGACGGTGGCGCTGACGCACTCCTCGTGGGTGCCGCTGCCGTCGACGTCGAGGTACTGGTGCATCTGGAAGACGAGCTTGGACGTGTCGTTGGTGGCCGGGTCGACGAGGGCGCCCATGGTGTCGGCGTTGCCCGACGACACCCAGGTCCAGGCGCCGGTCCAGCTGTTGCCCTCGGGCGTGATGTACTGCGTCGTGGCGCCGGCCTCGCGGATGCCGTCGATGGCGGCCTGGTTGAGCTGCACCACCAGGTTCTGGTCCATGTCGTGGAACTCGTTGTTGGTGTCGAAGACGACCAGCTCGTTGTCGACGAAGGGCGCCGCCACCGTCTTCCACCACTGCTTGAAGCCGGCCGTGTCGGTGATGATGTTGCCGTAGTAGCGGCCGTAGTTGTGCGGCTGGATCATGGCGTACGCCCCCTTGCTCGTGATGTACTCGATGTTGCTCGTCAGGTTGCCCATGTAGTTGGCGTCCGGCTCGCCCGTCAGCTGGTCGGGGATCAGCCGCTCCATGGCGAAGTTGAGGCGGAACATGTTCATGCCCTTCGCGATGAACGTGTCGACGGTCGACATGTCGTACCAGATGTAGTCCTTGTTGTAGAGACCGGGGAAGATGCCATCGCCGAACTCAGCACCGCTCTCGTTGATGCCGAACCATTGGAACTTGCCGTCCTGACGGCGCTGCTTGGCCGGGGCGGCCAGAGCCAGGGCAGCCGTGCCCGCAAGCAGACTGATTGAGGCACGCATGTTTTTGTTGCTGAAAGAAAGAGTGGAGGCAAGCCAGGAAATGAAAGGAGAGACTGGCGATGTAGACTGCAATTGAAGAGCAAGACGAAAGTATATATAGTTTGCAAGGAAAGTTGGAGAGACGTCAGTTGTTCGCTACCATCATTTGCGTCACGGCGAAACAACTCCGCATCGTGTGCGTTGGTCGAGCGGAAACCAGGCCCGGGATGATTAAGGAAATATCTGGGGCCGTATGATCGCCACGCTTCTTTTTTTCCGGATTCATCACCCCATCATTACCCCGACCCGTCCAATGCTCAAAAAGCAGTTGTCCCTATCAAGCCGGTGCTTCCGAAAGATGCGTCTCAAGCAGTGAGCGAGACGTCGTCCTGGAAGGCCTGCAATTTGAGCTTCAGCGGGTGCGACGTTGACATGACAAAAAGGAGAAGTCCATGAGTAGGAGGAAGACTTGGCAGAGTTGCTGCGCAAGGTTAAGCGCGGCGGCAAGACGGCCAGACGTTTTGAACAGATAGCCGAAAAAGCCAAGCGAAACAACGCCCAGCTCCAATCAGGAGGGGTTGAGCGTGAACGGAACTCGACGACCGGCTTCACAATCCGGAATATCCGCCGTGACTAACGGCACACCGGTCCGACAACGATGGGGGACAGGAGCAGTCGCATCCGTCTTGAGCGGGGTGAAGCAGCGCCAAGCGAGGTGGAACAGGCCATTTCCCGTTCCTAGCATCCATTGAGATGGAGCCAGAAGAGTTGAAACACGCCAGTCTCACGACATCACGTGGCTTGGCACGCACTAACCACCCGGTAGAAGATGCCTACCATTATAAGCTGCTCCACACTAGTACGAGACTGACAGAACGGACGAGAGGGAGTCACGTGAAAATAAACGTGGCTTCTCGTCAGAACTCTTCACCAACCTTCCACAATGCATCATCACCAATCGAGAACAACCGTTACGAGCAATCCTGGTCACACACCTGCTGTGGTATAGTGCCAAGTTCTAGGATAACTATTGGAAGATACGGCACTGAGACAGCGATAAGCTGTGTAATCAGAATACCTTGGTACTCGAGCATCTGTGGAGAAACGCACCAATTTTCGGTAACAGCCACCTATGTCTATTGTGGCACCATTACTAAACCAAAGCTCTCTTACTGTCCAATGTCGCAGTCAATTTTGCTTTTCAATTTTGTTTCTTTTGTTTTCCTAAAAATCTCCCCCTTTCTTACTGTCTACGTGCCCATTATTTAATGCACTTTGTTTCTGTGGGCATATTCATCATTCTCAAGGTACACGTCAATCTTGGAAAGAGAAGAATCAAAGAGTCAGCACGCAGCGAACAATCAGATCAGCAACAGGGCCAATCACTCACCGTGTTCGTCATCTTGGACTCAACATCCTTGCACAGCAAGCAGGCAATAATCGCAACAATGCCGAACCCCATGGACGACATGGCAACCAGGAAAATGCCCTTGCAGTAGGCTTGCTTGAGCGCCTCCGATGCCGCCGCTACCACGGCAGGGGAAAAGGAGGTCGCGAGCTTTGACGTCCCGAGGGCGGAGAGCAGCTCTGTGGTCTGTGATTGATCAAGGCCGGCCTTGAGCGCGGCGGGAACGACGAGCTTGGGCGTCCACTTGGTGACCTCGTTATTGAAGATGGTCTGATACACCGTCGTTGCGACTGTTTGGGTGGTTAGCTTCTGTTTCTTTTTCGATCCCCGTTTTCTTTTTTTTTTTTAATGAATGAGGCGTGACCACCGGAATACTTACCCGCACTGCCAGCAAACCGAAGCGAACCAGAGATACCACCGCTGATGCCAAGGTCCTTGTGCTGCACGCCCAGCTGCGAGAGCATGATGCTCAGGGGGACGGACCAGGCGAAGGCGGTCTGGGAGATGAACAAGAAGGCGACCATGGTGCCCATGTTGTACGGCGTGGCCAGGCCGAGCAAGGCGCCGAAGAGCACGACGATGAAAGTCGACACGATCAGCTGCCACCGCCAGTGGCGGATCTTGCTGCCGAACAAGAACAGCCCCAACGCGCCGGAGCAGATGGCGACGCCCTGCGGCAGCGTCAGCACGGTCGCGTACACCCAGTCGGCGCCGCCGTTGGTGTAGAAGACGGTCGTCATGGTCGGCCACAGGATGCTGCTCGAATAGTAGAACATGTTGGTGATGGATAGGGCTAGTGCCGGCGCCGTGAAGTCACGGCCCCAGGACGAAGCGAAGATGCGCGTCGGCGCCAGCGGGTGCGGCGTCCCGCCGTATGTCTCCCACAGCCCGAAGGCGATGAGGAAGGCAAAGCCGACGACCAGTGATGCGACGACGTACGCGGACGAGGAGGCGTAGATGCCGGCCCACACGATGCCGATCAGGACTGGCACGCAGCCGGCAGTGAAGAAGAAGATACCTGGTGGTGTTAGCGCGAGGGCTGAGAGAGCTGGACTTTTAACTGACCAAGGTAGTCAATCTTTTTCAGAGCTTGCATTAAAGGAAGCCCAGCTGGATGCGCAGGCGGGAAGTACAGGAACAGCAGTCCGAGGAAAGAGATGAACTGGAAGATGCCCGGTGCATACAGGTTCCATTCCCAGTTGTTGAATTCGTAGCTGTACCTTGCAGTAATCGGCGCAATGAGAATAGTGAAGTAGACAGTGCCATCGGCGATAATGATTCCGATATGTCTCCACTTGTTGGGAAGAAGCTCCGGAAGTGCGAATGCCGCCATCTGCATGGGAGATCAGTACAATCACTTGCATGTGGGGGCCATGCAGGGCAAGCGAACCTGACAGAATCCACCACCGAAACCAGTGAGGGCCATCCCGGCGGTAATCATGTTGGGGTTTCCCGTTTGCTTGGAAGCCCCCGCAATCAGATGACCGACGACGCAGAGCTTGCAGTACGTTAGCGCAGATCTTGCCAAAGTGAGAAGGGGGGATTTACGAGATTGCCGCCCACGAGGAACCAGCGTCGGCCCAGGATGTCCGTGTTTGCTCCTCCGATCATGAACGAGACAGTTACCGAAATCGTCCACGCCGGCACAAACCAGACGTAGGCATTGGGCTGCCCGAAGTCGGCCGAAACAAGAGTCCCGACAGCCGCTACCGTAGGTACAGGCCAGAAACATAAGCCATATCCAAAGGACAGGAACTGAATGGTGCATTGTCAGCGATATATCAGTCCGGGGTCTGTTGCAAGCTCTTACGCAAACGACGATCCAAGTCTTGAATGTCACCACCGGCTCCAACTCGGAAGGCGCCGGGGTGGACTGGGGTGTCGAGCTTTCAACATCCTTCTCGGTGGGGTTAGCCAGCACTTTGCTTTCTTGTTCTACTCCAGTGATCGCCATGACTGCAGCACTGGTAATCCACTAGGAGCAGGGTGTAGGAAGCAGGCAAGAGACAAGTGATGCGCGCGGAGACGGCGAGATAAATGTAGCACTCGGCACTGGAGCCAACGAAAAGAGCCGCGGAGCATTGCGTATCTGCAGCTCGAAACTAAGCGCGCAAATGTGGGCAAGACAGCGCAAGGGCGAATGAGAGTGAGGCATTGGAATAGGAAATGTCGGAAGTATATCCGAAAGAGGTAGCGTTTGAGAAGCATTTTTCAGCAAGTCGTTTTCTGGACTGATCACGCAGCACGACCCTGCGTGGCGGCTTATCGAGACGGCGCTAGCCGTTGTATAGGAAAAGGCATCGACGGACACCGGCTGACAGCTGCCACTACGTGGTTGTGGTGTGCGAGTCAGAATCCGACTAAGTCCGCCGTACGAAGGGACTACGTACTCTTTCAGGCTTCGCGCAATCCACCCTCGCGCCTCCCGCCCACGCCGCCCCCACATGCTACGGGCTGACCGAGAAAAATGACTCCTGTCCATGTGGCACAGCAAGACACTGCGGATAGAGCGCTTGATTCCTTTTGCCGCCGCTTGCAAGACTGACCTCATACAATAAGTAACTGTGGCGGCCAGCCCAGCCGCAAAAAAAAAATTCATGGCGGTGCGAGATGAAAACGCCACCAAGGCGCTCGGGTCAAACACACGGTTTCCCGCTGCTTTGGTATGACGGGTGGGCCGGCTCGCGAGGGCGGCCCGCCGCTAACCTTCTACCACGGACTGTAGATCTATTTCATGAATCGCGAACCGCGCTTTGACTCAATGACGAGCAACTGATGTGACTATGTCTCAGCAATCTTCTGACATATGCGGGCAGTAGAAGTTATTGTTCGGACGATAATTGCTAATGCCGCATTTACATTCGGATATACCCATGGCATGAGCCAGAAACAAACTCACGCTAGTCTTCGGCTGCCACACCCTCTGTACTGCGGAACCAATCTGTGTGTAACATATGCTGCGGGGAACCTTGTGGATGATCCAGCCCCAAAGCGGGACGAACCTTATTAGAATAAGCTCCGTGATACTTTCAGCGAAGGAAGAAGAGCACCGATGGTCTCAAGTGGGAACGCATCGAGGCACGCCCTTGCGTTCTAGAAGACAACGCCGACCAAGGATGCAAGAAGCAAAACACATACGTCACTGACCTTCTTTAACTTGCTGGTTTGAAAACTGGTGAAACGCATTTGGTAGCCGGTTTGGGGGGAAAGAGCTTCGTCACATTACCTGCTTCTTTTGGATATTTTGCCAATGACTGAGCAAGCAGCTCTTTATTTGAGACTATAGTATGGACCAGGGACCATGGATTGCCATTGCTCATAACCACAGAGTAACTCCTCTCCCTCTTTCCTTCCCCGATCTTCAATCCTTACGTTTGTTTCCAGCATATGCCTCCACCTCAATCTCAATGATCATCCTTGGATCCGCAAGATGGGAAACCGCTACTCCTATGGACATCGTTTGAACGGGTTCTTCTGGTAGAAAGTCAGCCAACACTACAGAACTATGTGCCTCTGGGGAAATTTTACAAAAGCGTGAGAATTAATAAATTTTGGTGAAGATGCTCTCACGAGAGAGTATAGGGCCTTTGTGAATTGCTCGGATTAAGAAATAAAGTCAGAACTGGTGCGCTTCATACTCGGCCACCACATGCCTTATTATATTGGTGCTCTAGTGAACCTATACAATGAGTCAAACTGTTAGGTAGCTATGAATTCTTTACCGTGGAAGCCTATAAATCAGGTTGGTGGTTTTCGTCCGTGACTTGGCGGTCCTGGACGGCGTCTTAGTCCAAGGAATCCTTCGAACACTAAGACATAGGCCAGGGTCTATGCTAGTGAGGGCCCAACTACCTTATAGACCTCGTTCGTAATACTTCTACTTCCCAAACCATACTAGCGTCAACAGTCTTCACTTCGAAGAGCTATGGCAACCTAAACGGAGGGGTCCGGACGAGCTAAACGGCATCTGCTTAGTCGCTCCGAACGCGCGTGATCAGCTCCGACACCACCCTATCGCTCCGTTGTTATAAAGAAAGCAAGGAAGAACCATCTTGCGATTCTGTGCCGCACGTGGTCAAAAAGAGGCAAAGATTGTCGGGCGACTTTCAGGTGGGTCTTCGCTAATGCAGGCTAAAGGGTCTTCCAATACTTCTTCCCTTTGCCATGGGCCGACCAAGCTTATCCGCACCAATGTGCTGAGTAAGGCCCAGAGCCAAGACCATGGCATACAGAGGAGTATCGCAGCCAAGGATAGCGCGAGGGATAATAGGTCCCTAAACATGATGTAACTGTGCCCCAGCTCTTCCTTTCTTTCTCTTTCTCTCTCTTTTTTTTTTTCCAATACAAAAGACAACATGTGTGGGTAATTGAAGCTATCATCCGGACGTGAATGTATAATTGTTAATTCGACATTTGCATTCGGACGAAGCTTCAAAGACCCATGAAATGAGCGAAAAACTCATGTGGTATAGGCTCTCATCAGTCATCATGACTATTATTATGCACACTCCGTCTTCGGCCCCATGGAGGATTGAAGGCCCTGTATTTGATGATCTCAATCTCGAAGATATATATTCAAGAGGTTCTGTGTCGAGATAATTCCGTCAGCTATTCATTCGACAGTATCGCGAAAATGGGAGACATTGGACCCACGCCCAAAGTGGCTATCGTGACCGGTGCAACCGTACGTCTTTCGCCTTTCCCCACCATCCACTAATAGCAAGACTGAACGACAAAACAGTCCGGCATCGGCATCGACATCGCCAAAGACCTCGTGTCCAGAGGCTACAAAGTCGCCGTCGTGGGGCGGCGGGCGGCGGCGGGCGAGCAGATCGCAGCGTCGCTCGGCAGCGCCGACCAGGCGTGCTTCTTCGCGGCGGACGTGTCGTCGTACGCGTCGCAGGCGGCCATGTTCCGTTCGGTGTGGGCGCGCTGGGGCCGCATCGACGCGCTGTGCGCCAACGCGGGCATCGTCGACCAGTCGTCGGCGTACCTGCTGGACTGGCGCGAGCGCGGCGTCGACGACGTGCCGCCGGCGCCCGACCTGGCCTGCACCGACGCCGACTGGAAGGGCGTCGTCTACGGCGCCCGCCTGGCTGCCCACTTCATGCGCCACAACAACCCATCACCCGGCGGCAAGATCGTGGTGACGGGCAGCCTCGGCGCCCTCTTCCCGCACGAAGCTTACCCGGAGTACTGCGGGGCCAAAGCGGCTGTCGCGCAGTTCGTGCGTGGCGTCGCTCCGCTGCTGAAGGAGAAGGATAATATTGCTATCAATGTCGTGCATCCGGGCATCGTGGAGACGCCCATCGTGCCGCCGGAGATGATACAGGCCGTGTCGCGGGAATGGTGGGTTGAGTTTCTTTCCCCCTCAGATGACATGAGCTGACTTATGGCTAGTCTCACCCCGGTTGAGACGGTGTTGAAGGGGTACAGGATGTTCTTGGACGACGAAACGGGGATGACGGGCAAGAATTTAGAGGCGTCAGGCGACAAGCTCAACTTCTACGAATTGCCAGAGATGCTGAATGGAAGGGTGACGAAGCGGTCTGTCACCGTGTGGGAGCCGCTGTTTGCCATGATGCATCATGAGAAGTCGGGCTTGCCTGATGCAATTGAGTAATGCCTTGGACGGCGGGAAGGCCGTCTGCTGAATGGATCAATTACCGCGCCCAAACTTGTATCGACTTACGAACCCGAGTGAGAACCCGATAGCGTCGTCCCTACTTAAAGCCTCAACAGCGCTGGTCTCGACCGTCAACAGCTGATTGACAGACCACCGCCTCAACACGCTTGGTTCCAAAAGAAGGATCGTGTAGAGGAAAATTTTCGCGCGCAGGAGCAGAAAACAGCAGATACACGGTGGGAGTGGAACGTGCGACTCCGGTGGGCGTGACGTCTATTCTACCCCGCCATACCCCGCGTCACCCATTCGCGCTTTCCAACCTAACAACTTTTTTCTTCTCCATACAACGCAGCAATGTCGCGTCCCGAAGTCAGCAGAACCGCCTCTACAAACCTCTCCAGCGGCCCCGGCCTGCGCCAGCTGGATGGCAAGCTCGCCGTCGTCACCGGTGCCTCGCGAGGTAAACAGCTACTCTGCCTTCTTGTCCTACCTCCTATCCCGCACAACGCCAATCGCTGACACGCCAATGTCTCGCCCACAGGCATCGGTGCCGCAATCTGTACCAACCTCGCCAGCAAAGGCGCGTCGCTCGTCATGAACTACACGTCCGACAAGTCGGCCGGCCCGACCCAAGAGCTCGCCACCCAGCTTGAGAACACATACGGTATCCGCACCACGATCGTGCAAGCCGATATGGGCAGCGAAAAGGGCCCCGCGCACGTCATCGACGTGGCCAAGAACCACTTCTCGCACCCCAAGACGGGCAAGTTCCAGATCGACATCATCATCAACAACGCCGGCGTCGCCGGTAACCAGACTATCGCTCAGACGGAGGTGAAGCACTTCGAGTGGCTGTTCAACGTCAACGTGCGCGGCCCGCTGCTGCTCATGCAGGCCGCCGAACAATACTTGCCGCACGACCGCTCCGGCCGCGTCGTCAACCTGTCGTCCGTCTCGTCGTCGCTCGGCTTCGTCGGCCAGAGCATCTACGGCGGCACCAAGGCCGCCCTCGAGTCCATGACGCGCACCTGGGCCCGCGAGCTGTCGGAGCGTGCGACGGTCAATGCTGTCAACCCCGGCCCTGTCGCTACGGATATGTACGCCGGCAATGGCGAGGAATTCTTCACCATGATCAACCCGTGGTTGAAGAACACCCCGCTGGCGCCCGTGAGGGAGGGTGTGGATCGCGACGACTTTGTTCAGGCGGCACCGAAGGCTGGTGGAAGGCCGGCATATGAGGAGGAGATTGCCGGCGTCGTCGGCATGCTGTGCAGCCCGGAAGCCAGTTGGAGCACCGGAAGCGTCGTCTGCGCCAACGGAGGCATGCGCTTCAGCCCTTGAGCGGGGGAAATATGACGGTGAGCAGTTTTTGCATCTTCTTCGGTGTTTGGGGCCGAACTGTATAGACTTCTTGCACATCAAATGTGCCAATAGATCTCATTGGCGTTTTCGTGGCCTCCCGTACTTCGTCAGCGTTGCATTTCATCAAGAACTTGTGGGGATCTTGCCCTGCGCTCGGCATCCTCTTTGTCCTTCTCCCAGTATTATTTCCACGTCTCTCCAGTCCGTGGAGAAAGTGAGCAGAGTATTGCCTGGGATGCTAACCCTTGAGGAAGTAAGCCCGAGAAAGTCAACTCGCTTCGGATGGGGCTGAAGAGTACGAGTTGACATCGGACGGTGCGCCATGTGTCTTCAAGCATGCCCCTGGGCCTGTCGCTTTCTATCCCCATTGTCTCGATTCCTGCACCCCGCATGCCTGCATTCGCTTACAAGCCGCGGCTTTCAGCCTGGACTGCATTCTGCTGACGTGCATTCGAAAGCGAGTAACCACGTGAAGGATCCATGCAAGGCTCACAGGTCCCATTGCTTGACTGGTGGCAGAATAATGCATTGGGCCCTGGGCATCAGCGAGCTAAGATATAGCAATTGTGCAGGTTGCTAAGTGAAGTTAGCCTCTGCAGCCTTGCGCAACTTCATTCATAGAGGTATCTTCCAGCATATTCCTTGAACCCAATTCCTACACTAGCAATGGCTCACATATAGCTTTCGGAGACCTACCCTTTCGAGCGGAGGAGTTTCCGTTTATGGGAAATGATCGATCATCATTCAAAGGACGTCAACGCTGAAGCCGCTATTACCGCGGAATTTCTGGACTTCACTCCTTCGTACATGCTTACAGCTTTGGGAATCCTATCCCAGCAGCGTTCAGTCTTGAATAGAATCTCCGTACACCTGGTCGCCCGATGTGGTATGCTCTACCCTAAGGACAGAGTCGTCTCTCTGCCTTCTGCCTTGCGCTGAGCGCTGATTATTCTAAGTATAAACTTTTCCGGTTATCATATTTGATTGGTGCTCTTCATATTTTCAAGTAAGCAGCCTCAACATAATGACGTCGTGCAGATTTCAGACGGAAATCCTTGAGCTCAGAAGACTCTCAGGAGACTCCAACTCGTGTTTTCTTCTTTTTATTGTTTGAACAGGATTGGTCGACTTTTTGAGTGGCTGCAGGACTATGCACAGAGGGGTATCGCAGCCGAAGGCTTGCATGAATGCTTTCAGCTCCACGCCAAGGGCAGTTGAAGCTATCATCCGGACAAGAGTGCGGAGTTTTTTTTTTTAAAAAAAAAAACAAACTCTACATATACGTCCAGACGATAGTTTCAACTGCGCACATATTTTGATTTTCTAAAGGAGGGGAAAGCCCTGCAGTTCTTCACGCAAGCCTGCGGCTGCAGTACCCCTCTGTGCTGGACGGCACACGTGAGATATCCCGTTGGTGGCGGCTAGGGAGCGGCTCTCGGCATCCAGCCGAAGCCTCGTTACCAAAATAGCCGAGTCTTAACCTCTAGAATCACTGCGATGCAACTCTGCAGCCAGGGACAACTCACTGCTGATCCCCATTAGGCTGCTTACTTGGTGGCGTTCCAACCAGGCACACCGCCCCATCCTCCTCGGCGCCTCTCAGATCATCAGTGAGCATATTTCCTTTCTGGAGCTTCCTCCGCGTCGGCTATGCCCGTTTTAAATGCCCGCTCGTATAATCCTACTACCCCACCATGGAGATGCTGGTCAGCAAGCATTAGCCGAAGCTTCCGGAAGGCGGAGCGATCGTCGGTGTTTCTTTTGCGCAACCCGCCAAGGGTCCCAGCATAATCAGTGCATCTGTTTCAAAGCGTGGTCACGCTACCCGACGTTTATGAGCCGGCTTTAAGACATGCAATTTATCTTCACTCTCGGGCGACACAATGCTACGATATAGCAGAAATGCGCCTGCATGGACACCGCAGCATTCCCCACATGACGATGCCGGATCCCCGCCGCCATCACCGTCAATAGCAGGCTCTGATACGAAAGCTTGGCCTGCCACGATCTTGGCCAGACCGGCCTTGTCCTTTTCGGGGCAAAGCTTGGCCAACACCGTCAGCATGCAGACTGCCGCAGCTTATCCACAGCCCCGGAGAGAAAAAGAGCCGCGATGCTTGCTGCAATGCTGCATGATCTCCAGAAAACCTTTTGCTACGCTTCGGCCAGCTGACACGGAACGGGCGAAGCGTGTGCCCACTTTAGCTCAATCCCCCGGAGGATTGCCACACGGCTGATGCCTACATGGCCCTCACGGCACAGCCCTGTACGGTACCTGTGCCGGCTAAGGAGAGTCGAACGATTGCCCGCCTGGGCAGAATATAAATTCAGATGATCTACCGGGCCTCAGTACCTCTTGCGTTCAACACAAGCGTGTCAAGAATCTCCTTTCCTCTCCGCAGTGCAAGAAGTCCTGCTTTAATATTTTTTTTTAAAAAAAAAAACCTCATCACCAAATCCATCCACCATGATGAAGTCCATCGCCGCCGCCGCCCTCTCCCTCCTCTCCCTGGCCTCGGCCTCGCCGCTCCTCACCAAGCGCACCGACCCCGTGTGCCCGGCCGACGGCTACCTGCCCTCCGACCCGTCGTCGTGGCTGTTCCCGGTTGGCATCTACCCCATCTCCAAGAGCAACCCGGACACGAACTACGGCACCGTCTACTCGCCCAAGATCACGCCCGACGACTTCTGCACCATCTTCAACCTCTACGTGCCCGAGTCGGCCGCCGGCAAGACTTGCACCCTCAAGTTCTTCTTCCCCAGCCAGGACCAGCTCGTCACCAGCAGCTACACTTACGAGGGCCCCGGCCACTTCACCTTCACCGGCTACGCCTTCGGCACCGGCGCCACCGATGAGACCACCTGGAACAACCAGCCCGCCCCTGGTCCGAGTAAGTCTCTCTTTGCTTTTTCTTTTCCCTCCTTAATATCGGAGTTTCGCGTGATGTGTGGACCTCGTGACTGATGAATTTTGTTTTTGACAGGCCCTCCTTCTCCGCCTGCTGTGCTGGAGCCGGGCAACGCCTACGTTATCAACGCCGGCGACTGCGGCGTTCAGGCTGGCCAGGGCTCACTCGAGGTCAGCGGTATGCTGTGCAGTCCCGACACTCACTTCGAATACTTCCAGAACTCCGGCCTCTGCCCCATCGGCTTCTACGTCGTCATCAGCTAAAGTGGCCGCGAACGCGATTGTTGCTGAGAGGTTCACTCTGGGGATGTAGACTCCCGGTCACGTTTGTTTATTGTGTAATGAGTAATACGAAACTTCATGATCGCATACAACTTAATAAAACTCAATTTTACCCATGAAAGATAGAAAAGTCCAGGTTATATACTGCTTTCGCATACGCACTGTATGACATACCCTTTGTTTTTGCCACGAAGTTCAAACCTTGGAGTTTGTCCCCAAATCAATCTGCCCATGTCTCCGCCGAAGGCCATGTCCGCTGGCTCCAATATCTTGGGTCTGCGAAGGATCTAGAGGTGACTTCTGTGCTCGCACAGGAATTCTTGATACATGCCGCGTCCTGTTTGATGTAGGCGAGGATATATCGTGAAAAGGTTGAGATTGAACGCCAAGAGTGGTAGGTTGACTATCGAACGTCTTCTGTTCAAGAAGATGGTCTTGCTTCTGCGATTTTCCCAAACTGTGAAAACATTCTTCCGAGTCGGTGGCAAACACTGGCCGATCTACAGCCAAATCTTTCTCAAGATCGCTTTCGAGTCGGCGCGGGATGGAATCGTTGGAAGACGTGGTGGAAGCATCGGAATCTACGGTTTCTACACTTCCATCCAAACACACAATTGACAAGCCGCTGACGGAGTTCGACAATTCGCACGCCCCACTATTGCTTGGTGCTTGCGAAATGTTGATGGGCTGATTTTCCTGGCTATACAATCCCTGAGTTGGTTTTTCTCTCCGAATGCAGATATCTGTCGATGGTTCGTCTGACTGTCCGAGAATTATGGCGCCATCTTCATACGAATCCAAATTTCCTGGGCCCTTGACGGCTTTAGCATCTTTCCCCACCACCTTGCTCAGTCGGCTACATCCACAGCAATATGCCATCAGAGTTTCGCATGGCTCAAAGGTTGAGCAACTCGGATGCCACTGTAGGCGAGAACTACTCAAAAACTTGCGATCCAGAGAAGAGCCAGCGACCTCGTACAAGCCTTTTAGCATTCGCACTGTGACCGCAAGATAATCTTTGCCCTTTGGCAGACTGCGCCAGTAACCACATAGGCTCTGACCCGTTTCTGAGGGTCTGATAAGATCTTCAAAACCGTTGGCGAAAAGAACCAGAGCGCCGATATCTTGGACCAGGTTGACCCAACCTCCACTACTCTTGGAAATTTTGCATTTCTTCAGATCGCAGGGAGATTTCTTTCGCACAACATCGTTGAATTCAAACCCGTGAAGTTCCTCTTGAAAGTTGGATTTGGGATCGAGACTGGAACTGGTATCAACGGAATTGTAGTGTGCCGATAGCGAGTCCAGTAATGACCAGATATCTAAAACGAGCTCATGGAGGGAGTAGGGTCTCTCGGTGATGATTGTGTTGTTGGAGTCTCTCATAAGCGTTTCCCGAGCACTGCACTCGGAAGTGTCTTTAGAGAACAACTTGACCTGTTCCTTATCGACACCAAGGAAACCCGTCTGGAGTCGTGCTTGAGCAATGTGAAGTATCACTTGTGATGCTGGTAAGAGCCACGCTCTTCTTTCGAGAGTATCGAACAGTAGTACCCTCAAGTTCTCGGCCATGGCAATGACCTCATTGTAATGGCTGTCGTTCCTTGTGAATCGGCAGCTTCGATCCTTGGCACCGAAAGTGACATTGAGTTGCGCTGTAGCAAAATACGAGAATCCGAAGGACCCTCCAGCTACGTTCACGTACGATCGGGAGTCCTTCAGGTGAAACCCGGAGTAATGGAGGTTGTCGTAGTTGATTGCTTCACTCCCCAGAAATATCTTAGCAGCGCTACACCACCCGACCAGTGTTGTAGTAGACCGAAGTGCGTCAAGGTTCACCTCGTGGAGCATCAGTCTATCTGGACACTGCCGAATGCCGTTTTCGTATGTCATAAAACTGTCGTCCTCGTTTCGAATCAAGTGCCATCGGATCCTATCTTGGACTCTCTCGGTGGGGACCAGCATTGTTGAAAACCCCTTCAAAACCACGCCCCCTTGGAATTCTACCGCATGTCTGACACCGGTGAGTGCTGCAAGTATATCGATTGATATCTCGAGGCCCGATTCGCACACCCTTTCTGGAATAGGGAAACCGCGAGCGATTACAGCACTGTTGAATAAGGGGAACCAGCATGACATTTCTGTTGAATCCAGTGGCCGTTGAGCAACTGAGATGCGGAAACTGGTAATATACGGCTCGGGCGAAACATCTACCGTTATTGATGGCTCTGAGTAGAATACCGCAGTCCCAGAGGGCCCAACTCTGACCGCAGAGGCAAGCCATGACAACTGTTGTGCAATTTCAACAGTAAGAGTCATCGTTGCATAGACATCCAATCGGACAGATCTCTGCTCTTGACCTTTGAGCAATTCGTTCTCTAGTTTCATGCTCATGGATCCACCTTCATCAAGTAGAAGATTCGCAATAGGCTTTTTGAGGGAATCTTGCAGTAATGGCAGAAGTATATTGCAAGAGTTTGGCCAGAAGTGTCGGATGTAATCGGCGCAGCTGCTGGCGTACGCGTAGAGCACCGATCCACTCAACACAAGGATGTTTCCAAGCGGTGTTTTCGGGTCGTCGTATTGAAAATCAAGGAATCCAACCAGATCCCACTCGACTGAGTATGATGTATGATACATCTCCGTCGGGCGACAGTTGCAACGAGGGAATCCTGTAGGTTCGCCTTCGATGGTGCCATCAAAGCAGCTCGGACAGGTGTTGTGATTTGACCTTGTCACAAATAGGCTCTTTATGACGGTTTCCTCGATTTGTCGCATTTGCGATTGGTCATCACAATAGAGTTCCCGCCGCATTGCAACCACTAACCTCTTGAACGGTGGCCCGGTAAGTAGGAAATCTTGGACGACTCTGGAGTACACATCGCTGCCACTGTCTTCATCATAGACTTCTGGATCCTCCTTTCCTGAAACCTTTTTAGCCTGTTGTGGCTGATGAGGTACGCTGTGTCTTTCATTCGACGAAAGTTTCACCCCATGATCCTGGACGAGAGACGTATTTCGCATCTTCTGATTCGTCGTCCGAAGCGCACTTTCGCGGATGTAGTGCGCGATTTGAAGTGCGTATGTCCGGATAAGATCGATTGCATCATTGATCTCTTTACTGTAATCGGATCGCACAGGGGTTGTTTCATCACTGCAAGCTGCATTAGCCATCATGCCATGACATACTCATGTCTAGTCTGGGATATTACTCACGTTGTGGAGCCATCGAAACCGTCTAGCTCTGAAGCGACATTTTCAAGATCGACAGCATAGTTCTGGAGCAGACGTTCCAAGCGGGCTTCGATACTGGTGGGGGTATGCTCTGTCGCTGAATACGCCGCCCATGTGTCCACTCCGGCTTTTGAGATCAGATCATTTCCGAAGAGTGCAATACGATCTTGCAAAGGCTTCTCAGGCATGCTGACGTAGTTGCAGCTCGGCCCAGCTAAGCTCACAGACGCCGTATCTTCAACTTTGCTGAGGAACCCTGGACCCATATGGTCTTGGCTTCTGCCAAGGGCTGTGAAATACTTGGAACTCTCTTTATTCTGAACCGGATCATTCTGAACATGTAGCTGCGATGGTTTACAAATCTCTTTGGAATCATCGTGCGCATCTTGATCTGATGCTGCTGGCCCAGGACCTGACTGTCGTTGGGTTTCGGCCTGCTGTATCACGAATTGTTTTCGTGTATCTTCCACGTGGCGATGGCTCAAGCCAATACCATCTGTTGAGAACGCTCTCGAACCAAATATGGAAGTATTTGATGATGCAAGTGGATGGCTCTGATCCGTCTCCAAGGTCTTGTCCTGTCGCGGCCGAGACAATCCATTTTCTGACATTTCGTAGTACAAAGTCGGACGCTGCCGTACGGCTTGAGAGTTGTTCAATAGTACGGAAATCCATTCGCGGGGGACATCACCAAAATCCCTGGATCTGATGCTGTGGTCCAAGATATACGGTCTGGCGTAGTCAATCCGGGAGAATGGTTCTATTTCAGGTTCGGTAGTGTCGGTTGCAACGACAGGAATAGGCCGAAGCATTTCTCCGTTCGCATCTTCCCAGTCAGGAATTCGGGGACTATATAGTCCGGAAGAGATCGCAGAGTGTTCGCGTTTCACCACTCCAGGTTTCGATACACCCTGTCCCCCGTACGTCTGAATTGACCTGCAGGGTTTAGTTAGTCGACTATCAGACTGAAATTCCTTCATAGACTTACAGGCATGTGCAAGAGTCACGTCCTTCTTTGATCACGATGAACCATCTCTTATACGTGGCTCCCTCATGCACTGTGGTGGCGTGTGGTGTTTCCGAGTTTCTGGTTGGCCACAGAACTTTGAATACTTTCCCAACTCTGTAAAAGTCTCGGCCTGGACGATGTATTTTGTACCCTGCACACTATGAGCTTGAATTACTGATTAATTCAAAAGTGCACAACTTACGGGGGTCCAGACTTTCTGTTTGGATGCCGGCGCTCACATCGATTACAGCGGGATTCCCGTTGATTTCGTTTAAATAAATCGAACGACTCTGGACCGAGTCCCAAAAGTACCAACTTTTTTGAAATTCATCCCATTGCCATTCGTATCCCGACATGTTGAAGTGTTGAGTGGCCTAGAGCAGTATGATTAAGAGTGGCGCGAAGTAAAGCAGTGGACGCCGCGCAATCTTTGACTACTTATTTCTTTGGCTCCGATAAGAACTACCATGCGTTCTTCCAATAGGAACTAAGCAATGCCACATTATCAACTGCTTCGTGTACTGAAATGGCTGATTGGTGGCCTCGCTGTTTTGTTTGGGGCAGTGCAAGGCGTGCTGACAGACGGTCATCCCCAGACGACTTTCTACTAATTGGTCAGCCTGTTCCGCGAATGCAAGGCTGAAGGCTTCACCGGGATTTTTGAATGTGAGTGTGCCTTGTCCTATTACACCTAACTATGGAGATTCGTGAAGCATGATCAACTGCTTATTTCTAGCCTCTTGGCATCATTTCGGGGTTCGATATGACCGCGTCTCACGGGTCTAGGTAGAGTCTTATTTGAGAGCTCCTAGCACCGCCAAGCAGTTAGCCTGATCGGAAAATCTAGAAGTGATTTAGCGTAGCCTGTTCCTGATACACCGTAGCTCGTGTCATGATTGTACAGTCCCCTCTCGCAGCCGATGGCTAGCGTGGATTATTTTTTGGTCATGTCATGGGTAGTTGAAGCTATCGTCCGGACGTGTATGTAGAATTTTTAATTCGACATTCTCGTCCGGACGATAGCTTCAACTGCCCACATACGTTATTTTTCTGAAGTAAAGCTGGGGGCATAGTTACGCTATGTTCTAGAGCCCTGCTAGTGAAGGGGTTGCTTGTAAGTAATGAGGGAAATTCAATTCGACAATCGCTCGGAAGCGGAGATAGCTGCTTACTCCACCTTGGATACCCCGCGGGGTAAGTAACTCCATGAGCGGCTCCAGAGTGGCCATAGCTCCCTCGGGGCGACCTTCCCGCGGGAGGAATCTCCTCTTCCGGGAAGCTCCCGGAAAGCTCACACTCGTCCCCGCCAAGCGCTAATGCAAGGCACCGTACCCCGCGCTGCTCAATGCTCGTCATTTCGACTATTGCTCGGGCAAAGTTTGCTCTCTCAGCGGAGATCCTACCATGCCGATTCCGAAATCAAAGGCCGAGCAGCTATGGGTAGCGAGCTACAAAACTGACGCAAGCCTGCATATAAAGCTTGCCGCTCTCGTGTCTTCTCTCTCACGATCAAAAAAGTTCTGCTAAAACTACGTTAATTTCAAACACCAGCATTCAAATATTCAGCCCTCGACTTCCCGCCGCCGGCGCTTTCTTCGCAGAGGGTTACCCTGCCTTTGTAGGTCCTCGGATATCGCATCACCACCAGCCTCTCCGCCGCAAAATCGTACCAGAAAATCGTCGGCTGTTCCAGCACCGCAACCCTCGCCTTCCCCTTCTCCTTCTCCGAAATCGTCTCCCGAGTCGTCTCCTCCCAAAATGGCCGTCCCACCCAACGCCACGCAAACCATTACGCACATCGTGCTCTTCAAGTACAAGGCGACCATCACGTGGGCCGACTTCGAGTCGCACTTCGAGACGTTCCGAGCGCTGCAGCAGCAGTGCCTGCACCCGCTGACGGGGCGGCCGTACATGCTGTCGATGCGCATGGGCAAGAACCGGTCGTGGGAGCCGTTCAACAAGGGCATGACGCACGCCTTTGTGCTCGAGTTCGCGTCGCAGGACGACCTCGACTACTACCTCACAAAGGACCCCGTCCACCTCGCCTTCAGCCGCGCCGCCCACCCGCTCATCGAGGACAGCGTCGTGGTCGACATCCGTGACGGCGTGCTCTTCGGGCCTGGCGCCAAGAGGCCTGCCGGCGTTACTTTCCCTGGCGAGGAGGGGAAGAGGTGGAAGGGTAGCTGCCATTGTGGTGGTTGTGAGTGGGAGGTCGCCATCAAGGGCGAGGGAGAGGAGTTGAAGCACGTGCTGTGCCATTGCGATACGTGTAAGAAGCTGGGCGGCGGACCGTACTCGTGCAACTACATTGTGCCGAAGGACGACTTGAAGGTGACGAAGGGGAGCCCGAGCGTGTATACCTACAAGGGCGCAAGCGGTAAATTCCCCCCCTTCCCTACCCAACCCCTGAAAATGGGAAGCGGAACGTTTCTCGGATAGTGCTGATGATTCTGGATGTTTGCAGGCAAGGACGTGAGATGCTTCTTCTGCCCGACCTGCACTTCGCACATCTACCACCACCAGGACGCCATGCCAGAGAAGGTTATCGTGCGCACGCTGTTGCTCGAAGGCGGAAACGATCTTGAGGCCGGCGGCGAAATCTTCCCTGAGGGTAAGCTGAAGTGGGTGCAGGATTTGAAGGAAAGCTTGGAACCAGTTCCATCAAAAAAGGCTGCCAATGGAGTGAACGGAGTTAATGGTGTTTGAAATAATTCTGCGCGGTAGGTTTCAGAATTGAGCATAGAGAAAAGCGGGTTGATGGAGGTTGTTGTGTTGAGTTAATATGCATTTGCTAGAGGCGTTGTAGACGAGTGGCAGTCAGTATTGTCCAGCCTGAATAGGGAGTTGCGCGGTATATCCAGGTTGAGCATCCAGCGTTGCAAAATGGATGCCCGGATTTCAGCTTATGTCTCTCTTGTAACAAAACAAGTTTATTCGGTGATGATTGAGGTCCACCCGTGAGCATTCCTCTCTCTCCTTCCCCCCCTCTTTTTTCTTTTTTTGAAAGCACCATTGGCTCACGTGTCTTTGGATGTGCGCCACCAACACAGCCAAGACAGTTACGCTGTTGGCTTTTTGAGCTTGGTGGGATCAGATCCTTAATTCCTAAGCAAAGCAGGTGCCACACCTTCTAAAGGCCATGTACCACACGAATTGCCAACACTACTTTCATCCCTGATCGATTTCAAAGTGCGTGTCAAATGATGCTAAAGTTTGCTTACCTGTTCCACGAAAGGTGGGGTTATTAGATTGAGTACAACTCTCGCGGTCGAAATGCAGTAGTAACTCCTCTTATCCTCGAAAGTTGGGCAACCTCAAATTAGGTTACTTGCATGATATCAAACTGGGTTGAAGGTCAGCTTACATCGCCATCAAACAATGAGGGTTTTAGCGCTTATCCGAATGGCGGGGTCAACCGTCCCCGCATTATTCTTAAATTCAACGGACTCGCCGGCTATAACCCACAGTTCACACACGATACAAACTTCTCCAAGTCACTCGCACACATCCAGAACCTTCCCAAAATGTACGACACGTACGACGAGGTGTACCAGTTGGGCATCAGAGAGTAAGTTCTGGTCCGAAGAGCAATAGCTTGTTCAAGCTGACGTTTCCGCCAGTCCCGAATTTTCCGAGGTAAGATTTGATCTCCTGAATATATTAGCCAGTGTCACCCATTTTGTATTTTGTTTGTACTGCCCTTCAAAATTTGCATTGAAATCGCTGGTCTATAACCTCATGTTCTGTTCGAGAACCTCAAATCGTTGCGCTGAAGAACCCACCGAGGTTATGTCGTTTGATCTCAAGAATAACAGTATTTCATAGTACATCAAGAAAAATGGGCTCGAGCACATCACAAACATCTCACAACTCCCGGGCCTCGAGGCGGGGTCAGCCAATGACGCAGGTCTCGACCAGGGCCACATCATCGACGTGCCCATGCGCGACGGCTACCTGAACCCGCTGCGGGTCCACAAGCCTCCAACGCCTCCGGCAAACGGGAAGAGCCCTCTCGTCATCCTCGTCTACGGGGGCGGATTCAGGATCGGCGACAACACGCAGATGTCGCCCTTCGCGCGCATCGTCAACAGGCTGTACGGCGCCACGGTGGTCAACCTCACCTACCGCCTTGTCCCTGAACATCGCTGGCCGACAGCGCCGAACGACGTCTGGGACAACCTCCAGTGGATCGCAGCCAACACCGACAAGCTCGGCGCCGACCCGAGCGCCGGGTTTATCTTCGGCGGCGGCTCCGCGGGCGCCAACCTGGTCGTCGCCACGGCGCACAAATGGGTCGAGCAGAAGCTGGAGCCGAAGCTAACGGGGCTGTACGTCAGCATGCCGGTGCTGTTCGTGGAGGAGAACGTGCCCGCGAAATACAAGGACCTGTGGTTCGCGTGGGAGCAGAACAAGGACGCCTTCGCTCTCAACACGGCCGGGGTGCAGGGCTTGATCAAGGAATACGCGCCCGACACGTCTTCGCCGGACTGGTGTCCTGTGAATGTCGAGAATCATGGCGTTGGGTTCCCGCGGACTTATCTGACCGTGTGCGGCCAGGATCCGTTGAGGGATGATGGCCTCGTGTATTGGCGCCTGCTGAGAGACCGTGGGGTGGAGACCAAGCTTGATGTGGCTCCGGGAGTGCCGCACGCGCATGTCATATTTCAAGGACTCGAGTCGGCTCAGAAGTCGATTTTCGGGTCTGTTCATGCGTTTGGTTGGCTCCTGCGGGACGAGAAAACGCCGGCGGAAACTCTCAAGGCTCTGGGCGGAGGAGACTTGAACCAACTCTGAGCGGTGAGTAGGGTTTGGACAGGATGGATGGAGAGATGGGATTTCGTGGACTCCAGCAAACAATGAGTTTGTTCAATCTGGAAAGGACTTAGCCGTCTTGCTCAGTGAAGGTGCATGTAACCCTTGGCGTAAGCGTGTACTCAGCTACCCCGCCTTTACGGACGTGCCCCAGCTGCATATCAATTGAATTTTAAAAATGTTCAAAGTTACTCCACCGATGATCCGGTCTACAGGCCCGAGGGAAGCGTCCAGACTTATCTTATCGGGCACTATGCGCGGTGTGGATGACGTGATTCCGGGCGCATCTGAGGCCATGGTTGCGTTATGCTCAACACCACGCGCCGTCTCCCACTTACGTTCCGAAATTTGACTCGTTTTGATCGGCAAAACTGCCGTAGTCCAGAGCAGCACGCAATAATGCGTCTCGAAGACGGCGCTAGCTCCACGCTTTGTGCGCACCGCCCTAAATCGGCGCTCTTGACGTCGTCTTAAGCAGGCAAGCCGGGTGAAGGTCCCGCGGCTTTCCCCAAATACTAATGTGCCAGTTCTCCACCTTGGAACCTTTGGTCGAGCTTGCGCCTCCCAACTTTCTCCTCGTCTTCTGCGGACTGCTTGCCGCTTTGTCAATCTCTTTTCTGTTTCTGGGTCGTCGACGCTCCACCAAGATGATTGGCCAGGCTGAAGTGCGCGCCCGCAACTGGGGCGCATACGCAAACCTCAAGCGCGACCTCACAATTGCCGATCTGAAGCCCAATGCCACTGCGACGGCAAGCCACGATGCTGCTTCGAGGCCTGTTACAAGGGCGCCATTCCAGGGGCTGAAGGAGGGTGGCAGCGTCGCCGTCAACACTCCGCCATCTTCGTCGTCGTCGTCGGTCTACGAACAGGCGTCGCCGCGCCCAGATATCCCGACGACGCAGACCGTCCTCATGCTGTACCAGCCGCGCACGCGCTACGCCCTTACGCCCAAGCACGAAACGCCCAGTCTGCACTTCGACGACGAGGTGCTGATCAAGGTGAAAGCGATTGGCCTGAATCCAATCGACTGGAAGGCGCCGTAAGTCCACCAATTCCATCACCACCACCCATTGTCTCCTCCACCACCATACTAACACCACCACCAAACAAACAGGGACTTCGGCTTCGGCATCCCAACACTCCCCTACATCAGCGGCCGCGACTACGTCGGCACCATCGTCCACGCGCACCCGTCCTCCCCCCACCAACCACGCTCCACTGCCTCCTCCTCCTCCTCCTCCGCCTCGACAACCTCCTCTTCCGACGACGACAACAACCAACAAGGCCCCCTCTACCTCGCCGTGTCCACCGACTACCGCGACACGCGCAAAGCCGCCTTCCAGGAATACGCCATCGCCCACACCCACACCATCTGCCGCCTGCCGGCCTCTCTGCCCGCCGCATCCGGCGCCTCGCTCGGCGTGGCCTTCGTCGCCGCGGCGCTGACGCTGGGCATCTGCTTCGGGATCGACTTCTCGCGCCCTCCCCCCTCATCCACCTCCTCCGTCCGCGGCCCCGACTACCTCACCCTCCTCAACTCCATCCCAGCGTCCCGCATCCCCGCCGACGTCCTGTCCGAAGCACACGGCAGCATTGCGAGAGGGGAGCGCGCAGGCTCAGGCGACTGGCTCGCGCTGTGGGGCGGCTCGAGCACGACGGCGCTGTGCGCGCTGCAGCTGGCGCGGTTGGCGGGCCTGCGCGTCGTGGCCGTCGGCGACGCGGCCAAGCACGGCGCGCGGCCGGTCGCGACGTCCGTCGATCTCTGGGTCGACAGCCACGACCCGCAGCGCGCGGCGGAGGTGGTAAGGGGCGTGACGGGCGGGGCGTGTAGGTTCGGGGTCGATTTTGTGGGGAGGGAGACGGCGGGGAGGTTGGCGGGGGTGCTTGGTGGTGGTGAGGGTGAGGGTGGGGAGAAAAGGCAGGCGCATTTGGTGGGGTTGGCGTCGAATCCGAAGGGGGTGGGGGAGGGGGTTAGGGTGCATTCGGTGCCGATTAAGTTGTTTCATGAGGTGCCCGAGGTGGGGAGGGCGACGATGGAGTGGTTGGAGAGGTTGTTGGAGGGAGGGTTGCTGACGCCGCCTGAGGTCGTGGTGGAGAAGGGCGGGTTGGCGGGCGTGAATGCGGCGTTGGATCGGATGAGGAGGGGGGAGATTTCGGGACGCAGATTGGCTGTTGAGTTGGATTGATTGAAGGGTGGTGGAAAAAGTAAAATTGTTTGTGTGTGTTTGATAGAATGAAAATGACTTTTGCATAGAACTGTAGATAAGTGAATGACGTTGCGCAGGCCATCATGCGAAAAGTTCCTGCTGTCTCCTAAGATCATAGGCGACAGCCTTCGCCGGTCTCGCATCCACTCCGTTCACAGTCTCCGTTGGCGGTACATACGGAGGGTCTTCCCGGTACACATCGTACTTGTACCTGCTCCCTTCGTGATCATCCCTCAGCTTGGACTGGCCCTTGCCGTACACCTTCTCTCTCGCAGTAAGCCCATCCTCGATCTTCTCAGGATACAAGCCCCTCCGGCGGAGCTCAGGAATCAGCAACTCAACAACATCCTCAAACGTCCCCGGCGTCGTGACATGAGCGAGGTTAAACCCATCCACATCCGCCTCGCGCACCCACCGCTCCATCTCATCCGCCACCGTCGCCGGGCTGCCAACCGCGACGGGGCCCAACCCACCAATCGACGCCTTCTCAGCAACGACGCGGGTCGTGACCTTGGGCACGTCCTTGGACGTCGCCGTCAGCGTCGACAGGATCGACTTGACGCTGTGGGCCTCCTTGGAGTGCGCGGGCGTCAGGTCCTCGTCGAGCGGCAGCTTCGACACGTCGATGCCGGTCCAGCCGCTGAACAGCACCAGCCCGCCCACCGTCGACGCGTACTTGCGGTACTCGCGCAGCTTCGCCTGCGCCTCGGCGTCGGTGCGCCCCACGATCGGGCAGAAGGTCGCGAACACTTTGATCGAGCGCGGGTCGCGCCCCTTGGCCGCGGCGAGGCGTCGGATGTTGTCGACTTTGGGGCGGAGCGGGATGGGGCTGTGCGAGGAGACGAAGATGGCTTCCGCGTGGGTTGAGGCGAACTCGGAACCGGCACTATTCTCTAATCAGTAAGAGGTGGTGGGGGTTGGCGTGGGTAACGAGCTTACGCGGATGTTCCGGCTTGGAATAGAAAGGGCGTCCGCTGGGGGGAGGGATCGGTGATGTGCCTGGTGTCGAGCTTGAAATATTTGCCGTGATGGTGGATCTCCCGGATCTTCTCGGGGAGCGCGTACGTATCATTCTCTTTGTCCTCGACGATGGCGTCGTCGCTCCAGGATCCCTCCCAGAGTTTGTAGAGGACTCGGAGATACTCGTCTGCCTGGACATAGCGCTCGTCATGCTCGATGGGTGAGTCCAGGCCAATTGCTTTGAAGGCTGCCTTCTTCCAGGATGTCACAATGTTCCACCCAATTCGACCGTTGGTCAAGTGGTCAAGGGTAGAGAAGCGTTTGGCGAGTAAGAAGGGGGGCTCGAACGTGGTCGAGGCAGTGATGCCGAAGGCCAGGTTCTTGGTCACGGCTGCCATAGCAGATATCGGCTAGTGCACTGTCAGTGATCGCCAGAACAATTAAGCGGGTCTCAGTATCATATTCTCTTAAGAGTTCTGCCGCACATTAGTGAACTCACAATTGTCGGGTCTGTCATAGGCCATTGTGCAGCTCTCCGAATGCAGTTATCCAAGCTGCCCTCGTACGTATCGTAACCGCCGTAAGTATCGGCCAAGAACAGGGCGTTTATGTCGCCTTTCTCAAGAAGTTTGGCCAAGTCGATCCAATAGTCCAGTTTGCGTTTGTGGGCCGAGCGATCGTTGGGGTTCTGTGGACCACACGTGAGTTTGAGACAGCGCATAAATAATCAACCGTACTAACCTTCCATTGACCTGGAGACAAGTGGCCAACGGTGCTCATGTCAAATGCGTTGAGTAAGATATGCTTCTTCTCGGCATGATAGCCGTTGGTGTAGGCAGCCATGATTAAGGTTGTGGCTTGGATCGCCGAGAAGTGGCTGTCAAGACGAGGACGAAAGCGGAAGGGAAGCAACTTGGCTGGTCTTGCCTCACTACACCGCAGAAAATCAGATTTCATCTGCCGAGCTCCAGCTTTCTTATCCGCGCACCTGGGTTCGGATGTTCCTGAATCGTCGCTTAGTCAGTCAGCGGAAGCGGGTGTGCGAAGCACGCCATACTGGGGGCATATAGCTTAATGGCTCCCCGCTTTAGCGCCTGCACCCGTTGCATGAGCCATGCGGGGTCTTCCAGCCCAGCGCGCCCGATTACTGAAAGAATGGGATTACCTCGCCCTAATCCCACTGATAAGCTATGGCGTGCCCGGAGGATTGTATGGCACTTCGATAAAAGATCCACACTCGGTATGCCCTTTAGTGAAATCCAAGACAGCCAAGAGTGGACGTTGCGATGACACTTTCGGTGTAACCTTGATACGGACTTTTCTTCCGTCTCGTGTGGCGGCTGTGGGCCAGTGTGCTATGCTTGCACGGGTGGCGGGTAGCATCCACGATAAAGCATTTGTAGTCCAGTCTTGCCCTGCTGAATCTTACGGTCCGCACACTGCTCCTCATCCCCCTTCCTTCGACTGAGAATGACGGACAGCAAGACCGCTACCGCTACCGACACTGCAGTGGTCGACAGCCCTGCGGCGTCGTCAATCGCCGTCAACGAATTTCATGACGGCACTGCCGCAGGCAAAAAGGCCTTTCTTGCCTCATTCACCGCCGAAGAGGATAAAGCCATCAGGCGCAAAGTTGATCGGAAGTTTCTTCTCCTCATCGGTATTATATACCTCTTCAAAAATGTGAGTTCGGCGGTGGCGATGCGTGATTATACCACACTAACGGCTACCCAGGTCGACTACACCAACGCGGCTAGTGTAAAGGTTCTTCAGGTCGGCGAACCGAGCAATGTCTTGAATGAGCTCAAGATGTCGGCAAACCAGTACAACTGGGTTCAGTCCATTTACTTCGTGCGTTTCGAAACTCCTCCTCACGAGCCCGCACTGACCTTTTGCAGATCTCTTACATTATTTTCGAGGTTCCGAGCAATCTGCTTCTGAAGAGAACGAGTCCGCGTAATTGGCAGACTCGTATCATCGTATCCTGGGGAACTGTCCTGGCTTGTCACGCTGCCGTCAAGAACAAAGAGGGTCTCTACACCGCACGCTTCTTCCTCGGGATGATGGAAGCTGGTATGTTTCCTGGTCTCGCCGTGCAGCTGTGCTCTTGGTACCGAGCGGATGAGATCCAGAAGCCATTCATGTGGATGTTTGCGATTCAAAACACGTCCGGAATTGTTGGGTCCTTGATTGCGTACGGAGTATCTTACATGAATGGGCTTGGTGGCCTTAGCGCGTGGAGATGGTAAGTGGGAGTGGTGGCTTCAGTGACGAACAGCACAGAGGCAAAGCTGACATTTTCTGCAGGGTGTATTTGCTAGAGGGCATCGCAACTATTCTCTTCGGTGCCGTGGTGTGGGCAGTCCTTCCGGATTATCCAAAGTCGCCGCGATCAAACAGCTGGCTCACACCGCGAGAGCAAGAGTATCTGGAGGCGCGGCTGACGGACAATGCGCCCAAGACACACGAACCGTCGTTCGAAAAGACGGAAGTTAAGGCGGCGCTGAAGGATTGGCGGACGTACTCATTCATGGCAATCCATTTCACGACCAACATGGCTGGGTATGCGCTGTCATGGCAGCTTCCTACCATCACCACGGCTCTTGGATACGCCGGCCTTCCACGGAACCAGCTGCTGAACATCCCTTCGGCGGCAGGATCGGTGCTTTGCATCATCTTTGCCGGATGGTTTCTCCGCCAGGCGTACCTCACTCGACCTATGTTCATCATGATCATCAACGTCATTGTTCTGGTCTTCTTCGGTGTTTTGGCGGGCGTGTCGAACAAGGCAGCCATCTATTCGGCCATCGTCGTCGGCGACTCGATTAGAGCGGCATTTTTCATCCCGTTTTTCACATGGCGGTCATCGACGCTCAGTGGAGCAACAGGCGCGGCTTTTGGCTTAGCCTTTCAGAACAGTATAGGCCAGGTAGGAGGAGTCGTGGGGCCGCAGTTGTTCCAAGAAAAGTACGCCTACAACGGGTACAAGGTCCCCTTCGCCATCTGTGCGGCGTCATGTGGAGCGACGTGCCTGGCGATTGCGTGGAGCTGGTGGTTGACAAAGGATCTTGAGCACGACATCCGCAGAATCAGGCGGCTGAGACTGAAGGCGGCTAAGCATGGTGAGGTCTACGCTGAGGACGACGTCGACATGAGTGGACAGCGCAAATTTTTCAACGGGTTTCGAAAGACGGGCGAAGTGTGAAGGAGAAATATGTATCTAGAATGGAGAGAAGAGTGTATAGGGAGTTACCGCAGCTAAAGGCTAGCGTGAGGAATAGTAAGGCCCGGGGTGTTAATATGCTTCAGCCTTCTCATCAAAATAACACATATGGGTAGTTGAAGTTGTCGTCCGGACAACAGCTTTAGATACTCATGACATCATAAATAAACAAAATTCACGCTAGCTTTCGGCTGCGATGTTCCTCTGTAGAGTTGGTCATGAAAACAGGGTCACGTGACTGCGCGTCTCGGCCCGCTGGTTCGGCTGCGCCGCACCCGTGTTAAGCTCTCCACAATCTCAACCCGCTCGCTCCTTCCCCACCTTCACTCATGACCCTCTGAAATTCGATTACTGCACCATGGCCAACATGTCGGCTTTGGCGCCGGATATTGTGCGCGACGGCTTCGCCTATCAAGGCCAGCTGCTCGCCGACGTCGGCAATTTCAACAGACACCCGCGCGCTTCTGAAGCCGAACTCACTGCCTTGCTCCGGCCCGACAAGTCATCCAAGACCACCTCACAAAAAGATCAAGTCGGCCATTGGTACGTCGCCCAGCTCAAGCACTACGGTTTGCCCCAGACGAAAGACAAGAATGCCGCCAAAATTCGCCTCCTCGACGCCCTCAACACGGGAAAGCTCAAGGTGCCTGCCGACGTCAAGAAATTGGAGACTGCTTTGAAAAAGGAGTACAACGCTGCCATCCGCAAGGCAAGAGCGGAGGCGAAGGCCAAGACACCGGTAGCTGACGCCGCGCCTACCACCCCAGCAAAAAAGAGGAAGAGGGACGAAAAAGATGACAGTGGACGAGATGCAACCGCCGCTTCTGCGAGGAAGACCAAAGAGGCTGAACCTGCAAAGAAGAAAACCCAGGCGACACCCGTTGCACCTGCAAAGAAGAAAGCCCAGGCGACACCCGCTAAACCTGCAAAGACGAAAACCCAGGCGACGCCCGCTAAACCACGCACTGCAGCCACTCCGCAAAAGAAGAAAACCGCCGCCTCGGATCCGAAGAAGCCTACCTCTGACAGCAAGAAAGGTGTCTACTTCCTGACTATCCCCAATATTGCCAACGAATGGCGTGCACTCGCGGCGACGCCAAAGTCATTCAAGATTTTACTTTGTCCTGATGGTGACCGCTTGTGGGGCTCTTACACCTTTGGTCCTTTCTCCGGCGTCTTCCTGATTGACGAAGGCCCTCGCGATGAGACGTTCCGTTTCGTTTGGCGTGGCACAGACACCAGTGATCCTACCAAAGTCAAGTTCGCCACGGGTCTTGGCGACATGCATTTCTTAGATGCAAGGCAGATTGCTGGAACATTCTACAATCTCTACGATTACCGAACTTCCTTTGAAGGCAAGGTTGCAAGCGGTGCGCGTCACTGTCCTCGCGATGCTTTGAGCTTTCAAAACGAGTGGGATGATTATGCGACCACCAACAACTGGTTTGGACGACCCAGCATTAAAGTCCCCCAGGGTGAAAGGCGTCCGATCGGTCAATTTGCCAAGAATCCCGCCCTCTCCGCTCTCAAGCCTGATGAGCCACGTTATCTTCCTGTCGACACTCCTGAAGATACACCGCCCAAGGGACAGCAGGAGCAGAAGATCAAAGAAGAGCCAGATTCACCGAGTGGTGATTCACAACCTATACCAGCTGACACCACTGCCAGAAGAACGTCCTACGTCCAGCCCACTGACGGCTTCTACAGCAACTCACTGTCGGTCACTCGCCCCGGACATGAACCGGTAGATATTGGCCAGATCACCGGCATTTACGATATTCGATGTCTCCAACTTGAGGATGATTTCCTCGAAACCCAGAACAACCTGATGCTTCGTCTTAACCGCGATCCCAGGTCTTCAAAATGCTGGGCCAGCTTCGATTGGGGCCCTTTCTCTGGAGTCATTCAGATGAACCCTGGTCCGGCCAGCTACTCGCCTCACCCAGTCACCCTCGGATGGCGTGCGCGTGATCTCCTGACTGATCGTATCAGATTTGGCCGAGGCTGCAATGGGAAGATGGTGTTTCCCAAACCAGGCGCGATCGAAGGTACATTGTTCGGCCTATACGGCGAAGCCATAGAGTTTTGGGGTGAGAGAAGGACTGGCCCGAGAAACTGTGGGCGTGCGCCGAACTCGTTCCAGGAGGATTGGGATTCTTACCCATCACAAGTCTATGGACCCCCGAGCCAAAGTGGAAGTGATGATGGAGAGCTATATGACCAGAATGGCAATCTCAACCCACGTGGTCGATTCTCCGAATTACTGAAGAGGAACCAGAGCGGCTGAAAAGAAGGCGTTGGGGTCTAGGCGTTCTCGGTCGAGCGGAATAATGGTTGGATTTCGGTTATGGTGTTGAGAGTCAGGTACGGATCCATTGTGGGCCTTTTGATTGTTGGTCGCCTCAAAAGTCGATACCCTTATTCAGCCACACACCAAGACTGCCCAACAGGTGGTATGACAATGGTGCGAACAAGACTCAGCTAAGCACGCTATTGACGCCCTCGACAGGTTGGGCTTGCGATGCACTCGTAACTTTAAATGTTACCCGACGATGCTTGTCTGGCGCCAACGGCGGTATGTCCAACACAGTGCAGTTGGAAATGGAAATCCATTGCTTGATTAAATATTTAGAGGCTTAAGTATCATTATTCTATCAAAGTGTAGTTGAATATTAGATGCGACACACATCTGCATGCAGTACCTTGCGACCAACGCCACGTGCAACGACAGACCCACTTACACTGGACAACTTTAGTCCTGCACGAGCGGGTGATTGACCGAACGACAGCTGCAGGACGCGAATACTCGTAGAAACAGCCCTCTTGGGACCCACGTTCGCCACTGGAGTTATCCGTTCGTTGGCCGTGCCGCACCTTGGCAAATTGCCGGGCTGCTATTGTGTGCTCGTGGGCAGAGATGGCGAATTACCAAAAATGTAATAGGGCGGCGGTTACGACACCCGCTAGTACACAGTTGCACCCGAACGTGAATTTGTTTTTCCCTCATGCCATGGGAAGTTGAAGCTATGGTCCAAACGTGAATGTAGGAATTGTTTACACACATGCTGTCGTGTTTTTCTTTTAGAACAAAAAGGAAAAAGAGCTGTTTAGTTACGGCGTGCCTGCTATTCTTCGCGCTAGCCTTCGGCTGCAGCACCCCTCTGTAGGGCGGACCCTGCCACATTATCCTCACGCCTATGCACCCACCATGTACCAGATCTGACTCGACTCGGGATCTACTAACTTTTTGCCGCAACGGCAAGCATGCCGGTGCCGGGCCCTTATCTTCTTGCACGTCCCGTTTCCCGATCCCTTCCGCTTGGTGCAGCCATGCGCGGCGCCGCAGATGATGGCGCGTTGCAGTGGAGCGATGAGATGCTCCCTTCTGCCCGGAATTTTCGCTGCTCGCTCTTGCAGGCGGCCGTCGCAAGTAGGATAAGATCATCGGTATTCAAGAACGGAGGTGCATCCTGCCTTCTGCTTGTATCACCACCACCGCCTCCTCCATCGCAAAGGTAACGCACCTGTTCGCAACCATGGTGTCGGCGCCTTCCATTGTGCCGTCGATAGTGCCTCAGCGCGCGAAGCACTGGTATGATTGGTTTGCGGATGACGACACACCTGAGGAGCGGAAGCTCATTGTCAAGCTGGACTTGTTGATTGTTCCATACGCGTTTTTGGTCTATTGGTTGAAGTAAGTCCGACAAACTATTGAAAATGTATCGCAGTTATTTCTGACAGAAAGCCACAGGTATCTTGATCAGGCAAACATCAGTGAGTATCGATATGGACGACCTCCATTGGATGGTTTCTAATCAGCACATTAATAGATAATGCTTACGTCGCCGGTCTTTCTGATGAACTTGGCTTCCATGGGAACGAACTGGTCCATCTCCAGACGATGTACACTGTCGGCGCCGTCGTCGGACAGCTCCCATTTGCATGGCTGTTCACGAAAGTCCGGATGCACTGGCTGCTCCCAGGAATGGATCTCGCATGGGGAGTCTTCACTCTGCTGCAGTACCGGGCCAATGGCTATTCCGAGATGATGGCATACCGCTTTTTGGTCGGACTCTTTGAGGTGAGCATCATCACAACCTTCCGTCCAACTTCAAAACTGACAACACATCCAAGAGTGCATACTTTCCGGCAGTACATTTCGTCCTCGGTGCTTTCTATAGAGGCACGGAATTGGGTCGCCGAGGAGGAGTGTTCTACGTCGGCCTAACACTCGGGACTTTGACTGCCGGTCTGATCCAAAGCGCCGCAACCAGCACCCTTGAAGGTGTCCACGGTCTCTCAGGCTGGCGCTGGATGTACATCATCTGCTCCTGCATGACCTTCTTCATGGGCATTGTTGGCTTCTTCATATTCCCAGGAACACCTGACATGCCGAACAAGCTAGTCCTCAATGACCATGACATCGAGTTGGCCAAAAGACGTCTTGAAAAAGACGGCCCACGTGCCTCAGGCCAACTTACCTGGCGCACGGTCAAGAGCGTCCTCACCAGGAAAAAGTTTTATTGCATCCTTATCTGGTGTATTCTGTTCTGGAATACTAGCATAAATACGTCAAGTGGCGCCTACCTGCTCTGGATCAAAAGCCTGAAGCGATTCTCATCCGCAACCGTCAACTCACTCGGAGCAACCGCGCCAGCTATAGGCATATTTTATGTCCTATTCATTTGCTTCGGCGCTGATCTTTTCCTCGGCCGCGCCGGTGCAATTACGCTGTCGTACGTTTGGAATTCCATCGGCATGATCATTCTCTGTGTCTGGCACGTGCCCGAGTCGGCCAAATGGTTCGCGTTCAACACATTTTACGCGTCTGTTGCCATGTCCTCAGTGCTCTACGGCTGGGCCAACGACATCATGCGCCACCATCCGGATGAACGAGCATTCACACTGATCGCGATGAATACCATTGCGCAAAGCACAACGGCGTGGACGCCATTGCTAGTGTTCAAGACAGTCGAGGCACCCCGGTATCCGAAGGGTTATCCGTTTGTGCTGGCTTGTACTATTGGAACTATAGGGATGACCTTTGTTGTCAGGCATGTGCATAAGAGGGAGGAGTAAGTGTGACAACCAGCATCCGAGGGGCAAAAATGCTAACTGTTAAAACAGAGAACAGCGGAAACTGAAAACAGAGTCTGTAGATGTAGAAACCCAGATCGGGACGCCGCCGGAAAGCACCTTTGTCGTGGACGTTGCATCCAAGCACTCTTGATACCTATGAGAATGATAGAAGTAGATGGGAAGAAAAGTATCTTTGTATCCACTATCACGATATGTTATCTTTATTCTTCTTTCTTTGTTCCTCAAAACGATGTCATAACCACACACCTCAGAACATATTGCACGTGGCAAAGGTCTTGATGTTCGACCCTTCTTTGTTTGTTCTTTCGCCACTACGCCGGGTTATTGGGATCCACCTCAACTTCGAGTACCTCTAAAGCCCTGTCAGCAGAGACAACCACATCATGATCCAGCTAGTCCTTGCAGCTATCGCCCTGATACTAGCGTACCTAAGAGCCCTCGTCTCGGCACAGAACGATGTCAGCATTCTCGGGACAACCCTCCCCCCAGCCACAACGACATCCAAGGATATCTCAGCCGCAACCGTTGGCACTTCAACATCCACAAGTGGTCCAGCCACTATAGCCATCACAGTAAACAGGGTCTCGAATATGTTCGTCCCGGAGAATATCACCGCACAGGTGGGCGATGTCGTTAAGTTTGAATTCTGGCCTACCAACAACTCCGTCGCGCGCTCAGACTTCGGATACCCATGCATACCGTACGAACTCACGGGTACCAGTCGCGCTGAATCGAGCTTTTGGTCCGGTTTCAAACCTATCGTGGCGAATCTGGCACAAGTGAATATCACAGAACTGGTCAGTATATCTGTCTTCTCCGAGATGTTCGCACTGACAAATGAATTTTACAACAGCCGGCATATTACATAGTCATCAACCGTGTCACGCCTCTCTGGTTCTACAACTCCGCACCCGACGCGTGCATCAAGTACCAGATGGTTGGGGTAATAAATCCAGTCAGTCGTTCTCCCTCCCTCCCCTCCCCTCCCCTCCCCCCCCTCTTCCCCCTGTTCCCCCCTTCTTCCTCAACGTTTGCCTGACTGACTGTCTGGGCTTTGTTCAACACCAGACATCACCCACCCAACTCGCCGTCCAAAAACGCGCGGCAGCAGCCGCCACCCTGGCCCTCAGCCCCGGCGAAGCCCTCCCACAAGGCTCTACTCTCTCCTCTTCCTCCTCCTCCACCCCCAACGCCACCGCGTCCGCCACTCCCACATCTACCCCCTCCTCCTCCAAATCCGTTTCCCCCGGCGCCATCGCCGGCATAGCCATCGGCTGCCTCGTCTCCTCCGCGCTCGTCGGCGCGGGCATCTGGTCGCTGCGGCACTGGCGGAAGCGGCACATACCGACGGGGCACGAGAGGAAATGGGACGGTGGTGGCGGCGATGACAGTGGCGGGAGTAGCGGGAAGATGTACAGCGAGCTGGATGCGACGACGCCGCGGAGTGCGACCGTGTCGGAGTTGCCGGGAAGTGGGGAGGGGACGATGATGAGCATTGACAGTGCGGTGGTCGGCAGTCCGTATGCCGTCAGTCCGCCGTGGACGCCGCCGCTGGTGTGGAATGCGCAGACGGGGAGGCAGGCGGTGGTGAGTGAGTTGAGTGCGTATGGGGAGTTGCGAAAGGATCAGTGAGTTTTCTGCTTGACTGCTGGTTTCGGTGCTGAGCTGACCTTTTGTGTAGGGTGCCGGGTGTACCGCCGGATAAGCGGTTGCCGCAGCTGCCGGAGGTTCATAGAGAAAGGGAAGGACCGTTTGAGCTTAAGGGTTAGGTCGCTTCCGCCATGAGGCTATTGGTTTTCTCTCTTTTTTTTCGGCCTCTGCTGAGTTATTCGCGTCTTGGTGCTGGCGCCACTTATTTCTTTCATGTATAGTTTGATTTGTCACTGGAAAATAGATTAAAATTGTCTTTTGGTGAACGGTAGAAGCCAAAATTGATAAGAGAGAACAATAAACTAGCAATCAAGGAAAGGATAGGCTAAGAAAATTACACCCTGCTCGGAAAGTTCAAACACCGCTCATGTCCATGTATGTTAAAGAAATCCCGAGTATTGTTATCCAACATGCAGCTATTCCAAAGCCGCCCTGAACATCCTTCTTCACCGCTGACCATACGACTCCAAAGATGAAAACCATCAACAAGTTCAGAGTAATAAAGAAAAGTATCTTTCGCTTGTTTCGTCCTTCTTTGAGATGGATTCCCCACCCCTGTACAGGACCATCGAGCTGTGCCGATAGCTTTCCTCTTATCTTCTTTGGGAACTGTTTCAGTATCCATTTCTGCTTTTCAGCCACGCACTCTGAACTTTGCAGAAAATGCATCAACGTATTTGATCCAATCGGTGGCGACTTGTCCGGCGGGACAGGTTCGTATCGGTATTCCGCTGCAGGCCTCGGCCAGACTTTATCCTCAGGGGGTAGACAGTGACACCTTTGCTCGTTGCAATGTCTCTCGTGGCGTCGGACATCGGCGAAATTGCCGAATATTAGGTGGAACTATTCACCGTCAATCAAACTGAACCATAGACTGTAGAAATCGGAATCATTGCGCGACAGAGCAGATTTAGGATGATGCATACATACCGTGGCAAACTCAATGCTTTCGACGGCTCTGATGGACAGAAAAGATCTCTTTTCCCGGCATTTTTTCTTGTATGCATTATCCACTCGCTGGAACAACTCTCTGTCACAATGCACATCGTGGATAGCTTCCTGGAGAAGACTGGAACCATGTTTAGCATCATCCATGCAAATTAGAAGGTGTATTTGGTCCTCCTCGCCCTCACGCGTTCTGGGCTGGCTTTGATTGACGATTCTCGCATCATTCGTGAATGGCAAAGTAGAATCCGAGTTCGGATTACTTCTAAACCCAAAATAGCCGAGAAACACTCGCCGAAGACTCCCAAAAAACCCTCGTTTATGGGACGAAGTGCCGTCGGGCCCTTGTGATGTCATCCTTCGGGTGTGGAGAACAAGATTCTGCATCGCCATTGGAAGCATCTCGTTAGAAAAGTCGTCGTAAAGTATCTTCCCACAACGCTTTTGCTGTTAGTTAGTGAGTTTTCAAGCACTGGAGATGCACATTACTTACACAGCGCCATCGAATTTGTCGTTTGCCAGCCGGTACCGGCTTCTCCAACAGACCTAAGGTCCGAAGCAGCTCCCAAAAAATGTTAAGCTTGTTCAGGAAACGATGATTGGTTGCAGGTTCCTCTTCCAAAGTCATGCCGCGAAGAAGGAAAGCAGGATCTTGCGCTTCCCATCTTGGGTTCTTTGTTTTCAATCTGACAATCTCCGCCAAGTCCTCCCTGAAGAGCGCAAATGCGTCGGATCCAAAGAGAGCATCAAAGCTACCTTCCTGCATAATTACCTGGCTCGCTGTCTCCGGTTCTGTGCCTGGTAATCCTGCATTTGTAATGCAAGCACCAATTGCGTAGGCTAGTCTTTGGGGGTCCTCATGAAGAGTATTTTGATCACCGGACTCTTCAAAGGGAGAGAATTCGCTGATGAGATACCTTTCCAATAGTTCGAACAGAATTCCAAGATCTGAAACAAAGCCCCTGGGAAGAACGTTTTGACTGAGTAACTTGGAAAATAGCCGATGGAGGCTTGTGTCCCTACAGAGAATTATGGCCGTTGTATTGATGGCTGCTCTTCCTGGGTCTCGATCCGGGCTAGGTTCGTTACCTGAGCTAGAAGCTGTGGAAGGCTGCACAGGACGCCCCGAAATATTCCGCAGAGAAATTGCTTCTATTATCGTTGTAAAATGCTCTGTTCCTAGCCTCAGAGGCTCTTGGGCTTTGGCTTGCCCCTCTTGTTCTGCAAGAGCAATTGCACAACGAAAAATTTTCTCGATAACGCGTCCAGATAATTTCTCAAAGATTTTCAAATCCCAGAGTTCGTGAGGGAGTTTCTTCAGTTCTTCTGCATTCATGAGCATGCTCTTGCCGTATAAGTTGTTCCATTTATCGACTTTGGATTCCCATATGTCGATAAATTGGGCCTTTTCGGGAAGTGGCAACAGGAGTCCAAGTTGGATGTAGCTGAAGAATTCCGGTTCCATGTCACTCGTTGAATATGAAGTGAAAATCAGGAGCCCCCTGAACTTTCCGAGAGCACGAAAAAATTCTTCAGCATGCGGTTAGCAAACTTTCACAGGGGGACAGTTGACGTCTTACTGTCAAGGACCCGAATATCCTGCAAGCGCAATATTAACGATTCCACTTCCTCCAGGAGGAGGACGCAACCCCATTTTTCCGCTCTAGCAAATATCTGCTGCAAGTTGAGATAGATCTCTGCTTTATGTTGTCCAAGAGAATCCGCCATGACCCGGTAAAGTGGCTTGCAGAGCATGAACGCAAGGCTTCGGGCAGCGAGAGTCTTGCCTACGCCATCGGGGCCTGTAAGAAGAATACCGAGACCACCATACTCTGGGTTAGTATAGGTGCTTGTTTTGATATCCGTATACTTCTTCTGGAAATAGGATTGCGCTAGGGACAGCATTGCTTCTTTCTGACCCTTGAGAAGCCTCAACTCAGACCAAAGTGCACCATCTATTTCAACAGGTCTGAGTTCTGGAACACTGAGAAGGCCCCACTTTCCATCGGATAGGATCCAACCAGGAACACATTCCGGTAAAAGGCGAAGCTCAAAGTCTCCAAGAAAGTCCTCATGATCGGAAGCGTAGAGTCCCGACTTCGCGTACCTACTCAAAAACGCGTCTGACCGTCGGAATATCTCGCTCATGTCGTGGTCCACTGTTTGGTCGTCCGGAAAGTCATGACATTCGAGACAATCGTTCGTACGCATCGAATCGAAGAAACGACTCACACCCATGGATACAGAGAGCTCGGGCATCGAATGTGCCAAGCCGACTCCATCATGGTAAGCTTCCCTGAAATCCACGATGATGCGGCTGTCAACCTCCTTTTCATCGGCCATGAACTTGGGACAGGGGTCTCCATTGTAAAAGAATCTTGCAGAATGGCCTTTGTAGCCCCAAAAAGAAGGACTGGAAAGAGCATGGTCTAGGAACTTCTTTCCTTTCTCAAGATGCTCTCTCAATAGGTTCTCCGGGGTTTCAAAATATCTGAGCGGGACTACCTCGAGAGATTTTACTTCTCGTTCTCCCTCAAAATGGGGGATAGAAAACGTGAACGACACTGGACCAAAGCTGGTACCATTAAAGTCAATGCGGAATGCTGTGAGTTTGAATCTGCAGAGGGGCTCGTAAAGCTGGAAGTAGCTTTCGGAGGATGTAGCAAACACTTTCCAAAGTTCTGGACTTTTCTCTCGGCTTTCCCAGGAAGAGTGACGGTGGAGCGAATTATCCGTCTTTCTTGGCCTCTTTCGGAAGGGCTGCGGATGTTCGTTCCACAGTATGTAATCTCCCGGTTGGAAAAGCGACCAGAGGTCTAGGAAGTGCACTTTTTCATGGATTCCATTTCTGTAACCTTGAAAATGAGGCTTGATAGACTGGTCCATAAAAGCGACCACACATCGGAAATGTTCCAGATCGATGGAAGTTTTTGCTTTACGTTCGGAAATATCATCGGTATCATGCTGCAGGCTTTTTTCTCCTCTCTTCATATTGCTCCGCTGATCACTGTCGTCTTCTAACGGACCTTGAAGCGTGTGCGATTGTATCTCGGTCTCAGGCTTGGGTCCTTCTTGGGTGGCACTCTTTGGTCGAATTGATTCATTGGCTTTTCTTCGAAATGGTGGATGATGACCAAGACCGCTTTCTAGTTCAGTACCTGTGATGTCCGAGGCCATAATCGGTGGGCTTTGCTCAGAAGAAGTTGTCCCAGGAACATCATCCATTGAAGATTTCGGAGAATGGTGCTGCTGAGGCTGACTCGAGTGTTGCACCAATTTGTTGTCGAGAAGATCTACGAGTTGCTGAAGCTCGTTGAACCGATTCCTTATAGCGGAGTCGTAGTGGACCAGAATCTTGAATGGAAAGCTAATGATCATCGACTGTGTCTCTTTGGTCCATGGTTGATCTGTAGTTTCTGACAACGAAGCCAGGAAATTCAGGATTGGCCTCGAGTTCATTCTTATCGCACACGGTACCTCGCTTGGTACACTCGTGATCGGTGCAAGTTGGGCATGTTTTGGACGAGGTGGCTCTGCCAGAACTTCTATCGCATATGGTCGTAGATCTTCGTCGTTGGTTTCGAGCCATTTGAGATAAAGGCTGCGAAGATGACGGCATCCTGGATTGAACTGGAAGCCTTCCGGGGCGAGCTGTCGTATATTTGGGCATACATTCTCTGGCGAGAGCCACTCATCGTTTTCTCCTTTGCTGACATGTTCGACTTTTTGATCCGGTCCGAATCTAGGGTGCCGTGCGGGAGATCTCGCAGTCGACGGTCTGGCTTTTGGGGGAGTGAAGGGAGAAGACGGAGGATGATCCCAGTCAAGAGAACTGTCAGAGTCCGTGGAGACAGTTGGAAACGGGCCCCTCGGAGAAGCTCTGTGTGCCTTGTATGGGTAAATATCATCAGCCGAATATGACCGACTGCGTCCGATCCTTGAATCTCTAGACCTTCTTCGAGGCCTCCGATGTAGATGCATGCCAGGTACGTGATGATTCTGTAGTAGATATGCTTTAACGAGCCTTGAGAGTGCAGTTGACGAGTGTGGGGCCTATTCAACAGTAAGACGTATGGGAAATGTGTATACCTCAGGTTTTGTGTTGCAAGGCTGAGAGTCTGTCTGTCATCTCCGATTTTTCTCAACATGCGGGGTCTTATATTTACCGAAATTCCCATCTGCATATGCAAAGTCAGCTGGTCGCTTAATGAAGGAATACGGTTGGCCGAAATCGTGCAGATGGTCGCATGCAGATGATTCTACGAATCACCTTTCACGGTGTACATGAGCCCCACTCGATAGGGAGCCATTTGGCAAGGGCTACTGGAGTCGTCTAGCGGGGTATCATAACTCAAAGCCGGTATAAATCTATTTCCAGATGTCTGTCTAAGATTGTATAAGAAGCGATTATCTGAACATCAATGTAGAACCAATAATTATACACTCACGTCCAAACTGTAGCACATACTACCCCTAGTAAATGTTTTTGAGAATGCTACAGAATCACTATAATGCAGAACTTCACTTATAGTACTCCTCAACCCACGTCACCACCTGGGCAATCTCACTGTCAATAACCTTCTGCACGCCCGCATTCGCCTCACCATTCCTCGCCAACAAATCAGAGCAATGAATGCCGTCCGGAATCACAAACACCGGCGCCTCCGCCGTCGACTCCAACGGGCCCTCGGGCCTAAAATCCGACGAAACCGTCGCATCCTTCCACGGATCAAACTCGCCATTCGCCCAAACCAGCCTCGTCGTATTCGTGCGGCTCCACCCACCCGTATACGCATTAACATCATCCACCGTCTTCCCCTCCGCATGTCCGTACGTCCACTCGCCCTCGGGCGGGAAGAACAGGGCGCACTGGCGCTCCCAGTACTGCGGAGTGACGAGGCGCGAGACGATGGAGGGGCGGCCGGTGGAGGCGGGCGCGCCGTCCTGCCAGAAGTCGAAGGGCTCGTTGCACAGGAACCAGTTCCACTGGCGGTTGGCGGCGTTGGCGAGGGTGCGGTCGGTGAAGATGGGCGAGGTCGCGTCGTACGTGTCGAAGCAGCCGACGTCGTCGTCGGCCGTCCACTCGCTGTACCCGTAACCCGCGCAGTAACCGGGGACGAGGATGTCGCGCATCCACGCGGCGTAGCCGTTGAGCGCCTTCTCTAGACCAACGCCTGAGGATGAAGGCGGGGTGACGGTGCTGTTGGCGAAGGGGACGGCGTTTTCGACGTAGTCGCAGAACTGGTAGAAGCTCGAGTAGCCCGTGTAGAACTGGTTGCTCTGCCACAGCCACGGGCCGTTCTCGAGCGCCGACGCGAAGTCGTCGTCGTGTTCCAGTGCCGCGAGGGGCCCGAAGCGGGCCTTGAGCGCCTGCTTCTCGGCGTCGCTCCCGTTGATGAGGACGTCGTCGATGTAGTCGATTACGAGGGAGACGTCGGCGCTGCAGTTGGCTGGCATGCCTGCTTGGACGGGGATGAAGTATTGCCACTTTGGGTCAATTGTGTCAGCCTTAAGTTTGTATTTCTCTTTCTTCTTTTGTTTTCCGAAAAAGCATTAAAGGGGTGGGGGACTTACGAAGTCACTGACGGCTTCAACGACAGCAGAGGAGGCATGATACGCCCAGAACGTGCCGGGATCCACGGCTTGAACCCAGCCCGACAGCGCACCGCTATAGGAGCCACCCGAGAAGACCCAGGGCTGCATATTCTGTGATTAGCACGAACTTTTTACACTAGAGTGAAATGTCGAAGACTCACAGCACGAGAGGCCTGGCTGCTTCCATTAGTGTCGAAAGGGAAGACGACGTTGTTGGCGAAGTAGGTCGTATCCTTGATGGATTGCGGAAGGTTGAGATACTGCAGGTTCTCGACTGTCAGATCATCGAAGGGGGATGATTCGCCCCAGTAACGGTCTTGAATGATAATCAGTACAATTTTCGAGGATACGTGGGCGGGGTATGCTTCTACTAACGCTCAAGCATAACGACGGCTCCTTGAATGGCTTGAGCAAAAAGGCCGGTGATGGTGCGATTGGTCAAATAACCCTCGTAGCCATCGGCGGCGCCCTCGCCAGGGGTGAAGAACACCACCGGAGAACCCGGTCCGGCCCAGAACTCATCGCTCCACCAGTAGCGTTGAGAAAAAGTGCCGAGAGACGGATCATCGTGGTCGATGAGCTGCTCGAAAACGCCAGTCCCGGTGCTCCGGGCCTTCAGGGAGCTCGCAGCGATTTCGCCTTCCGGAGGTGGGGGAGGACGGAACAGCGAACGGTGTTTCGGAAGGACGTTGGCGGTAGCGGCGCCGAAAAGGCTCCCGACGAGGAATCCCGCAGTCCACTTCATGATTGACAGCTACCGGTGGCCAGAGAAACAAACAAAAACGCATGTTTTCTCGCTCGGCTTTTATACTCAAATTTTTTCTACTCAAATACGATATTGCGGAGAACATCACCAAATGGTGTGAGGGCGCGCGTATACGATGGGGGCGTTATCAGTTCACCTTCCCAATTGGTTAAGCGGGGCCACTCCTAGCCGACGGCATGCACAAGCTATTGCGAAGCTATTCCATTAATGCTTGTTTCTCTAATCTTTTTAATCTATATTATTTTACTGCAAGTCCGCGCATGACTTGGGGTATTGCACCGCGCGCTTGATGGCGCTCTTGAGCTTGTCCCCATCGATAGAAATGGGGAAGTTGACGAGGCGCACGTTGGGGGGAGACAGCGCCTTCTGGTAGCCGTGAATGTTGCCGTAGCTGGGGCTGCCGTAGGACACATCCACGTCGAGGTAGACTGCAATCATGACCAAGAGTCAGTTCAAAACGTCAAAATGAGGGAGATTTTTGGTGGCGCAACTTACACTGGGTGCTGTTGGTCACGATGGAGGGGTCGAGCATGATAGCCGCGGCCGTCTCATCCCAAAAGGGAAACTCGGTGCCATAGTACTTGTGCATAAGCTCCGAGTACGGGTTCTTGACCTCGTACACCTCGTCCAGGAAATCCTGAGTCGACATGACCTGATTGGCCACGTTTCCACCAATGGCTATGCAGCACACATTGAGTTAGCAAAGAGGCTCCACCGGTCAGAAAGCTTGTTTCGATGGGGCATTGCTTACTGATGTTCGGGAAATCCGCCGTCAGGGCGATCTTGGCCGCCTCGGGGTCGATCATGAGGTTAATCTGCAAGTAAACCAACCGTTAGCCTCGACGATCTACTTTGCATGCATATACACTTCCCCCGCAAACGCCGACACCACCACTTTTTTTTTTCTCGAGAAGGAGGCAAACTTACATCCGAGCTCAGATCCGCCTGCAACACGCTGCCCGTCACCTGCAGCAGATTGACGTCGACGTAGCCGCCCATGATGACCAGCTCCTTGGCCAGGCTGGCGAACTCCGGGTCCATGCGCACCGCCAGGGCGACGTTGGTCAGCGCGCCGCCCGAGTAGATGCTCACCTGGCCCGGGTACTTGCGCACCTGCTGCACCATGAAGTAGGCCGCGTTGGTGTCGGTCGCGAACGTCGCGTTGGGGAAGCCCTCGGTGAAGGCCGCCCGCGAGATGCGCTTTGGGTTGCCCGACGTAGGGTCCGAGCCCAGCGCCTCGGCCGTCAGGTTCTCCGCTGCGAAGGCACCCTCCCTAAGCAATTCGGTAGGTCGTTAGATGCTATTGTTTGGTGTTATTCCTGTTTCGGTAATGTTACGTACCAGGGAAGAGCACCGTGCACGGCCTTCCATGCTTGGTAGCGCTCAGGAGTGTGGATGAGCGGCCAATCCGCACCCTTGTAAACGGGAATGCAGTTGGAGAGGTTGCCGACCTCCAGCGTTGCCAGTCCGTGGAGACCAGTCTGCAGCGCCCAACTGTTGGCCGTGTCGGAGGCGAGGCCGAGCACTTCCCAGCCGGCGTCGAGAGCCTGGAGGAAGGGAATGAAACCTGCCGGACTCCAGTCATTATCAAGAATGACCTTCGGCTTGTAGGCTGCCGTGGTGTTGGTTTGTCTCCTAACGGTCGCCGGGACGGCCGCCGCGAGCGGGAGGGCTGTTGCCAATATCGATGCGGAAAACTTCATGGTGGCTTAAATCCGATGGCTGCAGGTATCTGAACATTGCACGAGATATGGAGACAATTTATACCGAGCCCCTCTATTGCAAGAGACTCGGCATTTCGTCGTCATGCTTGGCCTGGATTCGAGCTTTGGCCGGCACTTGTCAAATTCGATTGACAGCAGACGAGCGGTATGATCCGCGCCCGATAGTCCACAGTGGTGGAAAAGCCGAGTTCGGCGGGGACCGACGCCGCGATCTTCAGGTGTTTCTACGCAAAGCGGTCAAGCTCTGAGGCGGTGGTGAACAGATTTCGTCCGCGCTGCCGATAACGAAATCGCGAATCCATGTCCGGCCGCGCAGAGGTGTTTTCTCGGTCCGGCACTTTTGCTTGCCGATCTTCTAGTCCATGACGTACTTTGCCGATGCTTTATCTACCCACGGACCGTCTCTTGATTAGTGAGCTCCAGCACGCCCTACGTGATTGGAAGACCTGCAAAATCTTGACCGCTTGACGAGCCCTCGGTCATGCGAAAACCTCTCAGCATCCACCATCGTGTGATGGGAATCGCGGTATGCCGTGGGGTGCATGAACCTTCTGAAGTGATCCACCGGCCATTATGTTCCGCTGCAGGGACAGGCCGGCGCGGATGTCGATCACTTTTTTTTCTCGGTTTGTGGGTGTCAAAACGTTCATGTCGCGGGTAGTTGAAGCTACTATCATCCGGGCGTAGTTGTTGAACTAAAAATAATACATTCGCATCCGGACGATAGCTTCAACTACCCATGTGTTATCTTTTTTTCTTTTTTTTTTTCGCAAAGAATTGCTCTCTATTCATCACTCTAGCCTCTAGCTGCGATACACTCTACATGTTTCGGCGTTCTATCACTAACCGGCATCCCGTTAGCAGAGTTCAAATTGACAGGCTCTGAGGATGGGCGCTCAATCTATTGCCTTGCCATCCGGAAGTATTTTTCCTTCGTAAGTGATCTCATCTTCTTCCCATAAACCATCATCGGAATCGTCGTGAGGCAAATACCAAAGGAAAGGCACCCAACGTTCAGGAACATATTCCGAAGTCCAATAGCTTCAATCCAGGGAGTCAGAGCGAAGACGATGATGGTTGCCAAAGCATTCCGCATGAATGTGACGCCGACGAGCGCATCTCCAACCAACTGCGGTTTATGTCAGTACTGCATCAATAATTTGACTGGACGAAACCGGGGGGCGCATACCTCTCGATAGCAATCCGTGAGATACGTCAGTGATACCGTCCCCAACAAAGAGAAAGAGACGCCAAACGCTGCAGTCCCAATGCACGGAATAATCCAATGTCGACCCTACGACAGTTAGCACTGAAACATTTATGCCTCAGGGGAAGGGGAGGAGACTCACATCCACCAAGCTAAAGCCATACAAGAAGAGAGCAAGCGGCGTCAGCACAATACTAGGCAGCGCGATCCACAACCGCATCTCCGGCTCAAATACCCCACCATTCCGCTTCGCCAGCTTCAGAATCAGCCAGTCGTTCATCGGTCCGCTGAAAACCAGCCCGATGGCCGAGCCGATGAAGGGCGGCAAGTTGAGCAGACCGATCTGGGCAGCGTCGAAATTGTACGGCGGCATGGTGAAGTACGTGGACATGGTCGTCAGGATGACCGAGAACCACGCCAGCGACGACGCGTAGACCAATGCTGTCCATGCCGCGGCCGGAAACCTGAAGAGGCAGAGAGCAAATCGTACCAGGAGCCACCGAACGCTGATGCCATCTCCGGGCGTGCGCGTGACAAGGGCGAAGCGTTGGCGCAGGCTTTTTCGAGGATAGTTCCAGCCTTCCAGGTCCGTTGGTTGCTCACGGTCGACTTGCTGTTCGCTGAAGTCCGCATCTTTCTTGGTAGCTCCTTGCTCGGGTATAGACTCTGTGTCTGCTTGGGACTCAACGGGCGCGGACGTCAACACTGGAACATACTTGCTTTCTTCGTATGCGAAGGTGAAGAGGACCAAGCTGACACCGAGAAGGATGGCCGTCCACCACCATATCCACCGCCACCCTTGATTGACTGCGGCAACGCCAGCCGCAACGGGGGCCAAGAAAGTACCAGCGGCGACCATCAGGATGTATAATCCATTCATGGTGGCACGTTGGTGCACGAAAAAGAGGTCGGAGATCGTCATCTGCACAATGGCTTCGCTCACAGCTCCTCCAATACCGGATAGGACGTTTGCCAGAATGAGGTCCGTCACAGTCTGCATCTTTGCTTGCCAGATGGCCGTCGCAAGCATGAGGCTGCAGCTGAAGATATAGATGGGCCGACGACCGTACTTGACGGTATACGGGATAAGAAATATGCAGCCCACTGCGAGACCAGCGCAGTTGGCGGCAAAGCTGTTATTCAGGTTCGTGTAGGAGATACCGAGTTCGGCATTGAGGTCGCCCCAAATAACGGTTCCGATATCAAGACTGGCTCACTATGTCAGCTTGCAAGCTGTGAAGCGAATGGGGAGGTCATGCTGTACAGGACAAATGCCATCAGGGAGTAGAAGAGCACGATGCTGAAGTTTACGCATTTCCGAGCCTTCGACCAGTTCTTCCAGGACGTCAGTTTGGGGCTTGGATGCGTCTGCAGAGGACACTCACCAGTGGCTCATCGGGATCATTGGATGGAACAGGATGCAAGTTCTTGGACAGACCCTGGTTCGACACTGACAAATTAGATATATCCATTAGGCCATGTTTCAAGGACTTACAGTCTTCCAAGTTCAGTGTGCCAGGTGGCCATCCGTCGGGAGATTTGGGGCTCAGTGACAACATATTGAGCAGTTGCCTTCGTTGACAGCTGACGCTTGGGCGATGCGTCTGCTTGAAATACTTGGGGGTAGTCGACCTTTGTAAGTTACAAAACTCCCACTGAGTTGGCGCCGATAAGAACTGATGCGGGGGCTGTACAAAAGTGGGCGGGGTTGCACGCAACCAAGTTGCGGGGGAATGTTGCGAGCCACCGTAGAAACAAACCTCGATATCTTGATGTACCATGATAGGAGGGCGCACATGGCGCAAAACAATCTCATTGGCCAGCAAACCCAACTTTGAATTGGGGCGCTCTTAAAAAGCCTCCGCCAATCCGGCTATCTATCCGATTAGTCCACATGCGGAAGCTCCATCCGAGGGGCGCGACGACAGGGCAAGGCTTCTTTGATCAGATTGCTACCGTTACCGGTGGGAGATGGGGTATCAGATCAAGCCAGAACAGTCCAGTTGAGCAATCGCGGACATCCCATAGGGCTTTGAAGAAAGTTTTCAGCTGCTTCCGGAGAAGCGGAAATGTGTGGCCGACAAAAGCATCCACCGAACTGAGAAAGCGTTGACGGCGGTCCTCGCCACACATCTCTATACCTGCTAGCATGAAGGGTATTGTGATACAGCGCGGTCCTTGATTTGTGGTGCTTCTTGCCAGCTCGAGCTCTGTGAAGATGCTTTGTGCCATACGATCAGCGGCGCGGTCCTCAGAGTCGAACGGGTACTTAAGGCGGTGAATGAAAAGGGATAAAGCAGTTCTGTAGACCCGGACCTGCGCAAGCATATGGACAACCTCATTGGCCTTGTACTGAGAAGTGAAGTCGACAGGTACCTCGGGCTCCCAGCTGTGTACACTGTCATCCAGGTCCTCAATGGCTTGCATAATCTCTTTTTTGTCTTCGTGAGCCGCGTGATGAAGCATATGGCTCAACGAGCATATGTCATACATGCAAGGTAACAATGAGCAGCAAAGGCCAATGTATGCATCTACGAAGCCAGGCTCCGGTTTTGTAGGTTGAACTAGGGGGGCTTCTCGTTTGAACAAACAATCGTTTATGTCGAAAAGGATCAGGCAATTAAGCTCTGATGGAGCGCCGCATCTGGGTAAGGTGTCTTGGTGAGATGCTATCTGCGTCAAGACGAAACGACGGATGTATGATCCACCAGTACCATGAGCGCAGAGATCAAAAGCAACCACCGAAGTTCCAAGTATAATCCATACGGGAAGATTGTCCTTGATTGCACCCTGATGAGCGTGTATCTTGGAGACAGCCAGCCTCCCTCGCCGAAGATTCTCTTTGGTATCGAGACCTTCGAGCTGCAGGCCTTGGACAATTGTAAGGCTTCCGTAGCATGCGAGGAAGCAGTCTTTCACATGGTCAAAATAGTAGGCGAGACTCCTGTATAGGGTCCTCTGCAACATGTCTGCAAAGCTTGGACCTAGGACCATGTGCTCTGCAAATTGGGATTTGTCCAGCATGCGGGTCAGAAGAGCCTTTTCGAGGGGCTTCATTGGGGTATTTGCAATGGATATCTGTGCCGGAAGGCTTGGGACGGGCGACATTCCTAAAGCCGGCACCATTGGCTGTAGAAAAGTAGCTGCAAGGTTTTGGAATTGCGGAGAAGATAAGATATCTGCACCGTTCTCCAATTCCGTTGGGGCATTTCCGTCAATCTCTGAAGGAGATTGGAGTTGAAGCAACCCTGCAAGAGAGCTCCACTGTGACCGCAGCCAGGCTGGTGCGTCAGAATCGGTTGCGTAATTATTAGTCGAAGCGAGGGCGGCTTCCTGCTGTGGTGGTGATGGAGAAGCTGGCCCCAGTGACGCCTTTTTGCGGCCGGGCTTTGACATCTTTCGATTGCGGAGGCAATCGCGGCGCAAACGAACACAGCGATCACAGCTCAAACATGCTGCGGAATACGTGCACTTCTCCTTCAGGGAATGACAGCGGTCGCAGGCGGGAAGACCGCGGCTCCGAGGGGCGGACTTTTCGCTATCAGCGCCAATGAATGTCTCGGAAGGCAGGATGACAGAGGCTTACCATTGCGATGCGTGGGGCTAGAAGACTGCGGGTGACGCGCTTAAGGGTGGAGGTGTCGGGGGTGTGACTCGATTGGCGCTTATCTGGATCTGCACTTAGGCCGCTTTCCGCACCTTCCTTCCGCAAAACCCCGCGGGCATGCAGATCCGCGCAACACGCACGTGGAGATCCAACCCCTGTGATATCTTCTGTGCTTTGCACACAAACTTTTCACAAACCTCTGCAACCGACCAAGTTCTTCCAAAAACGATAGGACGCAACGAGTCATGGCTTCAGAAGGTAGGCATTCCAACCCCCATTATCAGACAACACAATACTGACTCTATATCTCATGCAGACCTCCTTTTCCGTGTTTCCTCACTCCTGGAAGCCGATCCTGGCCTCCCTCACTCCCAACCAACCGCAGCATTCTGGCAGTCGCCGCCTCATGAGCTCCCTGCACCAAACTCAACGCAGCTCCCCTCAGCAGCAACCACCGTGGTGATCGGCTCGGGCATCACCGCCTGCAGCCTTGTCAAGGCGCTGCTTGAGAAAGATCCTAACGCAGACATTGTCGTCTGCGAAGCCCGGGGCCTATCCAGCGGCGCCACTGGCCGTAATGGCGGCCACCTTGTCTCATCGGCCGTCGCCGACTTTTCTTCATTGCAAGCTACCTTCGGCACCGAGATGGCGGTGAAGATTGCCTGCTTCACTTTGGAGAATGTGGAGCGCATGTTCGAGGTTGCCAAGGAACTTGGGCCCGAAATTGAGGCGGCGAGTGAGTTGAGGCGCGTGGACAAGGTTTTGGCACTGCGGGACGCCGAGGCCGTCGAGAAGCTGAGGAAGTCGATGGAAGCATTCGAGAAGAGCATGCCCGAAAAGTGGAAGGGGCAGATGAAGCTGGTGGGGAAGGTCGAGCTGGAGGAGAGGTACAAGCTGCGTAACGTCGCTGGCGGCGGCATCGTCAAAGGGGGAGCACTATGGCCCTACCGTCTGATCTGTCGCGCTTGGTCCCATCTCCTCACCCAAAACCCCAGTCGCCTTCGCATCGAGACCCAGACGCCTGTCACCTCTGTCACCTCCAACTCCGACCCCGCTTACCCGTACCTCATCACTACCTCTCGTGGCGCCATCTCAGCCAAGGAAGTCGTCCACTGCACCAACGGCCACACCGGTCACCTGCTCCCTCGTCTCCGCGGCACGCTCTTCCCTCTCCGCGGGACCATGACCGTGCAAGACTGCGGCCAATCTTTCCCAAAAGAGGGCGACTCCCGAACGCTCAGCTTCTACGGCACCGTGCAGTTCGACTGCGTGACCGAAGTCTTCGATCTCGGCCTGCATTACATGCAGCAGAACGCCGTGACCGGCGACATCTTCATCGGTGGCGAGACGGCTCGTGCGACTGACCTATTGAACAGCGACGACAGCCGTGTCTCAGAGAGCTCAATAAAGACGTTGGAGAACGTGCTTCCAGAGGAGTTCAGAGACGAAGTCTTTGAGAAGGATGACCAGGGAGGACCGCACGTCAAGAGCAAGTGGTCCGGAATCATGGGCTTCACGGCCGACGGCGTGCCGCTTGTGGGCCGCTTGCCGAAGGCTGCTACCGGTCGTACCAGTAATGGAGAGTGGATCGCGGCCGGTTTCAACGGGTACGGTATGGGTAATTGCTGGCTGACCGGCGAAGCCCTGGCCGGCATGATGCGTGGCGAGGACGTGAGCGCGTCACTGCCTGAATGCTATCTGGCGACCGAGGACAGACTATCCTCTCTTGGTGCAGACAGGGCAGCAGAGCGGTTATTCGGATATTGAGGGTGCCGGGAGACCTCCATGAGTTGGCAGCACCGCAGTACGAGGAAAAGTATCCACAACTACGCACGACCTGCAAAGACGGCGCAATTGGACGCAATTGGTGTGTTCTGTACCCGCACTTCAAGGGCTTCAACCTATCACGAGACGTCTAATGAGTGACGGTCAGCAAGTGTGTCTGTGCGGCTCCAACTATAGACAGGCACAGATTCACTGTGGGGGATAGTACTATTTTCACACCAGGGAAACCGTGCTCACATCTCGATGCGTTACGCTCGGGACGAGACCGGGCAAATACCCCTGAACTTCACTTTTTTGGGTTATAGTGCCGATGTACATGGAATACCACTTCGTATCGGGTGCGGTATCTTCGGACACAATCCGTTACAACTCATACGCCTACACACATGTGGCGATTTGTGAGAATTCACGCTGATTTCAACCAAAAAGCTACTATCACACGAGTTGAAGCAGAACCCGTGGATAAGTTCAAGAAACCAAGATACATGGAATTAAATTGTTATCATTTCGAAGTGTCTGGAGACCCAGCGTATTGGAGCACTCGGGCCACCAGCACTGACGTTTCAAGCGTCACTATCATCCAAGATAAACACAAAATACGAACGCCGAAGCACCCACCACGGCCGAGGTATCCCGACAACTCAATAATGTCTACAGAGGCGATTTACTATAAATATAAGCTCATCGATCCTCCATAAGTTTATTTCCATCACCATTCGTTCGTTCTTCACTTCCAAGGCAAAGTTAGCAATAACTCAACCCAACCCTTCAATCGCTACAACAACAGCAACCATGCGCTTCACCACCGCCGCCGCCTCCATGGCCCTCACCGGCCTCTTCACCCTCGCCGCGGCAGCAGACGACCAAAAGGCCTGCTCCAAGCCGAACCTCATGATCAAAATCCACACCGGCTCCTGCGCCAACGCCGACTCCCTCACCACGCACGTCGTCGGCACGGCCTCCAACTCCACCCACATCCTCAAGGACAACCCCGTCCCCGCGGAGTCGACTTCCTTCTTCGAGGTGCCCGTCCCCTTCGAAGGCAGGATCTACGTCACCGAGAACAACGCCACGTCCGCCGACGCTGTGCAGGGCGTCGCCTTCAAGGTCTTTGACAGCTCTTACACCTGGGCCCAGGCCTCCGTCGAGGAGGATAGCAAGACCGTCGTTGCGCCGGTCAAGGTCAACTTCGCCACTTTCGCCAAGTGGCAGGGCATCGAGATGGGTGGCGCTGCGATTTTCAACTCTCGCGTTGGTGACCCGCTGGTCGTTAGCTACTGTGGATCGAACTAAGGGGATAATGTTAATTGGTAATGATAATGTGGATAATTGTACAGAGCGTTATTGCGGCGAGATGCGAGCTTGAATTTGCTTTTCCGTCCACATAAAGCCCAGACCTGTCTAAGCTCTCGTGCCATGGGTAGTTGAGGCTATCGTCCGGACGTGAATGTAGAATTATTAATCCCACATTCACATCCGGACGATAGCTTCTCTTCTCTCCATATGTTGAATTTTGATCGTGAAGAAATTTAACCGGTGGTTCAAGTTTTGTGACGGCAATTGTAGACTTTTTGTCGAGCTTCAAGAAAGATACGAAAACGGTTTTCCCAGCATTGCAACAAAGTTGGGTAGCTGAAGCTACTGCCCGGATGTTCTTGTTTGTATATAAAATGTGTGTTCAAGTCTGGATAGCCACTTCAACTGCCCATCTTCTGTTGTAATAAACAAACCGACTTCCTACCAAGTGACATGTGATGATTGCCTAATTGGATGACACAATTCCTCATCAATCATACTAGTAGCTAGAGAGAATAGAAGCGACGCGAGCTAACACAAGTAATGTTACAAGCATATCTGTTGCCGTGCTATGCGAATGCGAACGCCGATCTGAAAGAAGAACATGAAGAGGTACTGCAAAAGAACATGAAGTCGCCGTGTACTAGGAGATACAGCAGCCCCAAAGTGCAGCTTACACCTCAGCTCTCTTCTTGCATTCAATCACTGACACCTCGGAAGAAGGGATTTGCCAGATCTTGACGAGATCCAGCCCGGCCAAGTCAACCAGGGTGTGCCAGTCCTTAATGGTGCGCTCCTTCGCCCCAAGGTTCATCATGCAGATATCCACCTGGCATGGTTGGGCTGTTGGCGGATTGGGCATGACTTGGTCCATGATAAGGATGCGCGAGTGGGGCGTCATCGCGTCTCTGCAGTGGCCGAGGATCTGGGCGTTGTACTTGTCTGACCAGTCATGCATGACACGACGGAGGAAGTATACCAGTGCTCCTACTGTCTATCAGCTATATCCGAGCGTCAGCGCTATTTCTTTGCTTACCCTTGACAGGCTGCGGCTTGAAGAAGTCGTGGACCATGAACTTTGCGCCCTCCAGTTGCTGGGGCCTGCTCTCTTCGGCGTGCTTGATAGTAATATCCCGATCCTGCAGCACGAGACGTTCGGATGGGAGCTCTGGAAGACTATCCCTGATCTGGGCGAGCACCTGGCCCTTTCCGCCGCCAACGTCGACAATAAGCGGCGCGTCAGGCGCAACTTTGTCAGCATTCTCCATAACCCACCTGAACGGGTAGATGCCAATGACGGGCAGCACTTGGTCCAGCGTTTGCATACTGATATTAACAGCCTCTATCCGCTGCTCTGTGCATGCATCCCAGAAGTTCTTCTCCGGAACGCCCCAGCCGAAGCCGTGCGGTGAGTGCGTGGGCTCCAGAGGCTCCTTGCGACCATACGCCTTGAAGTACTCTGGGAACTTGCAGTAGGGCACTAGACCCTCGTCAAACCTAGGTGATGTTAACATTTGGGCAGGGAACGAACAGGCGCTAGGTACGTACATGATCTGGAAGAACATGCCTTGAGGGACGTTGTTCGCATAGATCGGGGACAACTTGGTGTGGGCGACGCGGTCCTCGCCAATCTGTCTCAGAACTCCAGTCGAGACAAGCATCGATGCGAACCGACCTGGTAGAGAAAAGTTAGCGTATGCACCGAGGTCTCGGGCAATTGCGTTTAAAGAGATGCAGCACTTACGTAGCAAAGGCTCTTCAGCGTCAACTTTAGCGGCCAAATCAGCATAGGAGATGGAACCGTCCCGTGGAATATGCTCCAGGGCGCGCCAGTCCATCAAGACGCGCAAAGCACCCATCTCGGCCATCTGTGTACTCGGTCAGGCCACGACTTTTCCGCGTACGGACAAAGAGCGGGGTAGTAACTTACTGAAACACAGTAGTCAAACGGCTTCTCAAGCGGGTCTTGGACATCATCGATGATGCCTTTAGCGAGCGCAACTATCTTCTTGCGTTGAGCGAAGCCTTCCGGGCCAGACGAGTCGGTGTAACTGTCGATCGCTTGGGACAAATCATTGGACAAGGCTTTGAGCGAATCGGCCATTGTTGAAACCGGGAACTTGGTAGGTAGGTAGGCAGTCGCATGTACAAGGCAGTGGATCAATTCGGTGCGGGGTGACGAGACGCGCCGAGAGGTTTAAAAGTCGAGGGTTGTGGAGCTTCTCAAGGAATATTGGGCCCATCGCGCTTGCAGAGCGGGCAGGCGCGAGTCGAGACGCGGCAACGATAGGAAGGAAGCCGCGGCACGAGACGGTCCCATTGGCTAAAATTTAGCAGACCCTTGATCATCCTTCGCCACTACAGCGGCGTGAATATACACGGTGGATGCGGTGCCACATGCTCGTGAGTGAGGTGTGACGGGCCCGCAGCCGCTCCATTCCACAGCGGGCCGGCGCCCCGCGTTCGTCCACATGTCGATCCACATCCCTACTCGCTGCCGATCAGCTGTAGCGCGCCCGCGTGGGATCTGCGTCAATTGTCGCAGATGGCTACCGTCCTGTACGATCCCCTGAGCTTGGAGCGTCCAGCCAGCCAAAATGTCTTGCTCCGACGAGCTATAAGACGCCTTTCCCGCCTTCCGCCATGCTCGCTTCCGCCACGGAAAAGCTGCTGACCCTTCGCTCCAGCTGCATCCAACAATCACCATGGCTGAGCTAGAGCCCGAAGACGCTGCTGCATACGATCCGCCGCAAGAGATCGAGCCCGATGTAAGCCCAGCCGAGCCCCTCATGTCAGAGGAGTCATGTTCACACCCAAACTCTACCGCCAGTCAGCAACAGAATTCTCCGATGAGGCGTATGCAGAGTCTAGGCACGTAGCTAGCTAGCAGAAATACCCAACAGCAAATCCACAAACCCCTGGCTGACTGGCGTCTGTCTAACCCACCAGCGCATCGAGCGTCTTGACCTCTATCGCCTCCGAAATCAAGAAAGGCCGCGAGGAGAATGGCAGAATATACGCGGCCTACGGCTCTCAAGGTAAGAGTGCCCTATTATTTCTTATTCGTCATGCTCACAGAAAGCTTAGAGTATATGCTCCCCGTCGACGAGTACGAGCTCGACCGAATGGACATGCAGCACCACAAATACACCCTACTTCAGGGAGACAAGCTATACCTCGCTCCGCTACGCGACGACCCGCAGAAAATCCTCGACATCGGCACAGGTGGGCATCAAGTTACCGATACATACCGCTTTCTCTGATACCCCGTCACCAGGAACCGGCATCTGGGCAATCGAGATGGCCGAGAAATTCCACTCGGCCGAGGTCAGTACTTCGTCCTACAAAATCACACCTGACGCGAGGGAGAGAGAGCAGCCGTTGACCAACACCAGGTCATCGGGACCGACATCGCACCGGTGCAACCAAACTGGTATGTGCGGGAGTTTGCCATACCCCAGCTCTGTTTCCGCTTGGGCAGTAGGCGCTAAACGGTCCCACCCGAAAACGAAAACAGGACACCGCCAAACTGCTACTTCGAGGTTGATGACTGCGAGCTGGACTGGCAGTTCAAGGAGGCGAGCTTTGATTTCATCCACACGCGCGACTGCTACCTGTCGATCCGGAACTGGCCTCGGTTAATCGGCCAAGCATACGAGTATTTCTTTCATCTTTGCCTCGAGCATCTTCTCTCTTTGGAAACTCTTCCCACTAACTTCTCACCAGCCATCTCAAGCCTGGTGGCTGGTTAGAACTCTCCTGCGTCTGGCCCGTCCCGAAGAGCGACGACGGTACACTGGACCAAGACTCGGGCTACGTCGAACTGTGCCAGACTTTCATGGACATCGGTGAAGCAATCGGGGCCGACGCCGACGTCCCGCGGCGATACAAGCGATACATGCTCGAGCAAGGCTTCGAGGATGTTGAGGAGGTTGTTTTCAAGGTGCCCACGTCCGAGTGGCCCAAGGACAAGCGGCTCAAGAAGGTCGGCGCGCTGGAGAGGCTGAATCTACTCGAGGGCGGAGAGGCATTCTTGCTCAGAGGTACGGCGGTCAACAATCTTCTTTCCCTTTTTCCCTGGACGAATCCTACATTTTAGCTGTACTGATATTACTTCCTTCCAGGCATGACCAAAGAATTTGGCCGATCGCGCGCGGAGATGGAAGTGATGTTGATGCGCATGCGGAAAGAGCTGATGGCCAACAAGTTCCACAGTTACGTCTCGTTGTGCGTCCGTCTTATTCCCCACGAGAGATACCTGCTGACCGTCCCGCTCAGTTACGTTGTGTACGGTAGGAAACCTGACGGGAAATCCAGAGCTGATGCATAAGATACCGTTTGCTGGGGCGGCTTGGGAATTTATTGTGTCTGTCTCTTTTTTAGCGTTCTCATTCCAGCAGCCAAAGGCCTATGATGAATATACAGAGGGGGGTTTCAGCCGAACGCGGGCGCGAAGGACAGCGCCATGGGATAAACTCCCGAGACTCACGGTAGGTCCCAGAAGGTATGATCGATCGCGATCGCAGGTTGTAGTTTGAGGACGATATTCGACTTTTATGGGTAGTTGAAGCTGCCGTCCGGACGTAGGTGTAAAATAAATAATTGTACATTCACATCCGGACGATAGCTTCAACTACCCATGAGCGTAGAAAGGCATCTTATACTCAGAGAAGCAAATTCACGCTAGCCTTTGGGTTGCATTACCCCTCTGTATGATCTTTGCAGCGATAAATTTAGCTCGGAGAAAATCTGTTTTTTAATAAGGTTGCGGCTGCTGCACAGTAGTCGAAGATCTTTCGGGCTGCAAATGAAGATCTCATCCTCGGCACAGTCTCGCCGCCTTGGCCAGCCGCGGCCATAGTGGTCTGGCCAGATACCACCAGTCGGAAGAAAATAAGCTGAGGTGCTGATTGGAGAAGTGTTGCGGCGGCTGACGAGCGCGCGGATCCGTGGCTTACTGCTTGGGCGCCTGAACATTTCCCGCTGCATAACGGGTCCCGTGCACTCCGCCCGAATGTGAATTCTTGAACGACCAGAGATATTAAAGTAGAAATCTCAGGAAATCGGATTGTTTCTTAATACTCACAGGGGGGTCCAGCGGACTTCAAAGGCGAGGCAAAAACATGCCATTACTTCCATAGAACGAACGCCACAAAAAAGCAATGCTCAATGAAGCCCGGAAAGGCAATACTGCCAGCCAGCGACCAACTTTATGGGATGCGAGCCACAAAGGTAGGTTACGATTACACATAATTATTGCCTCACCTCCTAAGATTACGTCTCCCACCTGCAGATGAAAAGAGGTCCCTGTTCCCTGCAACCCCGGGGCCTGCAGGGCCGCTAAAGCCTATTCCACTCGCCTGATTTTGATAGAATGATGTAGATGTAGATCCATGACGATTCGGCTTACTGACGAGGTTAAGCGCATCATCTCGAGTAAACCCCGCCCGGGTTGAGACTGATGGAGTGAACGGGGGTATCATCTGCGCGCGTGGCGTCTGAAACATTTCAGAGCCTCTGTGTGATTGCTGAGGTCCCGGAACCGAGCTAAAATATGAAGAGGAGAGCCTGGGTTGCTCTGGACGCACCAAGTAGCCACCTTGAGTGCGCTGTGGATGATGTGGGATAAAAGGGCGACTGGCGTTGCTCCGGGAGGGCGCCCCAGTAATTCTGTTTTGATACAACGGTTGATTCTTGGGTCTGTCCTGTGGGGCTCTGATGAAAGAAAGTCCATTAAGGCTACGAGGTTGTGACCAATCTTGTTGGGGAGGGGCCATTGGGACGTTGGATTTCTTGGAGACAGTCCCCACGCGAGCATTTGCTGACAGACCTGCTACACCAGGACTAAGGCCGGAGCTAATCCCCCTTGGGGGTCTCGAAAAGAACGGACTTGAATTTTGACTGACGTGTAGCAATCCAGAAATTCGACGGCTGCTTGGCGAAGGGATGGCTGGCTCATGGTAAGGAAGTCGTCGCCTCTCGGGCTGTTTTGAATACATCTGAAAGTCAGGTCCCCTCAATTGACCGTTTCCAACGTCACGGTTCTGACGGGATGGCACAACCTCCGGCCGTCGGTTCCCATGTGACGCTAGATTTATCGCACGTGTAGCCCGGTCATGCATTTGCTGGAATGCCGGCTGCTGAAGGGTTTCCACTCGCTTGTCGTACACATGATATATTGCTTCATCTTCGCCAACATTGGCCGGGGCGATCGCATTTCCAGTAGCATTCTGTAAGCGCTCTGCAGGATTGACTAGAGCTCCTGTCATGAGGTATCTCTCTGGTTGTGCTCCAGGCTTCAGTGTCTCCGGAACACGCTGGGGCGCTTTCTCCGTGAGATGTTCATGACGTTCACCGTTCTCAAATCTCTGTAGCTCAGGAAGATTTTCCGGGTCTGAGGGAAATGAATTGGGCGCGCCCAGTTTTGGGACTTCTCCGAAGTTGTTCGCGGGGTCAGACGTAAGAAATCCTTGGATTGTCCCTCTAGTATCGGCAACACGGTCCTCGCGATTGTAGCCTTGTCGCTGTTGGTCGTATACGGTAGCATTTCCATGGTCCATGTACTCGGAAAGCTTTCGTTTCCGACCGGAGCTTGACTCGGAGATGTGAGTATGCGCTTTTGATTCACGATGGTTAGCCGTTATAGAACAGTGATACCCTAGGACTAGTAGCTGATCTCTACCTGTCCTGTATTCAGTACGCGTATTGTCGGTGGGTACTCTTGCTATTGAGGCTTCTCTCTGGCGGGCGATGGATTCGGGTGGGTTCAACTCTGCTAACTTTTCGTCCGGCGTGTCCCGGAATGAATAATCCGTTCTCGGTACGGCGTAGCCTAGGTCAGTGAGCTGTTGTCGCAACATATTCACTTCCCTGTTACGGGTGAGCGGGTATCAATACGCAGCATTACAAGAAACTCACTCTATAACCAGGGGCCACTGTTTTAGGTAGTGCGTGACCTTGGGAAGCCTTTGTCTCCACTTGCCGATTTCCACATTGTCTTTCTCAGACGACGAAAGCTTGTGCTTTAGCTCTTGGTTCTCCGAGACCAGCTTTTGCAGCTCGTTATGCCTGCGGAGCATGGATGTGCCGTAACGAATAAGAGACAGGTATTGAAACTGCAAGGCCTCCTTTTCGACGCTCTGGCCTTGGAGTTTCATTGGTGGTACTTGAAATAAAACCTCGGGTATATCAGGGTCAAAGTTGCCGGGCCGCAGGCCTCGCACCGCGTAAAGCGCCTTCGGTCTCTCATCCTTCTTTTCCCTGTGGCAGAGAGGGCACGGCGCTTTGGGATGCTCACCCTTGCGATGGAAAGGCGCGCCTACCGTTTTCGTTAGCGTCGACTGTTCGATTCCTGGTCGCGCGATGAGTAATACTCACCACCTCCTTCGAGATGTTTGCCACATGTCAGGTGCATGCATTGCGTGAGCCAGAGGCAAGTAACGCGTCGATCTGATGTGTGGGCTCGACCGTCTTGGAAGTCAGTCTCAGACGCGCCAGGATTACCTTTGCTGTAGATGTCGGAGATGCTGGCCTGACAGATGTCGCAGGTGAAGATGACGTCCAGAGCACCCGGTGAGTGTTGTGCAGACGCCATGGTTGTTTCACGAGCTCTGCCGTCGCATTGGTTCGGGAGAGGATTTGGTAGATGCAGCCTGGACCCTGACATGCGCGTTTATCCCGGTGCCTGCCAAATGTAGTATCCGCAACTTCAAACACCGCTAAAGGAAGCGAAGAAGACGGCACTCTGGCGACGCGTAGCTTTGGTTTTATTCGACATTCTCGTCCGGACGATAGCTTCAACTACCCATGACACTGGGCTGGGGGAGTTGGCGACGACTATCGTCCGGGCTCAAGTTTGACCACCCCAATAGCGTGTAATTTTTTGAGTGCTGAACTTTGCCATGACACATTACCACTGCCCTGTCTTGCAGGAGCATAAATATCTTATTCAGGGCCTAAATCACAGTGTTTGTCACACCATAATAATGGGGCATACGCATACGAGCAGAACCCACAACTTCTTCCTGTGCTATATTTACACGAGCAAAGCCATCTCTATTCTCTTCTCTAGGAACTAACTCGCTCCTACGTGAAAGTCCTGCACGGGTAGCTGCAATAGGGTCAGCAAAACAGTGTACTCTTGACAGCGCCAGAAAGCCAAAGAAACAGGTCTCACTCACTTTCCCTCGTACGACTGCTCCTCCTGCAGGTTATACTTCTTCTCGCCCAGCTTTCCGCTCGTGTGGTGACCGCTCGGCAGCGGCGGCAGGCCGTTCTCGCCCAGCACGCTCTTGACCGCAGCCGTGTCCTTCTCGAAGAAAGCAGAGACGCCCTTCTGGCCCTCCTCGCTCACGGCGATGAGCTTGTTCTTGCCCGCCTCACCGATCAGCTCGACCTTCTCGTTGGCGGCGCTGCCCACGCTCAACAGGCCCACGACGTCGCTCTGCGTGACCGTCGCCAGGCGCGGGTACGAGCGGCGCACGTCGCGCTTCCAGTACGGGTTGTCGGCAATGTCGCCCGCCGGGATCGTCACCGGGTCATCGTAGGTGTTGGGATCAAGCGCTCCCGGGGGAGGGTTGCGGAATTGCGGGTTCAGCGGCACGCCGGTGCTGCGCTTCGGGTCGACGGCGAGGATGTTGGAAACGCGCGCCCAGATGCCTTCGGGCTGCACCGTGTACTTCTATTCCCCATGCGGCACTGTGTCAATTACTCTTCACGCTGGTCGAAGTCTATGTAGGCAGTCCAATGGCTTCCCCCGACGCTGTGCCCCGAGTGGCTGCGGTGGACGGAGAGCTTGGAGGGCCAGGGTAATGGAGGCGCGGTCGGAGGCTGTGCGGGGCGAGCGGGAGGGCAATCGCACCTTGAAGGAAGCGGCCTGAGCGACCTTAGTCGCGGCGGATTTGACCGTCTGCGACATGGTGGTGATTGTCGGGGGTGTGGAGTGGAGATTTGGGATGGCCGTTGACGTTGGAGGTGCTGCCGCCGACCGTGATGCGGCTCTGTCTTGGCGGGAGTTCAAGTCAGCGACACGCTGATTGGTCTCTGCGTATTCCTGCCTCAGGCCTCGAATCACCTTCACGCCTCGTCAACTTCACATTTATCATGGACAGGCTTCCAACTATCCTCCGTCAAAATTAACCCAATCGTACTACTGCACAAGACTATACAAAAATGAATGCCCCGATAATAATGATGCGCCGTGATCACTTCAAACTCCTTCCACCCTCTCTCCCTCCAATTTGAGCCTCTCATCTTCCTCCAAGTCATGCAAGAACCTCATCAACTCCATCGTGGTACCCTCAGCACTACCAATACTAAGGAAGCTGTCGTTTCTCGCAAATCCCTCACTATTTTTGCCTGCATTTTCGCTATAGTTATCTGACAATGTTCTGATCTTGACCTTCTTGACTTTCTTGGCCTCGGCCTCCGCACCCATGCTGGCAAGACGAACCGCCGTTCCAGATGCCGAAGGCGACAGTTGATGATGTTCGTCAGTCGTCTCTGGTTTCTTGCCCGTCGTGTCACAAGCATTGGCATCTTCGGAGCTGCCGAAGTTCGGCATCTGGACGCAAGACTCGTACATCTGCGAGAAAAGGCGTGCATCGGAACGCCACTCGTCCGAAGAGCTCTGCTTCGTCCGCCTCGGGACTTTTGCTGTCATGGTACGCTCAATGGCTACCTTCTCTGGAGCGGCAATTGTAGTCTCCTCTGCAGAACCTTCAGTCTGCCTCTCTAACCGCGTGGGCGTGAGGACAGCCTTCTGCCGCGCATCGTCCATGACGTCCTGGAAATCCTGGCTCGGTGTGCTGAATCGTGTCCACGTACGAGCATTGCTCCACCACTCGGTCGAGCTGTTTGTCTTCTTCCCAAGCGCGCGCTTCCCGCGATCGGCATCACTGCCAAAAGCGCGTGTCCACAGGCGAGCGTTGGCCGCCCAGGATCCATCCGAACTATCTGTCCTGGACTCTTCACGCCGACCGGGCATGGTGGTCTGGGGATGCCTATGCTCGTCTTTGCTTCCTTCTGCCTGAGCCTCCACATTAGGAGCTGCTTGGTCGTCATCCACATAGATGAGGTCTGCTTTCGAAGTCGCGCCATCTGTTTGTAATCCAGGTGCGCTTCCCTGAACCTCAAACATGACTGGTGAGAAGACTGGTGGCAACATCTCCAGCTCCGGATGCTCGAGCGTGCCGCCCTCAGCGATGGAGCTACGGTGGCCATGACCATGTCTCCTGAACTCCTCGCTCTGACTCCTGAAGAGACCGATGTAATGCTTGAGAAAGCTGAAGTTACGGCTGAAGGTCATGCTCTTACTCTTCGACATACCGCTGCGGGTCTTCGTCTTCTTCTTCGGTCGCAGTGTAGCAAGTCGCTGGACTCCACTCTTGCCGTTGTCCTCTTCCTCGGTCGAACTCTCATCCTCCATCTCTTCCGCATCGACAATCTCGTACGCGAAGTCCCGGGTCCTCACGTTATCTGCTGAACCAGCAGGTCCGGTACGTTGCTCTCTGGTGTGACTGGGATAGCGACTCCAAGCACCGAGGTCACCCAGATCAATATCCGCCAACGTCGTCCCGCCCCAGCTATCGATATGCAGGTCTTTCTCAATCGAAACCACACTGGGCTCATCTTTGATCGACGCTCCAGGAGAGATGCCAGTCGCTGGCGTCAAAGATACCGACACTTTGCTCTGCCTGAGCTCATCACCCAGCATCCCACCTCCCTCTTTCAGCCGCGCCAACTCCTCTCCAAATCCAATTTCCAATGGATCGAGCAAAACGGTTGGCGACCTCTGCAGGCCTGGCCTAACTCCACCAAATGTGAAGTCATCGTCAATGGCCGGACCTTTACCCTTCCGGTCGCTCAGCTGAGACCGCGCACTGATAGCACTCCCGCTTCCGCTGCGTTCTCGAAACAAGCCCCGCGCTTCGGCTTTGCCTCCCTTTTCTGGAGACAAGAACATCGCACTCTTCTCCTCGCGGTGTTTCTGTAGAGCTTTCTCCCAGACGGCGCCCTGGCCTAGGTCGTTGCGGCCGTCGCCGATGATCCAGGAGCGAGAGAGTCGGCTAGGCTGATGTTCTTCGATGGGCTCTGACCCTATGGACTCCTTGTGATCCAGAGCGGGTGGGATTCCGGGAGAGTGCGGAGGTGTATGTGAGTCCGAAGGCCCATCCGTATGGGTATCGAGACCATGGGCTCCTTTGAGTGTCTTGTCTTTAGAGCCATCAAAGACCAGATTCTCCTGAGACCTTGAAGTTTTCCTGGCATGCAGCGCGTGATTGTGCGACGCACGGCGCAAGTTCGCATAGGTTTTTCTGCGGAAGAACGAGAAAGTCGAGAATCTCTTACTGGGTGTCTTGATGCTGGGTGTCCTTTTCTCGCCCCTGACGCTACTCGGCTGCTTCGCTGGCGGTGGCGTAACAAGCTGCTCTCTCGGGACCTTCTCGCTCGACACGGGTGACTCGATTGCAGTGACAGGGGTGATGTCCAAAGAGCTATCTGTCGTCTCTTCAGAGCTCTGCTGGTTAGGCCTCAGAGGCACATCCTCTCCTGCATCAGTCATCTGGTCCGAAGAATCCAGCAACTCGTATGCATGCTGTTTTCCCTTTCCGCTCGCGTTGGTGTTGCCTTTCTGTGTCGTCTCGGGTCGCTCATTCGCCGTCCTAAAAGTCAACCCTGTGTCCGCCCTGTTGAGCAAGTTCGTCGAGCTTGATGGTGGAAAGGCACCAGGCATTGCTGAGGACTGCTTTGGGTTCCATTGGACACTATTGCTTCCTTTTTCATTGAGTTGCGCGCCCTCTCTAGTCAGTGCGCCCACATCACTCAAGTTCAACACCTCGTACCCGCTCTTCCTGACGATGGCTCCAGGCCCGCTGCTGGAGGAAGAGGCGATGGTATTCAGCTGTTTGGAAGCCACAGGCGTGCAGCTACTGCTCGCCAAGCTGTTCTGGCGTGTCGAGTATACCGAGCTGGGTGAGTATACGCTGCTCGGTGCCGCCGACACGACATTGCCCCAGCCTTCAGGCACGCGCTCACTCGCAAACCCAGACGATGAGCAGCGCAGTCTTCGAACCGTGCTGTTGCTCGGCTGCATGTGGAGAGGGGGTGGCACGCCCAACCCACCACTAACGCCGCTCACAACACTGCCCCTCGCGGAGCGCTGGAGTGGCTGCTGCGATTCGGTCATCAACGGTCCCGAGATTCCGGACAGTGTGCTCTCGGAGCGCAGATGTTGGGATATGCGCATGTTGTGTAAATGCACGCTCGCGCTTTCCGAGTCAGGAATATTGGTAGGCAGGACATTGACAGAGGCGCGGCGGGCAGCACCTGGGCGGGTGCTTAGGGCACGCTGCTCTGCATCAGGTAAGGCTTCAGAGACGGCGCGACAAGTAGTAGTATCGGTGCCATGGTTCGTGCTCGGAGACGAAGCAAAGGGGAGCTTGTTGGGAAAGCTTGGGCTGGTGTTGAGCTTGATCTCGTCAGGAGCTCCCTCCTGAGCTTTATCCTCGCGTATTATGTGCTTTGGTTCAGTAAGTGGGAGATTGAGAGGAGTGGTCTCGTCTTTTGACAGAGACCAGACTTTGCTATTGAAAGACGAAGCGAGGCTCGGCAGCTCTGTGGGTTTGAGATCGGGTGTAGCAGGCCGTAAATTGTCCGCTGACTTCGAACGCCTGCGCAGGTGTTGTTCTGCGAACTTTTTCCATGGGCTGCTTCTGCCGCTTGGCTGGTACAACTGGAGCAGGTCTTCGACGCTGACATTGCATGAGGGCAGTACGCCTAAGTCGGAGAGGCCTTCAGGTATACGGATGGACAGGACAGGTGCGCTGCTGCTTGGTTCGCCCCATCTGAATTAAGGATAATCAGTATCGAAGTTTCATTAAAATCCGATCATTGGGGGGAGACTCACCCGTACGGCCCACTGCCGGCACCTTTTCCTCCCCAATCAATGCTGCTCACATCACCCCTCCGATCTGTGCTGCGTTTGCTTTTGATAGGCGATAGTTTCGCTTTTTCTTCGTCGTTATCCGGAAGCGTCACGGTTTTCGTCAAACGTTCAACGACACTGTCCCTGATATCCGGCAAGCTTGCCGCATCCGAGTCATACGTCCGGCTAAGCAAGACCTCGCGTGTCTCAGAACCAACAGGGTGCATCTCGAGAGCAGCAGCATCGTCTTTCTTGTTTTTCAACTTGGACTTCTTGCTTTTGACTTTCTTCTCGCCAGGCAAGTCTTGCTGCTTCTGTTGCTGCTCCTTTTGCGCCTTTTCCTTGGCTGCGGCTGCTTTCTTCAGATTGGACAAGCTAAGGTTCGATCTGCTCAGTTCTCGCGTCAGACGCTTCAAGAGCTTTCTCTTCTTTGGCTTTCTGTCGTTCTTGGCTTCATCGTGGGTCCTTTCGGTGGCTGTAGCAGGCCTTGAACGTGGGGCTTGGCTCAGCAGCGCCATGCTAGAAGCGGGTCCAGCAGACGGCGGCAGGGTAGACCCTGCCTCGGCGAAGATCTGCTGCAGCTCGATGAGTTCATCGCTGGTATGCGAGGTGCTGGGTTCGTGATGATCGAGCAGCGGCGTTTGAGCGGGAGCATTTCCACCAGACTTTGGCTGATGCGAGTGACGACGGAATGGTAAGGGAGAGCCAGGGCGAGAATCCGTGTGTGCAGCGCAGCAGAGCTTTTCTGCAACCGCTGGTGATGGAGACATGATGGCTGGGTTTGTCTTGACTTGCAGTCTGCTCTGTAGGGTCTGAGACGTGCAATGAAGGGCTGGAACGCGCTGGTTACGGTTCGTTCGGGAGGGAAACTGCTTGTGAGCAAATTGCAGCGACGTGCTCCAACGCCGCAAAAGCGGTTCGATCGGTGTTTGGAAGCACGGAATTGGTGCTGCCGGACGAGAGGTGAGATGCTTCGAGAATACGACCCAGATCGAACAATGCAGGAATAAGAGAGGAGTGAGATGAACGAGCCTGAAACAAAGCCCATTGGCGACAGGAGACCAGTAAGTGACGGGACAGGAAGGGGCGAGCAAACAGGAGAGCTGACGAGGTAGCAGCTGGCGCCCTCGCAACGCACCTAACTAGTACATCAAGACCGGCAGGTACAGTCTACAACCACGCGCAAATTGCTTTACCACGATAGTTAGCTCGTAGTGCAATACCGAAAATCATATTAGAACAAGTGTAAAGAAACTTAGATCAAAGCATAAATCGCAACGACAACTCGCTGGTACATGTGCAGTGCATGGCGATAATCTGTGGTGCGAATGGTGCAATGTAAGCTGGAGCACAGGCTCCGTTGTTCGCACTGAAGGAACGGTATGTCTGCATAGTCGTTACATAAACTCCATTCATAACAGATAACTCAGCTTCGTCAAGCCATTTTCGCGTCTTTAGCGTTCTCCTCATACAGATGCTGGTTCTCGACCCAGGCCGCAACACCAGGTGTGCAAAGGTTCTGGAGCTCGTCCCAGCTGTGTGCTTTGGCTGCCTTGCGAATCCGTGTGGAACTCACACCGATACCTTCCTGACCAACGAGATAGTCCACTTGTCCAGCCCATTCCGGCTTGAATCCTTCCGCCGCCAGCGATCCTTGGGCCAGTCCTTCGATGTATGCAATCTGTTGTTCTGTCGTACCGAATTCCTGAGAGCTCGAATCGTTCGGGTCGGACGGGCGTAGAGTAGCCAGGATCTTGTGGCCAGGGTCGAAGTAGGGCGCCAGTGCTGAGAGCGGAGGCGAGTGATCAGGGTAGTACTTTGACGCGAGGAACCGGGTCACGGTGTCGTAGCCAATGAGATGTACATGGGTGGGGTTACTGGGGTATGGATTCGGTTGAGATGTGGTGATTGCAATAGACTTGTCGGTGTAGTACGGCTTTTTGGTCAGGCCGATGTCGATCGCTACATCAGAGCGAGATGGGAAAGCGGACGCTGTGTTCGATAGGCTTGCAGAAAGGTCCTCGGCGAAAAGTGTCATCATGGCAAGGCGGTGTTCGAAACTCGCAGGGGCGGGCGCCTTGTCCGCATTATGCGTGCTGAAGAGAAGGAGTATCCGGTGAGGGCCGGGATCTCGGATTACAGGTCGGGTAACAGCAGATGTCGCAAGGGCTTGGTGGGCAACAGAGGGTGGGTTGAAGGAAGAATCTAGTATGTACAGCGTTTTTGGAGGCTGCGGGGTGCTGGCAGCGGGGTTGATTGTCCGAACAATGCGAAATGCAGACGACGAGGAAGTGAAGGCATGCAGCGCGGATTGGAGCTCTGGGAGCTGCGCACGCATAGAGGCGATGCGGCCTGCCATGGTGTCTGCCATTGGGAGTTGACGTGTGGGAGGTGAGCAGGACAGCGACTGGTGCGGCGACGCGACGGAGATTGCGCACAGACCCGATCTCGCGATGAGGTCAGATCACCAGTCAGGGAACAGGCGCGGGAGGCGGCGGCGGGTAAACGCTCATGGCCTCATTGCGCCCTGCTGAATCACCCACAACAGCCGGGTCCATGGGGATGCTGTCGGGCTGGGTCAGCTCCTCACGCAGGCGCGAGGCCAGGTCTGCTTCCTGCATGTCCACGTCCTGCGGCGGCTCGCCAGTCTCGTGCTCACTGGGCGCGGCGAAAGACATTAACTGATGTTGAACGTAGAGAGGACTGTGCTGAGGCGGAGGCGGAGGCGCATACTTTGGCTGCTGCTGGGGCTGATGTTGCTGCTGCTGTGGTTGCTGCTGCGGCTGCTGGTCCGGCTGCTCGTGGGGCGGCGACAGCTGCGGGAGCGGCTGCTGGCCCTCGAGCGAAGCTGACGGCGGACCTTGCGGCGGCTCCTGCTGCTGGTCCGACTGCTGGGCATCGGGCTTCTTCGGTGTAGCGGTTGCATCCTTGCGCGGGCGGCCGGTGCGCTTGCCATCCTCGATGTGCTTCAGCTCGATCTTCTTGCTGACATCTGGATCGAAGCCGCGCTTGCGGGCTCTGCTGTAGATGTGCCGGATGGTCCGACTCGCAACGCCCGTCTGCTCCAGGATCTCTTTGTCGGAGAAGCCATTGACCTTGAGCGTCAGCGCCTGCACGCGCGTGGCAATGTCGTGCGGCGCGTGACGTTCCTTTGCGTCCTTGGATTCCTTGGACATGACGGGCAGCGATGGATAGACAACGGGCGTGGGTTGATATTGTTCGAGAGACGCGTGCGGAGGGGCGAGGCACAGAAGGGGCGCGCAGGAAAAGTATGTGGCCGAATCGGCGCCATGTGCCGCCCCATCCACCGCCAGTTTCCGAGCGTGCCCGCTGCCGCTTCCACCCCTCCAACGGCAAGAGTACGGCCGCGTCTTCTGCACATCGCGTTTCGAGAAGCCGATGGCTGGCCCAGGCTCGCTCTTATCTTGCTGCATGCGTCTCCGACTGGAGAGCTTGTCGCGTGCGCTCCGCCGGGCCGCGCTGGCTGGCTGCCTGCCGTGCAGCAGCGGAGAGCACAGCACGCCGTTGACGCACTCTATGGCGCGTCTGCTCAACATCGCACGACCGCAGTGGCATGTGCAAGCATGACGGGACTAGCCACCTCACTCGAGATTGCAAGAAGCGGGCAAAGCTTTCCGCAAGATTCAAGCTGGGATCCGGCTGGATCTGCCATGCATTCCGCTCCTGCGCTTGCGTTCAATTGCCACGATTGCTCGCTTTATCGCCCATTTCTGATCCCCAGACGCGCAGGCCGACAAGGGAGCGTCCACAGATGCGACGCGGCCGCTGCAAGTCATCGCGCTCGGACATCTCAGAGTTGACTTGGCCTCAGGGTCTCGCGCGAATGACAGGCTGCTCCTCGGACACCTGCCTCGGACACAATCGGCGAGAATCTGGCCTGTAATGCGCCGAAGGACCCCGGGGCAAGCCTGTCTCGAGCGCGACGGCGCGTGGAGATGGTGCACAGCACTGGCCGACCGACGCCCATGCGCGGCCCCGCGGCGATGTTTTTTGCGTGCTGGTTGCCACAGTTGCGCCCAACAAGGCGTGCGAAGTGGTTGTTGTGGCCTCAGGCAGCGAGGCGTGGCAGAATGCGATGCCGAGGGCCATCTGCCGAAGATCGACTTTTGCGTGCGCGCGCGGACTCCATCAAGGTAGCTTCCCCAGAACGCGGGGCAGCTTGGTGCAGGCGTATAAATATGCTTGGGACCTCTCCACCATGTGGTCGGCGAGCTTTTGCTCTGTGAAAATTCGACAATGTCGGCGGCGCAGACTTTCTCGGCTCACCCAATTGTGACCGACATCGGAATGAGCACGCCAGCGACGCTTTCGGCGCTAGTTCACCAGCTGCCCACAGGCCAATGGCGGGGCGCGAGTATATTTTTCTCGCGCCCCTCCCCGCCGACCGTCCACCTTCATCCTCCCCACCACCTCCTCCATTTTCATCTATAAAGGCCTCTGCACCCGTCGGAGCCTTTACTGCATCACTTTCCTTCACCTGCTCTTAGTATTCCCATTCTCAGAGCAACTCCCGCCAAGATGGTCCAGTCGTCCGTCCTCGGTTTCCCCCGCATGGGTGTGAACCGTGACCTGAAGAAGGCCAACGAGGCCTACTGGGCCGGCAAGATCTCGCGCGACGAGGTCCTCGCCGAGGGCAAGAGGCTGCGTCTTGCCCACTGGAAGATCCAGAAGGATGCTGGCGTCGACATCATCCCCAGCAACGACTTCGCTTTCTACGACCACGTCCTCGACCACATCCAGATGTTCAACGTGAGTCATCTATCCCGCCATCATCCGGGCGAGCTCAGCTAACAATTGATCTCGCAGGCCATCCCCGAGCGTTACTCCAAGCACGGTCTCGAGCCCATTGACGAGTACTTCGCCATGGGCCGTGGTCACCAGAAGGATGGCATCGACGTTCCTTCTCTGGTAAGCGAACACACATACCACGAATAAGGGAAATGGAATCTGACGGAGCCCCCAGGAAATGGTCAAGTGGTTCGACTCGAACTACCACTACGTCAAGCCCACCCTCCAGGACAACCAGACCTTCAAGCTGGCTGCCAACCCCAAGCCGGTCGCTGAGTTCCTCGAGGCCAAGGAGGCTGGCATCGTCACCCGCCCCGTCCTCCTCGGCCCGGTCTCCTTCCTTGCCCTTGGCAAGGCCGACCGTGGCCAGAGCGTCAAGCCCATCTCTCTCCTCGAGAAGCTGCTCCCCGTCTACGTCGAGCTGCTTGAGAAGCTGAAGGCCGCCGGCGCCGAGACCGTCCAGATTGACGAGCCCGTCCTCGTCTTCGACCTCCCCGCCGAGGTCAAGGCTGCCTTCAAGCCTGCCTACGAGAAGCTCTCTGGCTCCAACATCCCCAAGCTCGTCCTCGCCACCTACTTCGGTGACATCGTCCACAACTTCGATGTCTTCCCCGCCATCTCTCACCTGTACGGTCTCCACATCGACCTTGTCCGCAACCCTGAGCAGCTCGTCCCTGTCATTGAGAAGCTCGGCTCCCAGCAGGTCCTGTCGGCTGGTGTTGTCGACGGCCGTAACATCTGGAAGACCAACTTCAAGAGGGCCATCGAGCTCGTTGAGACTGCCGTCCAGAAGCTCGGCAAGGAGCGTGTCATCGTTGCCACCTCCAGCTCTCTCCTTCACACCCCCCACACTCTCGCCAGCGAGAAGAACCTCGATGCCGAGGTCCGTGACTGGTTCTCGTTCGCCAGCGAGAAGACCGTTGAGGTCGCCATCATCGCCAAGGCCGTCACTGAGGGCCCCGCCTCGGTCCGTGAGCAGATCGACGCCAACGCCAAGTCGATGCAGTCTCGCGCCTCGTCTGCCCGCACCAACGACCCCAACGTCAAGAAGCGCCAGTCTGAGGTCACCCCCGAGCAGCACAACCGCAAGTCTGCGTTCCCTGAGCGCTACGCCCAGCAGAAGACCCACCTCAAGCTGCCTCTCTTCCCCACCACCACCATCGGCTCCTTCCCCCAGACCAAGGAGATCCGTGTCCAGCGCAACAAGTTCACCAAGGGCGAGATCACCGCCCAGGAGTACGAGAAGTTCATCGAGAAGGAGATCGACGATGTCATTGCCATCCAGGACGAGCTTGACCTGGACGTCTACGTCCACGGTGAGCCTGAGCGTAACGACATGGTCCAGTACTTCGGTGAGCGCCTGAACGGCTACGTCTTCACCACCCACGCCTGGGTCCAGTCTTACGGCTCCCGCTGCGTCCGTCCCCCGATCATCGTCGGTGACATCTCTCGCCCCGCTCCTATGACCGTCAAGGAGTCCAAGTACGCTGCCCAGAAGTCCAGCAAGCCCATGAAGGGCATGCTTACTGGCCCCATCACCTGCTTGCGCTGGTCTTTCCCCCGTGATGACGTCCACCAGTCGGTCCAGGCTCAGCAGCTCGCTCTCGCTCTCCGTGACGAGGTTGTTGACCTTGAGGCCGCTGGCATCTACGTCATCCAGGTCGATGAGCCCGCTCTCCGTGAGGGTCTCCCTCTCCGCTCTGGCAAGGAGCGTGAGGCCTACCTCAGCTGGGCCGTCGACTCGTTCAAGCTCTCGACTGCCGGTGTCCAGGACTCGACGCAGATCCACTCTCACTTCTGCTACTCTGAGTTCCAGGACTTCTTCCACGCCATCGCCGCTCTCGATGCCGATGTCCTCTCGATCGAGAACAGCAAGAGCGATGCCAAGCTCCTCCAGGTCTTCGTCGACAAGGCGTACCCCCGCCACATCGGCCCTGGTGTCTACGACATCCACTCGCCGCGTGTTCCCCCGGAGGATGAGATCAAGTACCGCATCGAGGAGATGCTTGCTTACCTCAAGCCCGAGCAGCTCTGGATCAACCCTGACTGCGGTCTCAAGACCCGTCAGTGGAAGGAGACCAAGGAGGCGCTGACCAACATGGTCAACGCTGCCAAGTTCTACCGCCAGAAGCACGCCAACTAAGCGTGTAGCAGCTACTCCAACATAGCTGCGACAGTCACCAGCAATGGTGACTGATCTTTCATGTGTTACGATATCAAAAGTCTTTTCAACAGGCATGATATGAGTGGGGTTGAGTGGAGAATTCAACATGGGCGTTTTTTCAACAATGGAAACTTTGCACGGCGTTTCGGTACAGGGAAACGGATGGGGAAAAAATTGCAGCGTTCAACATGCGCCGCAGGAGCTTGGTTAAGAGCTGATACCCCTCAACAGGGTGATTGATAGTATAAAGGGTGCCGCAAGAGGCAACCCAATTGAGATACCAATAATGGAACAAGATTTAAAGTTCCTTCTGACCTCATTCCGCTCGCTTGCTTATCTCGTGAAGACACTTCGGCCAGCGTATGGCCTCTGGGTGTGACGACAGCCAACGTGTTTGATGTTGGGACGAGCCACCCCGCGTGCTTTCCTATCGATACCCATGCCCCTGAGGCACCCAGCTGTGCTGGGACCCTGACGTCGATGGTGGTCCTTGCTCACAGAGTTCTCTGTCACGGAGAAAGTATGAGCACGTGTCCTTTCATCCCAAAAGCATATGAAAGAGAGGATATCAGCAGACACGGGTCGTACTTGCCGCTTGCCTCGGGGCTTGATGGGGCGACATATTTCGGACAAATGGGCCTTCACACTACTACTGGGTCCGTCGAATAAGCACGAGATGGCCACTGCTCAGTAAATGCGAAGTGATTCCAATACTGCGGGCCGTTCAATAAAGGCGTCAGAAGCGCGAGCCTAGGCGAGCGATCCCATCCAGTCTCCTCAAAAAGGATTAATTTGTACGGAAACGCAAGAAATGAGGCTGGTGACTAAGAGACCGGTCAAGGAGAGCGCACGGAGAGGAGAGCGGTCCGCGAGCCAGACAGCAAGCATCAGTGCCGCCTCTCTTTCCGCAACAGCTTTAACTACGTGCGCGGCACGGCGGGTAGGGCTGACAATTTTAGAGCATCGTTTCTGAAATTGCGTTTCAAGAGTGTGCTTCGTCTCTGTTTCACCATATGGGGTTTGAAAAAGCAACTAGGCACAATCGGCCGTACTCCTTCGGGCTAGCAGGTGCGGAAGGAGGGCGGCGCGGGACGTCGGGAGGAGCGTTGAATGGTGCCGCTGGTGAAATGAGCAGTCGAGGCCAGGCCTGCAAAGTGAATCATTGGCAACGCAAGCATTTTAGCTTCGGAGCATGTTTTTATTGCGTCCTCCATCATCCTGTCGCCAAATGTCGGCGATCCGCAGAAGGGGGTGCGCCTCGGGCTCGCCGCCAAACTCGCACGAAATTGTGATTTTGATTGTAAGCAGACAAAAGCTCAGTCTAATTACGGGGATCTGCGCTTTATGCGAGAGACACACGTACCCGTGCTCCACCGTTTGCGCCTCCCCCCATCACCAGAGCGCCAAGTGCTAGAAGGCGCCCCGTGCTCGAACCACCATCTCGCTACTTACGAGACATGGGGGGTTGAAGGGCCAGAAAGTTATAGAATCTCCGCTATTAACCCGCCCATCATTACTTCGCTCTGGTTTCGCATCTACACCGACAGCCTTTAACTTTTCATCCACCTCGACTCTTCCTCTTTCCACTCCCAAGCTGCTCACACATCAACGACGCGAAGCTCCAGCACCAGCGGTCTGAGCCTCTTGTTTTCGAGGAGAAAAACCCCACCTTTTTCTTACGTACCGGCCTACGTACCCACCAACCACAACCACCACCACTCTCCCATCCACACAACACCATGGCCTCAACCGCAACCTCCGCCGGCTTCGCCACGGGCGCGCTGCAGGTGCCCAAGCACGTCGGGGCGACGCGCGCGGCGTCGTCGGACCGGGCGCGGTCGTTCCGGCGCACGCAGTACAAGAAGTCGGCCAAGGCGCGGCTGGACGAGCTGGTGCGCGAGATCACGACGGCGCGGCACGAGCGCGAGGCGCGCACGCCGCGGGCCACGGGCGGCGCCAGCGAGCTGGACGAGAGCATCAAGCTGCTGCACGACAAGCACGCCGCGCTGGAGATCTGGAGCCAGGAGCTGCGGTGCTCGGGCGGCGAGCGCAGCCGCAGCCGCAGCGCCAGCCGCACGAGGGGTGCCGAGAGCGGGCCTGAGTGAAGAGATTTTGGGGTATCTTTTTGCGGGGGAGAAAGAAAAAAAAAAGCTGGGACATATGGGGTTTAGTGAGGGGTTGAGGGATTTTTGAGAGATCTCGTGAGGTATGCCTGCTCTTTTGATTCTTTTTTGGGGGAGGTGGAGAGCTGGGGATGAGCTTGGGCCGGCCGGATGGTCGGTGCGATTGATGAACAAGGTCAGCTGACAAGGTGGTTGAAAGGACAGACAAGAACACTGTTCATTTCTGGGAACACTATCGAACGCACACGCTCTCTCGGCCCCGAAACTACCCCGGCATGATGCAGGACACATGCCAGTCCCACAAACACTCTTTCGCGATATTATGCAACTCCATGCGAACGAACCACGACGCACACTACAGTGGCTACAGCGGAGGCCCCGGAACCACCAGATCTGTCGACCCAGACCAGCGTCCGACGGCCAAGCATACGCTATGAGGGTGGAGGACGTGGACCATCCCGAAGCATTTCAGCAGTATTTCAAACTCTGGTCCGGAAGCTAGGCTGGACAGAGTCCAGTTCCATGATTTTTGGGAGTTTTTTTCTTGTAGGTTGTGGTAGGGTGCGCGTTGCTAGGCACGAGGCGTGCAGGATTTTGCTTCTCTTTTTCATCCCTTTTCGGCAATTCTTTGCCCGCACAACTGTTTTTCAAGCTTTGGCGTTACAAAGGACTTTTTGGGGCTGTATTTGCGCTGGTGCCGGTACTTCATCGCTTTCTTCATTCATTCATTACCACTTCGACAACATATACCCCTCGTTACTGGTTTCGAGACCTTTTGAAATCTTCATCTTGTTATAGCAGTGCGCCACAGTACATGCGCGTGATTCAGCAGTTCGTTTCTCTTTCATTGTCAGCGACTTATGTTTTTGTCGAATACTTCATTACTTTGCGGGGTCAAAAAGTTGCTCTCATGCTCTATGACATTAATTCCTTTCAGCAGCCGGGGTTTTGAAGATGACCCAGTCCACGCTGGATTTCACAACTTTTTGCTTTCAGTCCGGCTACAAGAACATCCACAGCGGTCTCGAAATCCATGCACACCTTCTCATCGCTTTGCGGCGACACCATCGGTTTCCATAATGCCAGCCACGTTCGGTGCAGCATTATTTACACGGCCCACCTATCATTCTTATCATACGCCAATCCAACCACGCAGACGTGAGAGAAGATGCCGTCCGAGGTCAGATCGCAGGACATTATATGAAGCCAAGGCGTTGATGTTGACGTCCGGCCATTTCTGACACAAAGGGCATCCCAGTTTGACACCAAGCGCTGCGAGCAGGCATGTCCTCCCGAAGACATGGCCACAAGAGAGCTTAGCGGGACTTTCACCAATGGTCGACTTCTCCTTCTCTTCATCTGCCGCGCTGTTGAGATCCTCCATGCAAATGCTGCAATTTTCCACACCCCATCTCTTCATGTCATCCACGCTGGCCGGTAAAATAAACCAAGAAAGGAATTCGCGGGTAGCCATTGGATGTCGACACTAGAAATCGGTGTTGATCCCAGTCCGAAAGAAGTCGTGCCGGAGAAGTGTGGATTGGAACCGTATCACTGATCAGGGACTGGTCAAAAGAGTAACGGAGACTTGAAGGACGCCCGCTTTTGGGTGAGCACGAGTGCGGGTGAACGAAGGCTCTGAAGCTCTTATCTACCTCGGCGAATAAGACTTTTGACTCCCGCCTACTCCAGATATGTAAGATTTGACCAGAGAGTATATTGTTTGAGCTCAATGAATCGTCTTCTCTGTGCGATTTCTGTTTACATTTCACTGTTGCAAAAGCGAAATCTCATTTGAATATCATATTTCGTCAATTGCAGGATTCTATCGCCTTCAAACAATTATAGCCGCCTCCGCAGATTCTGTTCTATCCATAGCCTAGTCGTATGACATTTGCCCCACACACAAAGCCTTTACGAGCATTTTCACGATAAATTACAGGCCAATAGTTTAATTCATGACTTGTCCCGCGTATAATCCATTAACATAGAGAGTCCGGATGATGTTATGCCCACTAAATGCTGGGCCCAGGTTAAGTTCAGGTAAGCGAGGTGGTTCTTCCCACGTCGCACGGCATGTAGGGCACTTCTGGTAGGCTTTACCCTGATCTGCGATGACCTCAAGGCAGCCGCGGCCAAATATATGCCCACACCGGAGTTTGCAGGGGTTACTGCAGATGTAACCATCATCTTCTCCGCATTTGGCGGCATCGGCGGCCTTGAATGTTGGGAAATTCCCCCGGCATACGAGGCAGGACGTGGTATCGAATCTTTCCAAGTCTTCCATTGTAGCAGGCGTAAACTCCCGGGGTCTGGGAGCTTTATTAATGTCGCAAAGCTGGTGGGGAAGGTAGGTGGTCTGAATGTGCGAGTGGTCGGACATTTTGACGGGGTAGGTGTAGATATATCCGCGTGAGGTTGATGAGAAAGGTTTTGGATGAACTTTTGGGTGGTCGAGTAATTGACGGAGCGAGTTATGCGTTGTGATCAACCGCTATAAGCTTAATAAGAGCTTCGAGAGGTTGAGGGCGACCTCGTCCATTATAAATGCGGCCAGGTATGAGTTTTAGCCAGGGTGAGTGCAGTTTTGACCGTACCAGTAACCACGCCAAATTGACACCAGCAATCCACTATATTGGCCGATCCAGGAACAACAAATGAATCTGTGCAATAATTCCACTACACATTATGCCACTGCTCCATCTGAAAAGGCATCCAGAGAATGAATTAAAAAATAAAAAAAATAAAAAGGGGGTAGAACCGAACCCAACTCAACATTGTATACCACTCTACAAATCTAAATCCAACTCTTGAACCATACTCGCTAAGTTTCTCGTGTTCAAAGGGCTTATTTTGGTTGAATCGGTACTTGAAAGCTTAACGACTACTATAGGAATATGAATAAGCTTAGATTTCTGAGGAATGTGAAAGGATACTGATTACTGAATGCGGCGAGCGGTGGTGATATACCACTACCAAGCGAGCTAAGCTAAGGCTAATCGAGAAAGGACAATGGCTTGACTGAAATAAAGGAGCAAGGCAAGCAATCGGCAAGCCGTTGGCCGCGTGGAAACACATGCCCAGCGGGCTGCTTGCCGACTTTATTTTCGTTGAAATTTTGTAGCATTGTGAGAGATGTGGATCTTGGTGATACGGGACCGGAAAGACTTGATTTCTGGACTGCAAAGGCGGTGGTTGGGATTCATGTATCTGATGTAAGTTTGGTTCTGTTTGCCCCCCCCCCCCCCCCCCCTTACAAAAAAAAAAGCTTAAGCGATACATCGTAGGTAACCAGCCTGCCTCAACGCCAGTGCACAACAGACCTTTCAATCGTACCACCATAAAATAATACTTCTCCCAAGCGTAGCCAGGCATCGGAACATCTCCAAACTCAGCACGACAACGCTTCAAAAAGTCTGTGCGCGCTCCAGACTACGAACTGTCCGGTCTTGGTTGATGTTGCCCAACTCAGCAGCTTCAGTCAAATCTGAAAGTTTAGTCGGTTAGTTGAAGTAGCACAAACGTTCGTTACAGGCTGAGAGTACAATATACGCAAAACGTAAACAGAGAAGCCCAATCTTACCAGCTACTACGCGGACCCTTCTTGCTGCGAAAGCAGGAAGAAAGCGGCCCCTTTTCCTCCATAAGAAGAAACCAAGTGGCATGACTCCAACGATTATGCCAATCACTGCGGCTATCGCTTCGACCGACCATGTTCGATTTACGTCAACTTGTAGGGCTGGAATGGTATCTGGTAAGGTGAACAATGAGCCTTTGACTTAAGATCATGCAGTGACTCCAAATTCGAAAGCACTCACAATTTGTTGGCTTTGACGTGTCAGACATGATAGCTTGCAGCTTGCAAGGTTGGGAAAAGGGAGGCGTGAAACACAAATATTCAAAAACCTCAGACGCAGAAACTCTGTTCCGACAATGCAGATGATTTGGGAGGTACGAGCAGAATTGTCGGTAGCCACTAAAAAGAAAAGGATGGCAGACTCGGCAGGCTCGGGAGTCTTTTGATCTTTCACCTGAATGAAGTGGTTCTGAAGGTAGTGTAAGCGCATAGAGCTGGCTTCATTTATACATATTCCATGAGAAGTGCGATATACGTTTTTGATTGGCCGAAAGCGAAAGGGGTAAGAGGGTGAGTCGCACACATTGGTCAGAAAAGTTGCGGTCGGAACGCTGTGCCAGATCTGCCGCTCTTGTCAGACCCGCCGCTCTTGTCAGACCCGCCGCCCTTGTCAGACCCGCGTGCCGATACGACACAGGGATCGAGACATCTGAATGGCCCGTATAGCACACAGGGCTTGCTATCAATATCTGACCAACTTGTGCGATGCACCATCTTGTCCCCTTCCCACGTGATATTCGTCTATTCCTGAGCCCCACATGTGCGCCACTACCGCCGTCGCTTTACCAAATATTGTTTCTTGAGTGTATGTCGGTGTTTAGTAGGCGTGGGTACGCAATCATACGCCAGTATCGCCACAAGTCATACCTGCCGCCACATATTACCTACGTAGGCGGCTTATCGCTCCTCCGCCGATGCCCCGCGCGTTCCGCGAGTGTGCCTTGCCGACGAGATTGTCACGTGGGGGACATGAAAGCGCAAGACCTTATAAGCACATGATCAGTCCCTCCTTTCGAGGAATTAGGGAGGGCTGCCGATGTGTGGCAATTTGATGCATCACTACTCATCGTTGTTTAGCATATTTCTGTCCCAGTAAATATCGAAACAAAAATTGAAAGTTTGCTACTGGAGATCTTTGATAGAGTCCATGTAATCAAAGTATGCATTGTTCTTAGCTCTGCACCAAATCAAAGTCCTAGATCGCCGAGGCGTGTCAAATCAGCACGAAATCATCATTTCGAGCTATTCCCACCCGGGCTTACCTGTAGTACTGGGCAATACTTAATCAAGTCAATCATCATTCAGAAAATGATTCCGATGATAGCCATATATATGCTCTGCGCTA